CTCAGTAACAGCAAAGAATGCCGCGTGTGGACCTCCGAAGCCCATGGGGACACCCAGCCTCTGGGCGCTTCCAAAGGCGATATCAGCGCCCCATTCTCCCGGAGGTGTCAGCAAAGTCAGTGCGAGCAGGTCAGTTGCGGCAGCAAGCAGCGCTCCCTTCTTGTGGACAGAATCGGCCAATTGTCGGAAATCCTTGATCTGGCCCAAGGTATCAGGATACTGGACCATCACACCCACAAGGTCGTCACCGAGCTCCTCCAGGCGCGTGGCGAACTCCTTTGACAGAATGTCGGCCTGCTCAATCTTGACACCGAAGCCACCAGCACGGCCTTCCATGACGGCCAAAGTTTGAGGATGCAGCTGGTCCGAGACGATGTAGGTCTTGCCTGGCCGTTTCGCCCTGGACGACGTCAGACTGTTGATAGACAAGGTCAAAGCCTCTGCAGCCGCGGTACCCTCATCCAACAGACTGGCGTTTGAAATTGGCAAGGCCGTGAGATCGGACACCAGAGTCTGGTAGTTCAGCAGAGACTCCAGCCGGCCCTGGCTGATCTCGGGCTGGTAGGGGGTGTAGCTTGTGTACCAGGCCGGGTTCTCCAGAACGTTCCGTTTGATCACCTCAGGAACCAGAGTGCCATAGTAACCGGCTCCGATGAAGCTTTTGCCGACCTTGATCTCGTCCCTCTGGAGGGCTTCAACCATGCTCAGAACCTCGGATTCGGGGAGAGCCTCTGCGACTGCAGCTTCGGTTGGCTTCACATCCTGCTCATACCTCGATTTGGGGAACAGCTTCCGAGATGATAGAATGTCAGGCGGAATGACCTGGGCGACGAAGTCATCGATAGACTTCACGGGAGGATCCAGGACCTTGAGCATCTCCTCGGCCGAGGCGTCGTCGGGGCCGATGTGCCGGCGAGGAAAGGTGTCAAGCATAGCATATTCGGATCTACTGAAGGTTGACTTATTCCTGGTGAATGTCTTGCTCCCAGCGAGGCCACTGACCGAGCAGGACCGGCAAACCCATGGCCGTTGAGCATTGGCAGCGATGCGGAGGCTGAGAGAGGATGTTGCCCTTGGCCCGGTGGCCCGACTCAGACGACCGAGTTGCCGAGAGACGGCAAAGCCATTGGCGGCCATAATTCCAGCGAAAAGTGAAATGACCGTCTAAAAGGCTTTCCTCAGGATGAGCGTTGAATTTGAGCTCTGGAATTGACCTGCGGGTTGAATCCCGTGTGAATTGTTTCGGCGGCCGACGCAGGTCCCTGGTAGGCGAAATAGATAGTTTCCCGTGGGTGTGATTGACGGTGACGACCCTAGCAGGCCACGGGTTCGCCACTAAGTAGAACCGATCACCAGCTAGAGAGATACTCGGGAGTGGGAGACTAGGGAGCCGTGTCTAAGCGTCAGGAAACGTAACAGCCTGAGGGGAGCGGAATAGGACTGGCTGGGAGTGACAAATGGAAACATCCGGGAGTGATGTTTGCTATGTAGGCCACTGTGCAAGAGGAGGTACGGTGAGGGTGAGGACGAGGGTAGGGGAGGATGTAGTAGGATTTATCTAGTCTGTGGTCGAGATACATTCTCCCTTGTCATCCATTGACATTGACTCTGGGCCTTGTCATCCATCACCTATCTATCGTGCACCATCCATGGACGTGCCAGGGATTGTTGAGAGAAAGAATGTGCCTGCGCCCGTGCCTTGGCTCCAGGATCAGTCCTTCTCCTCTGATAACGGGTCGAGATTGTGCTTTTCCTAATAAGAATAATAAGCCAGTGCTGATTGACCGTCGGGATGGGCATGCCATGAGTCGCCAATCCGTTCTCGCAGCCGTCCATCTTGTAACACTATGGTCCCATGTGGTCCTACACGGGTCGTGACGGGCAAACATGCCCTGCTGGTGACCGTGATCGGCTTGCTGCCCGTGCAACGCGTTGCCCCAGGTTCAGGCCCATTGAATATTCACAGGTCCTCCGCTCCGGCTACGGTCGGGAGACATGCCCGAGGGTGGAGCCAACCCTGCACACCTTGCCAGTACCTAGGTATCATAGTGCCATAGTAGACTATATGCAGACAATGTGCCAGTTGTGCCTAGGTACCTTAGGTACCCGGTCCGTTGGCCCTGGCCTTATCGACGCCTCTCTCCCGCCTTATCAAAGCTCTCTCCTAAAACTTTGTTGTCGGCCATCCAACAAAACCGTTCCATCACATGCGTCATTGCTTCTGCACCCACTCCAGCAGCACCTTTTGCAAGACCGACCCAGACCGCCATCCCCAAACACCAGTCCCTCCCCTGTCAGCTACAGCAACACATATCCAAGATGTTCGGAGGAAGTATGTACATTGCGGTTTTCCTCTTCACCACTCATCCAGCATGCTAATCCTCTCCTGTCCGCAGTGGGAATGCCGCAGCTGTCGGCCGAGGAGCTCAGGGCCGCCGAGGCTGAAGCTTCTTACACCGTCCAGCAGGTCGTCGCAACGGCTGTTGCCCTCTATCTTTGTACGTTGTCGAACAGATACTGAGGCTGTGGAACCGCGAAGCTCGCACATCCGTCACGGCTTCCTTCCTGTGCCTGATAAGCAGTCGCTGACCTCCGTTCGCCAGCCCCCTTCGCCGTCGACGCCATCTGGAAAATTTTCTGAGCAATGGCGACCGGAAGAATTCTCCTCACAACACACTCTCTCTCATCAACTTGAGCATACATGTACAATACTGGGCTGGTGATATCATGGGATCCTCGGCGGCATGGCGGCGTACTCTCTACTTAGCATGCATTCAGCATCGGCACATGACGGCGGCCCAGAACATTCGATCTGGGCGACGCACGAGATCCAAATGTCTTACACGGACAAAACTCTCACGCAATGAAAGAATCAGATCAAAACTACTTAGGTTTCTTCGCCAACTGCCGAACCTGACCTTGATACTGGCCTCGGGCCCTCGTTTCCATCGGAAGTGTCGGCTGCTTCACAGCATGCAATGTTGGAGGGCCTAATGTCTGAGGCTGGAGGGCAATGTGTCACGTCAAATCTGCCTCTGATCAAGAAGTCTTATACAACAAAGCCCGGCTTGGTGGTACAGAGCACTTCGGCAGCGCACGGGAAGGTCTCCCAGAAATGGGGCGCAGTATTCCCGATACGAGACAAATGCCGCAGTGAATCAAGCCACATCTAACTGGATCTGATCGTGGTTGCACATTGGACCGCGCGGACAGTGTGCATGCAAGGGTGATCATGAATGTCGAGCCGTCCGTTCATGGCCAAGCTCACACCCATATCAATCAATCATGGGCAAGCAGCTCATAATCGGCTTCCTAGAGTGGGGCTGTGGTATGGCATTCAGCTGGTGAGGAGAAAAGAGGTTGAGACGATGCTTCAGCTGCTAGGTGAAACCCTTGAAAGTGCCTCGCTCGATTGTAGCAAGTGATCTCAGGAGCACATACAGCAACAGCAGCTTGTGAGATGTGACCCATTCGCAACCTTGGCGTTGTTCGGGCTTTGGGCAGCGGCCCGTAATTATGCAAATTGGCTTGGTGTAAAATCGGGCCTCCCCAACTGGAATCGTTTCAAAGGGCACCTGCCCACTACTGAGAGCGTGCAGCACCAGGCAGCCTGCTGCGCCACTACTAGCCAAGCTGGACTACATCCCATCAGTCCGGGTGCCTCTTCTTGTCCGTTTCACTCCGCTCGACTTGCATCCTCCACTACCATTACGATCTCCTACACGACAGTTGCTCAAGGTTTTGGTATTCCAATTGCCAACCCACCTAAGAACATAAGTATCCTATTTCTACCTCGATCAGACCACCACCATGGCTGCACGCCAAAAGATCATCGAGACCAACCGGTCGCTCCGTACCATCAAGAATGTGAGTTGTTGCCGTATTTGCCCTTGCAATCAGCCTGTGCTAGGTTATCGATATCGACCGATGCTAACGTCACATCGCAGGAACTGGAGGCTCTCCTCGAGAAGGGTGCCATCAGCGATGAGGCCTACGAGTCTATCCACGCCGCTCTGCCCTCCGAGTCGCCGCTGTCCAGCGCACCTACCGCAGCTGCACCCGCGCCCGTGCCCCGTGTCGTCTCACCACCAACCAACGGCATGGCCGCCATGAACCTCAACCAACCACCGCCGCAACACCAGCCCCCGTCCTACAATCAGACCACAGCCGCCGCGCCACCGGCCCTGCCCACCAGGAACCAGCCGACACCCGCCCCTCCCTCTAAGCCGGTGATCGCGCACGCCCGCGCTCTGTACAGGTACCAGGCCTCGGACGCCCGCGACTGCTCCTTCGAGAAGGACGACCACATCGCCGTGTACGAGTACATGAACGCCGACTGGTGGATGGGCCGCAACGAGCGCACCGGCCAGGAGGGCATCTTCCCCAAGACCTACGTCGAGCCCACCGGTCCCGCGGGCCCGCCACCCTCGCACTCGCCCTACCCGAACGAGAAGGCCGGCTTCAACGGCTACGCTGCGCCCGCACAGCCTACGTATGGCGGCTACCCGCCCCCGGCACCTGCGCAGCAGAACCCTTACAACAGCAACGTGCCCCCCATGGCTGTCGCCGAGGGTAGCCAACAGCAGCCTCAGGAGGGCGATGGCAAGGGCAAGGAGATGGGTAAGAAGTTCGGCAAGAAGCTGGGTAATGCTGCTATCTTCGGCGCGGGTGCTACCATTGGTAGCAACATCGTGAACTCGATCTTCTAAAGGGACGAGGGAGTGGTTTGAAGAGGCCCCGCTTCGGGGTTTCTGTTTTGGTTTTGCATTAGGCCAGACACAATATGCTCAAGTCGGCGCTATGGAGTTCATCATTGATGGAACGGGGCCAAAGATCATGGTCCACATCCTACCTAGTATAAAGGGGATATCGCACCTGGTGAACGGGTAACATAGATATCATAATGACAGTTGACTTTTCTTTGATCCTACGACAGTCTATATCTCCGCACTCACACGAACGGCAACGTGCTTTACATAAAGCAAGATACCCTGTCCTATCTAAGACACGACGAACTTACTCTTGTCAACGACATACAGATCAACATACTCATCCACAGGCGTGCTCTCCAGCTTCTTGCCGTCCAGGCCGAGGTCGACCAGCTGCTTGACCCGGTCGGCGCCGTAGTGCGGCTCGAGGTGGCGCTTGTACTTGGCCAGGATCTCGGGCTTGGCCTCGTCGCGGCGCAGGCGGTGGCCCAGGGGCGCCTCGACGACGACCTCCTCGAGGACGGAGCCGTCGTTGAGCTCGACGGTCAGGGCGTTGGAGATGGTGCGCAGCGCCGGGTCGTGGTAGTCGCGCGTGAACTGGGGGTCCTCGACGCACTTGATCTTCTGCCGCAGCGACTCGACCAGCGGCGACGTGGCCGCCTCGGACCCGTCCGTGTAGTCGGTCGCCTCGAGCCGCCCGAACGTCAGCATCACCGCGCACATGTACTGCACGCAGTGGTCGCGGTCGGCAAAGTTGTCCATCGGCTTGAACTGCTTGTCGATGATGCGCACGCACGCCTCGTGCGTGCGGTTCGTCACCGCCTTGATGTCCGCCGCCGACTTGCCCGCGGCCTTGAGCTGGTTGTAGATCTTTTGCGAGGCCTCGATGGCGGTCTGGGAGTGGAATTCGGCTGAAGTGGTTGAGTTTTAGCATCGAAGTCAATTTGCAGGTCTAATACTAGTGATGTGGTGGAGCTTACCTGGGTATGACACCTTGAACAGCACATTCTCCATGACATAGCTCCCATAGGGGCGCTGGAACTCAAACTTGTTGCCCTTGAACAGGACGTCGTAGAAACCCCAGACTGGGGCGGACAGCACGGTGGGGACGCCAGCCTCGCCCTTCTGGACCTTGAGGACGAGGTTGACGGCCCTCTGACAGGCGTCACCGGCGGCCCACGACTTTCGGGACATGGTGTTGGGGCTGTGACGGTAGGTACGCAGGCTCTGGCCGTCGACCCAGGCCTGTGTGATGGCGTCGGCGGTCTGCTTCTCGTTCAGGCCCAGCATGCCGGACACAACGGCGGTGCTGGCGACCTTGACCAGTACAACGTGGTCCAGGCCGACCTTGTTGTAGGAGTTCTCCAGGGCCAGGCAGCCCTGGATCTCATGGGCCTTGATCATGCCCTCGAGGACGTCCTTGACAGTGAAGATCTTGCCGCCGGCCAGGTTCCCGCCGGCCTTGTTGGTGCGGTTCACCCAGTCGGCAACGGCGAGGATGGCACCCAGGTTGTCGGAGGGGTGGCCCCACTCGGCGGCCAGCCAGCAGTCATTGTAGTCGAGCCACCGGATCATGGCGCCGATGTTGAAGGCGCCGTTGACGGGGTCGAGCTGGTAGGGGGTGCCGAAGACCTTGGTGCCATTGGGCACGACGGTGCCGGGCACGATGGGCCCCAGGAGCTTGCTGCACTCCTTGAAGCGCAAGCCCTCCAGGCCGCAGCCGATGGTATCGAGGAAGACATACCTGGCCGTGTCGAACTGTTGGTGGTGAAGAGAAGAAGGGCGCGGTTAGTCTCGGGTTGCGGGGTAATGGACAGGCATATTGGGAATTAATTGACTTACAGCAAGGTCCGAGTCGACCTTGTAGCTGTGGATGTAATCGGCAATGTCCTTGATCTCTGGGTCGTAGCCCACGCCCTCGGAGGGCTTGGGGGTGGTGGCGGCGGCTGACTTGAGGGAGGCCATTGTGTGGAAGCTTGATGTGGTTGAGGCTCTGGAGAGGAATCGAGGGGCAGCGTTGAGGGCCGAGGTTCGCGATGCTCCACTGCCGAGTGGGAGAAGTGACTTGGCCGACGCTGACCGCGCAGCCTGCGACGCTGTGAAGGTCTTTTGGAGCCGCAACGACTTGGAAAGGGCGCGGTTGACGGCGGACATGGTGTTGTCGCCTCTCAGAGAAGGATCCTGGGTCTCGCTACAGACCAATTGGTGCAGAGACAGCAGTCAAGATCGTGAGGAATTTGGAGGAGGGACAATACAGCACCCAGATAGTTGGGGTTGGGGAAAGAAAACAACACCAGAGCTTAGCTTGGACGGCTTAACGCTGCCTAGGTCCCAGTCCAACCCCTGCCGCTGTCCTGTCTGTCCCGAGGTATACCGTCTTCCGCAAGTGATAACCAGACTATGGAGCAAGCAGATGTCACTGGTATCCAGCTTGGCGGGGCACCACTGCCCGCTGCATGCCGCTTCTCCGGTTAGACACCAGCCCTCAGACCGACAACACCAATTAATTGATGGGCCCAGTCGCGATCGCCGAGCTGCTACCGACAACCGGCGTGTCATTCTTGATGGTTGTGAATGTAGAGCTCCTTCTTTCCATCTCTGCACAGCAGCCAGATCCACTGTCATCTGACTGCTACAATCGAGCGACACAATATGTCAATTCTCCCCCAGAATCATCCTGCTGCCCACCTCACTCCCTGTTTATAAGACAGCGGTTCTTAGCCGAGCCGCGGTCGGATCTGGGGGTGGGCCTCTCCCATCATGACTCCGCCGCTCCCGCCGTGACACGGGGCCCCGGACTCCACATCTGGGGTACACTTCGGTGTTTTGAGCTTTTTGCTCACCACCATCACGATGAGGCAGCTGTACCCAGGAGACAAGTACAGCATTCGCAAAGGACCCTCCTGCGGTCTACAAACTAGATTACAGATGGCCATCGACCCAGGGAAATTGAGCCCTTTTTTACGGTCCGTATATGCACGGTAATCTAGGTGTGATTTATGGCGTTGCCTCTCGAGCCGTCCTCAGCCGCCAAGCAGCCTGGACAGGCTCGCACTGATATTGTGCCACATGACCTCCCAATCAACGACACTGTAATGAGAAAACACCAATGACTGCTTATTCAAGGCATATTTTTCATCGTTCAAATGCAGACCTCATGCAGACCTCATGCAGACCCGTCTTTCCGCCCCCGCGTCGTATGCTGCAGCTCGTACATCTCCCAGTAGAGAGAACACCAACGCGGATATCGACATGATACCCTCAGATACCCATGCGGTTCCAACCTCGGCGAGAAGTCGCTTACAGTCTGTCGTGGAACCAAATATATATACACCTTCAATCGAGCGAATAGTATTATGGTATATTAGCCACCATGGTCGGCGGCATAAAAGCCGACAAACCCCCTCGTCCCTACTTCGAGATCAGCCGTCTAGCTTACCTACCACAGTCTCATCAAATTTACTTGCGCAGAGATTTGATAGACCTCACAATGTACCGAAATTATGTTATGGCAACCGGTGCCCTGCTCCTCCTCCGGTCCGCCGCAGGCCCAGGTGTGCGGAGGATGGACGATGGTTTCTTCGGGGCTGAGCACGTTCAACCGCTCTTCTCCCCATTTCAACCTCACCTACATGACCTAATGAGGAGGGAGGGCGGGTGCCAGGCTGGATTCCATCCATGTATGTGTTCCTGCACGACGCACCAGGCTCTACCACACTCAGCCCTGTACGCTTACCAACCCTCGATGGCTAGGCTCCGATATCAACTCGACAGCATGTTGTCCGAACTCAGCCTACTGCGTTGTCAACGAAACGACATTCGAGACCCAATGCTGCGACTTAGGTTCAAGTTGTGGGCTCACATGTGGCGCGGCCTCGTTTTATTCAGAACTCACGGCCACAACCACGGACATGGCTATGAGCACTTCGACTGCCGAGCCAATTGTTGCCTGCGTTGGTCGGAAATGTACTAGCACCTGGTACCTGTGCCCTGAGTCCATTGGCGGAGGGTGCTGTCCCTTCGGCAGCGACTGCGTCAGTGGAGGGTCTTGTCTGTTCTCGGAGGCCGCGCCAACCGCGACCGCATGTACAAACGGCCAATTCAATTGTGGTGTGGATACTCAGGGAAACAGATGCTGCCCCTTAGGCGCGGTCTGCACGTCTGCATCCTCGTCAGGATATTATTGCGCGAGTTCTGTCACGGCGCCCGCAGCTTTACCTACCACCGTCAGCATCATCGTGTCGCCAACGGCCACCGCAGCACAAGCTGCGAGCGGGGGTGACGATGTTGCACTCAAAGTCGGCCTTGGGGTTGGGATCCCTGTAGCAGTCATCAGTATTGCTGTCCTTATTTTCGCGTGGCGTATTCGCGTAGCGAAGAAGCACCGCACCAAGAATTCTGGCGTCGATCAAAAGAAGGATTACGAGAAGCCTGAATTAGCTGCAGATCCAGTCGTTGTTCCTGCTGAGCTTGATGTCGGCGCTGGGGAGTTACCGGCCCAGATTCTAGAGGCCGAGTTGCCGGAAGATGGTATCGTGGCCGAGCTTCCAGGAGAAGCAGAGCCGGCTGAGCCTGAAAGTCTTCAGGAACAATGTGGTCAGAGAGAAGCTCACAATGGAAGCCCGTGCTGAGACATCATATTGTTGGCAACATTCAACGTTTGCCCCATCCGCCTCTCATCCAATATTGATAATCCCAATCACACACACTGGCAAAGTTGATGCTGATTCAAGAGCAAGAATTCAACATTCCCCTGCATGTTATTCATCAAACAATGGCCTGGTGAAAGCGGCCGAAGATGTGGGCTGGTCACAAGTGTTTCTGCAGCTGCGTATAGTTCGGCAGTGCAGTGTGACTGACAAGCTCGACTCCAATTTAAGTCTGAGTAGCTCTGTGAACTGTCCACTCTCAGGAATGATCAGCAATTTTATTCAATCAGAAGCAGTAAACCCTGCATGTCTATGCGGTGCCACCTGCGAGCGAATACTCATGCATAGTTCTGAGCCATCCGCACTGATGAGTACACTGTCGTGATCTCATCGCAGACGAGGCTGTGCCTGGTCCTTGTTATATGGTGATCATGAAGCAAGGCGTACAGATGGGAACCTTTCTGTCTGTTGGTTCGCTGAATACTACTATTTCACTCTCTTAGCATTTAGCATCGTTCCAACCATTTGTCTTTCAAATGTGGGTTGTGAGAGGCGATACATCATTTCTGTGCCGCTTTCCTCACGGAGAAATACATTGCTCCTGAAATTTCGGAATGACTCGATTCACTCCCAGCACAAGCATTCTGAGGACTAATTTGATTTTACGCAACCCAATCCATTGACATCACCATTGACTCAGTATTGGGCCTGGCAGACACCTAAAAGTAGATTTGAAAACTTGCTGCGTGAAGTCATCTAGCATCTGCATCTGCATTTGTGTCTGAATTCCGATCCGAACCGGGCCGGCCCGGGGCCGTCACTTTAATCAGGCGACCGTACCTGCGGCCAGACCCCAACTTGCATAGTAAACCACTCTCTCGATTGCTTTACGCTCTAGTCTATACGAAGGCCATAACCGCAACAATAGGCTTGGAGCAATGAATTAAGTCACCACCATTATTAGCTAATGCCGAGTCAGTCGTTCGGCCGACCTGCTGACGGTAATTTGGGGACTGAAGTTGAGTCAAGATCCGGCGCCAGGTTCATTGCTTAAAGGGGCAGGTGATATTAGAGGCTGCTATTATAATGGAGACTGACCGCCGATCGGCCCCAAATGGAACGGACGCGACGTTACTGCCCGTCACTATCGCCATATGCCACCAAGGAAATTGGAGTCCCGTCATGTATTGCCGCTCGGTGAAAATGCTACCGATCCATGATACACCACTCATGATAAGCCATTTATATCGTCTTGAGAACAGTGCTTGGATCAGAACAGTTCCCAAGATGTGGACCCGATCACCACGACCACTTCTACGCCACAAGCACCACCACAATGGCGCGCTTGGGATACTTGGTTCTGGCGTCCCTGGCGTCTCTTCTGAGCCTGGCTCCCTCTGTCCAGGCTCAAGGTGACAACCTGGGTCTCGGCAATGGCTATACCACCCTCAAGACTCAGAACTTCGATCTCCAGCTCGTTCGTGATGCGCAAGTGTTGGCCTCTTTGAAAGCGTCTGGAGGGACATTCGATTTCCTCCCTTTCGGCTATCTACCCTTCCGCGCTGGCAACGGTCAGTACCACTGGGGAGACGTCACCTTCCGGTACAGGGCCGTCGGCAGCACGGCCTGGATTAACGGCAATTCTGCGACCGCTCGACAGCCGGTGAAAGCCCTGTCGGGAGCTGGGAATGGCACGAGCGGGACAAGGCTGGCGGCGTCGAACTTAGCACCGACGCTCCCAACAAACACCGCAGCTCTGAACTTCACCCGGGAGTGGCTTGATGTTGACGGTGACCTGGGCCTGTCCTTCACCGTGACCAATGTCGGGAGCAGTTCCATTGAGATTGGCAGTCTAGGCTTTCCGGCCGAATTCAACAGCATCTTCACGAACCGCTCCGCGTCAGAGACTCAACAGCTGTGCTCGCTGTCTGACCCTTACATTGGCTTGCACGGAGGGTATATCCGTGTTGCTCCCATAAACGGCAATGGAGCGGCCTTGGTAGTGACTCCACTGGGCGACACCCCGCTGGAGGCTTATCGCAACCTGGCCGAGACGTACTATGATGCCACAGCCTACGGGAGTCAAGTCTTCGAGGGATTCTACGAGTGGCAGACCGTATCCAAGGCCTACGCAGAAAATGAGTGGAAAGGCAGCGTCCCTTGGAATACGCCCAACTCGCGGACCATTGCGGCGGGAAGCTCTTTAACATTCGGCCTTAGGTTCTCACTTGCCAAAGGTGGCATCAAGGAGATCGACGATGCGGTTCAGGCTACGAAGACGCCGTACGTACGTGGAGTTCCTGGCTTCATCGTGCCCCAGGACCTGACGGCGCAGCTTGTCGTGAACCCTGGCTCAGGCGGTAGTGTGTCCAAGCTGGCCGTTGAGCCTTCTGGGGCCCTTACTGTGACCCAGGCATCGTCTGGCGTCTACAATGTGGTGCCTTCGTCCACTGCATTCGGCCGCGTGAAGCTCACGATCACCTATACCAACGGGCAGCTCCAGACTGTGCATTACTACATCACCAAGTCTGGGCCAACTGCCCTTGCGAACCTGGGCAATTTCCTGACCACAGAGCAATACTACACTGACACGAGCGACCCCTTTGGACGAGCGCCGTCTGTCATTAGCTACGACTACAGCGTGAAGGCTAAGGTTCTCCAGGACTCCCGCGTGTGGATTGCAGGTTTATCTGACGAGGCGGGCGCCGGGTCGTTCCTCGCAGCCGCAATGAAGCAGGCCGCCCAGCCCAACGCCCAGGAGATCGCGAAACTCGAGGCTTTTGTGGACGGTGTCTTGTTCAAGACGATCCAGCCCAACGACGGGACGTTCAACGTCCGCAAGAGCATCTTCTACTACGGCCTTTCCGGTTACCAGTACTCGACGGCCTTCGACTGGACCAGCTGGACGTCCTGGAACAAGGCGAACGCCTATGCTACCGACCGGGCATACGACTATGTCCACGTAGCAGCCACCTACTGGGCTATGTACCGCGCCGGGAGGGCCTATCCCGGGACTCTGGTCAAGCACCCGTGGGACTGGTACCTCAACCAGAGCTACAGCACCGTGATGTCCGCCACGGCCCAGGACTCGAGGGGAAATTGGCTGGTGGGATACTCCACGGTCGGACTCATGGGCGAGACGGTGTTTGGAGAGCTTCTTCGGGATCTGAAGCGCGAGGGCTTCACCGCCAAGGCCACCGACATCGAGGGCAAGATGAAGTCGCGCGCTACCCTGTGGAACTCGCAGGAGGATCCCTTCGGATCTGAGATGGCTTGGGACTCGACTGGCCAGGAGGGAGTGTACTACTGGTCGAAGTACTTCGGGTACACAGCCACAGCAGCGAAGACGCTGGGGACTGTTCTGGGCTTCCAACCGACGGTCGCGCACTGGGGCTGGAATGGAAACGCGAGACGGTACTGGGACAACATGTAAGTCGATGCGCAGCAGTCATGCATCAAAGACCCCTCCAGATCTAGCTCCTGGCTGACCTCCAAAATAGCTACGGCGGCAAGCTCCAGCGCATCGAGCGGCAGATCCACCACTACGGCTCTGGCCTGAATGCCCTGGTCGCGCTCTCCGCGTTCCGCAGCGCCCCGAATGACACCTACCTCCTCCGTATCGGCTACGGCGGCATGAGTGGCCCGCTATCTAATATCAACAGCGAAGGCTTCGCAGCCGCCTCATTCCATTCCTTCCCAGACACGCTTGCCTGGGACGGCTACAGCGGCGACTACGGCCCCAACTTCCTGGGTCTGGTTCTCGGAACGGGATCCTACCTGGTCGAGGACGAGGACCTGGGCTTCGTGGCATACGGAGGCACTGTCAGCGGCAGCACGGGAGGCACTGTCAGCGGCAGCACGGGAGGCACAGTCACGGTGGCGCCCAAGGATGCCGCTCGGCGCAGGGCCTTCGTCGGCCCCATTGGGCTTCTGGTGGAGATCGATGCGGGCGTCATCAGTCAGTTTGCGTATACGGCAAGCGACGGATCTGTGTCTGTCACGCTGGGTAAGCTGGACGGGGCGCCGGCGGTCAACTCGACCAACATTTGGGTTAGCAAGGAGTCTGGGCAGGCTGGCTACACAGTCACTGGCACTGGCATCACTGCAGCAAGGGGCGGTTGGCAGGTTCCTCTGAATTCGGGCTCTGTTACCGTGAAAGTTGTACCTTCGTAATCCTTGCGTAGCGGAGACTGAAGTCAAATCCAATCCACAATTGCCCATTCCTTCAGGCCGCAAGATCAAGAGTGACAAATCCTCTGCTTGTGCTCCTCCTTCACTTAGTCCGCAGCACCCTCGCAACTCGGTCCTTGAGATTGACCTTGGCCCTCTGCAGCGCCGCGGCCCCCATCCTCCCACAATGAGCGCAAGTCAGGCTCTCGCATGGCTGGAGTGTGTGAATTTTCTCCTCCTTCCTGACAATCTTTGCCTTACACTCGCCGATGCTCTCAACCAGCAGGTTTCGAGCCCGAACCACCCCTGCCCAGCTCTTGTACTTGCCAGGCAGTAGCCGCTGGATCTTGGCTTGGTCCTCGATCGAGGACCTCATCTTCTCCTCAGCCCGCTTAGCCACGTTCTTGTTGCTGCTGATGGTGGCGAACCAAAGCTCGGTCTTGGCTCGGTCGAAGGCGCGCGTGAGTTGTGCATATTCCTTGGTCATGGCTCTGAAATCGGCGCGCACGACGCGCGATGCGCGGTTGATGTCTGATAGTCCGTTCTTGAGTGTGGCTAGCTGGATTCGTAGCTGATTGAGCTCCCTCTTGAGGGTTTGTAGGTGAGTATCGGGAGGAGGCATGTTCACAGCTGTTCAGAAGTCGTCGCTGCTCGCTGCTCGCTGCTCGCTGCTTTCAACGGAAGTACATGTTTTGTCCAGGTACAATGAAGCAGGTGGGATGTTGTCAGGTCTCGTACTAGGACTGACGTCGATGAAGGGAAGAAGCGAAGGGCAAGTGACTGCGTTTGTAAAGACGAGCACAGAAAGACCGGACGGGACCAAAAGCTGTGAGTGAATGGGACGAAAGTCAGCTACGAAGTCAAATGCACAAAACGGCTTCCATGGCTATTGTTGCATGGACGAAACTTCTAGATCAAAGCTTGTTAGCTTCAAGTAAAATGTCGTTGCTATCTTTTGCTTTGCTGAACCAAGAAGTCGTTTTCCACATTCATTGTCTATGATTGTCTGTGTAGCAACGAGATGTCAACTATTCGAATCGTCTACACATTTTACCATGGAACCTTCGTCTCCGCTGAGGGAGGAAGCGGCCTCTTCAACATTGCGTTCAAGGTCACCACGATGAGGATCTGGAGGGTGAATTTGTAAGCTTTTGAACATCTTCTACACAAGGTATGATCTGTACGACAAACCGCCAAGGTATGCAGTGCTTGATCATGCAGTAAAATGGTAGATCCAGGGGCTTGTATGCTTCAGGATGTAGAAGGTGTTGTGGGTGATGATGGTTGTGAATGATCCACTCGAGGGGCCGAAGGGACTGTGATTTTCAGGAAGATCCAAGGAGTAGGTACACATGTGACCGTGGTCAACAATCAGCTCGAGTTGAGGTTATCTCCGAGATGTCGACTGCAGCATGTGTGCGCAAGGAGTGGAGCTCGGCAATGGTTGAGTAGAGATTGCATACAGAGATGATGTTTAGGAGATCCCGAGGAGAAGAACGGGCGTGTTGTTCGGCTGGGTATGGTCAACATCCGAGGCAAAAGAGATGCCGAGATATGTTTGTGCCAAAAAAGGCAAAAAGAAAAGGGAAGACAAGCAGACAGGGTTGTGTCAACAATGATGGTGAGATGCCAAGGGCAGCTTGCCCGGATGAAGCTGGAAGTGTGAGGCACACAAATAGGATCGTGGGGTTTGGGACATCAAGGCTTTGAAGATTGGGTTGTTTGAAGCACCTTGACCCATACAGGAAAAGTGTGTGAGCCCATTTGTCTGGGTCGACCACATTAGGACGACGCTCTGGTCTTCGCCGTGTCAACACATGCGTGCGCCGGCGAACGGGCGGTGTTTATGATATGCCCCAGCTGCATCTGATAGTCGAGCCAAACCGATAGTATCACATAGCTTGCTCTTTTCTGCAATAACCCGTAGCCGAGTGTTCTGTAGCTTACTATTCCTCATTGCGAACAGGGCCAGATACTGGCATAAGACCTTCTCGGTCAGCTAAAACAAGCAGTTCCAGGCGTCTGTCAATACCTCCAGCCTTCTCCATAAGAGAGACTTTCTGTCTTTTGCTCTTGAGGAGCCATGTTTGACATCTTCTGTAACAAATCTCTCTTCTTAAGGATTCATTGCCTCCATGATGTTGCTGACGGGACGAAGCTTCATCTCAAGCTCGTGCAAGCGCTGCTCCGCGCGAATGATGTTGAGCTCAATCATGGCAATCCTCTTCTGAATCTCATCAATGATCAATTTCAGAGCCATAGCCTTCTGGTCTAGCTCTCGAATACAGACGGAAAGCTCGATTCGCAAGTTCTTCTTGACCAGCTCGAGTCCCATAGCGGTGCTGACGTCTCGTAGAGCGTAGGCGTCCTCGACAAGCTTAGTCTGACGCGAGTAGTTTCCCTGGAGCTCTTCGCCTTTGTTCTTGAGTTCCTTATGATCGTTGATGAAGTCCTTGAGGTCTAGCTCGGCTGTGTCGAGGTTGAGACGGAGGCGGGCATGGACGCGATACTGCTCAGTACGCTCTGCCTTGATCTCCTCCTCGTTGAACCGGACGAGTCCTCCCATGTCGATTCCCACTGTTCCCAAACATGTTAGACACGAGGGAGTCTGGGAACCATTGAGAATATGACCCGTTTAGGGGAATCACTCACTGTCCACCTGATCGAGGAATCGGTCGAACTGACCAGGTCGATAGCCTGCACCAAACGCGTACACAGAAGAGGGAGCGCGTGGAGGCATTGCGATTGGTTTGAAAAGCTCAAGCACAGAGAATTCGGTTCAAATTGGTGTTGCAGCCTACTCAACAGTAAATGTCAGACGCGCCCGGAGGAGGGCGATCACAAACATACCCAGGTGGTGCTGCTTTGGTGTTTCCCAGGGAGCTTGATTTGACGCGTAATATGAGAAGAGCTGCCACTGAAATTAGTGCAATGATTCCCTGACATAGCTATTTTCTGGTTTCTCACAGCAATCTTGTCCAAGACAATGAGGTGCAGCTGGGCTGTGGTAGGCAGAGCAAGCTGCTTGCCTCAGAAAAAGCCCTAGCGCAACAACAAATTGATAGAAAAGCTCAGGAAAGGGACATATTAGCCCTAAAAACACAGTAAACAACGAGACTACAATGTCAAGGGCTTTCATTCGAGGAGCAGTTGCATCCTGAGGTTTAGGAAATAACTCACCTTGGAAGCGGCCAGGTTTGAAATGTGTTTTCAATCCTGACAAGAGACATGGATCTCCAGAAGACCACCCAAGCTCACAAGCAGGATAGTCTTTTGTTCCATGAGGTGGTTACCAAGGGAAATTCCTTTCATACTTCGCCGTGAATTCATGGGAACCATTTAAGATAAGGCAGTGCTGACTTGTGGATTGCCTAGAGATTTCTGTATCGGCAGATTTGTGGATGATCTTCTCATAGTTGAGCAGCTATAAAGAGCTTGTCCGTTCTTTTCATCAGGTTAAAAATGTCTCTTGTGCCTTGCTCAGGTGCAGTGCTTGAGCTCGTCAATAACAAATACTTACCTGTTTATGTTAGCATTCATTTTTATGCCCCAAAGATGTTCCAAAATGATGAGTGTATTGTGTGTTCTCAATGTATTACAGTACAAGTCCCCGGGGTCTGGCCCTGCCGAGAATATAGGCCGCGTCCTCTTTGAGACGCCCCATGACTTTTGAATATTGGCTTACCAGCTCTTCAGACGCTTTGGAACAATGATAATCAAATTCGGGTCAACTTCAAGTGCAGTGTTGATCGCCCACGCTGTAAGTCTCAATGCTTGAATGGTCAATCTCAAACTGGCCGTCACTAACCCATGAAGCCAAACTGGTCGGTCACCGAATCCCATGAGACATTCAGGATGAGCTCCTGTTGCTCCTCCTTGTGTTTGATCTCCAAGAGATGTCTCGCTATTGCCAACTCGTCCTTCTTCAGCTGTTCTTTTTGTTTCTCGATGGAATCTATGGCCTTGAGGATCTCGACTCCTACTTCTAAGGTTTTTCGGCGAATTTGGCGGTCTTTCTGCAGCACCTGAACAAGAGTTGAAAAAGCCGTCAACAAGTGCCAGGTCTTGCCTTTTGGATCGCAGGCAGAGGCAGCCGCTTCGACCACGCTCTTTTGGCTGGAGATCACTTCCATGTCATGCTCGTAGAGAGCTTCACGAGCTTTCAGTTGCGCCAAAGTGCTGTCTTGACCCTTGAAATAGTCAATCTGAAGCTTGATTCCGTTGTCTTCTTGTGTGGATTGCTTGAAGGCTTCGTGAAGATTGACGAATGCCCTCATTGTGGTGCGATGAAGGTTCTCCATATCATCCTGTTTGTTGAAAGACATGATAGGCAGTGATCTGTTGGGGACAAAAATGATGGTGATGCTGTGGTATTGCTTGATGTTTCTGTTTGTAAGAAAGAAGAGAAGAACCTCCCGGGCTTGGAAAGGTTTGTCAGGATGTTGGCTACGCCCAAAGAATTTGTTTTGCACAGCCAACAGAAGGCGTGGTCGTCAAAGGCTCGTGACGTTGACAGTTCCCCATCGATGCTTCCGGATATATATTCCCGGCTAGCTCCTGCCCACGAGGAACGCAAGACGTGATGGTAAACACGCATGAATGTGGGCTTGGAAATCCCAGAAGGACTCTGGGAGTTGAAAACCATTTTACAGACGTATATGGGCTGTAAAGGACCCAATAGCTCGTGTACAGGTAGGCTTACGCCCTGTTGCTTGGATGAGTGCGACACTTGGATTCTAGCTATTCTCGAGAACAACCAACCATTCAAGAGAAGTATCGATATGCAGGGGAACGACCTTGCAGTCCCAGGGCCGATACAGAAGGATGCGGCTTATTGAACCGGACCGAATATATCATTACTTTATGCCGTCTATGCCTGGAACACAAGCACAATACCATCATCACCTGCCGTGATGACCCTCTTACCATCAACACCCTGCACGAAACCCAACACGCCGCCACCCTCGCCATCTCCTCGATGACCCTTCCACTCCTTCTCCAGACCCGCGACTGTTGCATTAGGCGCATGTTGTGTTGGGTTCGCGCCTTGCAGGTTCCACCTTCTCACAACACCATCCATACCACAACTTGTCAGCAGCCACTGCTGTTGTGCTGCCGCTGGCCCCGTTGCCTGTGCTTGTTTTACCCATTCTACCTTGACGACGCTGAACTCGTCGTGCGCGCCCTGGATATTCCGGCGCACAGAGAATGTCCGGCTTGGGTCGTAGACCGTTATACTGCCGTCCACTGAGCCTGCAGCCAGCAGCGGTACTGATGCAGAAGCCGGAGCGAACGCCAGCGACTCGATGCCGTCGGACTGTACCTGTAATGCCGCCAGGATCTGACCTGCCTGTGCCTCACTACCAGCTCCTCGGGTTGCTCCTGCCTTGGTGCCCTTGGCTTTCCCTGCTTTTGAACCTGCTTGTGGTGTGGCCCCTGCCGTCTGCTCCGTGAGCCTTGGCAGACCAACGATTCTGATCGCTCCTCCCGCTCCACCAACAGCAAGGTATCCTCCTCTCGGCTCAATCGCGACGGAGAAGAGACCTCCCTCCACGGCGAATCTCTGGTCCGCGGGTGTGAGCGACACGACGGTCTGACCGTTGTCACCGACATGGCCCTTCGCAGCTGCGAGTCCCCAAACGTCCCACACATAGAGAGCGCTCTCCTCGTCGACTGTGGCAAGAAGGCTTCCGTCGGGTGTCCATGCGCCGGCCGTGCAGCTCGAGGTGTGTAGGAAGAAGGTCTGGACAATCTGGAGAGGGTTCGAGGCATCCGAGGGATCAATCGTGTACACCCAGACAGAACCGTCCGAAGCTCCCAAGGCGATAGAGTTGGGATAGTCGGTGCTCGGGCATGGTGCCAACCAGTTTATCTCGGGTACTTCCTGACTCTCGCCGACGAAGGTGAAGCTCGGTTTTGACGCATCAACCTTGTATGCCTTCAGCCGTCCGTCCAGGCCACCTGACACCAGGAATTCTCCATTCGGTAATGAGAAAGCCAGGGAGTTGATCGAGTCTGTGTGCCCATCGATCGCAAAGACAGGTTGGATCTGGACGTTCTCCCTCTGGCTGGCCATCTCCCTCGCCGCGGCCTGCGGGTCGGCGGCGAAGCTTGGTGGCAGCACAGGCCCATCGTTCGGCGCAATCTCGGGGACTACAAACACATATCCCTTGCCTGGAGCATCATCGGAATCTCCCTCGCTGCCACCAGTGGCTATGATATTGGGGTTCGTGGGATGTTGGGCGATGGTGAAGACGGAGTCTTTGTGGGAGTCGAAGTATGCGACTGAGTCGTTCACAAGCTGGAGCTCTTCTCCCTCGTCATCGTCGGGCTCGGACATGTCGATGTCCCCATCCTCGTTCTCTGCTGCTATCTCCTCGGCGACCTCCTCCATGTCAACGACATCAGGCTCATCGTCAGAGGCGGGGTCGTGGTGGGGGTTCGAAGACATTGTGGCGGCGATTCTGGCTGGAATATGTCGTTTTTTGGCTCTGAAAATGGGGCAATACGAGGAGCAGACTGCTCTAGCCGTACAGACGTAGGCCTCAAAATATATGTCGAACAGGCTGGGAGGATTCACGGATTGTTGCCCCCGGTGGTAGGTTGATTTCTAAATTTTTGCTTGATAAGCAACAGGAATGGCGGGGCAAAAATAATCTAGAGCTGGGATCGCCGCTTGCTATCGATAAGCTTCCAAGGTCCCAACTGTGACGATGACAGCTCCAGGGGTCCACTCCAGGGGATCTGGGGGTCCAGCTCTGGTGGTGTGGGTCTGCTTCCGGTGTTACCTACACAACAGTCACTTCCGCAGTTCAAGTACTTTACTTCTCGAAATGGCATGTTAACAGCTGACTGACAGATCAAATTCTAAGTTGTTGTGGCTCACAAGAATTTCCTACTGCGTCGCTCATAGCTGCAGCGGCTCCCTTTTCAAGTACCCCTCGAACTCAGTTGGCGCCCCCTTCGCAGCCTGTGCCGCCTCCTTGACGAGCTGCTCAGTTTCTGGCCCATAGTACCCAAACTCCTCAAAGTAGGAAAGCATATTCAGCAAAGTTGGCCGGCTGGCTTCAGGCAGGAATCCCGCGAACACATCTTTTGGAATCTGGGCGTACGTGATCTTCTTGCCGCTAGACCGAGCCATGATCTCTGCCATCTCCGTCATGGTGTAGCAGCGTGTGGAACAGGCCAGTGCTTTGCCAGCGTACTTGTCCGGCTCAGCGAGGATGGACCCCACAAACTTGCCCGTGTCCCCAGCAATGTCAATCAGAGGAAACTTTGTCTCTGGTGATACAAAGCCCCAAAATGTGGGATTGCCGTCTAGCCCTGGACGCGGGGCCATGTTTGTGTGGAAGTTTTGCATGAAGGCTTTCATCAAGTCGTTAGTAGTGGTACTTGATTTTTCAGGCGCGAGATCGACCTACATCCAGGCAGGAAGAATGCCGACTTGATAGGGAGGCTAGAGATATATTCCCTGACTTGGTCCTTGACGTCGAAGGAGTCCACAGGATACTTGCCGCCCGAGATCTTCTTGGGACTTGGTACCGAACTGTATACCAGAAACTTGACCCCTGCTGCCAATGCCTCGTACGCGATGCCCTTGCCCTGCGCGAGCTCCTGCTCCATCCCGCCAGGCTTGTGCAGTGACACTGTCATGGCGAAGACAGTGTGCGCGCCCTGTAAGACAGCTTTCACAGATGCCGGATCGTCCGTGTCGCACCGGGCGACCTCAACGCCTCTCTTTACGAGGGCTTGAGCATCAGGTTTCAGAGGATCGCGGGTCAGCCCGCGGACCTTGTATGCCTTTGATAATTCGGCATCCTCGAGGACTTTGGAAATCACAGAGCTGCCCTGCTGGCCTGTGGCCCCGAAGACTACGAGCAAGTTCGTCATGGTGAGGCGCGCTGGGGGGGGGGGGGGTCAATCTGATCGACTTACACTCCGTAACTTCACTATCGCGGTGCTAGGAGGCGGTCAGACAGACTACTTATATCGGAGCAGCAAGAGAACTAGGCCCGTTCATTGACCCAAGTGCTGCTGTCGGGAACCCCTCTCTAGGAATTTGCGGCGTCCGGAGCCCGAAGACTAACATACCTAGATATGCATCATTGATAATGAGACTAGTGTAGCCCGGTATACACCTGGATTAGCAACCCGGAAGGCAAAGAAGTGGATGCGGCTTAGATCCCGAATCTAAGGCAAGCTCAACCCCACTCGTACTTCTAACTTTAAATGCCAGTGACTTGGACCGAGCGTTTGAGTTGCTGTTTAAGTGTTACGTCTAAATGTGCGGTGTTGCTACTCCAAGTCTTCGAGGACGACAGCCATTCTCTCCCCTCACTCTTTGGTTCCGGGGGTGGGGGGTGGTTTTCAAGGCAACCCTGCTCCATTTCGGCCACGCTCCCACCAGAGTTGCTCGAGAATGGCCGCGAATGAGTTGAATCTTGCTGGAGGCACGTGTTGGCTAGAAGTCTATATATATTCAATAACAGCTCCGTCCTCAAGCAGGAAAAAGGTCCCCCGCCTCTGCCCAAAGTCCAAACCTACTCGGACAAGTGACTATACATCAAACCGGCCAATAGCGCAGAATGAATGAAACGCCTAGTAAATGCATGCAGTCGCCGGCCAGTCTCATGTCCGTATCCCCATATCCTCACAAAACCACAGATACAACGCCCAGCCACTCTCCCTTCAGCTCAAAGCGGCTATGCTCTTAAGGCCCAAACAAGTCTGATTCTGCCTCATCGTACCGCTTATACTTTCCATCAAACTGGTACGATCCCTCTTCTAGGCCAGCAAGCGCCGGGTTCCTCTTACCAAACAGCCACGATTTCTCCTTCTCGCTGCCCTTCTTCAAGAAGACCCAGCTCCTCAGACCTGCCCTGGGCAGCTCGTAGAACTTGCGCCGGCGTTCCTCCTTCTTCGCCTCCTCTCCCGTAGCAGACAGCCACACGATGCCGCCTAGCCTCGCAGTGACGACGCCACTAAGAAGCCCGATGAAGAGCCACGGGTACTGCAGAGCCTCGACCTCGAAAGCACTGATGGTCTCGTGGGCGACCTTGACGTAGCTTGTGTCCCCGAGGACGAAGCCGAGCCGGAACAGGTTGGACGTGGACACCGCGTTTGTGGATGGTTGTGCGGTATCCATGCCGTCCTTGAGGCGGAGGATGACTTGTGCTGCCTCGTCTGCCGTGGAGTAGAACCCGCCACAGGCGGAGTGATGCGCCATCGGCGTAACTGGGCGTGATGTGCTGGGGACCGTCGGGTCGTAGAAGAGCTCAATTTGTCGTTCTGTGAGAGAAGAGTCAGCAATGGAGGTTAGGTTGTGGGAGAGGAATACTTACTCTGCAGATTATCGGCCCATTCAAGCCAGTTCTCCTCACCTGTCGCTTCATACAGGTCAAGCAGGGCTTCGATGAGGAAAGCGTAATCCTCGGCATATCCTTTAGCTGAACTTCGGCTGTCAAAGTAAGACCTGTAAAGCAGCTTCGCCTGCGCATCCCACGCTCGCGTCTCGATGAACTTGGCCGCCGACCTGGCTGCAGTCAAGTATTTCTTGGCTTTTTCTGGATCAACGGTTTCGATAGCCGAGCTCGTCCTCGCCAATGCCGAGATCACCATAGCATTCGTGCTGGTCACCGCTTTTGTGTCGGTTTCCGGCCTCACACGATCTGCCTCACGGCGCGCCCTTAACCTGGACCGCGCAGTTTCTATCCACTCCTGAGCCTCTGAAGAAGAGGTCCCAAATTGTTTCCAAAGCTCTTCAGCACCCTTCACCGTGTGCAAGACATTCTGGTTCAGAAATTCGTCATTTGGATCTTGCTCCCGCTCCACATTGCCATGGCTTAGGACATTCCAGTGCGCCGCGGCTAGAGCGCCCACCGTGGGAGAGTCCTTGAACACCTCGTCAAATTCCCTTCGGGTCCACAGGTAGTAAGCGCCTTCGCGCATCTGGGTGTCGCCTTTCTTGTAGTACGAATCTGCTGCTTCACTGCTGGCAAATCCACCGTCAGGCCGTTGTATGGGCGGCGAGGTCAGGTACTCTGCCAACTCAAAGACCACATTGGCGAACTCGTCATCTTTCTTGAGTCCTTTCGCCGTTGATAGCCAAGCATCCAGATACAAGCCAAGCAGCAACGCGTTGTCCGAGACCATTTTCTCAAAATGTGGCACTGACCAGTTCGTCGTCACAGCATACCGGTGAAATCCTCCACCCACGTGGTCGCGCAGCCCACTGTCCCGGATCTTCCGCAGAGTGTGCAGCGCCATGTGCTTCGCCTGCGCAACCTCTTTCTCCCCCACCACATCTGCCACGACACTGGGGAAATTCGCGAGTTTCAGCAGGAAAGAAAGCTTCGCCGGGGTGGGGAACTTTGGCGCCATCCCAAAGCCACCGTTAACAGGGTCGAAGGTGCCAGCGATGTGCATGTATGCCTCCTCCAGCTGGTCCAAGTCAAGGTCGGAGTCCCCTGCCATCGGCGTACCGGACGTATCAGTCGGAACGGCGGCGCTCGATGCCCCGACTGTCCCGGAAGTCGATATTCCGCGCGTGCCGAGAGTTCCCTCGGCAGCAAATTCGCGCAATTTGGACACGATCTCCTTGGCTTCTTGCCGGCATCGGGCCTCATGTTGCGGCCAGACCTCTTTCATCTTTTGCAGGATCACCAGGAAATCGATGCGTTCGTCCTCAGCTACCTCCTCGCCATCAGGGCCGATGAGTTCAGTGCCGGGCGAGGGCCAATACGTGCCACCAAAGACAGGCTCCAGCTCAGGAGTCAGAAAGACGTTCAGGGGCCATCCACCCGCGCCGTTGATTGCTTGTATGTAGTTCATGTAGATATTGTCAATGTCCGGGCGCTCCTCACGGTCGACAATAATTGGGACAAAGGAGTTGTTGAGGAGCTTGGCGATCTCAGGGTGAGAGAAGGACTCTCGGGTAGTCAGGCGACAATCTGAGTGGATTCTAGATTAGTAACGTTGCCCCGGGACCATGGCCTGGTGTTGGTGATGGAAGGCTTACAATGGCATGACTTGAACCCGATGTTCATGAAGATCAGCTTGTTCTCCTTCTTTGCTCTCTGTACGGCGTCGTCATCCAGAAGCTGCCATGCGACGGGAGTAGAGGCATGTGATTGCACATAGGGGCTGGTGCTGTTGCCTGCGCGGTTCTGGAGAGGAGGAAGGTCGGACACGGAAGCCTTGGAAAATTGTGCCGATAGTTCAGCGTCCCTCGACGTGACCGAAGGCTGCTGCTTTAGCTGCGGCTTCATGGTGCTGTGCTATCGCGGAGACTCTCGCTTCGGAGGGGGGTTGCTGCTGTTGGGCGTGATCAGGCGCAAGCGGGTGTAAACGGTCGTGCGCGAGGTGACAGAGAGGGGTAGGCAAGGCCGTGATCGAGTGCGCTTGTCCGCAGAAGAACAGTACGAGAGAGCGTGGTGGCGGCGCAAGACTGTTAGCAGCAGTCAAAGTAAACGGTCCCTTGCAGTGAGACTCAGGGGAGTGGAAAGTTTGACGAGGGTCACGATGCCTGCAAAATATAGTAGTCTTGGACATCGAAGGCAAGTTCAGGCAGGCCCCGCCCCCACCATACCTGGGCCTGCACTTCTCCAGACCGCCAAGCCCCTGTCCTAACGTCATTGTTCGCTGCGGAAGCGCCTGGCCGCGATCCACATGCCAAACATGCTAGCAGGCCAAGCACACAGCACACCCTCTGAAGTTGCATGGATGCTCGCTCAATCCACGCTTTTTACGGCCATATCTCGTAGAGAGTATGCCTATTTGCTTCTGAAAAGATTCTGGGGTTCCTAAATGTTGTGAAGCGGCCTTTCCCCCTTGCAGCGATCTGCTCAACCCCAAGGTTCTGCAGGCCGTCATTTCTCATCCTTGGGGCTTCGCGTCTTTTCGGCTCCCTGCTGTCTTGAAAAGCGTCTCACTCGACTCGACCCAAGCAGAACTACAGGACAATATATCGTCATGTCAATCCTCTCATGTTACATCAATGACCTCAACTTGACGATCACAATAGTCCGCGGCAGTAGCTCCGGCGACGGTTCGACCGTTTTGTTGGATTGCGAATTCAAACACAGTGCACTTCTGAGAAGCCTCTCTGGAAGCAATCCAGACTTCGCCACGTCTTCTGGTTTGCTGTCCTACTCGTGACCACAAGTATCACAATTTTGAGTCTGTCAGCACCGAAGATCAACCGGAATCCCTTTCATATAATACAAACTCGTGCCATACTCACTGTCAGGTTGCTGTGAAGATGCGAAAGAACGGTGTTTCTTCTGTCAAAAGTGACAGAAGGCACCGCAATGATGCTTTAGAGTTTCATTAATCATGATACTTTTCATTTCATAGGTCTTTGATAAACAGCTTAGCCGGTTTAATTGAGTGCAGAATCTTGGAACTGAACAGCCTGTGACCGGTAACCAACTTGCCACCTGAAATCAATACCACTCGGATAACCATCCAGCATTCTTCCGGAGTCACAGAGCGCCCTCACAGGATACACGCAAGGAAGCAACTAGTCCACCCATTCTTTTTCCTTGCCTCAACCATTGCAGCTCACGATGAGCTCGATGAGTGGCACCCGGGGCACAGCTTCGCAATAAGTCCAGAGTTACACAGCTGGGTCGTATACCAGTACCGCACGCTCAAGGCCAAGCCAAGAATCACAAGCAGCCGGTAGAAGGCCAATTGCCGGCAGAGGAAGAATTGAATGACGAAGCTGGCGATGACCACGAGAGACAGCATCATGATGATGCCGAGGGTCGTGGACTTGGGACCCAAGTTGGGCAACGAGATGAACATAGGAAACATCAGCGAGTCGAAGAAGGCACAGCTGACGATGGAGGCCATGCCGCGGACGTAGTCCGAAGACGGCTCGCTCGGGCTGCGGGTGACGACGATGAGGGACGTCCCGGAGTCGCGCACCTCCATGATTCCCCCGCTGGAAGGACCACAGCGGCTGTAGCCCAAAAGCCTTTCCACAATGTCCTTTTTCTGGTGGCATCGGGAGTCGAGGTGGATGCAGCCGAAGACGCAGTCGCCGAGTGGCTGGTTGAGGGCCTTGGAGCTCTGGAATGCGTCCCAACTTGTTTCGAACACGTTGAAGTCGACCCGGCGGGTTGTCTGTGGGGAGCAATATGCCCAGATGAGGACTTTGACGAAGAAGCGCAAAGGAAACAGGAGGTACGAGCAGATGGTCGACTAGACCGATGAAGGTCTCTCCGCTACTGCGGCTGGCATTGTGCCGTGAAGTCCGGGGGAACTCTGGGGCCGATCGGTGTGGGTTTTATTGCCTATGTTATATATTCTAGGGAGTTTCGTGGAGCCAGCAGTGTCGTATCCGTGCTTGGAGAGGTGGCCGATGAGATGACCGGAAGGGTGGCACGGGGAGATGACGAGCGTACTGGGACGATGCTTGATAAAGCTAACGAGAGTTGTGACTATTGCACATATAGGAGAGATGCGGATGTTGTTTTGGATCTGATGAGAACGCCAAGATCGTGGGCTGGGAGACCATCGCATTCTCCACTGTCGTCCTTGCCTGGCATGTACGATCAGATGTGGGGAGGAGCGACTTCGTGAGCCGTGGTCTGGAGGACAGCTGCAGCAAAGGACAGGGAAATTGCGATATCACATGACGTCTGATCCACGACAGAGCCTCTGTTAGGAGACGATTTGAGGAAGTTTCAGTTTAAAATAGTCACAAGTAAGCACTTCAGGAAGAGGATAGGAAACATGTAAGAATAGTTTCGAGAACAAAGGAGAGCCCCAAAACGAGCGTATATTACCGGAATTCAGTCGTGCAAGCACGTACGTTCAAAACACTGTGAACGTGTTAAATCCAGGAAGCCTTATGGGGCTCAAACTATGCTCAGAGGGCATGGGTGCATCCATTTTCCTCTGTTCTAGAGGTTATGAGCCCGGGTTGAGCTCGTCCTTTGGGCGTTTATGCAGCTACCCGCCTGTGATGAGACATCCTCCAGTTCGATCCCGGATGGTGTTCATTTGAGCGAACGTTTGATAGCAGAGCCGCTTACAGGGGAAGAGCAATTAACTTCCTGGCTTCTGTTGTTCAGCTCGACACTGGGAGTGACGATCTAGGGGGGCTGTTAAATCCAGGAAGCCTTATGGGGCTCAAACTATGCTCAGAGGGCATGGGTGCATCCATTTTCCTCTGTTCTAGAGAACGCCTACGACCACCAGCCTGTGACTTGCACCAGGCGCCGCCCAGAAGCAGTGGGCACGGAAACCTACCAATACTTACCTCGACCAACAAATTGTAACATGACCAAGAATCTGCCCAGGGGTCTTAAAGCCACTCCCAGCGGCTCCCAACCCGGCCGGATGTCAACATCGCAATCTCTGCCCTTGCCTCACACGGCAAACAGAAAACGCCCTGAAGAATCTCACACGAGCACTTGCCCTCCGCAGCGTATTCATAAGACTCTGGGGAAAAGGCTGGTACCGAGTGAGACGTCACCAGGTCGGACTTGGGCGGGACCGTGCTTTCATCCAAGCAGATCTCCCTACAGCGGTTGCATGTCATATCAACGTGTCTCGCATCCACCTTGCCATGGTGGTCACAAGACGAAAGGTGCTGCGGCGTGCGAGGGGGTGCACATTGGGCCTTACCTGTCGGGCTCCTGTGGGCTCCTGGAATCCACACACTCACGCCGTGCTCGCTGGTGACCCTACGTGAACGGTGAGAGTGTCTGGAACTGGTTAGAGGAGAAGGTCTACCCTTTCTACCACAGCTGGATCTATGAGGTTCATTATCAAGAGCCTGGCTCACTGGCTGCATCGTCCTCTGCTGGGCTGTGTATCGGCAGCAGTTCTTGATGGCCAGGGGGTTGTCGATGTCGCCGAGCCCGTAGAAACCTGCGCACTCCTCGCACCATCCTGCCCTACAATCAATCTTTGCGGGTAGATTGATCCGCTTGGAATTGAAGAGATTTCGCCGACCTATATTCTGCCTGTCGACATCTATTTGCTCCAATCTGCAATGCCCACTGACACTAGACACCACCGTACGCTTATGTGAGTTGCTATTCATACTATCCCCGTGATGATGTAACCTGCACCACGGAGTGTTTAGAGCGAACGGTGTTTGTGTGTCTGTGTGGTGTGTTAGGCAGCGCCGTATTGAAGCTTCTCGGATGTTTGTTGATGCAGGTCGGGAGGGAAGATAGACTTGTAGATGGAACCTTCCGGCTTTTCAATTGAAACCTCTTCCATGGGTTGACCGAGAAAAGCGTGAGCCCTGGCCGGAGTGACTCGGCAGACAGGGAATAAACAAAGAAGGCCATCTACACAAGTTGTGATAATTCAGCTATTGTTAGACGACAACAAAGCAGGGCGGCTGGCAATAATAGAAGAGACATGTTTTGATGCGGCACGAGGGCACTGTTCCTCGCCCCCGATCGCTAGGCATTGTCCCCAAGGCAATGGGAACGTTCTTCCACAGGTTTGAAGTCACCCGGAGGGCGGCGATACAATGTTTCACGGTAAAAATGGCAATTGGAAGGACAATAGGCATTATTGACCATAGAAGCTCTCCCCACTCATAAGACAAGGCAAGTTGTGCTCTCTTTGAGATTGAAGCCAGTCTACCGGGCCAGAATTGGGTCCGCCTCAGGGCGTAACCTTGTAAACAAGAGATCCTAATAAGAAATGAGCAACGGCGTATGAGATGCTGATTTGGCTGCCTCTGAGGCCCGTTGGTAGCTAGCGCTGTGGCTGAGAAGGGAAATTTTGAGCGGGGACAAACGATAGCGGAAGAGAGTGAGGCCGAGAAATTCGAGAGGACAAGGGCACACTAAAGAGTGCTGCAACGATTAGATGAGACGTTGCGATGCTCTACTCGTCGTCCGTTGAGCAGCCTGGAATGATCATCAGGATCTCGTGAATTTCTAGACGGTGCATGATACAGTCCGCAGTTATTCACGGACGCAGCCAAGGACCACGTTGAGTTGTCGTCCTACTGCTGACATAATGATTCGATCAGTCACATCCCGTCCTGATCTGGACTCGGCACCCTTGCACGCCTTGGAGAGCTGCCCCTGACATCGATCACCCCCTGCCCTCGATCTATCTGACAGGATCCAGGAACCCGGAGAGAGGATCAGCAGCTGGAACTCAATATTGATCGTGCCCAGGTCCCAGCCAGAAGGTCCAAGACGATCACTCACCCCGCTCTCGGAGCTTTATCTGCAGTCCTCGTCGACGACAATTATCAATTCTCCGCCCCTTACTCTAGACATCCGTCCTTATCTACTATGTTGCTGACGAGAGGCAGCACGACTGCTGCAATCTTTCGCCATTGACAAGCCCGAGGAGCTTTGGAAGTGTGCTAATTAGCACCACGGTTTCGAATCACTTCTCTAGCAATCTGCTCGCGCTCCCGATGAAGGGCCGAGCACAGCTTCGCTGGTGCACTCCGCTCCTGTTCAATGCAGCCCATGACCACCAGGTTGCTAGATTGGGACAAGCCCCGCGCACAATCGTGGCACGGAACTAACTGCTAGGCAGCCAAACAGGAAATAACAATCAAAGGATTCACTCAACGAGACGCTACCGAAAGTTCTGCTCACAGATGCTCCGACTATTCGATTCTCCCCTATTGCGCTTCTGCACTTCTGACTCACCGGGGGTGCCTTGAGCATTGAACCATAATCAGTTGTCCATGAGGCTAACGAGGTTGCAGGAGAGATCCCTTTTTGCCCATCAAACACCACACCAACCAATCCAGTGACGATCACTGGCCCTCCACGTTGACAGGATTCGGGGACAGCCTTATTTGAGCCTCTTCTGCCCCTGCCTGTCAAAAGTCCCCAGCGTGAATGGCAATGCAAACGGCTCCGCGGCAGCTTGGCCCGATGCAATATCCTCCGTCATGCTATGCTGAATCCTTCGGGCTCGGGTGATTGGTCCCACCTGCATGTTCACACTCGAGCCGCCGCATCTAGCCTTTGACTACATCCCTAGTGTCTGGTACCGCCAATCGTCGAATATCTCCACCCCCTTCAGCCTGGACACTATCTCGTTCTGAGCGATGCCGCTATACCTGTTCCTGGCTTGACGGCCTGTTGGTTCGTCCTCTTGCCACTCTTGCCAGGCTATACGCCACGCTCATCTCCTGAATTACGGATCTGGGCTTACTGAATGATGTCCTGCATCCCTGGCCCATGCCATCGCTGCCCAACCGTGTTGGAGCACTGACTGGGGAAATTTGCTGGCGAACGAGCTGCTGCAGGAAGATGGAGCCCAGGCTGGTGACAGTCCAGAGCTCGGTCATGCTGCTGCGCCGCAGTGAGCATCGTGCGGTTCTCAAGTCCTTGGAGGATGGGCACCTCGTCTGCTTTGGGCAAGATGAGGAAACCAATATGTAGGTAGGCACACCAAAATGGTTCGCAGTTCTCGCGTCCTTTCCCTCTCTCCCCTCTGCCTGTCCGCCTCATCGTCTTGTCAAGATCCCAAACGACGGCGAGTTCTCTCAGCCAGCAAAGGTTTCTTTGCGTCCTTTCGTTGATCACAGCGACCACACACTCTTTTCCGGCTATCGCCACTACACTCTTTCGTAACTTACCGTAATACTACCCCTAATACAAATAATGCATTTCCACGAGTCTCTTGCTGTGGCTGCTCTTGCAGCAGTGCCCGTGCTGGCGACTTCCAGCAGCGTCAACGTGTATTGGGGACAACAGGGTAACGGAGACCTGGCCACAGCTTGTCAGGATCCTTCCATTGACTACATCACTCTGGGTTTCGTCAACCTGTCTCCGGAGAATGGAGGCGCTACTGGATATCCCGGCGACAACTTTGGTGCTCACTGTTGGGCAGAAAAATACAGCGTTGACGGACAGACCTCTGAGCTGCTGACCACATGCCCTTCCCTCACGCCGGGCATCGCTGTTTGTCAAGGGCTTGGAAAGAAGGTCCTTCTCTCCATCGGTGGCGTCTACAGTGCCTACAGCAACTACACGGTTTCCACCGAAGAGAATGGAGTTGCCTTTGCCGAGTTCATCTTCGGCGCTTTCGGCCCATACACCGAAGCTTGGGCAGGCCAGCCTAGGCCTTTCGACAATGGAGACAGCCACAATGCGGTTGATGGATACGACTTCGATCTCGAGTCCTCCTCTGGTATGTGATCCCCGGAGGACTAGTGAACGGTTTGAGACCGCACGCTGACCCACTTGCAGCTGGTGATTTAGGCTACGCGGCTATGATCACAACCTTGAGAGCATTGATTACCGTATCTGGACGAGCAGACATTATCACCGCCGCTCCCCAGTGCCCGCTTAACGAATATCAAAACATGAAGTACCTACTAGACAACGTGCAGTTTGACCGACTATGGATTCAGTTCTACAACAACCCAGACTGCAGCCTCCTATTGGCCGATGGCACTCCCAACCCGGGCTTCAACTATGCTGCCTGGGAACAATACCTCGCCAGCACCCCGAGCAGTAACGCAAAACTCCACATTGGTCTCCCGGGTAGTGCAGATGCTGCCGGTAGTGGCTATGTGGATGCCTCTGTTGCTAGTACTTATCTCTGTGAATATGGAGATTACTCAATGTTCGGTGGTGTCATGGTTTGGGACCAATGGTTTGCGGCTCAGAACACCATCAACGGCGCATCTTACAATCAAGTCCTGTACGAGTCAATGAAGTGTGGATGCAAGGCGTGCCCAGTCCCCACAAGCACAATCTCGACGGTCATTTCCACGTCCGCTGCGAGCACAAGCTCATCCACGCTCCCGCCAGTCACCCTCACATCTTCCACAACCACATCGCCCGTTGCCACACCAACGTGCACTGGCTTTGTTGGTTACGACAAGGATGGCACAAACATTGGTAAGTACACAAGAAAGTGGAGTTGCTGTAAAAGAAGCTCGAGACTGACCACTTCGTGCACGATCCAGGTTTCTACGCCGACGCAGCTTCAGCAACTTACAGTGGCTGCCTCGCACTCTGTGACGCTAACGAGAACTGCTTGAGCTTCGGCGTCCTCTCCACTCCTGCGTGTGCCCTCTATTCTTACAGCGTGGAGGGCAACGATGTTGCAGACGCGAACTCTGGTAACACCTTCTACAACAAGGGTGGCGTTTGCCCGCAGCCCTCAAGCAGCAGCTCCGTTGTGACCTCAGCCACGGCGACAACTCTCCTGTCGAGCTCGAGCACTTATGTTGAGTCGTCCACAGTCTCCACAAGCTCAGACGCTAGCAGCTCCCAGACTTCGGAGACTAGCACTTACTCTGCCACAACTCTGACGACTTCAAGCGGAGAGACCGCCTCTACCTCGGATGCCTCAAGCAGCACTGAAGTTTCAGAGACCAGCACGTACTCTGCTACAACTCTGACGACTTCAAGCACAGAAACCGTCTCCACCTCAGATGCCTCAAGCAGCACTCAGGTTTCAGAGACCAGCACATACTCTGCTACAACTCTGACAACGTCAAGCGCAGAAACCGTCTCTACCTCAGACGCCACAACTCTGACAACATCAAGCGCAGAAACCGCCTCTACCTCGGATGCCTCAAGCAGCACTGAAGTTTCAGAGACCAGCACGTACTCTGCTACAACTCTGACAACGTCAAGCGCAGAGACCGCCTCTACATCAGAGGCCTCGAGCACGGAGGTGCCTCCCCTGACGTCCGAGACCGACAGTATCAGTATCAGCTCTACCACGACCTGGGGCAACACAACGTGGACCACCCAGACAACCTCCTCTGAGGCACAGACGACCCCTACCACGATTATAAGCAGCAGCAGCAGCGTTCATCTGTCGACCAGACCTCCTACATCATGGTCTAACACTACCTGGACGTCCAACGGACCGAGCTCCACGATAGAGACTGTGGACTCATCAACTGTGGACTCATCAACTAAGGATTCATCAACTGTCGTCCCGACCACCTCGACCTCCGTGGCACCTGAGCCCACTACCACAGGCAGCAACGGGCAGACGACGCAAACCTTCTACTCGACTACTGTCCTAACCGTGACCTCTTGTGCTCCAACTGTGACAGATTGCCCAGGCAAACCACATGTCACAACGTCTCTGATCCCAGTCTCTTCGACCGTCGTCTCTGTGGGTCCCACAGGCGATGATGAGACTGTCACAGCTACCGTCGTCCCAGTCACTTCTACCTCATCGGCCGCGCCTGTGACTGACGGCGAGCAACTGACCACGAGCACGGTCTACAGCACCACGATCTACACAGTCACCTCGTGTCCGCCTGCCATAACCGACTGCCCCGGCAAGCTCGGGTCAGTGACCACACAGATTATCGCCATCTCAACGACTGTCTGTCCCGTCACCGAGGGTGGCCATGCCGCTCCTACCCCGCCTGCTCAAAATGGCGGCAGCGGCTCAACTCCCTCGGAGACAAAGCCTGCTGGCTCTGGCCCTAGCCCTTCCAGCCCTGCAGAGAACGAGGGTGGCAGCCCCAGCCCATCCGCCCCAGCCGAGACCGAAGGCTCCCATCCTAGCCCGCCCGAGGGGACAGAGGAGGGCACTTCCACTTCCACTATCAAGACCAAGGTTTACAGCACGATCACTCTCCCTGTCGTCTCGATCCCTACCGCTGGAAGCGAGGGCTCCGCACCGCCGCCAGTGAACAATGCTGGATCTGGACCAAGCTCAGGCTTCAGCAACAGCACGGCGACGAAGACCTTCAGCCTGGCGACCATCAAGCCCACTGGAGCCGGTGTGCCTGTGCCGCAGAGTACTCAGACGTCAGTCGTGACTGCTGGCGCTGCTCGGAGCGCTGCTGGTATTGGCATGACAGTTGTAATGGGTGTTATGGTTTTCTTTTTGTAGTTGGGAGGGGAGGGTATTTGTCCGGGGCATCGGGACTTTTGTACACATAATATACCTGAGTCTGGGTTTTGCTTTCCACCTGTACATCCCGATCCGTGCGGTTGTGCGTCAATACAAGAAGTATTATGTCCATGACAGGGGCAAAAGTCCAACCAAGGGCCGTTGACGTGATGTGCTTCGTGATAGTCTTTTTTCTTCTTCTTAATTCATTTTGCAAATGCGAAAACGTAAAGATTCTAAATTTGTATGACTCGGACGATATTCCACGAAATGGCTTTGCAACAATCTCAGGTGTCACTCAGAACGGATTTTTCCATATGCTAATGCGCCAGTCTTGGTTTGATACGCGTCTCATCCCACTTGATATTGCCCCCCCCCCCCAAAGATGACAACCCTACCACACCTCGCCTAGTCGCGTACAGCATGCCACTATGTGCAGTGTGCGATTATCCTACCCGTACCACCACTAGCTTCTTTACACCGGTACAGAGCCCTATGTCAAGATGTCCTCGTGGTTGTTCTTCCCAACACCTACACATATACCCTTTGGGTTCACAAAAGCAACCCCGACTTGCACAACCTATGGGTCCCAGCCTATTGCGGAAATTATAGTAACGCCCATGACGGCTGGTGCGTGTACACAAGACACGGCAAGAGTCAAAGGGGGTCTGGCGATCCAGCCAAGCGACACACTTCTTGCAGTATCTGGTGCAGATTTGCCACTGGGCGCAACCACAACGTCTGTACAAGCTGGTTTAGAAACCTTTAAAGACTACTTTGATCACAGTCACAGAGTAACCCCCTGAGCCAATACATGCTCGAAAGCCAGATTCAGCGGTCCCGGTCGGTGAGGCAAGTACAGAGGAGTGATTTTCTACTGTGTCCCCTTCGTATGTTCACTTTAGTGCGGCTGAATCATCTGTGCATGTGCCTTCATTGTTATATGGAGTTGTTATTTGTATGTTCTGGGTAATAAGTCTGTCTGGTTAAAATCAAAGCGCTTTCAACTATTCACACAAAAAAGAATGACCACAGTTCTGCCTCGACAAATTTGATAGGTTGTGTTCAGTTCTGGGCTTCTGCAATTGTACAAAGAATTCGCGTAAAATTTCTCGGGCGTTATCACCACTGAGCGTCCTGTAGCTTCAACGGCAGATGCAGCAACTGCTGACCTGATGAAGTTGGCTTCGGAAGCCGCCCTGACCGGATATTCATCTGCAAAGACGGATGCATAAGCCTTGGGGCAGACAGTTTCTCGTCACGCTCGTTTCGCATGGTGACGAAATCCTGCTCAGATATGCCGTCCCTCAGGTGCTTGTTTTCTCTCTTGTGCTCCTCGACGGTCATGAAGGGCATGGGCTTTCTTCCCTGCGGAGGGTAGTCGTGGCCAGTCCAAATCTTTACGTGGTCCGGAAGGCTAAGAAGCTTTCGACCTGACTTGTATAGAGCACTTGCGTCGCCTCCGGGGAAGTCGCAACGGGCGGTGCCTATGTCTGCGTGGAAGAGGGAGTCACCACAAAAAACATTGTCTGCAAAGAGATTAGTATCACTCTCCGATCCAAGCAATATAGTAATGTACTCACCCCCAATCATGTAACCTAGATGGTCCGGAGTGTGACCAGGAAGGTGAATAGCCTTGGCTCTCAACGTCCCGATTCCAAACGTCTCGTCATCGTCAAAGAGACGCTCGAACACACCCTCAACCTCATCCGAAGGGATGCCGTATTTCTTGCTGAATAGGTCTTGGATACTGCCGATACGCTTACCAATACCAATAGGGGGCTTGTAGCCCTGCATCTGGGACAGGCGGCTTTGAAGATAGGAGCCTGCGGTCAGGTGGTCTGCATGGGCATGTGTCTCGAGGATCAAGTCAACCTTGTAACCTTTGTCGCTGACCAGGGACAGCAGAGTATCTGCGCTCCCGGTGGTCAAGGCCTGAGTGGCCGGATCAAAGTCCAAGACCGGGTCGATGATGGCAGCCCGAGAGGTATTTGGATCAGCAACTACATACTGCCAAGTGCCTGTCTTGCTCTCAAAGACGTCGTGGATAGTTGGCTGGTCGGCCATGGTCACTGCCGTAGCAAAAAGAGCTCGGCCTGATGTGGTACGCGGATTGCCTAGAGGCCGCAGATAGTTCGTGCTGGATAAGTTTCTCGTCTGGAATGGGCGACTCTGATTTGTTGACTCCTTTCGAACTTGGGGCGAGGTTATTCTTGATGCTGTGCCCACTGTCGACAAGTGCAGAGGTCGAAGTTGGCTGTTTAAACAGCTGGGAGTATAATTAGAGACAAATGCTGGCCTTGCGCGGAGCGAATTCATAGATAATGTGGTGCTGCTGCTAATTCCGGGATAATGGAGAGATGGCATCGTGGGTTTCGTTCGAATTATAAATGATTTTTGACCTTATTATAATTAATTTATGGAAGTGTATTTGAATCCCGATTGCAACTCTACGCAGCGCTTCTCGAACTGGTGATATATCTACACTGCATCTACGCCGAGATGCTGTCAAGATCTCACACTGACTGGCTTTTAGTGTCGTCCGTACGGTCGGCGACTTGCTGACCCACTCGGCGACCTCAAAGTTAAACTTGCTCAACGGCATAACCCAAGGCTGTCATAACCCCGATAGCCGTCTCAGCCGTCTGACTCGAAGCTGTGTAAGTCACCCTCACTCTGCCTTGACCAACCGACTTCCCCGTTTTGCCAGACCATTACGTTCCTGAGGCATATCTCATCGTTCCGGTCGATCCGGTCGTTCCGGTCGTCACGTTGTCGGAACTTCGAGACTGAGGTGAAGACGGCGACCAGGGGGCAAAGGCAGTCGAGCCGACATGCTATCCGTCCGACTGCCTCCGAGCATGTGTGGGAGCGGAAGAGACAATGATACTGGATGAGTAGACGACCTCATTGCTCTTTTTATCTACACATAGAACCGGAGAGCCATGGCTTTTCATGCGGTCTTCTATGTCAGTGTTAGTGAGCTTGAGGAAACAGACGAAGATCTGGAAAGAGGTGCCAGAGGGGACTGCAGGCACGAGTAGATGTTTAAATAGTCTTATACGGCCCTCAGAGACGTAGGCCACATTAGCCTTCAATCACGCAATCGCCCCTGTTCACATTTTGGCTCAAATGGTGAACGTCCATGGGTCGATCGCAGAGGTAGGTCAGCCGGGTACGGAGCGCAATGCGGCTGTCGGGGCCACGGCAGCAGGATGCAATGTCACTTGTGGGGACCTTCATGAGTCTTGGCCCATAAGTCATCCTCCGTCTGCTTCAAATTGCCATTGATGACATGCTGTACAACCTTTCGCATATTATTAGCTTCCGGTTGTGCTGATTTTTCCATTGTGTTGTCTTCTGCTTCTCTCTCTGTATTCTCTGTATTTTCAAAGACAATTTGTCTCTTAGGCACAATTTCCACGCTATGCTTTCTGTTCGCTCTTCTGTGCCGCGGGCTTCCCGGGGCATAAGGGCCTCCAAAATAATTGCTACAACTCAACGGAACCTAGCATCGGTATCGCCAGTCAACGCTGTTGCTCGAAACCACAAGGTCGTGGTGGTCGGAGGTGGTTCGGCCGGCTTAAATATCAGCCACCAGCTACTGCGGTCGGGCAAATTCGCACTTGGTGATATTGCTATCGTCGATCCAGCGAAATGGCATCACTACCAGCCTGGCTGGACTCTTGTCGGCGGAGGCTTAAAAACAAAGCAAGAGCTGCAGAGGCCCTTGGGCAGCTTGGTTGACCCTAAGATCAAGCTCTACAACGAAGGAGTGGGCGCGTTCAACCCTGCGGACAACTCTGTACAACTCGACAGCGGCGATATCATCAACTACGAACACCTGGTCGTTGCACCTGGTATCACCCTCAACTTTGGCAGCATTCAAGGGCTGTCCGAGGCCCTTGCAGACCGAGACTCGCCAGTGTCAACTATTTACAGCTACGAGACTTGCGACAAAGCCAATGAGACTATTAGCAAGCTCCAAAAAGGAAGAGCCATTTTCACACAGCCAGCAGGCGTCATTAAGTGTGCTGGAGCTCCGCAGAAGGTCATGTGGCTGGCCACAGACCGTTGGAGGCGTGCGGGTCTATACAATCCAGGGAACCCTTCCGACTCAGCAATCCAGGTTACCTTTGCAACCGGCCTTCCTACCATGTTTGGAGTACCAAAGTATGCCGCAAAGTTGGAAGAACTCCGCAAAGACAGGGGCATCGAGGGCCTTTTTCAGCACGACCTAGTCGCCATTGACGGCAACACGGCGACTTTCAACCGCGTCGATACCAAGGAGCAAGTGAAGAGGCATTTTGAACTGCTGCACGTGGTGCCCAAGATGGGGCCCCATGCCTTCGTCAAGGACAGCCCACTGGCGAACGAGGCCGGATACGTGGACGTCAACGAGGCCACCACCCAGCACAAGAAATATGCCAACGTGTGGTCGGCCGGCGACGCTTCTAGCCTGCCGACCTCCAAGACAACGGCCGCAATCATATCGCAGTCGCCAGTCCTTGTTCGCAACCTTCTGCAATCCCTCGAGAGCAAAGAGCCTGATGCTGTGTACGATGGCTACACGTCCTGCCCGTTGTTGACCCAGTACGGCAAGGTGCTCCTGGCCGAGTTCAAGTATGGTGGACAGCCCAAGGAGACGTTCGGAAAATGGTTTGGTATCGACCAAGCGACCCCTCGTCGCGCTTTCTATCACTTGAAGAAGGACTTCTTCCCTTGGGTCTACTACAAGTCAATGGTGAAGGGAACTTGGGGAGGTCCCAATGGCTGGCTCAATTGAGGCCAGACCAGCTGCTGGGTCAACTGGTTCAAAGCTCTAGCGACCGATTCTTCCAATCTAGATTTGAGATTATATGAGACACGCAAGAATCATTCAGGCTAGCGTATGAGTCGAGACAGAAGTCAAAGTCCACCTGGCATTTAGCTCAAATAGTGGGAGGCCGGAAAGGCTAGGGAGGGGTGGCAAGGCATCGACGCCCAGGGTGAGGAGCTAGAGAGTGAGAGGCTGATGGCTCGTGAAGCGAGACGGATGATTCGATAAACGACAGGCTCGCTTGAGGATAAGGTATCGAATTGTGGAGCCAGTCGAGGCTCGATGCAAGCAGTCCTTTTTGTGTGGTTCGGAATGAGAAGCGCCTCATCTGAACGGAGAGGGTCAGCAGACACCAATATGCATCTTGTACATGAGAAGTTCAGCTGTGAAATATTCTACGAGTCCCTGAAAGCAGGTCTGGTGCCAATAGGTGATATAGATCAATGGAGATGAGGGTGGCATTGAAGTTGAGATAGCGTGTTCCCAAAAGCAGCTGGCGCGCAGCCAAGACGAGGCAGCCGGAGTGGACCCGCCAGCGGTCTCAGCCGGAAGAAGTAGGCGGTAAAGACGTGGCAGCAGCTGCGGCAGAATTCCTCACATCGAAAATATAAAAACCTGCCACGCTGTCTCGCAGCTCTGCTGCACTCCTCCCTTCCTTTCTCTTCATCCTGGTGCACGGGCTTTACGTGATTCAGTGAAGGTACGCCTGAGAACACGTTTTTGCTAGTTGAAAACTATAACATGACCACTCCTAGTTGGCTTCGGCCGGCTAGGGAATTTTTGGAACCTTTTGATTCTTGACTGATGATTGTCTTTCATTGTCTTTTGGTGCGCTTGCGCGCCAGGCGAAGAAGGCTCGACGTGGACTGCCTCGGCCGACCAACAACAGCATCAACGTCAAAGCTTGCACTGGTGTCACAGCAACATCTGGTGCTCACGCGTATCCATTGATTGATTGATACTGTTTTGATGGTCCTCTCATTACTTGCTTCGGGCCATCGTTCGCCACAGCCAACCAAGGATAGGCTGGGCGCTGCTCAGAGGCAGGACCTACGTGATGCCACCCAGAAATTCTGGTTCTTGACACGCACAGTTGCATTCGATCGTCACTGTCCACTCAGCTTCTTGCCTGCTCTAGCTCTAATGCACTGGAATATCATTCCTGCTCTTCGAAAATATCACTGTGCACCCTTGTCTGCGTTTCCGGCATTCGTCACGAAGCCTCGACCTCTCCCTTGTCCTTGGACTCCTCTCTGTCCTGGCCCTGCTGCGCACCAGCAACAACGAACCGCTCCCGACTCCACCCGAATCTCTTCTCAAGTCTATGTCCCCAAGAACGCAGTTTGATGGTGTCAACCTTAGGCTCGGGGTGCGGCTTGTGGAACGTGATCTTGCCGAACGACTCGTGGGAGAAGAGGACCTCTGAGCCACCGCCGCCGCTGTTGCCCACTGAGCAGCCAACAGCTGTCATCCCGCGAACAAATGTCTGCCAGTCCACCCCTCGCCTGCCTTCATTCTTCTCGGTTGGGAACAGCTCGCAGACGAATTCGTCAAAGGTTTTCTTGGGCACGACGATGGCACCACGGGTGGTTCTGTCCTCCAACGAGAGCTTGCTCAGGTCGCTTGGCGGCTCCTCGGGCTGGACCTCTTCGGGGTTATCCGCTCGTGTCTTCTTTTTGTTCTTGTTCCTGACGCGACCATCCTCGCGGGTGTATGTCTCTGCCTTATTCTCGTCGTTAGTAAACGTCGTTATCGCTTCAGTCAGCACTTCTCGACGCCTCTTCATGCTCGCATAGACCGCAACCTCCTCGCCCTCTGCGGCCTTTTGATGTACCGGGCACAAATCGGCAGAGATGACCTTGAGCAAGTCTGCCTTTTCTATGGCCGACAGGTTCGTCTTACTGTAGTCATCCTGTTTGAGCTTTCTGATGGAATCCCAGAAAGTTCTCATCGATGAGCGAAGCTCCTTCTGTTGATCAACCCATGCTTGACCCTTCAGCCCCTGAGGGGGTCTGTACTGTCCAAAGATTTTAACGAGCTGCGGGCCTGTGTTTCTGCAGATGGACTTAAACATTATGTCCTTCTTAGGAAGCTTCTGTGGCTCACTCGTCGCCCGTCTGCCTAAGGTCTGACGCATGTCTTCTGCAGGCGTTGCCGGAGACTGAGGCCGCCGAAGACGGGTGAGATTCATCATCTCATGCACGGCGGCGAGATCGTCAACAGCGCTGAGTAATAGTTCGTCTAGTCTGCGTGTCTCGCTAATTTTGCTGGTGGACACGTATTCTTCCAGAAAACAAAAAAGTCTCGAGTGATCGTACAGTTTGTTCTCGCCTGAATTTGCGACTATCTGGGCCAGGCACCAGTCCAGCGGGTCGTCCCTGAGAGCGCTCAAAGAGTCATTTTCGGTGAAACGTGCAGAGGAGATAGCATAGTCCCCAACGGGCTTTGACCTCCAATGTTTCGAGAATGCTGGAGATATTGCGAGATTTTCCCACAGCGTTCGCGTCCGATGGATAATCTGGTTTGCCATCCAATTGTCGAATTGGCCTAGAGCTGTGTCAACTTCCTGGGGCAAAGGTCTTCCAGGAGTGCCAGCATCCTCTCCATGGCGTCGACAAATTTCGTCGACATGGCGACACTCATCCTCCACGAACCGCCAGAGGTAGTAGGACTCCGTCGCGTTAGACATCTGCATCGCAAACCAGGTGCCCTTTGCCGTGTCTGAGGACTTGTTCCAAAGGGTTGAGTCTGCTACCAGGCGAATGTGTCTTCGCAGGTACGCCGGGTTGCATTGCAAGTCTCGCAGGTGGTCTTCAGCCTTCTCACGCCTCGACTGAGCCAAAGACGTCAAGTATGCCAGATCGAATCTAGGCGGCGCACAAAAAGCTCCTCGTGTGTATGGTGACCACGGCTCGATGTCATTCGTTCGCCTGAAGGCCCCTGTCTTCGTAGCTTGCCGCCACTTGTCCGTTCGAACGGGGTCGGAGGCATCAATGTCTTGCAGAATCCTGTCGATGATCTTCCGCAAAAGTCCCATAAGGTACGCCTGTGCCTCCAAGACGAGATAACCAAACGGGAAGCCCACCGTGTCAGCCCTGTGAATCTCCTCAGCGTCCCAATCAACCAGACTTCCATATTGTCCCTCGCCGTACATGACTATTGTCTTGCTGGAGTGATCACAGTCGAAATGACCATCAACCCAATACTTTCTCAATTGCTGGCCGTCAAAGGCCGCCCACTCGCTTGGCCCATAAGCAGTCCGGCAGTAGAGAAGAGCCAGGAGAGTATCAGGGCTCATCTTAAGCACCTCAACATTCAACCAAGGCTGCAGAAGCCTGCGTCTCCTCGACAAAGATCGTCTCATGTAGAAGGATTTCTCTTTGCTGTAGTTGTAGGCAATTATGTCCTCGGGTGTCTTTGCAAGGTCCTCTGCAACCTCGCTAAGTAGTTTCTCGCGCTTCTGCTGGCTTCCGTGTCTCCCATTCTTGGCCCAACGAGACATGACGATATCTGCGTGTCGTTCTAGTCTTCCCGAGATGTGCCGTCTGTCGCTCTGTATCTCATACACGAGCTTACTTGTGACTTTCCCAGCGTCTTCGTCTGTCAGACGACGGCGATAGGAGAAGGGTGCGGTTCGTTGGAGGCTCTCGGTATGGTATGTAGCCTCACAAGCTTGGCAGGTCTTGCGGTCACCACAGAGCCGAGGCTTGCGAATGGACTCGTCAAGCTCCTTGTCTGTAAACCAAACTAAGGTGTAGTCCTCACTATATTTGGCGTCTGGCCGGAAAGGTCTCGTATCGGCCATGGTGAGGCCAGGAGTTGTGTTGCTTGGTAACTTGGACAATATATGTGATGCCATGTACTGAGAACAAGGAACCGGGGTCTGTACCTGTCAGTTTTCATGTCTTAAATGTATCCCGTTCCGGTCTCTGCGTGCTTGAACTGACTCGAGAACAGCCTGGTGGAGGACTAAGCAAAGATGTGATCCGAGGCTGTGCTTGTGATCGAAACCACAGTTGGGGCGTTACAGAGAACTTCTTGAGGCGAGGCTTGTGTAGTCAAATCACGGCTTTGTGGGTGGAAGGAGCAAAGCTGGACCACCAGAAAAGTAGCAATGCAGCCATTTTATATCTAACTTTAATGCGAAGCTTCGATGTGAATGAACAAAACAGTCTCTCGGCGTGAATAAGCCCCAAGCACTCTATTCTGAGAAGTAACTTGTTATTATACAAGTCCACCACACAGTACAAATCAGCCAAGTATGCAAATTCACTGTGATACACGACTGACTCAAGAGACTTAAAAAGAACTCAATCGATGAAGAACTCGTTCTAAATTCAAGGAAGTTCTCGTGAATTGTTTGATTGCCGATTATATAGCTCACATAGGACTGTGAATTTATGCTCTATGCATGGTATTGATACCCAGATATTGTCTCTGTTATATGAGCCATGTCTTTCTCACTCTCTCAGTGAAGTTTTGATCCTTTCTTGAATCTCTATACTGGTCTTTGAACCCATGGTTATGGAGTCCAATCAGAGAGAAAGAAGCGGCAGTGATGCTTATTCTATATCTTGCCACCGCTAGGGCTATTAGATTACTTGGTGGGTGCTGGATGACAGTTCCATTCGCTCTTCTGCTGAAGTGCATTTATCACAGGTAGCGAGCTAGGAACAAATTGTCGTTTTCGTAAAGTCGCTGGACGAGATACTGCCGTTTGAGAATTCTCTCACCTTTTATAGACCATTAGAGTGCTGTTTGTAGGCTGTCAAGGATCTGATTGTATTTGCGACCTTGACAGCATTACATAATTTGCCGCTCTGCTCAAACAGAAGTCCCAGCAGGTGAGGAAGCCCACGTCACTCCGCAAGCAGAAAATGATGACACACCAAGAAACAGTTGAATCCATGTGGGCGGCGTTTTCGTTGCGAGGCAGCAAGACGGTACAGTTAGTGTTTCTGCTGTAAAAACTTTCTGAAGAAAGTACCTAGGTAAGCGCGAGGTTCAGGAGGATACGAATTGACGTGACAGTAAGTCATGACCGTTTGGCGAAATAGTCTCTTCAACTCCCCACCAGACGGTATTAGGGTAATCACATATTTGAATAGCCATTGTTACAAGTTCTACAGTCCTCAGTTATATGAATAGATCTCAAGCTGTATCCAACAGTACGACCTCGGCCTCCGCGCTTCCTACGCTCTCAACACTGAGCTTGTCACCCGCATTAACAGCATCAATGAAAGCACCATCGCCCTCCTCTAGAACGGCGTCATCCCGGCCATCCAACCTGATCTTGGCATTACCACCCTTTGTCATCGGCAGGTGAATGTACACCTTGCGTTTTGTCGCCTGCGTGACATTCGCACCAACTTTCCATTCGAACTTCTGCTCGGGTGCAATTATACCCGCACTCATCACGAAGTCCGCATGTATCGGAATAGTCCCTTCGATAGCGGGCTTGGCCTCCTCTTCCTCAGCCTTGCTCGCGTCCTCGCCCGCCTTCAACGGACTCAGGATGTTAACGAAGCCCTTCCTCTTCTCTTCCTCCGAGAAGTGCTTTGTGTGGTACCGAGGGATGAGGCCTCGCTTCCAAGGAATTGCCCAGATCTGCAGAAAATGGACAGTCTCGGACCTGTGCTCATTCTGCTCCGAGTGCGCGATTCCAGTGCCTCCTGTCGTAAACTGCACGTCGCCGCGGTGCATGCGGTAGAACTTATCCGACTGACCTCCCTCGGCGCCCTTTTGCAACATCGAGTCACGATGGGTAAGTTCCCCTGACAAGATGTAGCTGAAGATCTCAAAGTCCCGGTGTGGGTGGGTGGGGAACCCGCTCTGGGCCTTTACGCGGTCTTCATTGAGGACTCGGAGTGAGCCGAAATGCGAGAAACGTGGGTCGTACCCTGAATGAAATCAGTATGAATGGATAGAGCAATTTGAGAAGGAGTCAGACACACAATCTGCGAAGCTGAAGCTGTGATAAGTGTTCAGCCACCCATGGTCGCTGTGACCCCTTGTGCCAGACCTGTGCGGTGTGATCTTGGCGTGGTGCAAAGTCTTGGACATGGCGGACTTTATGCTGTTCATATGCTCTGAGAGGTCTTCTTTGTGCGTTTCCTCGATTGAGCTAGGAAAGAGCTTCGAAAATGAAAATTTGGTATCGATTGTTGAGTATTCGTCTAGCAGCAACTTGAGTGTAGCAGAGTTGTAAATGATAAGTGAAATCGATGCCACCAAAATCGAAAGGGTGAGAATGAGACGCTTCATATACACGGTCAGGACAAGTTTTGAGCAAGTTCGAGAAGTTACGCGTCAAGGGAGGTACTGATTTGAGATGCTTTTAAATTCCTTGGTGATGGTTGGCTAAGAAGATTATTCTCTTCAAATCGCCTTGGGTCGTCTTTTCAACGACGAATTCTAGCCCGGGCACTAAATAGCGTGTAGTCATGATTAGGAGATGCTGACACAGAGAAGTGCTCCACAGCGGGAGTACCCCAGAATTGAACGGGCGGCTTGAAACGGTAGGCGGACGTAGCTTGTCGTCATCACTCAGCACTGTCTCAGCCGTTTCCGGTAGAAAACGGGTCACAAACGCCGGCCAGAACGGGAATCGTAAAACGGCGACTACTAAAACAGGCAAGTCCGTTTACGCCCTAACCCTTTCAACGTTACGGAGGGCACAATCCCAGTGCCTTCAATATTGCTCCACATCCTAGTATGCGTTGCCCGGACTGCTCATTCAAAAGGATGATCATGTCTAATGCCCTCAGTGAAACTTATGTACGCCTTTGTTCCCCCTTCGAAAGGTGGACAATTCTTCGACGGTTTTCTTACCAGCTCCCTAGATGTCTAGATACTAATTAAGGTCGTGCCACTGCCACTGCCAACGCATCAATCGGTCGTGGATTAATTCAGGAAATTGATTGGGTGAATGATTTGAAGTGGATGAATAGAGAATAAGTATGGCAGTCCGAGTATCAGACTCCTGCCTCGTTTCTTGTACGCATAATCTAGAGCAAGATCGCTCGAATTTGCTAGGGGCAATTTGCATATGTGGCTCATGTATGAGCCAACGTTTTGATACGATTTAAACAGTGGCGTCGAATCAATTTTGGTTTATATGACTGATATGCCTCCTTGATGGCACCTTTACGGGTACTTTGCTCGAATGGCTTGTACATGCTGGGTTACCAATGTGTTCCATTCGCTTGTTCCGTAGTATATCGTGTAACCATCATTCGGAGACTGCCCACTGCTCAAGCTATCACCATCTTGCCAAAACAAGTCTGCCCCGTTACCTGCGGTGTTCAAAGTAGTGTTCTGCCAGTTCGCTTCGATCAAGTGCGAGTTGGTCGTCCCATATTCCTCGAAAAGGCAAGGTTTCTTGGCAGCAGCGCAAGCAGCCGCGTGAGATTGAATCCAACCTGTTGGGAAGGTGGCCTCAGGAACGCCCCATGAAGATGGATACATGTGGTAGGTTCCGAAATCGAGAGTTGAAATACCAAGGTTCTTGACAAAAGAGACACCTTTAGACCATAATCGTGGTTAGTATCATCGCTTGGTTGAAGGATTAGTTCTACAGGAGGCGTACCTTCACTGGTTTGGTAGGGGTAACTACCATCTCCGGCCGACGGGTTGAACCCTTCGTCCCCAAGAGTCACCATATGATTAGAATCGAGTGACTTGATGTAAGCCGAGGTATCAGCAGCCCACTTGTAGATCACATCGGTACTGCATCCCGAGCAGCGAGGCTCATTGGCAAGCTCCCAAGCGAACACGGCAGTGCTGGTAATATAGCGGCTCACGACGGCCTTTATATAAGTTCGATATTGGGCCTGCGCCGCAGAGTTGGTGTACCAAGTCGTATGTGAGCCACCATAAACTGACCGACGATAGGAATTAGCCCCTCCTGAATGTTCAGAGCGAGACGGACAGACTACCATGATTTTGACTTGCAGTTTGTATATGCCTTGATTCCTCCATAATCATCCCAATTGTTAACAAAATTAATGATGAGTTTGATACCATGGGCTTCTGCAGATTTGACCACATAGTCCAGACGCTGGAGGCCATTGGCGCCAGTGTTTATCGTAGGAGTAGAGCCGCTAAGACTCTGATACCAAACAGTTCCGGATCCTGGGGTAGTATTGACATCATTAAATCCCCAAACCCGCAGGATCTTCAAGCCGCTGGTTTGCAGATGGGACATAACCAGGTCCACATCGGCATTGTTTGTTAGAAACCCAATCCAGTACGAATTTGTGCCAGCAAAATATCCGGTTTTCCCATCCACGTTGAATAAAGTGCCTGAAACCTTCGAATAAGAGCCAGAAGGAACAGTCGTTGTGGTTGTTGCAGGTGTTGTTGCGATCTGTGTGCTGGTGGACAAAGTGGTCCTAGTGGTCGAAGAGCTTGTCGTCGCTATTGAGTGTGAGATCATGGTGTCAAGAATATAAAGGCGGAACGTACCACCACTATTTCCTGGAATACATTGAGAGGAGTAGGGATTCGAAACTGAGCAGTAATACCCCGACACACACGTGGTCTCCCCTGACCACCCATTTCCGCCGCCTACAACAAACCATTAGTCAAATGTCGACAACTTCACATAGCTTGGTGAACAAACATTGACCCCATGCAGACTGCTGTGCATTAACTGCAAGAGCAGCAGTCAGAAGGATAGATGCTGAAAACCTCATCCTTGATATCAGTAACTTATGTTCAATAGTGAAGAAACCTCTCGATTGAATCAAGTCTGTTGTGGTCTCTCAATTGTGGAAAGAAGGAAGGGATGCTATATTTATATTCTTTATTGAAACCCCTATGAAATATTGACTTCTTCATGTTTGGAAACCCCACGATCCAATAGCCAAGATTCGGAAGTCTTATGGCCGCCCGTTATAGTAAGGACCTCGGAGGGGGGGTTTCCGTACATACTCAGTCTAGCCTTTTTAGATACACGAGGTAACTGACTATTGGATCAAGGTTCCCGAGGCCGCTACTTAGTTGGAATACATCATCCAGATTCGGGTAGGTCAATGTAGAGAACTCTCGAACGTTTGTTTAATTTCTTCAAAGGATTTCACGCGCCGCCTCTCAGAGTGGCATGCGCGTAGCAACATTCCCAGAGCATATCCGGCTGTTGGCTTTGTACGATGGCATGCTCGGTTCCCTGGAGGGCCATGAACTAGCCAAAATATTTTGGGGGCAAATATATGGAGTACGGGCGGATGAAGGTAGTCCGCCTACGTCTTAGAGTTTAGAGGTTTTACGAGGACGGCAGAAACAAGTTGACGTTGAATTACAAGAATATCAGCTAGAAGTTTTCAAATATCTTAAATAATCAATTCGAAGGATGCAGACCTTGCTCAGGTGCTGCATTGGTGTTTGTCGAGGCTCATGATATAGTGGCAAGCTTGGGAGATCGCTGTTTCCGCATTCCTCTGCATCCGTGCAGATGAGAGTACAACCGTGCAGTCGAGTGATCCAGTTCAATATTTTGCATAGAGAAGATCCGGGACACCCGGCGTGGAGTTCCGCTGAAGTCAACTACTCGTGACGCAAAATTTCGGATCCGTGGTCTTTCTATACTGCTTGCAGCTGTAGTCAAGCGTCCTTGTATATTGTGGATATCAATCGTGAGGATTGTGACCTCCTGCCAAACATCTGCCACTGCCTGATTGTCCTTTGATCTATCGGAAAATCTTCACAGCTTCTTCCGACCTGAAAGTCATCAAATGGAAAGAAATACTGCTGATCAGCGTCGGCTCGACCTTGATCTTTCGCCAAGCTTGGCCTGCTGGTCCGCCAACGTGCCCTGGACCACACGACTTCTTGAAAGTTGATGGTATTCAAAGTTGACTCGGTCCAGTCCTCTCTCTATATCAAAAATCCAGTCAACTGTTAGACCAATATTGCCATATACAACCTGTTCACGTTCGAGAACTTCTATTGTAACACATGTTTCAAAGACTCGAGGTGCCTGAAATACTGTCTTCCTGCCGCCCATTGTGGACATCCTTTTTCCATACCACATCCTCAGCAGAAGAGACCATATCGTTGAAAAGTGCTTTTGATAAAGGGCCAACGGCATCAAAAGGCTTGTGCGAGTCCAGGTGTGTTTTTCCTGAACGCAAATATTCTAGATCGGCTCGTGCCGACATATTGGATGGATCTCTTAAAATGTACCTGTATAGGACTGCGATTGCGGCTACGCAATTCGCAGAGTGGAGACTGACGCATATCAGACATCAGATAGGCACGTAGAAGTCGTGGGCATGCAAAGTACTGACCTGATGACTTGCTCCTTATTTGCTTTCATATCATTCATGCTGCGAAGTCTCTTTGATTAGAAGACGCCACAATAATGCATAGAGAAGGGGACCGACCTACCTATTCAATCTTTTGATGAAAGACCGTGCAGCTTCGACGCATAGAATCTCGCTTGCCTGGAGGCGCCGTGGGAGTTGTTCAGCAGTATTGACTAGCGCAGGTCGCATTGTGATGGCCGCCAAATGCATCGCGCGGAGTAGGTTCGAGTAATCCAGGTGGAGAAGCAGTACATGCGTGAACCGTTCCGGTGTCACCAGGATGACAGAGTCCGGTCGGTATGTGGACGGTAAACTGTCCTTCCAAGCCACAAGGCGCTTATCCGCCTGCGCGATCCCTTCTAGCCTAGAAACAACGGATTGCTTGGACTGCAATACGTTGCAAAAGTGGTTGACTATCTGATCCAGCTGGTAGGACCACCTCGAGAGCTGCGCGGCACTCGGACCGAAATAATTATCGCTTTCTCTTGAGCTTTCATCGAAAGGAACAACTGCATGAAATATGTCCTTGTCAAAAGTGCCATGCGCGACCCCAGGAGGTCGACCTAGAGACATTGACATGGTTCTATCCAGCTATCAACAACAAGGCACACTCAGCGAGCAGATTTTAGATGACTTACGCATCAAAATGAAATGCGATGCCCCAGAGCCGTGCTCGGAGTGAGAGTCGGCGTTGCGAAAAGTCCATGTCTTGTGGGCTTCTCTGGTGTAACCCTAGGGATTGGGCTATTCGAATTGCCAGGCCGCAGAACACCCATGCTACGCCACGTGTTCCAAATTGAAGGTGATATACGACCTGAGGAAGATATTAGCGGCCATAGAGTCAGGTTAATGATCTAACAGAAACGCACATGAAGCAAAAGAACCTGTACTGATGCCTCACGAGGAGATGCATAAGACCCTTGTACCAGAGACCAGGCCTGCTGATAAGAGACGGCGGCCAGATGGTCCATAGGTTCGGTTTGCTGCGAGCTGCCCTTTTCAGTCAAGGCACCTATCGAGACTACAAGATGAAAGAGGCAGTAGTCGATGACACCAAGGTCAGGCCGATCGATTGTGTAAAACATTTCTGTTCGTGGAATGAACAGATCCTCGTCAACGATCGGAAAGAATGTATTGACATTTTTGAAATAAGCTGTGAAGACAATCAATTGCTGAGAATTAAGCAGCAGTGCTTACGTAGCGCTGAGAGTTACGTTAAATACCTCGTATACTACACATGGCTGCGTCTTTCGGTGGCAACTCTCGCGATGAGAGATCTAGCAAGGAAGCTAGGTTGGTTTCGTCAACACGCTGACCTGCTTCAATGAGGAAGTCGAGGCCATTGGGCTTAAGAGGAAGGCGCTGGCTCTTGAGACCATCTGTGAGACATATTGCTAGGGTCGCCCCAGTCGAGCTTAAGCCTATGAAACGCAGTGTGAGTACCCAAGGTGGGCTCCGTGTGACTTTCATTAACAACTGACCGACGTAGTGCCCCGCGGTCTCATTTTTGCGAATATAAATTGCCGGGGGCTCAGAGCCATGTAAGGCGCCTGCATTGTCAGCTCGTCTTGTCAAGGACTCGATGCTAGAGACCTTGCCGTTGGTGAGACTCCCCGATGACCTGGAAGAGGGCGATTTGTAAGGCGAGACTGAAGTCTGATCATTCAGAGGGCCAATCTCAAGAGCCTGTGAGTTGTTTGTCGAGTCTTCCCCGATATTTACGAAGGAGGCATCAATTTCGGGCATATCAGTGAATGCGGTTCGATCCATCTCCCAGAAATTCGAAGGCACCCCAATACCAAGCTGGCTCAGAACATTCCCAAAGTCCTGAGGCTCAGAGCCCATTCCATTTTCGAAACAATTTCCTGGAGACCAAGATGACTCTGGCGGGTTGCTATCAAAAATATGGCTTGTGTCGACTGTGGGATCAAGTACCACGCCTGCGTCAGGGTCGTCCGCTGGATTTTGAGCAGAGCTGACCACATGGATGGCGTTTTTACAAGGCTCGATCTCGGATCTGGCATCTTTGGGGCTGCGTTTTGCGGCGAATCTTTGGACGCGTCGGGCGCCAGGGCGCCGTTCTCGGTCCTCTGAGAGACACTGGACGTGGTAGAGTTGGCAGTTCAAGCATGGGCGTTGATCCGGTGTACATTTAAGCTGGATGCATTAGGCTCTGTTTCTTATATGTCGAGTATCAATACTGACTCTTTTCTTGCGGCAATAATCGCATGCTCGAATGGCTCGCTTCAGTCGGTGAGAACCATTGCCTTTAGGGCTTGTTGGACTCGCCATCATGTTATTAGCTGTTTGTGAAGTGTTGTGTCTGTCTTGTCGAAGTATATGGGAGCCAATGTTGGAGTGAAAAACGTTTACTTGTGGACACACGGAGTAGGGAATACATACGGACAGGGCGGGATGTTCGTAGCTACCGAGGCCATAATACCTTGACTAGTTAATGTCGGATTTAACTTTGCGGGGTAATTAGATTGTTACGAGTTGGCCATGTAGACGCGATGGCAATTATTCATAGATGAACACAAATATGCAACCTTGCATGAACTCCTCCCCGGGCCACTCCGCGGACCCTGAACATCGACTTTCGACCCACAATGACACCTTGGCAGTCTTCGGTGTCCCGATGAGACGTTGATTCGGGTTAATCAACTTCAACAACTCTCATGTAGATTGGTCTTTATTCAACCTGGACAAAGCTCAGCTCGATTTCCGATCGGCTGGGTGACATTCTTACGCAGTGAGATCACACACCTGCTTATTTGCTACGTTCTTGATAAGCTCTCTCAATTCGCGTCCATAGTCATTACCGTTCGGGAGTCTCTGTATCGTGTGAATGTGATATTTGGCAGGTTCATCGTTGGTAAGAAAGACGCCCGAATGATGATCGAACTCGAACAAAGCCACCGGGCTTTGGATACGGTAGTAGAAGGGATCTGCTGATCCGAAGCCACCGACCCAAGAGAAAAATGTCTCGGGAAGGTTCTTGCGAACTTGATCAAGCCGGAAAGTCAGTGGCTTCGGCGGCAAAAGTATCAAGAAAGCGGTAATGATTGACATGAGCAATTCCTGTTGCTCTGCTGTCATGTCGGTAGCTACGACACCTTCGTAAGGGATTACTCGATTGTCTTGAAAGGCCCCAGCCAAATGCCTCTAAAGCCTAGTTTAGCTCAAATATAAGTCGATAGCTCAATCGTGGCCAGAGTTACGTACCTGGTCGGCTGGGTTCCACCGATCTTCGGGCATGGATGGCTCCCACATCTCAGAGTACACTTGAGCTATTCGCTGCAAGTGGGCAGGAAGCGACTGCATTAGTTGTAGACCGAGCCGACTTTCTTCTGTGCAAAGCTCGATTCCTTGATCGGGGCCATGGTCGATGACCTCCAAGTCCGTCAGCATTACTCATCACAAGGGGCACAAATCGTATGAAACGCACATTTGGTTCGGCGCCGAGGAACACCGGGCCAATGACCATCTGTTGTCTAGCGACGAACACATTAAGACAGAGGTGGTGACCAAAAAGCATGTAGGCCCAGGGCGTCGATTCCGAAGGTTCTCCAAAAATGGTAAAGCTGCGATATCAATAGTGAGTCAAACAGTGGCAACCAGGAAAAAGATCATCATAGCTTCCTCACAAGTAACTTCGCTCATTGAGTATTGCTTGTCTTGAGCAAATCTCTCCAAGGAACTTATTCGTTTTCATGGCCCCTCTGATCTTGGACCACCCGTGTTCGCTAAGTGACTGCCTCAACAATTCCAGTATGGAACTGACCTTGTTTTCGTCGAGATGTTCCAGACGTAGACCACACTCGAACAGTACAAATTCTGGGTTGCACCATTTTCTCCTGATTGAGTTCAGTTCGCGAATTTGCAGTCCAGAGTAACAAGTGGCACAAATGCTTGTTGCAACTCACCAGTTCTCGGTGTCTAGGTCGTGTAGTGCAACCTCTCTCTCACTCGCACTGAGACTAGATATCACCTTTCGAGCTGCTGCGGTCTTTCGAAGTCTCAGCATGCGTAGTCAAAGAAATATGAGGCAAATCCTTTAGTCACCATTTGCTGTGTAGGTGCTCCTTCATCTTGAAGTTGATACAGGCCTTCCTTTTTCCGGCCGTCGCTTGTAATCCCATAGTATGGTACATCAAGATTGGCTTTCCACTTGTTCCAAAGTGTTTGGAATAGCGGAGAATGCACTATGGTATCCGAGTACTTGTATGGATCGCTAATGTCTACGTCTTCGAATCGTGACCATTCTGCAACACTTTTTTATTAGCCTGATTTTGCTGAACCTGTGCTTAGAAATTTGTGCAGGGACGATATCAAACAGCCCTGTGATCACGACTTGCCTTTGCTCGGCACGTAGGGGTGATAGTCACCGGCGGGTGCTTCTGAGTTCTGACCCATGTCGATGAGAGACTCTACGAGGCTGTTGATGCTTAATTTGTGATGTCGAAATGATTTCTGGACGGCATAGTGGCATGTCAGTGATGGGCATGCTTGTTAACCACATCACGTTGAACTTAATTTCCGTGGAACGACAAGTTAACTTCCAGGGCGGAAGAGAGCCATTACAACAGCGTTTGGTTCCGGGGCAACGGAGACTCAGCACGAAACGATATTACTACGTGAAGCCCCATGCTAAGCATTGACTTCGAGCATTTTTGAGCATCGTAACTCCATTGCATATGTACGACTTGTTTTTGCACACGTACTTGCCTAATTCACAATGATGTCCAACGCACCAGAAGACTTCAGCTCCAAGTATACAAATGCTAATCTAGCACCAGACTCGACACCTTACAATTCTACTGTCTTGTGTGGCCTTGTACAGCAACTTGAAGAAGTAGATGGCGGCAGCATTCGCGCAGCTGCGCCTGGAATAATTGTGAGAAAGCTGCAACCTGAGCCGGAGCAAGCTTGCTAAAACTTGACTGTAGGCTTCCATGCTTTGTGCTCAACGCCGCGGTGACGCTGTACCCAAGTTATTCCGCGACCTAGCCAAAGGCAAGAATATGGAAGAGACCAAGGCTTTGTTTGCATCTTTCAAACTGGCACTGAATCTGACCTGGGCCTTCACTGGCTTACCTCAGTCCATTCCAGCATGCTTAGGTTTGGTTGGCGAACTTCGTGAGTTAAGCATAAATGGTACAAGCCAAGTGGACATCTCAGTTGCCCATTCATGGGCATGGCTCATTCCAGCCGACTCGCGCGACTCTGGGATTGACATCTCCTCGTAGACCCCTTCTTACCGACTCCGTCTGGGTCGAAAAGGGCAGGGAAACCAACAGAGCAATATATCGCGCGGTAGGAAATGCTGAAGTCGGGCGTATGGTGGACGAGTTCTTCCCCGAAATATGTAAGCCCATTTCTTTACCTTCTACTGCGCTATTTCTCAGATACCATTTGTTTGTGCTTTACCTGCTAACTAAATGACAATGCAAACAGCTCATGTCGCAAATATTGCCGTGTTTGGTTTCCTGATTGGAGGCTCTGAGAATACGCAAAGTCTTCCTCTCAGTGAAATCACAGTCGCAGGTGCCATCGCTGCACTAGGTGCCACCAGGCAAGCTAGGAGCCACTTCAAGGGCTCCATGGGTTTGGGCATTTCCGTGGCGACGGTACACGCTGTGTTGCAGGCCGCGGACCGCACCGCGGAATGGAACAACCACAAACTTCCCGGGGCTATCGATGTGGCGGCATTGGCGGACGAGGTCAAAGCTAATTTGAAAGCCCTGGACGGCATGTAGATCCGGATTTTGACCAGAGACCCTTAGTTCTGCGTCCCCGGATGAGGGAATCCCCGGAATTACCACTATAACCCACGGTGTTTCGTCTCGCAGCGACTTTCCTGTGATCTCGGATATGCGGATTTAGCCAATACCTTTCAGCGATCCATGCTGGTGAGGTCGTACACACCCGTATATGTGCGGCGCATGCTTGTCTCGTGAAGGAGCTTAAGGATAGCACAAAGATACCTCCGACTTTCCAGGATTTTCCTTGAGTCCATCAGACTGTCCCGATGAAAATGGTAGCTACCCTTTTGCTTGCAGTATCGGTCATAGGACCGCAGCCAGAACCTCAATATCAATGTTCTCGATACCATCATGAGACTCGACAATTCTGATATTGCTTAGCTGTTCTGAATGTACGACTTCTTCTACCCAGGTGCGAATTTGCCGCCCTCTGATAATGTAAAAGTCTATACGCTCCGTATTGTCACTTTACTCACAAGCCAGGGTTCAACAAAATGATGTGTAATGCTTAAGTCACTCAAAAAGCGACTTTTGATTTCACACAAACATTGATAAATTAGTCTCTAAGGATACTCACGGTTTATCTCTAGCAGATCCACTATCTCTTTTCAAGCCCTATGTATCAATTACACTAGGGAATCTTCAAAAAGATCATTCCTTATACTTAAGTGTGTGCTCGCAAGAACTCCAAGCCTTTGACCACGGCTTCATAGCCTGGATCTCCAGGCTTCTGGTTTTGATCAAAAGCATGGCCAGCTCCATTCACCACGATCAACTCAGATTCGACTCCTTTTTCTTTCAGCGTCTTGTGTGCGCGCTCAGACAATTCGACATTAACGGACGTGTCGGCCGAGCCGTGTACAAAAAAGGTTGGGGGACAAGAGGTCGTGAGCAGTACGGCGGGGTCTATGTTATCATAGTTCCCATCAGGCACTAGTTCATCGAAAAGTCTGCCTTCTTTCATGGTTCCGAAGAGCCACGCGTTGCGGTAACTCGTGACATCGAATCCCTTGGGACCAAATGGTGGCGGGGCCGAGGTCGGTGGAGGAACGTCCTCGTAGATCTTCTTTCTGAACTCGACACCCGGAAGTTCCATGGGAGGAAGCTTGGCAGGAGCCCTGAAAGACTTGTCTTGTATGAACTTGAGCCCGCAGAGATCCAATATGGCTCTAGGTGGCTTCGCCATTGATGCCTGGACGACTGTAAGACAGAATACTGGTAGAAACAATGAGTTATTTCGGCGGTCAATCATGCACTCACAATAAGAAGAGCAAGCGCCCCTCCTGCAGAATGTCCCCAGGTTACCATACGTTCGGGGTCCAGATTCACGCCCGTATCCTTGGCAAACTTGCTGGGCAGCTCAGTCTGAGCCCATGCATATGAATCCCTCGAGTCCGTAACCGCTCCGTCGAACGCGGAGATGGTGGGCGAGAGCCTATAGTCCGGCGAAACAACCGCTCCAAAACCCAGGTCGAGGAGTTTTTGCACGTACTGGAGCTGTATCATGCTTTTGTTGCCGACAACAAAATTACCGCCATGATAATAAATGGCTACAGCACCGATTAGTCTTTCAATACAGAACTTCGTGGTGGCTACGAACCAATCGGCTTGGGCGTGCTTGAGCCGCCCGGCTGGTAATGAACGTCCAGTTCCAGTGGTGCACTACCGGCAACATTCTTGTACACATATGTTTTGATTGGCATTTTGCACTGTTCCCAATGGGGTCTTCCTTTGTGCAGAGCTTTTCTTGATTGAGTAGAGATGAAATTGTGCAATGTCAAACGTTTGAATTTTAACAACATTTGAAGTCTGTAAGAATAGCCAGTGATTCCAATGTCCATCCGATGGTTGATATAGGCCATTGTTTCTCGTATTGAATTACTCGGAAAAAAGAAGGTTGTTTAGTTATCCCCGGAACCTTGCTCACTTACCACCTCCGTGGAAGCGTCGGACTTAAGTCTTCGCCGTATCTGAGCTAGCTTCTGGGTCTTGACTAGAAGGAGCATATCTCTTTAAGCACTGTGATTATTAATTTGTTTTTTTGGATATAGGGAAAAAGCATGGTGTTGTTGGAATCAACGAGAAAGTTGTGGAAAGCCTTGGTGACTCTCCTAAAATGAGCGAAATCCGATGCATTCATGGCCAAACCAAGAGGAGCCGGAAAGTCATATGGTTCTTTAAACAGGTCCTCGATCAACGCTGTTCAGATAGATAACATGCTTTTGACTCTCTGTCCCAACACGCTCAATCGGTAGCAGTCTCAACAATAGTCTTCAAAAGAGAGACATCCATCCTATTTGAGCCCGCCGAAACGAAAAGAAGCATTCACCAAAATGACACAAGATACGGCAAGATGATTTGTTCTAACGTGTGGCTACATGGCCTAACAAGCTATCAAATCCGATGTCCATTGGTAGGGCCACTGCCGTCGACCGTGGCTGGGCTTTGCTTGGGAGCTCGAACCGGGCGACCATCAATGTCGGTATCGTCGACCCAATTGCCATGGAACCCTGGTCTAAGTCTGATAGGTAGCTTCGCCAACGCGACATGTTCTGTGAAGTTATCACAATCGATAATGACTAATTCACTGATCATCTCATCGAAGTTGTTCACCAACGCGATCAGGAACCCATCGCCTTCTGGAGCTTCGGGATGACGAGGAATGAATTGAGGCTCCTGAAAGAAATGACGAGTTCCTCTGCGGTACTTCTGTATCTCTCCAGTGACGACATCCTTTTTATAAAGGGTATTCATGTGTATGATTCCGGCTGAACGACGTCAGTATTAGCTTTTGCGGTGCCCTTAGTTCAGCTAGGCTTTTGATACGAAACTTACATCCCATTCGGGGTGTAGAGAACTCCCAATCTGTAACTCCTGGAGCAAAATCCATTGACATGCCGAACAGGACACGGTTCTTCTGCCCAAAAAGTCTGTCATCGATGCGAGGAAACTCGTTTGTCTCTGTGATAATCTGCTCCGGTTCAGGCAAGACCAGCCTCTTTGAATGAGGATCAATGGTCCACTCGTTCAGGTTAATCGGAACCTCCTCCATACGAGGAGCTTGGCCATTTTTGTCCGGGAAGAAGCCGAATCCGTTCACCTTAGTAAGTGAAACTTGAATATGGACTTTACCATCCTCTTCCCAGGCGTTCGCAACATGTCCCGTCATCCAATTAGGGCCCTCGAACCACTAGACAAGTCATCAGCGAACCTGGATCTCCTGTGGGAGTATTTATCATACCTTGATGTCTGTCGGCTTGGCTCCTCTTCGCGGGAGAATGCCAATGTAGTGTGGACGATCGGTCCACGTCCAATGATTTCCACCTTCCTTCAGCTTGTCGGGGAAACATTGCTAATGATGAATCTGTCAATAAGGCCTTCCTTGTCACTAATGCTCTAGGGTCTAGGTGCGACACAAACTCGGCATTCAAGTACTTTAGGGGCCCCTCGTGGGCCTTCAAACTTGAGCAACTACTCATGTACGGCAGAGATTGCTGGAACTTGCTGTATGCATGCACAAAATTGCTGTAACAAAATTTCCAGGTCCGCTGCCTAGGCTTAGAAGTGGATCGGATGGGGGAAAAAATTGTGAAAGTACTACCATGGGAACAAGTGGGAATAATACCTAAGAAGAGTTAGCATCCTTCTCATACGCAATTGGTGGCTCACGTACCCAATTATCAGTAAATGCCATATCGTGCTGAAAGCCGCAAAATGGCGCCTCAAACCAAACTTTCTCGGTGAATTTGCCATGTTCATTGATCGACATGTAGTAGACGTCTTTACTTCCTATGCCCTTGCCCTCGTACCCGAAACCAAGTAGTTCTCTTGTGTTCACGTCGTACTTGGGATGCGCTGTGAATGTCTCGCTCTCCAGTTGCCCATCGAAGTCGAACTTTCCAATTGTCTCAAGGGTCCGCGGGTCTATTGCGTATGGCCTGCTATCTTCTTTCAAGGCGAGGATCATACCCTTGTAAGGGAGCGCCGTAGTGTTGGCTGTGGTCCGATCCGCAAACTCAACCAAGTCGGTCCATGGATTCCGGTATTTGCCTGAAAGTTGTCACTCTATGGATCTCACCATGAAGGTTAGGTAAAATCTCACCAAGCAGCGCCCGGTTTTCGAGAGCTTCTACCCGAAACTTTTCGGTCTGCACGAAATGTTGCTTGAAATCGACATTGCCGTCCTTGATTCGGAACGACGAAATTGCGCCATCACCGTTGAGCCACTAAATGGATCTTAGCCAGTTATACTTTTATGAAAGTTACATAACATCCGAGATTTACAATGTCATTCTTCACGAATGGAACATGATAAGGTTCAGGCATGATGCGATAGAAGGTGCCCGAAATAGATTTAGGAATGGTTCCGAAAACCTCAAGATTTCGCATCTCCCCTTGATAACGCGTGGGTCGATTGAAGCCAGAAAGTTGAGGCCCAGCATTGTCGAAGTTGGTCTCGCGTTGCGGCCAACTGGCCTTGTCCATACCAGGACTAATCTTCGAAGGGAGGAATTGCCAGGCATCCATGATTGATAAAACGATCTTCTGTGGCGCAGCTGTCGTAGTACATTGCAGAAGATACACAGGGTTACTATAACGGTTAGAAGGACACTTTTGAAGGACAATAAGCAACCCCTTTTGCCCTCTGGAAGCGGGGTCAGCATTGCAAACCTTCTCCTCGGACCAATTCAACAGCATCAATGCCATGGACCTCTGTGGTGGAGAAAGCCAAAGCACGGGGAACATAACACGGGGAACGGATGTAGAATGGGCTGAGTTGGCCATGGACCCCGGAGATTCGACGCTTTCATTCAACGGAATAGTTGTCGTGTGCGTCAGCAATTCACACATGCATAAAGATTCCGATGCCATGGAAAGCTCGTGTTGAGACATTCTTCACCCCACCCAAGTAAAAGCTGAGCCATAAGAGCTAAATGGGGGGGGGGTGGGGGATGGTAGAGTTCTCAGACAGCTGACTTTAACGAATTGCCAGATTGAATAGCTGATTTTTACGAGTAAGGGCTTTTGCCATTTTGGAGTCGAACTTTCGAATGAGGTATTTGAATCTGGAAGGAATAAATTGCGTGAATCTGAAAGCATCTCAGTCGGAAATATTTATCTACTAGCACCTCCCGGGTTATCAACGAATCTACAGCGTATGCAAGTTCAGAAATTACAAAATCAATAAAAAACGAGTTGTTATGAGTTTCAAAGCTATCCTAAATTCGAGCAAGTACCTAATTCGTTGTCTTCAGCTCTCATGGCCAAGAGCATCATTCCTTCCTCAAAATCGAGATTATTGTGTACACACTTATCTACTAAAGAGAGACCCTCTGGAATTCAGAGTTTCGAATCGTTAGTCATCAAAAACACTGGCCGTAGCCATAAGCAGGCCACTAACGGGACATGGCCAGTCATATGGAGGGACTTGGCGAGAACATGTTGTTGTCTATTTCGATAAGGGGGGGGGGGGGCTCTTGAGTTTCCAATGGAAAGCTAATTTTAATAGAGTCAGATTGAGAAGAATGGTCCAGAAGTTGCCACTGCTAATTAGACCTTAGATGAAATAACACTGTCAAGACTCTCAATACTCCATACCTCCCTTTTGCTGTCCCAATGTCATACAAGCAGTAATGAATTCAATAGATCAATACTAATAGAGGCTGTCCAAACAACTATCCGGGATTTTGGGTGTAGCTCTGGCGGCGGTGTTTGTTTTTACACCTGCAATTTGAATTGTCTACGACGCATGTCACTGAGATGCAGCACTCTCTGACTACCGTGTATTGCATGCGAAGTATAGCCTCATCGAAGTCTCTCAAAGAGTTTAGATTCATCACTCCAGAGTGTCTCCCTCGCTTCCTTCGGTACCATCTCGTGGCCCAAGATACATGATGTCGTGCAATATCTGCAACCACACGTCTGCGTCCTTTCTCCACCAGTACTGCACCTTGACCAAGATCCCCTTCGACCTCCCTTCATCATCAGTTCCCTCGTCATCCCAAAGATCGACCCTCATACCGAGCCATTGTTCCCTGTCTGCTTGAAGCTTCGTGTCGGCAGCTGAGTTGAACCCTGCAGGCACGACAATTTCATCGCTCCCAAACTCCATCTCGTCGTCTCTAAGCGGCCGGATTGTGTAGAAGCTCTTCTTCTTGACGCCAACGCCAGCTGGAGTATCTGTCGCTTGACCGACGACGTCGGGCTTCTTGTCTGGATTTTCCACGAGCTGTTTTATGTTCTCGACTTCTTTGCCAGAAGTCTCTCGAAGATATCTCATTATTGTATCTCTGTCCTTGGCAGCGAAATCTGCATTTGTTCGACAAATTTGACGACAATCTGGAGAAAAGAAGCGAGCCTTTGTTTCGAGCTCCGCTGTGTGGCGATATTCCGCGTAGAGCTGCTTCAGGTGAGCTGTAATGGCGGTCTGATCCGCGTCTCCCATTTTGATATATGTGCGAGACCGCAGGGAATAAGGAGGAATCGTATATTCTGCTTGCAATCTTTCAGCCAGGAACAGCTGGAGATTGCCTCGATTTGAAGTTTTGTAAGAATATGTACTTTAGCAGCTTCAGTCATCGTTCGGATCCTAACGAGATCTGAGTCATCCTGTGCGGCTAGATGCTGGGTGTGGCTCCAGTCTAAAATCTGACTGCATTTGTCTCTCTAAGCACACTCCGACAATTAGTTGACCCCTAAGCTCCTGCCCTGAGTTGGAAGCTTGAGCGTGAATCACCACGCAATCACCTTGGCCTACGTATCAAACCTGATCAACCCACAACGGAAAGAAGACAGAAAGCTTGTAACTGATCCATTCCGAAAGATGACACTGTCCACTGCCAGGTGCCAGTGACTGCTGAACTACATGTAGCAGTTCTGCAACCCTGGCCTATCTCGATTTAGTACACAACATCTGGGAACCTGGTTGTTGCTCAAATCGAAGACAGTGACACCATTTGTTCCATGGCAAACCGTGTTAAAAGACTTTTCCTGTTTTGTTCCCAGCCATAAAAAAGACATTTCCCCTTGGCAACCGTCATAGCAGAAGACCGATGACTGCCCGTATTGGAGCCGTCAACATTTCATGATTGTGAAGACTTTTTTGGCAGGTAGGAAAGATCATATCAGACGAGTAGAATCTCACTCCTTGATATAGACAGATTGCCTCCATGCCATCGAAAGACTCCAAGTATTGTCTTCAGGCTGCACCCTGTGCAGCTCGAAGATACGCTGTTTCGTTCTTGAATGACCAGGATACACACAGTCGAAGAGTAACTGAGTCTGTCGGTTCAATCACTGAGTGAATGATTTTCTCTCGAGGCCCTTGATCTGGAGAGCCCACACCTCTCGACACATGTCAACCCAGCTCGCTCCAAACTCTTTGAGGACCTCATCCACATCCAAGGCGTTGCCTTGGCACTCTTTCATGTACTCCTCGTCGGTCCCAAATGTAGCGGTCTTCCACTCACTCGTCCACTGCTTGACCGCTTTCTGCGCCGCCTCCGACTGACTCTGGATATTTGTGGCAATCATGTAGAAGCTTGAACGGTGCTGGTGCTCCACCTCAGGCTTGAATAGGTTGACCTTGGAGAACTTCGAAAATTGGTAGAACAGGGAGAGGCTCTTCCAAGTCTCGGCTTTGTGCATCAACATGATCATGCTACCACCAGGTTTGACGCGGGCGAGGGATATCGCCAGCTGGGATACCTTCAGACGATGAGCCTCGCGGGACTCTCGATAGGACGCAATCTGGTGGGTACGCAGGACACCACCCTCACAAGTGACCAAGTCGAATTGCTGTCGAGGTCGGATAACTCGTTGAAGGAAGCGCTTCGCATCAGGGTGGTCAGTGGGAATATCGTGCAGGGCGACGCCGAGATCAACCGCCAGCATCGTGACATCTGCCTGGATCCAATCCAGACGCAGGCTCTTGACAAGACTCTCCATGCCGTTTTCCTTCATGGGTAGCGTGATACCGACAACCTGGACGTGGGGATTGACTTTCAAGGCCTGGGCGACAAAGCCGCCGGGGGCAAAACCCAGGGCAAGCATGCTCGGTCGCTTGCTGGTGAGATTGAAGACGCCGGTAGCCTGCTGCATTTTGTCTCCAACGTGGTTCATCATGCTGAAGAATATCTTGGTCGTTCCTGGATTCGCATCGTCGCCGAGCTTTCGCTGGCGCTCGAAGTACCTGTCACCCTCGGGGTTGTCCCAGCCCTTGCGACAACAGAGTCAGCATTTGTTCATATAGATCCAAATAGATTTTGTTCATTTACCCTCTTGCGGATTTCAGTGAGCTCACGAAACTCAGCGACATGGTCAATAAGGTACTGGATTGTCACGGCACGCTCTCGATCGAAAAGCCGATCCTCGTCAGCAGGCGAAGGTCTCTTCGCATCGTCACAGGGGCCCTTTCCCTGCTTTTCGAGAGCAGTTGCCAGTTTGGGACGATTGATATCGGTTTCCGCCAAGTCAGGGACCAGAATGTCGTGGGTGGTCGCGTCACCGCGGTCAGGAGTTTGAACAGACGCGTGGGAAGTCGTGTGGGCCAGCTCCCTTTCGTCACTCTCACCAGCAGGCCAAGGGCCCTGGGTTTGAACTCCATCAGTGGGCAGCGTCATGGTTACGGTCAGATAGAACGGAGAGGGGATGTTTGTCAGGGGTTGTTATGAGGAATAAAGATGGTAAGGTGAAAGTGTGGTGGCCGAGTGTTGGAGGATGCGGTAGCCGCAGGAAGGGACAAGAGGTAATGGGAAATGGTAGCCCGCAGGCCTGTTCAAAGAGCTTGACAAGTGTGTTTTGAAAACAAATCGAAGACCCAGGCCGGTGGGGGTGCACTTGACCAGTCTTCCAGAAAGATGTTCTTTCCTAAACAGAATGGACGGGCGACTGGTCCAAGAACACGAGATCCCGAAAAGCCTTTGATTTCCCCTGAAATTGGAGCAAAAGAAAGATAGCAGCTTGCACTGGCTCGCAATTATTAAGGATTTTGCTGTTTGCTCCTGTCCTTTAGTGGAGGCAGGGACACTGGATTCGATCCTACTGCATGAGACCAGGCTGCTGTCAGGATACTGAAAACCTCACTGTTTGAGTTGTTCATATATTCCAACTGTTGGAAGCACACAGTTGTCTACAAATTTGACAAGGAAACGGCCCATATGCCAGTTGGTCCTGTTGATATGATCAGCCTAAGCTTCTCTGGGGCTTCCAACACATTGTTCATGGATGAGGATCACCAACGATTGACATCGTAGCAAGAAGTGTTTGAAGCGAAGTGTTTCCATCCTGCAAGCTTCAGCTGTATTCTCTCGAGTATTTGGTGGAAACAAGTGTTCTTTCAAACGATGACCTGTGCTGGGCTGCAGATGGCCATAGTGAATGACTCCTGGGCAACTAGGAAATCGGATCAGACAACACTTACTGTCGTTTCCACCTTGGATTGAAGCAAGTTTGAGAGAATAGAAAAAGACCGATGACACGATCGAGGCAGTGACTTACCAGCGGTCGTGGCCCGTGATTAGCATCTGGTCTCTTGGCTGTTCTCGTGAGCCATCATTCTATGCCTTTAAAACCAGTAGCTGTTCTGGGCTTCGAGGTTCTTTCAGAGCTCAGAATTGCTCTGCGACATCAACTCCAACCATCAGGTACGTAGCAAGACATCCCCTTCATCATCAGTCTCAGCTTGAGAAGCCACTCTGACGCCTAGACAAAGCAAAATGTGCACCTGTCTCTGGATTGAGTACTGCTGCGAATGCAGCAAACCAGACTGCCCTCACAGACAACCTTCACACCCACATCATCACGTACAAGACACTCTCTGGCAGCTAGACCACAAAGCTTGGCGGTACTGCCCTGCCTTCATCAACATGCTAGATTCCGCAAAACAAGAACACCAGAGCCTTGCTCCAAAGTACAACAGCAGCAGCGATGCCACTACCACGCAATCAGAAAATACATCTGCCATGGTCAGGCCTTCAAAGTGCTTCAAAGCCAGCTCTGATCCTCGACACGATGGGCGACTTCCCCTGTGTGAGGACATTCGGTACGGTGCCTGGCGGATTGCAAAAGAATGCGATTACTGCAGGGACTATTGGATTGGGCGAAGCATGGAAAACGCCGTCTGACCGTGCGAGCGAGACTCTTGGTGCGATCTTGGGCACCGGGGAAGGGATCACTGCGAGCACTGCTGGCTGTGTTTTTGGGAAGGGGAGGGGGGAGGGTTGGCGAAACGTAGAGGTGGCGACTGATAACAGTTTGATAACATCCCTAGCCAGAGACCAATTGACAGTAGTGCGGCTTTGAATCGTAGTGGCCATTATAGTGTGAGCGTACGAGTAGGAGAAGAGCTATATATTAAAGTTTTTAAAGACAACAGAGACTTTTGGGGAGACTCAGACTTCCAGTGTCATGCTTGCCTGTCACCTGGTTGAAGCAGCTGGGCCAATCGACATCTATAGTCGATTGCGCTGCCTGCAACATTCCTGATTGAGTTCTTGGAGCTGGCTTTTCTCCGCATCTCTGGTCTCGCAACGACCCGTGCAAGACATAATAAACATGAGACGACTATCTACCTCCGTTAGTAGAGTCTGGTTGGGTGCCCCTTGTCCAAACTGCCCGAGGAAAGTGTTCGGCATTGCACATCCAGGCTTCGTACTGGCGAGAGCACTCTAAATTCTTCCAAAGATCCTCTGAACACCAATCCTTAGCTTCACAGGCGCTTGCCTCAGCCGACGTTCATGCAGCACGCTTGCTGCCACATTGGCCCAGGGCTTGCGGTAAAGGGCCTGGCCGGCGATGGATACGACCTTGCTCCGTCCAAAGGGTATGGATTCTGACCTGATGCTGTAGGGTTCAAACCTGCCGTGGTTCATCTCCACTTTATTGCACCGCCTTTTGAGATCAAAAGCAAACATCTTCACAGCCTCGAGTGGACAGTCGCTGGCTGCGGTTCTTTGGGCCACGCCGCCAGTCCATCCTTATGGAATCGACATCTGTTTGCTCTTGTGTTTCTTTCCGATGGATCCACAATACTTCCTGTGCTAATCCTTCTCAAGCGGACTGGCCTGTATTTGGCACGTATCATCCAATCTGGACTGAAGACGAGCAAGTTCCGCCCACATAGATGCAGAAACTCTGGTGACCGATCAATGTCAACCGGACAAGGAGCACTGCCAATGCTTGCGGCGCACATCTCAGTAAATTATTGAGTTGGGATAAAGACTGGATGTTCGTATCGATGGACCGAGGATGGCAAGGAGAACTTTCTTGGTTGCGCAGGTTCGCGGAGGGCGTGGGCCACTTGACTTGCGCCTTGGGAGAGCGTTGACAGCCCATATTGTGGCAGCCAAAGTGGTCGAGGTATCGATTTACGCTCGTATCATCGAGCTCGAGTCAACGGCCGAATGCTTTCGAAAACTGAGCAAGCTGGGTTCGGAGCGAGCTGCGCGTTCGTTGACAAGTTTTGGCGGGGCGGCTGATGAGAAATCCAATTGAAGATGCCGGGCATAAGAGCGGAATTCCCAGCCCGACTGATGTTGAGACGGGAAGCATGCCCGGCGTTCTCTTTGTCAGCTTCATAAATTAAGTCTGTAAACCCTCTTAGTCTTGCGGTAGTGACTCAAGTTCTCACGAACCGAGCTTGTCACATAGATGCGATCCATCGACGGTCAGAAGATATGAGTGTCAGTCACAGGACAAAGTTTTGATCGCCCTTGACTCACCGCCAAAGAATCCACCAGATCTGGTGGATAACTACAACTACAAAAGGACTGAAGAGTCTTCACGCGACCTCCTTCCTGGAAGAACAACTTTTCTGAGAACCCGAAACGAGTTGTACACGGACGCAATATGTGTGAAACAATAATAGTACAGTGCCCAAAAATGCCAGTTTATCTCTTTTAAGTGGACCAAGAAACGTGAGGCGCGACTGGGTAGACGTGCCATGCTTCAAATTCGACCTTGATCTCCGTAACTCCGTGGACTCTGATAGGCAGCCGTGCGAGTTTTGCGCAGGCACCACCACACCCGTGATGAGCAGATCACACCAGCCCCGCCGCTCCCCGGGGATGACCAAGCCATGTCCCCATCACGCCTGAGCAGTCGGCAGAATTCTTAGTCCTTCCATCAATTCGAAAAGCTGGAGCACTTTTTCCTCCGATGTCCCATGAAAACTTCTGCTTGAACTTGGTCGGCTGCACAATGCAACATGCGCAGGCCCATTCGGTGAATTGCGGGCCTCCAGCTTCAAGGGACATCCCTTTGGGGTAGGCTGTCATTCTCGCATCTAAGATCGCTGGCAACCGCGATGGCCCGAAAGCCTGCCCAGTGATGTCCACTCCACCCCAGATCCCTGCGTGCATCCTAATGCGCGTGATATCGCACGTCTTGCCCATTCACGGCTTCGAGCAAGACTTTGCGATAGATCAAGATGCAAAGAAACTCCCTTCTTCCCCGGGGGATCGATCCGAATCGCTTTAGAGCCCTGACAGCCTTGTCACCGGACAGGCCGTGGGCTGCTAGGCGCCGACACCGCCTCGTCCAGTCAGAGCTGCCAAGTCCATGAGAAGGAATTATCACATGCTTCTGCATATCCAGAACTTCAATGGCTCCAAAGGAGAGGCGGGGGAAGCGGGCTTGACTTGTGCGGTATCGAATTGCAGGCGCCGAGGCTGCAGAAACGGGCGGCGCTCAGTTTTGAGGCCGTACCAGTGGTTTCACAGGAGAGAATGGCCTTGCTGATCCGTGGATCCGACGTAATCATGATTCCATGTCGATGAAATTGCGGCGGTGATATGACAGGCCTCAACGCCTGTGACGTTCAGTGACGAGAAACGCGCTTCCTATGTTTCTCCTCAGCCACGTTTTCGACACGTGCTACACAAGGTCGTCTCCACCGAAATTAGTTGCATAGCGATAAAACTGTGCACATTACGTCTCGGTGTCGTCTGAGGTACTGATCGTCGACGCTGGAGGCGTCATGTGCATGTGGTGGCCAATGACCTATGTGACGCGATGTATACGTCTTTTCCCAACAGGAGTCCATGGGGACCTGGCTGTCAAACAAGCCCCATGAGCCAGGTATTTCAGACGAGATCCAGAAGGCAAATCAAGATCCCTGTGCCGCCTTTTGAAATCATCGGTGGCGCTCAAAGACCATAGATCTAGATCCGTCCAGGCGTCGAATCCTCTGGATCTTTGGAATCTTCTGGACGTTTGGAAACGTAGTTGCACATTCAACAAATCTGTAACAATATCAGGCCGAAGAGGCGCATGAGGTAGGGTCGGGTACAGTAGAACACTCGAGTCTCGCGGGAATAGCCAAGGATTGTACTCAGGATGGCTGCTTCCGGGGCAGCTAACGGTGCTTTGAGCTGTGCTATGCAGTGCTTCCGCCACAGTGACTTGTCGTACGATCCGGCACCTAGTCCAAGTGAGTTGGATATTCGAAAGACCGTGGATTTATCATTGTGTATTGTACCACCACACCTGCCTGTGCATCTGGCACCGGAGGCGTTCCGCGAATTTCAGGAAAGCTGGCCAACCGCTTGCTCACTCACGCTAGTGAACCCAACGGATTGCGAAGCGGCCCAGGCGAGCAAGGCAGGCATGCATTCAGGTGCTCATACGGTCAGGCGTTGAGGCGTTCGAACGAGGTGTGATTCATGCGTGTTGTCTTTCTGGCAGCCCGCCCGAAATCGTCACTCAGGCTTCCTCGGATTTTCAATATACGACCAGTGCGATGAGAAGACCAGGAATATCACGGGCAGAGTGGGCCTTGTGCAAAAAGGGCAACCACGGCGGAAACGAATTGCGGTAGTATTCTCGAAATATACTTAGTTGGGTAGCTCGGAAGAACTCCGGGAACGATCCCTGGCCGCCCACACTACCGGGTGTGTCCGGACATTGGTCCACGATCTTAAGCGTGCTGGTCTGTCGAAGCTCGTTGATCTCTGGCTCGTCCGTAAGAGGCATGGGACAAGTGCAATGTCGAGCTTCCGCGCAGCCGCGGTGGGGTTCGTCATCCCTTGCGCAGGGTACATATAACGAGCAGTTGAGCGTTGCCAAGGCGGGTGCGCACAACCGCCCGATGAGGAGAGTAAGTCCTTCCGTTCGTGGGGTCGTAGAGATCTTTCCAGGGGTCTTCTCGAAATTTCGGCCCTATTCTCTCGGTCTGGGTAGTTATAGGCGCTGCAGGGCACTGCTGGTGCAGCCCTGACAGCGCTGACGACCGTGCTCGTGACGGAACTTCCCTGCCAGAGCGGGATGCTACCACTAGGTCTTCCTGAGCATGTGAAGGGATCCCGGGTGTTCAGGATGGGGCATCGAGCCTGGGTAGCTCACGGCCCAATCAAGCGAAGGAGTGCTTTCGAGCTGATTGACTTGGTACCTCGAGGTCGGGACCATCGGTGAGCACTGCTCAGGCCTGGCGGGTCCTCGAAGCATCGCGAAGCTTCGAGTCAAGACAGCGAATCAGGCTTGCCGCCGTGTTATGATGGCTCGATGACGGCGAGGACTTTATAAAGTGCCAGTGGGAATACCTCCGCCACCAACATATTTATCGCACTCCAGGTCTACCAACTTCTAGGGTTGCGTGGAAATAAAGCGGCAACCAATTCATGATTTGCCAGCTCGATCGGCGGTCCATCTGGGGGCTAGACCGGGCGTCTGGAGTATTACCAGCGTATGCTTGGGCTTACCAGAAGGTAAGCGCACACAGCACGGACCTATCAACGGGGCCAGGGAGCAAAAGCTCCGGGGGCAACCCATTTACAGCACCCCAGTCAGAGACTTTAATGCTGGGTGTGGACGAGTAGGAGGAGGTAGTCGTCCAACAAATATTTCGCGGGGAGAAACAGAAACACCAGCTTTTTTCTATACCTCCTAAAACCCGGGGAATTAGATGGATTTCTCGTCTCCTCCGGAAAGCGGTAGAAAACCACCGCACAACCTCGCGAGACAGACTCGTCCCACGCCTTGAGCGCGCAGCGACGACCAGATACCGTCACCGTCCGCCCCACATTCTCTTCTGGACCAAGGGGCGCTCGTGAATGCAGGCTGACGAGGAAGAACGTCTGTGGCAAAAACCAAAATCTGGTGGCGGTATCTCCATGATTCGGCCGTTCCTTCTCCTCGACTTGCTTGTCAGTCCCCTTCGTGTATCTACTTATTTCCGCCGGAGGAATTGCCCCGCGAGACTCGTGCTGACTATTGCCAGACACGTCGAGCGCATTTGTTTTGAAAATCATAAAAGAGGCACCAATATCGAGTTGTCGATGATGCGCTGGAATTCTGTTGCTGAGACACGACACTTTCAAAACCTGTTGTGGAGAACCTTGCATGTTTGGACTTCATGTGCGAGAGACACTCTTACGACTGCCCAGTTTGCGGGAAAGAATATCTCATCTTCGTCAAGCTCTGTCCGCAATTCAGCCCATCAAACGCATCTTGCCCGCGAGAGATAACCGAGGTAAAAGAGAATATGATCGAGGGACGGTGTCCAAGTCCTGTCTGTCCTAATAGCAGGTCTGGGGGCTGTGTAGTCAGTTGATACCGATTCCAGCACGCGGCAAGCCCTATCAGCACCTCAACCACCGAGACCCAGCTGGGTGAATTTACAGCTTCTGCCCGTTGGCGCCGACCTCGACAACTTGATCGATGCCTTCGTACTCTGGCACTTCGAAATCATACTTCTTCGCAATGGCCGGCGCCACGAACCTAGAGTTTCTCAGCAGCTGCCCGGAATAATGAGTTGTCTAGCGGTACGCACCTCCCGCCAATAAAGTGTCGGCCCTTGAAGAACTGTACGAGTGGTTTGGGCGCTGTCAAGCTGATAAGAGCAGTAGGATGGAATTGACTGCCTAGGCCCGATTTGGGGGGGCCGTCCTCGATGTTCCAAGACGATGGAGCGTCTACCGAAGTCACTGGGAGCTTGGTCTGCTCCATGGCCTTGATAACGGCAGGAAAAGGCTCGCGGACCTCGCCGGAGAAGCTGAAACCTACGAACAATGAGTGTGATGCAACAATCGCGCAACAGGGTCATCTGCACGACGAACCGAAAACCGCATCGACTATGTGGTCCGTGGACTCGATCGCCGTTGGGAAATCATCGGTGAAAGGAATCTCTAGGTCTTCCAACTGTTTGGCCAGACGCTAGGTAATGTGTCAGCATCGGACCAGACGAGAAAATCACACGCACGCGAGAAATGAACAGAAAGGAACAATTGCGAGAATGCTCCTCTCATCACTTTTCGACCGAAACTTTGTGGCCTGTGTGCGGTCATGTAGACTTAGGGGCCAAAGGCTCCCATTGCCAGAGGCTGGCCTTGGCACAACATTTCCAAGACTGGTGTAGAGTAAGAATCAGTACAACACCCACCTGATAGAGCTCATTCTTGCTTCTCTTGGGGTAATATATGGTCGGTTGGTAACCGTACTGCCGGAGATGTCGAGCAGCAACCAGTCCGTCCCCACCTGGATGCGAGGTCAATACTGGCCCGCAGACTTCGAGCCAGTCATGGGCGGTAACACACCGTTATTTCCGGGACCGCACGCAACCAAGATCCGGCGGCCACGGCTGGGAGGCTGTACTCGATAGACTTGACAAAGCGTCAGCCAGCTCGTAGTATTAGAATCAAGTGGTGCAAGAACAGGATTGTACCGGCTTGTGAGACGGACAGCCCGGCCAGTTCCATAAGCTGGTCAATCGAGAATGCCCCAGTACTCATCAGCTCTTTGTCCAGAGCTGCAGCGGCCTTGGGCCCAAGAAACTATAGAAAGGGAGTTCAGTAGAGCCATTCTGCTGCACACTGATGTTGGCGGTGGTCTGATGGGCAGGGTCGTACACACTTTCAAGGTCATGGTGAGAATTGCCTGGATTTCTTCTTTCGGATTTTGGGTGCCTAGGGCATGGGATGAATAGACTCAAAATAGGCAAGAATTAGAGTTAATGCATTGAGATGTCCGACTGGGCCAATTTAAAGTGCGGCACAAACTGTGTTGTCATTGTGAGGCTCCCCAACTTTCTGGATGTTTCCGAACTGACATCACCGCCACCAGCGCCGTGCTGCATGCACAGGGATGCGGATGCCGATCAGGATGACTAAGGCCCGCCAGATCTGATTGGTGCTCCCCAACGTCGAAGGAAAGAGCTTGGGCTCCACCCAAAAGTTGATGGCGCAACGCCCTCACTTGGGCTGTATCGTCGCGTCGCTGCAGTCGGTCGTGTCGGATCCAAACGCAGCAATGGTTGTCAAAATCAGACTCGCCCGCTTCGGGCGGACCAATTCGCCCTTCTACAACATCGTCGTCGCACATGCAAGGCAAGATACCCCAAACCCTCGCGCCGCCCGCTCGCCTCAACCAGAGGAGCCAAAACGCTGACCTCTGCCCTCCCATTCTCCAGGACGGCGCGAAACTCCAAACCTCTCGAGGTCATAGGCACCTACGACCCCATACCGAAGAAGGATTCGTACGATGAGTCGGGAAAGCTACACAAGGACATCAGGCTCGACGTCGACCGGGCCAAGTACTGGGTGGGTGTCGGGGCACAGCCGACGGACACAGTGTGGAGGTTCCTCTCTATGGTACGTTTGATGCTCAACAGGACAGATCCTCAATTTTTTTTGGTCGCGCATTTGCTAACGGAGCGAACTCCCAGCTTGGAATACTGGAGCCAAAGTACCGACCCAAGGCCAAGAACCCACCTCCGCCGCTGCAGACGGACAGCACGACCACGACTAGTATCTGATGGGCAACGAGTCTGTTTTCTTTACCGGCATTCTTGAGGCGTCATATTGGTGTAATTGTGTATTATATGGGAGTGGGCTCGTGCTGCGGAGTCGCAAGAGACTCTGATCAAGATGTTTAAAAATGGGACGAGCCATCGAAATGCATCAAAACCACCTCTCAGCCGTGTTTATCTTGGATTCGCCATTGAACGATTTGTCCTGTAGTCGTGTTAATTCTCAGAGCCCTAGGCTCTTCACATTGCCTCTGCTCGCTGCGCTTGGCCGCTGAGCAATACGAACTAGTGAAAGCAGGACGACTCGAGAGTGTATTCTCGACGGGTCCATGATATCGACGATGACCGATCTTGCCACGGACGACAAGGATGACTGCATGCTTCTGATATGGGTAGCTTTCCCCGAAGTGGGGGGGGGGGGGTCATGTATCGCCAACTCATTTCAATGACCTGTCCGGTGCGTTTCCCTCAATTTCTGGTATTGTGTACGCCGCGGGTGTTGAGCCATGATCAAGCGACTGAGGCCACTTACTTCCGTCGAATAGACCAAATCTTGAGATCAAAGATATGCGCCTGGTTCACCGAATTTTCAGCAGGGGACACCGGTCATTCCGAGCCAGCAGATGGTGCAACAGAATGTACAGGGTAATTGTGGGACAGATTGGCCGTAGAAAAATAATGTACGAGCCTGTAGCGTGCCTGGTGTAGGCACGTTCGTGGGCATAAAGGGCCTCAAAAGCTTCGTGAGGACAGGGCTTGCACTTTGCGGCTAAAAAGGACAATATGAGGAAAGATCAAGCAGGCACCAGCGATAGGGCCCTGATTTTTCCTTTCACGACCCTAGTGTGCTTGGAACTCTTTGACAAAGAAGGTATAGCGCGAACAGAATCGACAATGGACAAATGGTAGGTATCAGGTGTAAATCATCTTAGTTCATAGGCTCTTGGTATTGACGTGTAGTACTGGGGCCATTGCGTCTATGAAGCAGAAGTATCCAACAAAAATGAAGCAATCCAAGCCCAACGCCGAACATGTCTAGTCCAAGGCCAGCAACATCAGGATTGGCTCTGTGGAAAGAAAGATCAGACGGAGCCCCCTAGCCCCTGAACGCCATATATATGCAAAGGAAAAATGGTGAATATGACCCATAAGGGGCGATGCAGAACGAAGGGACGGGTAAAAGCGAAATGATACAAAATGCCTCTGATGCCTCAAACAGCTCTCCTGAGAGGGTCAGCAAGTGTCACTGTGTGGTGACGTGCACTGCTTTGCCCCGGTGTTCTAATGTGCCACGGTAAAGAAGGTATTCAGCACCAGGCAGACCACCATGACGCACATGCCGTAGATGGCCAGGCACAGCGCCAGCCTCCTCAACAGGCCATGCTCGATGTGCTCCATGTCCCACCTCCACCTCTTGCGCATCCTCCACAAACCGCCGTAGCCGGCACTGATGCCAGAACGGATACTTCCAGCAGCCTCTAAGATACCCGAGCCGCTCGGCTCGAATCCAATATCTGTATCGTCACTGTCGTTTGCATCCACGTCATCGTCTTCCTTTGTGAGCCTCTGGTGATGGATACTATCCGGGTCGCTGATCTTGTAGTAGAACAATCCTGGGAGAATGAAGCTGATGGAAGTAGACCCTGTAGCGCCGACATAGGCCAGCACACGGTCCAGCTGGCTCACGGTGAGGGAGGTGATATAAGCCAGCACTATTATGACTGTCGTGAGAAGCGCGAAGCGCATATCGGACATGGCCACAGCAGGCGCACCGTGGCTGTCGGTCGGTCCCGACCCCGTAGGGAGAAGAGAGCGGTTGCTAGGAGAGTCTGGACCGCGCTGGGCACGGTTGGGTCGCCACCTGAGCACTGCGTCGAGAGAAGCTCGGCAAGGGTGGACTTGAAGTGGAACACTGAACATGACCAGCACGACGATGGCGGCTTTGCCGATGGTCGAGGCCACGGACGAAGGGTACATCATGACGATGTTGCCGAGAACAGTGTTGCCAAACGTCAAGTAGCCGGTAATTGCGACCAGGACGTAGATGCTAGCTGCAGACCCGATGCTGGACGAGATGACGCCGACGATGCTGGCGGGCGTGTTATCCTTGATCTCGTTGATGACGGAGAACATCTAGCATATGTTAGTGAAACCTCCAGTGATGAAGAGTAGAGGCCAGGCTCGCGGCGCAAGGAAAGAACCTACATTCTGATGGCAAGTATACGCAAATACTACCACGGGTAAACTGCTGAGAAAGGCTACGGGGCCATTCCAAGCGATGTAGCTGACATCGCCCCGGTTTTCTACCGAGTCGGAGGCGAAGTGGTAGACAACTAGAACAATCAAGTATCCAATGGAGATGAGCGCAATCACGCTCGTGTACTTGAGTGAATCCAGTCTTCTCAAGAAACTAAGAGGTATGATAATGAGCATAAATGCTGTGATCCAGAAGTTCCGGTCGACCAGGAAAGGGACCCGGTCCGCGTTTTCATTAAAGCCCCTGATGACTCCTGGCATCAAGTCGCCAATAATGATCAAATAGGAAACAGCGACTCCAAAGCATTTTATGGCGATTGCGGCGTCAAATATGACAGCAGCATTTGGGTATGTGAGTTGTGAGAGCGCAAAGAAGGACGAGCTGCCTCTATCGAGGTATCGGGCGCACCGGGCTTGAAGGTAGAGTCCGAATGCAGAGGTAATCCCCGACCACACTATTATAAAGGTTCCTAGCAGCATTCCCATTTGCGACATGGCATGAGGCATCGCCAGGGTTCCGGCGCCGACGATCGTGTTTAGCAGGTTGATGTTACTGCTCATCATAGAGGCCTGGCCTCCTCCTTTGGGGCTGCGCCCTCTTTTTGGTCTGCTATCGCACATGAGGTTAGCATTAGAAGCAGAGTTCAAGCAAGATAGTGGTGTGCATGGGATGATGAAGTCCGTGGGCATGCGACCAGAGTCGGAAAGCCCCCCGCGATTATTCTCCGAGGGCAACAAGGCAGAGCTCAGAGGAGAGCCCCTGGCCTTGACGTTTGACGATGATCAGGGTAGGGAGACATACCGTGCCATGGCTCCGGCTTCAGAGCCAGTTTCGTTTCCATCAGAGAAGGTCGAGTAATTCGTCATATCACGAGCGCCAGACCACAAGCCACCAGCTCTTTCAGGGCGCAGTTGTAGGCAGGGAGGTCCGTTCGCTATCGTCGGAATCGGCACGTTCTGGTGAGGCTGACAGAGTCGTCGACGTTGGCGTGGAAGGGAGTCGTTGTCGAGGGATCGAGAGGGCCGCGCAACAGTTCCGTAGATGTCTCGGAGAGTGTATGCGCAAGTGGGCACGAGATGTCTGAGTTCGGACAAGCAAGGCACAATAGAGGATGAAGTCTCGGCCGGATCTTGGAGACAAAGTACGGGAATCGACTGCCGCTGATCGGCTTGTAATCGGGTGGGCGGGCGATCCAGTCTAAACCGGCAAGCGGCTAGCAGGAGGCTCCCGATACGCAGAGCTTGACACCTGGACACCTTGACACCACCCCCCAGCGTTGACGTGATGGAGGAAAAAGATGAGCAAAAGGTGACTGGACTGATGCACTCGGGATAGGCCCATGCGGTCAGCGCGCTGGGAAAGGCCGCCACAGAGCTGACTCGAGAGTCACAGGTCTCGCAGGGACAGCGCTCGCAGCGCCAAGCTCAAGTGACACCTTGTCGTCACACGACGTTGGAGAGTAAGGACTGTGGTGTCTCTGCCACCCTACTGCCTCCAGTAGGTAGCAGTACGTAGTAGGGCTGTCTTGAACTTGAAAGGCCAACGAGGCACATGGGGCAGGGCAGGACAGGGTTGGCTTTCCCGGCTCTGGCCACGCCCACGCCCACCTTTGCCCCAGAAACCTAACCTTACCCGCGCACCCGCGGAAATGGGCCCTGACACTTGGAATGGTCTTGGCCTAGCGCTCCTCCCTCTGACGTAAGGTGCCATCTGTTGTCAGGCCCACCAATCAACCATCCTCTTCCAAGCTTTCAGGGGGTCCAGGCCCAGGGTTACACATCCGCCAGGGCTCACTCTCTTCCTGGCGACCCAAATCGAGCTTGCTGAATTAGGGTTTTACACTGCAGGTTGTACGACGACGAGGACGACACGCGACACAAGCGTTTGACACTTTCAACGTGGTGGCGATATATTGCGTGGGGAGAGAGGACAATCCATTTGACGACCAGACGACCAGACGGGTGGGTTTGTTTACATCGCACGGGCAAAAGACAGGTTGTTTACACGCTGGAGCTGCAACACGCGGTTCCCACGCGCAGGACGATGGAGGAACAATCCCTTGACAGGACCACCCTCGCCACCATCTCGCTGCTAGAGGCCCGTCTCCTGCGCATTGAGCAAATCCTTCACGGCTCAACGTCGGTATCAACCTCAAGGCCGGTCGGCGACTCCGCGACCGAATCCCTCACCGACCTCGAACGTCGCTTCGCAACCCTTATCTCCCGCTTCCGCGTCTATGCCGACATCCTCAAGCTCTGTATGTCACTTGTTCATCCACCGCTTCCCATGGACTGAATGACTCGACTGACGATATCACCAGACCGCACTCACCCGACCTTCTTCCAGTCCCCAACAGCCGACGATCCACCCCCTTCCCAGCTCGACACTGCGGCACTTCGCGCCACGGTGCTCTCCTTCGCCTCCTCGTTCCCCAGCAGCGTCTCCGCTCTCACGGCCGTGACATCCGACACGCCTGTGCCAGACCCAAAGCTCAGCGCCGACCTCGTCTCCCTCCTGCCACGCATGAAAGGCGTCGAGGCAACACAGCTGGCCCAGGAGGCCGAGATTGGGGAGCTGCGGGACCGCAGCGAGAGAGTGGTCAGGAAGTGGTACGAGGAGAAGGTCGTAGGGTATGGCAGGTTCATCGCTGACGTGGAGGGACGTGTGGAAGGTGTGGAGCGGAAGGTAAGGAGAGCGGAGGCACTGAGGGAAAAGGAGAGCGAGGCTGTATGAGATGGAAGGGACGGAGGATTCGCTGGGCCCAGTCCCAGAGATGCGTCCCGGAATATTCCAAGCCATTGCGACTTGGTGCGGTGTCCCGATTCTCAAGTCTCCAAGGTCCTGCGCGCAAAGCCCTTCGCGCTGTGGTCGGGGGTATTGGCACGCATCCCGAGGATGACCACAATGCTCCCCGGTGGTTGCATGAGGATCCTGCGTCCGACAGCTTGAAGTCAAGAGTGGACTACCGATCTGGTCAACCACGTCGTGGGCTGAGGCTCAGGAGTACGACCGCGTTACTGTCAACGGGAAGTTCTTCCATGACACTCAGGCCACGGCAAGTAGGCCAGGAACACGAGCAAACACTTCGGTACGGCGGCCGGGCGAGGCCGCATGTTTACACGCGAGTTGCCGGCTTGTGCCTGGCAAGCACAGTACGTACCTATGCAAAGCTACGATACCTGGTTCCAGCTCAGCCTCAATTTGAGAACAATGCTCAATAGTCTTTGCACTGTGTAGTCACCTGCAGCGGTATCGCATAGGGCTCTACATGACAGACGCGCAGCTTTGCAGAATCACAACCCGGGAAGTGCCAGCTCCGCGTTTCAGGGCCTGTGATATCACTCAATGCGGACTGCCCTCTTTCCCCGGTGGCTGCCAGCCGACGAATGTCTTGGGCATTTCGTAATCGCAACATCAGACGATTGTTCCTCCCTGCTTGAATGCTGGCCATCATGTCATCTTCAAGCCTCGGCAGTCTTCTCTCGCGCAGGTGAGCACGTGTGGGCCAAGATGGGTGTTCCACCAGAAATCACGGGAAGCTAGAGTGGTGCTGTCTGGTTCTACGGGGCGTTCGGATGCTCATCGCGAACAGACCTGCTTTGCGGCAAGCCACTTGTTTTACTGCGAAGTAGTTGGCGCAAGATCGTCTTGAGCCGGCTGATCGGGAGAGCCAACTAGCTGAAATAGATCGGATGATGGCCGTGATGGGAGGACCCAAGTCCCCATTGAGATAGGCCAAGGACTACATGTCAAAGTGCTGAGCTGTAAACAGACATTTGGCGTGGATAGTATATTATTAGGAATAGACCCATTTCATGCGTGCAGTAGTGGGCAGCCTTTACCAAGAATGGGCAAATGTCACGATTTGCCGGTTGTTTCAATGGAGAGGACCTAACGACATCGGATTACTGTAGTCTCAGTCCCCGCGAAACAAAAATGTCATCAACGTAGCACATTCACCATCGAGCCCCAGCGGATATGAGGACTAAGCGCCACATCGAGTTGTCGGGGGCCACCCACAAAGTCGGTACTACTGCGAAGCCGCTGCTGGTAGCGGATGGTCTTGCTCTCAGCGCCCGTACCCACGACACCGGCGCGCTACGGGCCCTGATCGACGCCGGTGACCCGCTTGATGGCGGAGCATATGCGTGTGTGGGCAGCCCTAAATTCAGGAACCCAGGTGGGTGGTGGTACAGTGCGCGCTTACGGACGGACGCAACACCAAAGAGGTTGAAGGCGACTAGTCAACTTGTTTTCAGAAGTTGAATCAGGTGGTACATTGCCGCGACCATGTTTCGGCTGGCCATGGCCGTCGAGGCCGATTACCCCGGGTTTTCCATCTGCCTACGCAGGCAGGTATCTGCACGCCACGAGCCTATTCGCAGGAGGGGGAGATCCGGGGCCTCGGAGATCATAGACTGCCAAGTTGGGCTTGCTAGGTTTCAGGCGCCGATCCCTTACGATATTCGCAGCTCGCGGACTAGACGGCTCTGGTGGCGGCAGCTACTCGGATGCGCGCACAGCTGCCAGACTTTTAGAGTTGGCGACCACGGCGATCAAACGGGCGAAGGCGCTGCAGTGGGGGAGGTTCGTGGATAACAGTGAATTGGAGACCCATCGGGGCCAACGTGTCGAAATCCACTGGGCACAGTTGACGGGCTGGAGTGGGACACAGGCGCTAGAGAAGCAAGCGCTGAGACCGCAATAACCGCTCTCGGTGGTCTGTGGGCTTCTCTATGACGGGGTATCTAGGTACGCCCTGACGGGTTCGTCTGTATTTTGGACTAACCATTGTGTCACTCCGCCTGAGTACTCTTAGCCTGGACTTTTTTGAGGCGATTCGTTTCGCATGAGATGGAGGCGGAATGCAGATTTGGCCCTCGGGATGGGAGGATGGAGTGCCATGTGTGATCGACAGGCAGGCCGTGATAACAGCAAGTTTCAGGCTTGGCTCTGAGCTGGATCAATCAGCTGGCTCGTGTGCCGGCTCTGTCCCCGCCTCGGATCCCTGCGATGTTTTGGCGATGAAGGCCAGAGCCGCGCATCCGGAGTCGGCAGGATACGTGAGGAGATGTCCACGTCCTGCCATTCGTTCCGGTCGATTGAAGAATGCAGCTCCTCCTGTCACACCGCCGTGCTTGTTCTGTAGCAGGTGCCGCGAGGGGATCGCCGAGGTCAGGTTTGGTCATTCGGTACCTTCATGCACAGTAACGGAGCACATATGCAGGAGCAGGTAGCACTGGCTCCCGAGTTCGTGCCGGACATCCAATGGAAATGCTATCGGTCTGGGGCGTTGTAACCCCCGAAAAGCTCAGCGCGCGAGGTTGGCCAAAATCTTGTCAAGAGTTTGACGGTCTTGACACAGGGCAGGACTAGTTACAGTAGCTTGCAGAAGTCGTCTGAAACTCGACGACAGCTTCTTCTACCCCTGCATGGTCACAGCCGAACCACGAGGGTTGACAAGGGATTGGACTTTAATTTGCAGCAGTCAAATGGATTTGACAAGTTGCGCCCCAAGTGTCACCGGCGAGAGCCCACATGGTCGGAGAATTAGAGATTTTGCTGGGTAGTCAAAGACTAGCTATCCACGGCCTTAGTAGCACTTCTATCCCGGGACGATCTGGAGTCGTTACCAGCCTATCATCGCGTCTAGGCCCTGATCAATTGTCCTCTTCTGGAAACCACTCGATCCTGGTCTGTTCTCAAACGCCCTTCCGAGGCCGTTCACTTCTGAGACTTGACTCGACCTTGCTTCGGCAGCAGCCTACCGAGCCTCGTAGACTCTACCTACCAGATTGACGATGCTGATCGCCAAGCTGATGCACAGCACCAGGCGAGCCTTCTTCGCACATGGCGCAGAGGGCATCCATGAAGGAGACTGACTGGGGCCGCAGGCGACGCATCGAGGTCCAAAAAGCGCAATGGGGCCTAAAATTGAGTCTGCTTGGGCCTCATTGGACCCATTGGGTTGGACAGACGACGCGAACCAGTGGCGTGAGCGTGAGTGTGAGTGTGAGTGGTTATCTATATTGCAACGATGGCTAGAGGATGGGAAAGGGCAGGAAAGGATCCAGACGGGGGAGGTGACAGTTGCACACCACCACGAGCGCATCCAAACAGGCGCAGTCTGAGGTGGCTATGCTCTCCAATGCATAATGAGTAGCCCCATTTCACCACCAAGTTGCATCTCTGGCCCATCAGCTGCAAGCCGGGGGAGGAGAAGGAGGGGTTCGAAGGTCGAGGTGTGCCGCCTGGGCGCTCCCTGCCTGTGCCTGTGCCTGCTTCTGTGAGCCCACCTGGGCCGGTGTCCTCAGTCAGCACTGCCAATTCTGGTTGAGCTAGGACCTCCTTCGAGTCCTTCCCCTGCAAGGTCTGGCTCCTCCCTGCCAGGTCGCAGCCCAGCAAGACGGACACACACACACACGCACCCACACACGCAACTCCTCCCAAGCCCCACGCACAGTGCCTGCAGTGGAGCCCCCCATTGACTCTCTTCTCTTCACACCCCTGCTACGAGATCAAGCCGCTCCTTCTCGCCTGCCTTTCCCTGTCGCTTTCTCTTCAATCCAATCCAATCTCACGCCCACCACCATTTCCCCTTCTTTGCTTGGCTAGACCACGGCATCCTCCTCTCCCTTCCCCCTTCCCCGACTTCATCTATCCGCCCAGGCCCTGCACAAGGCGACCTAACCTGTCCTGCTCTGCCCTGCCGCTGCCCTGCTGTGCTGTGCTTTACACATACACATCATCCCCATACCCAATCTTTCAATTCCCTCCTCTCTTTTATCCCTTGCCCTGACTCACGATCAATTCGATTCTTTACTTCTTCGACTCCTCGGCTCCTCCTCGACTATCAAGGACCCTCGCCTGTCCGACTCCTGTCGATCAATCGATCCATCTCACGACATTCGACCCGACCTTGTCTGCGTGTATTCAACCAACGGTAACTAGAGATCTACGCTGTCCGGCACTGCGAGGAACTAGGCCGGCTCTGAATCGATTGCCAGAAGGAGGAGAGAAGAGAACCAGTTTCAGTAATCTGCACAATTCGAAAGAGGTGGTATTTCGGCCAAGGCGGGACTCACGGCGACGATTCGCTTCCTGGACTGCACGATTCACTCCCCGACAGCGACATTTCTGCTTTGGGACCTGCCGCCCCATTCCAACCTGACACAGGAAATCACATCGCACGGAACCTCAGGAATCTCCTAATACGTCCGACACGGCCTTCTGATCAACCTGTCGCCTTCATCACAACAAGATTGCCAGCCCCATCCCGTTCTGGTCAAATCTCGTCGCCGTTTCTACCAACAGCCTGTGGCTCTACTTGCCGCATCCACCAACACGAGCCCACTCTGCGAATCGCCAACCACAAAATCGAAACCACGCGAATCGTGCATCAGCCATCAATTGAAACTTGAACCCTGCGCCAATGTTTCTTTGAGAAACCCTTCGACTCGTTGCAAACATTTACAGGCCGTACTATCTTTCACGGTAGTTTGTTGCACCTTAATCTAGCCATCCTACCAGTCGCTCCACATGCCGAATTACGGCTCACTCCATTCACCATCGCTGCGCAAAATGGAGTACAACAGGCAAAACAGACGACGAGGAATCGACGTCGGCAACATTATTGGCGATCCATTCGCTCTTGCTACCATCTCCATCTCAGCGGTAAGTCCAGCCCACGGCCCCCCCTTTGGCCCCCTTCAGCCCAGCCCAGCCTTTCCACTTGAGCATCCTGCCACCCATCCTTCGCCCCCAACGGTCAATTTTAGACGGGCCGTTTTGCTGACAATATGCTAGCTTGCATGGGTCATTGCCTTCATCGCATCTATCATCGCCCAAATCCAGACCAGAGATAGTTTCCCCACCTACACGTGGTGGACTGTGGTCTACTACTTCTTCACAGTAGGCGGGGTCTTTGTCGTGGTCGCATCCGACACCACCCAGACCTACCATGTGGCCGTGGTCGGCTACCTCGCATGCGGGCTGGTCCTTACCACCTCGTCTGTGAACAGTCTCGTCTACTCGGCCAACGGCGCCAAAGAGGCTGCCTCTGCGGGATTCATCCTGTTGTCAATGGTCACCGTACGTCGCTTACATTGCTTGCCACGGAATTGCAGGAACTGTACTGACCGAACATTCAACAGATTGTCTGGATTTTCTACTTTGGCTCTGCACCTTCGGCCGTTCCAAGAGCCTACCTCGATTCTTTTGCGTTGACCAAGGAGTCCCACATGATGAACCGACAGACAATGAATGGATACGGTGGCGGCCGCCCCGAGACCTCGACATCTGTGCAGCCGCCGCAGATGTACACCTCTGCCCAACTCAACGGCTTTGAGAACCCTTCACCTGTCGCCGGAATCTCCACCGTACCCGGCGCTCGTACTAGCGCTGCGGCGAACGGATTCAGCAACTCGCAAATGAAGGCCCCTGGTGCTACGAATGCCGATGGGGAGATAGTCCCTCCGACCGAGTACCCGTACCGAGCCAAGGCCATCTATAGCTACGAGGCGAACCCAGATGATGCCAACGAGATTTCTTTCTCCAAGCACGAGATCCTGGAAGTTAGCGACGTCAGCGGTCGGTGGTGGCAAGCACGGAAGGACAACGGTGACACTGGCATTGCACCTAGCAATTACCTGATCCTGCTCTAGACGTCCGACCACACTCGGAAGAGCGGTTCAAGCATAGCTTGTGGGGATGAGAGAGGCACGACTAAGGCCATCAAGGAAACGGCCGCCTCCGAAAATTGGAGGCCGAGCCGCCTATGGGCCGCCTCGTTATGAATTGTATTATCAACTTAAGCGTATACCCAAGAGACTGGCCGGTTCGTGGTCTGTGCCCTGAGGATGAGCACAGCAGACTTTCTCCAACGGATCATGCACCGTAGAGAATTGCTGAGGATGGATGATTGATGGGAATGAGGTGCACCAGAAGTAAGGTGCAGGAGCCGTGCAGAAGGCACGGTGAACCTCGTCCATTCCGCCGCATTGGATGGGTTGGAATTAAAAGAATTATCAGGCAGACCTCGTTTCTGGGCCGGGCGAGGACATTATGAATTTGTTTTACCCTTCTTGTCTTATCTCCTCCCCTTACAGTCTCTCGTTGGGCAACATAACGAAATGCGACCACCGCACAGATTCCCTTTCTACTAAACCCTTTTCTCTATATCGCATTTTGTGTACACTCTGTCGTATGTGTATACGCCTCTGAAGTTACCCCACTACTATTTTCATTTTTTTTATTCTTGATCTGTTCCGGTTTTCCTTTTCTATACCGTTCTGAAACCGCTGTACACACCCCCTCATAAAGACATGGGTTTATGATTTTCATGGCTACGGAGCAGCTTGCATTTGCAGAACAGGACGGAGTCGTTGAATACGCACGAGATACAGTGTGGAGATTTGAAAACCGAGGCTGAGCCAGCCATGGCTACTGTGAATGAGAGAACATCGAACGAAAGAAAGACCATCTGCTCGACTGTGCATGTTTGATACCTTTGACTCGAGATCTAGCTGTCTTCACCCGGATATCAATAGAAAGCGACCGGTGTAATGTCCGATTACCCATGGGGCCCCCAAATCTCCTCTTTATCCGGACTGCGTTTGTGGGCCCTCTTTCAACAGTCTTGCGTCCCATATCCAAGGGGACCTGCCTGCGTGTGCAACACAGATCTTTTCAACAGCTTCCTCCCTACCGTGGGTTACCAGAGCCTCTGCACCTAGCTGTGCGTCTGTGTGCTACTCCGCAACATAGCCGTTGGGTTGGCCACGTCCAGATCCTGAACATCAGGTCTGCGAGACGCTCAGTTGCCCTAATACGTGTCCATGCTATGTAGGCAGGTATCTACTACACGTTTCCTTCGTCACGAATGCCGTGAAAAAGGGTCGCCGCCTCCTCGGTGATCGTAAGCAAGTAATGGACAAGGCCAGTCCACATCCTTTGCTTCCTTTCAGGTGTATGCGGGCTTCTTAGCCACGCGGGGTATATGTGATGTAGCGTCTCAGGCAGACGTGGCAGGAATATTGTGTTGTGGGTCTTCCAAAGGCGTTGAATGGAAAACGGTCCAGCACGCATTCGGTGCCACGTCGCAGAGATCGAAAAGCTGCCACCAATCACGCCTCCTGCAACCGCAGCCTCAACTCCCTCTCTTTCTGCACGACCTCCAGCTCCAGCCTCTCGACGCTGTACTTGAGCGCCTCCTTGCGCTGCCGGACGGCCCGCGCCTTCAGCCCCGCACCGCCGTCAAGCGTCTTCCTCCCGCCGGCGGCCTTGCCCCTCGAAGACGCGCCTCGCTTCGGCGCGGGCTGCTGTGGTGGCGGCGAAACGTCCCCTCTGCTGAGCCGCCCGGCGTTGAGGTCGCTCCGGGCCTTGAGGGTCTCGATGCGCCGCGCCTGGCGGTCGATCTGCCTGTCGGCGCGGTCCAGGAGGTGTGTCACGAAGGGGCCTATCTCGTCGCGGAGGGATGCTTCGGCTGCGGCGAGGGTTGGTTGAGGGATTAGCTCGTAGTGCTGTTGGCTAGGGTGTTAGCCGCTGCTGTCGCGTTGCCAGTGGCTTAGATGTTTTGGGAGGAGTGTGGAAGGTTAGAGTTTGGGGGTTGTGACGAGGGCTCTAAGACGTACGCGGACTGTCTTCAGCACTGATGAGAGCCTGGGGAAATCCGACACGCCGTTGCCGAGGGTCTCGACTGAGGACTCCAGGAGGTTGAGAGATGTGCGCAGGGAGGCCACGCAGTCGCCGTAATTCGACGGCGCGGGGGAGTGCGAATGGGACATGGCTTTTCGTCTGTCTCTAGGTCGGGAGTGTAGTCGAATCCCGGGTGCGAGTGTATGCTTCCGACGCCAAATCAGTAGTTGTTTCTGTTTTGTGGTTCGCTGTCGCCGTGTGGGCGAGCTCTAAGCGCGATGTGCTTGTTGATGCTGATGTTCCGGCAAAGTAAACAGTGGAAAGGTGGGATGAGGTCAGGTCCTAGGGCAGGGATCTTTGCGCCAGTGCAGGGCGGGTCTGGGGAAGCTCAGGGGTGTTTGCTGCCCCTCGACCGGATCGACCCGCATTGGCCCAGAATATGCATGTCTATTATCTGACAGCTTTGGGTGGACAGTGGTGTCCGTAATGTCACCGGGAGTTTTAATTAACCTAGCATCTACTACATATTCAAACGATCCAGACGGATGAGGACTTGGCCTTTGTCACCTAGCTCTCTTCGCTACTGCTGCAGGCACGTATGTCACCAAAGCTCTCGTCGTGAGCGTCGTCGGTACAAGTTGGACACAATGTGACCCTGCGCGCATGCTTCGTGCCGATCCACAGTGTCAAATACTCTTGTACTAGAGCTATTAAGCTCTCTTTGGCCTTTTTTGAAAGGTACTCGACCGTCTGCAATGGGGCAAGGTCGGACAGCACGTCGAGAAAAGGCGAGTCTCAAGATGTGATTCCCCTGTTTGTCTCCATGTACAGGTTGAAGCTTTCCTGAGCTCAATTTCCAGGTCATATCTTGAGACCACAGCTGTTGTGTTAGATTATGCCCTTCGCGACCGGATCCGAACCATAGCGCGATGTTTAACAGTAAAAGACTCTCTTTGGAAGCTATTACTACATTTCCGATTTTCAGTCGCCGTGGGTCAAAATCACGCTGACTTTCAGATCAGCAATAATGATCAGAAGCCAGGAGGTATTGATCGTCCTGTGTCAAACCACAAAATCTTTGCGCCTCTTCAGGACCCCCTCTCCTCACGATAGACTTGGGTCCGAAGCGAGAGGAGCCCAGGTTATCCGAGGAACTTGAATCTGAAGGCGATGGCTTTTCACCTGCTCAAAAGAGTCATCCTGGGACTGCATCTATTTACCGATGCTCGTGTTCACCAGGTTCTGGATTTTTGAGACAAAATTGAGCTCAGGCTCGGAACCCAATCATCCATCCTTGTGACCATTTCGTCAGTGTTATCTAAGCTCAGGAAAGACATCCTTCGTTGAATTTACGCCTCTCCATGTTGAATCATGAGCTGATGTCCAGGAAAGGGGCAATTACAGCCCGAAAGTAAATATTAGAAGTGAAGTATATATGACCAGTCATACTTACATATCAGGTCAGTTCATCTAATGTTGTGTGATCTAGGTGATTCTCGTGTTTTCCCCGTCAGATATTGTGCGGTCCAATTGCAGCAGAGTGCTTGTTTAAGGGAACTCGACAATCACTGTCTTATACACACAATTTCTCGGAAACCCAACTATGATATACAAGTAAAATCTTATTTTTCTATCTCTTTCGCTACCGTGGTAAGGCACCTGATACATCGCAGGCTCATTGATTCAGAGAGATAACGTCAATCGTATGCCGAGAGCTGCGATGTGGAGAAGCGAAAACCGGGTTGTGAGTCACAGAGTAGACTATCATCATTCTGTCCAACCTGAAAGTCAAGAAGATAGCACTAAGCATCTAGGATCTAGAAGTCGGCGCAAAATTCAGCCGCTGAGTCTAGGTATAGAACCCCACAGCTCTAGCTCGATCCGCTGCCTGGAATGTCGACACAAGCCCCTCAAGCCCCTCTGCAATCCGATTCTGCACGATATACTGCCACGAGTTCTTCCCAGTCTTGGTCAAGGTCAACCGCTCAACCAAATTCAAGATGCCGCGTAGCGCCCTCTTCGTTATTGACATTCAGCGCGAGCTCGCGCATGACCCAAAGACCCGAATTCCTCATGCGGACCGGATCTGCTCCGCCGGCGAGAAGATCCTAGCAGCTGCTCGGAATATTGTCGACCAGTATCGGACGGCTCAGAAACAGTCGCCCTCGATTATCGTCTTTGTCCAACACGAAGAGAAGCCAGAAGACGGCACCCTAGTGAGAGACACCGAGCCATGGAGGCTGGTATTCGAGCCACGGGAAGGCGTCCAAGAGGAAAGCCTTGTCGCGAAAACGACGCGTCAGTCTTGTTCTGGGGCTTGTATGGATCAGAAGGTGTGAATGGATAGCTGACCTCACCAGAAAACACATTTGAGTCAAACCCTGACCTTGCGGACAAGCTGAAAGCCGACGACATCACAGAGATTGTCACATTTGGCATACAGAGTGAATGCTGCGTTGTTTCCACCTCCAGAGGGGCTTTGGAAGCCGGCTTCAGGGTAACGGTATTGCAAGGTGCCCACTCAACTTATGATACCGAGTCCAAGTCTGCTGTTGAGATCGAGAAGGATGTTGAGCAACAGCTGAGAGAGAAAGGCGCGGATGTCATTCCGTGGGAGGACGCGATAGCCTCCTGGGAGCAGCGTCGCATGATCTCGAGCTATTCAATCTTTTCGGAATTGTGAGCTGGCTAAGTCCAGAGTCCAGGTTTATTTCAAAGCTGCTGCGGATCAATGGAAACGCATTGTGTACATTGCAGGGCAAAATATAGTACTTTTGGCAATCCTGTCGAGGGTGGAACTCCTTTTATATTGATTATAAATCTATCAAAGAACTTATGCCTAACTCTTAGCACCCTTCCTAGCTCTCAAGGTGCTAGTTCTCCGAAATTGATTATCAATATAATCCCGAGTACAATATCATACATATTCCCCAGCATTCTAACCAAGTGCTTAGTGAGACTGATCGTGGTAGCAAATGTGTCAAGTTATTAGATTTTTAACCGTGTATTCAATAAAACTTTTCAAAATCTAATCTAAAAGAAATAAATCTAATCCACAATTCCATTTTTAACAATATTATTACACTTTTATATATTAGAAGAATACAAATATTGTTTTCTTATAACAACCTTACCTAGATACAATGATCATACTTAGGTTGTTCCCTTATTAACACTATTTTTAAATAGCTTTAAAACGCAGACTATGTTTGACAAGGTTATTACAAATGATAGGAAAGGCTCGAAAAGCTGAGATCACATGCAGAGATGAAAAGACATAGACTGACAATCCTCCAATGCTCTTTCTCTCTCTTGAACTCGCCTGGAAAGAGGAACTAGGAAGCATTATTTTGAAACGAGCACCAGGGAAGGAGCACGGGGACAGGGGCACTGCGAGGAACGAGCACTGGACTGAAGCAGCACTAAGGAAGGAGCACTTACACCTTTGCGCCGACTAGTTGAAACAACTATTAATGATTTAAAAATATGATAAATATCTTTTAAAAATATATACTTGACAAAAAGGCAAAAGAGTGGACGACCACGGGATCGAACCGTGTACCTCGCGCAGGATGACTTCTTTTTGAAGAGAAGATTAATGCTAAGCGCGCGCTCTACCATTTGAGCTAGACGCCCTTGTTGGTTCTCCTGCGTCAAAATCATGCTGAGGATTCTGGTGTGAAAGAATTGTGGGGAAATTCGGAGTCAGGAGTCAAGGCTGGTGGCTGTGGCTAGGGCGGTTGGTCCCTGCAGGCCCCCGGGTGGGTCCCTGCAGAACTCCCTTATCGATAAGGCCCGCCTACCCTACAGCTGCAGCCCCAAGGGCTCCGCCAGAGCTCTCTTTCCTTCCTTTCTTTCTTAGGCCAGCCTACTCTTAAAATCCACACAATTTGGTGCAAACTTCGAGCCCACGTGCCGTAAAGCCCAAGTGACGTCTCATCAGGAGCGTGTCAAGGCCGACGGGTATGCAGGATTGTGGTTTCCTTGAAATAGTTTTATAATTCCTTTATATGTACTATTAGGACCACACTGCTACACTTTCGAAAATCGCAACATGTTATGATAGACCTTTCTGTGACTTGTTTACTTCCTTTTTTAACAGGCTATCCCGCATCATAAGAGGTTATCCCATAGGAAGTTATCCCACAGGAGATCATCCCACAGGAGGTTATCTCACAAGAGGTTATCATATAGGAGGTTACCTTATGAAAGATGATTTTGTAGAAGATAATTTTGTAGAAGATAATTTTGTAGAAGATAATTTTGTAGAAGATAATTTTGTAGAAGATAATTCTAAAGCTAATTCTTTTATAAGAGGCCAACTATTATAGAAAACTATGCTATTAGAGAAAGAGAATATCTTAAAGCTAGTTACTTTTATAAAATTAAATTCTTTTTATAACTAATCTCCCCCTCCCCCTTTACTTATTTAATCTATATACTATAGTTAAAAAGCAAATGCTTAAGCTTAAATTTGTTTATATTTTATTATTTTATTATTTATTTTAAATCTATCTAAAATATAAATAATCAAAGGTAACATCTCTTATATATACTTTGCTTGTCCTATAATAGTTTAGGCTGGGTAAGATTGATTAATGCAGAAAAACTCTCAACTGTTGAGTAATATAGCAGTGTTCCGAAGTGCAAGTTCTTTACAGGGTTAACAATGTCTATACATTTTGAGCTTTGTGACAGATATCAATCATTTGACCTTTGTGTATTCTCAAACGTCACCATCATTTGGTGAGGGGCAATAAGTATGCTCGTGTGCTATCAACGTTTAGCATCGAATCTGGTTTAGATACGATATGCATGAGGACTTAATACACTGAACGTGTATAGTTCAGGAATTAGCGGATACCGGAGTTCGACATAGGATGCGAGTTACTGTTCCTTTACCTGTGATTGGGTTGCGGTGTATGCGATGATTTTGATTACATCAAAAGAATGCTTCTAGGGTCATAATTGAGACAGCGCCTTGACCGCTGCACTATAGCTACGGGCTGTTTCCTTATTTAAAAGGCCAGAATTCCAGAACACCTTCTGGAATACAGTGCAGTCTTATATAGCTGTGCCGTCACAATAATTAGATTTCAACTTCATACGCACTTCCACAGGGCCTGCTCGCTGTGTACAACAGTTCATGTATCTCAGTGGCTTGCATGACACAGAATCATCAGTTCCAAGACTCTGATGCATGTTTTCATCACTTAGAATTTTTCAATGCTGTGCTCTAACCGTAGAACCGACACCGACGCATTCTGACAACAAGTCGAACCAATGCAGTATGCTCTCTCCAGCTTGAACCCCTGCAGCCGAACGCCTGAACAAGAATGAACGCAACGTAAGCCTTCCATCAGATTTGGAACGGTACCTTCCCTCACCGGGGGCTTATGCCGACTTCCAAGCAGTTCACCATCCTCGCTCTGGACTCCTCTTCCGCCGCAAATCCACCTTCCTCGTCCGCACCGTCCTCGTCGACCAAAACATCATCAACCGTCTCAAGACTCATCGTACGGACACTGACCAGGTACTCATTCTGCTTGCTGAACCAGGCCGCGATGTGCAGCGCCTTGGCCATGGCCCGGCCGGTGCCGCGCACCAGTACCTCCTCCTCGAGCCGGTCAGACGATGCCGGCGAATTGAGTGCCGCCATCCGCGCAGCGAGGGGCAGACCCTTGGTCGACCGGGGCGAGGGCGACTTGTCAAGAGCGTGCCGGACCTTATTTACGATGCCCATGAACGGCGACTTGGTGGCGATGTATATGATGGGCTGCTTGGAGCTGAGAGGTGCGCCTCCCCTGTTGAAGACCCGGCCCCGGTTGATGGGGCGTTTGTGGATCTTAGAATCTGGGCAAGATGTCAGTCAAACCACTCTTCCCGATCTCGCAAGATCTGAACTCGCTTAATGATGGCGGTTATGACATACTCTTGGGCAGGAGAGGACGTTTCGCTGGCTCGTTGGGCAGCTTGCTGGATGCCTCCTTGTCCATAATGGATGGCTTAAGCGTTGGACACGCGTCTCCGCTGGATATGTGAAGGGTGAGAGGTAGAAAGGGAACACCCCACGCGTGCAGAGTCTCAGGGTATGACTTGAGTAGCGTAAGGTGATGGCTGAGAATTCCTAGTGATGCTGCGCCGTGTCTTCATGGCTGATTCATAGCACAGTCGAGTCGTAGAAGGGCTTCCTCTCTCGGGGGTTTGGTGTTGCTGACGAGTCGAAGAAGAAACAACGCAAACGCCTTGCAGGGCTGTATTGGTTGAGAGCAAGTACACTCCCTCAAACGCACACGGATCAAATGCCAGCCTTCAGAAACTTAGTGGGGCGCGGCGCCAGGCGGTCGCTTTCGGGTGGAGAGACGCTAGGTGTAGAGCAGGGGCTCAAACGTCGGCCACTGACTTGACCAATGTACACAGGTATTTGTATACTTCGTTTTTACTTACTCTAGAATGTTCTCCTGTTGGGATACTATGGTAGAGACTCTGGGAATTGATCTCTTGAAAGCTCCGAAGTTAACAGACAGCCACTGTAGGATACGCTGTCGTGTCTAGAAAGCTTCTTCTCAATCACTTCCATGCCAGATACTTGGGCATAGAGAACGGCAAAGTACCTGGCAAATCTTCGATTCACCTGCGAGCTGCCGTAGAGCCGCAACGGTGCTGGGGGCTCTCTAGCTATTCACCGCCTTCCGTGAACAGCTGTAGCCTGTCAAGCGGCGACAGGGGTGGGTGACATGACGACAGCAACTGCGGCAGGAACAAGCTCCAACTACCCCCGCCAGTCCGGGGAAATCGAACTATCACAACGACAACTCGCAGCTATCTGGCATCTTCTGCAGGCTGCCGTCGAAACCACACCTCGATTCGTCTCACTAAGATCCCCGAGATGGCTGCCTGACCCCACCTGAGGCAACGATTGAATGCTAATATTCCAAAATGTCGGTTGAAATCTGGCCATCTCTGCCTCCGGAGCAGCTTATAACGGCCGTCGAACAGACACAAGTGAGCTCACAAACTGCTTCTCTTTTCATCTTTGCTGTGCTGTGGTCAACGAAAGGCTCTGAACAATTGCAATGTTTGAGCCAATTGGCGACGGCTGGGTGCTCATCCCACAGCTCCCTGTGAACAAACCGCTGACATCCTCCACCGTTCAGAGGCGAGAGCTAGAGTGGCTCCTTAACGAGCTACACGAGACTCTTCAGAACCTCAAAAGCGGCCTCGAAGACTGCTACGCTCTTCTTGCGCCGATCGACCCCGGTAGCACCCTCGTCGTCAGCAGTCATAGGAATGAGATTGTAAAGGGTCATATCACGCGAGTCGGGACACGGATAGTCAAAGGCGTACGAACTTGACACCACTGCTGTGTTGCTGGACAGTACATAGACTTACACACAACACCGTCTTACAGATCCTAACTCTGAAACTACGCACCCTCCCAAACCAGACGTACACCATCAACGCCGAACATCCAATTCAGATCGCGCCCCTGACGACCCTCCACGCCCTTCTCAACCACTCCATCGACCTCCTTACCCTCACTCTCAGCTACACATACTCTTCTGGCGCCACAGGCGGCAGCGAGCCACCCGCCTCGCCAACCCGACCCACGGCTACGTTCATAGCTGCTCAGCTCCGCCTGCTGAGCCAGTCGCTCACCGAAGCCACATCCCTCCTGAAGGGACCCCAGCCCCTTACAGCGTCCGACGCAACGTGGGTGTCCAAATCCTGCAGCCCGGGCCACTTCTCCCCTCAACCGGGGTCAAATCTAAGCATACAATGGGGCGTTCAGGAGAGCCAGCTCGTGCTGTGGCTGAGGACACTTGAACCGGCCGACGCGCCGGTGAACCTGGGCATGAAGTTCGCCCTGGCCATCGGCACGACGCGCCGGTTGGAGCACGACGAGGCGGAACAAGTTTTTATGTACACGTATCCCGAGGGCGCGACTCCCGAACCCCAGAGCCGTGGCAATAATGGAGGCGGGAGTGGTGGGCCTGGACAGAGGAACATCACTAAAGAAAATGTTGGTCCTAAGGACAATAACGGCGAGATCGAGGCGCAGGTCTTCGTGCGGGAAAAGGTGCGCGTCGAGAGTGCTGACCCGGCCTTGATGTCACTCGGTACAAAACTCGCCGCGCTGGCCAAGACGCTCTCAATGGCCAGGGGAAACCTGGCGACTGTCATGGGCGAGGAGCTTGACGAGTGAAAGATGCAGTGAGCAGATGGAGACGTGATACCCTTGTGTAGATTGTTGCATGCAAATAGCCTATGAAGCGAATGAAGAATCAATGCCTTTGACAGGAGATTCTCTTGATTCTGTGCTTTAATAGACCTGAACTCGATGATCACCCTTCCTGACGCCCATCTGTCAGATCAGACAAATACAATAATACATGTAAATGGAGCGAGTTTAATGGGCCTTCCGTCACGCCTGCAAACACCTATGCAATCTCGAGTAGTGTCCAATCCTAATGCTTCATATGCTGCACTCCTTTCCGGCTTTTTCATCGAATCTTGTTTCTGGCAGGCAATCATGAGATATACATACTGCCGCCTGACAGTTGGGTAGCCAGATAAGGGGTAGTGCAGTAGCAGCTACCCTAGCGGCCCACAGTGACCGTGGAATCAACCAACATTTGAACGCCACCTGATGGGCAAACTTTCTGTTGTACCCGATTATTGATCCCTGAAGGCGGTGACGGAACGTATCTGTTGCGCGCATGAACTCCCAGATCCGTGGTTTTGATTAGGCCACCGGTGACCAGGGCATCGGGATCAGAATCCTCGACTTCATCGTCTGAATCAAGGGCACCGTCTTGTGGACCGTATCCGCCCAGCCGGGTATGCGCCAAGAATCCTCACGACGGACCTTCCGCTCCTCCAGGTTGGCAAACTGCCAGAGGTGGTGCACCGTATTAAGGTCACCGATCTGCACGAACCAAGCTCCGACGCCCTCCATAACCTCACGCCGAGCCTTCAGGCCCCGACGCCAATGGGTCTCCCACTCGAGCAGGTTTCCAGGACCAAGTGTGTAGGACCGGAGCTCGAAGACACCACCAAGCTGTCGGGGAGGTGTGGTGGGCCAGAAGCTGAACTCTTGCATCACCGAGGTCTTCTTGGAGGTGATGAGCGATCTTAACTTTTTGTCGAATGCAGGAAATTCGGGGTGGGATGAGATGTTGTGGAGGGAGGTGTGGTAACCCGTGTATCGTTGGTACTCCCAGATATGGACTATTCAGCTGTCAGTTCTGTGATTTTCCCACGAGTGTGCTGGGCATGTTACTAGCGGGTACGCACCGAATGTGTCGACATCTCCCACCTCTGTCCGCCAGCTTCCCACCAGATGAACCTTATTCTCCGGCAGGGAGGCCATGCGGGGGTACCAATTGCCCACAAGCTCGACGTACTCATCCACCTTGTCAGGCTTCACCTCGTGGAATACAATGCTGTGCACATACTTGCCCCGCGCGATGACCTGGCTAAAGCTGGCCTCGAGCTGGGCGTCAAGCTCGCGGCCCTCCTTTGTGCCGTAGATGAGGTTGGTCAGGGGGCCTGCCTTTCGAGGAGGCTCCTTCTCGGCAATCTCTGCTGCTCGTTCTGAGGTAGAAGCGGTGCTTAGTGAACCCAAGCCCTGAGGAGCATCACCATTTTCCGGGGGGGAGGAGGAGGAGAGAGACCAACTAGCATCCCGCTCCCTCTGAGCTGCCACCAACTGCTCCCTGAATGCCTTCTGCTTGCTATTGAAGGCCTCGACGCTGCCGTTTTCGGGGTTGATGTCACCCATCGCAGGGGTGTGCTTCGAAGCCGTGGAAGAGGAGCCGCTGAACATACGCGCTGCTTGGCGCGGGGTAGCTGTCGCCAGGGCGGCGCGTGCAAGGCGTTGGGACAGCATGATGAAGATGTGCCGTGGCGTGAAAGAGAGAATACAAATGCTAGAACAGCTGACAAGAACAATTGGATTCAAGGATGGAAGGAGTTGAGGCGGTATCCAAGACTCAAGTCAAAGCTGAAACAAGGAATGGTACGTTTGTGGGCTGGTTGACTGGTGGACTGGGCTGTCCTTCTGAAAAGGCCGAGAAACCAGATGATGCAGTGTACACGCAGGAGGAGGATCGGCTCGTGCGATGGGAAAGGAGTTGGAGGAGCAGAGGGGAGATCCAATCGTAGCAGAGGCAGAGAGGCAAATTGGGAGATGCTGGTTGGTGGTAGTCAGAGTGTCAGTAGCTGGGAAGCTGTGCAGTCGTCAGTGCCAGGGAGCATATGCAGAGGGGAAACCTGGTCAAGTGCTCTTGGTGACAAGCAGTCAAGTTGGAGGAGGCGGAGGGTGGTGTTGGTGTTCCAATTCGGGAGCTGAGCTGTGGAAGAGGTCTTCTGTCCTTAGAGCTCTCCCCGCATTTTGTGATACGTACAGGAGGAGGAGGGAGACAGCCCAGCCAGAGGACTGGGCGCCTGGAGTTAGGGAAGGGTAGGCCCCTTGGGGAGCTCCCTTCAGAAGCCGGGGTAATGATGTCAGGGCTCCGCAAGGGCAAACGGGGTAGTCCCCCGGGTCCCCATCCCCTGGAGAGGCCAGACCGCAGCTGTGCTGACATAATACAGGCGCTATGTAGTTGCACCTCTGGTTTCTGCCTCAGGCAAAACTCGTCCCGGCTGCGACCGGGGCATCGGAGCAAGCTCGAAAAAGGCTCGCGTACCAACGACGACATCGCATCGAATAAACCCAACCCGCCTATCCACCCAATTCGACTCCAGCTTTTCCCCAGGTCGAAGCAATCACTCATTCAAGATGTCTTGGCTCGGAGTTACCCCCCTCAAGAAGTTCCCGGCGCCAGTCCGTAAGTCAATTGCCCTCAGATTGCAACGTCTCGCGGCAGTCTTTACTAACAAGTCCACAGTCAAGCCGATGGCCCCCTTCTTCGCCGCTGGTACGTGACCGCACCTCACCGATTTCGAACTCTGTCTTCCTTGCCGAAGCGCTGGACACACTGCTTTCTATTCTGGAACGGATGGGGACACAGATGGGTTTAAAACAAAGAGTTTGGAGCTGACGGAATGCAGGTCTTGTTATCGCTTACGGTATCAATGCTGCACAAAACGCCTCAATGAAGAGTATGTACAAATTGGTTAAGGCATACACTTTTCGCGCAGTCGCTGACATGTACTACGCAGGCGACGAGTTCAAGAACGACCCCAGGAACCCTCTGGCGAAGTCCGGCGGTGCCCACTAAGGAAGTCGACCCAAGTTGGGGACCGGATTGAGTGCATGGCAACGAGTCTCGAGGCTATGATCGACGTGGCCGTTTTGGAAGAGGGTCGGACTGTATCATAGAGCATCTAGAAAGCGGAAATCGAACCCTATCGAGACGGTTGGATGTCAACACGAGCCACTTGTTTTTGCGCATCTTCAGGTCCAATGGCCTCATTTGACGAAATGCTAGTCAGGGCACAGGAATCTGCAGAAGCCCTGGACAGATGAGAGGCTGTGCCATAGCTTGAGCCGGATGTGACATGGTTGGCAGCAACAAATGCCTACTATACGCCCCAGAATGTGAATAGGCTGTTATACGCGCACTCTGAAGCTGGTGAAGGAGCTTGAGTATGTGCAGTCTATCTACTGCTGACGCCTAAAGCGTCAAACCGTCTAGACGTCTTCCTCTATCACATGTATTTGAGACTGGCGCCGTACCGCTCTATACCAAGTTGTCGCGCCCGTAGACCAAATCCGACCTCTGCCGCCCTGACATCGACATTATGTCCTCTATTCATGACATTTTGCGCCAGTCTTATTACAGACGCTCCAACTTCTCCTTGCCATCGGATAGTCAGCTGTCATCCTCGCCATCCTCACAACACTGCCGCACAAATCCCACTAGCGGCATCACCCACTGCTTGTTTACGGGGACGTAATGCCCACCTGGGTGCACAACCATCACGGGGTTCTCAGACCGATCCTCAAGCCCGCGGCTCCGGCCCTCCTCGACAACCGTATCCAGACTCCCGATGAACTGCAGCGTCGGCGTCCTGATCTTGGGCTCATAAAGCCAGCTCAGGCCCGCCGGCGGCGCAAAGAACCCGCTGTACACCACCGCGAACCGGAGCGCCTTGCCGCCGTTCGCCTCGCGCAGCGCCGGCACCCAGCTCCAGTCGTACGTGTCGTCGTTCGGCGGCGCCTGCCTCTGCTTGCCCTCGCCGACGTGCTCGAGGACAGAGGCCAGCATGGCCGCCAGGGCGCCGCCCTGGCTGAACCCCACGACGCCGTCCACGTGCCCGCCGGCCTCGTCCCGGATGCACCTCGTGAGGCTTTCGAACCCTTCCTTTAGGAGACGGTAGTTGCCGCTGGCCTCGTCCTTGCGAAACCAGGCCCACGCATCCATCTCCGAGTCCGCGCCGCCCTCGGGCGCCTCGGCGTTGGACGGCTGGTACCCGGGGATGTCCCGGGGGCTGAGCCGCGAGGGCGCGGTGGGGTAGAAGAGCGTGGGTTGGAGCTTCATGGGCGCGAGGGACTTGGCGAGCAGCTTCTCCAGGGCGCGGGTTTTGGCGCGGAAAAGAGGTCCGGATTGAGTGTATCCTGGAGGTTTGTGTTAATCAGGTTTCTTTGAAATGTCTCAAGGTGGCTCTGGAATTCGCATGAGGTGAGTGAAGCGGCTGCTCGAAGGCGTCCGATGAAGCACACAGAGCATCACAGATTGGGTGATTGAGGGCTGGAGAACATGCTTCAAGTAGCAATCACAGAAGTGTCTTGAGGTGACAATCATAGAGCATTGTCTTACCATGAAGCATCAAGATCTTGACCTCCCTCAGTGCGTTATCCTTCGGCTTTGGGTCCGCGGGGCCAGCAGAGGCCGCCGCGACTTGGTCACCAGCCATGGCCGTGCAGTGCCTGTAAAACAGTGACGAAATTGAGATTGGCTTGCGGCGGAGACTTGATCCCCAAAGCCTGTTTAGCCGATGCATTAAGTTGCCTCGGTGCGGTGGTGGTGAGGACCGGGTAAGCATTTCGTTTGAGAGACTTCGCAGGGGTTCCACTCCAGCCCGTGATATCTATGCTCCCTCAAGCCGGCCGTCCCTGACCGCAACTGCACACGTCAAAAACAGCAAAAGGTTTCTGGGGCTATTACTAGCTACAATCATGGACTTTTTTCCTCTGTCAAGGTGGAATAATATAGGGTTTCTATTCGTCTTTCTTTCTATAACGGTGTCCATTCGTATCTGTAAGGATGCAATAACTCCCACACGAAAAAAGAAGCATACCTCTACGCAGGCAGGTTTACCGGACGTTAACCTGTTTGTGATGCTATGATTCTCAAGACTGAATCCATAACCCACCTGGTGGTTTTCTAATGCCAGTGACCGTCGACGACATCGCACCGCTCTCGTTTAGAGGTGTCGTCCATTTCTTGATCTTCCCTAGCTCTGGCTAGCAACGAGGCTCTGCGTCCGTTGCTCGCCCCAACACAACCATTCAAATCATTGAAATTCAGCTTTTCTTCAACTTTACAGTCGACCTAGTCCTCTAAGCCGTACCTGCTCTCGCAGAGGCCTGATAGCCTGCCCCGCAGAAGGGAGACGCTGCTGGCCTCTCTTCAGCGCCAGGTACAAAACTGGTCGTCTTTGGACTTGTTGAGCTGCTCCGCCCAGTTGTATCCATTCTCGAATCGCATACGTAGACACTTCTTGCAGACGCAGTAGGAAGTCGTGACTGCTGGAATCTAATTGCGTGGTCAGGTGTTCGAGCCACCCAGGAATACGCCCGGAACGTGACTGGTGTTGTAGTCTCCACCAGAATTCTAGGTCATAAGGCACCAGATCTGCATATCGTAAAAAGTTCCAGGGGAAGTGAGTATTCCAGAACCCATTAGTCGGCCGTATTGGTATCTTGTCATCCGCTATGTATTGTGATATGTCCTCACTCACCGTAGATGGCGTGGAAACATCGGGAGAACTCAGCCGAGAAGTCACGGGCTGGCGAGGCTGGAGAAGGGTTGGTTGAGGTAAACACGGTGGTTCTGGACCGAAATTTGGGTTCCGAACACGAAACGGCGACCTACTGAAGTTAGGATTCGGCACACGTGGCGGCGACCAGCTGAAGTTAGGATTCGGCACACGCGGCGGTTCGGGCACAGCTCGGTTCTCTGGAATGCCATGTGCCGCATCCCGTTTATTAGCAGCTGGGACGTCGGCTTCCGGGGCGGCATGAAGTTCCTCGGCAACAGTGCTGTGCGCAATTCCACCTTGAGAATGTGGCAACTCAACGGAGGATGAGACCTTCCCGCCTGTCCTCCTACCACGGTCTTTGCGAGAACGTCCAACTTTTCTTTTGGCAAGATCCCTGCGTGGGCCGCTACCTCGCAAACAGAGTGTATCTTTGTCGCCAGCTTGGGTAGTTGGAGCTTCACCTACGTTCCCCCCACCACATCGATTAATCCTTTCATCTCTCTCACATAGTCCATCAAGGAATGGTCCTGTCGCATGGCCAATTTTGTTCATAATTTCGTGTTCATTAGTGGCAGTGTCCTGACGGTACTCATCGTCGCCGACAGTTGCCATTGGGTACGTCTCTGGTGGCGCAACCCTCTTTTCTCTGCTTTGAGGTCCATATCTAATACCCTTCCCGAAAGCAGATCCGCCTCTAAGCACAGGTCCACCCTGATGTTCCGGTTTGAGTTCCTCCCTGCTAGGCCTCTAACCCTTTGTCGCAGCCTTTTTACCCGAGGGCTGGATGCTAGCCATCATCTCGTCTTTGGTAATGAGGTGCTCGATTTTGCCGAGGTGGCTAAGAAGATCCTTCATGTTGTAGCTCCACTCATTCAAAATGTCGTCAACGCTCCGTGGCTGCGCGAAACTGACAATGCGGGCAGGGCGGTCGATCCGAGCGTACACCATCTTCGAAGTGACAAGCTCGCTGATATACTTCTCAGTCTCGTCCTCGGAGAGATCGAGATGCTGCGTCAGACGGTCCATTCGGATGCGAGTATAGTACTTGGCAATGACGCGAACGTTGTGCTCGATGACGCGCTTGCGGAGGTCCTGCCATCGCTGATTGGCCTTGGGGTCGGAAGAGGAGCCAAGCTGGGCGTCAAAAATGTCTGTCTCGCAAAGATGAGGCCCGTATATTTGCTCCACATTGGGCCACCGCATGAGCTCCTGGACTGTGAACTCCTCGAGCAGTTTAGCCTCAAGAGGGACTTGGGCATTGCGAGTGTCCGCCTTGATTCGGTGCATCAAGTCGTGTTGCTCGTTGTCGTGGGGTGCGAGGATGACAAAGTATATGATGCGCGACAGAGTCTAGACGTGAGCGTTAGCACGGAGTTGTTTGGAACAAGTACCTCGATAGTAGTGACTTACAGCCTTGAAAAGAGTTGGATCATCTTGGACCGACTGGATCTCAAGGACCTCCCTGTAATGCTTGCATGCATCCAGATATCTGTCTTCGCTCTTGGCCAGGATAACCTGCTGTTCATAATACCTGAGTTTCAGAGGCGTTGCATCTGGGGCGCTCTGCAGGTACTTCGTGCTGATCTTCCGGCTTAGGATGCCAGCTTGATTCCAATCTTGTGTCTGGATGCAGAGAGCGACCTGATCAAGGATGAACTCCGTTTTCTCTTTCCGGTCCATGGAGCCGAAAGTCTCGACCTGCAGCTCGCACAGGATATCACGCGCCGCTTTGACATCGCCATAGTGGTCCTTCTTCAGGTCCGAGAGAATCTTGGTAACACGGGCACGCTCAACTTCGACGAAGATCTTGCCCTCGGTTACGGTCCGCAGTGTCTCGATGACTTGAACCTTCCTGTCAATGCTTGATATGTCTCCAAGGAAGTCGATGACGGCCTGTACCATCTTCTGGATGGCTTGCTTGAGTTGTCCATGCTTCTTGGACAGGATGGTTACTTGGTCGCTGAGAAGATCCCAGTCACCAGCAGTCTTGCACAGAGTAACAATGGCGATGAGGAGTCGGGATGTCGAGGCAAGGTCGGAAGCCTGTTGTTTGCGATATCAAAAGACTGGATCTTGCAGGCCTTGCTTGCAAAAGGGGATTGTTGCTTACCTGTCGTGTTTGCTTCTCGAGAAGAGCGAGCTGCTCAATAGCCCCTTGAAGATTGTTCTGTTATGGAATTGAAGAAGTCAGAAAATCAGGCATCCGCTGAATGGTCTGTACGGCTGGAAGTTACCTTAGCAAGCAACTCTGCTTGGGGAATCTGCTGGTCGACCTCCTTGGTAAAGTCCTTGTCGGGCTTGAGCGCGGCGTTCGCCATATTGGGCGGCTGGTGGAGGGGAAGATTACTAAATGGATGGACGGGTACCCAGGCGATATGGATGGGACCTGGTATCTGGTGCTGTAGAGAAGATGAATTGAAGTTTGGGGGGTGTTTGGTCGGGGATGTTTGGGAGAGGACAAGGCCGGGCGAAAGTAGCTGCTGAAGTTGAGTTGAGTTGTGTTGTGGTGTCTGACGGCAGGAAGCTGTCGCAACCGAAGCTCTGCCTGCTGCAGCTTGGCCGGGGCGGCAACGTGCCTCGGGCAGGCAAGGGGTGGGTGATGGGTGCTGCCTGCCTTATGTAATCATAGCCGCCCCCAACTCCACATTACGCCGACGGGCGACGGGTTCATGTCATGTACCTTTCGGTACCTGGGCGCCGGGCGTCGACGCTTGCTGAGGAGCCTCGTAGATTTTGTCATGCAAGTAAGCACCTAGTCTAAACAGTATCTCAGCCGCATTGAACTTTATCGCACATCCAAGTCGGTTCTATCCCACATGCCTGCATCGTGAAGCCCTCGCGCCAATCCGATCCTGGTCCGAGTATCTTGCGAAATTCTGTATTTCATCTCCTTGTTGCATCGCCAGGTCCTTTGCGCAGGAACCTTTCTCGCTGGAGGAGGGCCACCGCCGCGCTGCGATAGGAAGTTCCAACGACGGGGCGGCAGTCAAATCTGAATTATTGACTTCGCGTTTCGAAAGTTTTGGCACGCCCAGAATGTTCTGCTGCAACATACCAAGGCATCACCGTTTCAGGGCCAATGAGTTATGTACGTGTAGTCTAGTTGCTCTAGGTCGCCGATGAGTGACATCAAGCAGGCCCAAAGTATGATCTGCCATCCTTTCGATCAGTACTACTGTTTGTGCCACTTCGTAACCATCATAGTCCTTTTTCCTCGCTGCCCAACGGGAACGTCATTTCTTGCAAAGATCGTATCGAAAGCCAGCATTCCACACGCATCTGTGGTCGTTCTCCATCTGAGTCGTGTCCTGATGTTGACTGAACTGGACAAGCGGGGCACTTCTAGAGGAGCTACGCCTGGTGGGCAGTCCGATGGCCATCGGGTCTCATAGACAAAAGAGAATCGTTATCAGGGCGCTGGACAAGTGTTTGCTACGCATGCCGTGAGTAGCAATTGGGACGGCTCACAATCCACGAAGCCGTGGCAGTCTGGTCTTGTTGCGTCTGCAAGTCATGACAACGAGCTAAAGGCGCACCTGAGCACAGCCGTATAGCACAACATGAGTGAACCGTTGCAAGAAGTACCCTGAATGGAGCGATGCTGTCCGATCAGATCGTGGCTGTACAGGCATACTGTTGTCAGCGAGCAGCTCAATTATGGGCTGGCAGTCATGGATTAAGGTCTCAGGGGGGGGGGGTGCCACGACGGTAACTTAGTCGAGACGACCCTGAGTTGGCTGGACGTTACATAGGTAGATTGGCGGCCGGTAGGCTTCCCGAGTGGAGATGGCATAATGAGATGCAGATCATTCGTCCCCCACCAAATCATGAACTACCGAAACCGAGAATTAGCAGCATATTACCCTGTTTGCGGGGGGAAGATACGAATACGTCCTACATGAACGATTACGGCCCTACATGAACGAATACGCTCTCCATATTCATTATTTCGGGGTCGAAAAGGACCCCGAGTATTGGCTGTCCGCAGTCTAGCAGCCAGTCACTGTTTCGCTGTTTCAAACCTGTGGGGTTTGGAGTGACAGCTTGTTATTGCACCAGCACAATTTGCACCGGCGCACAACGGTCCCGTTCATAAATATGACGTTGCACTCATGCTGCCGACATTGTTCCACCCATGTTATGCACCAATGCCGTAGCTGGTGCCGGTCTACGATCAAGACTCGCCGGTGGGTTGTAATGAGACTGTTTCTGGCTATTATTTATACGTCCTTCTTGGCAGAAACTATATATTGGCGGCTCCCACACCTGGCCCTACTATCCATGCCTCTCCTGGCACATGAGCCATACCACAACAAGTGAAGCTCCCGTTCAACGCCAAAATCCATGATGGCAACTACTTCCGCTCCTTCGAAAATCACAGACCTAGTGGCCACACAATGGCCCTACGTGCTCAGCACGCTCCTAGCGTTTGCTGCGGCATGGCTTCTCCAAGCAGCACTCAAGCGCGACCCCCTGTCTAGCCTACCTATGGTTGGCATCGAATTTGGCAATGCCGACAAAAGGCGGGCAGCTTTTGTACAAGGCGCCAAGAATATCTATCTCGAAGGATACCGAAAGGTAAGTAATGTGTCTTTTGAGGAGTTGGCGGGCTTGTGCTGATGATTGTTGTAAATAGTTCAGGAAAGGCGTGTTCAGAATTACCACATCAAGCTGTATTTCTTCCCGATTCAATTGAGAGACCATATGAGTCTTTGCTCACATGAATTCCACCCACAGTTCACGACGTCGTTGTGCTCGATCCCTCGTTCTTGAGCGAACTCAAGAACCTTCCTGACGACACTGTTTCCTTCGGCGAGGCCGTCAGTGACGTATGTATTCCAATACTATTCCAATACTGAGCAGTTGTCATAGAGAGAGAACACCAATTAATATCGCCAACAGTTCATGCAATCAAAGTACACCGGCATCCGAGCTGACCGACCCATCATCCCCCATATCGTCAAGAAGGACTTGATTCCGGCCCTGAGTATGGTCAAGTCAAAAGCTCAACAAAATACGCACCTCCGCTAACTGCATTTTGACAGATCGCCTGAATCCTGTCATAGCTGAAGAGGTCGACCAGTCGTATCGGGAGGAATTGCCGCCTTGCAAGGATTTCACGCCAGTCAACATCTACTCAAAGCTTCTTCGAATTGTTGCCAAAGTTTCGGGGCGCATCTTCATCGGGCCTGAACTCTGCCGATCTGAGAAATATATCGACACTGCTAGTAAGTCATTTCTGACATTTCTTCGTCCGCGACAGCCTTGAAGTTTTGGGGCAGAAGACCAGGAGATCAGGGCCTGCCAAACGTTCCCGCAAAGGCCCTAGTAGAATTCACCATAGTCTCCTTTTTATTGAACAAGTCGAGGACATTTGCTGACATTCTCTAGTCAAATATACGATTGAAGTCGTTGGTGCCGTGCAAGCTATCACCGAGATGGGCTTCTGGCATCGCACTTTGAACGCAGGTGCCCACCCCGCAGTCAAGACAGTTCGTGCAAGGGAGAAGGCTGCGGATGCTTTCCTGAGGCCTATCGTCGAGGGAAGAAAGAAGGCACAGAAAGTGGATCCCGACTTCCAGAAGCCTGATGACCTCTTGCAGTGGCTGCTGGACGATGGACAGGACAAGTTCGGCGAGAAGGGTAGCAAGGAGCTTGCCTCTATTCAGCTGGGCCTGACCTTTGCCGCTATCCACACGACTTCGATGACCGCCACGAATGCCTTCTATACCCTTGCTGCGATGCCTGAGATCATGCCGGAACTACGTGAGGAAATCCGCGCTGTGTTGAAGGAACACGGCACATTCACCACTCAGGCCCTACAAAAGATGAAGAAACTCGACAGCTTCCTGAGGGAGGTGATGCGGATGCACCCACTCGGATTTTCATCCTTCCAACGCAAGGTCCTCAAGACGTTCACCCTCTCGAACGGGCAGGTCATTCCTGCCGGTTGTCTTATCGAGGTGCCTATTATCGGCATTAACTTTGATGATGAAGTGGTCGATGATCCGGAGAAATTCGACGCGTTCCGCTCTTATCGTGCACGGGAAATGGAAGGACTGGCGGGCACAGAAAAGGCCAACGCCGGCGCGACCAACCAATTTGTCACCGTGAGCCCGACGAATTTGCTGTTTGGTTATGGCCGGCACGCTTGCCCTGGAAGATTCTTTGCTGCGAACGAAATCAAGATGATCGTGTCTAGGGCAGTACTGGACTACGACATGGAGATGGCCAACGGCTCCACGGAGCGGTACCCAAACCTCACTTTCGGCGGTCAAAGTACCCCAGACCCGTCTAGAGAGATTCTGTTCAAGAGAGTTGCTATCTAGATCGAATTTATCTCGCGATCTCTTTTCAGTTGTTGAATGGCATGGTTTTTGTTGGTTATTTGGCGTCTCATAAGAGCTTCAGGGCGTCGCGATTCGGTTCAGGGAATACATGATATTCGAGATCTTTAAATTGGCTGCGACACAGGTAGAAATCGAAATAAATAACTTTACATCATGTTTTCTAGATGGTTGAGATCATCGACTCTTCAGACTGTGCCCTTTCCTATTTCAATGATGTTGACGGTTTTGGCTTTCAAGGCAAAAAAGCTGAATTCAAATCTATTGCTCTGACCTAGGTACCATTGCACGATCATCGTTACTCTCACTAGGGATGCGGACGTAATTGTGCGTGCCGGTGCACCTGCAGTGCTGAGCAGTCTTTTTAATCCTATCTACCCATTCGAATTGTGAAGACGGATCCTGTGATTCAGAGCACTTCTTGGGCCTTGTCGGCCAGTCTGACGACGTGAGTGACTAATTATTGTTGGTCGGTGCAGAGGCTGTGACAGTCAGTCAAGTGAAGAGATGATTATATTAAACCTTGCTGCTAAAGTCTCAGCTCCGGAATTCCATTCGAGTTTCTCAATAATTCTCAGTTTGACTACAAAGATAGCGTACACACAATGCCTTTCAAACATATTCATGTTCTCTGGCTTTTAGCCAATGGCCCCGCAACGGTCCACGCATTCGCCTACCCTCGTAAACAGCAGGGAGAGACAGGCTCATCACCTCCATCGAGGATCGACCTCAAGCATATTTCGGACCAGATAACCCAATCCACGTCCACTCACTCGAACTCACCCACTACACCCGCGTATCCCTCAGCCGGTCCCTTTCGCTTGGAAAGCCATCAGCGACGGAGTGTTACATCACTCGTCTTGCTCACCGTAAGTCAAACATCACAACCGTCGAGTGACATCCCAGCATCTGGCAGTCGACACTTACCATCATGGAAGCATCTCCCACGGAACCTCAAACCTGCCCGGTTCCCAAGTTAAGCACATTTCCAAGCCGACTACAAAAGCCGGAATCCACACCGTCAATTTGAATGATCCCGCTATCACAGTCGAATGCCCCCCAACTAGAACTGTCTTCGTTCTTCCACCTCAGGCAGGCTACCTGAAACTGCCAGCTGCGCCAAGTGGTAGCAATGAAGGCCCAGGTACCCACTGGTGTAATTGCAGGATGCCATCCTAGGATTGCTTCGACCAAAAGCACCAACCCTCTCCTGCTTGTCTGTGACATCTTCGTAAAAGCATTACTTCAATATCTTAGCCCAGCTTTGTCATGTTGCTCACACTACACTCTTCAGAATGTCTCCAATTCTCAAATCGAGCCGTTCGATGCAAGAGACAGCAACGCTCATGCCATTCCGAAACTTGAATCCGCGATGACGTTGCGTAACAAGACGTTGCACAGCACGGCAGCATACGGTTCCACCGATTACGGTCCAAGCACAATCGATACCCAAGCCTATCAAGCATCTCCGAGGAAATTGGGGAGGCGCAAGGGGGGTCATTTCACTACCGGAACTGCTCTCTGTTGCATGAACACAGCAGACGTGATAGACGGTGCCGGCGAGAGTTCAGGCCTTCGTACTACAGACGGCCCAGGTATGGCATTTTGGGTCGGAGTGGGAATGGCTATTTTATTCCAAGTCTCTGTAATTGTGGCTTTGGCGTGAAATTAGATCACTTGCCCAGAATATCATTTCGATAGATGAGAAGCAATACAGGTCCTCCTGAAAATTCGGCTTGTCGGTTCTTCCTCGTTTGACTTTATCTGACCCTGTGTGTACCTAAGCATGGACATCAGTGTACAGTCTATAGCCATCGTTCTTTTTATTCCCATCCTTGCTTGTTGCCACACATGCCGCAGGAGCAGCGGAATAGGTCTTGGCTTATAAATTTACTCGAGGCTTTAAGAGTGTTTCCATCCATAACACTTTGACAGCGACCGGTTGTTATCAATGATGCTAAATTTGAGTTCTCTAAATCTTGATGTGAGTGAAGTTCTGGCTTTGCGCTTGCTCATACGTCTCAGAACACTGAGAGATAATGAATTAATGATGGATTCTACCCGACTTGGGTCACAGTTTCTCGTCACTGCTCCACAGCCATCCGAGTCATGGTCTCGTTGAAGCCAATCTACGCTGAGATCTAACTGCCTTATCATCCGATAAAGCGGTTGAAGAGTGAGCAACACAATAGGTCGGGCGTGAACTGGTAGTGACTCAGGATTATCATTTTATCGTATGGCAAGTGAGTGGCAAAACTAACGAACCTACAGATATATAAGTCGCTTTCTGGGAACTCTTCTATCAGCTCTTCATTCATCAATCCAGCATCAAGGCACACAGAAATTGCAAAAATGACGTCCAGGCCACTTTATTTTGTTCTAATTGCGTGTTATGCGGCCGTAAGAGTTGCTTCGTACCCGCCACCACCGAAATCGACCAACGACGCAGCAAATGTGGCGAATGTATTTGCTCAAAATTTATATACCACCTCCTCGTCGAGTATCGATCTAACGGCCATTGTAACACCCGTCACCACTTCTACGTCCTCAGCCCAGCACAATTTAACAACGATCACAACTGCAAGCGAAACCACGTCATCACCACAGAGTCTCGGTACAGCGACTCCATCATTTGCGTCGAACACCGACACCTCTTCGTCATCGCCGCAGAGTACCGGTACCACAGACCAGGCATCATTTGCGTCGACCACTGACATCTCTTCGTTCTCGGCCCAGCCTAGTTTGACAACGATCACAACAGTGAACGAAAACACGTCATCACCACACAGTACTGATACAACAAGCCAGATATCGCCTCCATCCACCACTGGGGGCGATAACCCATCGGAGTCGAATTCGGGCTCGTCCTTGACCATGATTCAAACCATACCACCATACACAACATCTATATTTTTTACTGAATTTGTGACGCTGTACTTGTCTGGAACCCCTGAGAGCTATCCGAACGGGTCTACAGGTACAGTACAAAGCCCTTCCAGCAGCAGCTGCCCCTCGAAAGTTCCAGCGAATCCCCGACCTCCTCCTCTCCAGTGCAAATGCTGAACTTGGGCACTGATGAGACACTTGGCTGTAACACAGTGACGCAAAACACAAGCTCGCAGAGACTTACAGAGACACAAACCTCTGTCTCGGAGACCGTATCCAATACCACCGTCACCCGCAGCAGCTCTTTAAGCAGAAGTCCTACGATAACAGCCACGGCATCCTTCACGCTTACGCTTACTCAGCGCAGCTCTACGAGCCACAGACCTACGATATCAATTACTCCGACCTTGTTAAGTTCGTCTTCCTATAGCAGCTATGAGAACTGAGATCTGATGTGTCAACTACCACGCCCATCACCACTTCAAACATCCACAGCAGCTCTGCGAGCAGCAAATCTAAACCATTGTACACCGCAAAACCTCTTGGAGGCAATTTCATTGGGGGTAGTATTGGATAAGACAAGTCACGATGCTCAGCCAGAGGCGTAGACTCAACCCCAAGGGTTCTGGAAGACAACCCATTTTCGAACAAGATGCATGTGCTCTTCAAGAGCTGCTCATCTGAAACAGTCCATGTGCCATTTGAGGGTGCGGCAGGGGAATGGAGCAAAGTTTTGTGGGGACGGTCTTATTCGTAGAAGAGACGATCTGAGCAAAAAGTGTTGCGGGCGCTGGGTATTACGGAAATGTTGGCAAATTGTAAAGCGGGAGTTGTGCAGCATTCACATTTCAGTAGTATTTATGGGCCAGAATTGCATTTGAATACATCAGATATTTAGCATGCGAATTAAAGTCAAGTCCTAACTCCCCGCTCCTTTATTGTTTATTGCAGTGAACATGTTACGGTTAGAAGCTCCTGTGATCGTGGCAATGATCCGCTAGTATATGGCGAAGAGCGAGCTGTCGTCGACTCTCATCGAAGGTCGTGGCCTGCGAGATAGTGGTGAGCATTTTTCTGGTCCACTCATGTGAATGACAATAATCAACTTACGTCCAAGAGCCTTCCCTCGCTTAGAAACCTCCCTGGCATGGTAGGCCTTGATCTTTGCCCGCCTCGCCTCTTCCTTGGCCTCATATTCCAGCCTCTTGACCTCCTCCCGAGCGTCTTTCACCTCCCGTCGGGCCAGCTCCAGCGCGCGGTCGGCCTCCTTCTCAGCAGTCTCGGCACTCATCACTCTTTCGCGCGCCTGTATGATGGACGGGTCGAGCTCCTCATCCCCGCCCCCGAACTTTCGCAGGAGTCCGCCACCCCTCGTTGATCCCCGATCGGTTGATCGGCTGAAAATGCTGCTGCCACCATCGTTATGGGTAGCGCTCGTGCGGTAGGTGCTAGATGTGCGGCGGGTCGAGTCGGTTGCCTGAGTTGAGGTAGTTGGTGTTGGGGAATGGTCCCGTCGAAGGGAGCCTAGGAGGCCGCGCTTTCGTGGCTCCTCCTCATGGTAAGGCTCTGGTGGTGGGACCTCCTCTTCGGGTTCGCGGCGAGAGAAGAAAGGCATCTTGAAGTTATTTTCTTAATATCTGTTGTAAAATGTACAGAGGGAAGCCGGTGTCCAACAATGAAGACTGGAAAATAGTGAACAGAAATGGGCTCTTGGCCGGGTGATCAGTCCCTTTTCATGCATTCTCGAACTGCCACTATCACAACGTCTGTCACCCATATTCATCGTTACGCTGCATCAGCAAACCTGCTTTTCGGATTCAGGGTCGTTGGCGATCGACAGTGACGTCAGAGCCTTCCAGCCAATAGAACAACACGATGCGCACTGGGCCAGGCCCGATCGGGGGAAGTCAGCGACCCTTAAAAGAGACCAGCCAATATGCAGGGTCCAAACCTGCCAGGGGGTACATCATCGCTGCTGGCTTCCGGCCGGCTTTGCTGTGCGATGATAGCATGGCTGAAACCATTCGATGTGGCTTGCCGTGTGAGGGTTGTCGCCAAAGACGCCAACGAGCGTCAGCTACGACGCTGAGACTTTGAAGCAGCAATGCACCAGAGCGACTGAGCAAGAATCTGTCTTCCCTTTGGACGAATATACCGAGAAGGATCTTGATACGAGGATTCTACACCTTCATTGTGATGATGGTGATCATGAGCCCGTCTGACCCGGGCGCCTGGTTTCATTCAAGCGTCCAGCATTCGCGCCGCTTTGATTGGCTTGTCAGTCTCTTACCCAGGCTGCTGGGCACTCTGTGGCAGTGGAATCAAGCCTTTGGTCAAATCCAATCGTGATACTAGCGAAAGGTGTTTTCAACCAGCAAGCAATCCTAATGCAGATGCTTTACGGGCTGCATAGATGCTGTTCGAAAGAAATGTCGCTGTAAGCCAATTGACCAGTAACAGTCTCGCTTCTTGCATGCCCAGGAATCTTCTGCCGGGATTTGGAGCTTGTCCTTCATAACAGATGCTTGTTTACGAAATTTCCTGGGCGAAACCCCTGAACCCTTAGCCACCAACACCACACTGCATCCTGTTTTACTGAATGAGAGCTAGTTGATTAGGCTATTTTTGGGAGAAAAGATAAGATATTCAGGTGGCCCGCACTTGTTTGTCGCAACCTTAGCCTGTGCTAAATCCATTACAATATACAACATCACAATATATGCCGACGATATAGCCTTGACTCTAAAAGGTGGGGCAGGAACTCGAGACGGAGAACCTGATCGAGGCAACCCTAAAGGCATCAAAGTCGACTAGGCACCGGACCGACCGGAGCCGATGGACGTGGGGCTCATACCTTGTTCCTGATTGTCGACTTGCTCACAGGTGTCTAAGCTTACCTGGTAGCTCTCATACAATATTGTGTACCTGCATGCCGAAAGTTCTCGCTCATTAGATTTCTCATGTTGTTCCAACGTCAATAACGGCACAAAGCGCATCTTTTCTCATCTTCACCTTCTCGGCAGCACATCGAAGGAGCTCTGAAGTGAAGCAGGACGACCCATATCTTCAATGCCGAATGGACTACTAAAAGACCATCCGCCCGCGGAGTTGGCTCACATTGTATCATACTTTGATTGTTCAATCCTTGAATTCTGACTGCGGGGTCGATAAGCGGTGTTGTAGTGGAATCGCCTTGCACATCAACGTGTTGTTTGGGCCACCGATGAGCCGTGCATAATCTGACAGCCACGTGAATGCTGTGTTCAACGGGCTCGCCAAGGACGCGCCTTTCACAGGCTCGTTGTTACCTCGTTCGGCCGCCAAAGACGGCCCGACTTTGAAGTTTCCATTGGGGGTTATTTGATGCCAATGAACGTGTTTTCAAACAAGTCCATGATGACTCTGACTGAACGGGCCGATTTCTGATTTCCTATTCTGTGCTTTCGGGGCCTGATGCCGCTCGTCAATTTCATCAAAGACTGACTATCATCGGCTGCTAAGGGACACTAGACCATTTAAAGAACCTTTACCGAAAATCCGGCAGCAGGACCGAAGCTCGAAGCGCCAGGGGTAAGTGTCAAGAGAGGAAGGTTGCATCCCATCCATGGCATCGTCAAATCACGCAGTGCTGGAAAAATCGTTCGGCTGTTCCCCGTGGGGAGATGGTAGCGCAAACCATTGACAGTCGGCTGGGGCCAGGACTAGAAAGAAGTGGACAAAAAGGCTTGGCCAGAACAGAAGTCCCGAGTCACAACGTTGTATGCCAGGCATCTGGTATGCCTGTTGCTCACATGATGTAGTAAAGACACGGTCCTAAAGGTCGTGATTTACGTGTAAACGTGCTTGAAGCAGTGTCACTTGCGGATTATTCCTGGTTGCAACCACTGGGTGCCTTTGTGCTTCCCCAGAGTGCAGCGAGCTTCGCAAATAGGCGTGGGGAGTCTAGTAGGAGAAGGTATGCATTTATGCTGGGGGCCAAATTTCGAGTGCTTCGTAGCTTGAGGCCTGTCTTTAAGCGACATGCATGATGCAGAAAGTAGTCAAGTTTACCAAGAACATCCTCGAATCAAAACCTTTTTATCAAGCCGAGGTTCCTGTCATGCAGTAGCGCTGGCTTGCTTGGCCTGTCAGGAACACATTTCACTGTGACTGTGCCCAAGGCAGAGCTCGCTAGGCAACTCTTCCTCATCTTTTACTTAGACCATGCTATTTGCCATTAGCCGTTGTGTTCTGGACCTTCTTCTTTCTGCACCATCCTTGATCATCAACATGAAGCAGATGTACTATATCCTCGTGGACGCTTCGGCAGGCCAAGTCGCCGTGTCGAAAACCCTGGACCATGCCCGCCTAGCTGACATAGCTGGATGCAACCCCAAGAAATGATCATTAGCCAACGAATTTCTCTGCATTCGCATCATCCCTGGACAGTTCGTCCCATCAAGTTACCAATCGGCAGGGATCTTCTTACCCCACGCGACCATCCGCGGATGATCACAAGGCTCAGCACATTCTTTTGGAATTCCTGGGCGGCCCAGGCCATGATCGTTTCTCCTCTCCCGCTAGCCTACCAAGATGTGGCCTGTCTCGCAGCAATACTCACAAGATTCAAGTCTTGGCAATACGCTGAGACCACACGTTCTTGGGTTCAATCTATCCGCCTTGGAGTCTACCATAAACGGGCCGTTTTGATGCCCGTGCAGCGTGCCATGACTGGGAACCAAGACCATGGTGTGGACACCGGAGAGGGTATAGTCTTGTCAGGAGGCGCCTGATAGAGGCCTGTCAGTAGGTCGGATTGTTGTGGGCCTTACAAGTCGATGGCATCAACAGCAGAGATACATAAAGCACTCGGAGAGAATATATAATGAGGCCAAACCTGCCTCTTTGAGAGTTTCTCTATGCTTTCTTCACAGCCACCGATCCCATTCTCTCCTTTCGGCTTCTTCGTCGTTGTATATATCTGTCTTTCCCATCATCAATTGTATATATTACTGACAAACTATCACCGTCATACCTTGGGCAAAATGGGTCTTCGAACCGTTCTTGCTACCGCCATTACTGGCTTGCCAGTCATCCAAGCTGCCATTCCCACCATTTCGGGATTCACGCTGACCTGGGGTGACGACTTTGTTGGCTCCGCCAACAGCCTTCCCAGCACATCAAACTGGATCATCGACACTGGCACCAGCTACGCGGGAGGTCCTGCCAACTGGGGCACGGGAGAGATCCAGACATACACCAGTAGCCCCAGCAACTTGAAGCTGAATGGAAATGGGGCCCTCCAAATCACCGCAATCAAGAGCTCTTCCGGTGCCTGGACCTCTGCTCGTATTGAAACTCAACGCAGTGACTTCATTGCACGCGCAGGAGGTAAAATGAGAATCCAGGCAAGTCTCAACCTGCCTAATGTTGGTAGCAACGGCATTGGGTATTGGCCAGCGTTTTGGACACTCGGTAGTGCGTATCGAGGCAATTACCAGTAAGTGTTACACTTGTATTTTGCTAGCAACTATAGCAGCTGACAATTAATAAAGAAACTGGCCTTCCGTTGGTGAATTCGATATAATGGAGAACGTGAATGCGATAAACCGTGTCTGGGGCGTGATGCACTGCGGTGTTAACCCCGGCGGGCCGTGCCGAGAGACGGACGGCCTCGTGGGATCGCGAGAGTGCCCTGGAAGCCCATGCCAAGGCAACTTCCACACCTACACCCTGGAGGTCGATCGTACTCAGGAGCTCGAGGCTGTCCGATGGTTTGTCGACGGCACTCTCTTCTGGCAAATTGTGGAAACCGACCTGCCGGCCGACACCTGGGCTCAGGCAGTTCACAATCCTCACTTTGTGTTGCTGAACCTGGCTATCGGAGGTGCTTTCCCCAACAACAACTATGGCAGCGCCACTCCACTCGCCAATACTGTCAGCGGTGGCACACTGCAGGCAGAGTACATCGCTGTCTATAACGCCTAGACTCTTCACGTGTGGATATCGAACAAGCCTGAGGCTTCCTCCATAGTCCAATTTGCTTCAAATTCTTTGTATATATCTTTGATGTGGACCGTGTGAATACGGTGTCAAGTTTCTGTACTTCTTTTATATACTGACTCTTTATGAACGATTGGTGCCAAGTTCAGTCGACGAATAGCCCAAATGAAAGACTCCCCGACGTAGTGACTTGATCAATTGAAGGGTATTTGCTGCGGATGCGTCCTCGAAGGTGACCCCCGTCTCACCTGCCGAGAGAGAATAAGGAAGTATGAAATTTTTTTGAGTCTGCGTAGCGACCATTGAAATGCTGTTGACATACCAAACCTGAACATCACGCAGAAACAAAGGAGATAGGACGGGAACTGTGAGGTCGACACAGACACTCACATACATGAATAAGGTGCGCGAGCGGGCAATCAAACTTGAAGTCTATTGTTCACAGCCCAGGTCCGCAACTTGAAATGAATATCGAATACTGTGATGGCAACTTCGCCGTGCATAGGTAGACTGCAATCCTCGATGCTTATATCAGCACATTCGATATTCTAATCGGCACTCCACCGATGAGAACGAGGGAAACTCAGCAGAGTTATTTTGAGCTCATTGCTGACGCCTTTGGGTAACACTTTTCGCCGTTTTTCTTCTGATTGGCCCAGTTGATAACGTTGACAAAAAGAGTTGAACGACTCTCAATGACTATACATGTTGATCAACTTGCTTTAAATGGCTGGGATCTGATTCTACCTGCAGCTGTGGTACGACAACGGTAAAGAATTTGATAAGCTGAATTTGAAGTGGTGCTGTGGCTGCCCGACTTGGGTTTACCATAGTCAGGAAGCTCTAAAAACGATTTTGGTAAGTTTCCCCGGGCGGTAAGCGGGGTCGCAGTATGCCGTGCTACGGATGCTACAGTGTTTCAAGGATAGCAGTCTAGCTATTGGAGATCGCTGCATCGAGATACGCATCGCAAACATAGGTGATCACTCGATCAAACACGACTTTGTGGCCTATGGCATCAGCCTCCTCACGTACGGTTCCGGTAATCGGCAGGTTTATCAGAGACTTTCTTCCAATAAACGGGCTTTACGTACCTAAGTATCTGGTTGCCAGAGTTTGAGAATTACATACTTAGTCTAGTAACCCAGAGCACCAGCATTTCAGCAGACTGGTTCGCCTTTATCTTTACGTCGTTTGTTGGTCAGTGCCGCACCTACTACTTCAGATAAATACTTCTTTCTATTCATTCTGCTGTAACGCGTATTGAACATTATCAACCATGGGATCCTTAGACGTTGAGAACACCTACGATGTCCTCATTGTCGGGGCTGGACTCTCCGGTGTCTGCAGTCTCTATCACATTCGTGAACGCTTCCCATCATGGAGTATCAAAGTCATAGAAGCTGCCGGCGACGTGGGGGGCGTCTGGCATTGGAATCGTTACCCTGGGTGCAGACTTGATACGGAATCTCTTTCCTATGGATACTCCTTCGACAAAGACTTTCTGCAGCAATGGAAGTGGAAGGACACATTCTCTTCGCAGGCAGAGATGCAAGAATATATCCAGAGCATTGCCAAGAAACACGACTTGTACAAGGATATTCAGTTCAACACGCGCATCGCTTCAGCATCATGGCATGACGAAGACCACACATGGACTTTTTTGGATGATGCGGGAAATCGCCACAAGACCCGCTTCTTCGTGAGCTGCCTCGGTTTTCTCTCCGCTCCTACCTGGCCGGCCATCCCTGGGCTCGAGGAGTTTCAAGGGCAAGCCTACCACACGTCCCGCTGGCCGAAGGAATTTGACATCAAGCGCGATCTAAAGGGAAAACGCGTTGGTGTAATTGGCACTGGCGCAACTGGTATCCAGACCATTACAGCTATATCTAAGGAGCCAGGTATTCAGTCTCTTACCGTCTTTCAACGAACGGCAAATTGGTCTGGTCCCCTGCGCAACGCCGAGATCACTTCCGAGGAAATGGAGAAATATAGCAGCCAGTATAATGAAATTTTCGACAGATGTGCTCAGACATCTTCAGGATTTCTACATCAAGCTGATCCTCGCAAAACCGTTAATGTTAGCCAAGATGAGCGCCTGGCACTTTACGAAAAGCTCTACGCAGAGCCAGGGTTTGGAAAGTGGCTGGGCGTGTTCAGCGATACCTATACTGATCGCGACGCCAATCGCTTGTATTCGGAATTTATGGCAGGGAAGATCAGGGAACAAGTTCAGGATCCGGAGACGGCCGAAAACCTCATTCCCACCCATGGATATGGAACTCGACGAGTACCGCTTAACAGTGGCTACTTCGACGCGTTTAATAAGTCACATGTCCACTTGGTCAACTTGCGCAAAACGCCCATTGAGCGCGTCAACGCAAGAGGCATCATCACTTCAGACGGAAAGCAACACGACCTGGATGTTCTCGTCTGCGCGACCGGCTTTGATGCCGTCACGGGTGCTTTTAACGCGATCGATTGGCAGGCCAAAGATGGCCGACCACTCATCGCCACCACTGAGACCAAAGAGGGGAGGCGTGCCATCTGGCCAGACCACAAGCCGCATACGTTCCTCGGAGTAACGGTACCCGCCTTGCCAAACACATTCCTGGTCCTAGGCCCACACCAACCTTTCGGTAACGCCACGCGAAGTATCGAGCATGTTGTTGGCTTTGTTACAGATGCTTTGCAGTACTGTCATGACAAGGGCTACACCTATTTCGAGGCGACCAAGGAGGCTGCAGATGACTGGACGGACCACGTCGTGGAGTGCAGCAAGACGGGGACGCTCGTCAATGAAGTTGATAGCTGGATGACTGGTGTGAACACAAACGTGAAGGGAAAGCAAGTAAGGAGTGTTGCGAGATACTCGGGCAGCGTCATCGAGTATCGCAGGCGCACTGAGGAATGTAAACAGTCTGGCTACAAGGGCTTGAACTTTGCGTAAATTGAGAACCGTTCGAGCTTTTCCACGAGTATTCGATCTTGTTTGCATATAATATTTATATTCATCTATTCAGGTCCAACAGAGGACATCTGCACTATTACGATGGATCGAAATGTTTCAAAAGCTTGGGAAGCTGGACACAAGGGAAATTTTCCGAAGACATTGTGAGCTACACAGGCAGGCATAGTTGAAAGAATTGAAAGAATGCGCAAATGTAAGGGAACACAATTTTTAAGGCTTAGAAGCGAAAATGGTGCACTGCTCTTAAGGCTCTGATGATCATGATGCCCCTGAATCCTTCGGGCTGAAAAACCATGATCTCGCTCGGCTGAATGATACCTGGAAATGTTGATTCGAACTGGATATACGTCCTGCTCATAGCACAGCCTTCTTTCTTGTATTAGTCATCAATATGGAATTCACTTGACAATCGTTCTAGCCAAGTGAGGGAGTCCTCGTCGGCGGAGATGTCACGTAGAAATTATCGCATGACAACGCTGTGACTCGGTCCGACCCAGTCTGATCGCTTTGATGCGTTGTTGATCAGAACTGTAGTCTTGATCTTCATATGATCAAGTGCGAAACATCTGTCTTCGTTCTTGCAGATTGTCTGGCGATTTAGGAAAGTTTTCCCCCGAGGCCTAGTGAAACCGCCCCCGATATCCGGCAGCAACTGGGCACCGTTCTCGGCATGGCAAGTAACTGTCCCCGGATAGAGAGAGGCACCTAATAGCCCTCAACCAAAGATACAATACATATGTGCAGTGAACATGTATCGTCAGTTGACAAGTGCAACGAATAATTTGTTTGCAGTTTGTACGTGACATCTAGCATTTGCATTGCGTCTCCCAGACGACAAAGTTTCACTCAACAATCTCGAAATACAAGAGTCTGGCAATATGGATGTCCCTGGCTTCGCATTGATAACGGGGGCGGCGTCAGGGATCGGGAGAGCCTGCGCACTAGGATTCGCTAAGGAGGGCTCGGCTGGAATCGCACTGCTGGACCTCAACGCAGATGCCTTGGCCGCCGTGGAAGCTGAAGTTCGAGAGAAGAGCCGGCAAAAATCATTCCAAGTCCATACATACGCCCTTGACGTCTCCAAGGAGGACCAGGTCAACCACGCTGTCAAAGACGCGGCTCAGAAATTCGGCAGGCTCGACTATGTCGTCAACGCGGCGGGCATTGCGCTGAAGCACGAGGGTGGAGCTGCTTTTTGCAAAACGGAGGAGTGGCAGCGCGTCATGGACATCAACATCAACGGCACATTCTTCGTCCTGCGAGCAGCGGCCGAGATTATGCTGAAGCAGGACCACATCCTCTCCACTATCGATGGAAGGCCTCTACAGCGGGGCTCTATTGTCAATTTCAGCTCAATTCAAGGCGTGGTCGGCATCACTCTGTCCACCGCATATACAACGTCTAAGCATGCTATCATCGGTCTTACGCGGACGGCATCGGAGGACTATGCCAACAAGGGTCTGCGGGTAAATGCCATTTGTCCTGGATATACCGAGACTCCGATGACTACTAAGTCGCCGGCTGTGCTCAAAGCAATGCAGGAACGCATTGAGACCGCTGTCCCCATGCAGCGCATGGGCAATCCCTCTGAAATAGCGGATGGTGTTTTATATTTGGCTGGGGGCAGAAGTTCGTTTGTTACTGGCTCGGCTCTTGCGGTGGATGGAGGCTATACTTCACGATAGATTGTTAGAGACTGAAATCAAATACTTCTCTACACGAAATGCATTTCATGAATTTTCAACAGTCTTTGACTTTTTGATCAATTGGTGCGTGAAAACTTTGGAACAGGAGTCGTCTCGATTAGACACAATCTTCTTAGGGCTTCAGACAAGTTACTGTCCAGGTCGAGTTAGGCAGTGCTCTATTCCAGGGATGTCTTCTTCCTATTAGAAGTTTGATGTTTGGGTGACGCCCGCTTTAATCACTACATCGTAATTTTCATTAAATTTACGAAGGATCATGCTGAATTTCTTCTAGATATTTACTACCAACGCCAATCATCTCCGATAACTGCAAGCGGATTTCAACAGACCCAGCCACCGTCCACATTATAAACAGCCCCAGTCACGAAAGAAGCCTCATCACTCAACAAGAATGCAATTACATTTGCGATTTCAATCGGTTCCGCTCTGCGCTTCTGGGCAGTGACCTGCAGACCACGCTTGACGTCCTCAGGGTTTTCGCCTCGTGACATCGGTGTGTTGACGGAGCCTGGCGAACGTCATGTTAGCCAACCGGAACAGAGTGTGTATGCACATGGTTGTGGTATAGGACTCATTTACCTGGTGATACGCAGTTCACTCTGATCTTCTGGTTTTCTTTAGCCGCTGTCCTAGTTAGGCCGATGACAGCTGCCTTGCTGGCGCAGTATGCGACGTTTCCTACTGCGCCGAACTGTCCAAATGTGCTCGCAGCAGAGACCTGAAGACTGCTGTCAGCTAATGTCTCAAAATCTTCCACGTCTGTATTTTCGATGTCTCCTCGCGTCGGAAATTCTTTTGCGGGAGGACTGTAAAATAGCCATTCCAAGCTTCTGTTGATGAAGAGGTCGAACATACCCGGATACCTGTGCAAAATTCACGAACGCCAAAGGAAAAGTAGGGGTCTTACAATGCTAGCTCCATCCCCCATAGCTCTCAGTTGAGCCCTTACACAATAGAAGACACCTCTAGCGTTGACGTCAAACGAGAAGTTCCAATCCTCGTCCCTCACCTCGGTGATAGGGGTGGCGGGAGTAATGACACCGGCCATGTTCACAGCCCCATCCAGTCTTCCGAATTTAGCCACGGTCGAAGTGATCCACGCATCCACCGACTGGCTATTGCGCACATCGACGACAGTGTATATATGCTTCTCACTGTTTTCCAGGGAGCGGACCGCCTCTTTCAGTCCATCTTGGTTGATATCTGCGAGAGAGATAGTTGCACCACGTGTCGCTAGCAGTTGCGCTGTAGCAAGCCCCATTCCGGACGCTGCTCCGGTAATAGCAATCTGAAAACGCCATGGTCACTACAGAATATCAAACATGGATGTAAATTTAAGTCTTACCACCTTGCCATCGAAAGATGACACCATTGTGTGCTCTGGAATACTAATTCTTGGTGGGTACTTGGGGCGGGGGAGGGGGGGTTGGGTTTGCGGCCAGGAGCAGTAATTGCTGGCGTAAAGTGATTGCCCAGTGGTCTCACTGTGAAGCCAGAGGTTATTTAGTATATCTTGCCGCTTTCACCATAATCACAGGTAGCCTGTGAGATCATGGAGGAGAATCGAAAAGAGGAGATCAGTCCCAAAAAGGCAACTATTCCCGGCAGTGAAATCTCTCATTGCTTCGTCACATGCCAACGTAATTGGAATCAAGCTGCGGGAAAACAATTTGGACCCTGGCAGTGTATCCAGATATGTAAGTTGAGAATTGACGATTAACCAAATCAGGAGCAATATTGTTGTCTGACGACCGTACTTCAAATATTCGCTTTGACGACCTTTGTCTGCGTCAGTTCTGCTGCGTGTCACTGTCAAACATAAAGTTGAGAGCTTTTTGGAAAGTTTCTTTGCTGCCTCAAAAGGGCTTGTGGGACTACTGCTCCAGACTTGTTTTCTCTTGCCAAGACCTTTCTAATTTATGCAAAGTGTCCTCGAAGATCTGGATCCCGCTTAATCGCGACGAGGACCTGAACCAGTCGGCGAACGACTGCTGTAGCTCCAGTCCCTCAGCTTCAGAGGCCGCGATGAAGGCAGGCCAGATGAGCCTCGCAGAAGCGTATATCTGCTTCATGTCTACTTGTCCACACTGAATTATGCAGTCCCGCACTTTGATCACCTTGTGCTGCAAAAGAGACGCATCAACATCATATATCCTCCTGTAAAAGTAGATTTGCAAAGATTGCTGCCATGCGCCGAGGAGGTTGTCCAACCCGTTTTCGACTTGTTCTGGCCATGGAAGGTGATTAATGACTCTCTCCACCCCCTTTGCCATGCTCAAGAATTCCCCCAATCCGGGAGACCCTGCAGTCTCGTTGTTTCGGGCGGCGTCTTTTTCTTTACCCAGTCGTATCACAAGAGAAAGAGATGCAAGCCACTGTTCTGGAATTCCGAATATTTCGGGGTACAGAGTGGCAGACCATATGCCAGGATGCTCGAGATGCAGATCGTTCTCGCCGGTATGTTGGCTCTTGATCTTGGCCATTTCCTTTTGAATGTCCTGCCACGAGGAGAGCCTGAATTGTAAGCTATCTTGGCCGACAACGACGAGTCCACTGGACTCAACGGCTTCGCGGACGTGAAGCCGGTGGCGGTAATTGGCCTCGGACGTGATCGTACTCTCGTAAAGTATCCGCTCAAATGCATAACAATGGTGAAGTAATCGGACTTTCCGGGACTTTTTTCGAACCAACCCCTTCAGACGGATGAACTTCTCTGCCTCGAGAAAGTAGCACTCTGTTTGGTCCCGGTTGCCCGAGAACATGGAAACCTGCACCATGGTAATAAGGGCCATAAGAATGGATTTGTACTTGGCCATTTTGGGGGCACAGTATGCCTTTTTCAGCATTTCCCGGGTGTGCTCACGGGCCAGCTGCTGAAATGCTTTGCCTTGCTGAAGCCACATTTGACTGTGAGACACACCGCCGATGCTCAATGCGCTGATAGCTAGGGTGCCATAAAATGCGCTGAGACTGGCGTGATCTAGCTGCTCACCAAGGGTCAGGCCAGCGAGGCAGTGTTTGACGTGAGGAATAAAAAGTATGTGCCATGGCGTCTTGGTATGTCGAAAGGGTGTAAGCAGATTAAGAACTGTTGTCGAATAGTGTTTGAGAAGGAAAACGGCGTGCTCAGGGATGCTGTGATTGGAACTTTGAGGTGGGGCCGCCGGAGATGATGGAGGCGGAAGAAGATCTGCTGCTGGGTGCTCTAAGGCGGTCATCGGGAAGATATCAACTGGTTCAACTGGCATCAGTGTTGCCATGTGGATTGCAGGCATGATAGCCTCGTCGAAGACCTCCTGAGCATCCCCTATGCCTCTGACTGGGTCCCAGAGATCCTCGGGAAATGCAAGCGAGTTATGGCCCCATTCAGCCTGTGCGTGATCCAACATCAACTCGAGCGACTGTTGCCCCAATGGCGACATTGGCATGTCCAGATCAGATGTGTCGAAAGTCTGAGCCGCGTTTGTTTCGGCCATGAGGACGTCTTGGGCCACTATACAATCACTCTCGTCCCTCTCATCCCGGGCATTTGCATCGGGGCTCGGGTCGGCCTCGGCGGACCCACCACGGCGCTTTCTCACACTGAAGGCGCTGAACGGGCCGCGACAAATGTGTAGGTCGTCGGAAGGAGATGCCTCCTCACACTCCTCATCGATCTGTGCGATGTATCTAAAAGCTGACTTTGGTGGAACGCTGGCAGTCAACAGTTCGCTCATGGACTGGCGCTCTCGCTCAGTGAGGATGAACTGCCGGAAGCGGAGGCGCCCAGTACCATCGTTGCGGCCGTCGGAGTCGAAGAAGATGCTCTTCTCGTACCCTCCACATGTCAGGCCGGAATCACGGCAAGCAGAGCACGACGGCCGACCTTCGTCGCATTTCATGTGGCGTTTTCGACACTGAGCATCATCGACATCAAAAATTGTGACATCAGTTATTGGCAGGGGTACGGAGTGCCTACCGTTGAGCATCCACCAAAAGACCGAGCCGGGACTGTGACATTTTTGGGCTGCCGCTGATGGCTGGCAAACGCCATATTGGATGTGGATCCTTCTGCGCTCCTGGAAATCGAACCATCTGTTACCTGCAACTTCTGGGGACAACTTCTTGTCGGGACGGAGAGGAAACTCAACCCAGAGGAGAGTCAGAGCGCAGTACTTGGTGACTTGAGACGAGCCCGCTTTGGCCCGACGCCCCCGCCAAGACCGGGCTTTAAACAGTGCGAACGAAAGAGGAAAGTTATCCCGGCCAAGTCTTCCAAGCTGTAGTCTGGACAAGATCTGACTGCATCTCCATGCACTGCACGTTGTTCACATGATAAGATCCGGCAGCCAATTGAACAGATAAGAAACAACCCGTGACAATCAACTCAATTAGTTCTATGATCTGGTGAAGGCATGCAGCAGCCAACAACCCCGGGCCATAAGTGGGACTGGTTAGCCAGAGCCCTCTTAACACACCTGAAGACTGCGGGCTGTGCGGTTCAAAGACCACAGAATCCGCTTGATCTATTTGACCAGTTCCTCAGTTGCCCGTGACTTGTCAACTTTTACGAAGAGAAAGACGGAGGACAGTATTACCTGCCCGATGTCTCAAAGAAGGGTTGTCCGTAAACCTCTTCAGCAGTTGGGAAGCTGCCCGGTATCAGACCCAAGAGCATTGATGGAAGCAGTTCAGCGCGGTCGGTAGTGTGGATATTCATTCCCTTCTACCTTTGAAACAATGATTCTGATGGGAGAATTTGTAGGATTGTATTTAATCTATACAGTGGCACGTTCCTATATGTGGCATACAAGGTTCACAATTAACTCCGCATCTCCCTCTCTTGCAAAATGATGTCAGAGTACAAAAGTCTTCCATACCCCCTTGTCTTGTTTTCTACAAGCTTGAAGCCGAGTTCAAAGGTTTTTCATGAAAACACAGAGAAAAAGCCTGGTTTAGGTGAGGTACCTCTTCATTAGACACGCAACTCATGGACTGGATTACGATCTCTAAGGCACGTATCAAATGACTAAAAATCATCACAGTGTGGCAAGATGCACAATTTTGCTTTCGATGGTCCGAGCAAGTACCTAACGAAGAAAAGCAAAATGGTAAGCATATGTTTCTGGCAACCGAAACTTCTTAGACAGGAGCTTTCTACTTGGACTTCTTCAGTGTGCTCTCCTGAATCTCTTGGCAAACCCTGAGTGTTTTTCAATGTCTGCAGGACTCGTCTAGTTGACAAGTTTCATCTACGGTGAACACATCACGAGCTGCGGTTTTGAGCGCTGTAAATGTGTGACTGGTTCGTAACCAGATATATCGTGAAGCAAGTTATTGATCTGATATGGTCGAATTGAGCCATGCATGCGATCGCGCACACACACCTGGCGTATCTGGAGTGGCTAAAGTCTGTGGCCCAAGAGAACACAGAATCTCACAGAGAACTTTCAGACCACATGCTGCTTAGAGAACCACATTGACAGCTTTTGTTGAAGGAAAAATGACAATTGGAGAATATTGTCAGTAATTATTGCGGAAATTCAGTGATCTGACACTATATATAGATTCGTTCGACGCGGGCCTTAGTCGCTCCGCGGGTGAATGAACTATTAGCAGAAACGCAATTACTCAGCCGTCTCACCTCGCTCCCAATCTTATCTGGCTCGTCGGGGCTTATCTGTCCTATCGATAAGAATAGCCTGCAATTTTTCAGCTGCCCAAGAGCCGAACCCAAGTCTGACCGACGAATGCAGATTTCGCTTTACCCCCCGTGGGATTTCAGCGGCGGACCCTTTTTCGATTTTCTTTCTTCGCTCTACCACCTGCGCCAACTCACGCTCCATACCCCTTTTTCCCGGCTGCTTCTTGCACGCCAACCTCTCCACTCCTTCCTTTCTTCTTCTTTTTCTGTGGCGTCGCAGGAATACCTTGCTGCAGATTTTCCGACATTCTGTCATCTGGGACGCCGCATCCGGTTTCGCCTGAAATGAACCCCCCGATCGTCGTCGCAAATGGCGACGCCCCGCCACCATCGCAAGCCGATGTGTCGGCATTCATCGAGGCCATTTTCAACGCAAAGACCTCCAACGCCTCCGTCGACGCCGCCTACGGTCTATGCGATCTTTTCCTGAACTCCCCCAGCGTTGGCTGCCGCGGTTTGGAATCCTACGGCATCCTCGCTGAAATCAAGAAGGCGGCCGCAGACAAGAAGTCCGGTCTCAGGAGGGAGAGCGCACAGAATCTTCTTGGTGCACTCCTGGAGCGGTTCCCACCACGACAGCCCGTCTCCGAAGTCATCTTCCTCGTTAAAGATGGCGGCCTCGTCCCCTGCGCCTTGGACGCTCTCGCTGATAAGGGCTCTGTTGTTCGCGACGCTGCACAATACGGTATCGATGCCCTCTTCAACCATCTGAGCCCCGAGGCTCTTGTCGTTGGCCTGCTCCCTGTTCTGCAAACATATCTATCCAAGAAGACCGGCAAATGGCAAGGGACCGTCGGCGCATTGAAACTTATGCAGAAGATGGCCGACAAGGCCAAGCTGGAGTTCGGTGGCACAAAGGAGGAGGCCCAAGAAAAGGACGTCTTGCGCGAAATAATGGGTGCCAAGCTGGCTGGCTTGATCCCTATCGTCGAGGATGGCATGCACGACTTGAAGTCCGAGGTCGAAAAGCAAGCAGTCAAGACAATGGACTCTCTTACTGCGCTTCTACAAAACGACGACGTTGCCCCCAAGTTGCCCCTGCTGCTTGAAGCAATGCGGAAGCCTTCTGCCGAAGCAGTGTACAAGGCTATCCATGCACTTTCGCAAACCACTTTCGTTGCTATCGTCACTTCTCCCGTTCTCGCCCTCCTGACACCCTTCCTCGAGCGATCTCTTCACAACCCGTCAACGCCCCAAGAGACTCTGCGAAGGACGGTCGTCATTACCGAAAACCTTACCAAGCTGGTCCACGATCCGATCGAGGCACGCACCTTCTTGCCAAAGCTGAAGCCTGGTGTCAAGGGTGTCTTAGACCGTGCATCCCTCCCCGAGGTCCGAGAGCTTGCCCAAAGAGCCCTCGACGTCATGGACAAGGCCATGGCCATGGATAAGGACGTCGTTGAGCGCATCAGTGCGGACGATGTTGCCAAGATCGTGGACGCTGAGATCAAGAACGCCGGCGGAGTAGCTGGCGATGCGGAATTCTTCAAGTCGGCAAAGCCGTACTTCTGTGGTCTCATCGCCGAAGATGTCAATCACCGCTTCGTCAGCCGTATTGCCGGAAAGCTCTCGCCCTACCTCCAGGGCTTCGTGAAAGGCTCTGATGCGCATGAGACTGTCGCGAATGCGGTGCAGAGTTACTACGTCGCTGAAGATCATCGCAAATTCGGCGAGCCTGAAAAGGAAGACGATGGTGAGGTGGAAATTGTGAATGCCGATTTCTCCCTGGCCTACGGTGGCATGCTGCTGCTCTCACACACAAACCTGCGCCTGCTGAAGGGTCATCGCTACGGACTGTGTGGTCGCAACGGTGCCGGAAAGTCGACCTTGATGAAGGCTATCGCCGGCGGCAAGCTGGAAGGATTCCCCCCCCAGGATGTCCTCCGAACCTGCTATGTCGAGCACAACCAGGGCGAGGATGCCGATCTCAGCATTCTTGAATTCGTTGCCAAGGACCCTGAAATCACGAAGATTGGCACAGCCATTGAGCGTATTTCAGAAGTCCTCGCAGAGTTTGGTTTCACCTCTGGCCCCGATGGCCGACAGGCCCAAAGGGTTGGTTCTTTGTCTGGAGGTTGGAAGATGAAGCTCGCGCTGGCTAGGGCCATGCTGCAGAAGGCTGATGTCCTCCTACTGGACGAACCTACTAACCACTTGGATGTTGAAAACATCGCATGGTTGGAGGAGTATCTCAAATCGCACACCGACATTACTAGTTTAATCGTCTCTCACGATTCTGGCTTCCTGGATAACGTCACGACGGATATCTACCACTACGAACCTGGCAAAAAGCTCGGTCATTTCAAGGGCAATCTCAACGCTTTTGTCAATGTCCGCCCCGAAGCGAAGAGCTACTACACATTGTCTGCCAGCCTGGTTCAATTCAGGTTTCCGCCACCGGGTATCTTATCTGGAATCAAGTCCCAGACTCGAGCTATCGTTCGTATGACGAATGTCAGCTACCAGTACCCTAAGGCTCCAAAGCCTTCTCTTGCTGATGTCACCTGCCAACTTTCCCTCTCGTCTCGCATAGCTGTCATCGGACCTAACGGTGCTGGCAAGTCGACCCTCATCAAACTACTGACAGGCGAAGTTATCCCAACATCTGGCAAGGTAGAGAAGCACCCCAATCTGCGTATCGGTTACATCAAGCAGCACGCGCTTGAACACGTGGAGATGCATCTTGAGAAGACGCCCAACCAGTACCTCCAGTGGCGTTACCAACACGGCGATGACCGAGAGGTTCACTTCAAGGAGACAAGAGCTCTGTCTGATGCGGACCGTGCTCAGATGGAGAAGCCAATCGACATGGGTGATGGCAAGGGTTCTCGCCAGATTGAGACTCTCGTTGGTCGACAGAAGTACAAGAAGTCCTTCCAATATGAAATGTAAGTTTCTCGAGCTATTCCCCGGCCTGCAAACTCCATGGAAAAAACGTAAGCGCAATGGACTAACACCATAACAGTCAATGGAAGGGATGGCTGCCCAAGCACAACTCCCAAATCAGTCGTGAGACTCTGATTGAGCTTGGTTTCGACAAGTTGGTGCAGGAATTTGACGACCACGAGGCCTCGCGAGAGGGTCTTGGTTACCGTGTCCTCGAACCCAAAGTCATCTCTCAGCACTTCGAGGATCTTGGACTCGACCCGGAGATTGCCAACCACAATGAGATTGGATCGCTGTCCGGCGGCCAAAAGGTCAAGGTGGTCATCGCTGGCGCCATGTGGAACAACCCTCATTTGTTGGTGTTGGACGAGCCGACCAACTTCTTGGATCGTGACTCTCTAGGAGGTCTGGCCGTTGCTATTCGCGACTTCAAGGGTGGCGTTGTGATGATCAGTCACAACGAGGAGTTCGTAGGCGCTCTAGCCTCGGAACAGTGGCACGTGCGGGATGGACGCATGACACACAAGGGCAACAACGCAATCTCTCTTGATCGCTTTGAAGACTCTCGTCCTGGCTCTACCGCCCCATCGTCTGGTGTCAGTACCCCCGTCCACGGAGCGAGCACAGCGGTCAGCAGTGCTATGAACAGCGCTGTCAACAGTGGCGTAGAGGACAACATCGACACGCCGCTGAAGTTCAAGGCCAAGAAGAAGAGAAAGATGACCAAGAAGGACCTGAAGGAGCAACAGGCCAGGCGTCGGTTGAGGCACATCGAATGGCTGAACAGCCCCAAGGGCACACCCCACCCTCCTGACACAGATGACGAGGACGCATAAGTAATCGGCTCCAGAGGCCATTTTCTTTGTCTGTTGGACATACATGTTGCAGTTTTCAATTCTGCTAGAAGATGGCGGCCAAAGCCGCGCATGAAAGATACGGGATTACAAAAAGAGGCGGACGAAACTGATGCTTATAGAAGGCCGGAGTTTAGACTATAGATGGATCGGGACTTGTTTTCGGATAGAGTAGACTTGGCCATGGGCTACTTTATAGTTTTCTCTAATGGATTGTTGAGTTACATGCTTCGTTTTATTCAGACCTTACGTCTTTACCAGGTTACTAACACTCTGAAAGAACTGATTTTACAGTCTACGTACTTGCGTAGACTTTAGAACCCCCGTCCTCGCCCTACATCCCTGTTCGGCCACCAAGACTCCTCGTGAGGGTTCAGGTCCGCAGATCCACCACACCCCTGACCCGCCGCGGGTAAATTGAGCCCTTCCCAATCGAGCAGCCGGAGCGCCCGCGCCGGAAATACGGCTTGTATCAAGACTCAGCGCCTCCTAATTGATTTCTCACTTGTATCTCGTGCGTGCGTTGTTCTTTTTACCGCCTCCCGTGATGCTTCGCATGCTTCACAGCGCCGGCCAGTGAAGAGCTCGACTTGAACATGGGGAACGACATATACACGTCTGTCCCGCTGGACGACGGTCCCGAGGGCTATGCGCTGGGCGCAGCTAACAAGCGGCAGAGGTCATCGCGGCTGGAGACGGTCAAGAGGGTGGCCTTTATTTCTATCCTGGCAGTCGTGGTATTCTTGCTGGGCTTCGGCGCTGGAGACCGCTACGGGAAGGCGGCCAAGTCCACGGCCACGGCCACGGCCACGGTGTCGGTCGGCGAGCAGGAGGCCGCTGTGACGGGTGGTGAGAGTGTTAGCGGTGGTGCATTGTTGCCGCCACAGGCGTTCGTGCCGGACTGTGAGTCGACCTCATAAAGACGGGCTCTCGGAAACAGCATTTGATTGGGTGGATGGAAGCTTAAGAGCTGACAAGGACGGCAATAGTCCCAATGAAGGGGGTCAAGTTTGACTTCCCTACCGAGTATGAGGACACGAGTGTCGAGGGGGATAAGCTTTGGGACAAATTAATGCCCCGTGAGTCACTACTGTCTTTCTGCAAGTAGTGTTATTCTTGCGGTGACTGACCATGACTAAAGTCGGATCTGGCTTCGTGCGCGTCCCATATCCAAGACGTTTCGATATGCCCGCCAGCAAGGCCATTGAGGACGACCCAGAGGAGGCTGAGATCTACTCCCTCTCAGCACTGCATCAACTCCATTGTCTGGTATGACTAACCCATACCCCTAACATCAAAGCTCCCTTTTCCAAGTATGTGCTCACAACAACCTCAACTCAGGGCGTCATCAGAGACGTGGTAAAAAAGTACGAGAAGCATGATAAGTCGCGTTTCGCTGGGGCGGGTCACGAGTACCATTGCATCGACTATATCAGACAGAGCATAATGTGCTCTGCGGATACAACGCTCGACTTTGCGGAGCTCCAGCCGGACGGGAGAAGGAAAGGCTTCTCAGGCGCAAACTCGACGCATCAGTGCAGGGACTGGGATGCTGTGGCAGCATGGGCGGTTGAGAATCGCGCTGGTGATAAGGCCGGGATTGCGTGAGGAAAACTTCTTGATCTACTCTAGTAAAGTGAAAACTTAAATATCACAAACATCATATGTCTCTACGACTCCCGTATGTGTCGTGATAATCGCCCCAGACCAGGGAGCTCACCAAACTACCCATGTGCCCTACACTATGTGACAATGCACACACACTCGAGCTCCGGATCGAGCAGTATCAAATCAGGTTGTGCACGAGATTACTTTTCTATAATGATACCAATGATTACCAGCAATGAAAATTGCTTTCCAGTCTAGTACATTCCCATGCCCTGATCGCCCTCCTCGGGGCTAACCAACTGGCCTCTGGGGTACTTCTTGGTGAACTATCAAGTTTCTGGTCCAATAAAACCACCGACTCTGAACCTAAGGAAGCTCCACCAAGCGACCTCTATCGCGCATCTACCAACAAATCGCTTATGTTTCCCTTTTTGTACGCTTGTGCAATGCCGACGATCCAGCTTTATCCAACCCAAGGATCCCCCCCCCCACCATAATGTCGCCCATGCCGGCGTTTTTCGTCCTCGGCATGGATTCAAATCCAAGATACTACTTATCTTTGTAACTCGAACAGAGACCTTACCAGGAGAATGTCATCAGGGCGGGGTTTAGGGCGATTGGCAGGAGCATATGTGAGACTGCGACCGTCGCCATGGGCAAGATAGCCACGAAATCGGTAATGTGCCAGCCATAAGGAATGAAAGGTGCGACTGCGAGCGTGATCATGACAATGATTGCGGTGAAGGAGAAAATCATAGAGTAACGGAACTGTGAGTTTGGCAATGTCAGCGACGTGCTCTCTGGGGTGGCCCTCATGAGAGCGGCGAGTGTCTAAATTTGGGGTGGGAGGTAGGAGGGACGAGATGCGGGAATTCTAGTTACCTTCTTGATGACTCTCGGAACCTCTATCCAGAAGTTCGAGAACTCTGCCTCCTTGCTAGTTGCGCCCCAGGTCATGTCGATCTCGAACATGTGCGACAGAATAGCTTGCGAAACGTGTAGGCTGAGGCCGCCCAGGAAGATGGCCAGCAGTACCATCCACTTCATGTTCTCCAACAGGCAGCCAAAGAAGCTCTTGTGGTCGCCGCGGTATCTCATCGCCGCGAGGCCGATGTTGCCCAGCCCGTTGAACACGATGATGATGGAGAACCAAACCTGCCACGAGTCCACGTAGTAGCGGTCGAGGTAGTCGCTGAACCAGCCGTAGAGGAAGTAGTTGGTGCTGGTCATGATCCAGGCGGCGGCGATGGCATAGTACGTGCCGATGTACGAGACGACGGTGATCTTGGAGGTGGTCGGAATGCCGGAGCACAGGAATTTGCGGAACAGCGGCGTGAAGGGCCCGGTGATGGCCCACTTGCGGATCGGGTGGAACAGGAGCTCGTTGCAACCGTATGCGTACTTTTCCCAGCGCGCGAGCTCGTCATAGACGGTGAGGGACACGCCCTCCTTGAAATCGTCTCCCGCCCAGGTGGCGAGACGGATGATATAGCTTGAGCACTGGAGCCGCAGCGACATATCGAAGTCTTCGGACACGTGTGATTCGGACCAGAACTTTTCGTAGCCATCTTCGTCTTCGTAGCTGACTGTCTGGAGTGCAGACCAGCGAAGGATGGCGTTGTGCCCGACGAAGGGTGCGACATCACCGTTGGCGACAGTGTAACGGATGGCCGAGTAGATCAGGTTGGTGAAAAACGTGATGCCGTTCTCGAAGTATGTGTTGACGACCTGCATGACGCCGGATGAAAATTGGAGGATGCCGACCTCGGGAGACAACTCCATCTCCGACACGGAGTCGAGAAGGCAGTCCTCAGGGACACGAGTGTCAGAATCAATGAGCATAATGTAGTCGCCGACGCGGATGTTACCGTCCATCCACGCTCGGCCTTGCATCTCCTTGTTCAATTCCGCCAGCGCCTCACAGTAAGCCTGCGCCTCGTCGTTCTGGGTCCATTCGGCATGGCGCTGGATGCGAACCAGTTTATCCTCGAGCCTGCAGGAAAGCATGAGGGCGTAATTCATGTTGGATGCCTTCTTGAATTTTCCGCGGCGCTGAAAGCCATTGTCTCCGTGGCGGGGACGAGCTGTCCAACCGATGCCGTTCTCTGAGTAAAACTGGATGCGGGCCTGGCGCTCCTGCTCATCAAGAAGCTGCAGACCGTCGTCGTTGACGAAAAGATTCGCAGAGCCGCCTTGAAGCTCGTAAGTTGTCATGGCGGCCTTGACGGACCTGACGGTGGGCATGATGACAGCATTAAGACCTTCTTTGTAGATTGGACACTGGATCGTGACATGGGGCAGGATGGTGTTCTGCAGGCGAGGGGGCTTGATTGCAGAAAAGAACTTCGAGTTAGCTTTCATCTGCCGGACAGGGCCGATCATCTGAGCTCCAGAGCCCCAAATGACCTGACAGAAAAAGAGGGTGAAGAAGATTGACATCGGGAACAGGCTGATCAACGCTATGCGAAGCCAAGCCAGATCCAAGGCCGACTCGATGACCAGTTGCCGGAGGGCAGCCCCGAGAGAGGCAGTGATCAGACAAAGCGTAAGGCTGACGAGCACGGAATTCTGTTTGTGCTTCTGTCTTTTCTGGGGCTTGATTTCTCCCGTTTCTGCGTCTATCTCGTGCTTTTCTTCTTCTGTTCCAAAGACATTGTCACCTGTGACTCCCTCTTCGGGGGCGGTGGTCTTCCAAACGAGTTGCATGAGTTCGGTCTCAATGCCTGCTGCTCGTTCGATAAGGTGCATCGTGTCGTCGTCCCACACAATGAGGAGACCCTCCGCTGCAATGAAGGCCGCACATTGTTGCTTCCGTGCTCTGGCCAAGTCTTGCACACAAGGTAGGATCTGGATACGGAGGCCGTTCATCAAGGGCACGTCAATGGCCCCTGGAGACCATGCCAAGAATGACTTGATGATTCGGGAATTGACCGTCATCGCGCACTGGTATTGTTAGCCATAATACTCTACCAAACCTTCAAGGCAAAATGACCGAACTTACTTGGACGCCTAGAGCAGCCATGGCTTGCGCGAAGGGGGTTGTAGACAGTTCTGGAGGACACGCCATGTACTGATCACTGGATTTCCGCACAACGACACCCTCAAGGTCACCATTTCCGTCCGAGACCCAGAGTCGAGAACACTGTTGTTGGTATAGATAGTTCACCATAACCTCATGTTTGATGTCATCGAGGAAGGTAGCTCTTGCCGCAATACGGTTTGAGCGTCCCGGAAGACTCTTGGCCCGCGGCTTTTGTTGGCTCCCGGAGACATGACTTCCGGTATCTCGGCCACTGGTATGACTTGCCGAAGCTGAGTCTTGTCTCGAGAGTAAACTGCGCCCGCTGCGATTTTGTGTCTCACTCCTCGTGTTGCTCTTGGACTTTTGTTTTAGGTGGTGCATCGACTTGGATCGCGGGCGGCTGCTTCCCGGCCGCGCGGGTGGCGGCGGGGGCATTGTTTGATGATTGCTCTCCATGCTTTGGCTCCCTTGATTCTCTTGGTTGATCGCGTTGGAGAGATCGGGGAGAATGGGGAGGGAATCCATCGAGAAGTGCGACTCGGAGCGGTGAGGAGACCTCTAGAAATTGGGAAGGGAAGAGCCGTGCCAATGATGTCGCGGAAACGGATGATTAGGTTGAAAATATAGGAACGCTTCATACACCAGGAGCAGGTCGTGATGTTCAAAGGCGACAGGTCACCGCCGAACGAAGGGTCAACAAAGTTTTGATGGGGCCTGGACAGGACTAGGAACCCAGTTCGCAGTCTGCTTTGTTGATAGCGCAGAAACAGTTTTGTGCACACTTGGGCTAGAGCCAAAGACCTTGACGGAAATCTAATTTGAGAAGCTGACATTTTGAATAGGCTGGTCGAGTTGGCCTAGGGCAGGTGAGGAACGTGATTCAAAAGATAATTAGAAGCGAGCCCAAATTTTCCCAGACCCTTTGAGCGGATCCTCTCCACTAAGTGTAGCGTAATATGCAAGAGAATATGAGAGATATTACTTTGTCTTTTGTGAGCGCCGAAACCCCTCGCGCAGAAACTATGATACTACTAGTGCGTATAGCTGGAGGTCGACTGCAGTCGCATGATCATGTTTTGACTAAGGCTGGGGCACACCAAAGTCCTCCCAAAACTTTTCTCTATCATTACTGCCTGCTTATCTATGGAACCACAAAAAGAACGCGCAAAGAGTGAAATGGGAACCTTCCAGGCATGGCGTTGGAAGGTGATGGTATCTAAACTACGCCAAAACACATATTCTTATGATTGTCTGTCAAATGACAGCGCCTCACGGGACAGTTCGCTACTCGAGTTTATGTCCCAAATGCTCATCTCCATCGCATTGCTGCAAAATTGTAACCTTCTTTACTTCCATGTACGGCTGGGTCCACGTTGGAAACCAAGAGTGTCGGGCCTCCCAAAACTCCTTTGGTGCGTTCTTGGAGGTGTCCAACCAGGGCTTTCCACTTTTGCCGTCTTTGAACCAACCGTTGGTGCCGCCAACAGCCAGGTTGAGAATCAAGTAAAATTCCTGATCAAATGGAGTGTTATCCCGGCCAGTCTGCGACCAGGGATCTTGAAGAGCCGTTCCGTTGGAATTCGCGTAGGGGAATTTTCCACGCTTCCACATTGACTTCGCGAAAGGAGTGTACATGACCATCATCAGTCTGTTGTTGAGGTATGTGAAGAGATACTTCTGTGACCACTCGACACCAAAGGTATTGAAGCCTTCCGAGTAGACGCTATGTCTGGCGGTGCGCTTCTTGAATGTTTGCCACCACCTGTCCGTGTCCGTGTCGGGGCCCCAGTGGAGTGCAGAAGACACTGCATTGTTGCCTCCCTGGGGGTGGGTGTGGTTGTTGCCGCGGGACTCGGCGATGTCGATTTCGCCAGACGCGGGCCAGGGGCCGTAGGTGTCGTTGACCGGCATCATCCAGATGGCCGGCCAGAGCCAGTCGCCCTTGGGCATCTTCGCAACAACTTCGACACGGCCATACTTGATCTTGGCGGAATTCTTTGTGTTGATGCGCGCGGAGAAGACCGGGGGCACAATGGATGAATTTCCAGGAGCTGTGTTGGTGGCAGCAATACAATTGTAATACTCCTTGCCTGTGCATCTAGAGCCCAGATCGACTATGCTGTCCTTAGTGATCTCACTATCGTCTCGGAGTGTTGCCTTGATGAATAGATTGCCGCCTTTGACATATAAATTCTCTGGGGCGTCCGTGGTCTCTTCGAATTCACCGTTGCTGTTCGTAAGAATATCATGTCAGTTGTGATTTGAGTGATAGAGAGGATGGAAGAATACGAACCCGAATCCGCCAACTTGGATCTCAGGTTGCCAAACGTCCGGTCTAAGTCCTCGAGACCAGTCTTCAGTCAAGACGGTGCAGTACTTGTGTTCAACGACATTTCGAAGACCATCCCAGATGAGGATTCCTGCAATTGCAATGCCGACGAGCAGTCCAATCAGAGGGATGAACTCAATCCGCTTCTCGGTAGCATCTCTTGGCTCCTTGACCCATGGCTTCATTACTTCATCTTTTCGAACGCGGCGGCTGTGGAAATATCTTGGACGGCCGGGACGAACATCATTGCGACTAGGCGCTTTCGAGGTACTGAGGGGCGAAGCTGGCCTAGGAAGCCGTTGCGAACTCACGAACGGATCTGTGGCGGGCTGCGAGGCCTGAGACTGCCCCGAACCGTCGGCGAAGGGGTCTTCTGCTGACTCTTTCGCCTTGAAGGAGGCGGTTTCGGTTGACTGAAGACGCCTCACCTGGGTGATATAGTTTTGAGATAAATGATTGTCCATATTGTCTGTGTTGATGCTAGATTTGGAGATGAGTTTTGGGTAAAGTGAGTTGGACACGAAGGTGGCCCAAGACTGAAAATTAATATCGGGCAATTATAGAAAATAGATGTGGGTCACTAGCGACCGCCGCTAAAGTATACTAAGCGGGCACGACTCCTCATGAGTGTCTCTTCGCGTCCACCTGATATGATCTAGGGATGGCCATCGGGACTTTTTGTCACTGCAGTGTGGCTTGACCATGACAAACCTCGTTTGGAATAGTCTCCAATTTTTATAGGGTACTCTCAAGAGTGAATTGTCGTGGGACGTGAACTGACGACATAGCAGCCGAGAAACTAATTAGGCACCTGAGTAGATATGAGGGAATAGAGATGGATACTATAAGATGTCCGTTATGTATGTACATTGGTAGGCCAAATTATACTCAACTGGCCCAGCTCAGCCTTGGAGACTTGTGGAGCCCCAAGAAAAGTGGAGCCTTCCCTGCAGATTTGAGCGACCACTCGGCTTTCACCGTTGCTACTGTCGACTTCCTCTTTAGGCAGTCGCAAGGCTGGCATCTGGCGGCGTCTTTGCCACCAACGCAGACTCCCTGGCTGGCTGCCTGTCGCCTGCCTGAATACTAGGTTTGGTGCAGCACCGCTGTGTGAGAGCCGTTTCCAGAAGCCTCAATTCGTACGGTATCTCGATGGCCAACTTCATCAATCCTAGGGATCATGAGCTTAAGGTCGGGTGTCTGCTTCGCGACCACAGTATCTCTGGAATAATTCAAAGGGAACAGGGGAAGAATAGGATAACCTCCTATCAGATAACCTCTTATGGAATAACCTCCTATAGGTTAACTTTCTATGGGATGACCCTTATGAGATAACGTCTTATGGGATAATCTTTTGAGTTTTAAAGTCCTTTAGAACAATTAGCTATAGGATGCTTTCTCGTGGGATAAACATGTACGGGAATGTAAGCCATAGGGGGCTCCATAATGACATGTTGTCATTTTTGAGAGTATGGCGGTGTTGTTCCAATAGTGCTGTGATGAATACCAATGCTCACAACGTGGAGCACCAACCCAATCTTCAAGTAAGATTTCTCCCGGTGATGGTTGGGAACTGCTATAGAGCCTCATCGATGGCTCAAAGTTCTATAGAACATGGCATGATCTCTAAAGGAATCATTCAAAGACCCCCCACCCCCTCCCCCCCAAACACACAAACTCCAAAATCACGCTCATAATAAGAGCACAAGGTATCTGCCTGAGACCACGGTCACCCGGCGCAGTATCTGGCCCGTAAGCGGTCCAATCAATCCAGCCTCGTCAAAGTCAAGTCCGCTGATCAGCTCCGGATTGCGCGGTCCCAGTGAAGTACTCGTGAGTGCTTCGCGCCCGCGCGTCTTGAGCCCGTTGAAAAGCGAACTCGTGACCTCGAACCGCACGCAGTTGCTGCCGCTCGCGAGGTACTTGCTCACGTCGGCGACGGCATTGGTCAGGTCGAGCGGGAGCAACTGCTGCTCATTGACCCACGCGCGTATTGTATCTCTGATGGGACCAAAGTTGAGGCGCAGCGCGAGATTGTCTGTGGTGTCGTTCCCACCGGCGGCAAAGTCGAAGCTGGTCCTCTGCGTGCCCACGCCGCTGATATGAGCCAGCTGCGGGATCTGCGTCCATGACACCAGCCTCTGTAGGGTGCCAACATCGATGGTTTCAACGGCTGACTCGACCGAGTCATTGGACGATGAGCCGTGTGATTCTACAGTGAGGGTCCACGGGCCGAGCTCGCCGATCGTGGGCACAGGCTCTGTCACCTGTGGAACGGTCACTTTTTCGTTGCGCTCACTCAGCATCATCTAGGCTACCTCGCTGTATATAAGATACTCCACAAGTCCTCCTGAGGGCTTGACGCGATCTTCTGCTATGTTGTCCGATTGGGACAGCACGTGGAGACCCGGCGCAACTTCCGGTGGTATGAACGCAACGGAGCAGGACTGAAATTGCACCAGCGTGATGGGAAAGTAGAATCCGCCCTTGTTCTTGTCGTAGGTCGCGATGGACTCTTGTTGCGTCTTCGGGTGCAACAACTTTGGTCTTTCGGCCGCGACATCATCAAGGAAGTTACGCCCATGTCATGTAGTTGAATAGCACTTGCACGCCACAGAAGCAGAGTCGCATCATTGACTCAATATAGAGGGGTTCAATTGTACTTTCTCGGAATGATTTTGTTCATTGGACTCCTTGTCTATGGGCTGCCTTCCAACGGTCCGCACTTGGTTCTGCTCTCATCTCCAGGATCAACATCTTCCAGACAATAGCAGCAAGCACTTCAAACGAGCCACTCGAAACCACATCTTAGATACCCCATCATTGCCAAAATGAAAGTAACACACCCCCATTACGTCTTGGCTGTACTGTTGAGCCTGGGGTGCCTCGTCTTTGGCCAACTCGTGCTCAAAAATGACCTAGACAGCATTCTTGCCAGCTACAAAAATGTATCGACATATTACAATCTCCTTAAGGTAAGGCCTCATGTCCCTCAGAGGCTTGAATTTGCGGGTTTTTGACTTCGAGATAATTTCAGGCCCACCCAGATGCCTTGTTTGGATTCCCCGACACCATCGGTGTGACCATGATCGTGCCCGACAACGAAGCCTTCGAGAAGATCTACGACTGGGACTCAAAGAACAAGACCATGGTGACAGAAATCCTCCGCTATCACATCTTCCCAGGCATGGTGTCCGTCGGCACCACTGAAGAGGGCACCCCAATTTTTGCCCGGACGCTACTAGACGGCACGCGCGTCATCCTCAACAGGCAGAACGGAGACGAGGTGGTCTTCACGTCCGGCGCCGATAGGCGATCCATGCTGCTTGAAGGCGACATTGAGTTCAGCGATGGTCTAATACAGATCGTCGACACGGTGATGGTCCCGCCCCCAGGCCTGGTTCCCATTTGCCGCGAATATAACCCAACGCTCGCCGCCTTTCTTGGGGCGCTGTACCAAACAAATCTGACCGAGCAAATATTGACGTCCAAGAACATCACAATATTTGCTCCCAACAACGCGGCCTTTCAACGTACATCCGGTGCTCTATCTGCCTTGTCACCGTCAGAACTTCTGGACGTGATGAAATTCCACATCGTCCCCGCTGTAGTCTACAGCAATGACCTCGTCAACGGCGCCAGCTGGCGCACCCTCGCCGGCAAGAACATCACCGTCACGGTGGCGGGCAACAATAGGTATATCGCGTCCTCCCAGATTCTCGACCCCGACATACTCATCGACTTTGGGGTGGTCCACATGCTGGGCAACGTGCTCAACCCTGCCCAGTCAGATGCGCGCCCCACGCCGACCATGATGGTACAGCCCCCTGCCTTTGCACTCGTCGGGAGCACCTCCACTGGCAACAGGGTTCCTGTCCCATTCACGAGTGCCCTGCCATGTACTGCTGACTGCCCGCCGCCGACACATGCGGCCGCACAATCGACGTCGGTCAGACTACCAATCGACAATGGTGTTGCCGGAGGGCTAGTAGCCGAGTGTACAGGTCTCATGGGAGCGATGGGTGTTGGTGTACTTGGTGTTGGCATGCTGGGTGCGGCGGGTATGCTATGAAAAGTTCACAAGCAGGACGCTTTGCATAGTATGCTTGCAGGGTGTTGCTTACGTCTGAGTAGTACTCTCATTATTGATTTAGGCATCTGAGCATAGAGCAAGCAGCCTTGATGTGTGCAAGTGGGTCTTGCAGTATGAGACAGGTTAAATAAATTTTCTCCGTCGTGTCACCTCGTGTGCGAGAATGCGTCCAGAATTATGATGTTTAATGAGACAGAACCATTTGTTGAAAAGAAAGACATATTGAAATCCGATATCTAACGCCTAAAATTGATGTTGCCAGGGTATTAAAGGAGAGAAATGCAAGATGTTAGGCGTGAGCCAAAATGTTCTTAGGGGTCCATGAGTAGGGAAATCCAAAAACGCCGCCCTTGTTCCTTCCAAAATTTCGCCATTTGTACTCCTTACGTGCAATGATCTCCCCTGCTCGACAGAAACGAATCCCTCTTTTCTGCCGCCCAATACTCCCCAAGACTGTGACAAAGGAAAGAAGTAAGAGAGTTCAGTGTAGTGAGCGAAGTTAAGAGACATGCTGGTGAAAGGAATACACAAATTGGAAAAACGAAGACCGCGAAAGAGAGAAGACAAAAGGGGGAATGCAGATATGAAGCAGACGCCAGGCCGTAGGGCTCATTCGGCGTGTACTGGTGCTGAACTGGAGAGCTGCCGAGTGCAGCCAGTGTCGTCGTCAAAGACCAAGGGATTTCGATACCATGCTCATGGTGCAGCCACCTTCGTACAACGTCGAATCATCGCCGAGGCGTCGGAGGTGGTGTGGGGACCCCGGGAGGCGGGCCAGGGGCGACAGGCCCGGGGCGCGGCCGGGGACGTGGGCTTGGTGGCGGTTGAGGTCGCGGAAACGTGATGAACCCAGGCCGGCTGCCGAGGTCGCCTTCCTCCTTCGAGAGCGATATCCCATTCGCTGGCCTACGAGGTGTGGGCGGCGGGGTCGGCACTCCAGGTGGCGGGCCTGGGGCAACGGGGCCTGGACGCGGCCGTGGGCGAGGACTCGGGGGTGGTTGAGGCCGGGGGAATGTGATGATAGCTGGCTTGCCGCCCACGAGCACCCGGATTTCCACTGCTCCGGGAATTGCTGGATTTTCGGTGGAGGGTTGCCGTGCAGCACGGATGGAGCTTTTGGCTTCGATGCCCTTGATACTGTGCGAAGTTTGGGTGCTCAGAGCACCGAAAGCGTTGCTGTGCATTCCCATGGTGTCGGGTGTCGCTCTTCGAGGTGAGGAACGAGATATATCGCTTATTATGTCTTGGACTCCGCAGTGTTGTGAACTGTTGACTTGACCGAGTTGAGCTACACTTCGATGGGGTGACTGAGCTTTATATCTTGACGGTCAACAAGTACGAGACAGGTGAATTGTTCGGTGATGGTCTGATCATCTGCATCTCACCGTGACCAGATCCTGAGCACATCTTATACCCTGAGCCACCCCAGCGGGAAGAGCCTTAAACGGCGGCCTAGCATTGCCATCTTGGTGTCTCTGAAATCATGAACATTGTCAACTCCTCTAGGAGAGCTGTTAAGAGTGACACTCTGATCACTGGCTCCGCCATACTGGACGATGTACCTCGACTCCTTCAAGGACGGACCTGCGCGCCGGCCATCTTGAGTGCCCTGTTACCCCAAAAACATACCTTACGACCATGAAAAATCCGTATCGTCGGGGTGGTCATCCTGAAGGATTGAAAACGGATTACGAAGGGTAGAATGGAAAACATCGATGAGTCTCACATTCTTCCCCGCCACTGTCAAACAAACCTTCCATCGAGAGTCGCCTAGGAGGATCAGGCCGTTGATAGGAGCCGTACCTGGGGGCTGAATATAGGTTATGTGGATTCGGGTGTGTGTAGCATGCGTTGCCTGCTATACCGGCATGTCGATTCCCTCGAGGGTGTCCGGAATGGGACCCCGGGGAGTCAAATTTCCGGAATTGGTAGGGTGAGCCTGCGCCAAGAGACCCCATTTATGAGGTGGTCCAAAGACGGCGGCGGCTCTTGGAGAGTGACCTGCATTGCCGTTGACTCTCGGCTATGTGCAACGGGAGGGTCATGCTGCTGGGGACGGTGAGGTACCATTTCAGGATGCAGCACTAACGCCGGCGAGGCTTAGAGGGGCTCAACCTAGATTCGCTATTCTGTTGCCTAAGGTGAGACCCTCACCTTCCCAGCGCTGCGGGTGGCACGTGCCACAGCAAGGATGTCCAACTGCCGTACGCTGTGCAGTGCAAAACGCATAATCTCCGTGTCTCGATTGTGCGCGTCTTGATTCTGCCGCCGTGTGCAGACGTCTTGGGGCATAGGCGCGTATCACGTCATGCCCGGGTCGCCGGTGTAACGCGTCTTGCAAACCGGCGAATCTGACAAAGAACACTGCCGACACTGCACGAGACATGGCGAAGCAGGGATCTAATCAACCTGGACGAGAAACGAAGAAGTCACCTCACTCTCATTGGTACCATTTGCGCTTCTGTAACTACCGATACTGGTCGGCGTATGATGGAGTCGAGACTTAGCCGCGGCAGGTAGATCTCCCATACCAGCGAGGCATATCTCAAGCGAGGGGCGGGCAAACAGGCGATCGGCGGTTGCTTATTCATCAAGTGTGATGAAGATTGAAGCAGGATGAAAGTGCCTTGAAGAGTGCCTTGTCATAGCTCGAGTCTTAGGCCATGGCGGATGTCGATGCTCGATTGCATTACCCCATGCACAGACTGTATGCAGACCTGCAGGCCGGTAGGCATTTTCGTAGGGCTCAGGTAGCGCAATAGGGCTGAAAAGGGTGGGTCGGGCCTTTAATCGGGAGGCCAGCCGAGAGGAGAAACCCAATCCTTCGGGAACGGGGGGTGGGGGCCATCGACCCAGGAGTAGTACAGCAGGAAGGCTGTTGGGTGGCGTTTGCAAGGAGGAATTCACCCCTTGTCTATAAAGAGCTGGTCTCGCGTTCTGACAGGTTGCACAATAAGCGCGTGCGGCACTTGACTGGATTGTGCTCATGTGTAACTGCAGTGCCGATGTCCACTCGCCACTTGACCCGAAGAGGAACAGCGGACGCAGATAGGAGTTGACATATGTTACTGTGAGCAGTATTGGAAGGAATCGAGACCAGTGACAATCGTAGCATATGATATCAAGAGCTGAGGTCGCAAGGCAGAACATTTTCATGATCCGATTTTGCAAGGCTCAACTGCTGGAGCATTGAGTGGACCGACCCATTTGAGTAGCCCCATATTTACCCATGTTAAGGAGAGCCCAGAACATATTTGGTGGAAGGAACTACGACTTTCGTCATATCGCGAGCAGATTTTGATACACGAATTGGATCGACAGGCAGGATAGCGTTGGTCGCGAGTTCCTAGAGATCCCTGAGCTTTCCATGTCTTGACAAGATGTCATGCGAATCCTGCTCGGTCTCCGCGGCATAGAAGCAGGTTTCATTGCCTGGGTCTCTTTTTTGAACGCTACGGGTGGCAAATCCGTGACAAAACATGGGAAATTAGAGAGTTTTAGTCGAGACATCGAGCTTTGCCTCGGTTGCACGACCTTCCTTCGCCTCTTCTGGAGCAGCATAGCCAAGGAATGGGTGCGAGGCAAATTGACGATTCAGCTGGCGTGACATTTAAAGAGACGTGTGTATCAAGGGTCGTGTTCGTGGTTACTGGTCGAGGTCCGAAGTCATGATCGACGCTGGGGAGTCTGTCTAAACAGCTCCGTTGCATTGTCGTGCCTATGAGCGGCCAATTGCCATCCAGACCGACTGAGAAGGCAAGACGGCATATTGGACCAGGACCAGCTGGCTAGGGCCTTTCGTATCTTCACCAGTATCTGCAGAGATTTCGTAGATATGGCGGAGTTGAGTAGCCCACGGCAAGCTGGGACGGTCACACTGCCGGGACCAAGCAGGTGGCCGTGAACAAGCAGGCCGTGGAGGCCACAACATTGCAAGCCTCGAACTTGCAAACTTGATGCCTAGAACAGGATGCTTTCCATCAAAGGCAGACACAAAGGCAAGACCAACGGACCTGCAAGACATGGCTGAGCGGTGGCTAGGCAGTGAGAATGTCTTTGTCGTGCTTGGGACTGACGGCATGTATGCTGCGCGGAACTCCAGCTTTGAATCCTTTAATTTCTTTCTATCTTGGGTATCGATGGACCTTTTGGGCAAGCTCTTGCATTCGTTCGGCCGCGACAACATCGAAGCTCGAATACCAGAACCCTGAGGCTATGAGCAGAGGGATAGTGATTCTCGGATGGCCGAGCACCTGTGGTGGTCAGCAGGCTGACGCCCCTTCCTTGATGGCAGTCCGTCCAAAAATTCACCATTTTTACCTTCTTCCCTGAAAACTCAGCTGTGTCGATGAGCCACCCCTTTTTTTCTGATGATCAATCTCGAAACCGTCATCGACATCTAAACAAATCAGTGCTCCATCTCCTTTCCCACGACCCATTACGTTCCGCGCGGAGCCCGCAAGCAGCAGTGATGCACAGTGACACGGCGATGTGCTGACTCATCAGGAAGCCTTGGGTCCGTCTTACTCTCAAACGAGAGTAATACGTCCCGTGAACCCGGCATCAGGCTGTTCAGCGGTAGGTCCTGCGGTCTCTCGATCGACTTCTGCCTCCGCGATAGCCACCTCCATAGCTGTCACGACTCGGGCTGCGACGCCGGTCGTATTCCTCCTCGTATCGTCCTCGGCCTCTTCGACCCTTGGAGGGTTGGGGGCTCCTTGATCTACTCCGCGAGTATGAAGGCGACCTCGCACGGTACTTCCCTCCCCTGCCAGACGCAGCTGGTGACCTAGATCTCGAGGCTGATCGAGGGCGGTATGTGTCGGATGGAGGAGGTGGGCCTCCTCGTCCAAATCGGCCTCCACCTCCACCTCGAGGACCACGCCCGCGCGGGCCACCCATACCACCCATTCCAGGAACACCTCGAGGGCCTCTACCGCCGCGTCCGGGAGGAGGGAGTCGAGGATCGTAGTTGGCGCCGTGAGTCGCAGTAGGGGGCGGGGGTGAGAACTTGCGGCGCGGTAGGACTATTGACACGCTAATGGTGGCGCCATCGAGCTGGGCTTCGTGCATGTGGGCGATGGCAGCTTCGGCATCGGCTTCGTTGACGTAGAGAATATACGCAGCTCCGCGATTAGTACCGACTGTATTGGAAGGGGATGTCAGTTATTGCGTAGGAGCAGCAGCAACGAAATCGGGGAGGGGAGCGTACACTGCCGGCTCAGGGGCACGTCCATGTCGTCAATTGGGCCGTATTGCCCAAAGATTTCGCGCAGATGCTCCTCTGTGACATTCTTCGTCAAACGCTCGACAACAATCTAATGTGAAGGTAAGTGAGTCGAACGCACGCCGGTCAAGCGATTCCACCAACCTTGGTGCTCTTCAAAGGACTCTCGCTGCGGGTACGGCTGCGGCTGCGGCTGCGACCACGGCTGAGGCTTCGAGCCCTATCATCTCTGCTCCGGCTTCGAGTGAAGCTGCGACTCCGGCTACCTCTACTCCGGCCGTTGCGACGGGGTGGGGGCGATCGCGAGTCTCTGGAAAAGGAGCGACGGCGCGACGGGGATCTGGATCGTGAATTGTAGGACCGACCGCGGCTTGGCGATCGACCACGGTCGGGCGACCTTGATCGCGAAGGCATGCCGAGATATGGGCGAGTCAAGAAGCAATTCGACAGGGCCAAGAAGAAAATAACAGATGCAGATCTGCAGCGCTTGAAAGAGTGCGAGGGAAGGTGGGATGCTGAAGGTAGTTTGCGCCTGAGTGCCCATTCCCGCGTCGCGGTTTGATGCAGCCGTTTTTGGCGACTTGCTGTGGTCCGAGCTCCCAAGGTCCTTGTCCAACCTACGGTAACATTGGCAGAACGCGATCCACTGAGATGCCAAGAGTCCAGGCCCTGAATGTCACCGCGTTACAAGCTTTGGCTTTGGAGCTCTAAACAGTTACTCTCTACACACCTGCAGTTGGCCTGAAGAAGCTGTTGATTGACTTTGATGTCAAAAGTCTAATTTTGGGCCCCACCACAAGCATGAGCATCGCTGACACGACTGCTGCTCCCTTAACTTTCTGAGAAACGCGCCACCAACCACCTTCTGGTCTGCTGCTTGCGGCTGTGGCGGATACTCATGCAGGATGGAGGGCCTGCTTCCTCGTTCTCCCAAACACCTGCAGACATCTCCTCTCCCAGCCAACAGCAGGGGAAAGCACGCGAGTGTTCGGAAGAGGCCATCCATGGAATTTTCTCTTCTCGTTCAATTTCACGGTCGACTGTGAGGCTGAAGTTATCAGGTTAGTATTAAAGACTGGGAACGCCGCCTTATTGGACACGACGGTTTTAGGCATTGAGCCCCTTTCGGCCGGCTGGTGATTCAGAGAACAACAAAGGCTCTATCCCGCAACATTTTCAACAAATCCTCGTTGTCGATGAGAAAAGACGGCTGAGCGTAAAAGTCGAGTGCAAGCCTCCACTCATTCCAACCCATGAGCAACGGAGGGAAGGGCCTCCTACTCAAGCACATCGCCTGAATGAGAGGCTCTAGCCCTGATACCTCTCTCTGTCCACAAGAACCTGGGCGGTGGTTCTACAAAGAAGCCCGCATTGGGTCGCGAGCATATCTCGCGCGTTGCTTGGTGCCGGTCTTGCACGATAGAACCGAGATCCGTCCCACGATCGTAAATCACACCGCCGCCAGCACCCAGGGTTACCGACCGAATATGGTTCCAATGGTTCCGGCCCCACCTGTTTGTATGTGGGCCAGCACAGGTCGCAAGAGTCCACGCCACCGGGAGGGCATGACAGACATGACTGCCAAACCCAAAATCGTCCCAGATTCGGCTGCAGAGCCGAGCACCGTTGCATACCAGTGGTTGCCGGGTCGTATTCACGATTCGGGGATATCATCTACAATCTGGCGGAAAACTTAACGATCAGGGGCTTGCATAGGATGGCCTGGGGCTCATGGATGAAGCCAAGACTTAGGACGAACTATATCCACTTGTGGATGCCTGCTTCACTGATCAGTCTCTAAATATAATTTTATTATTGTTTCCGTCTTCTGTCTCCGGCTGCTGAATGCCTGGTACTTAATATCCTGTTAGACAAGCCTCCTCCGGTTCAACCTCCAACTTCGCTTCCTCGCGTCGGACAGCATGCTGCAGTTTGATGACGAGCGTCGCTCGTTGCCCGTTGCACGAGGTTCTTGCAGCTTTGCTACCTCAAAATAAATCGGTAGGAGGAGGATCTCTCTTCGATAAGTCATTACGATGCCTGCCCTCGTTGTCAACGGCATCTTGCAGTTGCCCATTCCCGACGTCGGAGCCCGATTTGAGTTCATAATGACCAGGAGTGCTCGCTGTGAATTTGGCCCCGAGTCCTTGCTGAATTTGCCCCTTTCTTTCTGGCATTTGCTGCCTCGTCCAACGTCAACACTATTTCGAGATCACCAAACTGCCTTCTCGCAACTCACAAGCACACCAAGATGAATCATAGTAACCCTACTTTCAATCTCTCTGGTGATTCACGACTTTGGTGTGTTGTGTGACTCGGCTGCGAAGCACCTCCGCCCTATCTAGAATACTAGGTAGCTTTTCAAGTGACGTGCGGCCCAAATTGCTGGCGTGTTCCTCTTGGTGCAATCTCTGGAATTGGCAGGGAGCGAGGACATGGTAGAGGCATCAACGGTTAAGTAAACAAGCCATAGTAACAGCGATTTGGCATACATGGATCGAAAATCAGAAAGGAGGCTTCCGAGCTTGTTTTCTGCCTGGCCCTTGGAGCTCGTATTTCAGTTTCTCTCGCAGACCTGCATTTTTCTTGTCAGCCAGCGCTCATCTTTGCACACAGTACATAATCGCCTGCTTCCTGCTTCACTCCCACTTACCTACTCACTCATTTCTCTTTCGTCTTTTTCAGCTTTGTTTTGTCTGTGGGTGGGGAATACGCCACCATCAAAGTTGCGCATCTCTCGGTGCCTCTCTCGTTCTTTCCTTCCTCTTAGTTCTTGCCCACTCTTGTCCCTCATCTGAGCTTGCCGTCCCTCCTTCTTTTTGAAGCTACTCTGCTATTCTTGCGTCAAAAACACCTCTACCTTCAAGACGACTGCTTTTGAAGTCTCGCTCATGCACCCTCTCATTGCACTTGCACTTTGACTGAATTCATTCGCTCACTCCATATTTCGAGGCTGGCTCACTACGCGTCTCTACCGTGGTTATTTCTCATTCATCGTTAAGTTGGCACTTGTGAGCAGCAACCATGCGAGCCTGGGTGCAAATTCTTCTTGGAGCCTTGCTCATCAGAGCGGTCGGTGCGTATTGGATGGAGGATGTTCAACACCAAGGCAAGGCTTCTTTCAACCCCGACCCGAACTACCAGGTCTTTCGGAACGTGAAGGACTTCGGAGCAAGAGGGGATGGCGTCACGGACGACACTGCAGCCATCAACGCTGCAATCAACGCTGGAGACCGCTGCGGATTTGGTGGTACTTGTCAGGGCACAACGACCTCTCCCGCCACTGTTTACTTTCCTGCTGGGTTCGTGGTGTCTCGTCACAATGTCTGCTGCTTCAGGACTGCCTGCTAATTGATGTTGCAGAACTTACAAGGTCTCGTCGCCTATCCTGCAAACCTACTACACCCATCTTGTCGGCGATCCGACCTCCATGCCCACCATTAAGGCCGCCGCCGACTTCGCTGTTGCAGGAGGAACCAGCATAGTTATTGAGTCAAATCAATACACCACCAGGGGTCGTCTCTCTTACGGCGCCACCAACGTGTTCTTTCGCCAAATCCGGAATCTGGTCATTGATACCACATCCATCCCGAACAAGACCTACGCTGTCCATTGGCCGTCATCTCAGGCGACCTCAATACAGAACGTTGTCTTTTCATTGTCACAAGCACCCGACAATCTACACACAGGGATCTTCATGGAAGAAGGAAGTGGTGGCCTTCTTTCCGACCTGGTCTTCTACGGAGGTCAATACGGTGCTCAGTTCGGTAACCAACAATACACGACACAAAACCTAACCTTTGTCAACTGCCAAACAGCGATCTTGCAGCTATGGGACTGGTTTTGGGTATACAGAGACATCACCATTGCGAATTGCGGGGTGGGCATTAACATGACTGCCGCCTCGGTTGGCTCTGCGGTCATCATGGACAGCTTTTTCTACAACGTCTCCAAAGGCATTGTGAGCTCTAGAAGCGGCGCCGGCGCGGGTGAAACACCCGGTCAGGGGACATTAGTGATGGAAAACGTCGGGTTCAGCAACGTCCAAACGATCTTTCAAGGACTTAACAGCACTCTGCAGGCGGCTCCAGGATATAACGGATCTTTAGTCACCGGCATGATTCTCGTAGGTGTCCTGCTTGTTTTGACGGGGCTTTTGCTGATTGAAAGTACAACAGGGCAACGTGTACACCCCTGGTGGACCTGACTTTGTGTTCGCGGGGCTCAACGACTGGTTTCCTACCCCTTCTATCCTCAAGGAAGGCAGCAAGTACTACAAGCGGTCCAAACCTCAGTACGAAGACAAGCCCTCCAATTGTTTTGTCTCGGCTCGTACATTCGGTGCCAAGGGCGACGGTGTGACGGATGATACGGCCGCCCTCACGTCCTTCTTCGCGTACCTATCCCAGTCCTTCAATCAGGGCATTGTTGGTTTTGTCGATGCGGGATACTACAAAGTCACAGATACAGTCCATATCCCGCCAAACACTCGAATCGTGGGCGAGGCTCTAGCATCAGTCATCATGGGGTCCGGTGTCAACTTTTCAAGCATGGATGACCCACGCCCGGTTGTCCAAGTCGGCAAGCCAGGGGATTTTGGCTATATCGAATGGAGTGACATGATCGTCTCAACGCAAGGACCAACTTCTGGCGCTGTACTAATAGAGTACAACCTATCTGGATGTTCAGGCTGCCAGGAGCCATCTGGCATGTGGGAAGTTCATATTCGCGTCGGCGGCTTTGCCGGCTCGGAACTCCAGATAGCAGAATGTCCGACAACTCCTGACCAAGAGAATTCTATCAACAGCAATTGCATCGCTGCCTACCTTGGTATGCATATTACAGCCCAAGCCAACGATCTATACATGGAGAACAACTGGAATTGGGTCGCTGAGTAAGTTCCACCCTATGCCTGCTTAAGCAGGCACACCGGGGATGTGGTCACTGCTAACGGCTTGCAGCCATGATATCGAGGATCTTAACAGCACTCAAGTCTCAATTTACGGCGGTCGGGGTCTCCTCATTGAGTCCGAGGGTGGTCGCATCTGGGCAGTCGCTTCAAGCGTCGAGCACTGGACTCTCTATCAGTACCAGCTCATCAACACTCAGAACATCTGGATGGGTCAAATCCAGACGGAGACACCCTACTACCAACCCAATCCGCGCGCTCCTTACCCCTTTGCTGATAAGGACACGGCGCTGCATGACCCGGACTTCCAGTCTGACTGTGTCACTCTGGACCAGAGCTACATTCCAGGTTCTAACATCACTGCTCCTTGCGAAATGGCATGGGCTCTGCGCATCATCGACTGCAGCAATGTCGTTATATATGGTGCGGGGCTCTACAGCTTCTTCAACAATTACAGCACCTTGTGCAGTGATGGACCGAAGAACGCGCAGAGAAAGTGCCAATCTAGACTCGTTTGGATCGAGGACGACAAAGGTACCTCGGAGAATGTTACCATTTACGACCTCAACACAATCGGCACCATCAGCATGGTGACGAACAACGGCACTGAAGCCGTCCTATGGTCTGATAATTGGAGCGTCTTTGGGGAGTCGATCGCACTCTTCAAGCCATGAAAGCATCATCCTTTTCCGCATGCTTCGAGATGAACAAGTTCGAATTCATTTCGGACAACTCGAAGTGGTGCGGACTTTCGCCTAGATATTCTCAGCCGACGCATGTGTACCTTCTTAATAATTGGTGCGTCTTTGTGGCACCTGAGATTTGGAAGAAGCTTCACTGAATTTTGGCACGAGGTGGCGAGGTTGGCCAGGCATAGATCTCTTCACATGGAGAGGCAGTTAGGTTCAGAGTGAGCCCATGTTGGCAGCGCTTATTTGAGCTTGCTAGAAAGTTTGGCAATTATCATGTCTATGCTGATCAATTGATGTCCAACGTGTAATTTTATGCCCAGCTGGTGGACTTTTGTGATGGGAATGGAGTCGCGAACATCTTGTTGAACTACAAAACAGGACTTGCATTTGTTCATGCGGCTATGCCGTATATGAATCTTCTCCTAGGGACCAACATTGCTTGGGGGGTCGAATTTTCACATCACGTTAAGATTGACCAGACACTTGCTACTTTGGCAAGTGGTAAAACGTGAGAAAATGACGGTGTAATGTGCTTGAGGTAGGGCCAATGCCTCTTTGGGTGACATTATAATTGTCGCCCAGAAAAGAGTGGTGCTTGAGCCCTAGGTCCCAGAGGCGAGTCTTCGACCTGGACCGCTTGCCCCGGTACCAAGTGTCGCGCCAAAAGTCTTCGGGGTTTCAATGAGGTTCATTAATGATCACTTTGCGAGCTTCCAGATCGGTATCTGAGAAGTCCAGTCCCAGCTACAGGATAACCCCAAGGGCTTCTATTTACGTATTGGTGTCATCATGGGGCCTTGAATTTGGCTTTTCCTTCAGTGCTGAATGTATTCAAAGCAAAAAAAGGGAAAGAAAATCGTGGACATACTCAAGCATTTTCTCCCAGCTCAAATCACTTGCTGACGAGGAACGAGGTCCGGCAATGGAAGGAACCCTCCAGTCTGCCTTCCAATGTTGCAGCCACTCCCAGAAGTTTTGACACAGCATCTGGCCAGGCTGAATTCGCTTTTTTTTTTCACAGGCCACCGTCGCCATGAGTAGCAATACTGGTATCTACATCAACCTTGGTGCGGGAAACATATTTTGACAGGAATCCACATCAGTCATCGGTCACTAAGAAAGCATGACTCGACCAGATCACGCATCCACGTGCTCAATGAAGGTAAGTTCACCATGAGGGCATCGCGAACTACCTTTGGCTACGTTACTGAGATCTTCTGCCCTCAGAGCCACAAAGAAGGCAAATGGTGTTGGCTTCCAAGTGAGATTGAGAAACTCAAGCAGCTACATCACGAGACAAACTTGACATGGAAAGAGATATCCACGGTAAATTTTTTTTTTCAAAACAAACAGAACTTTTCCCCGCGGTCTCAAACTTTCTGACAAAAGGCCGCTGTGGCACATGTAGTCCTTCCAAACCAATGGAGTGAACCGTCACGGAACCCACCAATGCCACAAGAAGAATTGGGAATTTAGTTTTACAAACAACACTAACTGAGAAGATTGGTGGGCTGTAGGTGACCCTTGACTGGTGATGGAACGGACCGGAACAGCAGCAGGGAAGGACGAAGTCGACAGACGGGAACCCCAGAAGTCAAGGTCACACAGCTTTTCGAGCAGGCCGTATTCCTCAAGCTACCACGATATCAGCAGTACTTCTTTCACTGGACTGCATCATGACAGATTGCTGCATTGGACCATAGAGCATGGACACATAATAAACTTGACATTCAGACCCATGGGAATGATGACACTTGGACATCTTCAAGATCCAAAAGAGTGAAAGAAACAATTGATATCAAATATCTCATTTCCAGCCAGAAAGGTTCATCGAATCCAAGATGGTTTTCGTTCCAGGTGACAATCCCGGGGAATCTCGAGTTTTCGACCACCATGCATCAAGTGATGGCATTCATGGAAGTCTGGTATGAACCGCAAAGGTGTCGTTGTGCTCACCACAGTTCTTCCATTAATGTATGACTGGAAACTTTGAATTTGAGTAATCTAAATTTGACTGGGTCACAGAATTTTGAGACAGGCTCACAATTTTGTAGACGTAATCACTACCAGCTAAGTAAAACAATGTATTTCTTCATTCTGGACAAGTACTAACGGCATGGGCAGCCATCGTAATATGAGAAGGTATGAAATTTGTCCGAAAGTGCAATAGTCTCGACCCCTAGCTACCTAAATTACACCATTGGTGTCTTTCCGTCCCTCAACCTCAATCTGAGAACACTTCTCCACGAATTCAGCCACGCCTTGCACTGTCCTACCACCGACAAGCTCAAACACGGGCACATCAGCTGCGAAATCCTTCGCTATCGAATTGCGAAGCTCAACTGCTACTAGAGAATCAACACCATAGGCATGCAAGGGCTTATCTACATCAATGTCTTCGGAGTCAATACCCAACGCGCGAGCTAGCTGCCTCTGCAAAGCCTGCGCGACTATGCTCGACCGCTCTTCGGTTGTTTCCACTTGCCGGAACAATGCAGAGAAGTTAACGTCCCCGGAGTCACCGCCGTTCTTCCCGTCGGATGCGAGTGGTGCCTGACTGAAGTGTGCGAAAAGTGGTCGTTGCGTGATCTCCGGCGGCTCTAGGCCACGAGCGAAGAAGTCCGAGGGCGTCTCTAACCCCATCGCAATTTGGCTTGGAAGGGGGGTGGAGCTGTTCGCAGCAGGATCGCAGCAGATGTTGAGGAGCGCTAAGAACTCGTTCTCTTCGATCTGTCCAAGGCCTCGAGCACCTTTGGCGAAATGCTTCTGCAAAGTCTCGGACTCGGCAACAACTCCGAGTGAGCGCATGACGCCCAGGTCAATGGACGTGGTCTTTTGGCCGTTGCTCGTGCGGTGGCGAGCCAGTGAATCCTGGAATGTGCACCCGGCCGCGTAGTTGGTCTGTCCGGGATTGCCGACGATTCCAGATACGGAGGACAGAAATACCATGAAGTCCAAGTCCGTGAACATTTTATGAAGGTTCCACGAAGTATTTACTTTCGAGCGGATTGTTTGGTCCCATTGAGTATGAGACATGTTCTCGAAGATGGAATCCTGTGACGAGAGTGGTCAGACTAAATCTGGAGAAGGAGAGGAAACTGGACTCTGATGCATTAGAACTTACGTTCAGAACCATCGCCGCATTGATACACCCCCGAATTGTCGGCATCGTCTTGCTCCACTCTTCTCGTGCGGAAGACAGAGATTCCCATGAAGCTGCGTCACACTTAGGTGTCATGACGGTGACGCCCTGCTCTCGAAGATCCCCAACAGCCTTTGCAGCAGTGGCAGATTTTGGTCCAGACCTTGATGGGACTATCAAGTATCTGGCACCTCTTGAAGCCATCCAGTTTAGTATTGATCGCCCAATGCCGCCAAGTCCTCCGACGACCAAATAGGAGGCATGTTCATCAAATCTCCACGTTGGACGGTTGATTAGGTATTTCTGTCGAGAATTAGTTCAAGCACAGTGGTGACAGCAGTAATGCAGGAGTGTTAAATATGTCGTGTATGTCCTTACCTGTACTTCAATCGAACGTTCAATTCGTATGATTGCACGTCCGGTATTCTTGCCCCCCTGAATATAACGGAACGCATCCTCGACAGCGCCGACGTCGAATACACGCAACGGCTTTGGGCAGTGAATAGTGCCTTCGATAGCCATGTGCATCACCTTGTGCAGCAATTTGCTTGCCATCTGCTGTCGTTCAACAATCATATGTCGAATGTCCACTGCAGCAAACATGGCGTTGTTCGCGAAAGCCAGCATTGGCAATGACGCATCGGCATTGATATCTGCCTTGCCGATCTCGATGAACCGCCCGTAAGGAGCAACACACTCCCAGGAGGCGCGTAGACCCTGACCCATGAGCGAATTCAGGACCACGTCCACACCGTAGCCGTTAGTCATTCTCATGACGCCCTTGGCAAAGGTAGCGTTGTTGCTTCGACTGTAGAAGATGTGATCTTCGGGAATACCATACACGTCCATTAGGAGCTGCTTCTTATCATCGTAACCGACTGTGGCAAAGACTTCGGCTCCGACCATCTGCGCAATCTGGATGGCTAGTTGACCTGTGGCCCCCGCCGCGGCGTGAATCAGGATCTTTTCTCCTTGACCCAATCGCGCCAACTCGACCAAGGAGTGCCACGCCGTCATTCCAGGAATAATGACTGCGCAGGCCTCCTCGTATGAGATTGAAGATGGTAGCTTAACGACTGCCTGTTCGTCGCTTCGTGGGAACATTCGCATGCAGTCCCAGAGGCACATGCAGACGCGATCTCCAGGTTGCACGGATTTGCAACCAGACCCAATTCGCGTCACAACGCCTGCGCAGTCAAATCCAAATCCAGGGTCATCCAGACGGCCCAGAGCTGAGAAGACATCGCGGAAGTTCACCGCCCAAGCCTTGGCTTCGATTTCGACTTCTGTGGGCCCCAGGTCTTTGTGGTAGGCCACATCTTCCCTAAAATGAAGCGTGTCTAGTCGCCCACGGCTTCCAACGTGAAGCTTCAGAGGTGGGCCCGGAAGCCAAGGTGCGATCTTAGTCTCAGGGTGGATTGACGAGAAAAGCTGATGATTGAGACCGGCATCCTCAACAAGCCGTCCTGTTAAGACTTGTCCCTCTCGGATAACATATTCCAGTTCCGGCGGATCGTTGTCGAAAACGGAAGAGAAGACCTTGGATATCTGCGAAGCGTACCTGGAGTGGTCCGTATCAAAGTCTTCCAAGGAAACGCTAACGATGCGTTTGTTGTTGAACTCAGAACGCAGCGTACGTAAGAATCCATCCTTAATGCCAGGCCTCGGTTCGGAGCTTGTAGCATCGGAGGCCACCCAGACCAGTTGTCCCATTCGTGCTATGAGACTCTTGAGCAGATTGAATGTTGAAAGGGAAATATCAGCCAGTAACGTTCCCTCTAGGTCGGCGAGAAACACCACGAAATCTGTGGAGGATATTTGGATGTCTTGAAGCTGGTCGAAGGGAACAGTGAGTATGTGATAACCCATATGGCGGATTGTCTTATCCACGAGGGCATGAATCGAATTCTCGTGGTTTAGATATCCTTCAGCCACGACCAGTAACACTCTGACAGCCTTGTCCGTTACTTCTTGATGGAGATGAGGTGAAGCAGTAGATATGATGAGGCTCGCATAATGTGCAGCAGGGTTTCCATCATCTTGAATGAAGAGATCAGTTCCAGAGAAATCATTCTGCTGAAGAGTATTGTCCCACTCAGACTCCGTAAGAGTTTGGCGCGGCACTAGCGAGTCTCCCTGGCTGGACCACCAGTCCGGCAGCACTCCCAAGCCAAAGCTCAACGAGAAGCGATCCGGTGCAGTAGCATCACAGAAGATCAGATGACCATCTGGCTTCAATAGTGATCGAAGGCTCTTGAGCGTGGTGGGGAGATGGTTCATGGCATGAAGAGCACCTCCAGCAAGGACCAAGTCAAATCCTGCTGGCTGAAACAACTGTGCCGGGTCTTCTCGGTTCAAGTCGAAGGTTTTGAAGGACATGCGACCCTGCTGGTCACCAAATCGTCCACGAGCCTTTTCAAGATTCAGATCCGATGAGTCTGTGTAGACATATTCGTGGAACGCAATGCCCCCAGTCCTGCTCTCTATCTGATCAAAGATCGACAATATGAGCTTGGTCATGGCACCCTGGCCAGCACCGACCTCGATGATCCTCAGAGCTGGGGTTTGGTGGGCTACGAGATCCACGTACGACAACAGTCTGCGGTCGAAAAAGTGCCCGAGCAAATCTTCGTAGAAATCTTGCACGAGTGATGATGACAACAGAAGCTCAGACACTTCGACTTCACCACGCACAATTGGGAGCAAATGCTTGGCCACCTCAACAAATACGCTGGCTGAGGGCCTGCTGGCGCTCAGTTTATCTAGCTCCGCTTGCAGGATTTCGCTGTCGCTAGCATCGGAAGCCCCTTCAGCAAGCGCCTGCAGCTGAGTCTTCATGAAAGTGACATAGCCTTCCATATGTGGCGCGGCTTTGGCCAAATTATCTGGTAGAAGTTGTCCCAAATTCTGTCGCATAAATGCCTTCAAGTTGTCTTCGAGATTCTGGGTAAAATCTGCCGCAGAGCTCTCGTCAGTGGTGGTGGGACCAGCATCGCAATATTTGCGAAGCTGATCGACGCTGAGCAAGGAAAGGCTTGGCTTCCAATCGATATGATGCAGAAGACGCTTGCTAGCAGGTCCGTCGTCCCCAGGCTTGTGATCCATGACAGGCAACATGATGGCTTCGATATGACAGAGTGGAAGCTGGTTATCTGAGAGGAGGTTGATTGTGCACTCGATGCCCAAGCCATTCGGCCTGATCTGCGATCTTCCCAGTGCCCTGATAAGACGCGTATCTGGGTATTGCCACCCTGTTGCTGATATCCAAATGTTGCGGAACTTGTATGGGATGATTGTGGGTATCTCTTTGGAAGCACCATGCGATGCCGGCACGTAAATTACTTGGAAGGCTGAATCCAGGACAGCAGGATGGACAATGCCTTCGTATGACTCGACAGGAGGCTCAACATTGACCAGAGCCGTGGCCACCTTGTCGCCATCCCAACGGATGTCCTCAGCAAGGGCAAAAAGATTACTCCAGTTCAAGCCTTGTTCGTGGCCCCACTTGTAGAAATCTTGCTTGTTGATTCTTTTCTTAGACGCTTCTCGCCCCTGGGAGTACTCATTGGCCATCGCATCGGCGGCGATATGAGCTTCCATGCCCCCATCAACCTCATTCGTGTCCTCTTTGTATTCAAGATTAACCGAGAACTTAGAGCATTCAGTCCAGTAGCCATCGACGACGGTGAAGAGCGTAACTTCAAAATGAAGCACCGCCTTATCGTAAGCCTGTTTGAGTGGCCTCAACTGCGTGATGACCTCGTTGTCGCCCTCAGGCCGGACAATGATTGGTTTCATGAAGCTAGCTTCTCTGATACGATACCCGGTGATGTCTTGACTTGAGTGAGCTGTTTGCTTTACCGCTTCAAGGGCCATGTTGATCATTCCTGCGGCCGGAAACAGCGCGTTTTCACCAATAACGTGGTCCTCAAGCCAGGGCATCTCTGAGATGCGCAACATCTTCCGCCACCGGGGCTCAAGTGGGTTCCAGTCGGTAGCGCGGACTCCCAAAACGCTTCTCGGAGCAGCCTCGCGAAACCTCCAGTCGCGGCTGAGTCTGGTCTCGTACCAGTGCAATTGCGAATGATCAAAAGGGTATGCAGGCGTATCGACAAGAAAAGGCCATTCTCGATCGTCAGTATTCTGTTGGTTGGCGTCTGTGACCGACACCGAGAAGCCTGCGGAGAAGAGCTGGCCGACCACGTCCAGAGTAGACTCAACAGGCGAGCTGAACTTCGAAAGGACAGGTAGATACCTGAATGTCTGACCCTTCCTGACATCACCCAGTGTATCGCTTATGGGCCGCTTGAGGGACCCATGAGGTCCGACCTCGATGTAGGTGGTCAGATTCTTCAGACCGTCAACCTGGGGTGCTGCTACAGAGAGGTATCGGAGAGCGTCGGCGAATCGCACTGGCGAGACCAGGTTGTCTACCCAGTACTGGGCCTTAGATAGGGCCGATGTGGAGATCTTGAGTCCAGTCACGGATGAGACCATGATGATATTCTTTTTCTGCGTTTGCCGAGGCTCCAATGTGCTGATGCAAGAGTGATATATCTCTGCGACCTGTTTCATGGCTGGCGAATGGTAAGCCACTCCAGTGTTCAGCTTACGGACGAAGATTTTGTCCGCATCCAGGTGTACCTGCAACTTGTCGATGGCCGCCTCGTCTCCGGAAAGAGTCACGTTGATCGGGCTGTTGACACAAGCCACAGACAATTTTCCGCTGAGGCAAAATTTGTCCAAGTACGCGTCCACGTCTGCTTCACAGATGCTTACTGACATCATGGCCCCAGATTTTGAAGATGGCGAGACCAGCTGTTGCGCCAACCTACCCCTGTGGTATGCGATCTTGATTGCAGATTCTAGAGACAGTGCACCAATTGTGTAGGCTGCGGCGATTTCTCCGGATGAGTGTCCGACAACAGCGTCCGGTACGATGTGAAATTCACGTAACAGTTCCACCAGGGCAATCTATCACCATTGTTAGGGTTACTTTCTCCTCTCAATCCGCAGAGTTCAATGATATACCTGAAGAATAGTGCAGAGCGGTTGACTCATCTGTGGCTCATGTATTCTTTGTGTGTCTTCGAGTGCATCTATTCCATAAGCGCAACTTAGATATGCGCGTGCAATCAAGGATAATGGGCTTCGACTTACCAAAGACCGACCAATCAGCGCCCATTTGTTCGATAAGGGTGCTTGCGCGACACAAAAGATCGCGGAACGATGGGTAAACGAGCAATTCCAATCCCATTCTGGCGTACTGAGCACCTTGGCCTGTGAAAACAAAAGCGAGTCCACCGGGATTTTGAGAAGAGCGCACAGGCTTGATAGGGGAGAGTGTCGAATCACCGGCCGAGGCCGCATTGCTCACGATTGCAAAAGATCTCCACGACATAAGACTTCGCCGGGCAGACAGTGTGTAGGCCAGAGGTCCCATCACATCTTCTAGACAGCTCGCGTGCTTATCATAATACTCAGCGTAGCCCTTCAACAGCCTTTTCAGGCCAGCCTCATCTTTAGCACTCCAGATGAGCAACCGAAGGTCCAGCTTCTTGCGTCCTGGGGATGTAGGCTCGGCTCCATTGTGTCCATTGGGTACGCCATTTGGTACGCCATTTGGTACGCCATTTGAGTCACTGGGCGTGGCATGGGCAATCGTCTTCTTTGGAGTATTGTCGAGGGCTGATAGAGAGAATGAAGCAGGTGTGTGAATGAGGGCTTTGATGTCGAGGGCCTCCAAGGTATGGAATGCATCGTCAAGAATTACGCTATCCAGAGTCAGGTTGATGGTTCGCAATGTGAGATAATGAGTTCAATTTGAACATAGCGAGAGGAAGGAAATGGTACTGTACTGTGAGTTCGACCCTCCAAATCCAAAGCAGTTGATGGAGATTCGGCGAAGGCCTGCCGTCGGCCACGGTGTGCACGTAGTAGGAAACTATGAAGTCGCAAGTTCGTGAGTATAGAAAAGATTATGGGAATACGATGCTACTTGTATAGAAAATTTTACCTGCAGATTGTTGAGTTTGGCCTTGATCTTTGGATTCAATTTCTCGAATAACGCATTCGGTGGAATCTGGCCCCTTTCCAGAATCATGATAGATTTGACCATGCCAGCTAATCCGCTAGCACCTTCTAGATGACCTATGTTGGTCTTCACGGAACCCCTATTATTGTGATTAGAGGGAGTATTAAACAGCTCTGTGATTAGCACTCACACAAATAGAGGTTCTTTGGCAGATCGGATTGTTCTAAATACTCGACCCAGGGCGTTAGTCTCGGTCAAGTCCCCGAGCTGAGTGCCGGTCCCTGTTCCCTCTTTATCAGTGCCCAAGTCTCTCCTATCCGCTTTTCCGAGCTGTTCATAGACTTACCGTGAGCTTCTACGTATCTGGTTGATCGAAAGTCGATTTCGGCCTCCCTGTAAACGTTTCGAATCAGTTGCTCCTGGGCAGAGATACTGGGCTGAGTAACTCCTGGTGTGTGGCCATCTTGATTCGATCCGGAGCCACGAATGACGGCCCGGATCACATCACCATGTCGGATTGCGTCACTGAGCCGTTTAAGAACGAGGACTATCACTCCCTCGCCCCGGGCATACCCGTTTGCGCGCTGGTCGAAAGTGTAGGATCGGCTGTCTGGTGACAGAAAGTTCATGTTCTCTAGGCATAAGGAGCCTTCGGGAGTGATGAGTGTGTTTACTCCCGCGACTAGTGCCTGAAATACGTGTCAGCACCCAGACCATCTCAGCAGAACTTTTTCCAGGAGACACTTCGTCTCTTCTACTTTGGGGTACATGGCCTAGTACTTACCATTGAACTCTGCCCGCGTTTGAGACTGGAGCATGCAAGGTCTAGAGCAATTGTGCTTCCTGAACAGGCTGTGTTCAACTGTACACTCGGGCCCGTGAAATCGAAATACCAGCTCAGCCTGTTAGCTAAAAGAGCAGGTTGAATGTTGGTAGAGAATGTTCCTGGTGCCTCGTCTGGATCTTTGTAGATAAGCTTCGCGTAATCATCCGCCATTGTGGCGGAAAATACTGCAGTGTCCGTTCCTGCAACCTGTTCTACCGGTATACCAGCTGCACTATGTTAGAACTTAGACTAGAAAAGGCAACTAAGCGGAGATACCTTACCATTTTCCATGGCGCGATAGGCTGCTTCGAGGAGCCAGCGTTGTTGTGGGTCCATGGCCGCTGCCTCTGTACTTTCTCTCAGAACCTGAAATAAGATGCTTTATGAGTATCGACTTTGTTCTGCTTACCTTTAGTTGTGATCGAGAAAAAAGGCGCATCGAATACAGCTGGATCCTCGCGGACAAAATAACCACCTCTCGCGGACACCTTGCATTCAGCCCATTAGCGTTGTCTCTTTGTTAATTCCTCAGTCTTGTGCAAAGATGGCACAGATTGCAGACAAAACCCACCGTGTTCTTAACCACTGGGCTCTTGTTTAACAAGCCATCGATATGTGCCCGGGACTCTGGCCATTCTGTCATGACATTCTTCCCCTTCTCCAAGAGGTCCCAGAACGTGTCCTCATCTTCAGCGCCTTGCGGTAGTCTGAAGGAAAACCCGACAACGGCTATGGGGTCCATCGTGTGATGGAATGTGCTTGAAAGCGCTAAGTCAACATCGGATGGTGTAGGCAACTATGACACGGCGAGCGCGACGGTGTGCTTCTGAATCGAAATTGTGACTGAATGAATTCGACCCTGGAATTGAGGTGTAGAAGGATACGATCAGTTCCAATGCCAGCTCTTGGGCGCTTTTATCACGTCGCTAGGCACAATATGTATGAATTGCTTTCAAGGCTATCGTGTCCTCGCTGATGCCTGGACACTCTAAAGGTAGATATCCTTATTTTAAATTTCTCATTTCCATTAATCTCATACGGTATTATACGAGATATGATTTCTATGCAATTGTACAATGTTTCAGTGTTTATGATTATAGAAAATCCTATTTAAATAAGAAGAAGTCGAATAATTACATATTATATTATAAAAATATGTAAAAATGTAAAAGAAAAGTCTTTCGATTATGATATATGTGTAAGATGTCGATTCCAAAAAATTCAAGCCGGGATTTGGATCCCATCACTTGAAGAGTGCTACCGTGTAAAGATACCAAGCAAAGGTCGAAAAGTAGGCCGTAAGTACACAGTAAGCACGCCATCTGACTTGACTTGCTTTCAGCTGTTGGTAAGACTGAGGGCTGGGCGGGTCGGATCCGATGTGCCGAGATGAGGCCCCCAACCAGTACGTATTCGGTAGTCAGTGTGCGAAATCGATCGGTTGTTGCTGGAGCCTGTTCATGCATGTCAGCATTCCTGCAACTTGAAAAGGCCTGATGCGGAATGCATTGATGCAACATGATGTGACACCGACAAAAGCTCGGGGCTTTTGACCATCCGCGCCAACTTGTGTAACGCGACGACCACGCTCATTCGCTCATTCACTCACTACAGTTCACAGGGGTTTTTGGGAGGGGTGGAGCGCTATGTTAGTCCCTCTTCCCGTTGCCCTTTCACTCTCTCTCCTCATTGAACATTCCGAGTCCGCCACATCACCGTCTGCTTACAGATTTCAAGCAGATCATTTGTTGCACGTGCCTCACATATTCTGTAGAGGTCGAGAGTGTCTTTGAGATTTTGCGGTAGGCTTCCTAAGTCCATGAGAATATTCATTCTTCACGCGAAAGAAAAATTGAAAAGCTGGGACTGATAATCCGCATTTGGTAGCACGTCTTTCTCCAGCATTATATCAGCAATCTGGCCGGGATGACGGCCCACAGTCAGCATCCACTGGTATCATACCAACCGCTGAGATCATTTTTCCAGCTGTCATACGCCATTCTCGTTATCCTGCGGCTGCCATACTATGCCACCATTTCCTTGATACCTTCCTTAAGGCCGATTCGGACATGGACCGCCAAGCAAACATTCATGTCCCGCCTTGTCTACCCACTTCTGGATGCCACTTCTCGTGTGGGAATTACAGAGAAACTCTCACTGAAACCAGGGAAAGAGGGTGAGAGATTTCAGACAGTCCCAGTGCCCTCCTCTGATCTCTTTAAGGGACCGCTGGCGTCTGAGACTATCAAACCCCAGGAGGTTGGCGGCACCTGGTTCCCGAACGCTCCTGGTAAAGATATAGCTTCGAAGACCGTTGTCCTCTACTTTCATGGAGGGGCTTTTATTCAAGGTGACGGCCGAACAGTGCAGTGTGGATCTATTGCAAAGAAGTTTCTGGATACCGGTGCTGCAGATGCTGTGTTCTCTCTACAGTACCGCCTGAGTGGATACAATGGGGTCAATCCCTTCCCTGCCGCACTGCAAGACGCGCTATCGAGCTATGTCTTTCTCCTAAATACACTCAATATCCCGTCCAGCCAAATCCTCATCGCTGGGGACAGTTCTGGCGGCAACCTTGCTACGGCCCTGTTGCGGTATTTACACGAATTTGGATCTGCGATCAACACGCCTACTCCCAAGTGCGCTGTCTTACTTTCGCCCTGGGTCGAACCCTTCTATTACGATTCCAGAGGGAACCCGAATCGGAACACCGACTTCACGCCAGGGACATTTGGAGGTATTTACCACTTTCTTCCTCTCCTTAGGCTCTCTAATGCCTTGTCCTCAAAGGTCTTTTTACCCGAAAGCTGACATTAAGTAGCCTGGGGGGCACATTCGTATGCGGGTAAATTGCCAAGGACTGATCCATACATCACTCCGTTGGGCAATCCCTTCCCCACACCTGTTCCCATGTTCGTAAATGCTGGAACAGCAGAATTGTTTTACGAACGAATAACGAAATGGGCCTCAGAGATGCGTGAAGCCGGAAGTGTTGTGGAATTGCATATAGAGGAAAACGCAGTTCACGATACATTCTTGGTTGGCGATATCATAGGTTTCGCAGACAGTGCTTGGGGTGTTGCGACTAAGATGGCAGAATTTGTGAAAAGGCTCTAGTTCTCATTTTCTTATTGCACATCTCAATGTTCTTGCTCTCTTTACATGAGGTTTTTGATGTATGTAATGGATCATGTTCTCGTCTTTGGAAAACATTGTTCTAGTATGTGGCCTACATGCGCGTCGAAATTTGGCAAAAGGGTTCAAGAACGCAACTGGCATGGTAGATGCAAGACATTCACACAAGTCCAAACATGCTCTTTCTATGTACAGGCAGTATTTTGCTAAATTGAGATGGGAATTGTGGCAAGAGTCTCCTAGCCGCATCGTCACGTCGAATATTTTGAGCCTCCCACACGGAACAGGCGGCACGATTCACACCAATAGTCTTGACATCAGACCACCCACTATGCCGGGCTCCTAATGCCGGCTCTGGCAAGGCGATACCACAGTGTGTAGCAAATGACGTGCCAGACCGTGCTGAATCCTTCAGCTTGGTTGCACATATGGGCTGGAATGGGACTGAAACGTTGAGCTTCTTGGTACTCTTCCGCGAATTGGGGCCCGATGCGGTGGCCTGTGATATGGTCTTACCTCGGCCTCGTCTGCCAATCATGGTTGCGAGCTGTCCCCTCCATTTCTGGCTCCGAACTCCGGAGGATCATGAAAGTTTTTGCGATTTGCATTTCTTAGTGCTTCGAAGGTCCAACGGCTCGTATTAATCGTCAAGGGTATTGCTTACCTCCGTGCCCTGTGCCGCTTTGGGTTCAAGTAGACAGGTGTAGCCTACAGTGAGTGCTGCGGTAAGCACGGCAGAGGCCAAGTGTATGAGAGGGTGCCGAGGCCAACTTACAGAGCAGCATGCTCCTACTTGGGTAAGTAGCAGCGGGAAATGGACATACATGCTTACTTGCATGATCCTTCCTGGCTCGGCGAAATCCTTCGCCTGTTTGTTGGACAGTCTTCTTTTAGCGGCTGTTACGGCAAGAACGCTGAAGAAGACGGGGTCGTAATGCGGGTGTTCTTGTTCACACAAGTCCGAAGAGGGACCATATTGCGAGCAAGGAGGGTTACATTCTCTAGTCAACAGCCGTTTGACCTGCAGACGCGGCAATATCCGGCCCCTTGGATCTGCATTCACGATCTTCCTTTTTCATACACGCGGCCAGCCTGCCAGCCCATCTGCAGAGGACCAAGTTCGTAACTATCAGACTACGTGGCCTACATTACACAGCATATGCTTCAATAATGTCGGTGCTATTGACGTCAATTGTCGTGACCCTGGACCCTGGGAGGGCTGAGGCTTCTAGCTCCCGCGCCCCTACCCGAGCCTAGGTAGGGCTGCGGTACGATCCTACAGACTAGGGGCGGGAACTACGCGGCCAGGGCTAACAGGCACAATATTGGATGGTTTAGCGCCTGGACAGCTAGGCTTACCTGTTGCAAAATTCTGAACTTGGGCCACGGCACGGCACACGCCGCTGTCGTTCTATGGATGGTGCAGATTCACAGAAATTGCGTATTGCATATGGAATACGGCTGCCTGCTCGCCCCGTTGACTGCATGGAGTGTCAAAAGCCTCAGGTACAATGCATTGGCATCCAACCGCCCCCAAAGTACCTCCGTTACAGCAAGAGTTACGTACTTTGCATCACCTTCTCTGGATTGTGCTGACCTTCTACTGTGGCAGGGGCAAAATTTCCAAGTTTTGATTTCGAATTCGGGTTAGCGGGACAGAAGGTGAATTGCCTGGAGAACATGGACCTGATAAGACCCATCCAGCGGAAGACTTCATGTAGAGACGGCTCCTCAGCCGCAGCTCAAACACTCGGCAGGAGGCCCCTTTCGCTGAGTCCGTAATACTGTGAACCACCTATGAGCATCACAGCAAAGATCGATTCATTTTTGTCCTTTGCTTTCCATCAAACCAACTTAGACTTCAACCATGGGTGACTACGGCCAAGATACTGACTCGGAAATCCCTCCCATAAGCACATTCATCACCCGCTTAAGGGATACAGCGCCACAACTTTCACAATCGCGCCATACGAACTCAACATTTTACAGGAATCTCGAAGAAGTCCTTGATTCACGCCGCACGACCGGGCTCTACTGGTCTGTCGTGGAGAATCAGTGGCAGGTCGGCGACGCTGTCGATTTCTGCTCCGGTGACATATGTAGGGAAATCTTTTCCAAACAGAGACTTTCACTCTCTGGTGTCTCATCACAAATCCCCCAATTAGCAAGAGTTGTTTCCAAAGCAAATTCTTTGGACATTGTGTTCAATTTATTGGATCTGCTCGGATGCCTCATGAAGACATTTCAAGACAGAATGCTGACCTGGGAGTGCCCTAGTGGGTCTTAGCAGAAGCGATGCACGGCGGGCCGAGTTTCACGCTGAGGTGGCGCGCCATCCTGACTTCTCTATTGGTTCTAATGGTGTGCGCCTAATGGATGGCAATTCCAAGTACCTAGAGCAGGCAGAGAAAGACATCGCGGCCTTTCACGGTGCTGAAGATGGTCTCTTGGTCGGGTCGGCATTTGAAGCCAATGTTGCTGTTTGGACCGCACTACCTCGCCCAGGTGATGTCATTGTATATGATGCCTTGGTTCACGCAAGCACGCACGAGGGCGTCAACAAGAGCCTGGCCATGGACAAGTTTGAGTTCCCTCACAACGATGTCGAAGGTTTCCGTCGTGTTCTGCTCGAGGTATTCAAGTCTCAAAGACTGGTCCAGCAGGGCAAACGCTCCATTCTCGTTGCTGTCGAATCTATATACAGTATGGATGGCGATGTTTGCCCCTTACAGGAGCTTGTCGATGTTGCGCATGAGGTATCTGCGGGGCATGGCAATATCCAATTCGTGGTAGATGAGGCACACAGCATTGGAGTCATCGGACCTAAAGGCTCAGGCTTGGTCTGCGAATTGGGCTTGCAAAAGGAAATAGCTATTGTGGTGCATTCGTACGGCAAAGCGATAGGCGCGACTGGGGGTAAGTTACCACTGAATTTTATACCTAATCAAAACCCAGTGACTAAGATCTTCTTCCTCAGCGATCATACTCGGAAACAAGATCACTAGAGGTGCGCTGACGAACTTCGCGCGTTCTGTCATCTATACGACCGCACCTTCCTTTCTATTCATAGCCGCCATCAAATCAGGATACACGTTACTCGAGTCAGGGCAGACAGAAGAGGCAAGTAATACCTTGAACATTGATCTCACGGACGCAGTTACTGATCCTCAAGTACTGACGCTGCACAGGCACAAGAACGTATCCAAAGCCTAGCGATGTTGTTTTTTGATTTGCTGACATCACATCCTACATGGCCAGAAGCTGAGAAAAGGGGACTTCTCCGCGTGCCGCTTGTGGATGGTTGGGAGGAACGCTCCTTTCTTGCACACATCTTGCCAGTAATGACTCGCCCGGAGTACACCTGGTGGCTCTTTTTCCAACTTCTGGCTCGAGGCTTCTGTGTCTTTCCTGTGGAGCACCCAGTTGTACCCGCCGGCAAGGGTAGACTTCGGGTCATTATCCACGCGAGCAACACCGAGCACCAGGTCCAAGGTTTCGTTGATGCCGTCTTTTCCTGGGTTGAAGAGATGATCAAGATTGAAGACGGTGAGACAACAGCAACCGTATCACTTGCTGCGGACCGGGTCTACACATGGATGAGGTCAGAAAGCCTGACGGGATACGGGATGCCCTAGGCCATCAATGCCTATCTGAATACATGATCTTGCAATTTCTCAATTTAGATTACTTGACAGTAGATGGAAGACAATCCTTTGTGCCCGAGAGATTCACGCGTTCATTCCTGTTGCTACCGGTCTGGGCTTTTGATTGGCAATCCTGGACTACATTTTCATCAGCGATATGACTTCAGGTCATTAAAACTGCACACTGGCATGTGAAGCGTGGCAGCGGAAGGCATGCTTAGCAACCAACGTAATAGGTGGCCCGACAGACAGCCTTTCTTAAGACCACTTCAGTTATTAATTACAATAGTCACAATCAATAGATTTGAAACATGAATTACTCCGTTCTACGGTTTTTGCCGCATGAAGTCTTTACGAAGTCGTACCTGTGAGCATGGCGGAGAAGTCACATTTAGCAAAAACATCTCAGCCCCGGTATTAATCAAAGTTTTCCTCATTCTTCTCATGTTTGTAAGGACTGGGGCTTTAGGCATTCTCCCAAGGCTTGATCGTTTTTCCCTCTTCGTATTTACCTCCGACAGGACGCCACATGAGCCAGAACGTGAAGGGGCTGACCTTTTCTTCCGTCTCTTTCCACTTCTCGTCCGGATTATCCGTCGTCGGTGCCGTGACATTCTCTTCGACAACAATAAACCCATTCGCATCATACAATGGTTTACCCTGTGGGGTCGCATCTAAGAAAAATTCAAGCCCCAGTTCGTCTGCCCTATTCATACCCCAGTCTAGAAACTTCTGTCCGACGCCCTTGCGACGAAAGTCTGGATGCACGAAAACATTGAAGAGATCTTAAAGGTGAGCATGACAATTTTCAGAATGAAAATAAAATCGAAACGGGCATTGTTACGAAGTGTGTAACCGAGTGAATCAACTTACATAGATGAGGTCTTTGGGCCGCCTCAAACCTTGGTCTGCCGTAGTTTTCCAGCGCCTTCTCTGCAAAGGTGCGCGAACTGTCATTCGGAAACCAAGTGGCTTCCATTGGATGCGGTTCCGCGAACGGGTTCGTCCTGTGAATGTTCCATGCGGCGCCTCCGACAATCTTACCGGTGACATCAACTGCTTTCTGCCAATGACTCGACGGGTCAAGCGAGTGCCACAGCTTCAGTCGTTCGCCTGCTTCTTGGATGGCCGCCTCACGGGCTTCTTGACTGGGTCCAAAAACCGGGAGAAGGATGTGCAGGAATCTCTGCGGCGGGTCCTGATATGCATCCAAAAGGCATCGAGCGAGCGACTGAAAGTCGGTCTCGGGGTCGATGTCTTGCAATTGGAACGCCATTGCCAAGTCCAATGTATGAAAAATCAAACCAGAAAGAGTTGCTCGAGCTGTTGTGTTGCACAGTACAACCCTCTTGACATCCAAACGAGTTAGCATTTAATTTATCCACATGTTGATATCGAAGATCATTTTTGCAGTCATGCAATTAACGGTGGATGCAGCTTCTCGGGGTCTCACAGCTGAGGAACCACATGCAGGTGTACGTAGGATTTTAGATCACGGTTACATATGCATTCCTACGGCATTATTTTTTTGACTCTGCTTCCAATCATACTGCGGTGCAGCCAGCTCATCTTCTAGGCTGCCATCATCTTCCATCAATCACATTCCTTCACCTGCATGAAAGGGTGGGTGGGCATCCCCTCACATCATCCTACGAATGTGGCGGGACGAACCAAGCCCATGGAAGCTGTCATGTCGCGCCCCATCCTTGCTATTCGCCCGGAGAAGCGCCAACGGTTGGCGGCATGAGCCGTGTAGCGTTCGCAACGTGCCTGTTTTGGCGTATGCCGTGTTCACTTATTTACATTACACCACATCCCCGTGGAACCCGAGTCAGGGAGACTTGGGCATGCTCAGCTGCTCACTGGTGATGTCGAGACTTCGGGCCGTATTGGGTAACCAACCTCTCAGCGAGTGCAACGCAAGTCCTAGCCCCCAGGTGATATTGCCACTTGGCACTGCCTCACGTAATCCTCGACACGGGAGTATCTTGGTTGCATGGACTGAGCAGTCCGAAGTTGAAGAAGGAAGTACACAGTATTGCAATGGGAAACCGTACCATGCCCAATGACAGAGACCTCTCTCTATGGTCATTCAGCTAGTTTCGTCTTTGCTGCGGTTTCTATTAACCAATCATTTCATTATTGCGCTTTATTTTAAATGATTTTGTGCTTGCTTTCATGTTCATGATAAATATTCAACAGGCTTATTTATTTCTTTTTTTTTCTTTCAGATTGATGTCTTATCGTCCATTATTAAAATGATAACTCATCCATTTAATGACAGTTACAACATAAAGGATTTTAGAAAATCATCAATTTAAGTTTGAAATCACCCTTTATCGATCCTTCTCAGCCCCCTGACTAGGGGCTAAATGGGTACGTACTCGCTGTCAGATATTGCCTTGTTGTCTTGTCCTGGTGTACTAAATTTGTCACCTGCATGTGTCAAGGCACTGGGTACGAAGGACTTTCTAGCGGGCCTGCGCACCGTTCCAGTGGCCCCACCCACGCTTAGATGTTGTGTAAACCTTGGAAGGGAAAGATTTTAATCTTCAGGAATCTGCTGTAGCTGCCTGGATGCCTGGACACACCGGGCCAACAAATTCATCTGAGGGGCTTCCCTCGCCAAGTGAGCTCCGATTGTCTTTCCGATTTCCCTGCAATCATTGAACGTCTCCCAGTGCGTGATCTAACCTTCGGCTATCCAAGATCAGTGCTCGATTTACTCAAATTCGTTCTGTTCACCAGAAACTCTAAGAACCTCAGAGCATGGCAGCGGTAGACACCTCGCCGCTGGTATACAGCGATAGCGGTCCTGGTCTAGTGATCAGCTGCAGCATCCTGGGGTTCATCAGCACAGTTTTCGTTCTATTGCGTTTTTGGGCAAGGCGATTGACACGGCAGAGCTTTGGCTTAGACGGCTGGTTGTGTCTTGCAGCCCTACTCTGTCACCATGCGGTCCTTGCAGCTGCTGGGATAACGGTGTACAAGGGGGGACTTGGTCGAGATATCAGGATAACTTCAACACAAGACCCCAACTCGGTCGTCTGGCTATTCCAGGTACGAAATTACTCAGGAACATTTTTAGGAACCTGCTGATCTCTTTTTCTTAATTATTTAGGGGGTTTTCATCGGGGAGGTCGGTTACACTTACAGCTCCCCCCTCATAAAGCTATCTGTGTTGAGTTTCTACTGGCGAATATTCCCTACACCATTTGTCAAAATGGGTTGCAAAATCCTCGGCGCTGCAAGTATCGCCTGGTGTATTGCTATTACTATACTGGATTTTGTACAATGTCGACCTCTGGAAGCTTTCTGGTATCTGGAACTCCAGGTACTCCCTACAACCAAATGCCTCGATCCCACTTTATGCTTCCTTGGCAACTCGATAGTCAACGCAATCATTGACTTCTTCACTCTGGTTCTGCCCCTTCATGAGGTTTCTAAGCTATACATCTCGACTAAAAAGAAGCTCGTCATTGGGAGTGTTTTCCTTCTTGGCGGAATGTCAGTTTACCTATCAATCCATTTTCGGTGCTTGCGTATGGAGACACAAATGCTAACACAATATCCTTAGAGCGTTTGCCGCAAGCATGGTCCGCTCTATTGCCACTGGAATAATGGTGCGAGAAGGTGTCACAAACTTCACCCGTAAGTGGCTGTTTCCCGCAGCAAGTATTCGCGACACGAGCTAATTGGAGCAGTGCAATTTGTTCCCTCAGGTACCGCCACCGTCGTCGAGATATATGTCGCCATCATTGGCGCATGCATGCCAACTCTAGTACCCATTTATCGCCAATTGCGATACGGCGACCCGCTCAAGAGCAACACTACCGGAATTTCCAAGCAGACGCTTCCTGTAAAGGGGAGCAGCGCACAAAAGAAGCACCTTGATAACACGGGCTCCTTCGAAAGATTGTCCAACACCGACAACGACTTCATGTCAGACGACTACCGCGACAACCGCCGCGTCAACATCAGCAGCCGGCAGGCAGGTGCACCTGGATACAATCAGGGTGAAAGCTACCAGATGGATGGCGTGATGGTGACCCAAAAGACGGTCTGGTCTGAGCACAAGCAAAACAGCAATGTTGTTTGATGGGTTCCGTTGGCGATTTCCTGATCATTGTAAGATAATAGTGCGGCATCGGATCGCAATGAAGATCAATTTTTGAGAGTGGCAGTGGCTCGAAATCGGAGACGTCAACATGGTCGACTTGCGCCTCCTTGTAAAGAATGCAATTTTGGGTGCCCAGTGGGCGGAGATTCTGAGTTGCTGGAAACACAACAATCGGGTTTCGCCTTCTTGGAAACGTTGCGACAGGGAACTGTTGTTTTTCCTCGTCTAAACTTCCAGGTTGTGAAAGTCCTTCTCTCTTTGGCAGATTCCGGAAGGGGTACGTAGGAGTGTGTTTAACAGTTACTCAACTGGTTTGGTGACACCTTACAGCGATTTGTTGCCAGGTTATTATCCTCTAAGTCAAGCAGGAGCTAGGTATTGTTTTGAAAATCGAAAATCGTCTTCTCTACATGTTCTTTGTAACAGACTTTCTTTCGGAAAGCCCCAGCCCTCCTCCGGCTGTCTGTCAGGCTCAATTGTTATAATATGTAAGTCCAAGTCCACAATATGTACTAGATTTTAGCCTATATAGTGCTACATGCCACAAGCTACTATTGTACAACGTCGTGGGTTGAAAAGTTGTAGGTTTTATCAACTTGCAAGCATAACAAGTCGCTAGGTCTTCTTCAACTACGTATTTGCGAATTCTCGAGCAAAAGCATGAAACAGGTGTCCCTCCCATTATAGTCGCATATCCTGGTCCAATTTACTCATCGTATCTCGTTCCAGTAAAGACCAATTTTCCTGTAGGCCTATGCTCCAAAGTCCATGATGACATCCTTCTTTCCAGTCAATCTTCGCTCTAACAGGGTTGACCTCCGACTGTCGCAGGGGTACTACCGTCAGCCGTGCTCTACAGCCTAATAGAGACGTCTGCATACTTTTTGGCATGTCGAGCAGAACAAGGTGGCCTGACATATCCGAGTATTGGATTAGGAAAAAGTCCTTGGTCTCCTTCAGTATCTTTTCCTCGTCGAGTCACTCCCTGCTTAAGCCCTGTAGGCAACGCAGGATGTGATTTCCATCCATGCCTACTTGGAAAAGAGCGATGCGGAGTCGGTATGACGCCCCGTTACACTGAAGATGGCATATGAACCGCGAAGCTCTCCAACAGATATGTGGAACTAGTGTCATGTGTCTGGATGTAAAAAGCATGAATAGCCATGAAGTGATGGCGGCCGTGGGCGTCGACACAAATAGGCCTCTCCTTTTCAGGCATTGTTGTCGACACAGCAGTCAGCCGGCAATCCTGATTGCGAGAGGCTGGTATTTTCAAAGTTCTCACCGTACTCAGTCACGATACCATTATTCAGGATGGACGTGATGCGCCACGCATCGCTTGGCCTGAGGAACATTTAGATATAGATGTCCCCAGTCCCTTTCGCGCTGCTCCCGGTTGTCCGCGGTGTCCGAGAGTCTCCCATGTCTATCGAGTATGGATTGTAGCAAAGTAACGTGCTGACGACCTTTTGTCAGCCGTATCGCGAGCCAAAATGGTTCCACGTTGGTTCGCTCGCTTCTCTAGACACAATCCAGAGAGAAAACAAATTCCTCTTTGAAGTTCGGATCTACACAGTGGAGATTGTCTACGTAAATGCTCCGCTATCTGGGCCAACCTTTCACTCTCTCCCAAGAGTGGCAAGTAATGTAGACATAGCAGGCCTGTGCCTCTTTGAACCGGAGATCTTGGAATGGTCTTGTCAATGCAGCACGTATCGATTCAAGCGGACTTGAAGCACTTCGACAGCGCGATGTCGGATACTTTTCGGACAACGTTGAATCCTGGTTTGCTCCTGACTTTGTCGATATCTTGAATATCTGAGGAAGATATCTCATTCTTTCCGTCCCACGTGTGAGACAAAATCGCATATCTTTGCCTGGTGAATTCGCCCACTCGGGGCAGTTGCAAGGTCTTGTATCGAGAAGCCACATCTTGGCTGAACACTGATTGTTCCTGTCCTCAAGAGCCTTACCGAGAGGAGCAGAATAGAGAGCCAGTAAAATACAAAAGACAATCACGGATTGACTTTCTTTGGGGGGGGGGGGGGAAGTGTCAAAGTGAAATCTTGCCGCCTGGTGAATGGCAGCTGTGAGACATCGTACCAAAGTGTTCAATTCTTACGCATGCCACATCTCTTTCTTTGCCTGCACTTGAGGAAAAGCAGGGGAGGGCTGCAGGCTGTCCTAGATCAATCTCACCTCTGCAGAAGCAAGCCACCTCAGCAATGAGCATCGGCGGAACACTATCGCTGCACATCTCCCTATTTGCTCCTGCCAACCGATAGCCTCCCTGACACCATTTGCATTGATCCAAGGCATAGATCGGCGTACTCTTTGCCAAAATCGTGCAACATCAGAGAAATGTCAAGTCCTTAAAGATGACAAGACCGAGTCACGGCGACCAAAGCATATCGTGCACTGCGTAGCTTCGAGGGCTGCCGAGGCCGGTTGAGCAGGACGTCAATGGGCTAGGCGGACAGAGAAACTAGCTAGAAACGATGTCACAACGCGACGGGCTTGCTTAGCGCGGCGGGCTAGCCCCCGAGGCCGTCTAGGAGGTCCACGAGGCTGCGAGGACGGCGCGACGACAAGCTCTTAGTGTTTTTCACCTCGGCGATGAGAGATCAGTCGGCACCCCGGTTTTTCTAATGCCTATGTGCGTACGTGCTTGAGCGAATTGCTAGCCGACTTGGACAGCCCATAAGAATTGCTGATCTATGCCGATCGGTGGGCTCGCAAGTCCTTCGAAGTCGAATTAGGCTCTGGATATAAGCTCGTTGCTCCGTGCTCATCAGTGTTCATCGTTTTATGGGTACCGGGTGGGTCAGACGGGTGCCAATGAGCCAGGGTTGCGTTGATACCTCACCTGGGCACCTTTAATTCGACATACTAGCGGATTGCTTCGGCTGAAGGATCGAAGTCGATTATAAAAGATCGAGTCTAATGCAATCCGCCAAATTTCCATCTATTCCAGTTAGTGGCGTTGTCTTTTTTCTCTCGGAAATTGATATTTGTCTTGGCAGTCGATACGGCACGAGAGTGTTGAGGCTGCTGAACTTTAGCGCACGCCTTCTCGTGGACGCAGTCAGCGTATCACTCAGCTCACCATGCCACAGGGAATATTAAATGAGGGTGCAAATGGTATATTCAAGTCATCAAAAATAGCATGATGTTTCAATGAAGTCATTAAATGTTCCTCAAACCAGGTCTCACTTCCACGGCCCGCTCAGAGACCCTCTGATAAGGGTCTCAGCCGCTGCCGCCCGCCTCTCCTCCAGACCAATTCCCACGGGTGAACAGAAGAATGGGTGGGTATCAACAGTCAAGTCCGCCTCAAGCCCTGTAGTAAGGGCGCGGATTTTAGTAGGTAAATCTCAAGGTGATTTTGGTATGAAAAGTAAAAGTAAATCAAAAACAGTCCTCAAAGTCGTTCGCGCCGTCCCTGAGGACGGCGGTGTAAAATCAAAGACATCGTGGCTCGTCTGAAATATCAAAGACAGCAAATCCGCCAAGCTCGGGTGTGATGGGTTGTGAAGAAGTGGTGAGGTCCCCAACGGACCTGTGGAGTTGTCCAGCCAGCCCAGTAGCGAAATTGGAAGTCAGGCCGGCAGGCTCGAAAAGCACTGGATATTTGTAGCCCAAATATTGAAGGCGCAATCGATGCGCTCTTAGGATAGGTCAACTGGCTGTTCGGTGAGCGGACTTAAGTCCGCATGTCTGTCGCTGGGGCGATGAAGTGAAGTAGGTGAGTTGTGAGAAGCTTTTTTGTGAAGATGCCACCGCCAAATCGCCAAGCCACCAAAGTCTCTCAACTCCGATTATGCATAATGCTTTTCCGTAGAGTCGGTGATGCCATTGGGTAATTTTCTGTGTTTGAATGTCGGAACCGAGGCAGCCAGGCGCTCAGCGTCTGCGTAGTGTTGTGGTTGTTTCCTTCCAGTCGTTCATTCGGTTCGCGCGGTGAAGCACTTGTGAACTGCTGCTTGGTTCCGACAAAGGAAATGGCTAGGAGTGATGCTCGCATCGAAGAGTTCGAATATGACAGTAGTGATAGAAGTTGAAAGTTTTGAAGATCGTCTCATGTCGCCTGTCCCGAGGGACGCAACTCGACTTGTAGGGTGCTTAGATCGTCGAATCCTTACATCAGCGCAACGACGAGCATGCCTGCCACCCCGGCAATAGCCACATGGGAGGAGCCAAGTGACGCGGCGCCGTTTCCAAGGCCGTTGACGCCGGGAGTCTCAGATGAAGAGGACTTTGCGGAGGACGACGACGACGATGCTGTCGCTGTCGCCTTGCTGGAAGCACGAGTGACGCTTGTAGACTCGCTGGTCGAGTTATTCGTAGCGGTCATGGTCACGGTGTTGCTGGCCAGAGTGATAGTCTTTGTCATTGTCGAGGTTTGCGTAAGGGTTGTCGTCCCTGAGGTGGTGTCCTGCGCAAGGGCGAGGAGGGGCAGGAGAGCTGCCGATAAAATGCTGGTCAACTGCATGGCGATGGATTTGAAGTGCAATATGTCGCGAGGGAATCCACGATGAATATATGTAGCGCTGTCGCGTTGGTCGCTGTCGTCTTGTAAGCCCGTCAAGTGGATGGTGCCAAGTGATTGCTTTCGGCCTTCGTCCTGTGCTCCTGAGCGGTGGGTCCAGATAATGAATGTGTCGTCGAGAGTCTTGCGAAGAGTCAGAACACTGCTCGATGCTGTGCTCTGTAGAACGTATGCCCTTTGGTCACGGGTGTGAAGTTGTATGTTCGGCTGGCGAAGTACGATTCGATTTTCCAGAAAACGAATGGATCGAGTTCTGACTTGGGTACAAGGCGCAACAAGGTTTCCAAAGTGGTTTTATGCGGCAGGTTGAGCAAGTGAGAGTGATATCGAATGCCGTGCTGGCGTGTCTAGGTGTGCGCAGAACCTGGTTCTATCTCAAACACTGGTATCGTAATACGGGGTAACAAGACTTTGCCAACGAAGTCCGTGGGTGAGGGAATATAGCTGTAGTGGAGTAGAGATGAAGAGCGAGGGTTCTCTGGAGATGGTAAAGAGAGGAGGGAAAATGCATGCCAGGGGAGTTTGGGTGACACACAGACGAAATTAAAAAGAGTGAGGCAAGCCAGGACATTGGGACGAAAACAAGGTACCTTGTACCCGTTGTCTGGGAGGAATTCCTAGCGCCGGACAAACCAATTGGCAGCAGGAGGGGCACAGTCGGTACCGCCAAGACCCGTGGGCCTTTGGATCAATGACCTGGCCACGGCTGGGGAAAGAAAGAGAAAGACAGAGAGAGGGTCCAGGGCACCCTGTCCTCGTCGGTTACAAAGAGGTGCGGGCAGCTGGAGGGTGGGCGGCAGGAAGTCCTGTGTACCTGGCGAATCCTGTTGGTCCCGCCAAGTGTGAAGGTATTGTCGACGTGCATGATCCCATGCGCGCCAGCGCAACGGGAAATTACAGGTACAATTTCCCATGTTCTTTTGTCAATGTGCCGCGCAGACAGTTTCGCCCTCTTGTCCTGGCCAAACCCAGCCAGCCGGCTCTGGTTGAGCAGACAGGAGTGTCGTGTGATCTCAGAGCTGAAATGTCTGGCCTGATCTATGATCTACGACCTGTAGAGTACAGACGGGCACGGCATGTAGCAGACAGCAGACAAGAGACTGTGGATGGGCTGCGTTGAGTATGTTTTGCCGGCAGTTGACCGGGCTGTTGGGGCTAGACTTCTCTCGCTGGGCGCCGCCCCATTGTCCTGCGCGCCTGTACTGGCTGACTGGTCCTTTGAAGGAGGTGGCTCGAGTGCCATTGTCATTTGCCTGCGCCTAATTTTGATCATCGTCAGCCGTTCCTAATTCTGCTTCTTTTGTGGTCGCAGCGCGCCAACAATGACTGGCAGGTGAAGTGAGTCTAGCTGAGAGGGCTGAGCCGGATGGGGTGTTGGTGCTGGTGGGATTGGGATTAGGATTGCAGTTTTCTGCACGAGATCCGCCGAATTGCATCTCTGTTCCTGCATCTGTAATTTCCTGTTCCTGGCTAGGCCTGAAGGAGAATAAACGCTCCCCAGTTGAGCTTAGCTGACACTCCTTTGCACGGACTGTGGAGCGTGCGCAGTGACGCGATGGCAGGCTGTCACCCGAAACGGGAGAAGGGGACGAGGGAAGAAGGGAACAAGAGAGGGGGGACGGGTCCCCAGTGGGGCATGCGTAGGTAAGTGATTCCTTTTTTCCCTGCCCAAAGTGGCACCCAAACCACGAGGGCTGGAGGGATTGCGCGACTGATTTGCTGCTGCTAGGCCGTGGAGAAACGGCGAACCGCGAGATGCATCCCGAAAGAAGACAGTGTCCACACGTGGCCAGAATCTGTCGACTGAGTCCTGTCGTGAAGTCGAAGACGTGTTCCAAATGACCTTCCTGCACACTATTTTGCGTGCCTCACTATCGAGGAGTGAGGCGCTGGGACTAGTCAGATGGCGTTTGGGGCTGAGCAGCAAACAAAGCAGCAAGCAGTGAGCAGTGAGCAATGAGGAGAACAATCGCACGCAGGCAACCTGGCAACCTGGCAACCTGAGACTCGCCTCGTCGGTTCAGCCCGATCGCTCGATCAGTCATGGATTCATCTCGGGGAAACCCCAAGGCACAGGCATCATCCAGGTCAGGGCCCTTGAGTGGTCACCCTGGACAGACGTTGTCAAGTGCTGATCATCCCCGCAGGCCACGTCCCTTGCAGCGAGTCAAGCCTTCTTATCCACTTCCTGGACGACCCGAACTGACCACTCTTGCACAGTCTTTATTTTGGTCATTGGTCACCACCACAACCTCGACGGCAACTGGCTGCAGGAACCCGTGCTGACCGCTCGGATTCAGCGATCCTTCGGCATTCGCCTGGTTACCTGCAGACTAGCGATACTCTTGTTCTATAACCTTACCGAGTCACTGCTGCTGGTACACGCGATTGCTTTCCAGTCTTGCGTCGTGATTGTTAGACCGACTCTGCTTGTTTCAAGGATGCCACGAGGCGGGTTGTGGGGAGGAGTGAAATCAGTGAGTGTGTGGCCTGCGCTTTGGGATCGAATGCGGCAAGCCCATTCAGGGGCTGGCCATGGGTTGGACAGTTTCACGACACCCTACACAGACATCACCGCCGGCCACACAATGATTAGGGGTCCATTCTTCCTCTGCAGCACCCCTCAAGCCACTGCGTCAATTAATGGTTGAGCTATCGTATCTCGCCCAGCTCGCTCATCTTCCGCTGTCGCATCCACCACTTCCGACTGATCTTCCCGCGTTCAGCCGACGAGCCCAAATATCGAGGATATCGAGTTCCAAACTTCAATTCAGGCAATTCTATGCTAATCAATCTGCTGCCCCTCCACTCTGCACCTACTATGTCCAGTACATACTAGCATTTGGACCTGCCGAGCGGATCTCCACACGTTGTGCCTCGCACTGACCGTTTCTCCTTGCCGTCTTGCTTTTTTTCCTAGTGGGACGAACGCCAAGCTCGTGAAACAAAAGTCTTGTTTCTCATCATCAGACAGACCTGAACTTGCACGATCAGACGAATTCAACGGACGATTCTGGCAAGATCAATTTGTCTGCGACGTTGCCTTGCTTGTTTGCCAACGGCTGCGGCTCACTTTGGTTCTCTTCTTCAGTATGCCCAACCGTTGCCCTTCCAGGTTGGGACGCACGTGCGATGCCTGAGCATTACACCTGCATACACGGTTCCGAGCCCCTTGGCGACATGAAAACTCCGGACTGATGCCTCCGGCGGTAAGGAGGTGTCCAGAGGATCTCACCGCTCCCTCGGCGCAGAGATTTAGACAGCAACGGCCGAAGCCCGATCTCCACACATCCACATCCTCTCTCTCAACGTGTGCTCGACTTTGCGAAATTGTGTCTTTGTCCAACACACCTCACCCAATCTCTGCAAGCCGCTCGGGGCCGTGCTCGTGTTGACTTGTTGATTTTGGGAGCCTGAGCGGCTCGCCCGTCGATCGTTCGGACAAACTATTTGCGCGCTGTTTCCACAAGCCATGGGATGGAGGTTTTGTACTAGGCCGTATGAGACTCAACAAATTCGCCTCGGAAGTCACATGCCCGAGGCGAATTGCCAACACTTCGATGAGCCCCTGGTTGAATTCTCCACTGGACATGGGCAGGTACCAGAAGCCTCAGCCCACAAACACTCGTGACAGAATTATGTATATCGCTCGAGGACGCGAAGAACAGCATGTCACTGTCATTGGTGATGACTTTTGTTACCAGACGGGGTCCATGCTTGTCGCATTCGTAAATACGATATGACACTCGATTAACAATTGGACTCTGCCTGGCCCAGGCCGGATACCAAATTCGAACGTGGTGGGCGTCGTGTGTCAACTTGGCAAGGGTAGCAATGCGCTGGTAAAAGCCCGACTCCTGAGACGGAAAGGACAAGTGTATCTACGGTCAAGTGAATCAAAGGGGGACAAGTGACAATGCACGGGTCGTTTAAAGAGTGGTGTTACATCATATACTTACTTGCTTGGACACCCAAGTGCTGACAGTGGCGCGCCCACCTTCGAAAAAGGACGATAACACCCAGAGAGTATCAGAAAGCTCGTTGCAACTTATTGATAGGAATGACGGCGGCCGTAATAGGTAATAAGACTTCATTCTGTGAATACTAGAAGTTGGAGTGACTGCGTATTATGCAGTGCCTGTGGCCCCGTATGAGCCTTAACTGGTAGTCGCTAATAATCTCATCGAGGATTCAATCGCAGATGACTCAACTCTTTGCTGAGAACGTTGATAACATGCCGGGCTACTATATGAAGGTTTGGCCGAGACAACCTTGGGACTATTGTTTATCGTGAGTCTGATGGCGTGCGTATGTAGTCCATACTGTAGAGACATGGTACTGGGCGCTTGGTGGCTAAAGTCGGGCAACACTGTTCACCTCAATAGTCTCTTTATGAGATGAAAAATGAGAAAGAATTATAATACAGAGGAATCTGAGGACTGATTATGGTTTAGATATTGAACTAGGTAACGATGAACACCTCACTGCCGCATAAAATCAGAGCTAGAGCCCTTCATTCTTGACTCTGGTTGAAATCAACAATTTGTGAGAGTGATAGACGTGGTCTCGCGCTTGCGCAGCATTCGAGGTTCCAAGCACACTAGCTGCAGTGATGTGTGTAACAAATGCGAGTCAGCTTAGAATATATCTCATTTCACGGAGAACCTTCTACATGACAAACACAATGAACAAAAGTTTGAGGGGACTGTCGAGATAGTTTGAGAGCATTGATTTAGCTATCTAGACATGAATGTGTGTCTTCTTAACAGTCTTTCCATCCCGATACGCGTCAAGAACCTCATTCAAATTCTCGGCAGTCAGACCCTCCTTGACAACATAGCTGAGTGGCTTGATCTTGCCCGTCTCAAGGAACCCAGGAAGACGCTCCCAGAAACCTCCAGCCAGCTCGGGGTGAACCTGTGAACTTCCATACGTGTCCCGCACCTCGAACCCAGCAGTCTTGCCGACAACCTTGCTCTCGTCCACCGGGCCGAGGGGCAGAAGCCGAGCAAGTGCGCCCTTCTTGGTGCTGGACAGCGCGTTGAGCGCCAGGACCTGACCCTCTGGGGGGCTGATCGCGTCGTACGCGTAGACCAGGTCGTCAACCAACGACGTCGCGGATGCGAGCCAGCACGGCGTCCTGGCCGCCGTGGCGGTCGAGCACGTGCGTCGCGCCGTAGCCCTTGAGCTCGGCCTCGTTACCGCCCACGACCACTATCCTTCCGATGCCCGCGAGCTTGGCGAGCTGGACGCCGAACCTCCCGCAGTTTGAGCCGCCGCCGACGACCAGGAGTGTGGTATTTGCGTAATCGAATGCCTGGCCGGACCAAGGCGCCGGGATCTTCAACACTTCAAATATGGCGACAAGGGGAGCGATGATGTTGGTGGGCAGCGTGGCGGCCTCGTCGTCGGACGTCCCCTCCGGAATCTTGCCGAAGGCACCGACGTCCGCGACGGCGTACTCCTGCACTCCGTTCTGCGTGAAACCCGGCGAGAAGCCCGGCTGTGTGACGACTCTGTCGCCGACTGCGACGCCGGTCACGCCCTCGCCGAGCTTCGTTACTGTGCCTACGACATCGTTCGTGAGGAGCGCAGGGAGGTGTTGGGCGATGAAGAGGCCCCAATCTCGAGCCTTCTGGTCGTGAGGGTTGATCCCCGCGACCTTGACCTTGAGCTGGATCTGTTTGGCGGAGGGTTCTGGGATGGGTCTATCCTCAATGAGCTTGACTGGCTTCCCAAGCTCTGTCACAACGAGGGCTTTCTGTGTAGAAGACATGCTGTTTATTTATATTTGCGTGTTTCAATCTGTAAATTTGTACGTAGGTGTTCGATGTTCTGTTGAGTGTGTAGTAAGATGTGTGGATAATTTTTCTTGTGTTATCTGAGTATGGTTGAGTGGCTTTATATATTGTAGGGTTGATGATGCCATTAATGGCGTTCATATACAATCTGCTAAGTCTGCATCGTGGAATGGCCTACAACCTACGCATTAATAATTGCCAAGCTTCATTAAATCCGCTAAACGCGAGGCCGCGAGACCGTGACACCGTCTGACCGATGAAAGCTGAATAATGGCGTGGCTTCATTGTTGCTCATATCCTGTGTAAGATGTGCCTCTTTATGGCATGGCGGGAGTGCATCTTATTCTCCGGAGATGAGTGTCGACTTGTTGGACGCTGAAGCCTGTACTTCAATGGTCCTCCAGTCCTAGATTGCGGAAAGACTTGGAGTGCTGATGACCAATTCAGAACTCTCCTCTTGCGCTGAGCTAGAGTGCTACATACATCTGTATACATTGCTGATGCAAATATATGCCCTGGTTGAGATCTGTGAAGTACCGTATATCATTTGAGGTCGCCCGAGATACATCGGCGCTGACAAAGCGCAGCGGTATTCGGACAGTCGAGAAGTCCGCTTACCACTCGCGCCCGGAAAGTCTTAGAGGCAAGTTGGGAAGTCCGCTTCGCTAGCCCCACACAGGCCTTGCAGAAATGTCTGAAAGAGCAGACCTAAACGTCGTACATATGTGTTGGCGTCAAAGGAGGACTTCCTTCTGCGGTGCAGTCACCACACTATCGATTACTTTGACACCGAGTGCCTTGGAAAGCTTATATTGAGGATGAAAGCATATCTTGTATTCACTTTCATCTAAGCATTTAGTCAAACATACCAGCAATGCCCTACCCGGACCCCAATGCAGTTCTATTAAGCTTGACAGTAAACAGATGGAAATCAAGGTCCCTCATATCACTCATTGCGTGCCCCGTTTGCCCCTTTTCATAACCTTTCAGGCAAAACCTGACCCTGCCTTGAGAGCCAAAACTTGTACATCAAGAGAACCTGCTGGAGTCGCTTCGCCGTGAAGAGAAGGAAAGACGGAAGAAAAGTAAAGGCCACACACACTCGTCAACCCGATGAAGATAGACCATGACGCAACACAAAAAGGTCTAGTTCCATCCCGGCTATTGCTGAGTCGCTCGAGGGCCTGGCGTAATGATCCCAATGCCATGCTATTACTCAATGATACAGGTTGAACGAGAGGTTGGCTGTCCTATTCTGGAGCAGTAGTCGAAATGTTGATTATTTGCACTGGTGAGGAAACTCGTAGGCCGAATGGTAAACAAAGAAAAGCTGTTCGTCGTTGTATGTCGTAAATGGTATGCAGGGTATAAGAAACGGAGAATAGGCTTGACATGCCACGCGAAGTCAGGAACATGTACAATGGGTCCGGAAGTAATGTCGTCTTCACACACCAATCTCACCGATCAAGGCGAGGCTGTGGTTGCCACCCGTTGATGTAGGCCATGAGACCCATTCCCAGCAACACCACACCCATCATTGAGGCGTACGGAATGCTCTCCATGATCGCCTGGTCCGAGACCGCGCGTTTCGACGGCGATCTCGGCGTCGGCGTGATGGTGTTGGCCCTAGAGAGCGTGGGCTTATCATCCAATACGTCTTCGTCAATACTAGCGAGGGACGCCGAAGTCCCATCGGCGCGATTGGCGACGGATCGACCTCTGCTTGGCTCTCTGGCTGTGACAGTCGCGCTGCGTTCCCTCCCGTTTGATCTGGATCGCGTCCGGGCTCGAGCTGCTGCCTTGAGGGCTGCAGTCTCCTCATCCCGCTGACGGATCTGCTGTACCATCTCGGCCAACGTCTTGCGGTCCGCATCCCGTTCCGATGTAGCCTGCTCTGCTTGCTTCTTGTAGTTGTCGACCTGCTCTCGCAAGCCTTTCATCTCTGACAACATATTGTCGATCTGTGACTGCAGGGAATCCGTCTTGTGTTCACTGGCTTCCGGTGGTATCGTTGTCTGAGGCTCTTCAGACGATTTATTGTCATTATTTGTGTGCTCCGCAGGGGGTTCGAATGCTTCTGCCAATGTGGAATCCTCGATTTGTGGTTTCGCGGATCCGTTCATACGTGAGTGAGCGTCATCTTCCAGTCGCTTGGCAAGTTCTTCTGCTGCTTCCCGCGCCTGCCTCTCTCTCTGCAACATGTCTTCTAGATCTCTCATTTTTGAGGTCTGATTGTCGATTTCCCGTTTGGCACTATTCAGTGCCTCTGTCAACTGTATGATTTGACTCAGATTATCTTGGCGAATCGGTGATGCGCTCGATGGGCCTGATTTCGGCCGCTCGGTTGTCGCGCGTTTCAAAGATGGCACATCACCCTGGGATCTCGCGACGTCAGGCTTTTCGGGGAGGGGTTGTTGTGGTGGGGGTGCCGGAGGGTCAGAAAATCGAGTCTTTCCATCGGAGCGGAACGAATGCGCGTTGCCATTGACTACTGGCGGCTTCACAGGTTCTGGTAGTTCGGGTTTCTCTTGATTTTTGATGTCCTCGTTGGACAACAATGCATCCAAAAACTTGCTGGTACGAGACAGGTCTTGAGCTTGCTGCCGCGCGTTTCGCATTTCGTTCTATGAGGCGTTAGTTATTGCAACTAACAAAGATTGCGCTGTTTTGTAGAGACTTACCCTCAGCTTTTTTACAATAAGCTCCGTTGAAAAGCTGTTGTTCATAAAGGTGCGATTATTGAATGCCACGCCAGCAGACTGGGCATTCATCATATGTGCGCCCCCAGCCATCCGTCCGTTTGTGCCCACTGAAGCTTGACTGCCGGTCCTGGTCCGGAATGGTAGCCCAGGCTGGGGCATCATCATTCCCCCATTTGCCGGATCCAAGTCTCCAAAATTCATGTCCAGGAGGTTGTTTGAGGGATTGAGAAATCCGGCATGTTCAACCTTGGCCGCTACTTTATGATGTACCACAGACTTCTGGTCCTCGCTCACGATGTCGATTCCCAGCTCGAGATGGTCAGACGACTGGAGTTCGTGAGGCTCCGATTCGCGATTTTCGGGGGATAGCCGTGTTCCGTTCACAAAAGTACCGTTTGACGACTTGACGTCGCGAATCCATATCTTTCCCTGCCTGTCCGCCCATATCTCCGCATGTTGTCTTGACAGCACCTTACTGTCGAAGAATCCATTCATAGGGGTTGGAACCGTTTTGTTATTTGTTTGCCGGCCGACGCGCAAGGTCTCGGGGTAGAAGGGAACCTGGATCGTCTTTCGCTCAAATGTACCGTTGAGAGACAGTAGATAGAGCACGGGCTGCCCGCCCGGTATCGTGTCTGTGAGGGGCCTCTGAGGGGCCAACTGTCCAGGAGACTGTAGCAATGGCGATGGAGACATTGGTGCAGCCCCGTTCAGGCCATTGGCCATCTGAGGGCGTGCCTGTGGCATTCTGCCTAGCTCTGTCCCTCCCTCCAGCCTGGCTCCGTTCCACTGCCCTTTCCCTTGAGGTCTCTTGCGTGGTGCAGTGTTGGGCCAGCCACCTAGATCTCCGGCCGGAGACTGCGCGACGCCGTTGGTCTGACCATTTGTGCTAACAGCTGTTGATGTAGAAGAGCTAGACGCGCTGGAAGACACGGACGAGGATGAGTTGTTGCGAGGGATAGACTTTCGAGGCATCAGAACGCCTCTGACGTCTTCGGAATTCATCGAGTTCAAGGACTGGCCACCACCGCCGTTAATCCCCCATGCCGGCCGGTTGATGTTCGAAAAACTGGGAGGGCTAGCAACTGCAGTCATGAGGAAGGACTGGTCAGGGTTCTCGGTACAGAGAAGAGGTAGACGATTGTAGGTGTCGCAAGAAGCGTGTTCCCAGGCGCCGCGGGTGTCGTCTGGCCCCAATCTGACACCATGTATGGGTCGCGGCCGCTGACGTAGGGGGCAAGAAGCTCAGCGAGGTGCTGGTCGGTGCCTGCTGTTGCCAGGCGTGGATATCATTCGTGTGGTCTGGGTGGCTGGTTGTGATGAGGAGCCTCGATGGGATGAAATGGCACGGTAGATTGCTAATGTCGTCAAAGTGGAGATGTTAGCCCCGAGGTCATCGGCACAACTTGATGCAGGGCGCAAGGCGACTCGGGCCTGAGGCAGCTGGAGGCGGCTTGCAGACACGTCGACGGCGACGGCAAAAGGGCCGGAAAAGTCAGCAGAGGGCAGCTAGACGTACTGAGCGATTGGCAGTGGGCGCAAATGGCTGGCGTTGATGGAGACAAGTTGATGATTTCCAAAAGTCAGGATCAGGATTCAGCCTCTAGAGTGAACAAAGTCCAGCCTCTGCAGTGGCTCTGGGCCAGTCGTGCCAGTCTCCTGTTTGGTTGTCTCGCTTGGCGCTTAGCGCCGCCCTGCTGTAGGACTTGACTGTCTTCTCTGGGCCAGAAGGACGGACAGGGGTGTCCCACTACGCCCCCCGAACAGCTTCCGCACTTGGTGAGTGTGACGCAGCAAAAAAACACCACCGACACAAGGAGGGAAAATTTTATATCACCGGAGATTGAACTGGATCAGAATAAGAAGAAGAAACATACTACGTATAAATTATCTGCAGCAATGAGAGCTTGACTCTGTACAGTTTGGCTCACTGGACAGCATCAGCAGCAGGGAAAATGACAGGAACAGCACCCAGGCCGCTGAGCACGTGACCCAGGCCGCTCACTGTCTTTGCCTGCCTGCCCAGGGGATGAGCTGGCCCGTGCTCGAACCTGGAGCTGCGCTAACCGTTATCGGTGGCAGGAGGAGCTCTCCAGGTGGGGAAATGTACAGTAGCTGGGCGCCAAAGAGGTGGAGTGTTTTCGTCACCCGACTGCCGTGTGACGGAGGGAGCTTTTGTTTGGATAACGAACTTTTGATTCGAGTCCCTTCTCCTCCCAGACGGACCGTGTGCGCGATTCCACTTGTCAGTTCTTTGGCTCTACCACACAGCACAATATGCCTGTACCGGTCAACACCGCCCACGCTGGGCCGTCCAACGTGGACAAGAGTATGCTCTTCTCCAACCTTTCACTCTGCGCCGTCCTGCGCTGTGCTAACTGACTTCGGTGTAATAGTGAAGATGGGTGCTATGATGGGCGGCAGTAGGTCTTGGTGCCCCAGGGACCAAATGGTCCTCCAGTGATCGAAGCACGTAATCTAATGAAGCTCAATAGCCGTCGGCGTCATCATCGGCTTCATATATGGTACGGCAAGACAAGACTCTCCCCACTGTTCGGATCAGCACCCTGACCCGAGCCTCAGGAACCGTTAGTATCTTCCGGTATGGCGCAGGACCCAACGGCATTATGAGGACACTGGGCCAGTATATGGGAGCGTCAGGAGCTACCTTTGGGTGAGTGTTGTTCATCGCTGGCGGGGCAAGGGACACTGGCTCATTACATATTTTCCCGCAGCTTCTTCATGTCGATCGGCAGCGTCATCCGCTCCGACGCCTCTCCTATCGTCCAGCAAGCCTACTGGAACTCGCGCCGGAGTCCTATAATCATGGCGGCAGCCCACCGAGCCCCTTTTCCAAGACGCGAACAATAAGAGAGAAAAGAGAAGCCGCAACAATCTCGACAGCCAGATCCCACACTGGGACGTGTCTTTCGGGCATTCAACGATGCAAATCGTGTATCCCCACAAGCAAGGGTGGCGTTTGGACATGGAGTTATTCGCAGTGTTTTCTGGGCGGCAATAAGAACTCATTCCTATCAGGTTGTCCACCCTGAATGTAATACCACAGATATCTGGTGATCAATTCCATCACGAACAGCATGGAAGAGCGAGAGTGAGCTTTCGATACTCCTGATTCGAAAGGTCGCCACTGAGAGCAGATGAACAGTCCGTGCTGAAAATCAACAAGTCTCATCTTCTACTGGAGCTGTGCTAGGGCCTAGGTGGCGTTGAGATATTCCGGAATGTCAGCGGTTGGGTCGAGAGATCCACGGCGCAGCAGGTGGGCTTGAGGATGCTCGTTCTCCCCTATCTCCTGCATTGATTATTGCATTGCTGGACTCACCATCTGTCTCCTGGCCCACATCAAGGACCCGACAACAACGCTGCTTTGACGTCAGCAACAAGACGTAGGAGCCAACAACGGCATATTCTTCAACCGACGAGCAGCGTGGAAGATGCCGCGCTTAACTAGGCTGCACCGAGGACCGACTTGTTATATTGGGATGCGTGCCTGGATGTTGTTGAAAGCACGGACGATCCTGCAGTCGGACAGTGCTAGCTTCGGTGTTTGACCACGCCTGTGATTTGCAAATAGTCTCGCGCTATCTTGCACATGGATACTCTATTTTGCCAGGGGAGCCATCTCCTTACTCTGCAGCTAAGTCTCGTGTGGCCTGTGTGAGCCGATTTGGAGCTGCCGGATGCCTGATTCCAGAGTCCTCGGACCTCGTGGCCCAAGCTCACAGGACGCTGCGCCGAACTTAGAGCCATTCTGTGCCTTGAGCACGGTCGATGTCCTGCCGGTTGCCGCCATAATCGACGCTTGTTCAACCCATCTCATCCGTCTACCGGGTGCCCCGACCAAGCAAGTCCGATCAGGTCTCCCAACACTCGGGTATGCACAACCGATGGCAATGACATTGAGAATAGAAACATCTCGTATGCTTGTACGAGGAGAATGGGCTGCATGCAGGGACACTCCTGGGCCAATGTTAGCTATCTTGGTCCCTGTGCCCTCAGCCGGACGCCACTCGGGAAGCTGAACTTCTTCTACAAGCGGCTCAGCTTTGCGCCCTACGCTATCACTATGAGGATTTCTTTATCTTACTATTGATCCTCGGCTCTACTTGAGCTCAGCCAAGGAAGAGGGCAACAAATCTTGGCTCTCTGTAGGCATCACCAACATGGCGCATGATTATCTCTTTCAAAATTGGTGGTGTAGGTTGTGGAACCCAGGCCAGACTGCTTGTCCTCTCTGCACCCGAGATTTACGAGCTCTTGATGCACCTTGATCCGATCTTTGGGATGAGCTAGCCCACATTCCGTCCAGGATCCGGTCCACGGATGAACTTTCGTCTGGTGGCCTGGACCTGGCGTCGTGGCAGTAGGCCAAGTTGGGAATTAGCCCAGCGGGCCCAGTCTTGTTTCTTTGACAACGTGTTTCAACCGGTAGAGAAGCAGCCTAAGCTCCTCGGCCACGCTTCGGGTCCGGCTGGCCCAAGCTACGGGCCTCGCGACCTGGCTCTCGGGAAAATCCCCTGACTAGTCTCGATCGGCCGGCACAGTGATAGTACTAGCAATGGTTACCTGTGCATCCCAAGGGTTTGGTCCGGTTTGGTTGCTCAATTCTGAGCCGTCCTACCTCAGGGAGCTTCCGAGCTACGGGCTCGCAGCATACCGTTATCCTCGTGCGACGCCATTGAACAGCCCTGACTATCCCCAGTATGTACTGCTTGTCCCAATGACAATTCTTGTCCCGGTGCCACATTGAAAGATGGGGACCACATAGGTGGGCGCTCAAAGCGCAGCTGGGATGGCTTCGCCCAAGTGCTGACCTTCGCCCATGTTGCTTCCCTCCTCTGCCACTCACTAGACTCTTCTGCCTCTAGTTGGCTTCCATGCGGTCGGGTCCCGCAGTAGCTCTACAGCACCGGCCGAAGAGGAAACAACTTAGCCGCAAGCCATGGCACTGGCCATGTGGGACTACACTCATCGTATCAGTAGCGTTGTTGATGTTGGACACGAGCAGGATGGGCCACATAGATCACCAGCAGCCGCATGGCCGCGATATATGCCAATGCATATATAAGAGTGTCTGTATTCCACGTCCTCAACAACATGGGAGACCGGACATCAAACTTCACTCTTTCTCTCGTTTATCAATCGTTTTACTTCCCTTCACTCCTGAGATACACCCACTCCAACACATTTGTTGAGACTGGACTTGTAACTCACGATGAGTTTACTCGGCAACATCTTCGGCACTATCAACGGGGTCGTCAACAGCGTCATCGGTGGAGCCCTCAGCTGGATATTCGGCGTCACGGCAGCTCTGTCGCAGTCCGCCACTAATGGAAAATCACTCTTTGGTACTTTGCAAGCGGTCTTGCTCCCACTCTTCTTGACCAATAATCCTTTACCTAATGGGTTTCCTTGGGGAACCAGGACACCAACAAATACCAGCCCGTATACGCAGTCTCCGAACACCGGCGTAATCCGCTCATACGATTTCACTATCAGTCGAGGTGTGATTGCGCCTGATGGCTACCAGAAACCTGTTCTGCTCGTCAACGGAGCCTTCCCTGGGCCTACAATTGAGGCCAATTGGGGGGATATTATTCAAGTCACCGTCCACAACAACATCCTCGACGACTCCACGGGCGCGGCCGAAGGAACAGCATTGCACTGGCATGGCTTCCTTCAGACCGCAACGCCTTGGGAGGACGGTGTGCCCGGAGTAGACCAATGCCCTATCGCCCCTGGAAAGAGCTATACCTACCAGTTCAAGGCTGAACTCTACGGAACTTCTTGGTATCATTCTCACTACAGGTCAGTATTGGCTCCCAACTCTTCTCTTACAAGAGACAACATATAGACATAGGAGCAAACGCTAATCTTTTCAACATATAGTGCTCAATACTCTGGTGGCGTTTTCGGTCCCATGGTTGTCTACGGGCCGAACCAGAAGAACTACGATATTGACGTTGGTCCGGTCTTGCTCTCCGACTGGTATCACCCCTCTTATCTGCAGCTGGTAAAGCAGACGATGACGCCTAACCAACCCCCGGTCTTCTCTGACAACAACTTGATCAACGGCAAGATGAACTTTGATTGCACCAAGGTTGCACAGGGAGACACTTCCAAGTGTACCAACAACGCTGGCATCAGCAAGTTCAAGTTCACTACTGGCAAGACACATCGCCTTCGCCTCATCAATGCTGGTTCCGAAGGTGTCCAGCGCTTCTCTATCGATGGCCACAACATGACCGTCATCGCCAACGACTTCGTGGAGGTTAACCCATACTCCACAAAGGTCGTCACTCTTGGAATTGGCCAGCGTGCTGATGTCCTGGTGACCGCCAACGCAGGCACATCCAAGTCAGCATTCTGGATCCGTTCCAACATCACTTCGTGCTCCCTGACGAATCAGCCCAACGCTGTCGCTGCGCTGTACTACGACCAAGCAGACACCACCAAGCAGCCAACCTCGCAGGCATGGAACATTCCTGACCCAGGAACCTGTGCCAACGATGACCTGAGCATCACGACCCCAATGTACAAGATGACACCCCCCACACCTTCTAACACACACACCTATGGTGTGCAGCTGTTCCAGAACGCGTCGGGTAACACCCTGTGGAAGTTTGACGGCGTCACCAGTCGAGTTGACTACAACGCCCCACCTCTGTTGATGGCCAACGCTGGCAACCTCACCTTCCCCCTTGAGGCGAATATCCGAAATGTTGGCACCAACTCGAGCGTGAGGATGATTGTCCAGAACGACACACCTGCCGCGTAAGTCTTTCTCGGTCCCATTCAGGACTTTGCTCTATCTACTTCCTTTTATGATTACCAAGGCTAACCTCAATCCACAGTCACCCTATCCATCTCCACGGCTATAACATGTACGTTCTGGCCGAGGGTGCAGGAACCTGGAACGGCGTCGTTGTAAATGCCGACAACCCTCAGCGCCGTGACGTTCAGCAGGTCCGCGCCAATGGGTACATCGTGGTGCAGTTCGACCCCGACCACGCAGGAGTCTGGCCTTTCCAGTGAGTACCACCCATCAGTGACATCAGTCTCTGGATTGCCCTTCAGCACAAGCGAACTCTTGACTGACAGTATCTCAGCTGCCACATTGCATGGCACGCGTCTGCCGGATTCTTCCTGCAATTCCTCGTCCAGCCGGACCAGGTCAAGAAGCTGCCCATCCCGCAGAAGGTCGCACAGACTTGCAGGGACTGGGCCGCGTTCACGGCCACAGACATCCCTGAGCAGATCGACAGCGGTGTATAAACTTTAAATTCTCTTCGCGGCTGTCTCTGGCCAGCTGAAAGTGTTCAAGTACATATTACACTTAAGCTTTATTCCATGTATTAAATCACGTTAGATTTTCTCTTGTACCATTTGTTTACAGAAACAGAGGCGTTGGGAAGCATCCGGTTTTTGGACCACGGAGGATGTCGGCTGGGCTAGCCTCCTTTGTATCATATAACTCAGGGCGCATATCTGGACGTGTTGTATCACATGATGTATCATTCTACAATAATCACATAATGTATTACTGTATTCATCAGGACAGACTGAGCGATTACTACACTTTTGAAGCTATGAACTGCGCTCCAGCGTTCGCATCGATCTGGTAGTTCGTATGCGGTGGAAGCACCAGTATACCGCCCTCGCAGATATTGTCTCCTTCATGGCAAATAATCTTGACCTTGGAACTGGGAATGGTTCCCACTGGGTCACCGTCGTCCGGGTCACCGTATATCAGGACTGCATTCCAGACACTCTATGGTTAGTGACCGGTCAAGGCGAGCGCGGGAAGACAGCAGAGACTCACCAGCAGCAACTTGATTTACAACTGCCTGGTTTGATGCCAGGAGGTTCGCGGCGTTGTGCACAAGCTGACCACCCTGGCTGTAGCCCGACAGCACAATCTTGGTGCTAGGGCACTGGGTGTTCGCCTATTGCGTCGGTCAGCACCAAAATGATGCTCTCTCGTGTGGGAAACCTCTCAACTGGGGCTTACCAAGGTGGCTAGGTCTGCCATGGTCTGGCTTCCCTTCGCGTCACCACCCGCCAAGAACCCGAAGATGTCGGCGGCATAGTCCACGCCCTGAACGGCTAGGTTGCTCGCGCCGATGATGGTTGACAAATTGTTCATCATCAAGGGGCCGACATCGCCAGCAGCGCCAATGTTGCCACTCTGTGTCGTCCCTCGGGCGTCTGCGGCATGTTAGACACGTGTGCCAAAATCCGAAGGCTCAGCCTCAAGAAGGTCGTTCACAAGCAATGAAACACCGTGAGAGCACCAGGCGTATACGTACAGATCAAGGTCACGGCACGGCAAGGTGTCCCGTCAGTAAGCTCGTTGGCCGTGCCAGCGTAGACGGCCGCGGCGAGGATTGCGTCTGAGGGAGCCTCGGTGGAGGTGAGCAGGTCCGGGTATGAGTCGAGCTCGTAAATAGGCACGCCTTCGGCAGGGACATCTGTGGCAGGTATGGCAGCCGAGACTGCCAGACCGACCGAGGCAAGGGCGGCGAGAACTGCTGAAGCCCTCATGTTGACTTAGACTTTTTTTGGACAGGACGGACAAGGGAAGTAATCCAACTGCCTGCAGAAGTCCTCGCGTCGCTCAGGCGCCAGGGAGTCAGTCGCTTGCTGAGCTTGGTGAGCTCAAACTGAAATATCGAAGGAAGTGGAGCCCTTTATGTGCTTGACCGTTCTCCCATCCACAGCGACCCGCCCCACATGCGGTAAAATCCTGAACACATCCAGATGCTAAGGAGAATCCCATGATCCTCTCCACAGCGGTAACTCACCGGCCCAGATCGGGCGCGCAGCTGGGTAGGGGGACCAAGGTGTGGTAGGGCAGTTCGCCTGCCCCTTTGGGCAGTGTCTCCAGGATAACCCGGTTTGCCATTGGGTGAGGCTTAAGATTGCCAAGGGGAAGTGCCAGACGAGATGTAACGGCGATGTTGGGGTTTTGTGACAGCCGCCCGGCTCCACTCGATCTGGTGATCTGCTCTTGTCAATAGTGGCTTGCCATGGCCGGACGACATTGCGGAGTTGGTAACATTGGATGCTGTTCCTGGTCGTCCTGCTTGGCCGATTACACACATGAGTGATCTCCTGCCGAGGTTCAATCGACGCGGAGATGATCGGCCGGGTCGAGCTTGATTAGGCAAAGGCAATACCTACATCTGCGCCTTTTTGTCGTAAGGCCCTTTGACTCGCCTGGAGTCACTAAACTGCAACTTGACCTGGTCCAGGTGCTGTGCCATGAATAGAATGATGCTCGCGGTGGTTTCAGGGAGCCGACTGCGCCGATCTGAACAGGGTGGGTGCGGTCACAGAATCTGTGGATCTCCCTGTCTGCTATGTACACATATGGTTCGCGCTGTAGGCAGTTCATCCTTAGTTGCGGTACCAAATGCCGAATCCTTCTGTAGCATCCTTCTGGAAGAAAGGTCGGTCAATGGTGTTCCTTGGCACAGTGAACTCAATTCCCCTCAACCGCCCGGACGTCACACCCACATTCGGATGCATAAGAGTAGTACGACACCCCGGATGTACGAGTGAGGTCGATTTTGAGTTGGCGGGTCATTGGGTTCCACTACAGCGGACCCACGTTCTGCTCTCGGTGGTAATGGCCCGTTCGATGTCCATTGAGCGTTGCAGTGGGCCTGGGGTGATGTCCGCACCTCGGTCTGCAGTGAAGCATTGGCCAATCCGAGCTGCAGACATCCTCATGACTGCAAGCCCAGAGGGACCCAACAGAGCCTGAGGTACTCTCAAAGACTCACGTGTGCTCTTGCTGACCTATGGACGACTCGATACACTCGCGCGAGTCCGATGCGCCGAGGTCCTTCCGGGATTGTTGCAGTAGCCTTTGGGGTTGAAGACCGAATGATAACAGTCGGGGTGATGGTTCCGTCTCGATGCTTGCCCGCCCACAAGCAGGAGGACACGGACTTCACACCGTGGAAGACAACACCGCGAAACTCGAGTTCTACCTCCCATGACGAACAACCTTCTTCCATCAAGTTGACACCTTTTGGAAACCTGACATACGTCTCCGAGGTTCGTTGCGGCAACACCCTCCAAACATGGGTGTTGAGAAAGCATGACAGCGAGCACTATGAGGCACGAGAAGTCTCTTCGCCTTGCGACGCTGGATCTGCTCTCTGTGCGGCCAACTTCCAGTATAAACAAAAAGATTAATGTCTCATCTTTGTGACGTCTTTCGCATTCAGCGCCGACTTACCACCTGAAGGTAATAGCATCTTCCCTACGGGGCCATGCCCCTAGGCCGTGGGTTGCCCAGACCCCAGATGATGATGATAATGTGATGCAAGGGCTCCAAACTTGTCGACGTCGAAAGGCCCAAAACACTTGCACAGAGGTACTCTTCATCCGAGATCCGAAAAATGCGGCGAGGCACACGATGACATCGATGGAGGACTCATGGCAGCCGTGGATTCTGTGCACACTTCTCAGTCTAGTTTGTATACTCTCAGGCACCACACCAAGAAGCTCTCCATCTGTGCCAATTCACTGTCGAGCCGAATTCGCGTCACTTTGGGTGTTCAGGTCCTCATGATCCTGTCCCTTACTGCCCGATCCACAACAAGGCGTAACATATATTCGCTCCATTCAACGATGTTGAATCATTCTGCATCCGCAACTCCTATTCTTCTCTGCTTGAGCCGCACCTTTGGCAATTCCTGTCGGATGCAGAGGACAAAGATCAAGACAATCCATCGTCAACGCATCCATACCCTCCGAGACTTCTATCGAACAAGAGCAGGCTTGGTGTGGGGTCGAGGTGTCGTCGAATGAGCGCCCCATTTGCGCAAAAGCCATTACGTCCTCATCGTGGAACTCTTCCGGAGCTCGGCTCGGGACAGCGTCTTTTATAACATCGCCTCTGCAGAAAGAGGTTCCAGAGTTAGCAGGAATGGGAGAGTTCCTTGGGCTTCAGGGAAGGGGTAACAATACTTGGAAGACCCAGCATGGGCAATGATCGATGGCCCAAGCACGCGTTCAGACTCGAACGAAGGCAGCCTGTCAGCCGGCTTCAAGGCCATGTATGGGTTCGCTTCAACGGTCCCGCGCACTCTTAGCTCGGCGCGATGGGCATCGTCGCGAGTCTTCTGCCGTCCTTGCTCTAGGATTTCGTGGTCTGATAGCGAGAAATATTCGGTAAAGACAGGCTGCACGCAAGGCCTATGAAGTGTCAGTCAGCCGTGGCCTGGGATGACTTCCCAGGGGCGACATGGAGGGTGGCAAGGAAGACCTTTCTGAGCCGCTGTTGGTGCGGCTGCCGCGTTGGGGGCCAGACGTCCCAGAATACCGTTCGCGTGGCATTTTGGTATGACAAAGATCAATGTACAGCCTGTAACAGGGTTCTCTTATTCCTGGATTTACTGCTGTTTATGGCCGGTGCTCGAAGTCGTCAGAGCATCACAAAGGACCAGCAGTGTGAGGTTGGAGTAAGTGATCAAGCGCAACTCGGGTAGATCTTTCAGTCTCCTTATATAACTCCGATGCAAAGCCAAGTCAGTACACAAAACCTGCCTACCAATTTTACTGATAGACGTTACAGAGAGATCCAGTGCAGAGCTAGGCGATTAACATCCCCTCAGACCGTACTCGACTTCGCTTGTCAGGCCCCCCAGGGTCAGGACTCGACCCCTGAAAGAAGCACAAGGCAGAATAAGGCACAAGGCAACCGGGCATTCCATCGTTCGCAATCGAAGGATATTACAAATTGGGAAAGGTTCACACAACGAACGCGTAGTTGACGTGGCAACAGCTGGAGGCTCCGCTCTGCCCTCACTGTCTGAAGATCTTCGACGCGGCCTCGAATTCGCAGACCGCTCTCAAAGAAGTACATGGTGAGTGTGCGGGTTTGAGAAGGGGACTCTCTGAAATATTCACGCTTTGGGTTTCTTGTTGTCGGTTGCGACATCCACAAATTTGGAGTGCCGCCCCTGCGACGACAGGAGGGTTGTGTTGGCTGCATCCTGCTACTACCTTGGGACAGATGGCATTGGCTAACAGAAGCCTTAGGCCATTGAGTGAGAGGTAAGCTGTCACAAAATGCAAGAAAATGCCGGCAGTGCGCCACATGATCTCTGGGGGTTTTCTCTAGCAGATCTTGTAACGCCATGCCACGGCGGTACGCCTCCTGAGGAAACACACAAAGAACAAGGTAGATCTCTGCAACGGTCTGCCTTATGCTCTAACCAGATTTAAATTAGCGACGGTAAACGAGATGTGGAAGCTTCTAGAGCTTGTTTCATTCACCCAGGCTCAGAGGAATTCTATCACACCATGGAAGGGCTGCAGAGGAGGGGAGGGCTCATTCAAGGCAGACCAGGCCATTGCCGAGTGGAAGGACACCCCAGTCATCCACAGCCTTATTTTCAATGTGGTTTAGGCTTTGCACCTTTTTCTGAAAGCCCTGCTTCGACGCGAAGATGGATTTTTCACTGTAATCTCGAGAAATAAGACGGGTCTAATTTGAGGATCAACGATCTGTGACCGCGTCAATTTCCGGAAGACTGTTTCATCATCCGCACGACAAGCTTCTGATGGGGCTGCTGAGCAGGCTCACATTCTCCTGCCCATTCACTGAACAATCTGTCGGTTGGTGCTCACCGCAGCTGATGGCGTGCATTTCCGCCCCCATCTGCTGTAGATCCCAGCAACGTTGATTGGGACCGTCAGGGCACGACGCAGAGGAGTCCACACCACCACCGGGCAGTTGGCCCCCAAACAAAACAGGGAAATCAGGTATAAATATCTAAAGCTCACCGCCGTTTGGGCGCGTTTCAGTTATTTGCCTGCCAATCTCTTAGTTCACCAGCAGCTATCACCAATCTGCTTTATCCCGCCAGCGAGGTGGGCGAGCGGCGACCAGCATTGTGACAACAATTCCCTGTCCGTCGCTCTTAATTTCCGCCGACTCACCGGAGACATGTCATATCTATCCATATTCCCCCAACCAGACTACGACCTGAGCCCCGATGCTGGCAACAAATGCGGCCCGGGCCTTGTTGACAGGTGGGTCCCCGGATATTGCTGCCGGGAGCCGCACTAGGGGTGAGGGTGGAGGAAGAACATTGAATTAATCTTCTGTACTTGTGGTCGAATCATTGTCTTCGCACCTGTTTACCCTGTGACATTTTCTCTGTCGAGGGTGGGCCGAAAGCCGGCTGGACGTCTTGACGGCTGTAGTGGCACCAGACACGAGACTTGTATGACTGCAAAGCGCCCTCGCGGGCAACCTGGTGGAGCTTGAAGGTGATAAGATGCTTTCCCAACGCGTCAACGCAGACTGTGGAGCACCCGATCAGTTAGACACGAACGCCTCGATCTCGTGAACGATGCCCCACGGGTTGGCGCGCCAACGTGTACTTATTCTTCGGTTTCAATGTAGCCGATTAGGGCCGGAAGACGCTAAAAATACGAGAATCTGACATTCTAAAAATTCAACTTACGACATAAGTTAGCATGCCATGATTGCAAATTTGCAACGCTTCAATGTTTTGGGGGGACAGGCGCCTCTGCGTTGACTTGACAATGCCCGCGACTACACATGCCATCAGTGTAGAATACCCATGGACAAATACGTACTTATACGAGTCAACATGCATGCACGGTAACAAAGCACACGAAACTTTTGCATAACATGCAGTTGCTGTGATGGTATCTTGTTGCTGGTGCCCAGAGTTTCTCAATAGCGCGTCGCTGAGAAGCGCGTCCGGGCGCGGTCGTTGCGGCTGAGGATCCCCACAATAGCACAGCACGGTTTTGGAAACTTCGCGTGGGACCTACAATAGGAGAGGGGATCAAGAAAGACCGACTTCAATGTTACTGCCCAGCTCCCTCTCCGGAGGTCTCTTTTCCTATTTTCTCAGGCGATGATGAGCTTTTGACATTGGAGAGGTCGTCTCACAGGGATAGGTTATGCCTCAGATATGGTACCCTAGTTCCACTGCCGTTCAATCACTGAGCCAGGGTCAGAGATCCCGAAGACCCACACCAGCTGTGATTCGTGCATCTATACGCATAGAGAAGGTCTCAAGAATCATTTCATTCCACAGCGACGAGAAATAGGTCTGGTCACTTCTGAAGCCCAAACTTGCGACAACAGCTTAGCATGACAGAATCGTCTTTCTACCTTACATGTATGGGCAAGAGATATGCCGCTGCCGTCCTCTCGCGTGGCGTGGTGTGGTACTGGCTGACTGACTGTAGGATGCATGCGCCTGAGCTAACTAGAAATAGTGAGGGCTGGGCACCCCTGCAAGAATGGTACATTGCGGCTGAGCATTCTCGCAGACTGCTGTTTCTTTCCATCTTACTGTATCATGACACTTCACCGCATCTAAGCCGGCTTCGTTGAGCCGCTTCTCAGAAAAGCGCAATGCGGCTGCTCAATACAATCACATTAGAGTTCAGAGAGTTTTACGGGCCCGAAACCGTCAGGTACGCTATCTTAAGCCATACCTGGGCCGAGGACGAGGAGATCAGCTACCGGGATTTCCTTGACCTGAACCCAGCATGGACCACCAAGTCTGGCTTCAAGAAGGTACAAGGGGCTTGCACGATAGCCCGAGAAGACGGTGTAGAGTGGATATGGATTGACACCAACTGCATCGACAAAACTAGCTCGGCAGAATTGAGCGAAGCCATCAATTCCATGTACGCATGGTATCGCGCGGCAACCGTGTGCTATGCCTACTTATCAGACGTGCCCGACATCAAGCCTTCAGAGCGCGATTCACTCCGACGTTTCCGCAGCAGTCGGTGGTTCACTCGTGGATGGACTCTACAAGAGCTAATCGCTCCACGGGCAGTCATATTCTACTCCAAGTCCTGGAAGAAGATCGGGCACAGGTCTGACAAGTTTTTGCTCGGTACAATCTCTGGGATAACTGGGGTGCCTACATCAATTCTAACCGGGAAGGACAAATTACACCAAATCAGTCTTGCGAAGAAGATGTCGTGGGCTGCGCGGCGGGTAACAACACGCGTCGAGGACATGGCCTATTGTCTTCTTGGGATCTTCGATGTCAATATGCCCCTTCTGTATGGAGAGGGCGCCAAAGCTTTTACCAGACTGCAGGAAGAGATTATCAAAACATCCAACGACCACACGATATTCTGCTGGACTCGCGATAAGAGAGCAAACGTGCCCTCAGACTGGACGAGCATGCTGGCCCCGTCACCGCTGGCTTTTGCCGAGTCCGGAGACTTCATACCTATTGATGCATGGGAGAACCCCTTGCCGTATCCCATGACGAATCTTGGTCTTTCGATCCACCTTCCACTTATATATACATTGACGCAGATATTTGTCGTTCTCGATGCGGGACTGTCCAACGGAATAGGTGATACAAGGGCTTGTATCGCCATGCAGCGTGCGACACAGAGAAGGACAGCAACAAACATATTACACAGATCTAGGTTCTTCGAGTCTCCAACGATGCTCTCCGCAGATGCGACGGACAGGCGGGAAGGCCATGACTTAGTGATTCGGTCCAGGCACGTCCCTCACATTGATGTCGATTTGCCATTTCTGAACCTGCCCAAGCGCCGCTTCAAACATGGTATAATGCTTTTTGTCCACCCTACGGCTCGACAGCTTCTTTATCCTGGAAGACACGGAATGCCATTGGGGTCAATGGGCTACGATATAGAAAGTCATCCTCCAGGAGTGTTTGACGCTAACACGGCCATTTTGAGACTTCCGGCTTTTGATGGTGGCAGCGCCCTTTTGACGTCCGGGTTGTTACGTATATACTTCAAGTCGCCTCAAGACCATGACTTGTACCTGTTCTTTAGTGTTGTTTCTACGCTAGGTGGGAAAGAAGTTTGGCGCTGCAATGTCCACTTTGTGGACGAAATGCATGATTTTCTCATATACGCGATGGAACAAACCGAGAGACAAAAGCGTGGAGAACGAGGTGTTACCGCAGAAGAGGTCCATCAGTATCTGCGGTTGGAGGCTTGGATGGATGGGAGCGAGGAGTTGCAAGCTCACACTCCTGACGAATCACTCTATGTCTCGGTTGGCGGGCAGCTGCCCAGCGAAGGGGGAACTGACCTCAGAGCTGCCTTACTCTCTGGGTCCGAGGACTCGCCACACCCAAGGCCGCTCTTTGAAGACGGAGACGTGGCTGACGAGAGTGATGAAGATTTTGTCGAAGTTGAGGAAGACGACAGTCAGGACAACACGTGCGATGATGAAGATGCAGACGAGAGCTCTATGAGTTCTTTTTTTGTATCATCTGGCACGTCAAGGGTTGACACACTAGATCATTCTCAATGAAGGTGCGCGTGCTTCCAGATGTTCTTCCTCCACCGTTCCCTTTCAAATATCTATACAAAAGAGCGATGGCCGATCCCCTAAGCGTCGGTATAAGAACAATACAGCGAAATGGAATAGCATGATTTAGCAGTCGCCAAACCTAGTCAGATCTACTAGAGAGTCGCACATAGATAAGGGCAAGAAGAAGGAGCTTCTCAGTAAGGCGGCCGCCGAGTGGGAGGAGTAAGTTTGCTATGCGGGTGAGGGCCGCGAGTTCCTGTGCATGTAGAGTTTTACAAGCGGAATGCTGCTCAAGAGGAAGGGCGTTGAAAAGCTATCTATCTTCACGAGCCCCATTTTTTAGCACGCGTTCCCAAGTTAAGTGCTTCAGGTACGAAACAAGGCTAAAGTTAAGGATGTTGCGCTTTGCCTCTACGAAAAAAAAGCGTTGTGAATAAGCAACGCTATTAGAAAAAACAAGATTAATATTTGAATCATTAGTAGCATCAAATAGGTTAATACATACTGTAAAGCTTTAGATAAAGCCGCTAAGATTATCAAGTTTATAATTTAAAGAAGAGGTTCATTAATATATTTTATTAAGAATGTAATATTACATGAGCTTACAAATTTTAATAGAGTTTTAATTGCAATTACTTTCACGGTTAGAAAACCAAACAATATTGTGCATATTGTACGAGTGATCTTGAAAACCATCCAAACTATATCAAGAATTTCACAAGGCGTTTATTGAATGCGAGATGCATTGGAAAAAATATCAGAAAGAAACCCATTCACCAAAAATTGTTTTCTTTTCATGTCTTCATGCAGAACTTGGCGGTCGATGGCGTCCCCGAACACTACAGATATAGCCTTCACCGCAATCTTCTGAGTTTTTCACAGCAGTTTGCGCATTGTGGTCACAATTGAGAGTCCAACACTCCCATTCACGCACTTCCGCCTATTCGTTCCAACACATTCTATTTTCCTCTGCCGTCCCAAGCATGACACAGTAGCAGCCAACACTCGAGGTATTTTTCCAAGTTATTCATTTGTAAAGTGTGTGCAAGCCCCAGTCAGCACGCTTGGTCACTGTTACTAATGCTCCTCCAGAGTAGCTCGTATTCCCAACCAGGCCTTTCAGCTACACCATGTCGAATTGCCTTTGAACATGAATGCCGCTCGGGTCTGTCTGTGGCCCTGTCTGGCTTGGGTAATTTGTGAAGGCATATGCTTCTGTGTGGTTGTAGTAGCTTGGTTGTGGATGAACAAGGTCTTTATCAATCGATTTGTCGTCCCTGGACTGCTCGAAGCTGTCGTAGGGGCCGTCCATCTCATTTAGATTGCCTCCACTTTCTTTGCTTGACCGCTTCATCAGATACGCTGTTGCTCGTTCTCGTGAGGTCCGGCCCAGCGCCGCGGCGCTAGCCAGCTTTGAAGTGAGCCGAGTCCAGAAATGAGGCGTACGGCCAGGCAAAAGGGAATTAAAGACGGGAAGACAGCAACAAAGCAAAGAAACAAACATTTGTACGGCACTCCAAATGGCGAGCATGCTGAAAGAGTCTGCATTTTAACACATGGAGTCAGCCAAGCTACTGATTGGGACGACAAATGTTTGAGTTGTCAGCGGAGACTCACATAACTCGCTTGTGGAATAAGTGATGGCAATTTTAATAAACCCTATCACGCCAACACTTGACAATGGTCAACAGATTGCACATGAAACTGAAGGGAACAAGCACTTACAGCGAACCGATGCCAAAAAGAAACCTCAATCTCCACTTTGTAGCAGGGCGCATTTGGCGAGGTCGAATCATGACCATCACCAGTGCCACCATTGCGAATCTATGAGCGAGTTTGGCAACTCGCCTCCGACTATGACAGTCCCTTCATCCGTGCAGGTACCTCGTAAGTTGGCGTCGAAATATTTGGCAATGGGTCGGCATTGGAGGGCCTGAAAGATACAGGCGCACAACACCAAAACTGTTTGGGCACCTCCAATGACGTAAATCCAGATTCGATAGGGTCTATTGACGCCGAATATTCGATAACAGAGACCAAGGACACTGAACTTGACAAAAAGCGTGTGGAAAAAGTAGAAGTAGAGAGAAGCCATATCCCACTAGCACTGGTGAGTCAACCAATAGCAGAGTATCAATAGAGGCACATACTTGACGCATGCGCTTGTAATCGGAGAGACTTTCATCAAGCTCGACTGCAATTGGACGCCCATTAAGAATAGAAATGGCTATTTGCGGCGCAAAAGTCAGTCCCATTGACAATATCAGAGCTAACGGGAACAGGACTTACCCATCAAGTTGGTGAAGTCAACAAGAACAAAAAAGAAAGTCGCCAATGCAGCCACTTTATCAAAAATTAGTGTCTCTCAAAATAATATTTTCAAAGCTACAACCATTCAAACTTCTTGCGACTATGACATTTCGTTTTGATGAGATTCAGTTCAAAGGTTCAGCCACTTACTCCAGTCCTCGAAGCCCGCCTTCCGTCTTGCACGTTTGGTTGCATAAAAACGAAGCAAAGTCACTGTGATGCCAAGAGGAGTAAATATGATGGCAACAATAAAATGTGCCAGCTGCGTAGAGCTTTTCCATAATTCGAATGCCATGTTAGCATTTGGCTCTCCACTGAAAGATGGGTATCGGCTGCACGAGTTTGGATGGATGAGTCTTCTCTCTCGAGACACAGGCAGGGCTGCTGAGAATCTCGTCGTCGAAAGGAGACTAATAAGAGCTCCAATGATGGGACTCAAGTAGGTCACAAATCGACAAATAGAGTGCCGATGTGCAAGAGTGTGTGCATCAGTGCCGCAAACAGGACCAGGAACTATAATTGATGATCCTATTGAAAGTTGATGAGGAGATGCCAGTAATGAGACGATAAGATGAAGTTTACAGACCAGAATAAAACATAATTGACTGGTCGATGGCCCCCAATAGCACGCTAATCGTGCGGCGCAGCCGCAAGCGCCTACTACTCTGTGCACATGCAACGTCCCTATCAGTTGGTCACCGGAACAGACGTCATGACATGGCTTCCCTGGGAATTCTCAAAATAGTGGCTTTTTGATAAGTAGGTACTGGCGTGAAGGTCTGCCCCCAAGTTCGTCCGAGCTACACCTCTGGACCTAATCAAGTTCCGTCTGGGCGTGGCACGTTCTGCAACGGCAACAGGACAGAGCCTGTGGGCTAGCAATCCCGCAACGCCGAGACGAAGTTGACATTGGAGGTTGGCTTCTCGAACATGCCCCAACTCTTCAGATCCCTGTCAAGATCAATCTTCTGCCCGGAAACCAGCTGCAAATCAAATGCACACAGTAGCTTTCCAGAGAACAATCTGCCCTCCCACTATGCGATCTCCTTGCCTGTGCACATACGTAGCCCCTGGCTAAACGGCAGGAAATCTGACAAACATCGTTATCATATTTTGGATCGTAGCGAGGATGCTCTGCCGATAACCAGCGCTCAGGTCGGAAACTTAGCGGATGGTGGAAGTCACGGGGGCTGCGTTACATTGCAAACGAGCTATTGACAGACCACGCCAGCTGTCAACAATGGCCCCGGGACTGACGACCCCTTTCAACAGGCTGTCAGATATGGCAACTCTGCAGCTCGGCTGGCCGTGATCTCGTTGTAGCCAGGGAAGGCAGCCCTGATTTCCTGGATCAAGGTCTCCAGGGTAGCAGGTGTGTCCAGCAAATAGTAAAGTGTGGTGTAGAGCCTTCAAGTTTGTAAATCAATTAATACTCACACAAGTAGAATATGACTCGCGAGACATAACTCAAGGGTGTTGTCTCGAAATCAGTGCAGCCCGACTTCTCTAGCCTCAGGAAGTCGCCCAATGAGCAATGCATTTTATTTTCGTAATGGACCTACCGCGGAGCTGGAGCTTCATAACCTGCGGCGAGAAGCTGGCCTGAAACTTGTTCAAGGTGGTGCATCTCCTTGGGGTCTTTAGGCGGCTCCCGATCCTCTGGAATAAGCTGTTCGAAGAAGTCGAGGTTTTCAACTGCACCTTGTCGTCTGATACACGTTTCAAGCTGCTGACGGCTGTGATCTCTAGTACGAGAGGTTTCATTTTAGTGAACAGCATGGAGTATTTAAAAGGGCTGAAGAGGGGAAAACACGAGGACATTTGAAGCAAGGCCATGATTTTGCTGAATCCGGCTAATAGATCGAGGTATGGCGGATTTCTCACTAAGAACCACTTTGTCAGTATTCTGTGGCCTGTAAAGTTTCGAGGAATTCAGAATCTAAGAGAAACTTGCTGTCTTCGAGGGCGTTCAACTCCCGATTGTATGCAGTGTCAGCAGAGGTATCCACACACAACCAATCAGTCCACATGGGCAGACTGACACCTCCAGGCCCTCCACCGAACCTCCGAATACGCTCAACGAAAAGATCGACGTTTTTGTGAAGGCCCGATTCTTTGGTCAGAAGAGCCCGGCAACTAAAGACTGGAGACAACTGCTTGGCTACCTCCCTTCAAATATAAACAACCAATGATAATCAATTTCAACGTAATAAGCTTCTTAAAGACTTTCAAAAACCAGGTGGAAAGCCCCTTCGGGCCCCTGGGAGCTATTCGTCTTGATTTCCCTGCTGGGAGGTCACAATACCTGGCAGTTTATTCAGCACCCAGACCAGGCCCAAGGACCAGTCTGTCGTGAGAATTTCAATCAATCAGCGGTGAAATTAATTGATGCCATGTCAAAATCCCGTTCAGAGACTATTCTAGACGAATAGACGTATAGCATATTCACATTTGAATGCAACTAAAGTTTCACCACCTTAGTTGAGACAATGCTAAAGTCCTTGTATTTTCGCGAACAGCTTTTCTGGTTGTATTCACATGGGAATGACGGGCTTGAGCTTCTGCATGAGGCCTACCACGAAGATGGCAAACCAATGGCGCGGTTGGGAGCTCCTGCATGAGGCCGACAAGAAGTTGAACCAACAACCAACAGCACCCCTGACATCGCTGCGGGCACTGCCAAGGAGCAAGGCTTTTTGATATCGAAGAGGATCGGGCCTATGAAAATCAGCCTCGTTGCCTTCATCTTCCAGAAGTAGATTTTAAGAACCGAGCTCATTCTTTGGGCAGCAGTATCACGGCAAGTCTACTTAAATCTAGAGATAACCCGCCGTTCTATTCCTTGATGCTATTCTCTTTCTCTGTTCAACAAGCTGTTTTTGAGTACTTACCAATCTCACTCACATCTTTGTCTATCCCCCCCATCCCCAAGAACTTCCTTGAAATGGGCAGCACCACCAAAAGAGACTACCTAGTCGAAGGTCTCGGCAACCAAGCACTCTTAGACAAGATCGACAAACTGAGAGAGCTCAATGTCGGCTGCATCGTCTCTCTTCCCCAGCTTATTGTCGTTGGAGACCAGTCTTCAGGGAAAAGCTCGGTTCTTGAGAGCCTCACCGGTTTCTCGTTCCCTCGAGCGGCTGGTCTTTGCACGAGATATGCAACGCAGATTGCCTGTCGGCGGGAGCCCAAGAACAGTGTTTTGATAAGTATTATTCCGCGTCCGGATGCCGATGACATCGTCAAGCAAAGACTGCGGAAGTTCCGCCGCTGTCTTGATGAGATGAACCCACAGGATCTTGCAGACATCTTCGCGGAAGCCAACCATGCTATGGGCATACGATCAAGTGCTGGCGATGCCAGTGGCGAAGATGATGGCTTAGTAACCTTCAGCGAAGATGTCTTGAGTATTGAGATCAATGGTCCGGATCAGCCAGGCCTTACAGTTATCGACGTCCCTGGTATCTTTCGAGCAGCAACTCGAGGTCTGACCACTGAGAGCGATATCACATTAGTAACTTCAATGGTCAAACGCTACATGAAAGATGCTAGGACGATAATCTTGGCTGTCATCCCCTGCAATGTGGACATCGCCACCCAGGAGATTCTCAGGCTTGCTAAGGATGCCGACCCCTACGGGTGGAGGACAATGGGGGTCCTGACCAAGCCCGATCTTGCCCCAGAAAGAGCGATGCAGCAGAATATACTGGAACTCATTCAAGGAAAGCGCCAGGACCTCAAGCTGGGGTATTGCCTTGTCAAAAACCGTGGGGCCGACGATTACAGTTCTTCACTGCAGAGACGAGACGACGATGAAAGGGCTTTCTTCCGAGATGATCCTTGGCTGTCGGTTGCATCTTCAAAGAGACTGGGAAGTGGTGCACTCAAGTTAATTCTACGAGACCTCCTCATGGACATTTCGAAAAAGGAGTTTCCCGCAGTCAAGAAAGGTAAGCTGGCTCGACCCCGTCTCAGGTGCCGCGGTTACTGAATCTCGTCTCAATAGAGATCACTAAGAACCTTTCCGAGTGCCGCAAAAAGGCGGAAGCCATGGGTGTATCAAGGAGCAATGAGCAGTCTCAAAGAGCTTATCTAGGAAAGCTTGCAGCCGACTTTGAGAAAGTTGTTGGCTACTCGCTCAACGCTTTCTACACTGAGAACCCCATCTTCAACGACCGGCTGGAAATGAGACTCATCACAAGAATCATTAGGCTGAACGAGGTTTTCTCTGAGGTTTTCTCTCAGAGGGGCCATACCCGACGTTTCGAGGACTCCTATATCAAAGATGTTCGGGGCAAGCAGCCACAAACTCAGCTGCCAGAGGTCGAATTTGACATACCCAGTGACACAGACCAGGACCTAGAGGACATTATCCGTACCGAGCGCTTCGAGTGTCCGGAGCCGTCGGATGAATCCATCATGGAGCACATTGAGGACATCTTCCGGAAGAGCCGCGGGCCTGAGCTGGGCACGGTAAGTGGACAAATCAATTTTGACGTTAATTGGGTGCTGATAATTCGCAGTTTGGGGGCGCTTTGCTGGGTACCACTTTCAAGGAGCAATCCAGGCGTTGGGAGGATCTTGTCATGTCCCATATTAGTGATGCGATCGCACTGGTGCACCATTTCATTCGCGAGTTACTCGCCCACGTGTGTGTCGACAAGCAGGTTATGGCGCAACTATGGGACAATGTCCTCCTGGAGAAGCTGCAAGCGTCTTACAAGCGCAGCATGCAGCATGCCAGCTTCCTCTTGCACGTGGAGCGCGAGGGAAAGCCCACCACCTACAACCACTACTTCAACTCTGAGCTGCAGAAAGGCCAAGGCAAACGTCTCCAGAAATCTCTGCGCAGCCTGGCCATCAGCAGTGCAGACTCTGAAGAACCCGTGATCAGGCTGGCGTCGCTCAGCAGCTTCAACACCACCAGGTCTAACCCGGAGCAAGTGCGCGAATACCTACACGACATACTGGAAAGCTACTACAAGGTCTCCGTGAAGCGTTTCGTCGATGTCATTTGCCAGCAGGTGATCGACCACTTTCTGCTCAATGGCGAGAGCAGCCCACTCCATGTCTTCAGTACGGAGCTTGTCTTCGACCTCAGCGCTGATGTGCTGGAGATGGTCGCAGGCGAAGATCATGCTACAAGACAGGAGAGAGAACGGTTAAGAAGGGATATAGATGGTCTGGAGAAAGCAATGCTAGTTCTGCGTGGATGAGTGCTCATGAGGAAAATTCGTCCATCCTAAGGGATACATCAGGACGATATTGGTCGATTTCCCTTTGATACGAGGTTCGATAGTCTGCGTGTGAAGTTGAATTTTTGGAGTTATCGAAATTTCTGATGAATACAGAGTTCTATCCTTTCATAAGAATGTAGTTTTCTATTATGGGCTTATTCAAGGTTGAGGTTGACAATACACTCGGCAAACTCTTGCCTATCTTTCACATTCAACTTGCTTCGTGGTTCCTAGAAACCTCTAGTTGTAGGATATTTCAAATGGAAATTTACAACTGGATCCATGAACACCTAACTAATATAAAAAGTTGTGTAAATAGAGAGCAGCCCGCGTTACAATCGACTGGCCAAGGCGCCACGCACCTCTCGCAATTCCAATGAATCGCTGCAAAGTGTTGGCGTATATCCACAGAGAGAGGATAAAATAAGGGTAAAAGCAGGCTAGTATAAGCCGGAACCATTGTTTATCGACCAACCGGGTCACGTCCGACCCCCTCAAGTTGTCTGGGTTTCGTCTGAGGTCCTGTGAGAGCACGGAAGTGCCAGTTAAATTGAAGCGGTGTTCCCAAGCTCTGGTAATTCTCGAGTACAGAAAAGGTGTGACGGCTCCCCTCATGTCTATGATTCTATTCGGATCCAATTGAGCACCAGTCTCGATAGCCAAGACCAACAAATCCGTGATCTGCGTGTCAGTAAGGAGCTCTTGGTGGGGATACAGTAACGAATCGAGCAGAAAATCCCAGACTTGCGGAGCTGAGGAGGAATATACATCACCACCAAATTCAATGAGAGCTTTTATAACTTGAAACCTGGCGTCCTGATCTGTCGGCTGTCGTGTCGTGTGCAACATGTCGAGCATGCCAAGCGATTTTGGGTAGTCGTTGTCACGGTGAATATCGGGCAATGTATGGATTGTCTCAGTAGCTTTGTCCAACACAGCCATGGTGGAGCCATATATATCGCTTCCGTACTTCCGATGCTGAAAATGAAGATGGATGATGCAGATGAGGAGAAGGGAAGCGCCGCACGCGGTGTACTGAAGGTCCTTCAGGTCGGCAAAGTACTTCATGAGCCCGAATCTAAGAACCAGCACATGAAAGGGATCTGGATTGGGCCCTGGGTCAAGGACCATCCGGTAAGGTACGCCTGGTACTCCAATCACCAGCTCATCGAGCCAAGCCATGACGCCACCTTGTAACCTCTTAATTTCCTGAAGAGTAGCAGCGAGTTCGCCCAAGACGGCATTTTCGACAACATTCGCTTGCTTTTCTGCCCTGTATGCATAGGCAAGGGCATCCAGAACAATGTTCGGAACGTCTTTTCTCTCTCCCCAATTTCCCCAAGTCTTAGGTTGTCGCTGCGCCTTCACTGCTTTGATCCCGGCAACGTAAGCTCGCAGGATCGACGAGTAAGGCTCGAAGCCTGCCGCGCTCTCTTCCAGAAGAATGGCCATCTGTCGAGTTCGAAGGAAATCCCTCGCAGTGCGGTGGATAAATTCTACCCGTGGCTGAAGACATTGTTCTCCGTATAGCGGATCTTCACTAATAACAATCTCCAATAGACCTTTACATCGTGCTTCTAGTAGCCGGGGTATTTTCCCAATTCTTCTCTCAAGTGCCTCATCATCAAAGCGTTGTCTAGGCAGGCGCAAAGCATATTGCTCGTCCTCTTTCTCGTCATCCAAGAATGAGTACAGTAGGGTCGGCAACGGGTTGAGGGCGTGCAAAGCGACTTGGAAAGCCCTCGCAGTATGAGGAAGGTAGAGACGGTCGATAGATGCCATCATGCGGGAGAAGAACTCTTCGAGGTCGGGAGGAAAGTCTCGGACCCGTTGTTGCAAGACCTCAACTGTGTCTCCGTTACTGAGTCCTTCACGAAGTTGTTTCACAACGAGATAGACCCAAAGAAAAACACCTTGAGCCTTTTGAAGAATTGTTCCCACGATCTGTTTCTGTACCTCATGTGTGAGTTCTTCCCAGAGATGATGCTGCCCTAACTTATCTTGTGCATAGGCAACGAGGTCGTTGTGGGCCAGATCCTGTACCGAAATCTTGCGGGTGGGAACATTCCCGAATGCATCGGCGAACACGTTCCATGGCCGGCTAGATACGCAAACTTTGATGCTCTCTGATAGAACGAGTTCTTCAAGTGTCTTGACCATATCGAGATGGTCGCCTTTGTACTCGTCTAAACCGTCGATGAAAAAGCAGAACTTTGTGTCATCGTCACGATAGTCTTTTAGCCGAGAGATAATATTTCTTAAGGAGCGTCGAGACCATATTTGGTCGTATTCCTGTTCGGATGGGTTAGTCCCTCCAGCCTGCTCCCAGAGACTGGGGTACAGACTCTCCACCAACTGCGGCCGCTCTCTGAGTATTTCATACAACAGTGAGCGGAATAGTCCCTCTTGAGACGTCTGGACCGTGGCACCAGAGATCCAGAAGAAGTGTGACGCAGTCACGCATGACTTTCTTCCAGCCCAACTCGCTAGCGCTTCTCTGGTTCTAGGGTCTTCAACGATGAATTTCATGAGCGTTGACTTGCCCGATCCTGGTTTTCCAGACACCCAAAAGATTCCAACGTCGTTTTCGAGCCAGGTCAAAATTTTGCCGTGTGCATGCCCCGACGAAAATACCCATTCGAAGGTCCGTATATGTGCATCTTGAATGGCTTCGTACCGGAACTTTCTGGCTTGGTAATTGAGGGATTTGATGACTTCTTGTTCCCTCCGGATCTTATGGCCGTCTTCACGTATCTTAGGTAGTATGGCACCAATTCGTGCGATATTCTCTGGGTCCCACAAAGAGGTCGAGGCTGTCTGCTTGATTGTGTCGACGAAAGAAAAGACGATCTCAAGCCTCTCCTTCTGATTGAGGTGCCAAGACTCGCAAGTCCTCTGCAAAACACGGAGTTCCTTCAGGACATCGCTCTGTTGGTTGCTGGGAAATGTCAACACCAAAAACAATTCCACGAGTCAAGCCATTTCAACATAGACTACCTTGTCATGTATATGAGATAATACGAAAGATCTCGGCTATGGCGTTGCAGCTTCTGGTTGAGTTCTTCGACTTTTCCCTTGCCGCGGTATTGAACAAGAGCCTTGCGAACACTTCTCAGTTTACCAGTACGTTTCCCATTTTCTGCCGATTCCATTCCATTCAAGATTCGTGCCATTTCCTTCGACGTGTCAAGGCAAGAGTCGGCAAGCCTTCGCAGGCTTTCATCGCCTGTGATCTTGGTTTTAGACTGGATGGCTAGGGTGACTTCTTCCGATCTCTTGCAGGCGTCCTGGATGCCCTCAAAGCCTTTGCTGAGCCCATTCGCCGAATGGTAGATCTCGTGAGCGTCGCTGAGAAGCTCGCTACCAAAATCGATGAAAGATATGACAGCGGAAGCTAAGCTTATTGCCGATAATGGATCCATCATTATTTGACAGGCAGGGTCGAGAATTTCAATAGTGCATGAGAAGTTGATTTGAATTGGCAGCACACGGTTTTCAGGCGGGGCTCACTACCTACCAACCCATATATGGGCGTTCGCCATGCTTGTGTGTGGTGACACAGCCACCCAATTCATTCTTCAGCTATCGCAGAGTTGCATGCACCTCTCGCTAGCCGTCCATTGGCACCAGAGACTGCAGCCTGCTCACCCAAAAACAAGTGAGCCAACCATGAGACAACAAAACGGGAATTGGACTGAAACTTACATATAGTGACGTTACCTATCACACAGCCACACAGCACTAGGTGCTGATTGGCTTGCTGGTGTTAAGTACAATTTTATTTCATTTCTCACACGCTGTACATGTCACTGACGCGGTGGTCCTAACGGCCAGGACCTTACAAGTGACATTCTTGGCAGCAAGACGATGAGCAAGAGCACTTGGTGCTTCGACTCGCACGCTGTTGTAGAAGAAAGAACGCGGGAGTCTTCTGATACCACGATCCATAAGAGGCTATGCTGAGAAGTAGCAACACGTTGATCAATGCGCGGTCCTAAGGCTCTGAAGTAATGTATTTGATAATAGAAACTGCTTGTTGACGATATGTTCTGAATAGTGTTTGATAGAAAAAAGAATGAAGCGGAGAGCTTTGGCTATTTGAGTACCCTTTTGCAGCGGCCGCAACCTTCAAGCCGAATAAGCCTGTCCATACAGAGCTGTGTGGTGAAGGAGTCTAATCTACCTCTAGCAGATATGCTGTGAAAGTAGTGGTCTGCTCGTAAGAGAATGGATACCTAGCAAGAGTTGGATAATCCTCATGGTCTAGTCACGCCAGGATGTTGAAATCGAGTCAAGCTGTAACAGTTCAGCCTGTCAAACAGACTCTTAAGCACGCATGATATGTTGACTCTGCCGAGGGCTCCATGACCAGGGTTGAAGAATAGCGGAAAACCGCTCTTAATGAAGGACTGACCGCAGCTTGTTCCTATGCCCCCAGACCTGTATGGAAATCCATCGTCATTAAATTCCGCCGCCCTGAGGTTGAATGTCACTCAGAGCATGTTTTCCTCGCTGATTGCCAGGAAGCTAGAGTCAACAATGGAGGCGAACGCCAGCGTGGGCAGTGAAGACAGGTCGGTGTGCGGGTTCATGAAGATGGAGACATTCAAAGCGCGAAGTGAAAGAAGCACAGTCCAGCCTCTAATACAAGAACATTGAAGAGGAGATCTCATTACGACGAGAGCACTGCGTCCCTGCCCGTCCAGTCTGACGACGCATATCCAGGATTATCACGTAGCACTTAGCACAGCTGGGGCTATATGCCTCATCGCACCAGAATACACTCAATACTCATCCTCTTCCTCTTCCTTCAGAAGATTTCTTTTCCGAGGCGGCTTTCTCCCGCTCTTTGTCCTCCTCTCAGGCCTCTGCCCAACAAGACCCCGTGGCCTACCCGACAAGACGCCCTTGCCATCATAATCCAGCTCCACGACCTTGGCCCGCCCCTTCTTGCCACTCGTAGAAGCCCTGGTAGCCCGGACTCCACCATCCTGGGGTATCACCTCGCCTTCGGCAATGCCCCTGCCGAGCCGTACCGCACGCCTCACGCGAGTCTTCGCACCCAGAGCCCACAGATCACCCCATCTTGCCTTGCGCGCGTCGTGATACGCCTGCTTGCTGAAGCTCCGGGGCACGGTCCATCGCTCGATAGCGCCTGCTGGCGTGCAGAGGTCGAGCGTCACATGGCCCTTGCGCTTGAGCGGCGGGAGAATATTGCGTGGGAGGGAGAGCGGATGAGGACGGTCTGAACTGTCGGACGCCACGTCTTCGTAACCAGCGAAAGCTTTTGTTGTAGCCTCCACGCCCTGAAGGACGGGTTTCGGGCTGACAAGATCAGAACTGTCCTCGGCACCAGTTGAGGGAGGCTCCTGCGAAGTGGGGTTCGAAGCTGGCATGCCGCGGCGGACTGCGATGTAGCTGAAGTTGATGTCCTCATGATTGCGGTGGTTTGCTTCTAATATCCTTTGCAGAAATGGAGGGCGGATAAATCGCTGGCTAAAGTGGCAGAAGTCCTTACGTCCTGGACTGATGCCAGGATTCAGGTACATGGGACATTTGGAGTGGTTCGTACATGGCGCAACAATCATGCCGGGCTCACGAGTCCGCTCCACATCCTGCTCAATGTTCTCTGGTGCGCCTTGGGCTGTAGGAGGGACAATGTACTTCTCGAGGATGCGTTCGCGAACGTCGGCAACAGCCTCAAATCCTCTTGGATGTCCCTTCTCTAAAACGATAAGCACACCACCTTCGGGCGATAGTAATGACCACAGGTTATCGAGGATGTCTCTCCTCCTCCAGTCCTTTTCGAGGGGCATTAGGAGGTGTGTAGCGATGATCACATCGTACACCTTCCGGTTTTGTGGAACCTCGGAAGCATCAAGTTGCTTCTCCATGTTGTCTACCGAGTGCGTGTAGTTTGGCAGGCGGGGCAGAAATTGAGTATTCTCAAGAAATCGCGAGATCCGGTGTCGTAGTTGATTCGACCCAACAACGACTGTCCTCTTCCCTGGCGGTCCTGGGTCTGGCTCGCTGGCTCCGTCCTTGTCGCGCAACATATCCCACTCCGTCTGTAGCACGCTCTGCCATGCTGCCAATCCAGCACCACCAGCACCAGCGTCAAGGACCCGGGGTCCTTCGCCGTTGGCGTCTTTTCGGTTCAGAAGGCCGCGTAGCCATTCCGGGCCAAGCCTCTTGCGCACCTCTACCAGAGTGCTCGCGACAGACGCGTAAATACCAGGCAGCGCGGTTGCAATGAAAGCGTCTGCATCAATTTCTGACATCCTGTGGTGCCCTGCTTCCAAACCCAGACCTTTTTGCGGCAGGTTTCTACCGGACCGGGGAGTAGCTGGCGAGTGCGGGAGGCCGGGACCACCACAGTGCTTCTCGGCCGTAGCTCGGATGTGTTTTGTGTCCGTTCTCTTGAGCAATTGTGCAATGGGTTCAACAAAATCGACATTCGGCAGCTGCAGCGTGCTCGGTGATGTTCTGAACTGGCCCTCCGTTGTGTACTGGTGTTGCCGTGGGCCTTCCTGACCTGGAAACCAGTCCAAAAGTTGGGCATCTGGTTCCCCATCATCAACATCTTCTTCTTCCCCCTCCTCCTCGTCCTCGTATTCCTCCTCTACTTCTTCCTCTCCCAGCTGTGCTTCGTATGCCGCCTCTTGCGACGCGGCTACCACCGCGTCTTGGACTGCAATGATCCTTGCCGCTTCAAAATCCTTCTGGAGCTGTAGGAGAGCATCGTACTCGCGCTGGTTGCTGGCATTGGCCTCGATGTATCCAAGTTGCGCATCACTCGGTGGCCGGGGTGTCAGCAGCTCCCCTACGAGGTCTTCTTCGTCCTCAGCTTCGCCAACCCTCGGAACAGACTGCGATGTGTATTCCACCTCTTCCAGTCTGCCATGCTGAGTCTCTCTTAGCAGCGCATTCTTTGTCGGGCCAAACGCATCTTCGTCTCCGACCTCACCGAGAGACCCGAACCCGACATCTTCTGGTCTTGTGGCACGTAGTGGTGCTCCATAAAGTCTTTCATACACTTTATGTTCCTCCTCGGACAAATAACCGCTTGGGAGGGTGTCGCCAAACATGCGCTTCGCCTGTCGGACTATCGTTTCGGGGTCTTGGTTCGGTGGTAATCGTGGCTGGTCCGGTCGTGCCGTGAGTTCTTCTGGGACATGATGTGACATCTGACCCTCACCTACGTCCTCGGTGCGCCCATCCTGCGATTTCGTCGACGTTGTCGACAAGAATCGCGCATTTTGCCTCCGGCCAGGCAACCTGCTTCTCGAGAAGGCCTGCCGTGAATTTGTAACTGCGGCAGGATTAATTTCTGCGATTGAATGCACATAAAATTTCAGAATCCGCGCTGCGCATGATGGACAAGCGTTCTGCAGTCTCCTGGCAGTAAGCATGGCGATGTGTTGCGGTGTTGAGGAGAATGTACTAAGAAAGAAAAAAATATGTAGGTCGAGTGGTCCAACCGGAAGCTCCAAATTTCAAATAGGCATTGCTCCAAGGAGCTTGCGCCGCGGGAGACGTGACATGACGCGGTCAGGGCTCCCCCACTAAGTGGCAATTAATCATGCACCATACTCAGGCTTAAGGACTGAGGATGGGATTTTCAAAAATGCATTCATCAATGATCCCATTATCTGTCAAGGAAAGTGTCCCCAGTGAAAATACCGCCTGTCGGCATATCCCGCCGCTCCGCGCCCAAAACGCCGGGCCCTTAAGACCAAGAAACAAGCCCCCTTGTATTGCCAGCGTCGCCAAGTGGTGGCGCTCCGTCGTCTAATCGCCTCCCAAGTCGGCCAAAGTCCGGAATGTGGCCTTGGGAGCTGGTTTCTTCACGGCACCACCTGTCGCAGAATCATTCGGGGTAGCGGCCGGTGCAACAGGATTGTGAACGTTGTATTTCGAAGCTTCGGCAGCTTTGTAGGGGTCAAACTGTGGGCGCTGCTGTCAGCATAAAGCCGCCGGACGGATGGCCGTGAGGGGGCTCAGGACTACTCACCGTGAACAACGAGACCAAATACAGTCCAAAGAAATTGATGATCGCGTTGAGAAAATTGTTCAGATCCCATTTGATCGGCCTTCGAAGCGACTGCCGGGACTGTCCAGCAGGACCGCTGCCTCCTAGGGTGCGCCCTGGCACACTGAATCCTCCCCCAGCGGCTGGACCTGCCAGCTTGACAGCCTTCTCGATTGCGGCAGTCAAAGCTGGCGGGCTTGGTCCCTGTAAGGTCTCGATGGCAGAGCCGTTCTTGAAGATCATGAAGGTAGGCATGGCGCGCACGCCATATTGGGATGCGATCTCCCTCTGGTTGTCAACGTTGATCTTGGCGAACGTGATGCGCTTCGGTTTGGAGAATTTGGTTGCAAGGGATTCAAATGTCGGCGCGATTGCTTTGCAAGGACCGCACCAGTCGGCGTGGACTGCAATGAAGCAACTGTCAGTTTGCGAGCTGGAAGGGGAAACGAGGGGGATGGCTGGGGCAAAGCGGAGCACTCACAGTCAGCCACCACGATGGTGGACTGGAGGATTTGTCGCCATTCAGACGAGGATCCAACGTGGACAGCCATGTGTAGCGGAGAGAACTTCTAGTGGCAGAGCCAACTCAGCAATGAACTGCGGAGGGAAGGGCTGTAGGGTGCACAGAGATGATCGTGGATAGGTGTAAGTAAATCTGGCCGGATACCCGCGTCGCCTGAGAGTGCCTAGCCTCGCACCCTCGGTCAGTCCAGGCACCAAGGGTCCGCAGGATGCTGATCGAAAAAGGAAGGCGGTCGCGGATAACGGGGCAGAATTCCTTATCGAGAATTGTTGCAGGTTTTAATGGGAGACAGTCCAGATGAGTTCATACATCACAGAAAGCCCTTTCAGGTGCCGACAGAGTCATTCCATTTTCGTACCCTCATTCGATCATGTCTTATTCGGCAGATCATAGAGCTAAGGTGAGTTCCCCCCTCGCTTTACCATTGCACTCGATCCACTCACTCGCCAGGATTGCTGCCAGCAATCCCGGCCTTAAGTGAAAGCCAGTTCCAACCGCCCTACTGCATCTGTCAGAAACTTTTCGAAAGATATCGAAACAAAATTCATCTTATTCGTGGACAATCATACTGACAAGCCACTTGCAGAGGAGGAGAACCGACGACGATGGTGAAGATGCCAGCACGAGCACCTTCAAGCCATCGGCTAGGTTCCAGCCAACTGGCGGCCGTGACTTCACGGTGTCAATCGCCGTCCCTGGCAGCATCATCACAGAGTAAATTATGCCGTATCGACGTCGCATGTCAGAATGTGGACTAATTTGGTCCAGTTTAAAAACCGCAGACCAGAGAATAACAACCACCGGCCGCATCGCCAGGGCCTTGGCTGTCTTCTGTGTGGACGAAGTCGTTGTCTACGATGATAGCCCTAGCGATTCTCGTCCTCGCGCTGTCGATAAGGAACGATATACTGGTGACACTGATCCGTGTCACTTCATCGCGCATGTCTTAGGGTACCTGGAGACGCCACCTTTTATGCGCAAAGCACTGTTTCCGCTTCACGACAACCTGGCAAGGGCCGGCCTGTTGCCCAGTCTCGACATGCCGCATCACCCTCACAAAGATGAGTGGCTGCCGTTTCGGGAAGGATTCACGGTGAAAGGGCGTCCGGAGGGTGGAAAAGGGTGAGCAAGCATCTCAGCCTGTAGGCGCATCGCATCTAACAAGGAGACAGAACATCCGTGGACATTGGACTCCAGAGGCCCGTGACCATCTCTGAAGAAATCCCCCCAAACACGCGCGTGACCTTGCAGTTCCCCGACCAATCTCTGAAGAATCCGGAACCAGTGCACCCCCAGACGCCACGCACTGAGGCGGGTTACTACTGGGGATTCTCTGTCCGAAATGCAAGCTCACTTTCAGCGGTCTTTACCGAGAGCCAGTTCGAGGGCGGATACGACATGAGCATTGGGACATCGGAACGAGGCACACCTGCGAACAAGGCATTCCCACCTTTCAAGAGGCAGACATTCAATCATCTTCTCATAGTGTTCGGAGGCCCGCGAGGCCTAGAGTACGCTTCTATGAATGACCCAGAGCTAGGTGGAATGGGTATCAGTGGAGGCCGGACGAAGGAGCTATTCGATCACTGGGTCAACGTGCTGCCAAATCAAGGTAGCAGAACCATCCGAACGGACGAGGCAGTCCTTATTTCGATGACAGCCTTGAGGAGACTTTGGGACGACAGCTAAAGCTGTACACATGCGATGGAACAATGACTGGACAAGAATCCGGTTTGTCGGGCGTTCGAAACATTCATTGATGTTCACAACCTCCAGGCACGCGGCTGCACCCATTCATACTGAGATTACGTCCTTCAAGACAAATGACGAGACGTGGAAGGGTGGTGAGAAAGAGGCCGCTGCGGGATTGGCTCCCGGCGGCCACCTATATCGAAAACCCACCAGATTAGCAAACAATATCGGCTGCCGCTCCGAGTTCCGTTCATATGGATACAACCCTGGTTCGATTAATATAATGAATCTGGATCTCTCGAACTAAGCTTTCGGTATGGCCTGTCATCCCGTTGGTCTGGAAGGGCTTCTGGGTCAGCCCCTGAAGAATTGTGGGGAAGTCAGGCACATTCCTGGCCACTTCGGATGCTGAGGTTCCTGGATTCCCATATCGAGGACGACTGCGTAAGCGGAATCCCACCAGTATCAATACAATCGAAACAGCTATGATGAGATTTTTGCTCAGCCTGTTTGTGAGGGATTGAAACATGGCTCGGACAATTCCCGAGCCAACCCGTGTGCCTTACAACTGTGTAAGAGCCCGCAAATAACGCACTCATGCATTTCTACGGCTCTCATGATTTGTTTCATTGCCACCGCCGACTGCTCTTATATCAGACCAGCAAGGAGCAAAGATTTTGTTTGTCCGTGGTATGAGTCTTCACCGACTAGATTTCTCGGCTGCAATCATGAAGCTCTTGAGTGTTCTTTCACTATCGGCCACTTCTGTCGCAGCGCTAAGCGGCAAAGCGACAACCACGGTCAGTGTTACCGGTAAAGTCCAAGCTGTGCGTTTCTACTAACAAGTTCCCAGCGCTACTATGATGGTCTGAAAGGAGCGTGTGGCTGCGGTAGCGGCAACTCGGCTTTTGCTTGGCAGGTAAGTCTAGCTTGGTTGGATTTCCACCACCGCCGCCGCCAATTCCAACCGTAGAGTTGTGTTTTGCTTTACCACATCCACCCGCGCCCGGGGGAAATTGTGGCCCACTCAGAATTCCGATTGCTAATTGCGGAACCATGAAGAGTGGTGGCAATGGCCTCTACACTGCTGCGGCATCCACCTCTATTTTCGGCAGCGCGACATGGTGCGGCTCAGGCTGTGGAACTTGCTTCAAACTCACGTCTACTGGCTCAGCTCCATCAGGCCAAGGAACTGGAGGGGCGTCCGGCAGCAGCATTACTGTGATGGTTACAAATCTCTGCCCTTACAGCGGTAATGAAAAGTGGTGCCCTCAGAGGTGAGTCGAATCGTCGTAACCGATATTGATTGAGCAGTTGCTAAATGTTTGCTAGTGGAAACAATCAATTCGGATATGCGTATCACTTCGACATCATGGCTACAAGCCAGGTCCTGGGTGACAATCCAATTGTGGATTTTGAACAGGTGACTTGTCCCAGTACGCTGTCATCCGATTACCAACAGTGTCAGTGTGCGACGGGGGGTTGAGGAATGCGTTCTCAGGCATACATAATAGATGTCTTTCCAATTTGCATTTGGGTGTATATAACACTGGCAATGAGACACTTTGAATATACTTGGATTTGCGCAAAAATTGGGGTCTGTAGAGTGAATGTCAAACAGAAGAAGAAAGTAACAGCCACAACTTTGGAAGCTCCGAGTGAATATCGCCCTCCTAGCACACAAGCCAAATCAAAGCTTGCAGAAATAAGAAAAAACTGGGCAAGGCCGCGCAATGGCAGCATTCCAGCCACGAGGGCCATATATCGCGCGCACAACAGAATAACAGCTGCCGGGCTTCTTGATCAAGGTCGCTTTGGATATATTGACCAGCCACCCCGACTTGAGCATTATGATGTAAATTTGGATGGAAAAAATTCAATTCTTGTCGTAAAGTTTTGCAGGATACTGACCACTACACACACACATATCAAGTAAATCCTTAAATTTTAGGTGTTTCTTTCCATAAAGGACACAAAGGGGTATTTGACAAACAAAGCAACACCCAAAAGTCAGACCACAAAGCTTTTACCCTCGAACTTCAATGTTCGAGTTCTCATTATGTGAGAACCTGGGACCCATTTCCCGAGCCATTGTTCCTACTTTGATGTACTCCAGGCAATACTAGAGTTTGCACCTAGATAGTCACCACAAACTGCTAATTCCAGGTAACTCGACTTCTTTCAAGTGCGTCTACCTTCGAAAGTGCCAGATTGAACTGGAGTGCCGGAAATGGTTCTATTACATTCGTTCAAAAAGCCTTCTCAGTCGACTTTTCTTGTGTGTTCTGGTACATATATAGTAGCCTCACACTTAAGCACCTCCAGGGCTAGTATAAATCTTGTAAACAAAATGCAACATGGCCGCCCACTTGATCTAATCTACGACAGAACAAGCAAATCAGGCAGATGCACTACGTGGCCATATGATGGAATCAATTCCTCACAAGTCAGCTCAGAATACTCGGTTGGCCGTTCCCCCAAGTAAGCTAACCCCCCACAAACTTCGAAGATGAAAGGCAGCATAACTATTAGGGGTGAAGTCTTACAGCACTTCTGGAAAATCGCATTTAAAATGACATAGCCTAACACTAAGAAATACTTGAACCAGAATGGAAAGAAAAGGTCCCGAGGTTCTTGTTCCGGGGTTGGAAAACTTCAAGTGGTGGTAACGCCGGATTGAACACAACAAGTGCCGTGACTCCACATGCATTTTATGGCCCACACAGGGAACCACGCGATAAATCGATCTTTGAAATCCCTGAGGACCAAATCAAGTCGGAGATCAATACACATCTGGGGGGACCGCGTGTTAATAGCCACTTCAGTTCTTGGGCAGCGGACCTCCAAACTGCTCTGGGCTATGCAGGCGTAGGAAGAGACGCATACATTGCCGCGTTCGACACCTCACTCCGCAGAAAATATAACGAGATCTACCACGTTACCGCCCTCTATGAGATGGGTCTCTCTACACAAAGGTATCCCGAAGAGTATTTGGTATATGGACCCGTTGCGGGTGAAGCATATACATGCGTGTCGGTAAGGCATCTTCGTAATTGTGGTATGAATATGACTGTGCGCACTTGGAAAGGCTCGTCGAAAATCTCGGCCAATGATTTGGCCCATGCCAGCAAGATCGCCAACATCTTTCGGCCAATACATCATGACGCGGGACCCGACCTCTTCTTCACAATGTTTGCTGCTGAGCTGAGCAGGCTTTTGCGTCCAGCTCGTGGATACGGCTTTGGTTCAGGGTGGTCGCAGGAAGACAACACAAAATTTCTGACCCATCTTTCATCTGATATAGATCACGCCGTCAAACTTCCTCCCAAAGATCCTTCCAAGGAGTCATTGGTAAACTCAAGGACCCACGTCGATGGCTTTCCCCAGCTGGATTCCATGGTGGACATCCTCACGACCATTGAATTTGAAATTGCAAGAAAGAGATCTGAGGCAGCCAAAAGTTCGTCACATGATACGAGTTTGACAATAGTGTCAGGACAGAAGAGGAAAGCTGAGGAAACGCAAATGCCCGCTGATCCTGAAGTGATCAAACGCGCGTTGCATGAAGCGCTTCCCAAAAGTCTACTCCAGGATCTGGCTACACATGGAAGTGCCATTCAAGACAAGCTACTAATGGCACAGAAACAACTTGATTCCATCGATGACTTGGACGGACAGGCTCGAGCGCTGAAGACAAAGCTAGCTGCTACAGAGAAAGAGCTCGAGTCCTTGAGATCCTTGGCCCAGAAGAGAGGTACGCTTGAGGCCACAATACTCCGCCTGGAGCAAGCGGCCTCTTCCTTCGACAGGCTGGCCAATCGAGCTCAAGCCTTGGAGACTAAAGTGCTTGGAGCAGAACCATCACTTGATATGCTCCAGCAGTGCTGCTATAAAATGGTCAAATCGGCCCACGACGAGGAAGAAGAATTCAAAATTCGTTTGGACCTCCGAAAATTCTACGGTAACTCGCCACCTCCTCCACCACTTGCGCCTTTTCAGCCCACAGCGGTGGCTAAATGGAACAATGGTTCTCAAGATTGGACGGTGCGGCTGAAAAGAAATGGTATGTGACCCGGTGTAGTCTGCCACTCGTAGATTTTCATGGGATGACTTCCCTTGGGACGAAATCTCATGTAATTATCTTTTACAACCATGATATTGACCTTGGAGGACAGGCGCGAGCAAGACACAATGTGACAAGTTTACGGCACCAAGAGCACGTCGACTTATTGCACCCCATGAAGGAAGAGGGATACCAGCTGGCGGAGATGAAGGGTACTTTACAGGCTTCCTCGCTAGTAAGGCCAGAAAAGGGATCTTTCAGTTTCGCGCCTAGTGATAGACACGAGCAAGCATTCAACCTGGGTGCAAGGGCAGTCGTGAATTGTGTGCATTGGATTACATCAACTACTCTGATATTGCTCTGGTGGTGATCAAGCAATTTGTTCACGTCGAACACAGACGACTGTTTTGCAGAAGATTTTCCGTTCTGGAGAAGAGTAAAAAACAACAACAGGGCACAAGTCATGCCAAACGGTGTTGGGAGGAAGACATAGGCTTTCAAAACTTGACTAGCACCCTAGGAGTACTTTCTGTTTGGAGTACAGTCTGGTTTACCCTTGGAAGTAGACTTGCTGTATGTGCAGCTCCATGGGCACCTGAAAAAGTACATGTCAGGTTCTATCTGTCTGGGTTGTACCTTCCGTTGACCGTGTAGCTGCAGCTTCTCTGTCCCCAAGCACTGCAGCCTTGCCATCTTAGTTTTCACGACTTTGTGGTCTTCCACTCAGAACACGTTAGTTTTCCATATTATTGGTGTCTAGCGCCTCCAAATTGCCAGTGGATTGATCTCGTCCTCTCCTGTCGACAGAGTGACGCGTCTCGAGCTCCTTCCCTCCTTCCCCACCAAAACCCAACCCACACCCTCTCTTGCAGCCACTACCCACAAAGTTTTCGTCAGCTCACATGGACTGATTCTGTAGTTCAAGGATCTCGAAACCCACACGCTCATTTGTCAATTCGTTCCAGACGCGCAGCGAGCTTGAAAGATCTGCCCAAAATGTCCCGACGAATAACCCCATTGTACGTGTTCGATGACCCAGCAGAATACCACCGTCGCCACAGCCAGGGCACTTTAGTCGAGTTCCAAAATGAAAGCAAGGAGATCAATGCCTTCAACGAGAAGCAGATCGCCTTCAAGGCCTGGGTGGTCGCAAACGTGTGGCAAGGAAAGGACAAGTCGGGTTGGATGTTCCTGATCCGCCCTGGCGATCAATCCCAGTGGTGCTTCCCGAAAGAGGGCGAGAACTGCGAAATCATGATCCTGAGCAAGTCTGGAAAAGAGAAAAAGTCGAAATGGCTGGACGCCGAGCGTGTCGACAACCCTGCTGCCTCGATGGGCCTTCCCGAAGAGGCTTATCGCCTTGCTGCCTTCGAGGTCAAGGTACCGAAAGACGTGCCCCCAGGCCTCCTGAACCCTATCCAAGACGACCCAGATGATTTCGACCATGGTATTACGCCACAGAAGAGCAGGAAGTACCTTTTTGGGGACAAGAAGGCTGTCAAGGTCAATATAAAGCTCAGTATTTCGTCAGCCACCAAGGACGCCGAATTTGGAGCAGTCACCAAACTGGCGCTGAACCCAGAGAACGATCGGACTCAGAAGCAATACGATGCTTTTCTGTACCTGATGGAGTTCAAAAGCCCGCGGTTCCAAGTCAACATGTTCAACCATTTTCCCCACCTTCAAGACCCCATGAACAGGGGAGCACTCCCTGCTAAGGTCATCACAATGCTCAAGGGATTCAACGAGCACCAAATATCAGCCTACAGGACCGTTCTTGGCAATCTGCCATGTGGAATTTGCATCTTGCCTGGCGGCCCTGGCGCCGGAAAGACACACTGGAATCTGGTGCTGACCACAGCCATTCAGTCCAGGAATGAAATTTGGCTGGCGCCTAACAAGTTCGAACAGAGATCTGCCAAAGTCCTGTACATTCTAGACATCAACAAGCCGCTCGATGATACTTCGAACAAAATGGTGAAGCTGTACAAGAGCCTGGGACTCAAGAAATACGCCGTTCGGCTCTATGGGTGGCACTACAGGGGTACCGGGACAGGCAAACTGGACTTCTCTTCCAAATTCATGTTTATGGCGAGACTGAACCGCTACCGCAAGCAATCTATCAACCCGGATTGCTTGGCTCCCACCCTCGATGAGCTTGCGTGGGACGTCTATGATGCACACAAGACGAGGAAGTACAGTGGGCTGTATAACCTGCTGGGCAAGGCAACCAAAAATGCAAGCGTCGCGAAGTCAGACGAGTTCAAGGACAGTGTGAATCAGCTTTACCGCGATGTGCTCAGGAATGTCGACTTCATAGCGACCACGCCCGTCCCCGCAGCCACTGCCTTCGATGGCTACTTCAAACCTGATATCGTCATCTTCGACGAGTCTCCTCACGCTCGCGAGGCTTCAACCCTCGTTGCAATTGCAAAGTTCGAGCCTGTGGCATGGATTTTCAGCGGTGTAAGTTTACTCTCAGGCAAAACAAATCCGACTTTGCGTACTTCAGATTTTGACTTGCCCCCTAGGATCACCGCCAAACCCGTCCATTTGTTGCCTCAGACGATGTCCGAGATAATCCTTGGGTTCCACAAATGTTGGTCAGCATGATGGAGAGGGCAGACCGGGCAGGAGCAGTTCAACATTCTCTCCTCATCAACCATCGTGCCTATGGTGGTCTCCAGCGACTCGCCTCCGGCATGTTCTACAAGATGAAGATGATCAGCGGCCACCCGGACGACAAGCTTTTCCCACCGTCGGTCCAGCACCTCCAGCGGTACCTGGAGCGTTTCATGGATCCTGGCCAGACTTGCCGTGAGCCTCGTTTGATTGCTTTCAGTCCCAAGCGCGGCGAGGTGCGAGTCGGAACCTCGTGGTCCAATGAGGACCACGGGAACTGGGTCATGGATCGAGTTACTGAGCTGCTTCAAGACACAAGCTTCCGTCAAGTCGGGAAGACTGATCGTGGGACCATCCTCATCATCGCCCCATATAAAGAAGCCTACATGAAATACAAGAAGTCAATCAAGAACCTACCCCAAATGTTTCAGGCTCGCCTGGGAGTGGAAGCACGCCTCGAAGCCCGTACCATCGACACGGTCCAAGGAGGCGAGGCTGATTTTGTGTTCTTGGACCTCGTTCGCTCCAACGCCACGGACTTCACCGACGACCCCAACCGGCTCTGTGTTGCCTTGACCAGAGCTCGCCAGGCCGAGGTGGTATTGATGCACCCTGGAAGTAAGTGTCTGGTCCTTAGCATGGTCCATCTTGGAACACGACTGAAGCTGACTGTATTGTCTATTAGTGCGCAGAGGCACTCAGTTTCTTTCCCAAGTCTTTGCTCGTTGTGAGCAGATGGGACAAGTCGTGACCACTGATAAGCCTCCCAGACAGCTGGTAGCCATTCCGAGTGAGGCGAGAGCATTGGAGCAGGATGCAGCTCGCCGGCCCGAGATCGAACGCGAGCGTGCGATGCTGGGTTTGGAGCCCCATATTGAGCATGCTAGCCCAATTGAAAACATGAGTAGCCTCTCCCTGGCTGATGAAGCTGAGCCTGAGTCAATCTACGCGTCTCAGTTCGCCAACATGGCCAAGATGATGGAGGACATCTTGCAGGGGAACAAGAAAAATCAGGTCTCTCAGGAGGAGTCTCTGCCCACGGCTGGCCGAGTCGAGCCCAGGAATGTACAGCCGCGGCTGGCTCCGATTCCAACATCCCAGAATGACTTGAATCATCCAGGCGGAGGACGCGGACCAGTTGGAGCCCCGTTTCCACCCGAGAGTGTTGCGCCACCGTCACTGCGGAACACGAGCAATAGGGAACCGATGCCTGAGGGGTCGCTGGCCCGCGATAACGCTCCTAACGGTCGACAACCTGATGGTAGCTTTCCAATGGGAGGCCTGTCTGTTGCCAAACAGCCGGGTCTCGCGAAGTCTCGCTGGACCACGCCCGAGCAACGAGGCACAACAGCGGCAAAGCCCGCTAAAAATACACATATCTCTGGCCATCACCAGACACAGTCTCCGTCCCCTTCTCCGGCTATTCAGCTTGATCATGGCATGGCTGCTGGTCTGTCCGACCTTCGCTCTCCTGAGACCACTGCCTATGCCCCGATGATTCGCCAGTCTGGAGGCGTTCCTCTTTCTCGGCCAACTGGTTCTGCCCAGACTTCGAATCAGGCTACGACCAGACCCATCGTGACTGCCAATGGACGGGCACGTGATAATGAGACCAGCTCTCTTCCCGCGGGCCAGTCATGGTGGTAGTGGCAGGTGATCTACGCAGGCAGCTCGACTGCAGCTCGACTAGATGACTGCCCGTTGCGCCCAGAGAGTGGGCCCTATGGACAGAATTATCCCACTTGCGGATTGTCCCACTGTCTTGATAGCACCAACGTCATGATGGCCTTACGATTTCGAATGATTTCATGGCCATTCGAGGTGCGTGGCGTAAGGGCAACGGCGACATTTGGAATGACAGAAGCCGCCAGCAGAAGCGCTGATGCTCCGGCTTGTCTCACTCCTAGGATGAATGATGTTGTGGATGTGCTCAGTTAATTTGTCAACAATGAATTGCCTAGGTTTTCGATTATGATGATCCGGGAGAAGTAACTCCACTGCCCGATGACAGGTGCTTAGCTATGGCCAGTGAGCTTCGACGCATTAGTGCTACACAAGATTGCAGCGTACTGCTATGATCTCGAGCGTTTGGATTTTGTCTGTCTGTGTCATTGGTCTCTTCCACTCCAGATGTTGTAAACCCCCGGGAGGCATTCCCCACTTACACCCGGCCACCCGGCCACTCGGCCGAGTCGCCCTTGCATCGCCAAGTTTGTGCCTGGGAGGCCAACTTTCAGGCCTGCTTGCTTCTGTAGCTTATTGATGTCTCGGACAAAAACAAGATAAGGCACGGGACCTGTGCGTCGGGCTTCAGGATCGAGGGCAGATGCGCAGGCGGGCGGAAAGACCCGCCACACACACGCACACGCACACGCACATTCGCTGATGGACGGCAGGGTTGGAGAAATCAGCCAGGTGGCCGCGATGGGCGGGACATTGTTGGTCGGCAAGCCGATCGAGGCCGCAAGACTGAGCCCGGCGGGGAGGGTTGCAAGCGTCGCTGGCTTGGGGCCCGAGGCGGCGAGGATCCGATCCGCGTTCACTGCTCTCGCCCTGCTTTCTCGGCACCTGTTTCGCCGGTAAGGGAACCCTCAACGTTGGGCCTTCTGGAAGGTTACCCAGCACGTGCCGTTGCGCGTCGGGGAGGCCTGTCATGGACGACGGCGAGCAACATGTGCAGACTGGCACGTTTTACAGATCTGATGTCCGCTCTGTGTATGCCAAGGCGCAGCTAGTGTAGCGCGAGATGCATGGTAGGCTCTTCGCGTCGGATCTTGGTTAAGATGGGAGGATGACAGGGCGCGAAGCCGATGGGTGTGGCGTTTGCCGCTCTTACTGATCAGGCTTTTTTGCTGGGCTGAAAAGACGGGAGAAGGTGAGTAGGTGAATACTGTGCTCTCCTCACACGGTGCACAGTAGACATCGATCCTCGGAAATACCCATTTTCGCCAATTGGTGACCCATCTAGGTCAATGCATCCAGGTCCATCGAGGACCGAGGGCCAACGGGGGCCAGGGACCAGGGAGGCAGGAATTGGATGCGCATTGAGAGCTTCAGGATCAACATTCCGATGAGATCGAGCAGGAGCTGCCATGTGGCCTAGATGCGAAACTGGGGAAATGCGAGAGTTTGCCCTTGGGAGTACAGCATGTGGGCATGGGTTTTGCTTTGGCAGCACGGCAGCACCAGAAGCAAATGCCACGATCGTCCCTGAGTCTGTGACGTCTTTGACCCTGGACGGCTCGGAGTTCGGCAATCCACAGCTGCCATTGTTTGAGGGTCCCAATCTCGTCTTGTCTACGCGTACTGTGTGGTGTCTCAAACTGTCCCTACCATATCGACTATCAACACAGTATGTCAGCACAGGTTGCATATTGGGCTGAAAGTATGCTGACAAAACCTAACAAAGCAATGCATAGCACAACAACACAAGGTCCAGCTAGCCAAGTCACTCAAACTGCTGAGGCCCATGTCTTTCGAAGCTGCCGTGGGCGCTTCCGCCCCGCCGTCCGCCCAGGCGCCGAGCAGGGAGGAGGTATCACGGGGAGAGGCCTCTTCATCATGAGTCCAATTGACCAATGAAGCCTTCCAACGCGTACTTACTCCCTCCACTTCAGCTAAGACAGTTGAATACGTGTATAGATGCTTTGGGCACAGCAGGTACACTGTAGTACAGAGGCAAGGCAATGCAGGTGAAGCAGTTGCAGTTGCAGCTCCAGGTGCAGGTGCAGGCATCAGAGCTCGCTCCTACATGTAACCCCCAGTAACGGGGATACGTACCGGGGCCCCCCAAGCAGGGGTTCGTCAGGGACCAGGCCCAAAAAGTGGAGACTCCCAAGAGACCGTCTGGACTTTGGAGTATTGACGTCTCTTTCCCTCGATCTCCAGGTCGGCCTCCGTCTTTGGATATCGCCAGGCTTGCTGTGGACGCAGTCCTCCATCCGCTTCCCACGACCCCATCGATGCTTACGATTTTCAAAATGGCCGTCCTCAGTGTATTGAGGGCAACTGCTCTCAGCCCAATTCTAAGTAACAACGTGTGCCCAACGATCCCAACGGTCGTAACATCCGCGGGCCTGTTAGTGGTTGCCCAGGAGTTGAGCTCGAGAGCATCATCGTCGCCGCCCTCGATATCGCCTTTGTCAAGACACATTGGTTTTCACCACAAGAATCCCGCCCCTTGAGAAAAGCTGGCCCTGGCAAAATTTGTCTCGTCGCTCAGCCTAATTTGCGTCGATCGCCCTGAGATCACAAACCATTCCATCAATATTGTTGGCCACGCTTCGGCCACGCCTCTCCACAGACACAGATCCATTACAGGAGGCGGCATACTGTGCGTTGCATTTGCCGGAAAGATCTCCGGCTCTAGATTTTTTCAGACTACTGCTCCAATTGGGCATAAGCTCTTGTCAGGAATTCAGGGTCCCCCATCAAGAGGACCCCAGGCTTTCATCATCAGGCCGCGGCTAAGCTGGGCGGCCGAGCGAGCACACGAACTCTACCCTAGCTCTGCTCTTCGTCAACTCTACTTCCAGACCTTTCCCTCTCCGGCTTGGCAATCATCATCATATGCCGAGCGGTTGGCCCCCTCGAGACACATGTGCTGAGCCTCACCAGGCCTGCTTTCAATCTTGGCTTCTAGGCTCAAGAATCAAGTTGTGGTTGAAGTCACTCCGATAATTCTTTTGCAAGCTTCGTCCCGCACGCAGCTGCCCCTGGAGAAACACCACTACTCCCACGTCGCCTTCGCCGGGAGAAACCGACTATCCAGACTCGCCCTGCCTGACTGCTACATCCCGGCTGGCGCACCGACTTTGGAGTCTATGACACAACCATTCCAAATACAACTCCAGACCCAGGCAATGATTGTTTGAGCATCTGCTAGCCAGACAATTTGTCCAATTGTTCAGGATTGTGAAGCGTTGGTCTAATTTGCTGTATTCAACGAGTTGCCTTGATCTTGAAGCATCTCAGTGCCGAGGGAGAAGCCGAAGTCTTTCGGAGAACCTACAACACATCTCGAGACACGCTAAACGGGCATAGAAAGTGCTTTCTACCTCCCACAACTTTGAATCAAACACCTTCCTCACAATTACCTCAGCATCATGGCCAAATCCAACATTCTAATTTACGTTCTGCGGCACGACTTGCGTTTGTCGGACAATCCAGTCTTCCACCGGCTTGCCACTCAGGCTGACCATGGCTTCACACATCTTTTACCAGTCTATGTTTTCCCTGCACAGCAAATCGAAGTTTCCGGTTTTCTACAGAGCGGCAGCACTTCTCCCTACCCTGAAGCGAGGAGCGCAGTAAGCAAAGTCTGGAGGACAGGGCCTCATCGAGCGAAGTTCATAACCCAGTCGGCGTGGGATTTGAAGCAAGCTCTCGAGTCCGTTGGTAGCGATCTTGTAATACGCGTAGGCCTGGCCGCCGACGTTGTCAAGGGCTTGTTGGAGCGTTTCCGAGATCAACAGGAACATGTCGGCGCGGTGTGGATGACGGGCGAGGAAGGAGTTGAAGAGCGCAGAGACCAGAAGGCTGTTTCTGCTGTGTGCCAGACGCTTGGTACCAATTTCCAGCTCTTGCCAGACGAGAAGTACTATGTGGACGAGTCAGTAAACTTGTGCTCCTCCTCTTTAGGCCTGTGACAATGCTGACCAGTGTGCTCCAGTCGGGACGTCGCGACGCCCATCAGCGAAATCCCTGATGTGTTCACCACCTACAGGAAGTCAATAGAGCCCTTGAGATCCCGCCCGCGCGCCACACTACCGAGACCAGAAAAAGGAAAGCTCCCTCCCATGTTAGATGCATCGCGTATCCCAGAACAACATGGCCCTTTCACTATCCCGACGAGCTATGGCGAACTTGAAGAGGCCGTTCTGTCTCCGGTCAGAAACTTTCTGTCTGGAATACCTCCGCATCCTGAAGGGGCTGAATCTGCTCACCCCTTCGAGGGTGGAGAGACCGCTGCAAACGAACGCCTTCGTCACTTGATCAAGAACGGTCTGATGTACAGCTACAAGGAGACACGAAATGGCATGCTTGGTTCCGCATTCAGTACCAAGCTGTCAGCTTTTTTGGCTCAGGGTTGCATTACAGCTCGGCAAGTGCATCACGAACTCCTGAAGTATGAGGATGGGACGGATCAAGATTACAAGGACGCGCATGGCTTCGGGAATGGAGAGAACGATGGGACCAGTGCGGTACGCTTCGAGCTGCTGTGGAGGGATTACATGCGACTCTGCACGATGAAGTTTGGGGCCCGACTTTTCCGCATCGAAGGATTTCGAGACCACGACTACGAGGGAGACAACGAGGCCAGCGCGAAAAGACCGAAGTGGAAATCATCTGTCAAGGAAGACGCGCTACCGGACCAAAAGCCGAGCCCAGAGGAAGTTGCACAGATCATTCAAAGGTTCAATACCGGTACAACTGGCATGGGACTGATCGATGCGTCGCAGCGTGAATTGTTGCACACAGGGTATACGTCCAATAGAGCACGGCAGAACGTCGCGTCCTTTCTAACAAAACATCTGGGCATCGACTGGCGTTTTGGCGCGGAGTGGTACGAGATGATGCTGGTAGACTATGATGTGTCTTCAAATTGGGCAAACTGGCAATACGTCGCAGGTGTTGGGAACGACCCCAGGGGGGAAGCTCGTATCTTTAACCCGGTCAAACAGGCCTTCGACTATGACAAAGAGGGCGCATATGTGAGGACGTGGGTGCAAGAAGTCAAGTCACTGGAAAAACTTGAAAATGTGTTCCAGGTGTCTACGACGTCGGCCGAGGAGCTTGAGAAGGCAGGCCTGACGGACAATGTCATGGTCACGGACCCGGTCAAGAGGATCGAGTTTCTGGTCGATGGCAAACCGAAGAACAATAAGCGACCCTTCCACCGTGCACGTGGCTCGCGTCGTCCGCCCAGTGCCGGTGGATTCGACAGCAACGGACGGCCGCTGAACCAGACTAACGGCGCCAGCGGTCCGGGAAGCTCAGATGGAAGCGTTGGGCACAGAGGCTCTCCACACCGCGGCGGTCGTGGCGGAGGCTTCAACCATGGCGTACCGCGCCGTGGCTTCTACGCTGGACGAGGCCGTGGTGGCCAGTACAACGCCCCGAATTATGGCCCTGGATATTATGCGGGACCTCCCATCAATGGACAAATGGGAACGTTTGGCCGTGGCGCTTATCATAACATGGCTGTCAGGGGAGGCTATCAAGGAGGATATCCAGGGCCTTACCCGACTGGCCCTCCGTCATAAAATTGGGGTTGGAGGATGAAATCTGTAGGATAGGGTATGTATGTGTTGTACATGTTCGAGAAAGTTAGCACATTTGGGTTGGAGAAACTGCGTTTAATCGTACATGTACTGCATGAGCTGGAGCATATAATATCTACGCAACTACATGATGTCTCTTTGAATCCGTCTGAGATTCCCTGTTCACCCAGTGCTCAAAGGCAACATTCGAGACTTGTGAGACATTGACGACAGCCGAACACTTGGGACCATGGAAACCGGAAAGTAAGGCCCTGCTTGTTGTCGTCAACTTGACACTGAATTGTTTCCCGTTCAGGTCTTCAGAGCGTGAAGAGGGACCTCAGGACTCGTGAGAGCGACGAGTACGTACCCCAGCGCTCACAAGCCGTCAGGGTAGGAATACTTGATGATTGATGAGCTCACATATGAGGAAAGTGCTGTTCAACAAACACGCCCCTTTCTCTGCAGTTCTTGAATGGCTCACAGAAACACTCGTGTCTGCCTCTGGTCTTTCATCTAGGTGCGCCGGTATCTATTGCCACATCTTCCTGTCGCAAACAGCTCCCACGCATGGTGCCACTCTGTCCGTCTTAGAAGGCCTTGTCTAAAGGTATAAAATTTATGTAACATTTCCCTCTTGGAGTGTAGTCCCTCTATATCAACCTCATTCGATAGAAACCACGGCTTCCTTCAGAAGTTCTCCGGCACCCGCCTTAGGTTCACCGACTTGGGCGAAACAAACAGCGCGCGGCACTCCACACACGCCTTGCCGTCGACAGTCTCGACAGTGGCATCGACCCAGACCTTCCTGCCCCTCTTGCCCCTCTCCTCAGGCGCGAGCGCCTCGTCGGGCACGGCCCGCGCGCGAATGACGTAGAAGTCCGACGACAGCGTCGGCCGCTTGTAGGTGATGTCGAGGTTGGCGGTCAGCAGCCCGCCGCCGCCGCCGGCCGCGAGGTCCTTGAGCGCCGCGCGCGCCGAGTGCTCGTCCAGCAGCGTCGCGATGGCGCCGCCGTGCACGACGCCCGGCCAGCCGATCGTCCCCGTCCCCAGGTACACCACCGCCACCACCTCGCCCGTCGTGTTGTTGTGGAAGATGTGCTGGTACCCGCCGACGCCGCGCGACCCGCCCAGGGGCCCCGTTGTTATGCGCTGGGCGCGCGCCTCGCTTGGTATTCCGGCGTAGGCCTCGTGGTGGCCCTCCGACCACTCTGGGTCTGAGAGGAGGTGCTTGACTAGCGGTAGCTTGGCCGCCGCGGCGCGGATGTCTCTCTTCAGGGACTCGTCTACTTCGGTGCCTGGGAGTAACGGCGGCGGGGGCGAGAGGACGGCGCGGATGCCGGTGCCTGAGGCGAGGCCCAGGAGGAGGAATATTGCGGCGGAGACCCAACGGGGCCGTCTTCTTCGCGGTGGAGGATCGGGCTGGGAGGATTGTGGTTGTGCTTGTGGAGTACTCGGGGCGCTGGTTGGAGAGGCCGATTGCTCATTGAGCAGTCGCGAGGAGGTTGAGAGGCTTTGGGAGCAGCGAGGCATTCGAATAGTAGCTGCTGGCGACCGTAGCACGCCTCGATGTTGGCATATTGGTGCAGACAGTTTCTGAGGCTGGCTCGCCGCGATGCGCCATTGGGCTTGCTGCGCCAACTTCACAGCAAGCCGGCGCTGTACTGAGATGGGAGGCATGGTGCTATCGTCACCGATCGAGATCCAACGGCATTGAGAGCTGGGAGATGCTGTAGGTACACGCTCTTGAATCGCTCCAGATGTTCTTGACGCCGCTGCGGCTTCGATTTCGGACCTGCCCCTAGGTCCACCGCAGAGCCTCGGCACGTCACCGCCGCTGCGGCAGGCACACTAGTCTTGGCCCTTCAGTGCTTAGATTACGTGAACAACTACAATTATTTGCAGAGAGCCTTCAACTGAACTTCTGTTGGTCAACATATTTGCAACCACTGATTATTTTCCCCCGATCTGCGCGCGCATCAGGAGGCAACCCAGCTTCGCATGCTTCATGTGCACTATCTGAAGTCATGATCTGGAGATTGGACTCAAACGACTAAGCCCATCAACCAGTTTCTGCGATGAGCAGCTTGGTCCAGAAGACTGATCATCGCTCATGAGGGACCCAACAGTCGCCTCCCTGCCGTACTACCGTCATGAGCCTCGATGCTCTCAACGTTGCGGCACGGCCCGTTGAATGCACCGTCCTCGGCAGTGAGCTATGTGAGTGATCATATGCCGGATAATCGATCGTCTGTCTTAGATCACACCCGCGTCGGTCAGCAAGCGATCAATGTCTTGCAATGGTTGCCTTCTTCGGTCTGCCTTTTCTGGAACAGTATGTCCCGAGAACAACCTGGTCCCTCCAAAGTAGTTCTTGGGACTAGGTTGCATCAACACCTCGGTCAGCTTCTTGTGAGTCCGTAGGGCTCTCTCCCTGGTCACGAGCGATAAGCCGAAGGCAGAAAACCGCGATCTCCAGACTGGATGGATTTCACGAGTTCGTATGCAATGTGGACCCCGCCATTGGCAGTGCGTCTCGAGTTCAGTCGTGGAACCATATTCCACGACAGTAGCCCAAGTCACGGCGCATAATCTGGAACGGAACCCTGCAGCTAGACAATTTCCATTCAGCTGCCAGCCGGGTCGGAAAGGGGGCAACCATTATTGGCGAAAGGCCCCTTATGATGGCTGAGTGATGCCGATGTGCTGCGTTGCTCAAGCTCATATATCAGGTGTAGCCGGTGGTGCATGTCGCGCACACCACACTCACCCTACCGGGTACAGTACCCGGTCCTTCTACAGAACTTGCGAGTTTATATCCGGGTAGACGCATCTCGGTCAGAGAATTCTCGAAAAATCGGCTGAACATCACACATTTACCCCCTCAACTCCTGTTCTTTCTTCTAAACCGAGGTGGCATTGCATAACCGTGGCGTTGCTCACTCCTTCCCAAGGCATGTGCTCGCCAAGTCGCTGGTTCCTGCCTGTTTTCTCAGCCAGGCATGCATGCGTGTGACGGCTGATTACGCACTCCGTCAAGCAGAATATGTAGCAGCTGATATTTTGGTTCAGAGCTGCCATCCCGAACGCGCGCCGACGAGGCTTCACGAAGCCACCAGGGCAGACTCATCCCCCCTTAATAACGGACAGCATCATGCCATTCGCCCTGAGCCGTGTGGAAGGGCGGGATATGGCAGGAATCTGCGATTCAGGCTGTCTCCCGCCGGCCCTACGCCCTGAAAGCCTGCAACCTCTTCAGTTGTGCCGTGACTCACATGTGTGGTTGGGAGCTTGGTTTGAATGTACATGAAGCCGTCAAAGTTTGCCTTGATTGTTCGCGTGGGTTTTTTCGTCCCATCAAAACTCGCCTTGTGAGGGTGCCGCTGAGTTGTCCATCAGGTCGTTGAGCAGCTGAGGCCGTTGGTTGCGAGTGCAACCGGGAGACGCACGAAGGCTGAATATTTTGTACATGTACCCGTCGAAGAATGTATACAAATGTATGATTCACCACTCGGTTTCAGGGAAGGATCACCGCATTGCCCAAGTGCTTCGGACGTTGGGTTGTTGGTGGCTGCGATGGCTTGATATGTTGGTCACTAGTGGTTCATGGAACATCGAATGACTGCTTCCTTTAGAGCTGTTGGCGAAGGAAAGCTGTTTGCTGTTGGCCCCAGCCCAGTTGCCCCGATGCCTAGTGCTGCCTTGGGGTCAGATGTGATCATTGCCTTCCAACGGGTAGTAAGTGATAGGTAAGGTTTTATTTGGTGATGGGCTGAACCTAGGAGTTGGGCGAAAAGTTTGGACGTGAGAGGGTGCGGAATGAAATGACCCATACTTTGTTCAATGCTGCGGTATACTAAGACGTTCCACTGGTACGCACAAATACGCACTATCGTATTACTGTGTGCCTCGTGTTGATCACAGATATGACCAGCTGTGGAATTGGTGTGTCATCAAATGCTAATAATTTGCATATTTGTTTCCAGGATAAGTAACCACCTTACATGAGGCTCACAGCCTTTGTTCACGGCCCCCGACATCCTTAGACTTCACTGATGGCTGGATCTCGTGTAGACTTTCATTGCATCGCAGCCAATCTGTTGATACAACGGAAGAGGCATCAATCTGTCTGAGGCAATCCAGGCAACATGTCAATAGTACGGCCTAAAACGTGCTATGTTGACTGGCTGCCTTGGGGGGGCTCGATCTCATTCCAGCCCCTGACCTTCACCGAGCCGCCATCAGAGACGCAGGTCAACCGTGAGTCTGCCTGCTGCAGGGTCTCTAATCTGGTTCAGACATTATGCGGCAGGGCAGCCTTGTGTGATTCAAAGTAAATAAAATGTCAATATTACCAGCCTCACAGGCAGCAATGCGAAAAGGGGGCGGCGGCGTTGTTGCTCGAGATGTGGCACAGGCGTTCCAAATATGGAGGTCCTTGGGCCAATCAACTTACATGATTCCATGGACCCTCTGGAGCTCGCTATAGATGGCTCCGCGATACGCCTGAATTCATTCCGGCACAGCCATTTCAGCCGTATGGTAAGGTGCTGATGGATCATTATTTATCCCTCGTATAGTTCGATCCCTCATTCTATCTTGAGGAATTGGTGGAAGAAAAGGCCCGATAACCGGATGGCTTGCCGCGCGGTTCATACTACTGTGACCGGAGATTCATTCCATCCCGGGCAAAGATGAGACAAAGTTGCCTTGCGAGGCAGAAACGAAAGCGAGGGCATAAGTCTCGGGGGTACTTTCTTTGGAAATTTACCGTCACGGCGCGCAATGACAAAGACTGTGGTTTCAAACAGTGCCGAAAGATGCGATGAGGGGTTTCCCACGGATCGTGAGATTGGCTTTGTTCGGCATCCCAAATGTTTGGTTGGTTGCCTTGCCCACAAGTCTCTGCTGCCTGGTGGAGTGTGGAGCATAAAGTTCTCTATTGCTTTGGCGCGAACAAGCGGCGAGCCAGCAGGCGGAAGATGTTCCCCGGGGAGCCATGATAGCTCGGGGAACGCCGGCACAGATGCAATTGACACTAATCGTGAGATCCGCGGTAACGAATTATCTTTCAAGCTTGAGAAGCACAGCATTCAGATCATTGAGAAAGGGGATTCCCATTAAGAAAGATATTGCAATGTTAGGGCTGAAATGCAGACCTTTATCTTTTCAGCGGGTTGATGGCTGCCAGGGCCGCAGGGGTGGCTGAAAGGGGGAAGACCTGTAGCCCAATGTCTGTGTGGTTGGGTTCCAGTGGCCTTCCAACGTCTAGGGCTCCACTGTTGGAGCCTGCAACTATTGCTCTCAGTGCGCCAATCCCTGCAGTGATTTGGCATGTCAAGCCAATCATGCATTTTATTGCTATGCAATGATCCAGATCTGGCCAGGTGGATGTCACTCCACGAGCTCAACCTGGTTGGGCACGAAGAACAGTTGAGCTGTGTGTAAAAGCCAGTAAGCCTTCGATGTCTTCCCCACGTTGCCAGTGGGCCTGGGCGAGTCTACACAATCGCCTCACATGTGCCTGAGCCGTCGTTGAATGTTTATGCTTCTCATTGTGGCGACAAGCACCTTGCATCCGCGAAGGTTGTGCACACTCATGACAGAGATGTTGGAGCGCCTACTGCACCGGGGAAGTACACGAGTGGTCGAGAAGTCGACGTGCCGAGCGGGTCACTGCATGTCAGCCTCATATTTTGACTGATGAGAGGTTGAGAGTTGACTAGGCCTTACACCAGGCTCAGGCCACCCAGGTTCAGGGCCCGAGGTACGATTCCTCTCGCTGGGACTACAGGAGCACCCACTGGGAAACTTACCCGGACAGATACAACTTGCTCTCGCTTGAAGCCTCAGGCCACACACATGTTTACATCGAACTGAGGTCGAGAGCTCATGGAAGCCTACTTTCTGAGGCAACAAGTCTTTAGAAATCTCGAAGAAGGTCCGGGATATGGTGTTGGCGCCCAGCGTACCAAGAGAAAGATTGAAGCATGCCGAAGACATTGCTCTGCAGACGAAAAGCAAGCAGAATCCAAGCAATTTCAGAGAGCCTGGGCGGTCACTGTCAGTGAACAGAACGAAGGTAGACAAGGGGGCCTTGGACCAACTTTTCCTTCGTCTCTGCGTTCTGTGAGGGCAGCCTTTAAGTTCTGGTAGCGTGGAGCTGCTACGCGAGCCCTCATGGCTCCTCTCACCCTATCAGTTCTACTTCCAGGGGCTGGCTTCCGGCTTGTTTCGCGTCACTGCAACTGTACGCCACACCCTCACCACGCTTCTGCGATATTATAAGCGCTTCCTTCGTCAGAACAGGGCTGGCACTTACGGATACCTCCATCCCACTTACTTCTGGCAAGGCGAGTGCTAGGGCGGCGTGCCGAACAGAGGCAGCTCGGTGCCTTCGGGCAGAGAGCGGTATGCCTGCTGGGGCCAGCCGGAAACCGAAGCCCTACCCGTGAGATTTCGATCTGGCATCGATGCCCAGGACCGGCTTCAACGTTTCGAGATATTATGCGGTTTCGCCTCGTTTCGCCCTCTGCTGAACGGCCTCTCACGAAAAGACAACACAGCACCTATGTCCACCAAGGCCCAACATCTAGTCCAGCTCGATGACAAGGAGTGAAGCCACATCGCGGATCTCGTCAGCCCTGTCTGACGCCTGGATGGAGCCCAATCTTGTGCATATCTTGTGGGTATGTTGCTCATGATGTCTCGGTGACTGTCTCAACAGCAAGGCGATGTCCGTCGAGTCATGAGAACATTAGATGCAGCCTCTTGTAGGCAACGAAAACGTGTCCCCACTGAGTTCGCTGACGACCATCCAGCACGCGATGCCTTCCCACTTTCAAGGAGCACGCAAACATGCAGGGCTGTAGAGTGAGTCCGCGATGCTGCCCAACGACAATGTCAGCCGATTATGTTGATGAGCCCGAAACCGACACGGACGAATGAGGCTTTTCTTTGCTGAACACCACCGAGCTGTTCAGGACTTGTGCTCCTTCAGCTGTGTAGGAGACAGCACTGAGTGGTGGAAAAGCTCCTAGAGGCGAGGCATTTGCTGAGGGGTCTTGCCTCGACTCGAATCAATGGCGTTCTCTAACGTATACAGTCTCGAGTAACGGGAAGGCATCCAGAACACTGCCTCATTAATCTTTGCAAGCAGGATTCTCCGGTCGCACCATGTTTATGGTAGGGTCAAAATGATCCTTGATTCGCACAAGGGTCCCAAGAGACGCGTTCCAGAATCTTAGTTCCGACCAAGCAGGAGCTCGTCTATACCCAAGGGATCGTGTCTTTCATCGCCCTGTGATAGTTGCCAGGAGGCTCCAGTCATCTCGAGAGTAGTGAGGGCGATGTGGAAGAAGGCAGACAGGGAATTCGGACCATCTGAGCTGATCAAGAGAGGTCACATCGCCTTTGGAGGCAGGGACGTATCCATCCGCAACCGGTCATTGGGCTCAGGCGTGGGAGAAAGAGATTCACCATTGCATCTCCGATCAGCACTTGGAAATCTCCTCCTCACCCTTGAGGAGAATATTCTCTCAATGCCGTCACCCTTGTGGCCGTGTTGCTGTCTTTTTTTGCCTCAAATGCTTAGTGTCGCCACTGAGGGAATTCTTGCCACTTGTGTAGCCACAGCGTCGTTAGTACCGATGTCTTTCTCCGAGGCCTCAGTCAACGGCAGCAAGACCTGAGAGCTGGCGAAGAAACCATGGGAACTTTGGAATATTCGTAGCACATTGACCTCGTCTTTCGAACGTCGTTGGGAGTCTGTTGTCTTCGTATATTCCCCACCTCTCGTAAGGGGTCGTGTATCTGGAAACTTTTCAAAGATGCTTCCAGCTCGTCTTGCAGAGGATGTCAACGGAGATATCATAGAGTCACACATGATTACTCATCACCAACTTCACGTGGTACACCACCCTTAGCCTATCTGCACTTCATACACTTCACTTCTTCCTGTGGAAAATCTACATCTTTGGGAAAGGCTGTTTATTTTTCACCATTGTAAACCTAGCAAATATATGTAACCATAGAATATTCCTAACGTGATATCCAGTCTTTTGCCTCCGAGCTGAGCTCCTCTGGGATGTAGCCGGCGACTATAGGTACTGGCTCACCCACCATCAACTACCTCATGGAATTTTGAAAAGGAGTATGTAGTATGTTCAGTCAGTTGAAGTGGTGTTTCGGACAAGTAAGCTATTGTGATCGTGTGCATTTGATCCGGTTCTCGGACAATCATCTCAGAATCTCTGACCCTTCCGTGTTCGGACCGCCTGCACCATTTTCTTTCCGTGCTCAGCAACACCATCAGGGACTTGGCTGTTATGGAGCCTTTGAATGCCGGGTGTTGCAAAGGACATGTCCCCGTACAGCCCACTAATTCTACTGGACGCCCTATCACACACATCATCATGTGGATAAATTGTTCGTCTAATGCACTTCACTTGTACTGCTGCCAACATTTATGATGAATAAATAGAAACGTGTGTCCTTGGCGTAATGGCAGGAACTCAACCCTGGCTTGCCGTCTCGCCCTATGTTGTTTCAAGCGAGACTTACAGTCATGGTCGAAAGACTAAGCTCTTGCCTGCTCCAAGAAGGTCCTCTTCACACCTCAAATGCTCGTCACTTCGAAAAGGATCGGTTCTGGTACAGTGGCATACTGTGCTGAATGAATGTCCTTGCGATCAGTTCACCGGGACAGGTGTTCAGATTATGAAAATAGATCAGCGAAGGACAGGTTCGGGAAGCCCGCCTATCGAAAACTTCACATATCCTCACCGCCAGAGTTGTATGCAAGTGTGTTGTCCCTGCAACCTCGATATTCGGGGGCTGGTTGTACAAGGGTAGCATACCGCCAAATTACCGCACTGACGCACCACATGGACATTTCACCGCCGTACATACCTTGACGCTGAAGGCATGGAATAGACTCATATCCACGCGCGCAGGCATCGGTGTTGCCTCATTTCGCCTCGGGCCGATCAATTGTCACCGGCATTCAGGCTGCCATGCGTGTTGTGGACACTCCAATGGGGCGGAAGGGTCCAGGCCATTAGTGCAGTTGAATGCAAGGAAATGAAATCAGCTTTCATAGAAAAAGCCCTTGCCCAAAAACGTTTCTCGGTCAGTTCCTTTCAAAAAATCAGTTTGTTGAGGCTACAAGGTCATGAGCTGTTCTCGCATAGTACATGCAGTATGCATTTGATTTTGCGGTCTGAAATCGCCACATGAAGCTTCATTTTCCACTATGGGTGCAGTACCCTCGTGAAAAGAAAAGAAAATGTGGACAAATCATGCCAGATTGGCAAATTTGAAGACCAATAGGGACTTGTTGGTGTAGACGCCTGATTTCATGCAATCTGTTGGGCTCTGCGAGTGATGCCAGAAAAAGCCGCATTCACGTTCGACAGCGTCGAGGAAGACATTTGTAACAACTTGAAGAATTTTCAATTGCTTCACTTGCTCAAATACGATTGGTTAAGTGTTAATGGTCGATGCCACCTCAACCATGAATCCGTTGCCACAACTTTGCCTTCATGGTCGAGAATTTGCATTTGGAAACAACAATCAAATTGTTTTTCTTTGTCAAGATACCTATACTTAGTATACTGTAGGAGGACTATTTTCCATAGATTGGGCAGCAATTCTTTTCCCAGTTACTCGATACATATGAAGCTTTCAATATTGACTTTCTAATTCCCCAGCAGCAATTAGGTTTATCCAAAATCTGATGCCATGCAACCAGTGACACTTTGTAGCTGAAAAGCAAATGAGGCTCTCCATATGAGAACTTCTTACCTTGCTCACCCAAGCAGGGCGTTGAGTTCAGACGACACAGCCCATCAGCATAATCAACCCTCTTCATAGATAACCAGAGCCTTCCGCACAACGTCCTCAGCTGGGCTGTGACCAAGAGCATGAGCAAGACACAATAAGCATGACAGCCTAATGTAACGCGATCCCTTCGTCACGGGGACGAAACAAATTTACCTGCCGTGTAGACAAGAGCTGTCAAGGCTCTGTGAGGCGACCAGCCTAGATTAAGCACTTCCAGGCAGCATCATCACATCCTCATCAACTCTCACAAGGCTCTGTTGTCGCCCAGCTTACGCCAAAATCTCCCCTCACGTCTCGTATCTTCAGCCGTCCTGTGAGAGCTGAATATGCAACAGCCACCGAATAATATTGCTTGTCCACGTGAGAAAGCAAGGCAGAAGGTCACACGTTATCGAGCGCGTGGAAGAGCGGTAGAAGAGACAACTTCCCAACTGGACAAGGCGCTGTACGACCCCTTGTGGAGGCACCACTCGCTTCGACAAGACGATAAAACTACCCAATGAAGCTCTGTAAGGGCCTTCTGGAATTATTAGTCGCGAGACTACTGCATGAAAACACAGCCTCCGTTGCCCCTGAAAATGACCAGGTACAGGCGTGAGATCAAGACTATCCAGCCAGGGTTTTTCAGTCAGCTCCCAATGGCTGTCTCGCTTCCTTCAATCACGATTACTCTGATCCAGGGGCATCCAGGCAACAAGAGCCTAGGACCTGCAAATCCTGCTTCCTGCTGACTGTTGTGGTGAGTCACTGGCTCAGGTCACTCGCAGGGCACAAGGCGAGCTACCCAACCACGACAAATTCACATGGTGATCGGTCCGATCAGTTCTGTTCTGTGACAGGCTTTTGTGGTGGCGGAGGCGTTCACGACAGTGAATGGTGCTTCCATCGTTACCGGAGGTCAACTTCCGTGGGCGAAGGAAGGTGAGCGAAGCCGGCTAGTCCAGGCAGCTGTGATTAGTTAGCACGGCCACTCTCCAAGACGCGGTACGAAGAAGGCAGGACGCGTCGCCGCGAATCATATTGGCGAAGATGGCCACCATCGGGAAGAGGAGTGCTCGAAATGGAAAAGATTGTCGACATATTTGTTCGAATTTCTTGCTCCTGGTCGTATTGCAGAGTAAAATAGTTGGATGGATGTCTCGTGTCAAGCCTCAGAGACTTGCCACCGCAGATCTGGCCACGTTCTCGGTTTCGCCTAAATTCGGGAGATAATTTTCGATAACGAATTTCCTTGTAGAGTAGGAGGACTCCTGCTCTGATATCTAGAGAAGATTTCTGTGTAGCGACGGGAAGTCATATCACGTTGCACGCCACTCGCCACCCGGTGTGGCCGTGCACTGCCCCAACAGGCGGCGAGTCCTATTCGGCAACGATACGACCTCGGATTAACAGATAGCCCTGAGCTGCGACTTAGGTTAGTGAATTGTGATCATTACATGAAGTCAAGCACAAGCGAAAAAGCATAGAGACAAGATTTCTTTCTGGGGGCAGCCGTCAAAGGGTTGGGGGCCATTTTAGGGGAGGCACCGGTGAAAAGTGGGTCGTTAGGCGGGATGTCAGACTGCGGGCCGAAGAGAGGCTCAGGGTTGGACCCGACACTCTGGAATCAGATACTGGTGCGATGTGGCTGTCAGTGACAACCGGCCTATCAGGGACGGATGAGAGATTTAGAAAGACTGTGGAAGAAAATCAGAAGAACAAGTGCCGGCAGACTTTCGGAGGGAGGACAAGAAGGATTTGAAGCTGCTCGACCATGACCAGATGAAGTATTTGGCATCGAGGAGGGCCGCATCCGTTTGCTCAGCTGTAACATTCCAGAAGACTGATAGCGAATCATCGAGCCAGCAGCACTCCCGTGTCCTTTGGTGCAGCTGGAGGGACAAGAAGCGTCCCTCGTTCCGAAATATTATAGCGACGCCGACGATGCCGAGAAGATGTAGGAGCACGAGAGAGGTTTTGAAACAGAGCCGCCTACGGCAACATACATGATCACCTTGAGGGTGGATTGTCATGGAGTTGTGAACATTACCGCGGGAGGATCTGACGGTCACAGAGTTTAGCCGTGGGCTTGTTGCACGGGCGCAGTGCCTAGCGATATATAAGAACGGCGTTGCTCATCGCTTTTTGCCACCCTGTATGTGTTGTCTGAAGCTAGCCTGCCCAATGTTGCTGATGTCGAATCTGACACCTGAAAAGACCGCATCGTGCCGCTCAACAGCTCCTTGCCATGGTCTACTTTACTAATCTTTTCTGGAGCTGTTTGTTTCTGGTCCATGCAATCCATCGTGGGTGCTTAGCAATACTGACTTGGGGGTAGTCGGTAAGGCTAAGCCTAGTGCGGCATCGATGAATGATGAACGCCCGACTGACCGGGAGCTGCTATGTGGGAGGATTGTGCTCTTGACCCCGAATTTTTGAGCCGCAATTTTTGGCGGACCACCTGCATTTAGCAGATGGTTCGCCCATACTGTTGCCGTAAGGCAACCAGCCGCCAGCCAGCCCCGCCCTTTCGCAACAGGAACCCACAGTCCTTGGTGCCTGGGTACGTACCAAATTTAGTTACTTGGGTCCAAGTACCTGGTACGCGACCCAGTGGTGGGACACATTATCCGAGCTTGCTAGCCATCGTGCGCGAGCCGTCCGTACGATCGTTTAAGAGAATGCCGCAACCTGTGTTTAGTTTGTTGGTTTTCTCAATATCTCACAGAAGTCGACGTTCCAATTCAATGCACATTCTAGCTTAACTAAATTTTATCAATTTTCTCCCCCCAAAACACACGCCATGTGTCAAATTTAGACCTGTCTGTCGCTATGTGATGCCCCGCCGTTGGTCACCACCCCCACCACACCTCTTTGCCGTCCTGCCACGGACGCTGCCATTTCACTTCCTCAAAACCACACCAATTGAACGATGGCCAACCTAGCACAGGGGTGGATAAACCATTTACGTCGACAAGCAAAAAAGTGCGTCATGCCATTGGCAAACTTCCCAGGACTCAACTGACCTCTGCAGTGACCAAGCTGCTCCGGCAAGCACAAAAGAGCCGCCTCCTCCTGAGCCACCCAAAGACCAGCCATCCCAGGAGCCTGGCAATGACAATATCGACGACACTACTCCGCGAGAGCCCTCTGCTCCCTCTGCGAGCGGCGAGCCAACCCAAGAAGATGTCACACCGGCGAGAAAACGGTTAAAGAGCCCGACGAACTCCGTCAAGGCGGGTGATCGCACTCGGTCGCCTTCTCCGAATAGGCGCTCAAAGGGCAGACAAAACACCCCAGCAGACGAGTCCACGGCCGACTTTCCCGCAAGACCTTCAGCTAGAACAAAGGGCCGCTTGTGGAATGAGGGCGATCCCATCTTAACTCGCAACCCGGCTGCCCAGCCCTCTCCTCAACAAAATTCACGCCCGTCTCGACGCCGCGAGAACAAAGTTAGTAGCCAGACGGTGGAAGAGGAGGATCCTTCCGTAAATACAATGCTTCCACAGCCCGAGACTCGTCCGATCAGTCAGGAGCAATTAGTTGCCGAAGTAAAAGGAATTTATGCGGGCCTGGTAATGTGCGTCGATTTTAGCCTTGTTCCGCGACTGGCTCCTTATCTCGTGATGCTCTCTTAACTGACTCTCCACGATCCAGGGTCGAGTCCAAGTGCATCGAGGTGGATAGTTCGCAAAGCGCACAAAATGATTCGAGTCCAAAGCTCAATAATGAACAGTGGCAGGCGTTGATTGCGCTGCACCGTACTCTTTTGCATGAACACCACGACTTCTTTTTAGCCTCCCAACATCCGTCGGCAAGCCCGGCTTTGAGAAGACTTGCATCAAAATATGCCATGCCAGCAAGAATGTGGCGCCACGGTATACATTCATTCCTCGAACTGTTACGCCACAGGCTTCCTGCCTCACTGGAACATATGCTCACTTTTATCTACCTCGCCTATTCGATGATGGCTTTGCTGTACGAAACAGTTCCAAATTTTGAAGATACGTGGATCGAATGCCTCGGAGATCTCGGTCGATACCGTATGGCTATCGAGGATGAGGATATACGCGACCGGGAGATCTGGACAGACGTGTCGAGGTACTGGTATTCGAAGGCAAGCGACAAGGCGCCCACGACGGGAAGACTTCATCATCATCTGGCAATTCTTGCAAGGCCGAATGCGGTCAAGCAGCTGTTCTACTATACCAAGAGTCTGTGTGTCGCGATACCATTCAAATCCGCCCGGGATAGCATTCTCACTCTGTTCGATCCGATCATCAACGGAACTCAGACTCGTCTTCAAGCCATTGACCTCAACTTCGTGAAGGCTCATGGTATCCTTTTCATTACAAGCAACACGGACGAGAAAGACAAAGCTTTCCCAAAGAACCGTGATGAACTCATGGTCGAGTACGAAAAGGCCAAGAGTGAGTTTCTTTCACACCTGGATAACCACATTGCGCGAACAACCAGAAGCTGGATGGAGCCTGGCGCGTTGATTGCCATCTCAAATTGCAATTCTCAATTGGAGTATGGCAAAACTGAGGCAAACACACATGGCAATCCCAATGTTTTAATGACTGCCATTCTACCAGAGTCAGACAGGGACACCTTTATGGAAAACTCGACCGATGACAGGCCAGTACCATCCAAAGTCTTCAGCGAGGCCTCTGATCTTGCCAAGCAGTGTGATGCAATCAGCTCTCGCCGCTACGGTGACCCGAACGTGTTGCCTTATCTCAATGTCCGCTTGTCTTTCATGAAGTTCATGTCCGGCAATGAAACTGCTATTAGGCATCTTCAAGACTGGTTTCCTTGGACTTTGGTGGCTCTGATGCTTAACTCTTTGTCAATCCAGTGCCAGAACCATGAACGCATCGAATCTGAAGAATTTCCCCAGCCAAATGACCGACCTCTGCCCGAGGATTGGTCTCTTCGAGGGCTTCTCTGGACCGACAAGCTGTTTCCGTCTGACTGGTTCCATAATAAGGTCGACGATGATGAGAAGACATTCGAGCTGCCTTCCATGACCGAGCACAGAAAAGAACGGGTCCTCTGGCTGGGCTACCGCCTCGCCGTTTCCGGCAAGTGGCTGATCTACGACAAACAAACCAAGCACTTCAGTGTCACACCCGAGTTCCAAAAAGACTATCCGGAGTACGCTCCAAGCGAGGACGCTACCCTGACTGGGAAGGAGGGCTCTATGTCGCGTTCATCAACGTTCGGCAGTTCTACAACGGAGGGCAGCGAAGTCTCGGTCACAGAGCAAGGCGATTGCGACACGGCAAATGCAGATGATGATGCCTCTATGGTTATGGAAAAGATAGATTCTTGAATGCATACGTTTGCGAATAGGTGTCTCCGGCCTGGTACGGCAACTCGTAGCTCAAGGACAGATATAGGCCCCTGGCTACTGCTTTCATCGTTGGTTTGTGCTCCTGCCACAATCATGCTTCTCATCGTGTTGCTGATACTATCCGCAGATGATTGGTGGCCTTCTAGTAGCGGTAGCAGCATTGACTCTGGAAGATTGTCTCCGGTACTGAAACCTAATATGCCACTTCTGAATGGACCCAATTCTTACCGGGCTGTTCCGTTGGAGGACGTCTATCTATCCAGGCTACACCGCGGTGCCTGGAGTCGCGAAAGCGAGGGCCCTCCTACTGGTCTCATTGGATAGTTATGTTTGTTTGCTTCCCGGATCCAATCCATCGGGACCGTGGAAACTATTTCTGGACCCCGGAGACTCCTCAATACGCCTCATTCTTCTCCCTCCAGGAGCCTGGCCATCGGCCTGGTTAATTGGTTGCCAGTGATGCCGTGTGATCGAGCACAAGTCTCACCAGAGGCTCGACGGTAAATCGCCCGACTTCTTGAAAGCTATATGTGTGTTTTGTTTGCGTCAGGTCCTCTTTAGGCCGGGAGCATCCCAAGCCCGTGACCTGGCTTGTGCTCTGTCCACTTTGGATCACCCAGCTCGAGGCTGTCATAATCCATCAGACAGCGAAAAGAGGCTTGGAATTTCTCCAGTTCAATGGCTGGATAAGACCTTCACAGCCTGCAAGCGAAACTCTACCGACAGAAATTGTCACCATGGCACGTACGGTGCTACAGTACGTGCCCAATACGTTTGGAATTATGTGAGCGGGTCCACCAAAGGACCACCAGGAATTCCCATATTTGTGTGTACAGGAACATGGTCAACTAGCTCCTTATCGAGCACAACTCGAACGTTTCACGCCGTCGCGCATCCGCGGATTACACAAGGATGGGGACATTCATAGTGTGTGATTACCAGAAATTAGATTTATTGGACACTCGTTTACATAATCTTAAAACTAATCAAGTCATGGAATCCTACAAGATTTCATCGGGATGTCAATATCCTGCTTTCCTCCCTGATTTCTGCCACTCAACCTCCTGCGAATTGTGCAACCCGTGGAGCCATCATATATGACAGCAACCTGCATGTTGAAATTAGAGCGCCACCCCCATATCTAGTCCCCAAGGTCCCACGCTGATGGGCACTCGCTCGTCTACAAGCGGACGGAGCCTTGTCAAGACATCAAGGCAATCACGCAGGTGACCATTGTCCCGAAGACATCACCGGCTTTTTCAAGAATAACACGAGATAGTTACACCACCTTCTTCGCAGCCTTCGAGAAAAGTGCAGAAACATACTCTACTGCTTGGCCCCCAGGTGGCATACACCGCATTACGCGATGTATGACAGCGCGGGGTCTCGTGGTCTCATTACTGTACCACTGCTGTTTTGGAAATCGAAATAACCCAAGACAATCTAATAAAGCGACAAAGCCATATCTCAAGACCCGTGGGGCATGCCTCATGCAGACATGACTGCCAATAGCGTCCTCAACACTAACTTCTATCGATCAATCTTGGAACCCCCACAATGCGGGCATGCTTGCAGCCCTGCGACCGGTCTCGAGAGCAGGCTTAACTATGGGGGCAGGATGGCCTTTGCCCTTTGTGCATCATGGCTGCATACATGTCCCGCAGCACAGAAGGGTATGCTTTTACGCCCACACGATGCCTTGCGTCCAGCATCAGATGCTCAGGTGAGATCAGCACCACACCGAGATTTGATCACCCGGTCGGCTTTTCAATCTTTCTCTTAAATGGGGGGGTCGCAGATTGGAGATGCTGATCCGAAATAAAGCAATGCGGTGGCTTACATGCTGCATACGGGAACCGAACATCTTGCCCGGGAGAATCGCAATCTTGCGGAACTCCTCCCAGCCTCGTGGCGCGCGCCGGGCGTCGATCCTAGTGCTTGCTGGCTGACCTGCGACTGCGGGCACCCTGCCGGTTCTCCATGCATGTAAGCAGCAGGACGCTAGCACGAGCTGCAAGCTACTCGTCTGGTTGCACCGCAGCCTGCAAGTGGACGGCACAAGCCAATCACTGAAAAATAGGGCGAGCGAAGGTGGGCATCTATCCCGTCCTGGGCCAGTTGCAAAGATCAACTCCAAGACCGTCGAGTTGGTTTTGTATGTTGGTTCCAACAGATGATCCTCCCAGAGACAGAAATAAACTTCGAACACACCCATTGTAATTTGTCAACATTGTGCTAGACAACTTCGAATGGCACAAGTTACAAAATGCTCTCAGCATCGTCATGAGTGGCTGCACGTGGCAGATGATACCACCGATATCATCTGTAGGTTGCATACTTTTAGGACTTGTGCATCAAGGCAGCAAGGCATGAAGATGGGAACTGATAAGAAGAAGACTCAAAGAAGAAGGAAACAACCTGAACAAAGACAGGAAAGGCAGATCGGAGCCTGGCAGCCGATTTTTGGTTGCCTGTCACCTTTTGGCAAGACATCTGCCCATTGCCCTGACATCAGCAGTTCTCAAGTGTTGGTTGGGGAAGGTGTGAAGCTCTGAAGACGATAGTGATGTAGACAATAGTAAAAGACCTGCATGGATGCGCTGCAGGAGCCCAAGGATTGAGGCTATGCGACGATGTCCTGTTGGTAGAAATCCTTGTCGAGAACCCACGACATTGCAGACCGGTCAAGATACACACATTTGTGATATCGTGCGAAATGGAAAGAGCATTTTGACATTTGAGCCGTCCCTGGCTTTCGATTCAAAATGAGTGGCGTCATTGACAACAAGATATTGGCAACGAAGCAGGCTGCACCTGTAGGAGGACCGGTAAGGTGACAAGTGGTTTGAGTTCGCGACGCACAAAACCGGTTCCGGAGGTAGTCCTGGCTGGGCATTTGATGATTCATTCCATTGGATCCGCAGGTTCCGGGTAAATATATCATGATAGAGCGTCACGAGGGTGTTGTTCGAACACGGTCGCCAGTGAGGATTGAGCGGAGTTGTGATGACCAAGAGCTAAGGCGCATGTGCAAGTAAGACTTACAAGCGGTTCCGCGGCCGCTGAAGGTGCACTCAAAAGGCGTTGTTGTGATCCTCGCCGTTCCCTGCGACATTCGAGTCCCAGGCATTGCCTGCTGTGGAACTTCCACTTGGAAATTCAATGTTGAAAATTCGTTGGATGGATCCCATGGAGCTCGTTCGTCGGAAATCGGCGACGTCGCAATCTGGACGGGTTTCGGTGAAAGGTTTTCGAGTTGCTGACTGCCGGTGCTCACCGAATGTAAGCATACTAGCGGTGAGTAAGTGAACAGAGGCTTTCCAATGCGGCTGCACGAGGCTGCGTTGTCTCAGCCGTGTACATTTGTAGACGGCTCGGCCGCCAACTTACAAGGGCAAACTTTTGAAGCTTGCAGGAAAGAACAGGAAGAAGGCAACCTGACGCCCCATCGCACAGCGTTTGCTTATCTGCAGGTCGTCCATGAAGCAAGCCGTTGATTCTTAGTTGATAAAATGTCTGACCTCTTGCTGAAGCGTAGCATTCGGGGCATATATTTGCGGCTGAAAGGCAGTTTGTAGGCGTCCAAGAGTCCTGATCGGTTCAGCAAATCACGATCGGCCAGTGATCAAAATCAGCATAAATTCGGGGTAAATTGAAGTGCGGTGTGCCTGGAGTAGGATTTGAAGCCGGTGAGATTCGAAGTCGGTAGGATTCGAAGTCGGTTTCGAGAGCGAGGTTGACGCAGGTCCAAGGGTTGTAAGGCAACAGGACCCCAATATTGCGATCTTGCCTCGAAAAGTGCGATGCAATCGACCATGGCTCAGAGGCCAGTGAGCCGGCCTGTGGCCGATTTTGTTGGTAATTCTGGCACTTTTTGGAGAACCAACAGCGTTCATACAGCCAGATTCGACAGGAATCGAATCGTGATGTCCGTGGATGCAGCCTGGTACGCCCCCGCCAGGCCAGCAGGCAACAGGCAGCAAGGCCTGCGCCACCCCATAGAGCCAGTGTTCCGGATGTCAGAGTGCGGCGCAATGATTTCCGATTGTGGGCATATTAGTACTGGCTGAAGCACCATAAGGGCCATGGAGAAACTCTTGCTCAAGAAATTTGCCAGTCGCTGGCTGCGGAGGGTGATCGAATTAGCGTCGTCCAGCGTGATGGTCTGCGTCGGAGACGAGAGGCTGGGTACGGGTTCGTTATATTCCTGAACGAGGCTCTGCCGCCGCAGAATTGGCGCCCTGTGCTGGTCCAACTCCTGCTTGATCCCAAAGATTGCAGTTTGAAGGAGTGTGTGCAATGTACGATGGCAGCGATTTTGCGTGTGGCCGACGAAGAAGCTGATACTTCTGTTGAGCTTCTGCTGACGAGGCATTGACTCATTATGACAGGGATAGATGGTATTGTCGAGGGGAAAAGGAAAGCGTTCAACGAAGGTCGAGCAGAGTGAGGTCGATAGAACATCCTCAGCCACAAGTGCTAGAAGGTGTCGTGGAAAGGACGATGGTCTACGAGAGGACCTCGCCTATGATTCTGTATAATGTCATCAGTCTTTTCCAAGCTATATTCCAGGATGTGATTGTCCCTTAGAAAAAGCCGTCTGATATCTTCATGGTGCTGCGCGTGTTGCAATGACTGTGATTTCTTGGTGAACTGAAAGCTCAGTCTTCAGGTTGTTCTGTTCTGTGTGCAGCGAAACAGACACAATTCATCCTCAATGTTGGGCAGATCGAGAGTGCGATGAGCAAACAAGAAGTGGTAGTCAGAGTGTTCTTGCGTGAGAAGCTCTAATATCAGCCGATGCGCGATCAGAGCCGCGATGGAAGGTCGCAGGTAGGTTGTGTTGTCGATGGGATTGATGCGATGAGTTGTTGGGTGTTAGGGTTGCAGGCAACGTCAGGGCTATCGAAGTCCGCTGAAATGAAGGGCCCAGGCGCTAGAGGCGGGAGGACGTGCGCTGATGTTCGTGTGGGGGTGGGTCTTTGAGCCGCAACGACGGAAAGCTCCACCAATTGCTGCGATTGAGTGCTGCCGTCCATCGACAACCTCACCTGCCTCGACTCGCCCATCAATCGCTGGCAGACTTTCCTTTCCCTTTGCAATAACCTGTCATTCCGTCTAATAGACGATGGGCACCACGAGTCGATTCAAGACGCCTGGGCCGACATGTTGAGAGGGGCACACTTGTCCAAAGCCTGTCTGATTGTGCATCACCACAGGGGCGCGTGCCGAGTGGTGTTGTTCCCGCAATCTCGGTGATGGCGCCCGATATATGCAGGTCGTGCTGCTTTCGGAAGGCGTTGGCCCATCTCGGCCTGGAACCGGCGGTGCGGTGGAGTCCAACAGCCGAAGTTGCAGCACTATCGACGCCATCTCAAGCCGTGGGGTGGATCGCGCTCACTGCACGCACTTCTTCGTTGTTGCTTCCCCAATCTAGACTCCCTATGCATTTGCGCTGGTATGGAGCCACTTGTTTTTCCCTCTTGGCAGAGGGGTGCATTCTGCAAAGCCTCAGGCGCGAAATGGTGTCGAACGACGCATCGATCAAATGATATCTCGACGCAAAGATATCATGTGCTTCCAGCATCTTGACACTCGTGCTGTCGGGCCCGGAAAGATATCACTAGATGTTGTGGGATTTAGCAGTGCCCCCTCGGACTCCTCACACCAACTTGAAAGCCACAATTGTTACCTTGGAGCTACGCGCGAGTCTTGGTGGCCACTACCGACAATGGTAAGAGAACTCAGCTGCCAACGCGTGCATCTCTGCCAGGACCGAGTCGATCCCTTCCAAGCAGGTTCCTGGACGGTTTCCGCATATATTGCTAGGGCGGTTCGAGCATGCGAGTGTATATGGGCCCTCAGCAAGTAATATCTCCTGCCGATTGCTAGCCATTGCAGACACGTTGTCCGAAGCGCGCAACACAGTCGATAGTTCCTCGGAGGAAAGGTACCGAATGCTCGAAAGGTGGTTGCAGGGTAGTCGAATATGGGATAACGGCGGCGCCATGGCGAATTTGGTTGGTGGACGATGTGGATCTTGCTGCTGCGCTGGACACTGGGTGACCGAGTGGCTGGCCAGCTGGCTGGCTTGACGTGGGCCTTGCTCGAGCAAGCGGCAGCTTCGATTTCAGGATAGGTTGCTCCTGAATGACGTGAGTGATGGGCTGTTTGGACTGATTCTTGTCATGTCTCGAAACAAAAGAAAACGGTGTCCCTGTTTTCTTCGTTCTCGCCTGCTTCCCATCGGTCATCGCTTCTCTTGGTCCCATATCATCATGTCTTACAGGCAAATCCGAAGGGGTCTGCTCTGCCTCGTCAGAAGACACATTCTCATTGCGAGAGTCGTTCATGGAAGGTTCTCCCAATCTTTCTTGTCTCTTCCAGTGTCGAAAGCCCCTGTGACCGTGCTGGAATAACCAGGAGCGGCCTCCAAGAGAATCCTCTTCGTTTCCTGGTTCTGTTCCTGGTTTTCTGTGGCCGGTCCCTAGCTCTTCTTGTCCAAGTCGCTTGTACTGCTCGTTGGGGGTGCTTCGTCGCGCACTTCGGAGTGTGACAGACTGTACACAGACTGGTCTGGTCGAGTTTGAATCACTCTCGTTATATCACCCGTTGAATTAAAACTGACACAGAGAGAACTGGTTCTCAACACGAACGAGGCTGCTCCAAATCCTTTTCGAGCAGCCGAACGTGAATAGGCAGCCTGAGAACCATCATGGCCCTGTCTTTTGAGCCTCCAACGTGCCCTAGGCCGAGCTCATCTTGAGCATCTCAAGCTCTTGTTGACTGTAGCAGCTAGCCACTGTGTCAGACTAACTTGACTCGTAACGTAGGCATCTCCGGGCTCGTCGGAAGCTGCTTGACCGTGAGAGGGCTTCAAGGTCTGGCACATGTCCAGCCTGGACCTTCTCCGGTAGTGATGTGTGAAACAGGGACAGCAAGGCGATCGAACATGTTATGTCTTTGAAACTTGTCGCATGGGCGTTATTGTAGAGGTAGCAGTTCTCTCGTGTGCATGACCGGGAGTGCTTGTTCAGTTGAAGGAGATAGGAGAGGCAGCGAAAACAAAAGCCAAGGGAAAGCCACAGGTGCCTTTAGAACGTTGAGGCTCTGGGAGCGGTGAGCTGACTAGACCCCCCCCCCTTGCAGAATCAGGCTCCGGCGGCAAAAGAAGGAGAGCCAGGAGGCAAGCGGCTTGTACGCTGGCCGCTGATGCCCAACGCCAGCCCTTTCCTAGTCAGGTTGGAAAATATGACAAAGAAGGCATGAGTAACAGGCTGGAATGTATTTTCCGGTGCGTATCTTTCCAAGATGATGTCCATGTCGAAGTTTGACCGGCATTTCTGGCTGTTGACTGCTACTCGGGGGATGTGAAAGGAGAGAAACGAGGGACTGGACACTTTCAGGAGGTTCCATTTGCTCTAAATTGCTGACTACCGTCATTGATAGGCGTATGGATGGTCCTAGACACCCACATTGGACAGGTGATATGCCTACACAAGCAGCGCACTGTACTGCCTCGCAGCGATCTCTGTATCCAGTGTGGTGCCTTCCTGCACTTGTCCACAAGCTCATTCTCTCGGTGTGCAGGAAAATCAGAAAGGTTTCCCCCCTTAGGGGCTAGAGCCATCAAGCGGTCACGCACGCCCTATGGTCAATCCTTGGATCGTGATCACGGCGGCAAGCGGACCACGACGTTTCTTGACGCCTAACTTCAGGCTTCGGCAATGACTCTATTCAGTCCGTGGACTACCGCGAACTGTAAGGGATCAGATGTATATGTGATTCACGGTATCGGTGTGCTGCCCCCAGAGACTCACCCGACTCTCGCCGAAAACATCTCCTCTGAGAGCTTATTTCGCAGCTCGGGCTTTCGAAGTAAGATCTCGTTGGCCTGCCCGCTTCGCTCCTGGTAAATTTGAGTCCAGAGCACAGCCTTGTCTCAGATCCCGCGGACTATCCAGGTATTATGTGTGTGGCGTTGCCGGCCCGCTGCGACGCTTTAGTTTTGGGCGCCCAGGTACCAAGCATCGTGCACACTGAGCCACGCACGTACCTAGCAAGCGTCAACATATTCAATGAACCTGAGATGACTGTTGGATTTGCCGGTTTGTCTATCGGTTTACAAGTGTCCCTCTTAAGGGCAACAGAAACAGACGCTGAAGCTTGATGAGATGTCCTGTGCCGATGTTAGGGTCGCTGGAAGGGTACAGTTGGCCGTGGAAATGTATGTCTGCTTTCTCCAGGGTCTGGACAGTTTATTTTGAAGAAGAACATGAGATAACACTTAACATGCTGGTATCCACCTTAGGAACCTCCCACAAGTCTCCGCGCTACCGAGCAACTGTGATGCAGCTTCTCGGGCGTTGCCGCGTGATGGCCCGGTTGGGACAGGGAGACCGGTCAGTGTATCTGCTTCTACTGGTCAAATTCTAACGATACCCTCTTCTGGAAAATAACACGAAGGCTTAGCCTCAGTTGCCTGACGAGGGAACAAGGCGTTCTGACGGAACTAAGAGAAAATGCCGTTGTGACTGGCTCGACGGGGCGAGCAGGCCTGCAAAGCGCCATCTCCACAGCCTCCATTCAGTCCCAGTGCCCTTGGTGTTGGTCTTGACTGCAAGCTCGGACGTTTTCCGTACATTTAAAACGAGCAAAGGCCCTCCTCATGGCAAATTGTAACCAATCTGTCAAGCTCCTGGACTTGCCCAGTGTTGACAAGACCTTGAGGAAAGACGATCTGCTCGATTTCTTGCATTTGATGACTTCGGAACATTTTGTTCAACCATAAAGAGCCCAGATTGCCGAACGGAATGAACACGGCGCCTAGACCGTCGAATGATAACCATGAGCACGCCACAAATGCAACGGGCGGGAGGTGGTAGGTCAGACCTGCAGGCACCCCCTCTCGAGATTCAGGTGCGCCCCCTTACATATAACGGCAATTTCTGATGTTTTCCAGTTGCTCAACATCTCCAATTTCTCCCTCCCACAAAGTGCTCTCGTCTCTTGAGTTAGACGACCTCCAGAAGGAATGCCATTCCATTCGCACAGCCGTGACGGAGCACGAGCTCCTCAGGCACCAGCACTGTGGTCTCGTTCATATTGTTCCATGGAAGCAAGCCGAGTTCCCACCTGTCTCGAGCTCACATCGTCCTAGAGGGACGTCAGCCACAGCTGAGATCGGGTCGCACAGGTAAAAGCCTACGCCTCCATCTCTAAACCGCTAATTGACACGTTGAAGGGATGTCGATGATATCTCGGTGTATCCTCGCCAGATCCACTACACTCCAGGAGATACTCCAGTGGGTAGACCGTGACTAAAAACGTCCCGATGATCACGCACTGACCGACAGTTCAATTGGTCCGAACGCAGACTAAGGTCCTTCATGGAATGACGACACAGGAAAACGCGGTAGACCACCATGGAAGCATCGCTCGCATGATGTTCAAAGTCGAAAACACCTCGATCCCTGCAGCACTTGTTGCAGTCAGTGCCCACGATAATGATTCCAACACTTACTCCTTCTCGATTCAAAGCACTTCGACACTGTCAATACCTTACCCGACTAAGATACATGAAGACAGCTCCATGTTGTGCGTCAATAGCATTCATGCTGGAGATATCGATCCTGTGCCTGTGAAGCAGGACAGTTAAGGTTGGGGCAGCTTTATCACTTGACGTTCTCAACCAAATGCTGCTTTATTTTACCAGCTCCGTATCAAGACAACACGAATGGTAAAAGAAGAAAGAGAGGAGAAAGAAGGAACATGGAGAAATAATAGAATATGGGGCGAACATGATGAGGACTGAAGTAAGGTATGTGACAGCGCCCAAGAGATGGACCTCATTTTTTACCTCCCATATCAGCCGATACCCCCATCTCGATTATACAGTTCCTATTTATCAGGCTGTCGTCGGACGACCAAAGAGTTTGAGAAGAAAACGTCAGCAGTGAGGCTCCTGTTGACTTTATAGTACTCGCATTCGTCGGTGATGTCCGGATCGGGGCTTGGATACAAAATGGGATGACTTGAGCGATGAAAGGCTTCTTGTCCAAGGTGTGACAGTTCCCTTTTCATTCGAACATATTTCGACTGGGTGCCTTTTGAGTACCAAGCCCTACATGTCTGTATCGCATCCTCCGAAAAGCCGTCTACGTCCCATGATAAGACTCTTCGGTCCTATGTACGTAGTGTATAAACTGGCCGTGAAGATCTGGGCACAACAGCTAATTAAATGCACTCGGCCGACTCCCTGTATATTCACTTTGAATGATTCCTTGATGACTCACGGTCGTCGCGTGGGCGGATATCGGGAGAGTTCTGCTCGTATCACTTCGCCACTAGTGAAATCTTCCATGCCCCAGAATCATTCTCTTGGTATATTCCTGATATGAGGGGAAGTTTTGCTCATGCTTATACATTAGCATATGAGGTAGCACATACTGCTTTGGAATTCTGGCAAGAGTGACACTAGCTGTGGTTGAAGAAGGCTGCAAACACCCAAGTTCCTAGTAAAGCTTGTCACCATTTCCTAATCCATATCCAGTTCTGAGAGTCTTTTAGCGATTTATTAAGTTAAGGCAAACGTGATCGTTGTTATGGATATATCCTCTCCAAGGTACCATCTCGCTGGTCCAATATTTACAAGTCCAGCCCGAGCCAAGGGGAATATCTGATATCGAAGCCCTCAAAGTACAGTGGAAATTGTGTGCATGATGTGTAAGACAGAGAGCCATTTGCAATTATAGCTGCTCAGAATGAAAACTCCCAACTAACAAGTAGTCAAGCCATGGCTGCCCGTGATCGTGGAAGACCGAGGCTAGGAGGGGACCTCGAGTTGCCTTTACTTCCTGGGTACAGTCTCTGTACATATCTTCACTATTTAATCAGGACTAATTACTGGTAACTTGGGACTGGAGATCAACACATCTCAATAGTGAAAATTTGCTTTCCTTTTGTCTCCTAATTTTATTGGGTGCAACAAATCCGCTCCCCAGGAAACAATATTTCCTTGATTGTCGCGCATTTGCGTGAAGTGACATCATGAGGCTCTGCATATGCGGGGGTCATCGGTCAGCCAGTCTGCCTAAGTCCTCATCTATAAAGCGGTCTGATGATATGACACGAGAAGAATAGTTCCATTGTTCAGGTACATTCTTCGACCTTGTAACTAGATGCTCTCAATCAATTATCATGAAGCCTCTCAAACAACAAACGGGCTTTTCAGGCTTCCTAGCAGAAGGTTTGTAAGATGCACTACTGCAACTATAGTTCACTTACCCTGGCTAACAATGTCATACCCCACCTCAGGTATTCTCAGGGCTCGTTACTACGCCTTCTTCGGTCTATCGCTTATCTTGATTCCCTGCACTTGCGGCATGTCTATTATAGGAGTGGCAGATGGACTTTTCGATGATCACAGTGCTTGGAGAAATGACCGTGAGTCGAGGAAAAAGAAACGAAAAGATCACGATCAAGAAAGTGGGCAGCAGACCAGGGATAGGATGCCCTAGCAATGTCGCGCGTTGAGAGTGGATTTTCAGCCTCGGGTCAAATAACCGTGCGATGGTCTTATGGCAAGTCTACCCTGAGCCTCGGTGGAAATGTTGTCGGGTCCGGAGTGATCCCCCCACCCGATGATTGGAATCCTGAGGTCCATAATCTGATCAAAAGATCTGGCGATGCGCGACTTTCCTTGGTGTCAGAACCATATTTCCATCGAGGAGTCCAAATCACGTCCTCCTTCAGCGTGCAGTGGGCTTCCGCTTGGATCAACCATGACTGGACATCCGGACGAAAAGGAGCTAGGCAGTCTTGTCGTCAAAACACAACATGTACTGGGTGCACTATCTTGGTGAAAGTGGTACATAGCAATAATATCAATATTTTGGCAAGAACAATTTGATACAAATTGGTGTAATTGTTCCGTGGAGCTGCTACTCTCATCTCGGAACGCGGATTAAGCTTAAATCTAAGGTTTTCATTAGAGCAGAAAGCGGCCGGCTCCAGCCCGCCCTGAATTGTATAGCTGCTCCATCAGCCTGACAACACTAGAAAACCTCGATGAGATGTGTCAACTGCTAAGAGTCTTCCAAAAACCTATAACTGCATCATGTACTCACCTATACACATACATGTAGGCACAGCGAAAGCAACTCGGGCATGTACTCTTGATCCGTGATGCTACTGCACATTGCATTTCCTCGTGTTCATGCCCGGGGTGCCAAGCCTTCCAATACGAGAATGTCACCTCCACTACTAAGCCACAGAGGAAAATGGATGCACCCACGCCTCTGAGCATGGGTTTGGACCTTATATTGACCTAGCTAGGGTTTCTAACTCCACTTTGCCCACATAGGCTGGTGCTCGATCGGCAAAACCGCATGTTTTCTATAATAATGCAAAATGTGGGTCACGGAGATCGGCAAGAATATGGGTCTACAGTTCAGGAGGTCTGGAAAAGACCTCGGAGGTAATCTTCCCTGATAAAGGCACGCAAGCGCGCCGAACGAGCTCGAAATGCCCGCCTGCTTTTCTTTCCATCCCATTAAGCCACTCGTTCGTTCTGCAAGATGAGGGTGTCGCACGCCATCTGGGCAGTGCTTCTCGGAAGCCGGACCGTCGCCTCGTCCGCCTCGGCTGATCAAACACCGAAAGACGTCGTTCGCGGTGCATATATTGTGGAGCTCGATAGTGACGCCGACGGCCCCGACTCGTTGTACCAGGCCTTGGCCAGCGATGATAGAATTGCTGTCGACCATCTCCGCGATCTCCGGTCCAGCATCTTCAACGCCGCATCTTTCCAGGTTCGTGACGCTGCAACAGACGACGGCCACGATGCAGAGCGTTTCATGGAGAAGGTCAGGGCGAAGCGCAATGTGAGGAATGTGTGGCCAGTGCGAACAGTCTATATCAACAAAGAGGTTTCCAAGCCTTCACAGATATACAGCCCTGTCAGCCGTCGCCACGAGTCTCGAGATGTGGGTGAAATTAGCAACACCACGACTTTCGCCCCACATATTCAAACCCAGATCGACAAGCTACGTGCCGAGGGATACACAGGCAACGGTGTACGCGTCGCTGTCGTCGACAGCGGTGTTGACTATACCCATCCAGCTCTGGGTGGCTGTTTTGGTCCGGGTTGTTTAGTAGAGGGTGGATATGATTTCTCCGGCGACGACTTGAACCCGGAGACCGGCATTCCCGCCTCACCCGATGATGACCCTTACGATTATTGCATGGGCCATGGCACCCACGTAGCCGGAATAGTGGCTGCGCAGGCCAAAGACAATGAGCTCGGTTTCTCTGGCGGTGCTCCTGGTGTCAAACTACTGGCGTACCGAGTTTGGGGCTGCGGCGGAGGCAGTACCAACGAGTTGATGATTGCAGGGTTCAACAGGGCTTTCGAAGATGGAGCTGATATTATTACTTGCTCCAACGGCTAGTACGTATCTGATTTGCCATCTTCACCCTATGCCGGCCTCAGAGAATTGACCTAGTGTTTTCATTACAGTCAGTCAGGCTGGGCACAAGAAGCGATCTCCGTTGCAGTCGCACGCATCGTCGAGGCAGGCGTGCCCGTTCTCGTCTCCGAAGGAAACGACGGCAACTCGGGTCTCTTCAATGCTCTGACTCCTGCTGTTGGTGCCGGTGTCGGTGGAACGGGAGCCGTGCAGAATCAGGTGCAGCCTATTTTCGAGACAGCCGCGTCCTTCACTGTTGGAGATGCTTCCACGAACGCGACTGAGTCCCAGGAATTCGGCTTCGTGGCTGGGGAGCCTTTGTTTACAGAAGACAACCTGTCTCTCGCTCTCCACAACCTCGGTACCGACGCCTGCGACCCTCTGCCCGACGACACACCGGACCTGTCTGGAAAATTGATCTTGCTTGAGGTTCCGGACTCTAGAGTTACTAGATGCTATCCAATTGACCAGGCCACGAATATTCTAGCTAAAGGTGGCCGATACGTCCTGTACTATGCCCGGGATAATACGTAAGTCTCCCCTGAATGCCAGTAGCAGAACACTCATTAATATCTCTCCACAGGACTGTCGATGAACAATTTCTCTATGTAGATGGGATACGAGGCGTTGGCACTGTCCCTCCTTATAGGGGCTCTGCTTGGAATGATCTGCTGGCTCAAGGCACCAAGATCACAGTATCACTGCCAAATCTCAACACCACCAGCGCTGTCAACATGACCACGTCATCATCGTTCTACTACGAAGAGGTAGAAAGCAATGTCAATGGCGGCAGGATTAGCGATTTCACTTCTTGGGGTCCATCTTGGGAACTATCACTGTCGCCTCAATGGCTCGCGCCAGGTGGGCAAATTCCAGGTTTGTATCCTGTTGTCATGGGCGCATATAAGATCATGTCGGGCACTTCTATGGCCGCTCCTCATGTGGCCTCCATCTACGCTCTGATCAAAGAGGCAAGGGGTTCCAGCGACCCGAAGACAATTCGCAGTCTTCTGTCGTCTACAGCTAAGCCCCAAGCTCCGCTTGGAAGCGCCAACAACACCGGCGGACTCGTTGCTTCTGTTGCGCAGCAGGGCGCAGGTCTGGTACAGGCGTATGATGCGGCACACTCCACTATAATCCTCGACATAGACGGTATTGCACTCAACGACACAGACAACTTTGTCGGAACCCACACGTTTAGCATCAAGAATACCGGGGCCAGCGACGTGACTTTCGATGTGGGACACGCGAAGGCAGTTACCATGTACACCTTCCAAGAGGGTTCGAATGGAGCCTTACTCGCCTCTAACCGAGAGGCAGATGCATGGGCCGAATTGGCTTTTAGCACTGACAAGGTCGTTGTCCCAGCTGGGGGCTCATCTAACGTCACCGTTACGGTTACTCCGCCAGAAGGACTCAATGACACCCTTGTGCCCATCTACAGCGGCTACGTGACCCTCAAGTCGGACGATCAGTCACTTGTACTACCTTATCTTGGAATGGTGGGCAGCCTAGTCTCTACACCAGTTCTCGATGCAAGAAACGTCTATCTTGCGAATTATAATACTCCTGCCGAGAGCAACAAGACTTACACAATCCCGCGGCCTGATCCCTCAGCCTTCATCAACACTAATCGCGGAGACCAAGCAACAACGCCCAATGTTGCTATTCACCCGACTGTGGGCACAGCGCAGCTGCGGATCGACATTTTAGGTCTCACTTCTGGAGGAAACAGCACCGGATTGCCGACAACGCCGTTCTTTGACCGGTTTGAAAGTATTGGAACCCTGCCGGGCTACCCCGTCCCCTACACATCAAACGAGAATCGTGCTGCATTCTTCAAGGGTCTGATGGCAGATGGGACGGTCCTGCCCGAGGGGACGTATCAGCTTGCCATTTCTGGCTTGAGAGTGTTTGGCAATGCGTCCAGTGCGGATGATTGGGACACCGTGCAGACGGTTCCTTTCAATCTGAAATATTCTGTTCAGTAGATACCTCTAGCAATCTAGTCATTGAGACTATTTCTGAATAAGAAAGACGAAAGCATGAACATTATATTGATAATGGCGTGAGACTTCAGGAACCGTTACGATCTTGTCGTACCTGCAGCAAGCCTCTTCGAAGAGGCAATAACTTAACACTAATGCTATGGGTGTGACCGGAATAGTGCCAGCGTTACTCCTAACGATGTTCTCAGATATTTTGCATGTTCCGAATGCAAATCGTTTCTAATCCTGTCCACTCTAGGTATTTCCTGGGCATGTTGTAAGTTTCAGTGAGGGACTGAATAGGCCCAAGGCTTTTGGACCTCAAAGCAAGCTTAGTTGGCATCGAGAATGTTTCAACCAACAGAGAATTGTTTACATAAGAACCCCGAACGAATTCGTACTGTAGAGAACTGGTTCTGAAGTCCAGATACTGGTTCCGTTGTCAACAAATTTACCGGATAGGTAGCCATTTGGAATAATTGAAGCATGCAAAATATAGAATGAAGGTAACAGATCGGAAATGAAGAAACTTTGGTATATAGAGGTCTGATACGGCTTCTCGTAGCAACGGTTTACTTCATCAAGGAATTGCCATTGGCTTACCAGCAATTACTAGTTTAACGGAATCATGTCTTGCTATATCACTACTTCACAGACAGACATCACTCAACACTGCAAATCAAACTGTGGACATAACTAGTAGCTTTTCCTGAGGCGTGAAACAAATCAATGGGAATTAACCGGGGTGACGATTCCCGGCCGAGGGGATGTGCATTCAATAGTGGGACCTGGATGTTAGGCAAATGAGGCATACCATGGGCTCGAAAGGGGATTTGATACCTTGACGGAGGCCGCGTCATAGAATCCTCACCTCAAACCGCTGTTGTCCTACTACTGGTCAGACGCTGCATACCAAGTCGGCAACAAGGACCTGGCTATTTGGATTACCAGCATGCGATCGTGAAATTGAGAGCAGGCAGCCGAATTCTAGTGTATTTCAGGGGTCCCGCACTTGTTAGAACCAATTTTTTAGACGAAGGCAACCAGGCGTCTGCAAAGCCTCCTTGGATGAGCTGATCATCAAGTCGTTAAATCTCGGCGACGTACGTTGCGAATGCCCCCAAAGGAGGCCGAGGCAAACCATAGCGATAAGAGCCCCCAAGATTTCGATTGAACATCGTAAAGATTAGTCTCGGAATTCGGACGTGTTTTCAGTCCCGAGATGGTGACCACGTAATGCAGAGGCTGAGCAGCAATTTCAGCTCGGGATCACTCCACCGCCACGGCTTACGACGGGCAATGGCAACTCCGGACTTGAAAGTCTCGTTAACTTAAGGCAAAGTACTACATCGTACTCGCACAAGCGAACAAGGCAACTTGAGCTTGACTGAATCTGGCTGGGAAAATCATGTTGTATCAGCTGCTGAAGTGAATGTATCCGGATGTCATCAGCTGATGCGAGGGAAGACTCCATGAGCAAGCAAATTAGGGATACGCATGTTGAAATACGTCAAGTTATCTTTAGGACAATTTGAACATATTAGGCACCGTCCGCCCTCATTGTTCTCAGAAATGAAGCTAGGCTGCGGCTCGGGTTAAAGACGACAGTGATCAATTAGTGTCGCCGAGGATCAGCTCTCGAAGTGGGGGCCGCGCGACCCGTCTTGCATTGAACATGCCGAATTTGCACCTCAGCATCGTAGACTTTGTGAATGGCACAGCTGGGCCTTTCTAGATGCTCGGTCTAAAATGAAAGAGACAAGGCAATTGTGTCGATTTGGCGCTGACTAGGAAGTAAGATGACACAGCAAGCTCCGTAGGGCAGCTAGTCTTGAAAGATTATTGGAACCACATGGTCAAGATGACCACCCACGAGTCAACCGCTGGGTGCCCAACTCGGCACCGCAAGGCTTTTCTATATGGCAAGTCCGGTAATGCCGTAGATGTACCCTACTTCTCGGATAGGAGCGGTCCAACGACGACAAAAGAGGCCGAGACAACCTTGAAAATCAGAAGTCAAGGGTTGAGATGGTTGTTCAGCCTCTTTAGGGGAAGGAGGTATTGGGGAAAGGCCCGTGCGCCCTCTCAGGCAGCAAGCAGCTTTGGACAGCAGCAACGACTGCGACACAGCTGTTGATCACGATTCGCAATCAATCCAAGAACAGAACCAGATGTCTAGTGCGAGACCATACCCGCAAGAAACGAGAGAAGTGTGATGGGCCATCATGTCTCACTCATCGGCAAAGGCCCATTCCTTGCCCTCCTTGAGACCAGGACAATCTTCGCCTCTCGCGAAATCAAGAGCAAAGTCGATGGCTGTGGAATCTTTGCAGATGCATGCCTTGCCCAGAGAAGAGTACAGGACTCAGCAGGAGAATGCTATTGGAGTCCAAGGATCGCCAAAACCAAGATCTACTATTGCCCAAATTCTGAGCCATTCTCAGCTGCAAACCGCCGCCAAGCCTCGAGAAGCATCCACGAGCGATATGCAAGATCCCAAGAGACTCTCCAAGACCCCTAGGCACCCTTCAAGATCCTGGGAAGATGATTCAACCAGGCTACTCCCTTTTCAGAGACCTGATTGTCTTTTGCCTGCCTCCGACCCTTCTACCAGCTCCCCCTTTTTTAGCCTAACAGAGCAGGAACTTAAGGTGCTCAGAAGAAAAATGGGAAAGGGGTCAAACTACATGCAATTCAGGGACACAACCGTTGCTCGAACGCTGGACCGCCTTGGGCGCGGCTGGGAAGGCTATATTCGGGCTAAAGAGGAAGCAGGAGAGGAGGGCAAAGACGACGAGTTTTGGCGGCAAATCCAGCATGAGGTCAACTCTGTTCCCACGAACACAAAACCACCTGCCGGAGCAATCTCCATTGAGACGGCTGCCATAGCCGCTCAGAGCAACTACACGACCTCTGTAGGCAGGCTGCAACCTGAGTCTGCGGTCGAGATCCGACGACTGAGGGAGAATTCACGGCAGTCAATGTCAAGTGTTCCTGAAGAGAGCCTGGTTGATCGTGAAATTAACTCACCCGACTCGACAATCGTATGTCGGGCCCTGAACTCACTGCCTGTTCCCGAAGTCGACTCGCGATTCCCTCAACGAGGAGTTTCTGAAGTTTCTGACCATTTTCCGATTTCCCGGCCCAGACGAAACTTGCAAAGGCCAGACTACAGGATACAGCCTTTGCCTGAAAGCAGCCCAGAACCGTCATCTAGAATACCCTCGCCAACGCCACGGGAACTCTACGATCAAGTGCAGCCAAAGTTCGTTCAATATCACTGCGAGTGGAAAAAATGCAAGGCGAGTTTGAACAACTTGGGAACCCTCCAAAAGCATATACGCATTGTGCACGGTGAAGAGGCTGCACACACCTTGAATTGTCTATGGGGCAGATGTGGCACCGGTACTACGTACGCATCAGTTGAGGGTCTCGAACAACATTTCGAAACTGTTCATTTAGCCTCACTTAAGTGGAGTCTTGGTGATGGGCACAAGGGCAACGGTGTAATGACGAAAGCTTCCGACCTCGGGTTCCCCGTCTAAGGTCTCCGAGATGGAGCTTAGATGATGCTCTTTGTCCGAGATCAGACCGCAATGACACTTGTTTAGCGCCTTTCCAGGAGGATTCGGAATCTTCCGTAAAATGACGCTTTGAAGATTCCGGCTGAATTCAAGGACTCAGCAGACTTTGGGGTGATTATTGATGGGAGCCTGACGGAAAGCACAGTTTGGAGCTAGTAGCTTCTGTATCATTAGCTAGGCATTTTTTGCCTACTATTGGACAGTATAGCTCATGTGCTCGATTCAATGTGTCATCAGAAAGGCCTGGCTTTTTTCTTGATGACCTTATGGGTCTCTTTTTCTCTGGGTGGTGTCATCAACTCGGCAGGTATCGGTTCAGGAGACTCATCACTAGTACTGTGAGCCAAATAGATAATTACTCAGGCACACTGTGTCCAGTGTGTCCAGGGCTTACTCGCCTTAGCTTAATGCAAATCTCCACAATGAGTACAGATTCGAGGCGCTTAATGCAACCCAGATTATTTTATTCACATGCTGAAAGTTGCAGCAGCCCAACTTCCCCTGTCACCTCTCTAGCAGAGACATGATCGTACTTGCTCCATGGGAGGGTCCACATGAGGAATCACTGGTCGCATCAGCCTCAAGATTCTTTTCACGTAACTGGTTTGGCTTCAGAAGCCCTTCCAACATACGTGCGCGCGAATTGATTCCCCTAGACGAACATGTGTGTGGAGCCTCGGCTACCGCTTTCCAAACCACATGCACTGAAAACGTGATTGCTCGCCCGACCTTGCCGTGCTATCATGTTGTTTTCGATATAGATGTGGGGCCGTCGCAGACTACTGCTTACATTACTGAATATTGGCAGAGTGAGAAGTGCACATCTTCTGCATGCATTGAGAAGTTCAGGCACCGCGATACGAGAAAGATGCCCATCGAAGGAGGTTCCCGTTGGTCTGGCCAGCCGCATCTTGCTCCTGAAAAAGAATCGTCTCGAACCAAATAGTCGACAGGCAAAAAGGCAGCTAAACGAGGCAACGAAGACTAATGGCAAAAAAACCAAGCACACATGTGCACTGAACTTTGACCTTCCGCAAGTCGCAAGGGTACATGCTTTTGCCAATATTCTGCCCCACCCCCTTTCGATGACATTGCAGCTGGGGTCTCCCCGCGTATTTGAACTTATGCAAACACCGCTGCATGGACACAACATGGTCTGCACGCATGATTGGCAGCCTTGTGTGCCTGTGAAATTGTTGAGGTCATCCCCGGAACCTCCCACATTGCTACTTTGTCAGAGATAAATCTGCCTCGAGCGGAGGCAAGTAGTCCGGACTCGGAGTAGAGTTTCGATATTACACAATTCGAACAGTGTGGGGTTTTCGAGTTGGTTTCCTGACCCTCCGGCCTTCCAAGTCCTGGCACGAGCTTTACTAGATCTTTGACAGACGGTGGGATAATTTTCACCCAGTCAGAGTCTAAAAATCTCATGAGAAGTTGATTCTTGATCCAAACAGTCTATGCGGCACGTCCGGGTATCAAGTTCCTCGGGATTTGACCTGCATTAATTGAAAACGGTATATGGCATGTACCAGCTATCTGGATTTGTCTTAGAGAGCAAAATGCCATAAATCCCACACATTGAAGCCAGCGAATAGGTCGCAAGCTAGGATGCTGAACAAAAAGAGACTCCGGCTGTCCCCCTCGATTTGGTCGATGCCACTCCTGTACGCGCTTGGCCTCGATTTCTCCAGAAGGATTGGATCAAATTGAACCCATCTCGTTGCTCACTGGAAGACTTGCGTCAAATGTGACATTTTCATTAATTTTTTTCGCGTAATCAGCACTATGAATTTGGATGTAAATCTTTTCAATTAGTCTGTTGAGTGCAAAAAAATGAAAGGCTATTCTTCGCAGGGGGTTCCCGCCTCTCATTGTCTCCATTTCGATGAAATGCGTGGATGATTGAAAACTTTGTTTGAAAGAATATCATCAAGGGGCCCCGAGTCCACACAAATAATGCTCTTGAGATCCTCCGTTCTCGTGTTCGTGTCGTGAATACTCATCGTTGCTTGCTATCCTAGGAAACAGCCGCTGGAAGATCCAGGTAGGCGGTCTGAAACCTCAGGCAAGCCCCTACTGCTCAAGTCAATGATATCGCCCTATGGTAACAAGAAAGAGTCAAAGTGTTTTGGAATCTGTCACTGGAGACTCCCGGAATTACACGGCAGGACCTAGCCTAATTCAACTGGTTGTATTTGAATGCAAACTTTGCAAATGCCTTGTAGCTTTGTTCTCGGTCTTTGTTCCGCAGTACGGTATGAATGATCAGTCTTCAATGGCTTACCGCGATATGTTATGCTATACTTGATAGCTGATGCAAGTAGTCAAACAAGTCATTGTGGAGATTATCCGCGCTTTGGTGTTAATTTGACTCTATAAGAAACGGTTGACCCAAGTGTAAACCATGTTGGCCAGTCACAAAAACGTTGGAAATACGACCAATACAGTCGCTTGATCAGGAATTTCTCAACGAACAGCCGAACGCTCAAAAAGACACGCTCAACTCACTCAGCCAACATATCAATCCATCAAGCCCAACATGGCGAGAACTCAGTTCACTTTGAAACCCTTTGTCAATATTCAGCCAGGTTCGAAAGCCCCAGAAGACCCTGAACTACTGAAGAAGCTCCAAGAGGTTGACAAAGCTATTAAAGAGGCCAAGAAGAAAAGGGAAGAATTTAATGCCATAGCGTCAGAGCTTAGGGATCGTAACCATCCTTCAGAGAAATCCGCTGCTGAGAGCGTGGAAGAAGCAGACAAAATTTTGGCTGGCCTAATAGCACTCCGATATGATGTCCTTGACGGAAAATAGGTGTGTTATATTTTCCAAAGGTGTTATTTCGAAACTGACAATACTATTTCCTGAATTTCGAACCTGGAACGTAACGGTCAATATGACGTGAAAGAAACAATCTGTTCAACCAGGAACTTAATGTTGCGCATTTGGAACAACTTCTGCTTGATTTTCAATACTATGTTCGCGTGGAGGGAGCTAGTACGTATAGGAAGAGGGAAGATTGGCGGTTTTGAGGACAAAACAAATCGAGACATGTCACCGAAGCCCCCATTCAGGATCTATCAACGTGCCACTTTGAATTGCACTGAATGCGTGGTATTATCAGTCTCATGCTTTGCGAATCCGCCCAAGATACCGCTTGTACCTCATTAGTACTCCACAAAGCGTTTCACTTCTGCTTCTGATTTTCATAGCCCAACATCTCTTCTCCTTAGTGATCACGACATGGAATCGACCATGGCTTCTTGTTGGATAGAAGGTCGATGTATGGAGCCGTGAAATGAGATACCATTTGCATTTCCTTCGCGTTGTGAAATCAATACCCGAAAGCAATTTCACCGCCCAAATTCATCAAGTGTAGCAGTTCTCTAGGTGACATATCCAATCTCGTTGCAGCCAGTGACTTGATGCGACTTCATACTGGGTATCAGAGACAAGGAGACATCTAGACCTCAGCCATGCGGTAATGCTTGGACTAGGTATTTTGAGGCGGTCGAAAGTTGCTGTAATGGTACCTCGCATTGCGCATGGATGCCGCATACAGCTCCTTTGTAGTGAGCACTTCATCGTGCACACCTCAAATGCTTCAGCTATTTCCCCATGAGGGGGATGAAAATTTCAAAGTTGTGTTCTGGCTGCGATGAAGATAGTGGAATCATTCCTCCTTTATTTCTTTCAGCTGGAAACTACTGCGTATGATTCCCGTCGGCGGGTTACCCGGAGGGCTTCTCGGCAACTTTAAAGCGAACATATGGGATCAGGAATTACTTACTCATGCCTCCACTTCAGGCCGGAACGTTCGTGGTACTAGCGTAGAAAAGCACAGTCATAAACAGACAGACGAGTGCATCCGCAAAGCCTTATTATCCAGTGTAAGGTCTGCTGCTGGGTGCTCGACCTAGATAAACTGTTGGGGGGCCATCAGAGCGGCCGCGTGGGTCGAAGAATCTTGCCTCGGGAGGTGCACGTTGATGGCTTGGTAGCTGTCGCAGCTCTTCGCCGGGATGATTTCGTTCCCATGGATCTGAAGAGCTTGAGGCGTCGTAGACTTGGATTACTGGCGCTGGCGCTGGCCGGCTTCTGCGTCCCTTCGAAGGGCAGCAGCCCATCTTGTTGGCTGCCTTCCTCAACTCGTGACGTAGTACCTTGGTGGTCAATTTGTCGCGATTTCTCTACCTCTTGGTGCTACCGTTGATGAAGTTGATCTGTAGGACCAGATGTGGCTAAGAACTGCTTGATGTGGTAGAAGCTTCAACAAATATGACTGGTCTTGAACGATTATTCCTCACGTGAAGGCAATCAAATATCCGAGGTAATATAATCAAGAGCAAAAGAAATGCAGGAGACCCGCTCATACAACCCTTTTATATAGACAGCGGGCGTGTGAAGTCGATTCACGCAAGGCAGATTTGAGTGACTTTGGAAATTCAGTGAGCTACTGTGAATTATCACCTACAGCGGCAAGTCAGGCTTGAATCATCTAACGCAGGGAATATTTCCTCCGCCTAGTTTTTGACACAATTACAAAATGACGACCGTTTGCTTTGAAGGGGGCACAGTCGGCCTGAGAGTCATTGTAATCATAGAGAGAATCGTTCATTATGATTTCATAATTTCGATGATACAATCCAGAAACTTTTTTACAGCGATACATTCTTTAATTCTCCCTCGAGCCGCTGGCTAGTCAGAGTTGACATTCGATCGTGACCAGTGATGCGATGTAGGCAAAGCGCGGGAGAGAATTACAAGAGCACCAGGTCTAAACAAAATTAGCAACTTAATCAAGACTGGGTGGTGACCTTCTTTGGTTCAATTCTCATATTAAGCCTTCAAGCTGCAATTCAAGTCCTGTGGCAGTAATCCTCTTATTCGGGTCCTGCTCCAACATATCCGCCAGCAGATGATGATTCCCATTAGCTAATTCCATCTTCCACCCGTCAACCTCTCTGAGCCAGCTCTTCATCTCCTCCAACACCAAATCTTGCTCAAATATGTGTGGCAAGATCCACTCCCCATCAGGCAACTTGATATACTTGAACGCAAAAAGCATCGTCACTCCAAGAGCCCAGACATCGCCAGCGCTGCATTTCCTCCGCTGAAGGAACTCAGGAGGCGCATAAGGTGGCGTCCCTGAGGGATTAAACCAGTCGGCCGGCAGTGATTTGTGATTTAGCGCGGCGCCGAAGTCGATCAGGACGCTACGCTGGATAGCGGGATCCCACATAATATTGTCGGGCTTGACGTCGTCATGCGTGATGGAATTTGCGTGCAAGTAGGCTAGGGCGCTGGAGATTTGCTTCCATAGGGTGACCGGGGAATCCGGAGAGAGCGTTGACTTCCAATTATCATCCACGTACTTGTCCAGACTCCGCCCCGACTCGACGCGTAAGGTGAGAGTAAGCTGACTGATATTTGCATCCCAGAGCTGCGTAATGTGCTTCTGTGCCAATTTTGAGCGAGGTCCGGACAAGTGATTCGCGTGACGGAAGAGACTACATACATGAGATGCAACGAGTTTCAGTGTGTTGACTTCATTGCCAAACCGTGTCTTTGTGCGTGGATCATCTTGGTTCCGACATCTCTTGATAATAGCGACCTGTCCATGGAATTGACCAAGCTCTATTGTTGAGTGATAAGTCTCCGTAACGAGTGTAGAAGAATTATGTGCGTCAAGGTTGGACTGAACTTCTAACGCCATTGTATTGTCGCCGTCTATTGTATATGTGTGCTGTGGGTCTCACGAATGAAGCTTGAGGAAGGAGGACGTATTACATGTATCCACATGCAGTTGTCAAAACAACCCGAGTGGTGTTGATCTACAAATATCTCGCTGGTGAAGAATGAGAATTTATCTCTGCCGGCCAGCATTCGAAGAGCTGCCGCTGCCCACAATCCTTCAACGCCCCTCACCTGCGCAATTTGGCTGGCGAACTCGCTAACCATAGGTCCCGACTAACCGAATTTGCGTGGATGGTGACTCAGACCGCGGCAACCCTGTAAAGGCTGTACAGTAGGCCATGTATGCACTTGATACCCTCTACACTTGTGTATTACTACGTGATTCCTGGGAGACTTAATGCATATATCTCTCTTCTATGATCGTAATTAATTCATGAATCTGTTCAGGCTTACTGCGTGAGAAGAACAAGTGAGCTACGGACAATCAAGCACGTAGCTAGTCACACACACAGTGGCTTACCGCCATTGGAAAAATCAATGCAGAGGACATCTGGAAGTGATGAGGCTTTGTAGCAATTTCTTCATTGCCTTTTACTGCGCTGAGATTTCTCGGCTAATTGATTGAATGCCTATTGAACATGGCTCTTGAAGTGTCTGCGGAATTCATACAGAGGGTCAAAGCATGGCCGTCGAACGCGGTCTATAAACTGTAATTATTACGTTTATACAAACAAGACGCTGATATTATGCCTGTTGTCAACCAGAGGTGGATTTACTGAACCCACTTGAGCGCAGACGACGACAGCACGGGCCTTGACGCCGATGGGGACGGTGGAGTAGATGGAGAATCGACAGTTATCCGCCCGGGAAGGCCCACCTCGCCGGCAGGATCGGAATGCCGGAATGCCGGGCGGGAAGTTGCAGACCAGGGACAAAGGCGACGTCGTGCAACGCGTTGTGTGCACGTTGCAGTAGATGTTGTGCAGATGAATGACCAGGCGTTTGAAAGAGGTTGAGGTAGCATCCCTTTCAAGAGAAAACCAATGCGCATGTGTCAGGATATTCTTATGTCATGAGGCTGCAGAAAGCTTGTCCGGCGTCACCGAATTCGGTCTGCGAAATGTTGGGCCGGTATGTATTGTACGCGCAAGATCAGAGGTGGGATCGACTGGCATTTGCTGCGACACTTTTTGCAAGCGTTGTGCAAGTGACTGACTGAGGTCCACAGCGCATTCCTGACCATGTGGTTCTGGCATGACGTCAAGGCCCTTTGAGCGGTCGAAAGGCGCACACTGGCGCAGGGTCTGCAAGTGATCCGTGCAGAAGCTAGGCACGGACACTAGCCGTCAAAGGCTTAGTCTGCTGGGACAGGGCTGTCTTGGGCCCCACGGTTGGACGGCAACCCGGTTTTCCTGGCCCTGCAGGCCCTGCAGGCCTGCAGGCCTTGCGGAACCCTGTCGTCATCCACCTGAGCAAGCAGCTGCGGTGGGACGACCGCGACAGCGACACCGACAGCTAGCTCTTGCGCTTCCCGTGCGATGGGGACCCGGGCGTCGCCAGGCATTGTTTAACTGCCGTGTGACCCTCCCACCACAGCTCCCTGGCCGACTCTTGTTGGTTCCGTCTTCCTGGGCCACGCAATCAATCCTCCAAGCATTTCCCTCCTCCGTTCTCCGTTCGGACGAAATCTGTGACTCGCTCTCCAGTTTCAAGGGACCGTCTTCGTCCGGAGTAACTAGCCTTTCCACCATTGCGCCTTGCCCTTCGGCGAACTTCAACTCCAACAGCCCTGCCATCCGTGGGTTACCATCCTGTCAGCTCTTCTTCACCTAGAGCGGGTAAATAAAGACGGCGCTTGGCCCAAGGTGTGGAACACCAGCGATCATTGTCTCAGTCCCAGAAACAGCTCATCTTACCGACCAGTCAAAGGTATGCGTCGACCTGCCCCCCACTTACCATCCTCTCCCTGAAAACTGCTCCCTCTCCCGGTTGCCTGGCAGTTGTTGCTGCTGTGTCTGCGTTCCATCGCACTGACAAGATTTTCTCCAGGACGGCATCTCCTAAACCACAAGGCCATACGCTGCCTTCCTTCCTGTTGCACTCTCCACAGCTCGAGTGTCCGACGCAGCCATGGCCGGCCGTGAGTCTACCCCGCCTGCGATACATAAACAATGAAGTACAATACTGACATCTCGAACAGATCCATCACTGGGCGGCGTTGCCCTGATCTTCCTCGCCGGATCCATAGTAATGATCTTCTTCGTCATCCTCTCCGGCGTGACAACGACCCTACCCCTCCAAGAGACATATTTCCTGCGAGCACAAACATCTGGTATCACCGGTGCGCGCGACACCTCGCAATGGACCTACTTCCATATATGCAGCCCCGGCAATGTCGACTGCACCCGAGCGAGCCCTGCCATGCCATTTGGCCATGCTTGGGCTGATAATGCGGACAATATCCCAGACGGACTGGGCGGGTGAGTGCTATCCACTTCCGACAAAGCACAAGGCAAACAACAGCTAACTTGAAGCGCAGTGACTTTGCGGGACACACGACCTCTAAATACTACTTCTACATGTGGCGCTTTGGCTGGGTCCTATACTTGATCGGGCTGTTTTTCGATGTCCTCGCTTTCTTCTCGGGCTTCCTGGCTTGTTGCGGCCGTCTGGGTGCTGCAATCTCCGGGCTCGTGGCATTGGTGGCTCTCTTCTTCTACAGCATCGCCGTCTCGCTGATGACAGCTACTTTCGTCAAGGCCCGGGACGCTTTCCTGGCTGACGGCCGTAGCGCCAGTATCGGCCGCTACGCTTTCGGATTCAGCTGGGGTGCGTGGGCTGCCTTGTTCATCGGCACCGTCCTGTTCTTCATGGGTACCCGCCGAGGCGACGGTGTCTCCCGCCGCCGCTTCGGAAGGAGTCGAAGCGTGAGGAGCCACCGCTCCCACGACCTCGGCAGCAGGCGAGTCAAGGACGACTATTCTTAGGATTTGTCAGACTGTCTATCTGAGATACAGACAGGGCTCCCACCGAAGAATGACTGGTCCGTGGTGGCACCAAAAGAGCCCGGGAGAGGACCTTGTGGCTTAGCAAGGAGAACTGCCCCAAGGCAGCTATCTCCGCACCTTGAAAATGACAGCGTCTTGCATATACTACATTCTTTAATTTAAAGCTAATGATTCCTCGACTGTACATTTTGGAACCTCGTGCTTTGCGTTCACTGTGCCAAAAATTTCTCCAAGTACCCGGACGCGGATCGGCGGGACTCTCGCAGTGCCTGCCGGCAAACGTATTGCTGCAGCTATCCGGGAATATTGCAGAGTCCTTGATAGTAACCGAAGTCCGGGGCCCCAATCACATGCCATCGTCAAAATTTTGTTCATTTATTGGGTCCAAACGCAGCTGCAACTGCACGTCAATAAAAGTGCGCTAGCGACATTGAGCCCGTAAGTGGCAGGACGGGCTACTTACCTCACACATCAACTGGGATAGCTCACAACCTTCACTTTGAGCAGCCTGCGTGGTCATTCAATTCCAGGTTTTAAGGTTTAGAAGTAGTTTTTCGAGTCAGTTGGACAAGATGGCAATATCAGAGCTTACTCACAAAAAGACGTGGTTCATTGACTCTGGCATTGCATCTGATTTTCCTTGAGGGGAGTCTATGTGATGTTGGATGGCACATCCGTCCGAAGTTTTGGTGGACTACGCAGCCGCGCAGCCGGGGAAGTATAATTATTTGCCCGACTGTAAATTGAGACGGATGTCCAATCTACCCAAATGTCCTCGGTGAAACAATTTCCTGATATTTGACTTATAAGTTCGAATATGCATGTTGAGCTGGGCAATTTGCTTGTGCACGGAAAAGCCTGAGCCTTCGTGGCTGTTTTTTGCCATTGGAAGATGGGCCACTGTCTACCCAAGGGATAATTGTAATTAATGGGTGATACGAGCATTTGGCCTACAATGATCCAACGCAATAAGCCTTCACCTGCTCACATCAACCCGCAAAGCATTGTTTTGACGGGTTGACCTTCACCAAGCATAGTTCGTTCACACATCCTTCCTACAGCCGTCCCAAGCAATTTGCAACATCTCAGATTCTTAAGCTGCAGTCTGCGGCTTCCTGACACGTACGACCATACCCAGTGGAAAATACGGGATCCCGTCCGCTCTCCCATAGTCAAGCCGCTGAGGGCTGGATTAGTAGTTAAGTCGGTGACGATTAGCGAATACCCGGTGTTGTACGTTCTTTGCTTTTTGTGATGCTGAGTTTTCTTTTGGCTCCCCGGATCCACTGCGTGACTCGACGCGTCAAAGTCTTCTTCACTTCAAGCAAGCATGCCAACAAGACTTGCGTAAGGTCTCTAAGTCCGTTATGTCAATTGTGAAATTAAACTGTGCTTCTCCTCGTTAGGATGAAGCCCAAATACCCCTTTGAAAAGTCCTGCTGTGACCGCCTGCTGTTTTTGCCTCTGACTTCTCTTCTGGGCAAAGCTGGCCAATCGCGTGTAACACGTAATTGCACTATCTTCACGGCCCCCCTGGCGGGCTGTCCGGACTTCCTCTGTCTCTTGCTGATCTAGTATGTGTGGATTATCTCAGGTTTGGGCCAAAAGATGGTCTGTCGTGGATCCTAGGATGCTCACTTTGACTCCCGAGCTCGAAGCCATCGCTTCCGCCTAGCTTCACCTTTACCCACAGCGGGACATGGTCGCTCGTCCCCCGCTCTTGCGGTGAGTCGAGAATGCCCGTGTCGGAGAGTCTGCCCATCTCATAGAGGTTCTGAGATGCAATGATCAGATCGACTCGGTCGCAGCTTGATCCCCATTCGTTTTCGGTCGTTGGGTGGTACGTGTACCTCCTCTCCTTACCACGGATGGCTCGGAAGACATCGATGCCTCGAAAGCTTGCCTCCCCACTTTCCAGGCCTTTACTGCCGACATATGCATTCGCACGGTCGTTGTCGTCTTTCCCAAAGAACTTCGTGTTGAAGTCTGCTCTGTTTACGCAATGCTGCTTCGGCCAGGTTCGCAAGTTTGGCTGACCGTCCAGATGACCCCTCGCGACGTTGAGGTCTCCCGCGATCACAGCATCGAAACCGCGCTTCTCGAGCTCCAGGCACTCGTCTCGAAGCTTGGAGTGAAACGATATCTTGTGGCCGTGCCTCGTGCCCACAACCTGACCATTTTCTGATGAGCGATATGGTGCAGATGTGCCATTCACAGCATACACGTTGATGAGTGCCAAGGGGCGCACAGCATGCCTCTCGCGCTCATGGTCAGATTTAGTATCCCGTCCTGGGCCGCCGTCCAAGGGTCGTTGAAACTCGACGATGCTCACTCGCCCTTCTAGGTCCCATTCTGCGTGACGAACTGTTGCTACATGTTGGCTGGCAAAGTCCTCGCGGAGAATGGTCCCAACGCCGTAGAGCTTCCCGCCGAAGCCCTGAGCGTTGAACTTATCACGAGGCAGGTTGACGTCGAGTGTGTACCGCGAGCTTGCCGTGACTAGATCATCCGATCCAAGAGGTGTGTTGAGGGCCGAGAGCAAGGCGCCTGGTGTTTTGTGGTCCTGCCGGTTGATCTTGAGTTCCTGAAGAAAGAGTACCTCCGGCCACTCGTGCCTAGCCAGGAATGCTCGCAAAGGGCTGTCCGCAGACGAGAGGAAAGAAGGATTGTTGCGGCCTGGAGGTGAAACCGAGGTATCTAGATCGGAGGCCCGCTTCGACTGTCTTGAGACGGGCTTAAAGAATGATGTGATTGGGGCGGTTGAAGCAGGGAGAAATGGTTGGACGCCGTTGATGTTCCATGAGAAAATACGAATGCTGTGCATTCTGGACTGATTGGCCACCTCCGGTTGAGATCCGAGTCCCGTGAATTTGTCCACTTCGGCTTTTCTTCGCCGTTTGGTAGGAGGCGGACTAATTTCTCTTTCCATTCCGGCGACACACCTGTTGGTATTCCAACTCGTCCCCGTTGCACAGGTGACAAAGAGTGCTTGTTCAAGGCAACGATCAACGATGAGGACCCAACATGTCACATCTATGTCAATTTCACGATGTATGCGCTCCTCTCATAACATTCGCATGTATGTAGTACCACACTTGAACATAATTTGACTTGTGAAAATCTGGATCGATTGTGGGAAGATGCACAAATGGTCTTGAAAACATCAACGATCATACCTCAACAGAGTGACGTCACGAAGACGAGGCGGCTATCAACGTCCAGCTATGATACTTTGACGAGAGCCCTAAAGCCTTGGTGGCGCGCTATGGTAGCCAGACCAGGCCCGTCCACGGTTCCTGCATGTAAGTCTAAGCATACCTGAGCACGTGCTGGGTAGATATGTTTTGGGGGTAATTTCCTTAGTTCTTATCAGACTGCATTTGGAAGACTCAGCATAGTGGCCTGGTGTGTAAAGTCATCCGTCATGATGTCTTTAAGGCGTTGCTAGACCTGCACTCTACGAATACGAGGATCTTCTGCAATGCCGGTGACGTGGTCAAGGTTTCCGGTTCGGTAGTCGGTCTACCTCCGCATCCACTATCTAGGTAAGTCGCGAGGGAACTTACTATCCAGTTGAAGGTGCCCTGCTGGCCCTATTCAAGTATTATTCCGTTTCGACCGCTTCGCACAAAGGGGGAGTACGCCTTGTCGCGCACAGATCTGCCGGTCTCGCTAATGCCTTGTCTGTATGATTGAGGAAGACGACGTTGCTCCCGGAATCGCGGACACCGATTGCCTGTTCGGGTAAGCACGCGGAGTTTCGCATAACGGACGTTGCAAGAGTGACCCTTCCATTCTAGCCGCGAACGGAAAGTTACACCACGATGCGTATTGATGCTTACCACATACATTTTGAAACAACGAAAATTTCCTAAGGGCTCACTAAGTCTTTCATTGGCACTTGTTTATATAACGGCCATATTACTGTAACAGCCCCAATTTTCTTCCTCCGTGCACACCTAGAACAGAAAGGGGTAATGGCTACACTGTCGTGCAAAAGCAATTACCAATGCACTCTGCAACGGCATACCCTGTATCCTTCCCCACACTTAAAAATCCTAGCATTACCTTCTACTGTAGTAATGCTCCTCTGATCCCCTCGGAAACGCATTGATCCTCCAATGGGACTTGATGCGATGTTTACCTGCCTAGGCAGTTGGATAATTTGATCTTTACATTAGGCTTAGAATGATACAGATGTGGGTGATGATGAGCTGCCGATAAATCCACTGGCAGAACAATGCTGCCCTTCGACAACTCCTTTATCATTATCCTAGCACTGTTATAAAGCGCTCCAAATCTCCTATTTTGTGTCCACGTCTCTTTGTCTTTACTTTGTCTCGCAGACACTGCAATACTTGATACTCTTTCTCTCCTGGTCTGACAAGCTTGATACCTCCGTAACGATCTCGCCAATATGAAGTCTGTCTTGCTGATCGGTCTTCCTGCGGTCTCCGCCGCCGTGGCTCCTCGCCAAAGTTACTTCAGCTTTGGGAACTACTTTTCGACAGGCCCAGTTGCAACCAACTCATGGATTCGGCAGGCAACCACAACACTCGTCCTGCCAGCCCTCAACAGTCCACACACCGGAAATCTGGGCTTATGGCCAGGGATGGGCACCAAGTTTGACTCAGGAGCAGATGGACATCTCGTCCAAGGTCTTGCCATCTCCACTGTTGGTTATGGGTGAGCCTACATCATGATTCAAGTTCGCCGGCTCCAAAGCTCATACGAACAGATCTCCATGCAACTTTGCTGCGACCGACAACAATTGGTGCGCCGTCGCAAGCACATATGACGGTATGACACACTCCCTTTCCAAGTGTCGACGGTTCTAACCCGTCTCTAGGTAACCAACACGACGGTACTCCATACAGAGCAAAACAAGGCGACCGTGTCACATACGACTGTAAGTTTTCCTGGAAATTGTCTAATCGATGCTCCGTTGCAGTGCTGACGCCTTCGCAGATAAGTACAATGATGCCACGGCCAACTTCGACCAGACGGTCTCGGTAAACGGCGTTGTAGTGTCGACCCTGTCCACAGCGAGCGGCCATGGCGCAGGTTGGGGCACAGGTCAGTTGAATCGCCCAAGCATTTCCATTCAGAGTCGATGTGCTGACTCTCCTTTCACAATAGCGATGGAGTGCCAGCAGGCAAAATGTGGAACCGTCCCAGAGCATCACTACGTCAACACGACGATAATCATGAACACCGCTGATCCAAACTACTCTAAGACCCTTGGGCTCAACGGTGCCACTGGCAATCTGGTCACCGCAGACGGCGGCAAGACCTGGACTGTGGCTGACATCACCATCCAGCAGTACACATACACTTAGATAAGCTGGAGTGAGTATGCAAGGGCCTGGGGGACGAATTGACTTTTTCAATGTATATCGTTCCTTAAGGCAGTCCCGTGAGGAAAATATATCAAGCCCCTCACAATTGAGTGATACAAATGACCTACGGGTCCATTCCGGACGCAGCCGAAAGTCTATGCAACCTCTTTTACAGAGCTATCCATCCTCCTTCATACACGGCATCCATAGCCGAACAGATGCCATTCAAGGTTTCAGACAACGAGCATATCAGATTGAAGGTTTTATAATACTCTATCAATCCCAAGAAAATCAAGCCTTTATATTTCATCCAGCTGCCTCTGGCTCTCATATCGTCTTTGCAAAGCTGGACAAAGCTTGTAGTATAAATCTCCTAGTCTGAGGATTCAATCTGTCTTGTTCGCTTCAAGACCTGTTCTATTTCCTTGAGGCAGTGCATTCGATGCTATAGTTTTGAAATCTGTAGCTCTATAATCCTTCGACGATCCTTAATAGGTTTACGTGACGACTTTATACTAGCTATCTAAGGATATATACCTTGATAACTCTATAAACCTCTTTGGTAGTTTAGCTGTACAACATATTACTCCACCTTATTCAAAGACTCTTTAGCTGTGAGGTTAAAAGCCCCGAAGAAGAAAGAAGAGGCTTTGTTAGTAAGGATAGGCTTGATATGAGCTATGAATCCTTGAGGGATACTTGACCAGCGTTGGAGTACTTGAGCCCGTTTCCCAGGCCCGCTTCCGGGTACTGAAAGCTTTAGGGTTTAGCTACCGGAAACGATACCTGCAACCTGGTCACTACCATTTGTCATGTAATAGTATTTGCTGCGCTCTAGTTGTCTAATATTCTATTCTACTCTAAGCAATGGCCCCGTCTTGAATGGTGTGATTTTTACATATTCCAAACGCTCTGGCAGATCGTCCTGAGACCAATACAACATCCCGTACCTCAGCCAGTGAGCATAAGTCCCAGGGACATTGTCGGAGCCCTGGTTCGCCTTCCACAGCGACCCCAGCGTCTCACCAACCACTCGAACAATTATGCCGTGAGCCAACTTGAAGCTAAAACTCCTCGACAGACACGCCTCAACTATCTCTCTGGCCAGCTTCTGGTCCTCGGTCTCGGGCACGCCTGGCTCGGGCAGCTTGAGAGACATCAGCTCAAACGCCCTGGGGCCGTCCCACGCCGTCATCTCGTTGATCAGCTGTGAGCCGACCATGTACTCCAATGAGTAAATGTGCCGAGTGACGTACTCGGGCCCATTCCAGCCGTCCTCCTCATCGACCAATGCCAAGACCATGCGCATCACCTGGCCCTGGATGATATAGTCGGTTAGATCCCTGCTGTCCTGGTCCGACAAGCTCTGGCCTAGCAGTGGAAGGCCCCGAAGTAGAGGGTTCTTCCACATGCCCTCCGTGCTCGTTTTCCCGCCATCCTCGGCCCAGAGCGCCAGTAAGAGTCTGTGACAGCGCCGGAAAACTGCGTTGTCCCTACCGGCGCATAGGAAGTAGTTGGTCAGGTCGTAATCGTCGGGCCCGCCGGCGTTGTTGCTCAGGATCTCCCATGGCGAGTTGGGATCGCCCACCGTCGCGTTCCAGAGTTGGTCCAGGTCGCCGATAGGCATCAGCCCGACGTCCACGTAGACACCGCCGTACTTGAGGAGCAGTGGCCAGCGTACGAGGTCGGAAGTGTGTTGCAAGGCGTATGTTCCTGTGATGGTCCCCTCGCGGAACGCCTTGGGGAAGGTTTCTGGGTCTTCGATGTCGAGGTAGTTGGCCACATTACAAGGAGAGCCTGCGGCGCGATCGACTACGCGGACTGTCCAGCCTTTTGAAGAGAAGCGCCGGTGATAGGTACGTACGGTGCGTTGCGTATACGGGTGCATTGTGCTGTAGCCCGAGTGCCAGAAGAGCCAAATGTTCTTTTCTGAAGACGATGAGGGCGGTGGTGGGTTTAGCAGTACAGCGTCGACTTCAGAGTCGGGTCTGAGATCAAGTTCATGTGTTGGAATGGCGTGAATGCCTTTCGGTATAGAGTAAAGGTGAGAATCCATGGTTGTATTGGTGGTTTCTTGGTCCATGTGGTGGTTTAGATTGGTGGTGGTGCCTGTCATTGATAAGTTGACGGGTAATTGCTGTCAAGGCCTGAGGTCTTTGGAAGCTTGTCGCGATTGCAATCTGATGCTGGACATGATGCAGGCCTTTTGAAGTGGGAAGTATGCTGGATTTATCTTCATAAATTTTCAACCTGAAAGATCGTGGTCCACACTACGTTGTTGTCTCGACTCACGCGTTCACTCCGGATGCCATCAGCGCTACCGGCCCCTTGTTAGTGGGAGCACCCAAACCCAGGGTCCTCAGTAACAACCACTAGTACGGGCTGTGCCGGCGGTCATTTCGACTCATAGTGGGTCGCTGCTACCTAGTGTCATCTTATACATCTCGACTCATAAGAGCAAGACCGTAGTTCGCTTCCTTCGGTCCCTGCAAATCATGTTCTAGGCTACTGCCCCTAGCACCGTATCGCCAGACTAATCACATTTCTCCTAATCTGTATAAGAAGTCACTCTACGAATGCATAGGAAGCCACCACTACGAACCCGAAGCATACTGATGATTCGCCATAAGACTCGCGATGTCATGGTCTTGCTATGATGAGTTCAGATCGTGTCAGCCACGGAGAGTGACTAGTAATGTGATTAGCGCCTCAGGGGGCTATCTGCGCTTTATCACGGTCTGGTAGCCATTCGCTAATACATGGTCAACGGTCCTCGTCGACCTGACCTCAATGAAGAAAGGTAACAACGGAATCATGAGTGACAAAGTGAGCGCGGTCACGTCGGATTTGAGATAAACATCAGCTTCAAGAATTTGTCCTAGCAGGATAAGCTTGCCTTTTCTAGTCGGGTCTTTTTCCAAGGCACAGCACATGTGCAAATTCGGTCACCAAGTCCATCGTTCCTGAGATTGTCATTGGCGTTTCGATTCTTTTGATTCGTTTGACAGCTCGTGGAGGCTAAAGTTGAAGCTACAATTGAGTGATCTGACTCAGGTAAAATGGCTAACGGGATCCTGATACCAAACGTGAGATTGTCGGTTCGGTCGAGACTCCTGGGATGATATTTGAGCTTAATCCATGCGAATATTCACCCAGGTCGGCTCATTGAGTTGGCCACATTGTAGACAAGATCCAGTCAGCTCCAAGTCACCTCAGAACTGAGCTACAGTTGAGTCAAAAGAATTGTAGTAACACGCAGATGTTTACATAGAATTAGTCCAAAATGGTTCTATTCTAATCAAAATATCATAGTCTAGATAGATGGGTGTAATAGAATCAGCTGTCGAGGTTTCAGGACAGATCATCCAAACTTTTGGCGGCACTTAAGTACACTGAATTTAGCATAATCACATCTTCTGTTGCCAACTCATAAAGGAGTGCCTCCAAGTTTGCCTTCCCACTTTTTCCGCCCCTCTGCATTGCAATTCTTCTGTTCTTGTCTTCTGGCCACTCTACCCTGGCCGCCTTTTGACGTATCTCGCATCCGCAAATAGTTCGAGACACAGTAGCGACATCGATGACTTTCCGCCATCATGCACGATGGACAATTGTTCCAAATGATACGTGATAGAAATGGTTATTATGACCGCCGCATTGTGTCCCTTGCCCCGCCGCCATCTACGCACAAGTTTTACCAATGCCACCTCACTGGAGTCAAGGCTTTTTCCCTCCGACCATCCATAGATATGGATCATGCATGGGGCATTGCCACTATTCAGCAAAGGATCGGGACTACATGTCGCCAACGGAGATCCCGTTTTTCAGAAAACTAAACGTTGGTTGGTTACGAGAGGAATCACGGAATTCCTTCCGATATCACCAAGAGCTACCCAATGATTTCGGCCCGCGCGGAGCTCGTAGAACTGGTTCTACGACTGTGCTACCAATGTTGCTCGCTTAAGCACGGGCCGAAGTGGCTCCTAGTCACAGTCGAAGATAAATGTATAGATGCGCGAAGGATCGTCGGCGTGGAATAGGATCGCTGTGGTCTGCCTTCTGGCGTATGCAATGCTTGCAGGCGAGCGATGGCGTGCTGCTGTAAATCTTCAACAGCAAAGCGCTCACTGGCAGGGTGGATGGCGCGTAGGGAGTAAAGTTTATTGCCCCTGCAGCAGACAATATCTGGTCATGCACGTGCCCGTGGTTCTGGATCTGGATTGTGGGCATGGGCAATGACAAAAAAGCTGGGGTGAGCCTTGCACAAGGTTTCATTACGAGCCAGATATCGCAATCTATGTCCGGATGCGGCAGGGGAGTGTGGATGGGCCTCATGCGCCTCTCAGCGATCTGGAATTCTTGCCGGCGTCCACGACCATGTGGCGACCGGGTTATGCAGCGATATTGGCTGGGTGCACAGGAATCCGCTTGCTTCTCTTATCTCGAACGCGCAGCTGATGCTGCCCCATCAAACAGGTAAACCCACATCCCGCGTGAGCGGCAAGATACCACCCGAAATAGGTGAGTGATGAGTGAGGGGTTGCATGCATGGATTTGGATAGATTGCCTGTGCATGTGGATTAGTTATCACCGTCTCTGCCGTTCTATCCTGTCAAACTATCTACATGCCGAAAAGTTATTTACCTAGCTACCCAGCATCGTCGAGCAGGAAACAGTCAAACTTTGACGTCGATGTCGGTTGAACACCTGGTCGGCACGGCATGACCTGGCTCTCTCCGAGGCCATCGCCCAGAACCAGATCTAGAGCCGGACCCGGGTGTCTGGGCCCTTCGTGTCAGGTCGAGAAATGAGCCAAAGGGGCAGGAGGTTCGGCTGCTCGCCGTGATGCTCGTGGGCTAAGCTGTCTAGACCGGGAGCCCTAGTACCAACAGGGAGGCTAGATGGAGTCTGTGCAATGGCGTGCGATGGCCACTTTTTGGCTCCTTATCGCACCACCTGCTGTCGTTGCATGTCTGCGACAGCATGGCAAAAGGCCGCAATATAGAGCTGCAAATAGGAAGAATTACACGGTACAAGCTGCTGCAGAGACGATCCCTCGGGCTCTCCAGGGCTGCAGCTGCCCACTGTCCGACCTTCCTATCCTGGAGACATCCTTCACCCCCATGCCCAGACCCATGCCGCGCCACAACCTTCGTGACTGGCAATGGGGACGCTGCTCACCAACGCCGACATGCTCTGGCCCAGCCGTCTTCCGATACACCGGGTGGACACCTTGGCTGCTGGGGCTGGGGGTTCTGTCAATTTGCTATCTGCCGTACCACTTCTTCGCAAAAGCTTATGTAGTAGCCACGCGCCGCCAAGTCGCCCAGTCCCTCTTTTCCATGAGCCCTATCCGCCCTTTTCCAGCGGTCTGTCTGCGTTGGCTTCTCTCCGAGGGCTTGTCTAGCTCTGTTCCAAGACAATAGCCGTTGCTTGTCTACAACATGCCTAACGCCGGCATCGACCAGGCCATTATCGTCGGCGGGCTGAACCCCGTCGAGGGTAAGGTCTTCCCCGTCCCCACCCACGCCGCCGCCGACGAGAAGGAGATCATCGCCGTGGGTGCTGCACGGGCCGACACCGATGGCACGCTCCCCGACGACAAGATCGAGCCCGTCCCTTCTGGGGAGGATGCTGGGGACCATGACAAGGACGACGATGGCCGTAGCAGTGACGAGGTCATCATTATCACCGGCGCTGATGCCGCACGCCACCTACTGCCTATGCGTGACGATTTTGACACGGCCTTGACGTTTCGCAGTCTGCTCCTTGCCTCGGGTCTGTCGTGTTTCCAGGCTGTTATGAGCCAGATCTACACTGTAAGTGGATATTGAATGTCGATTGAATATCACGTGCTCGCCTTGTTGCTGACATGTGGGCACTTAGTTCAAACCGACGGCGATTACCATTTCGGGCACTTTCATCGTGCTTATCGCCTACTTTCTCGGCAAGGCATGGGCTGCCTTCCTCCCTCGTGGGGACAAATTCGAGGCACGATGGAGGGCGAAAGGTGGCCAGGGCAACCGCCCCAAATGGATCTCTGCTATCCATTTCCTCAATCCCGGGCCCTGGACCCTGAAAGAGCACGCCGTCTGCGCCATCACGGCGACATCCGCCTCGAATGCCGCAGCTAGTGTCCAGGTGTTCGCAGCTCAAGACCTGTTCTACAACCTGCCTTTGAGCGCCACCACCGTCATCTTGAGTACAATCTCGATTGGTCTTTTCGGTTACGGCATCTGCGGTGTCATGCGACCAATCGCCGTGTGGCACGTCGATGCTGTCTACTGGTCTACTCTGCCCACTGTCAAGACCCTCCAGGGATTGCATTGGCAGGATTTGAAGAATTCCAAGCCGCTGAGGTACTTCTGGTACAGCTTTGGTGGCATGTTCGCCTACGAGTGGTTCCCTGCATACATGTTCCCGTGGCTGAACAGTGTCTCTATTCCCGTACGCAGCCCCCACTCCATTAGCATACCCATAACGCTGTCTATCGTGTCGCTGGATTATTTTTCTCGGAGAATCGAACATGACGTTTGAAACGCTCTGGAATAGTCCCGCGCCACTGAAGAAAGCCTCCATGAAATGTATTCTGATCTCCTACTAACACGAAACCTTATAGTGCCTGGCTGCAATGAAAGCTACTGGCGACAAGGCCGCCGTGCTGACTAACCTCTTCGGTGGGTCTATCAACAATGAAGGACTTGGTCTGTTTAGTCTGTCTTTCGATTGGCAATATGTAAGATCTTGACTCCTGGGAGTGATAAGACAGGATTTTAACTGGGAACCGTGCAGATCACTTCCTTCAACACCTCACTTCCTCTGAAGTTGCAGGTGCATGCCGCCGTAGGATATCTCGTCTGCTTCGCCGCGATGCTTGGCATCTACTACACCAATGCGTGGGAGTCAAAATCGCTTCCATTCATGTCGACAACCCTGCGAACAGATGATGGTGGAAAGGTAAGCAGATTCTAAATCTATGCGAATGTGAAAAGGAGAGAACTCTCCCCTTGCAAGAGAATCTAAGGCCTCGGCTATTTGCTTTGGGTCACATTGAAGCCCGGCATGGAGAGGTGCCACGTCAAGATAGTGTTCTGCTTATGAACCTTAAATGGCTAACTTTCGGGATCGCAGTACCCGATCGCTGAAGTCTTCACTGGCGGTGTGCTCAACCAGACTGCCCTGGCAGAGAACGGTTTGCCCAGACTAACGGGTACCTTCGCCTACGCTATGTTTATGGCTAATGCCGCTGTGAGTGCTAGTTCTCTCATTATATGGCTGAGTCGTTCTTGTATACTGATTCCGAGTTAGATTGGCGCTCTCGTTCTGCATTGCTTCCTTTTCTGGGGTGGAGACATCCTGAAAGCGTATAAAAGCGCAAAAGCCGGCCGCTATGATGATCGCCACCACGCCCACATGGCCAAGCACTACAAGGAAACGCCTTGGTGGTGGTATGTTATTGTGCTTGTGGTCAGCTTCGTCATTGGTCTTGTTGTCGTAATCAAGGAGAACATCACTCTTCCGGCATGGGCGTACATCGTTTCGCTGCTTCTGGGAATATTCATTGCGCCATTGGTAAGCTTGAACCCCTCCAAGGCCGTCATGTCCTCACAAACACGTTCTAACTTTGGGCCTGTAGAGCACTATTCTCTACTCTCGGTACGGCAACGGTATCGCCACGAACAACTTGTCGAAGATGTTGGCAGGTCTGATGCTTCCTGGTCGTCCTGTTGGTAATATGTACTTTGCGGCTTGGTCACACAACGTTATTTCCAACGCTGTTACCCTGTGCAATGACTTGAAGATGGGTGAATACCGTACGTACATCTCGAGCTTATCGGTGAAATTCTTGCAAGGCTGACCTATGTGACTAGTGAAAATCCCTCCTCGGGTTATGTTCCTCACTCAAATATACGGCACTATTTTGGGTGGTTTCATCAATTACGCAGTCATGATCAGTATCGTCAACGGAAACCGCGACCTGCTCGTCAACAGCAATGGCAACTCTTCTTGGAGTGGTGCTACTATGCAGTCGTACAATACCAACGCGACCTCGTGGGCGCTTGCCAACTACCTCTACGGATCTCATGGTCTCTACTACATGGTTCCCGTTGGCCTGGCAGTTGGCGGTGGTCTGGTCATTGTCCACCGAATTTTCGTATTCGTAAGTCTTTCCTTCATCTCCCCTTTATCATAATAACAATCTTTCGGTTCACCAACTAATCCTTGGCGCATCTAGTTCGTACCCAAGATCAAGGGCTTCTCGACCTCCGAGCTCAACCTGCCGCAGTTCATCCAGTACGCTGGCTACATCCCCTACAACGCCAGCCAGACTTGCGTTATCTTCAGCCAGGTCATTGCTGGCTTCTTCACCCAGTTCTACCTGCGCAACTACCGCCCGCGCATCTTCAGGGACTACTCATACCTCGTCACCGGCGCCTTTGACGGCGCCAGTCTCAGCGTCCTTTTCATCCTGTCGTTCGCCGTCTTCGGCGCCGGCGGGCCTTCCATCCCGTTCCCCACGTGGTGGGGCAACAACGCGGATGGCTACTACGATCTCTGCCCATCGTCTGACTAGACTTCGATAATTGTGGGCTGGAAAACTGCAAAGTGGTAGATAGACGGATGAGGCGCAGACTTAGACCAGCGGGCTGTGGCAAAACTGCCCTGTGTGAGGAATGCAGGTTCTTTCCCACAGATCAACCATATAGCACCAATAATGTTCATATCTCGTCAAATGTGATTCTCTACTCAACCTTTAGTGACATCAGGTGCAAATTTCTCGTGCTTTAAATGCCCAAATAAGCTTGCACGGCACCTGGGCAGTGCATTGCCAGGCACGAGCTTAGCTCTTAGCGTCCGCTCCATGGCCGCAGTGCCTCTGGGGTGAATAAGTAAAGGAAAGGTGCAAACTGGAAGATTACCAGCTACGGGATAATCTCTTGGTGGGATCACCTTCCATAGGATAACCTCCTGTAGTATAACCTTGTATGGAGATGTAAGCCACAGGTGGCTCCGGAATGAGATCTTCGCACTTCTCCAAACGTGGCGGTGTCGTTCTAATATTGTATCTGATGCCGTGGGCATCAAGCAGGGTCTGCGCCGTGGCCATATTATTTTTGACTCCTCAATTTCGGTTCAATGTCTTGTCATACCCCAGATGATCCTCGGTGAGCAGGTGCTTTGGAATGTTGAGCAGTCATGCATATCAAATTTACGCCCCTCTTGGCAGTCAGATCGAACTCCTTTTCATCAGGCAGGTGGGTGGGTGTCCTTGCTCGCGCGCGCAGTTGGTCACTCGGACGTGTTGATGTGTGCCCAAACTTTTCCCTTATTCTTGTCGCAGAGGAGCGTCAACGTAAATGATTCTGCGCGAGCCAGGACGGTAATAAGCTTTTCAGCCTTATGCAAATCGACGACTTGGCAAGAGATCTTTAGGCAACAGCCATATGGAGGCCTGGTCCCAGACTGGGAAATTCAAGCGGTGAGATCACTTGATCACCTTCGTTGTTGACCAGGCCTGCCACCTGCTTGCAGCCCTACTCCACAACGGTTGTGTGCGTCATTTGGTTTTTGCTGCAGACGGTGTGTCGGGACATGCAGGACAGCCTAATTAGCGTTAAAGGATTCGACAATACTGGCTAGATTGGCTGTTGTCTTCCCAAACTATTGCTTAGTATGTGGTTCTGTGCCGCCGCCATGCGTCTAAATCATTTAAGCGTAGGCAGAAGCTCTCGAAAAGGTGGACTTGGTAACCGCATTGGGATGACGTCCTGCTAGCGCTTCCTTCGGGACCCTCTATACGAGAAGGCTTCTTCTCTGATTCGCCTCCCTTTGATGAAATAACATGGAATTTGGTCCCGGCAGATCACTCAGGAATTCGAGCGGCGATATCGCGCGACGCGGAGGAATGGAATGAATTTGAATATCTCCCCGTGCCCTGGTAAAATGCTTTTTCGAAGGTTCTCTTCAACCAATTCTCACATTGCGAATCGTAACAACCTTTTGAACGCATCAAAATCTACTCCATCAAGAACACCAAGAGAACCGAAAATGAAGTCCTTCATTCCCGCCATCCTTTTGGGCCTGGTCACCCTTGTCTCAGCAGACACGACCCCAACAGACACGTCGATCCCGAAGTCAACAGACGCCTCATCCTTCCTCTCAGAAGTATACGAGGGCGAGGCAACACCGACGTGGGCGACCGGCAAATACGCAACAACACTGGCGTCGGCGCTCTACAGCGCGCAGACCTCCTTCGCCATGCGGTCCGACTACCGCGACATCGTCGAGGCCATCTGGTCGGCAGCCGACAAGGACGGCGGCTCCAGCGTCGTCGAGTCGCTGAGCGAGTCGTTCTGGAACTGGGGCGCCGTCACCACAAACAACTGGTTCCAGGACAATGTGCCCAAGTCTCTCCAGACTGCCGTCGCCCAATATGATGACACCTGGGAGAGTGTTTTCACCAGTGTCGAGGCCAAGGCCACGGGCACGCAGAACGCTGCCGCACCGCGATGCACTGGCATGGCTGTGGCTGGTGTTGCGGCACTCGGTGTCGCTGCTGTTGCTGGGGCCATGTAATGGGCTGCTGGGGCTGATTTCGGGCTGGTTTATACCCTTTTGATGAGTATGATTTGCTTATGATGTGCGGTATTTGGTGCTTGGTTTCTTGGAGTTAGCCGAACGTTTGAAGTTTTGATGAGCGTGGAGAAAAGTACGAGCGCGTCTGGATATGAATGGGCCCTGCTATTTCTGACAGCTGGCTGGTGTTGATATTGATGCTAGCATGTTCAGTCGCTACAGATGTAAAGTTTGGAAAACGGTGTTTTCACCATGCACATAAGCCTAGAGAGTGGCGGAGTCGGAAGGTTAATATGTCGATTTACACCTAATACATTCTGTACGCTTTGTTAAGGCATTTCATGCCATAATCCTGAGCTTATTGATATTCTAGTTAGTTGAGCTATGATCTGTCCTCCTTCCTCAGCTGCTCAATGGATATCGTCCAAGACCCTGCTAAGCTATATGCGAGGTACGCTTTGCAAGTACAGTCAGATTACGCACACACAGACTCAGCTTTTTCAAACATGCAAGAATCACACAGACCATCAATTCAATCTATTTTCTTTCTCTAAATGCAGATATTTGGTAACGAATGGGATATGTATCCAACTCCCCGTATGGGCGCTTTCAAGTGCCACTCCTTCAAGACTACACAGTACTCAAATGATAATGGGAAAATTGAAAGTATTCTCGTACCATGACACATTGTGAAGGCTCCTACTATCACCATTGAGTTTTACGCTGCAATGAGCAATCCGCGTACACGGGCCAATATATGCTCACCACAATGCTTGTTGTTGGCTAGTGAGACTAAGAAGTACTCAACACCGTCGTCCCATATCTGCAGTTCTAGACAGGGAATACATTTCTTTTTGAAATTCAACGTCAGGCCAATGAGCTAGCCTATGGTGACTAAGTCGTGCAGATGAATTTGACTTTGATGCGACCCCGACTGTCATCATCCATGAGTGGCCCGCCTTACTTGCTCTCGAGTACACTAAGAGCTAGAAAGAAGCGTAATGCAGGATCCTTGAGCCGAGCTACACCAAGTGCTGTCGTATCACACTATTTCTAAAGGCAATTCTCCCCGCATCTGTCTCAAAAAGCAATTGCTCTGTAGACAACGCACGAAGTGACAACCAGAAGCTGGGCCACTTTCTTCTGCAACATGCATACCGGAATACTTGTACTGGCTTGCTCTGTGGGCAAGGCATTGTCTATACAACTCAGCTTGAACCCATCAACGCACCTCCCAGTTTCCTCTTGCAGATGTGTGGGTCACCAGTGCTCAGCTCGTGTCACATCGCTTCTCTTGATACTGACTTTTTGAAATTTAGGGACCTCATGACGACTGTTGGCCATCGCAACAGTCTTGGAGTTCTTTGAATGCGACTGTTGGAGGAGCTCTAGTCAAGTCTGTCCCTATCGCTACATCATGTTACCCTGGGGCCGCGTTCGATCCGGTTCAATGCGAACACGTCACAGAGATGTGGACGGATCAGGATTTCATGACCACGAAACCTATTGGGAGACCTTATCCGTATAACATTACCTGTGCGCCGGTCAACTATACTGATTATGATGTGCCAACAACCTGCACACTTGGCATAAGCCCTCAGTACGCTGTTAATGCAACCAACCTCGACCAGATCAATTCGACCATGCTATTTTCGCAGGAAAACAATATCAGGCTGGTCGTGACAAGTACAGGGCATGACCTGCAGGGTCGCTCAGACGGCTTCGGTAGCCTCGAAATCTGGCTGCGATACTTCAGAAACGGGCTACAATTCCAGGATATTTACTCCTCTATCAACGGCTGCCAGAGGTCCAATTGGACCGGAAATGCCATATTAATAGATGGCGCATACCAATGGGAGAATGTGAATGTATTTGCAAAGGCCAACAATGTTATTGTTGTCAGTGGAGGTTCGATCTCGCCAGGGGCCATCGGTGGCTGGCCATCAGGCGGCGGACACGGCCCTGCAACGCGCAATTACGGCATGGGAGCAGACCAGATCCTCGAAGCTCGAGTTTTGCTTGCTAATGGGAAGGTCGTCATCGCCAACCATTGCGAGTACACAGATCTGTTCACTGCAATCAGGGGCGGCGGTCCCGGGTATGGGATTGTTTTAGGTACTACTGTCAAAGCGTACCCAAATGTCGAGACTGTGACAGCTCACCATCTATACTTGGCACCACTCTTGAACACTTCCAACAATACGGATCTTCTCGAAGCAGTTACGATCCTTCTGCAGTCATTCCCTGATCTTAGCGACGCGGGCTTCGCCGGATATGGTTTCTGGTCCCGCAGTTACCCTGGACCGTTCATCGGCAATGCGACCTCTGGGTATTCACATGGGATCTGGACCATCGGCGGGACTCAGGCTGAAGCTGAGGCGGCATTCGCGCCGGTCAGAGCCAAGCTCCAAGCTTTCAACAGCACACTCTTCATCAGCGACAACTTTGCTACATACACTGACTACTGGTCATTTTACGAGGCCGAATCAGGGCTGCATGATCCTGCAGGATCTTCGTCCACCTTGACTTCTAGACTTATAGGTCGCGAATCCCTTGGGAATCACACTGCTGTTCGCGAGACTGTAGAAGTGATCGCCGGCAAGCCGGAAGAGTACACCGTCAACGTAATCGATCTCGTCTCGGGCGGCCAAGTATTCGCAGATGCATCTGACGAGACTTCCGGATTGCATACGGCATGGCGCACCTCTAACTATTTCGTGACGATCGGTCGAGGAGTAGCACTGAACGCCTCCAACGCTGAGCGCTATTCGGTCATGAATGATATAACCTACGTGAAAGGTGCTGCCTTGAAGAGGTTAGCACCAGATACGGGCGGCTACATGAATGAGGGAGACAGGAATGACCCAGACTGGAAGGCAGCGTTTTACGGGGACAAGTATGCGGATCATCTGGCTGCGAAGATGAAGTATGATCCACTTAATACTTTCTACTGCGCTACTTGTGTGGGCAGTGAGGCGTTCGTGGAGCAGCCAGATTCGCCTCTGTGTTCTATATAAAGGCTGATACACCTCTCATTCTACCTTTCTAGCACATCAAATGCAGAGGCTTCGAGAAAATCTTTGATTCGGCAGATTCTGAGTGTTAAATAGTTATCACGTCACAGCGGGATTCCAGCAAGCAATTAGTAAACGGATGAAGTGACAAACGAGACGGCCCGTCCCCCTCCGAACCCGTCGCCTCATTTCACAGTAGTCAGTGTTGTTTTTGACGGCCATATGTCTAGGCAGGACGACGGAGGTTTGATGCCCGAAGTCTTCTATCAGTTTGGAGTCTAGTTGTCCTAAGCAATAAAGCCAGCGATCTGAGTCTCTGTCAATCACACATATCTCTCCATTCATATCGAGCATATTGAGAAGACCGAAGTCATGCAGACCCAACATATGTCGTCTTCAACCAAGACTGTGAAGGCACTGAACGCCAGCGAGGAAAACGAGAGCTGGAGGCCTGGTTGCATACAAGGGCGAATGAAGTGCTTACAACCATGAAACAGGGCTACACTCAAGTCGTAGATCTGGAAGGGGTGATCTCAACTCGCTCGAGTTGCTTTCAGTCAGAAGCTGACTCATGCAAAAGGAACAGAATGAAGGGAAAGACTGTCCGGGGGGAAATACGAATATGGTGCCGCCGGGCAGCATGATCTTCAATGGCCCGAGGAACTGTCCGCCATGATGCATGTATGAAACCAGCCACTTCATATCCTTTTCTTGGTCAGAGTGTCAGATTATCTCGTCATTACCGCACAGTATTACATTTCGTTCTTAGGCCGGCGACTCCGGCTGTGTTTGAGGCCCGGGAAATTGGCTTGGGGCTTGTTATTTTCAGTATCTGAAAGCATAGCCCACTTTATTAAAAGAGCTGCTTGAACGAGTTCCACCGTTGCCACCGATCTTCGTGATTTTGTAGAATTTGGCCGCCGTTCTTTGAGACGTTGAAGACGTTGAAGATGATCTGTTTGATGTTTTACCTAGGCAACTAGTGGCAGTGGACGTCCACTCAACAAGGAAGTCACTCAATGTCGGAGGTCTGGTAGATCCATCCGATTTCACTTACATCAGTAAATTCCAGATCGTCATCCAGCGCAAGAGCCCCGTTCAGCTGTTGTGAATATGCTGTTGCCGAGCTACAGTGTCAATCCAGTCACCCGGAACCTCCACGCCCCCACTGTGAAGAGCGATCATCGAAAGCATTCTATTGGCAAGGGATTTGTGTAAACCTTGCCTTCTCTCGGTGCTTCGTACAATTTCGTAGCAGAGTCCCGGGAGAGTCTAGATGTCATGAGAGGCGTCACTAGATCATGGAGATTATGCCAATAACGACCAGAAACACCCTTGAGAATTCCCCCTCTCTTTCCCCTCGTTATCAGGAACATCGTTGTCTACGAAAATTTCACACTAACGCCAAGTACCTATACCAGTCAAATATCCCGAGATGGCAGCACCGATAGGACGGAACCACAAGATAGCCATGTCTTGGCGCGATGATGCAAGGCTTGGTACTCTTTGCAACACCACGCCATGATCTAAGCATGCATCTCATGTACCTATATATCCTGCAGAGCGTTGTTATTCATCGAATGAAAGCGCTCATGTATGCAGCGGGTGCGACGTTGCTGACATTGGAGTCAAATCGTCATTCCATTCTTTCCCCCAAACCCAAATTTTGGCAGCAATTTGGAACCGCCGCCACGATGAAGGACCGCGGAGACGCAGTTGTACAGCATTCGACCACTTTGGACGCCGAAAAGGTCAATGCGACGGCTGACTCCGCTCCCGGAACTGATTCTCAGAGCATCGACGACCTCGACGGTCCCAACTCCCGGCACCATGTCTTCTCCGACCCGATTGCTGCAGAGCACTGGCGCAGCATCTACGAGAAAGCTGGCTATGAGAACAGACACAGATTTGACCCCGAGTTCACGTGGTCGGCGGAAGATGAGCGTAAGCTTGTTAGGAAGGTTGACTTGAGAATTATGCTATGGGCTGTAAGTGCCTTCCTAGCATACTACAAGAAAATATCTTTGGCCCTCACTACTAGTTTGGTGTCAAGAAATAACACTTTCATATTTTTCTAACATGGATATAATTAGTGGATCATGTTCTGTGCTCTCGATATGCATCGCAGGAATATCAACAGGGCCATTTCCGATAATATGCTGGAGGAGCTCGGCAAGTTGTTCCATGCTACTTCGAATTGCATTTTTGCTTCACTATGCTAACATCATCTGCGCACAGGCATGAACACGAATGATTTCAACTATGGACAAACCATTTTTCTCGTGTCTTTCCTTTCCGCAGAACTTCCGAGCGGACTCATAAGCAAGAAGCTCGGTGCTGACCGGTGGATCCCATCCATTATTATTGGTTGGTCAATCGTTGCCGGCTCACAAACGTTCCTCACCAATCGAGCCGGCTTCTACGCCATCAAAGCTCTTCTGGGTTTACTTATGGGAGGGTTCATTCCAGGTAAGTCACTGCAAACCTGCTGACATCTATTTCATTTCTCCTCCTGTTGTTGACGAGGGTGTCGTTCCTGTTGCCGCAAAAATCCCCGGCGACCCACGTTCCGCCCGCCTATTCCGATGTGGCCATGGCAAACTGACATGTACAACAGACATCGTGTTGTATCTGACATATTTCTATAAATCGAATGAGCTACCCACACGTCTGGCTTGGTTTGTAAGTCCTCTGATTTCTCTTGTCCGACACTATCCCAACGCTTCCGCAAGTCGAATTTCGCTGACACAGATCTCATAGTGGACAGCTCTCAGTACTGTGAATGTTGTGGGCTCTCTGCTTGCAGCAGGTGTCCTTCAGATGAGAGGCATCAATGGCTGGTCGGGTTGGCAATGGCTATTCCTCCTCGAAGGTATTATCACTTTGATTGTTGGCCTCTTCTCTTTTGGCCTCATGCCACCGGGCCCTTGCCAAACTAAGAATTGGTTCCGCGGCTCTAAGGGATGGTTCGACGAGCGAGAAGAGAAAATCTTGGTCAACCGTTTGCTTCGGGACGATCCTAGCAAGGGTGACATGAACAACCGCCAAGCCGTTGGGCTCAAGCTGCTATGGAAGGCCGTCCAAGACTGGGAGCAGTGGCCGCTCTACCTTGTTGGTCTGACGACTTACATTCCTCCGAGCCCTCCACAAAACTACCTGTCACTCATCCTGCGGCAGCTCGGGTTCTCGGTATTCCAAGCAAACCTGCTCGTCATTCCATCGCAGGTAATGTTCGCATTGAATCTTCTCTTCGTTACTTGGGTTTCGAGGCGTCTTCAAGAACGAGCCATTGTGTCCTCCTTCGCCAACATCTGGATCTTCCCCTGGATGCTTGCACTGGTCGTCCTCCCTGCATCTGCATCGCCGTGGGTTCGATATGGAATTTTGACCGCACTTCTCTCATATCCTTATTGTCACGCCATTTTGGTGGCATGGAATGCGAAAAACAGCAACGCGGTGCGCACACGAGCTGTTTCCGCAGCACTGTACAACATGTTTGTACAGTCTGGGAACATCATCGCGTCCAACATCTACAGAGATGATGACAAGCCGCTTTACAAGCGAGGAAACAGCGTTCTGCTGGGCATCACTTGTTTCAATATCTTGTTGATGTATTTGGTCAAGGTGTTCTACATCTGGCGGAACCGCGTCCGTGATCGAAAATGGAACGCCCTGACACCTGAGGAGCAGGAGCAATACCTCATCAACACAAAAGACGAGGGACAGCAAAGACTTGATTTCCGATTTGCGCATTAGCGGGAGAGTTCACTGTGCGGTCGATGCAGGCCCGAAAGCGGGCATGGCAAGTGTTGAATTACTGGGCTCAGGAGCATGAAAAGTCAGAAGCCAGCATGTTTGTACGTTGAAAAGTCGATTTCAAAGACACGTGGAAAGCCAGTTCCAGACCTACATTCCTCAGATATGCCTGGAGAGGTGTTGTGGTTCTTATGAGCTTACTTACATAGGTGTGGTGTACTACATCGCATACATGCACTAAGGCTAATTTGCTATGCTATACACTCGTCTTCAGCTTTGTTGCTGCAAAGCCCTTATACAGATTCAGCCATTTGAGTGACAAACTTTTCACTTCGTCGCTTCTGTAGAACTTTTGTTCAGGCTTCCTTGGTACTGAGATACAATGTTCGTTCGTTTTACTGAAGGCTTCATCATTGCCCCGTGACGAGTCACATTTCCGCAATGGGATGGTACAGTGAGCAAACCTAGTGAATCACCTGCTCTGAGCGGCATTGGAATTTTTTAAAACTTTGGGCAGTCATTGATTTTAGGCCGATTTCTTTCTGCCTGGTTCACTGCATGGGTCGATGGTGAGCCCAAGCCCAGGACAGACTCTCGAGTATTTAAAGACGCTCAAAATCATGAAGCTGTGCTCGGGAGGCGGGATACAAGACGCAACAAGAGAACCAGACAGCGTATTCCCCGAATTCTTCAGATTTCGGCCTCCTTGTTTTTGAAACGCTGTTCAGCTTTATATCGTCTCGGACGCTCGCAACATGGACTCAAACGTGGACTGGGATTTCGCAGCTGCGATGATGCTCGTCGCCGATGCCATACTCGTGGCGTCATATATGATATGGTTTTATATCATGAATCGCATCCTCCATGGCCGGTCCTGACACCACCACACGCGAGGGTAACAATGGAAACCATAAATTCTCTTTTTCCCTCATCCTCATTAAAGTTCATGCTCACCTGATGGACCTTGTGCATAAGATTAACCTGAGGGGATGTAGCTACCAATTTCCCCGCAGTTGAAGCCCGGAACTTGGATATCTCCGACCTCCCTCCATGATCACGAAAGTCAATGTGAATGCTCAAGTCCACCGAACTTCAGTCCAAAGATCATTCTATGACCAAGTCTCATAAGTGAAAAAGTCACGATGCCCTGTACAATCATTCGCAATTCAACTGGTGGAGGAAGCATTGGAGCCGAAAGCACAGTCAAAGCTGCCAACACCTTCACTGGTGACGTCTGGTGCGTTCAGTCATTATGATGCATTGATCGTGTTGAGATTCTTTCACACGCAGTCTATCGCACTTGTCCACCACAGCTATGACCTTCGAGCTGTACACAAGACCAAGGCTGACTAGTATCTCACAGGATGGACAAACTTGCGGGCCCAGTCGACGGGATCCATTGTAACCACGTCACCTTCCTGCCCGGTGCTAGGACACATTGGCACACTCACGAAAATGGGCAGATACTCGAGGTTAAGGCTGGAAGTGGGTGGGTGTGCGATAAGGGCGGCAAGCCCCAACGCATCAGCGTGGGCGACATTGTGCAGTGCCCAGCCAAGACGGTTCACTGGCATGGCGCCGACGATGGTAGCATGATGATGCATCTTGCCATCAGTCTTGGCAAGACTACTTGGATGGAAGAGGTGAGCCAGGAAGACTATGCTGCGAAGAATAGCTAAGGCGGTATGAAACGGCACCCAAATGAAGAGGCCTCGAACTTGAATGGACTCTCACGGAGGCCAGGTCATGCGCAAGTCTAAGGAATCTCCCAAGCTTCCTGCATTAGTATTATACAATGCCGCTTCCATACTAGGCTGCCACAATTACCTGATATCAGGGAGCCCCCGGGTCGAATTTCAACGCTGAGCTGTAAATAAGTAGCCGATATCTCTCCGCTTCGAAACGCGCTTGCCTTTGGTGATCTTCCGCTGAACATGTAAATCTGTCACTCGTGCTAGACGATATGTGTTTGGGCCGTTCTAGGTATGAGAAAAAGGATGCGGTCATGGAGTCCGCTTAAGTATGAGTTTGATTTCAACTACATTCGGAAGACACCAAACTTCGTGTCGCCAGGCTTGACTTCATTGCGGCCGGACATGGCAGCCCGTAAGCCCAGTCCTAGGTAGCGCCTCGTATGTTGTGGGGGGATGACTCCATCGTCCTGTTTGAACTTAAGTCAGCGTCACTGTATCCGCAACAAGGGATAGTGATATAGAGCCGCATGGTAACTCACCCATAACCTGGCGCTCGAGTAGACGGCATCGCTTTCTTTCTCGATCCTCTCCTTCAGACCCGCATCCACGGTCTTTCCAACGGTCTCCATCACTGCGGCCAGCTGCTCGCCGCCCATCACACCAATCCTTGCATTGGGCCACATCCACAAAAACCTGGGTGAATATGCCCTCCCGCACATGCCGTAGTTACCAGCACCGTAGCTGCCGCCGACCACAACTGTGAACTTGGGCACGTCGGCGCAAGCCACCGCGGTGACCAGCTTCGCGCCGTTCTTGGCAATGCCTTCCCTCTCCGCATCAGTACCGACCATGAAGCCGCTAATGTTCTGCAGGAAGACAAGCGGGATGCCACGCTGGCTACACAGTTCGATAAAGTGCGCGCCTTTCAATGCAGAAGAAGAAAACAGGATGCCGTTGTTGGCAACGATACCGACCTGTTGCCCATAAATATGCGCGAAGCCCGTCACCAGGGTCGTCCCGTAGTCGCGCTTGAACTCTGCGAACGCCGAGCCATCGACCACACGGGCGATTACCTCGTGGATGGGGAGGGGTTTTCGCAGATTGCTAGATGCAATGCCTAGAAGTTCCGTTGGAGAGTACAGCGGCTCGGTGAAAGTTTCCTTTTGTTGTGGCGAGCCTGTCTTCTGAGGCCAGTTCAGATTACTGACGCACCGTCTCGCCAGGACAAGGGCGTGTGCATCGTCCACGGCCAGATAGTCAGTCACACCTGAGACACTCGAATGCATTTTGCCTCCGCCCAAGTCTTCGGCACTGACTGACTCTCCCGTCGCAGCTTTGACCAAGGGCGGACCAGCGAGGAAGATGTGCCCCTGCTCCTGTACAATGATGCTCTCGTCTGACATGGCGGGGACGTAGGCGCCTCCTGCTGTACAAGGTCCCATAACAACAGATATTTGTGGGATTCCGGCTGCAGACATGCGTGCTTGGTTGTAGAAGATGCGGCCGAAGTGATCGCGGTCGGGGAAGACATCGGACTGGTGAGGCAGGTTCGCGCCGCCGGAGTCCACAAGGTAGATACATCTGTCAGATGAGAGAGTTAGCATCAGCACGGATGTTGTCAAATGACTTCCCTGCGCCTGAGACAGCGAATGGAGAGAGGAAGCTGTCTTCTTACGGTAACTTGTTCTCCTGAGCGACAGCCTGCGCCCTCAGATGCTTTTTAACAGTGATTGGGTAGTATGTTCCGCCCTTCACAGTGCTGTCGTTGGCAACAATCACGCATGTCACCCCCTCCACAACGCCTACGCCCGTGATGATGCCTGCGGCAGGTACCTCCGCCTCCGGATATAGCTCATGACCAGCCAGACCGCCCAGCTCCATGAATGTTGTGCCCGGGTCTATCAGCGCCGTGACTCTGTCCCGAGGCAACATCTTTTTCCTTGCCAGGTGCTTCTCTCTTGCTTTTGGCGGCCCGCCCTGCTGGACTTTGCGTGTGAGCTCGGTCAAGCGGGCCATGGCCTCGTCCATGGCCAGCTGGTTCTCCTTGAACTCATCGCTGCTGGTATCTATTACAGACTGGATCGTAGATATGACTTGGGCCTGGTACGGAGGTGTGAAGGTGGCGATGGTTCGCTTGCTCCCGTTCCCCGTGGGGAGTATGGGGACGGCGGGTCGTCGCTGGCATGGGAGCCCTGGGCGAGAACGAGGGTGGATCTGAATCTGAGTCCGGGGTAATGAGCGGGCCAATCGAGGGATCAGACCTGGTCTTGAGCTCCGTATCGACGACATCTTGTTCGACTCGAAAGGTGCTGGAGACTGGTGATCTCTCTGCAGAGGAGGCGAGATCACATCTGCTACGAAAGCATCCAAGGACGGGGCGCGGCTGGTAAAGGGAGACGTGAAGACCCAATTCCCGACTTGCAGTGTGACGTTGAACTGGAGCATCCACGGATCTCAGTGCCTCGGCCCGCGTTTAAGCGATCTGAACCGCGATTGGAATCCGGGGAACACCTGCGTTCTTGGGCCGAAGCAATGCGGTGGTTCACATTGATGACCCCTTCCAAGCTCTTGGGAAAACAAACAACTCGCTTCGACATGGAGCATGTGAGCATTTGATTTTCCTCAAGTTGAGTCGACATACAATTCCCAAGCAAACATGTCAAGCACGAGAGTCCTTGGCCGCCTGGCCAGATCAGCGCGACCCCTCCCCAAGGCATCGTCGCCAACGTCCCTTGCTATCCGTGCCAGAACAGCGGTCCCTGAAACCCGAAGATGGGCCTCGACCTCCAAGCACCCGCAGGGCTTCACGCCTCCCACGCAAGCCGACCTCGAAGAGCTACGTGAGCGCGTGCAGGAGTTCACCAGGCGCGAGATCTCCCCCGAGGTGGCGGCCGCAACTGATCAGACCAACGCCTTCCCGCCAGAGATGTGGGGAAAGCTGGGCGAGGCGGGCTTCCTGGGAATCACGGCAGACGAGGATGTCGGCGGGCTGGCCCTGGGATACCAAGCACACTGCATTGTCATGGAAGAGCTGAGCCGCGCCTCCGGGTCCATCGCGCTGTCCTACGCGGCGCACAGCCAGTTGTGCGTGAACCAGTTGCAGTTGAACGGCTCGCCGGACCAGAAGGCAAAGTATCTCCCCGGACTGATAGCTGGAGAGAAGGTTGGTGCTTTGGCCATGAGCGAGAGCGGCGCGGGCTCAGATGTCGTCTCCATGCGAACTACGGTGAAGAAGGTGGACGGGGGCTATGTCCTTAACGGCTCCAAGATGTGGATCACAAATGGGCCTGATGCCGATTACATCGTCGTGTACGCCAAGACAGAGCCCGACGCAGGGAGCAAGGGCATCACGGCTTTCATCGTCGAGACAAAAGAGGCAAAGGGCTTCGCATGCGCCCGCAAGCTCGACAAGATGGGCATGAGGGGTAGCAACACGGGCGAGCTGGTCTTCGACAACGTCTTCGTGCCCGAAGCCAACATCCTAGGCAAGATAAACGGCGGCGTGCGCGTGCTAATGGAGGGCCTGGACCTTGAGAGACTGGTGCTCAGCGCCGGGCCTCTAGGTCTGATGCAGGCGGCGCTCGACGTGGCGCTGCCATTTGTGCATACAAGGAAGCAGTTTGGCCAGCCAATCGGCACATTTCAAGCCATTCATGGCAAGTTGGCCGACATGTACACGAAGCTTCAAGTCAGCAAGGCGTACACCTACGCCACTGCTCGCGCTGTTGACGAGGAAGGCATCATCAAAACGCAAGATTGTGCAGGTGCCATACTGTATGCTGCGGAAAGGGCCACAGAATGTGGCCTGGATTGCATACAGGTGCTTGGTGGGATGGGCTACGTGGAGGAGATGCCAGCTTCGAGGATACTAAGAGAGTAAGTATTGCCCTACCACCGTACCTTCAATGAAGACCCCGAGACCTTCACGGACGCATGTGACTGACATGTATGCGGCAGCGCGAAATTATACGAAATTGGCGCCGGTACTTCTGAGGTGAGGCGTATGGTCATTGGTCGTGTCTTCAACAAGGAGTACGCGAGCTACTCGGTGTGAGCAACGTGGTACCGGTTGAGGGAAAACATATGAAATCACTTCATGTATCAGCATGCACGGCGCTCAGGCGGGTCCTTCTTTTCTTCGGGCTCTCGTTTTGTGGCAGCAAGGAATCAAAATTCACTTATTCCTGCAAACGTCTGAGCTTCATCATGGCTGTGCCCGAGCGGAGGTCCCTCGCGCATAAATGACCCTTCTGCGACTTGGACGCCGCACTGATTCCTCAATTTTGTTCCTAACTCAACGTCGCCACACATCGGTGCTGCCTTCGGTTGCCAAGGCATCTCGCTTCCTGCAGCATAAATGTGTTTATGTCTTCCAACGTGAATTGGTGCTGACGGCGGCGATGCGAGACCTGAAACGAACCATTGCATGGGGAAAGGGGGGCGTTCACGTGGAAGAATGCTGGGTGAGCATCAAATTTCGAGTTCCGGGACACTCATCGGGAACGAGCATTGTAAGGACATGCACAAAGGAGATCCCTCATGTCAGCAGAGGGGTTCTGTAAAGTGATGCCTCGTAAAGCATGGCTGCTTCGTGTCGGCCGATTCTCTACATCACTCAGATCTTGTGCGCAATTGGAGACTCGGTATATGAATCGTCTCTGAAAGAAACAAACTGACTGTAGCAGGACGCAGGATGTGGTCCGTACTCGTCGATGCTCAATGATCCCCCTCGGTCCTGGCTTCCAATACTGACCTTACTTTTGGTTCATAATTTGGACGAACTCGTTGACTATGATCCTAGTTAGTCCGGAGCTCACACAAGATGTGATCTTCACTTACAGTCTATGGTACCGCTCCCATCCGAATCAGCAAAGTGAAGCATCTCGTCGATCTCAGCCTCAGTGAGCGACTCGCCAATCGACTTCATGACTGATCTGAGCTCATCCTTGGAGATGGTGCCGGTTCCATCGCGATCGAAAACCTGGAGCACGTGATCAGCCCCTTGTGCCGTCGGGCGGGCGCGCAGTCTTGGCACGAAAAGCTCACCTTGAACGCCTCTCGGAGCTCTTGCTCTGGGTCCACGTCCTGGACTTTGTGGGACATCAAGGCCAGGAATTCTAGATGCCACCCGTAAGTAAAGAGCCAGCACAGATTCGAGTGCCGCAACGTACCTTTGAAGTCGATGGTGCCGTTCTTGTCGACGTCGACCTCGTCAACCATGTCTTGGAGCTCGCCATCGGTGGGGTTCAGGCCCAGAGAACGCATGATCGTTCCAAGCTCATCTTTGGTGATCTCACCTGTAGAATACACAGGTCAGCTCATATTCAGTATCTTTGTCGCGTGCATACGCGGACAGCCTGGTGGTGTCATCCACCAGTGTTGAGATGGCCACCAAACACTGACCGTTGCCATCCTTGTCCTAAAGTGAACACAGATTGACCAGACCGTCAGTAAAAGCACATGTATGCATTTAGATAGAGGGAATCAGAAGTGGGCGTGGAACTAACAAAAACCAAGAAAGCTTCCTTGAAGCTTTCGATCTGCTCCTCAGAGAGCTGCCCCTGGTCGGCCTGTGATCGGACGATGCGGTCAGTCGAGCAGCTGAAGATGCGCAGAGCCTCACCGACAAAGGCAAGGCTTGCCGGGGGGCTGTGCGGAGGGAGTCACCACCAACCATGGTCTGTATATTCGATATGCGTTGCCGGATGCGGAAGAGTGAGGCAGTGCTGGAGCTTCAGGGAGGTCTGCAAGAGAAAAGAGACGGCTGTATGTAGGGTAAGTAGGTATCTATCTGGCCGTTGAGTCCGTTGAAGAAGCTTGTCAACTATGCTGGGTGGGGTTCCGTCACCCCACCCCATAAATAGTACGTCAAAAGTGGGCATCCCTGTTTCAGGGCGCTCCCGCTCATTCGTCCTCGCCCTGTCCTGGCCTCCTGATTGCAGCAGTCTCGGGATATTAAACGTTAGTGTCTACAGCGTGACTCTGTGTACCCACAATCGCATGTTAACACATATACATCTTGGCCTGGACATAAGGCTCCCAGGTAGTAGGGGCGTCGTCATTTGAGGAGCTACACTGACGAAAGCATAGCATCACCGATTTGTCTCGTATATATGCATACAATATACACAAGCACGCGAGTGCCATTGTTTAATTAATTCCTGGGTGCTTGTAGAGGACTGTATCCCTCCAATAATCTCATTGTGTCACAAGAAAGACTCCAGACAACCTCCAATGAAGAAGAGATCCTGAAAAGAGTCATTGTTGCGTCTAACTAGGCATTGAATCAGTGTTTTCCGCGAAGGGCCCCTAAAATCCACCGCTATGCTCCCCACAGGTCAGACTTCTGCTGCCTCCTTTGTGATGATGCTTGTCATAGACAGTATCTGACCTCGAAGTTTCAAACCTCCCGCCGTCTCCTGTGACTTCAGCCAGTTCTGGTTCTTCCATTTAAGAGATCGGGGCCAGTCAACGGGACTTCATTGTCGCTTTTTTATGAACAGACATTTTTCAAGGCGATATCACATAGCGTATCTCTGCTTATTCTATATGCTTTTCTTTCCTGCCATCTTTGTGGCAATTGTTATGTCGAACGTGGAAAGCTGAGATGCGCCCTATTGCATAATACGCTCACCAAAAGAGTTCAACCAGCCCGGTGATTGGGGGTACTCACAATAGTTTCGAGGGGAATTGTGTCAAAGCTGCAGTGTCAACAACGAAAGTGTACATCTTGTGCCTATCCGTGATTGTGCGTGATAAAAAAGCATCCTCTCGCCTTCACTGTGAGAAAGTGACAAGTGCTATTTGGGTACCATCTGACATGTGAGACGTCTCTTCTAATTCATCATATAACAATTCTTTATCGGTCCTGAGTTGTTTCGTTCTGCCCATTCTTCTGAGGCCAGCCACAAATTATCTTACAAAGCATTCCACCGTTTACATATTTGACTGCATGAAATGAAGGATATCTCTCAGCCTGAACATGACCTCATACCTTCTCCTGTGCTGGAAGACCTTCATGATATCCATCACCCACTTTTTGCCGTCCTCCTGTGCTATCCGCTTGTGGTCACCAGATCCCAGACATCCCCAGAAGCATTTGCAAAATGCATCATCCAGCTTTTCCAGTTTGCTCAAGCTGTCCGCGCTGCCGTCGACATCATATAGCTCCGCCTTGGTCATCATGAAGCCCTTCATGGCTGACATGGCCCATTTGGTGTCCAACCACCGCTCCAGATCGTCGTCTTGCTTCTCGGCAAAAGCCTTCCTCGCCTTCGATTTCAGGTTGCCCATCCGGTCGGTAGGTGCTTGCTTGGCGGCATTGAAAAGCTGGCGCAACAGCTTCAGCTCCCGGAAGCATCGCCTGGCGGCCTCCTCGTCGAGGAGATCGAAGAAAAAGCACCACCGGTCCGTGATTTCCTCCGGCGAGCGCGCAGTCATGGCCGGGCGTTTGATCACCTTGTTCTCCGTCGATGCTTTCGGTGTCGCAGGTGGTTCGAAGCTTTCCTCAAGGCGAGCCGCGATACTGTCTCGGCAGCCAGCTCTCTCCTCCGAAGACCGCTGGGGTGCGACAGTCTCCTGGATATGGTCGCACATGTCCAGTATTTCCCAAACCCTGGCTGCGTGCCGAGGCGCAACCTGCGCGGCGTCTCTCAGCTGCTTCACCCACTGCTTGTCGAGGGCCAGCCTCTCCTGTTCAGCCTCAGAGAGGACGACCCAGCAGTCGCGGATGCCGAATCCGTCCTGGCCTGGAAGACCAACATCTCCCGATGGTCCGAATCGGCCCTTTGTGGACAAGAGAATCTTGAGCTTGTCTGCCATAGTGGTCATGAGGTGAGTGACGCTTTCCCACCGCTGCTCCTCGTTTTTCAGAGTGAGTGCGAGGCATAGCGCGAACTTTCCAGTCTCGTGGCCGAGATACTCTTCCGCCTGCCTCTTCAACTCATCCGCGCTGAGAAATTCGTCATCGAAGTCAGCTTGTTCCAGCTTGTCAATGCTTTCCCTCGTGTCTTTCAAGTTGGCCTTGCAAATCTTCTTAATCGTGTCAACTGAAATCTTCTCCTTTCTCTTTGGTGGAGCCTGTTGGGTGTCCGATGTCTTCTTCGTGGCTAGAACACTCAGACGGCGCTTCAAAGATGGTACACTGGCACTGTCCCTGTTTGGAGAAGGCGCTCTCCTGGCGGTAGATTCACTGATACTGGATAGTAGTGAAGAAATGCTGATCTGGTCCAGCACTCCGGTCGGCTGCTGGACGGCAAGGTCGCCATGCTGTTGCAAGGCCCCTGAACGGCTAAGCTGGCCACCATGAATATTTTGGCCCAGCTCTATCAGCCCGTGGGCAACATCTGGGTGTCTCATAGCAGCAGCTACCAAGAGCCTGACGAGATCAGGATGCAGATTGGCGCTGGGGTCGAAAGCCTGAATTGCTTCTGTGGCAGCAGTCTGCGGATTATCGAGTAGGCGCAGTGCCCTGATGGCAAAAACAAGCGAATCGTCGCCCTCATCGGCCTCATCTTGGTGACATTCCTCGGAAGAAGGCTTCCGAGCAACAGTCTCTGTGGCGTCTGAGACGACGGAGTCGTTGGTGAGAATCGAGGCGACAGATGCCATTGAGTCAGGCCGGTCCGCCATCGGAAGCGATGGCAGCTTCTCGAAGATTGCTGCCATGGTGCTTGTTTTAAGTATGATCAAGCAAGCCGTCTCCTTGGGATTGGGGTTAAGAAGCACAGTTCTTTCAAAACCATGCAATAGGAAGTTTGGGACGAATGTAGGAGCATCTAAGGAAAGAGACGAAGAGATGGCCTTATGAGCCGGTGCATCAGTCAGTAGACATGGTCGGCAATGAATAATGCCATTCCATACATAGTGAAACGCCTCAGTCGGCGTCTCTTGTCTTGGGCCGCGCTTGTCAGTGCTTGATTCGAGGGAAGGGTGTGTGAGAGTTCACTTGGCAGAGGTGGTATGTGGAAGCGATCAACGTCTAAAATTAGGGGTAAGGGCACCTTTCTCCTGGATTGAAGCAGTATCAGAACCAGGTAGTGAGGAAACAGCCGACTGTTGCAAGATGCAGACCACGCCAGCACGGACAGCTTCTGGAACTATTTGCTCTGATCCCCAAGTGCCAGCCATCGGGGTGTTGCGTCGCCAAGAAATGCCAAATGTTTCGAATGCTAAGCAGAAACACTTTGGGCGAGGACCCCTGATGCAGCCAACGTCGGTAAAACATCTTATCAACTAAATCAGATGGTGGCAACTAAATCGGAGAAACCACCGCAAATTGAGACTAGAGTAAACATTCCATGTGCAGCTACTCCCCAAGTTATGTGCTCATTCGGTCGGCGAAGACAAAGCGATTGGATAGCTACAATATAGTATGTGGCACAATTGTCTTTATTGACTGCACTGTCGATGGATAGCTCAATTGCTGCCCTGAAATTTGCGCCAGGGGGTGGTAGACTGCCCAAAACACACATTGAATTGAAATCCCTGGTCAACCGTACTTCTGGGTAGGGCATCGACCGTAACACTGACCAGGTGATCTACTGTAACTCAAAATAGTGGAGCGACCGTCACGCCCAGATTGAGTTCCTCGAATAGACCTTGTACAAAACCCGCCCCGGGCAATGTTCCACCGGCAGCCGTCGCGGTAAGTATCTGAGATTCGAGCCGGTCTATCTCTTTGAACTCTGTACCGGCTCTGGTGATTTCAAATCCACCCCGTGACCATCAACCACATCTATAACATATACTGCAGACCTGGCCGAAGGCAATGTCCTAAGATGGGTAAGTATATCCAGGTAGAGGGTCGACAAACGCCAGTTTCTGTCTGTCTGTACCTGGGGAGCCTATTTGTAATGTTTGTTTAATTGAACCAGTCAGATATTGTGAATTAACTCAGAGGAATACATATGTGTCCATAATTAGTGTCTTTCTGTGTGAGACGCGCGCAAATGCACAATATGGTAATCCCAAAGTTAGAACACATCTCGGTAGAGAAGAACACTTCCTAGATTTTTCTATCCTGCTGCCGGTAAGCACTGCAACTACTGTCCCGTCACCTCGTCAAGACTGCTCAATCCGCTATGGTCATACAGGAAATAGCATATACACCGCCCCCGAAATATTAGCAGCCGTATACATCCTTGCCCTCGCGCCCCGCAGCCTTGGGAGGGATGATAGGAAGGAGGCACGCAAGCGGCAGATGAGTTATACATTGCAATCAGTGACAGACATGCGGTGGACCGTTCAAACATCTTCGCAAACAGACAGTAGATTCACATGCTTACCAGTCCTTGCCCAAGTCCAATTTGAACACGGTCAGCATCGTCAATCTTTTACATTCAAAGCAATGACTGCGCGTCTAACGCAGCCGATATTCAATAAACATCGCACTTGACGTTGAACACAATTTGTGTATCACCTAGGGTATGTACGAATCACATAATTATGCAAGCTCACTCTCTAACAAGGATGTTATGCTAAAGCCCCACTGTGTTGCTCTGGCCTCGCTTTCTATTTCACAGTAGTCTTATTAGTGCCATCCTAAAGTAGCCATCATGAAATGTGCGGTGTGTGCGTTTAATGAGCTGCTTAAAGTGAACATTACTTGCACAGTAAACAATACTTTGTTTTTTACATAAGGCAGTACATATTATGCATGTTGACCTTAGAAATAGATGTTCGAGTTGATGATTAAAAAGAATCCCACTCGATGAGAAAGTAAAATCCAATGCAATTAGCAACAATACCTTCTCTGTAGGTTGGAAGGCTTGCGCTCGCGCTTTTCACAGTATCTCGTAATCTTCGATGGTGAAGAGTAAAGCATGACAAATATTTGTAATCAGGTGGGGCCGTACTCCGAGACATCATGAGAAAAACAAATACAATATAACGTTAGCATAACAACCCAGCCGCGAGCTCTATAAGAGGATTAAAGGGACTATTGAAAGCCACGCCGGAAAGGGGAAATTATTTGCAGGATGACCTCAGTCGGACTGGCTACTGCCGCATTCGCTAATATGCCGCAGCCTTTAATCTACCCGGCTATCACCGAGCATAAGTCTACGGTCATCATCGCTCATGGATTTGGCGATAGCGGAAATGGCTAGTAAGTTATGGCACTCGCTCACTTTTCACATGCCCATACCTGCCCCTGAGGGATGGGTTCGTCTCCCGGCCTCTCCGAAGTCCCTCCAGGGGCACAATACTCACACCCAACACAGCGTTCCTATTGTGCGCAACTGGCAGGACAGCGGCCTCTTCCATGACACAAAGTTCATCCTCCCGAGCGCCCCAGCCATCAGCGTGACATCGGTGAGGACTTTCCTAGCCCCTTGACAAGTAGGGCAGCCAGAAAGTGAGTGCCGCTAACGTGAACTCTCGACATACAAGGCCGGCGGACGCCCCATACCAGCATGGTTCGACATCCGCGGCGAGCGCGGGCCACACGTCACCTTCGAGGACCTGACGCAGCAGAACCAGGATGAGGAGGGCATGCTGCAGAGCCGGGATTTCTTCCTCTCCCTCATTCAGAATGAGATTACGAAGCACGCCATTCCAGCGTCGCAGATCATCATGGGCGGCTTCTCGCAGGGCTCCGTGATGGCGCTGCTCACGGGCGTCACCGCGGACGTGCAACTCGGGGGCGTGTTTTGTCTCTCTGGGTACCTTGCTCTGGCAGATGCCGTGCGAGGAGGCGATGGGAAGACGGGCGGTGCAAGCAAATTCCCGCACGCGAGGGAGGGAACGGGGACCGAGGTCCTAATGATCCACGGGGAGAGGGACCCGGTGATGAATCTGGATTGGGCAGAGAAGTCGAGAGACATTGTTAAAGAGTTGGGGTATCCCGTTGACTCCAGCATCATCCCGTAAGTTGCGATTCCCAACCTACTCGCATGTTTTTAACGCCCTGCGCTCAGATCGCTGACTCGTCTCATTGTGCTCTGAAGTGGGCTCGGCCACAGCATAAACCAGGAGGTTCTCGCGAAGGTGACGGCGTTTATCAAGAGGGTACAGGGCAAGGGCAGAGACCGGCACGATGAGCTTTGAAGCAGGCGCGCCGCTCAGTAAAAGAGGAACAAGGGGGGCCAACTAGGTGAAGTACTGCAGTTTTGATGGAATTGAATCAGATGTTCTTCTTTCGCACGGTGGTGCTTTCATGCTAGAGCCGGATTTCATCCAAATGTAAATCTTTGAACCCTTCCTCAACGATCCACGATCTCCCCTTTTCAGGTGTATATAAGGCTTCACACGCCCTCCCCACAACAAGTAGGCCCGGTGGCCTGCTTCCCTCCGCCTCAATGGCCTCAGCAACAAATTCGAGTGTTGTCCGTATTACTCTCTGATCAGGACAAGAAGCTCGCTCGATCACGGCACAGGGCGTCGACTTTGGCCACAGACTTCTCGTGGCTTTTACTGGCTGTGCGACGTCGCTCGTCTCTATCATCTGATGTACCACGTCCTCTGCCGGCCCAGCACCTTCTGATATTGTCTCCGTTGTTGTGGTGGTGCCTGTCCTGCCCAGTTCTGAGGGAAGATGCTGCGTAAGCTCCGCCACAAGACCTGTAATGCGGTGCAAAGCCATGAGGAAGACGACCGTTCTGCTTCCGACAAACTCTGGAGGCGATGGCGGTTTGCCCTTTTTGCCGGTACCAGTGCACACTAGCACCTGATCAGCGACATCTCGTTGCGTGGGCGGTATCCCTGCGAACAACGGCGCACTGAGAGAGCTCGTGATTCCGGGCAGAACCACCACCCTGTCGCCGAGGTTGTTCCTGCGGAAGTATTCAACCTCCTCGCCCCCGCGGCCGTAGATGAAGGGGTCGCCTTGTTTGAGTCGCAGCACTACCTTGCCCTGCCTGACACCCGCGATTGCTTGTTCCAACAATTCCTCCTGAGCCTTGTCCGCGTTGCCAGGGAACTTGCGTGCGATGGAGACAGGCGTCCGCCTGGGGATGAGGTCTAACACGCCTTCGGGGACGAGTTTGTCGGCCAGAATGAGGTCTGCGGACTGGATTGCCTTGTAGGTTGCGCGAGTGAGCAGGTCAGGGTGCCCGGGACCGGAGCCAGCCAGGATAATTCTGCCGCGTGAGCTAGCAGATGTACCATTGCTGTCTTCCGATCTTCCGATGCTGGATGCGCTGCTAGGGGTGCTGCTGCTGCCAGAGTATGACTTCAGTACAGCCTCGACGTCATCATCGCTGATGGCTGCCAAGCGCTTCAGCGGCCAGTACTCGCAAACCTGCGCGAGCCAGCGCATGCGCCTGTGCTTCACAGCGTCCACGTCTTCCTCGGTGACCAGCTTGTTGAAGTTTGCCGTCTGCTCTAGCCCTTCCTCATCCTCCCCAGCGGTAAGGGTACCGCCGTTGAGAGCTTCGTGAAGTAGGTGGTCCTCTTCCTGCACCCTGCGCCTTACTTCTCCCAACCTTGTGCAAGCAGCTCCCAGGGTTGGCGGAAGCGACGCAGCGACCTCACGGCGTATGCGGCTGGCGAGGCGGCATCCTCTCCCATTGGTGGTCACGCCGATCTGCAGCGGCCCGTCGCTGTATGTGGACAGGATGGAGAAACTGCAGAGGCTAGGGCTGTCGACCACATTGACGGGAATGCGGTTGCGCTTGCATATTGCTGAGATAAGTTGCGCCGACGATCCTTCGCCCAAAGCGGCAGTATTGGTTGTTGTCACGAAGACGGCATCAACCACATTGCCTATCTCGTCCCGGCCGCGACTGAGGGCAAGATCTTCGGTAAAGATTTTGCGTTCCCACTCTACCCGGCCTGACTCAATGAGGTTGGCGAGGGTGTAGTGAAGAGGCTGAGTTGGTGGGGGCTCGGGCGCGATAAGAATAGGTTTTGCGCCGGTGGCAATGGACTGCTCGCACCTCTTGCCAGCGAGCGAGTTGCTGCCGATGACGAGGTGGACGTGAGAGCGACAGTCTGTGGCAGTGAGGAGAGACGTGTGGTAAGAGGCTGCCATTTTGTGTACAGCTAGTGTTCTAGGTATCGTTGCCGCGTCTGGTCTGTTCTGTAGCCATTTATTAGGAATTAGAGATACATTGGATGCCGTTATCAGACCGTCCTGAGCCGCATGACGCCATCCCGACAGCCGGCCCTCGGACCGACGAGCCCATAGAGAGCCCGTTGAGTGCCCATTGATCGCTTCACATAACGATGCACTTTTTGTCCTCCTTATCCTTCTTGACGCTCATCGCCACCCGGGCGGCCTCTGTGAATGCCTCGTTGACGCCGCGATTGCGCATCGCAGAGCACTCGAGGTATCGCATCGCATTTATTCTCCTGGCGACCTCCAGGCCCTGCTCGTACCCGATCGTGGGCTTCGTGCTCGCTGGTGGGTTGTCGGCCGCCGTCGCGTCCTCTTCCGCGTTCTCTCGCAGGTCGCATTTCAGGGCGATGAGCACGACCTTGACGCTAGGGCAGTGTTCTGTTATCTCGCCGACCCATTTGCTCTCGACGTTCTCTAAACTCTCGGGGCTGTCCACGCTGTAGCACAGCATGATCAGGTCGCTGTCATCGTAGGAAAGGCTTCGTAACCTGTCGAACTCCTCCTGGCCGGCGGTATCCCATAGCGACAGCTCGATGTGGATGTTGTCGACGAAGATGTCGTGGACGTAGTTCTCGAAGACGGTGGGCTCGTAGACGGTAGGGAAGTACCCTCTTGTGAAGACGTTAAGCAAGGATGTTTTGCCACACGCGCCGTCGCCCAGGAGGACGAGTTTGCGCTGCACGGTCTTGTTGGTCGCCAAGCAGGACATTGTGATGGTTGTGATGGAGGAGGAGATGGTGTTGTTGTTGCTGGAACGGGCACTTTTGGGAGACGACTTGTCGGGATTGGAGTTCGGGGCTAATTGGGGTTGGGGTTCGCGAGCTTTGACCCACCTCCACCCATCCCTTCCCTCCCTCTCGAGTCCGGTGGCGTCCCCGAGCAGGTTTCCGTCCCGGGGGGAGATTATTCGAGGTGAAGGTTGTAGATTATCCTCTTTGCGAGATTATCAGGCTATTATGTTTGAGTTTCTTCCAAGAGTGAGAGCTGGTCATTCCACTTGTGCTGTTCCCTTGGAAGATTATCACGCCTTACAAGGCGATTTTGTTTCCTGGAGCTGTGCCAGGTGCTTCGAGAAGACCGACTGTCTGTAAGAAATCCATCTACACGAACACCTGACTGAAATATTACCTGCCTACCTGTCAGCACACCCACATGGATGCGCTATTGACAATAACTGTCAGCAAGCCCGCCCCCAGGTGATGTGGCCCAACTAATACTGTCCCAAAGGGCTCCGAAGGGGCTTGGCCACCCCGTAATCTCTACGTGCCACGGTGTTTGACCTCTCTGGTGATGAGAGGCTAAATCTGCAGCATCATATTCAACCATTAGCATCCTGCAATATAGCACAGGGGGGTTCAGATTATCTCTTTTTTAGCTGCATGCCGACTGAAATCCACTGTTATTATCGGTAGATGACACCCCTATATTTGGCTCCGCTGGCGCTCCAGATGTCATTCCCCTGAACTGCCAGGGCGCCGCCCCTGTTAAAGGCCATTTGCCGCCCACAGCTTAGAGATATACATCATAAATGAGCCCGCATCATATGAGATGAGCTCGTAGCGCGCCTTCAGTTTTGCAAAAAGTCCTCGACCCGAATAGCGGTGAATGGCCGATTTACATGGGCAGCTGGGCAGATGAGGCCATCTTGTCAGGGTTGTTGGGTCCCGGCTCATTGAACAAATCACCTAAGCGCCGTCTCTTCTGGGTGAGTAAATTCGCCTCATTTCTTTTCCGCACCAGCGGTGACTGTCCTCGGCCGTCGAGAGCGCCCGGTGCCGACATCGATCTCGAATGTTGAGTCCGGCTGCGAGGCGATGCGAGGCATGCGACAACCAGCATCGACAAGCTCGCCGGAGAGGAACTTCCCTGTTTCATGCAGGACAGCCCACCATCATTCACCCGCACAAGTTTCCCCAAGGAAAGACACTGCGCCTGCCCAATGGGTTACCATCTGTCTTGGGGATTTGAGGCAAGGTCGATCAGCTGCCCGCGAACATGAAACAGCCTGCATCCCAGTTCTCGCCGAGCTGAGCCCGTCTTACCACCATGCTGGTAGACTTCCGGGTCAAAAACTATCACGGTCACTGTCGGCTCACACATCTCTCACGGCACAAGTGTCATTGGCTGGGGTTTCATCCATGACAGCTCTGGAATGCCCTAACCGCGGGGAAAGCAGCCAACCCTACGGGTGGTTCTGTAATTGTCGGCCATGTGTCAATGTCTTCACATGTGCATTACCTTCGTATCTCCTCGACTGCGTCGTAGATGAGGTACACGTAACAAGGATTCAAGACTCAACCACCACATCGAGGGTCAGGTCTACCATGTCAGCCTTACTAACTCAGCTCCCAGAGGATAGATCAGTTTCAGCGGGAAGTTGCCCGGTCTGTCTTTTCGATTTATAGAGCACTGTGTGCAAGTGATATTCTTTATCTCCAGAAAATAACTCCCCTACTCTGCTTTGCTTTGCTTGGCTTCGCTTTCAAAACGGAATGATTTAAAACACGAAAAAGGACAAAGTACTCCGCTCCCGTTCGGCCGCCTCCAAGAACTCACCACCATTTCGAGCAGAAGCTCGGGCAAAGGCAGAGAGGGTGGCAGAAGCCAGCCGGCGGAAAGAAAAACGCCCAGAACCAGTCTGCGCCTTGGCAATCCATTCCAGCTCGTCTGGGAGGGTGGGTGGAGGGGATGGCGATTGTCGTAGACGGAGTACATGCACCGTGTTCTTCATGCAAGGTCGAGACCGTCCTTCCCCCCGGGGATATACGAGCATCCTTGGCTATGATTCGAGACTGGCCGCTGGGCTGACGCTGTCGAGTGGTGCAGCATGCAATGCCGGTCTCTCTGCACTCGGCGGTTGCAACCCCTTCTTTTTGCGCTCCATCACCTCGCTGACCCATTCCGCGACCTCGCTGTCCCCTGAGCCTTCATTGATGTTGAGCTGCTTTGCCGCGGCGTCGGCAAGGTCATTATCCATAGCTTCCGACTCGGCCTCTGCCTCTTCGGTAATCGTCTCGGGCTTGCTGAGAGATTTTATCCAAGGGTGTAACAGGAGCATAGGGTAAGTATGTCGTTTCTTTGGGTTCTTGTTAAGGCACGACTTGACAAAGTCACGGGCCTGTGCGGAGTAGCCTTCCGCGGGAAGATCTGGCGGGTCGCCTTCAACGATTGCCTGTGATCGAGTTCCTAGTTAGCCCAAATTGTCTTGAAATGTGGAGAACGTGCGTCACTCACGTTCAGCTGGCCGAAGATGGTTGCAGAAATCTCCGGTGGGTAAGGGTATTTGCCCATTGCGCATTCGATGATCGTCAGTCCCAAGCTCCAGATATCACTCTGAACGCTGTAGGTTCCATCCGCGCCCGTAGCCAGCGCACCGCCAGATATCCGCTCAGGAGCCATGTAGCTTTGGCATCCAATATTTGTCTTTGCGATGCTGGCCACGAGATTCCCGCTGACACCGAAATCGCATATCTTAACCTGGCCCCGAGAATTGACAAGAATATTGGTCGGTTTTACGTCCCGATGGATGATGTTGTGTTCGTCCTTCAAGGACTTGAGCCCCATGATGGTGCTGTAAGTAATCTTCTTGAGCACGTTTTCGGGTATCCCGCCGTCGTACAACTTATCAATCGAGCCGCCATCCATGTACTCGATGCACATATACACCGCGCCCTCCTGGAAGAAGGCTCCATAAAAATCGATAATGTAAGGTGATGAACATTCATGGAGAATGACCAGCTCCTTGAGGATAGTGGTAAACTTCGCCTCATCGAGTTCCAGCCTGATCTCTTTCATGGCCATAACCCGCCCTGTTGTACCATCTATCCTGGTAGCGCGGGGTGTCGAGGGCGAGCCCTCACTGCCTGACGACTCATCTTTGTCGGAAAGGCTCGAGTTTTGCCTAGAAGCGGGCTTAAAACCGCTTAGCCCCTGTCCGAATCGTGGTACTTTCGGCCTCGCATGTCGGACCCTGTACACTGTGCCGTAGTTGCCCTTTCCTAGCTCGTCGAGAATATCAACTTCATCTAATGAGATGGAAAACGCAGCGCCACTGGCAAAGTTCACGCCAGTCCGCGTGATGGTGGCTGCGCCGTCAAAGGTAATCCAACCTTTTTGCGTGTCGATATAGTTCTTGAACTCGTTCATCTTCGAGTCCCCTCGCGGTGCATCCTCCTTCCCAGACGTATCAGATCCACCGTTCATATCGGATAATTTGGGCGTTGGGGCCGGTGAAGGCGCGCCCGGGAGCCCACCAAGCTTCATCGCTCCTCTTCTGTCTGCCAAGCTAGGCTTCTTCGCACCAGGTATGGCTGGGGCAGACCTCGGAAAGCCCTGGGCCGGTGGCCTAGACGGACCGCCCATGCCTGGTAATTTCAAGTTGCCTGGCACACCTCCTGGAAAGCCTCTGGGAGAGGCTGACCCAGACATTGGCGCAGGAGAGCCCATCGGATTCATATTGGGCCGTGGCAGACCCGCCCGCTCCGCCTGTAATGCACGCGCCTTGGCCATGAGATCCATCGGCAGGCTGCTGGCCGCCGGTGGTGGCCGGCGGGCATTGTTCAGGGTGCCCGTAACGCTGGAGTTTGGGTGGATACCGAGGCCGGGACTGTGACCATGCGGGTCTGACACCGTTCGGAGAGATGGGACACGGCGAGGCGGGTCTTTGGAAGAGAACTGAGGTAAGGCATCGGAAGAGGCGCTAGGAGGGTCCAGCGGCGTGCTGGCTTCGGAGGACTCATCGGCGTCGGAACCAGGCGAGGCGGGGTTGCTTTCGACCTGCTCGTCCGGAGTGGCCGGTACAGACGAGTCTGGGGAGTCTGACATTGTGGGCCAAGTAGAGGGATGCACACACAGGTTGCGTCTGCAACTTTTCGACAGCCGGACTACCTCGTTGTCTGTGGCATGCGGCTGCTCGAGAGGGTCAAGGTAGGTCTATAGGTTACGGATATGTGGTTGATTCTCAGCCCTTGGGGCTAAGGGGCGCCGAGCGATTTAGCAGAAGAAACGCTAGGGCAAACTTTGGCTCCCTCGATCGTATGAGTCGACAACGGCCACGGAGACGGAGGCCCCAGAGACGCGGTGAGGCCGAAATCTTGGTACTGGCAACTTGGAAGCAAGCGCGAACTTTAATGGCGGCGACAGAGCTCAAAGAAGCGCAGCGTCGGGCTGACTGCAGAGTTGCGTCGAGCTGGATTTTAGGTTGGCAGACAGGCAATCTAGGAGAGAAAGAGAGTTGAGCCTGACAGAAAAGAGTCCATGGGACGAGAGAGGGATAAAATCAAAAGTAGGTGACGTGAGGTCCAGTCAAGCCCAAGATAAGACGAGACGAGACAAAATCGAGACCAGGCTCCAAGAGAGATATTCGAGGAAAATGGCAGCGGGTGCAGGTCCAAGTCGTTCGTACGCACAGGTGCTGCAAGAGCTTCTGATCTCTTGGATCTCTTGCGTCAGAAGGTCTAGAAGATATGGGGCTTGATTGGATTGGCAAGTGGGAGGGAATTGGAGGAGAGGGTACAGTACATGCCAGCGACATGTACCCGCCAGGCTGCACGCATGTACCGTGCAGGACAGTCACGGGCGGAGGTTGGGCAGATGTCGGGCAATGAGGTACCTCTCTGCTCTGTGGCTCAAACTTCGCGATTTTTGAGTCTTCCTTGTCCCTGTACCAGGGCACAGGCAGGGCAGGTTAGGGACGTGTCCCCCCCGTCGTCTCCAAAGCAGTCTACAGTCTAGCTTTATCTGACTGGCCTGTCAGACTATCTGTCTGGCCTGGCACCCTGCCGCACCCCTCCACATTGTCCCATCATCGCCTCCAATGCCTCTCCCACACTCCCACACTCCCACAGCTTGCTCCAGGGCCATCATCCAATTGGGATCAGCCCTCCGAACCCCTCCACTTCCACATCTGATTACGTCGATCTGACTCTGGCAGGCTGCTGAAAGCTGCATCTCCCATTCCAATGCCAGCAGTCCAGCAATTGCAACCGAAGAGTCAACAAATCGTCATTGTGGAAGGGTGAGGCGCTTCTCCAAAACGGCAGCTGCTTCATTTGAGCCGTGCATAGCGGGCATAACGTCAGGGGCATATCATTCGGTCAGCTATTCCGCTCTGCTCTGCTAGATTCCATGTCGAGTCGAGAAGGGGATAGCAGCTTAGCCCAGCGTGGTCTAGCTCCCCTCCATCCATGGCGACATCTGCCTCGGCCGGCCGAAGCGATGGGAGGACGACGACCCCCGCGATGACGTTGACTCTGGAGCGGTGGCTTGGGGACCGACTGAACTGCCAGCGCCTGCTCCACTTATTAATGCACATATGAGATGCTGCTCCTAGCACAGCAGCCCGGGGGTGGCCGGCACTGACAAAAAAGGATGTGCAGTGCTGCATGCGCAGCCACGAAAAGGTGGGAGATAGTCAAGATGGGCATCTTGAATTCCATCTCTGCGAAAGGGTGCAGTGCCATTGGGCTCCGAAAATCAGGTTTCTCACCTCTGGCCGATCGCCCAGGTCTCTTTCCTATTCGAAGGCCCTGAAACGTACGGTCAGCAGTTTAAGTATGGCAGCCGAGATGAAACAGCAGGCAGCTCAGGCAGATCAGAACAGATCAGAACAGATCAGCAGCGCAGCTAGAAGCGCAATTGGCCCTGCCATGTTGCAACCTCGTGTGGAAGCTGACGCGGTGCACAAGTCCAACCCCAGAATCTTGCCGCCTCGCCAGGCCCGGCATTGCCAATTCTTAATGGCAAGTTGATGCTCATGTCATCATGGGACGCTGAGGTCCCGCCCAGACGTTGCTGGACAGGTCAATTGCTGCGTGATATGACAGCATCGTCACCGCCGCCAGACGGTCAGGGCCATGGTTATAATGCAGGCATGTTAATGCCACAGTACCTGCCCACGTCCCCTGCTCGGCTTGGGCTGGTCTGGAGCTTCATCCTCACGTCCAATCGCTTGTTTGCCAGACAGCAGGGGCAGCTGTTGACTACCAGGGAGCCTTCCAAGAAATCTGCATGCTGGAGCTAACAACTCTGCAGCTATTCCTGTATTGGGCCCCACCCTAGAGCTGCAGCTTTCCCCGGGACACGGTCGATGAAGCTGTCACGAGGACTTTTGAAAAGAGGACGAGAGGTCCAGGGTCGAATGTGCTCATGCCAGTTGTACAATCGCCTGAGACGCACGCCAACGCCAACGTCAACATCACTGCTTTGGCGCAATGAAATCTTGGTTGGATGTCTTCCCAGAACGGGACGTCTGGAAAGATAACCGCGTATTGGGCACAGAGATGGAAAAATGAGAAAAAAAGTCAAGGTGACGTCATTTTTTTTTCCGGCTCAAAGACACTCATCCTGCAGCATGGAGATATAGTGACGTCTTTCTGCTTGCTCAATTCCAGAGTCTGAATTTTGGATGTGCTATTAAAAACCAATCCCTAACCCAAGCAAGCGCGGAATTCCCGCAATCCCAGACAGCCACCGTGAAGAAGAGATTGGCCCCAATGACCCACTTCACCGATATGCGAGATTCCTCCTGGTAAGGACTGAAGTGTGGATGCTATTCAAATTCTGCGGCTCTGGATGACTACTTCTACGCCTCTTTGTAGAAATCCCTTCATCTAAGTTGTGAGCTGTACTGGTTACCTACCCGTGCACAATAGTTTCGAGTTGCTAGTAGCAATCATGCGTATTCCGCCAAGGAAGGAACTGAAAAAGAAATGGGGGAAAAAAAGGCAAAATTTTGTGCAATTAAATATTACAGCCGTCACATTATCACGGCTGGTCCCCCGAGTCGTCCTGCCAGTGGAAACCACTCCGCTGTCGACGTGTCAAACTTTAGAACCGTGTTTCTGCCCGCCCTTAGGTCCGATGTTCATCCGCGGCTCCCATCCGGTCGTATCGTCGCAGCTCGCCCGGGCTTCTAGTGAAGCAAGCGCACCCGTTTTCCCAGCATGGGCGCGACTCATCTGGTAGAGGTGGGTTCTGTTCGGCGGATACGCTGCACACACGAGTAATATTCTCTCCTGCTTGGCAATATAGCACCGCCACGTCGACGGCCGGCACGGGTGCATTGCACAGTCTTCGTGTGCTTCGCGAGGACGTTGTCTATCCAAACAATGGCGGTAGCACATGGATGGCGGTTTTCGGGGCGGTAAACTTTGCGCGCCATCCCATCATCGCACATATGTACACAGTAGCACACGTGTATATGGGCGGAGGGCAGCAGCTCAGGTGGTCACATGCCGGCCCAGCAGAAGCAAGTCTGCCAGGTACTGTGGCACTGGAGAGTAGTTGGAGAGTTGTCAGCCACCCCAAGAGGACTCCAACCTGATCCAACCTTTCCGCCGTCATCATGCCTGTCATCCCGTGCTGATCAGGGGCAATATGGTTGGTTGCCCTGAAGGAGCTCAAGGAACAGGAGGCACGCCCCGATGCGATACCACCTCGGGGCGTCGGCAGGGACCAATCAGTGTGGCAAATTGCTCGCCCAGGTGTGATCCCGCTGCGATGTGATTTATTCCGGCCATGGTTGTAGTGTCAGTATCGTGAAAAGCAACGGGCCATCGCCTCGTATGGTCAGACGTCAGTAAGTCAGTATAGCACATACAACCATGCAACTGCATCTGGGGAAATGTTTCGATGAAGGACCGATGCTTCGCTAGTTTCAAGTTTCGTGCTCTTGGCCCCAAGCACCCTAACGGTGTTGGCAGATCTCCTCTGTTTGCCGCTTTGCACATCAGCCACTGCATTAGTGGTCGATTGCGCAAGCCCCGATTCCACATTGAGAGATTGGAACCATAACTTGAGGCAAATGGCACGATGGCTGTGACCTGTGAAGCCGGTCGTCAAGTCTTTCCTCGTGGAGAGTTCCATCACCTGTGTGCTCTGATTGTGAACGTGCACATGTGGAGCTGGCGCAGCCGTGGGTCGACTCTGAAGCTGAAGCTCAAGCTGTGGAAGGCTGAAAGAACGACAACCCCTGTTTGGACCCCAGTCAGGAGCTGTCAAAGGGGCCTCCCAGACGCGAGCCTGCTGCAGGTTCTTTAATTTAGCCTTTGGAGCGGCCCTAAAGACGCTCCCACACCAGGCCCGTCATCGCTTGTCTTATCCATCAATCAGCCAGTCGATGAGCAGTGTTCCCAAGCCCAGCCCAGCACAGCCCGACCCGGGCAAAAGACCCCCCATCAAAGGCCTTACTTGGCAGCACATAATCGCCGCCTCCGCCCATTCCCTCGCTCATTGTCGCCTTCTGGGTGACAACTCACCCAGGTGAAATCGTTGTGACGTCTTGGCAGGCTGTGTGAAGCCACACGAAGCGAGAGAGAGCGAGCGCCCTGACCCAAACAGCGGAAACTTTAAACGTCAGGTCCCATCGAAACCAGGTGCTCCCCCAGTCCACCGTCCCATTAAAACCGAGCACGTCTCCACGCCGCCGCGCATCGGTCATATCGGTCACCGATATAAGATACGATTTGCTTTCTTTTCCACAGGCTCTCTCTCCCCTAACCTCCACAACAAAGAGAGAAAGAGAAGCTACCACCAACGATGCCTGCGTCCTTTCGCCTCACAAACCCCGGGGCGCCGCCTCTGGCGATGGCGCAAACGTCACCTTTTGTCGTCTTTACGAAGCCCCATGATTCTCACCCGTCGCTTGACCACCTGGTTCTCCTGGTCTTCGAGGCAGTTATGGAGGTGGTGTGCGTCAGCTTGCCCGGATACATCATTGCGAGACTGGGCCACTTCGACGCCGACAAACAAAAGTTCCTGGCGAACCTCAACGTGATGCTCTTCACGCCATGTCTAAGTGCGACTCCGAAGACTCCGAACAACGTTCCAAGAAGATGTGAGAACTATTCCGGCTAACATGGGCAACTGCAGTCTTCACGAAACTGGCCTCTCAGCTCAACGCCGACAAGCTTATCGAACTCGCTGTCATACCTATTATATTCGTCATACAGACCGCTGTGTCTTACTTGGTTGCGCAAGGCGTCTCCCGGCTTTTCGGATTCCACAAGAGGGCGTCAAACTTTGTCACAGCCATGGGCGTAAGCAGGAACCTAGTGCGCCTCGTTTAGTAGACGCGCGTTCGCTGACATGTGTGTGGAACCCAGGTTTTCGGCAATTCGAACTCCCTTCCAATCTCCTTGGTGATCTCCCTTTCGCAGACATTGAAGGGTCTGCACTGGGACAGGATACCCGGCGATAACGATGATGAGGTCGCCGCCCGTGGAATTTTGTATTTGATGATCTTCCAGCAGCTGGGCCAACTGGTACGATGGAGTTGGGGCTATCACGTGCTTCTGGCTCCCAAGGAGAAGTACGCCGACTACGACAATGAACGAATCGAAGAGGGCAGATATGCCGGGGATGCTATGGGCAGTGAGGAGACGGACAACCTGCTGCAGCCGGAAGATGATGATACCGACGACCACCGGAGCAGTGCATCAGACACCTACGAGCCTGCTGGCCGCACTCCAGTGGCGAACCAGTCACGAGCATCACTTGCTGATCTTGTTAACGAGGACGGCACTACAACCCCCCGGAAGAACCCGTACGGCAGGCATCACTACAAAACAAACTCTGCGCGACCCAGCACTGCGGACACCGTTGGCGAGGATAACGAGAGTTTGCACGATCACAGCATCCTCTCCTTCCCCCGCATTCGTAACAACGAGGAGGCTGAGATTCCGGAAGGTGTTAAGGGCTACCCGAAGCGCTGCAATCGCTGGGTAAAGCAGACTAAGGCGAGGACGACAGCCGCCATCAACAGGAAGCGCCATGAGGTGTACTCCCGCCTGCCGCCGCCCCTCCAGCGCACTGTGGACTTCCAGCAGGTGGCCGCCGCCAAGCTGAGCAATTTCCTGTGGGAGTTCATGAACCCGCCGCTATGGGCGATGCTCGCGGCGGTGATCGTGGCGTCGATCCCGGACCTGCAGAGGCTGTTCTTCCAAGAGGGCTCATTCATCAAGAACAGCGTGACCAGCGCCGTCAGCTCGAGTGCGGGCGTGGCCGTGCCGCTCATCCTGGTCGTGCTGGGTGCAAACCTGGCGCGCAACACGCAAAAGCGCGATGGTGAGCCCGAGGAGGCCGTCATCGGCAGCAAGCTGCTCGTCGCCAGCCTCATCTGCCGCATGCTGCTGCCCACGCTAATTATGGCGCCCATTCTGGCTGTCTTCGCCAAGTACGTGCCCGTGAGCATCTTGGACGACCCAATCTTTGTCATCGTCTGCTTCCTCCTCACCGGCGCGCCCAGCGCGCTGCAGCTGGCGCAGATCTGCCAAATCAACTCGGTGTATGAGAACGTCATGTCCAAGATCCTCTTCCAGAGCTATGTTATCTGGTAAGTTAATCCTGACGTTCCTGTGCGAGATGCAACATTGTATTTATTAACACATATCTCTTACAGGATCCTTCCCTCGACCCTCATTCTTGTCATGCTTGCGCTTGAGGTTGTTGAGTGGGCTCAATGAGCCCAGCGTCGCCTCTTTCGCCAGTGCCGGACAATCGGTCTTTCCTTTCCTTTTCCTCTGTAATATGAGTACTCAACGGGCATACACAAAACACAAATTGGTAACGGCGATACAAGCATAAAGGGCTGAAATTGGTCATGTTCAGCAGTGGCGTTTTTGGTTGGGTGGGGCTTTCCAGGGGAAACATACAATACCCCTTCTCAGCGCAAACATATCTAGTGAATTTCATTTGGAGTAGTTCGAAAGTAGATGGAGACGACACCAGTGGGACAAAACAAAAAGTCCGCGGCGGCGTTGTAAGATAGGCGAGAATCATGGACGAATCATGGTGGTATCCAGGCTTCAGTGATCAAGCCTGCTCGCAGGTTCACACGGGTTTTCCAGTGAAAAGGGACTGCAAAAGAATTGTCTACATAGGCACGGTAGTCTATTCTAGAATTAGGTACACATAAACAGTTATCCCGTGGGACGTTGTCCCAGAGGAGATTCCCACATTGAAGATTGTCCCAAGAGGGTACAAACCGATACTAACGTTCAAGATTCTTACAAACCGTATCATGAGTCAACCAGTCATACTCCATTCTGTCCCTCAAATGGCTTCGGCCGGATCAGTCCGCGTAAACGGCTCGCAGACTTGCAGTACACATGGCCGCTCGCACAATCCGCTCGTTCGCTCTGCAGATGCGGTCTTCTCAAATGCAATCCTGACTGACATGCTGCCCTGTACCATAGCAGCGGACCTCTGTAGATCCTAGCACTTTTTAGCACTTTTTAACAGCTCAAGTCATTCAAAATCGATTACCAGACTAGGCTGTTGGTAGCCTCGACCGCCCACTCAGCTAACACCGTTTACCAGACTAGGCTGCTGGTCGCCTTGCGCCGGCGCAACCAGCTCCCAGTCCTTCACGTTGCCTTTCCAGTCGCTAATCCTCACGCCCCTGACGCCAACAATAATGACCCTGACCTCCTCGCCCGCGACGAAGCACTCGCGGCCGCCGTCCTCGGTGCCCGAAGCGCCGCCGCCGGCACCGCCGGGGCCGGGCTGGCCGAAGGGGTTGAAACCCACGCCGTCGGCGGAGTCGAAGGTGTTGTTGTCGAGGTGGGCCTGGCGGTAGAAGCGCTCCTCGTCGGTGCCGGCGGGGACGACGCGGGCGGAGCCGTGGATGGTGGCGCTGATGCTGGACATGGCGCTCGTGTTAAGGTTGAGCAGCAGCGAGGCCAGGCTGGAGCGCGTGGGCGACACGGAGGCGGCGCCGCCCGACAGGCGCCTGGCGGTCGAGGTGGGCGGGCGGTGCGAGACCCAGTCGTGCACGAGCAGTGACACGTGCGGGTTCGTCAGGAGGTTGTGCATCTTCTTGGAGGCCGGGTTGGTCGTCATTATTATGATGGGCTCCGAGGGCGAGTACGGCGAGGAGGGGAGGTAGGTGTAGTTCATGAGCGAGACGTTGGGGATGTTATCTGTGCATGTCGCGAGGTGGAGCTGTTGGTGGTGGTGGCATTGGTTAGTCGCGCGAAGAAAAGGAGGGTGCTTGGTTGTTTAGGTGGCGTGGTGTGGTGATGCGTACGAAGCGGGCATTCTCGAGGCACTGGATCACCTCTGGTGGGAGGGACGAGGTGACTTGGCGATTGTTGTCGCCTATGGAGGCTGCTGCGTTGAGAGGTATTTGGGACATGGTGGCGTAGGTTGTTCTGCCCTGTGCTAAGCCCGCGATGTGGTTTGGTATGGTGCGAGCTGGTGCGAGCTGGCGTGAGGCTGGTTGTAATAGTGTATCTGGGTAGTCTTTGGTACCCAGGCGGACGAAGAGCTCTCCCCCTCTGTATCTCCGACGGCCCTGACGCTTAGCTAAGGAGGGGCTGTAGTGGATTTCCATTACGACCCCTGTCGCCCAAACCCGCAGTGACGTTGTGACATTCCCCAGACTCAGCAGGGGTTGTTTACGTGTAGATCGCCAGGGTACATGTTGCTTGCCGTTCCCCGGATTGCCATGGAGCATCAATCCACGCCAGATAGTCGTTTTAGTGAAGTGCAAGTACTTGTGAGAATGAACATCCACCTCTTCGGTTTCCTTCCTTCTTTTCCTTTCGGCACGGAGCAGTCTCATAAAAAACGGTCAGTCATCCCCTAAGCTCCTGGTGTCCTTGGAGGTATCTTTGGGGATTGGGGCTTTGGAGACAAGGGGTTCGTTCAGCACGGCATACTGCAGCTTGGGAACGGCTATCAACGGCTGACCTCCAATTGCCCTTCACCTCGGGACGAGGACGACACTATCAACATTGCGTCCCCCGAGGTCCCAAGGTCTTAACCTTTGGCGAGACAAGACAACAAAACCGCCTTTCTCTACCAGCTGTGATGTGAAATTTGCTTCATTTCTCCAGTGACTGCCTGATTTCTTACTAAAAAAGCCATACACATACACAAGCACCATGAGATCCATCAAGAACGCCCATAGGCGTCTCCCCTTCCGCCCAGCATCGAGAGCCCTACTCTCCTCGTCTACATCCACATCCACATCTTCCTCCCAACCTCCAAACTCAAATATCACACCATTTACATCCGTAATAATAGCCAACCGAGGAGAGATCGCCCTCCGCGTCCAACGCACCGCATCCAGGCTCGGCATCCGTACAACAACCCTCTACACGGAGGTCGACCGAAACGCCCAGCACACTACAGCCACCCCTTATTCCCTCTCCCTGCCCAACTACCTGGATGGCGACCGCATCATCGCCCTTGCAAAGCAGCATGGTATCCAGGCTCTCCACCCAGGCTATGGCTTCCTCTCGGAGAACGCCACCTTTGCCCAGAAGTGCCACGACGCGGGCATCGTCTTTGTCGGCCCTCCTGCCTCCGCCATGGCTGACATGGGCGACAAGGCCCGCTCAAAGGAGATCATGACCGCCGCCGGTGTGCCCTGCGTCCCGGGCTACCACGGCTCCGAGCAAGCCATCGACGCGCTGCAGGTTCACGCCGTCGACATAGGCTTCCCTGTGCTTCTCAAGAGCGTCAAGGGGGGGGGCGGCAAGGGCATGCGCATCGTCGCCTCCGAGGCCGAGTTCCCCGCCCAGCTAGCCTCCGCACGCGCCGAGGCTCGCGCCAGCTTCGGCGAGGGCGGTGAGGTCATGCTGGTGGAGAAGTACGTCGTGCGCCCACGCCACGTCGAGGTCCAGGTCTTTGCCGACAAGCTGGGCAACTGCGTCGCCCTCGGCGAGCGTGACTGCTCCGTGCAGAGGCGACACCAGAAGATCCTCGAGGAGAGCCCCGCCCCATTGCTGGACGATGCCACGCGCAAGGATCTCTGGGACAAGGCGAGGACCGCTGCCCTGGCCGTCGGCTACGTCGGTGCCGGCACTGTCGAGTTCATTCTGGACAGGGACAGCGGCCGCTTCTATTTCATGGAGATGAACACCAGGCTACAGGTGGAGCATCCCGTCAGCGAGATGGTCACCGGCACCGACCTAGTCGAGTGGCAGTTCCGCGTCGCTGCGGGGGAGAAGCTGCCTCTGACCCAGGACGAGATTGAGGCGAGGATCGAGGAGAGAGGTGCCGCTATCGAGGCAAGGATATACGCCGAGAGCCCTGAGAAGGAGTTTATGCCCGACTCGGGCAAGCTGGTGCATCTCGTCACACCCAAGACGGACGAGGACGTCCGAATTGACGCCGGCTTCATCGAGGGCGACACCGTGTCCTCGGCCTATGATGGCATGATCGCGAAGCTTATTGTACGCGGCAAGGACCGCGAGACGGCGATACGTAAACTGGAGCTGGCGCTCCGTGAGTACGAAGTGGTTGGTCTCAGCACGAACATCGAGTTTCTGAAGAGGCTCTGCAGGAGTCAGGCCTTCATCGACGGAGATGTCGAGACAGGGTTTATCAAGAAGCACGGAGACGATTTATTTAGGCCCAGGCACATCGACAATGAGGTCTTTGTCCAGGCTGCCCTCGGACTGCTTACAGCACAGCTCCAGAGCGATACGTCAAGGTCGGGCGCGCACGGCGAGGTCCTTGGGTTCGGGTCCGGGAGTGCCTCGTCAGGCGAACGGAACTACGCCTTCAAGTCCATTGACAACTACAGCTCAGAAGAAGGCGAGATCGTCCAGGCAAGCATCACACAGCTGGGCAACAACCTCTTCAGAGCGACTGTATCGCGCAAGGGCCAGGACCAACCACAAGTCTTCGAAGATCTCGTCTGCGAGCCCATCATCTCTTCTACTACACCAACCAACCCATCAAAGACAGGCGTACGGACCTTCTTCCCTCTTGAGAGGCTGGACACCACCGTCGTGTCGGACCCGACCAACGCACACAAGCTCAGCGTCTTTCAGCACGGCCTCAAGACGGAGCTCCTGCTGCAGCAGCCGTCGTGGTACGAGAAAGCTCTGGGCCTGCAGGAAGCCGCCGCCTCGGTGGTAGCACCGATGCCGTGCAAGATCCTCAGGAACGAGGTCGCCGAGGGCGAGAGCGTCGAGAAGGGAGCGCCGCTGGTTGTGTAAGTCACTCAACTTCATCCATTCCCGCACGTCCAAGAGATGCACTGGATTTTGAAGCATACACGATCGTCTATTTTACTAACTTTTTTCAAAAACACAGGATCGAATCAATGAAGATGGAGACGGTAATCCGGTCACCGCAGAGCGGCATAGTCAAGAAACTGGCGCATAAGGAAGGTGACATCTGCAAGGCCGGCACCGTCCTAGTCCTGTTTGAGGAATCCGAAGGGAATGACGAGACCTCACCTTAAGGAGAGGCCAAGGAATCTATAAATAATGCCAAGTTTATTTTGCCAAAGTCTACGCGCAAAGGGTCAAATGTTCTCTCTACATTGCGGCAGTACCCTAAAGTACCTGTCTCTCTAGGGTTGGGCATTACACCTATAGTGTTGTTGTAGAAAAGAGGCTGTCACTAGTCAGATAGAGGGAAAACTGGGCACCGGAGAGTAGCGCATGTGCAGCTGTAGATTAGGTTGGTTATTGCAGGCACCCCTGAATGTTGATACTCGCGTGTTCGGCTGTGGATTTGGGAACTATTTCGCTCTCGTATTCGCCTGTGCGGAGGCGGGAGCGACCGCTTGGTTGTTATCCCTAGTTATGCACCCCGACTTTGATTAACTCGCTATTCCAAGACGGATTTCTATAAGACTCCGAAAGCAAAAGCCCTAGAAATGGAAATATAAGAATGCCCAATGTAGTCCTGTTCGTTGAGTAAAAATTCCAGCATATCGGTAATCACCCAATCATTCTAGAGTACTCGCCACGTCGACAAACACTTACCCTCCCGAAGCTTGAATCAGTAAACATGACGGCCATCAGCAATCACATGGTTGAAGATGATGTCCACAAAGGGGCAAAACCTTACATCTGGAGAGGCCCGGTGATTCCAGAGCTGCCTATCAGCAATGCTAAATTCGAGGAAAAGCCACTGAACCTCACCGACGTGAGGACTTTGGCCGAGGAAGACAAGCCTAAAGTTGATACCCACGGGTTTTGCTTCGTCAGCCATAAGTCGAAGACGGTCGCAGATGTCCACAATGATAACGACGCAGCGCCATATGTGGAGGAGATGACAGAATTCCTCAAGAATTTCCTGGGGGTCGAGACGGTTATAGGCTTCAATGCTAGAGTAAGACAGGTCCTACCAGATTGTGTCAGCATTGGTCGCAATTGACTTACATATCTCACCATCTAGACCAGAAGTACAAACCCTGAGCACGGGGTCACACCGGTCAGTATCGAGGCACACATCGATACCAACAAGGACAATGTCTGGGCTACTATCTCAAGGCCCCTGACTGAAGATGAGCGGGACCTTGTGCGCAGCGGAAAGTTCAGGGCCAGGGTTTTCAACATCTGGCGCCCGAGAGTCAACCACTCCGAGGATTTCCCCCTGGCCGTGTGTGACCCCAACACGTTGAATTTGCAGCGCGACATTATCATGTTGGACAATACTACGCCTGAGACCCTAGCGTAAGCACCCCTCTTGAATGTAGCTTTGTAAGAGACGAGGGGAAGATGTTGTCGCACGGTTTTTACTCCATCATATCCCAAGCCTCTTCCCAGAAATTTGCTAACATATCAGCTAAGTGAGCTTTCATACGTCCGCTACAGTCCGGAGCACAAGTGGTATTGGCTGAGCAACCAAACCCCGGACGAGTTCATTCTGTTCACCCAGACGGACTCGCACCCTCCGAAGGGCCAGTTCAGAGACGACTTCAACCACGTGCCCCACAGCGCATTCCGCAACGAGGCTACTCGCCCAGGCTGCCCCCAGCGCCAGAGCATCGAGGCACGCTTCATCGTTCTAGAGCCTGCCCCGTACAGTCCGCCTGTCCGGGACCCGTCTAACAGACCGCCGCCGGAGACGAGGGCCATGCCCTACATTCCGCATATCAAGGCGCCTCATATGCTGACGACGGAAGGACCAGCCCCGGCTTCGAAGGAGGATAGGGGAATCAGGCTGGGCACGTATGTGGCCAAGAAGGTGGAGCTGAAGAGTGTGCCAGCTGCGATCAAGGCGAACTAAGCAGCTGAGCCGTACAGGACTTTGTTGAGAAGTAACCACTGCACTTTTGAAAGAAGAGAATGGCTGCCTCTGCTATAAGAATTTGGATGCGTTTGTTGTTTCTTCTGCAAGATTCAATGAACCTTTTTAGAAGCCAAGACAGCGTATAACGTGCTGCTGGAAATCGAATTACTCAATCAAGTTACAACTCACATCTTCATAGTTCAGATTAGTGACGACGGAGTTTAGATACTAAAAAATGAGCACTTTTCTGTTATCAACAAGACCATGAAATTGTCTCGCTCCCACTGCCTGATACACCGACACGTATTACGTACCTAGATTCAATCTACATAAGACATAGATAGATCCCTTCCTACAAAGCTCTCTCCCGACGACTTGAAGTTATCCGGCAGGCTCAAGAGTCTTTCACCTGATCGCTGTACCTAGGTACCAACACATGTGATGCGCCGTTACTTCTTGTCTCAGTCTCGCCTTTTCGCATCCTGCCGAATCTAGCCGGACATTTTGCTCCTACACATGACCAATGAACATATCATGGCATGTTGTTGAAGCGGAGCACTTGAGCACGCCAACCAGCTTTGTAGTCCAACAACATTTGGCCAACGAGATTCCAATTCCGACATACTGTGATTTCCATAGGTTTTTGATTGCGCCACCTCTTCACGAGGCCGTAAAACATCCGCATCTTCATACCTTAGCCCAGGGTCCAAAGACCAGAGACCCGGCTCCGAGACACTCACGCTCCTTCTTTGCTCGGAAGAGAGCAGAGGTCACGGGTAGCATGAGTTTAAGACCCCTATTCGGATTGAGAATTCATTTTATCCACATGCCGGCCCCGGCGAAAGCCGTGGCTTTTCTGGTCTTTGCCCTCCACAATCATCTGGTAGACGTCCGAAACATCATGTGAGACCTCCGCCCCCAAACACCATCGTATGCGCCACTTCACGGCTTCGAATCCTCTCGAACGTATATAGTCAGCCGCCGTGTGGCTTGGGATGCCGCTGTATATTATTGAAAACCCTCTTCAGCCCGTTGGAAACTTGCTGTGGGCCACAACCATCTGCCCTTTTCCGATCGGTTCGTGGCCCATGGCGGCAAAATATCTCGGTCATGAGCTGTGCGTCCCACATCCCGCGATCCCTTCGCCCGCATCACGATACCGCGTCACGGTGGACGGCAAGGGCTCAAGGGTCTCGCCAGTCTGTGTTTCGGAACCTCCAAGCACTGCATGGCTGCCGCGTAAACGCTTCTCCGTATAGGAGGTCAGAGGATATCAAGCAGGCGGGTCTTGTATATGCTCTCGAAATAATGGCGTCAAAGTCTCTGTATAAGATGGACATGATGTCTTCACGAGGGTTCAAGATGTTCCCAAGCTCCATTATACAGAGAAAGAAACCTTCACGCCTTCTGCCCAGTCTCGTCTATATTCAGTCCGATAGCATAAGCTCCACCTCGTGGTCTCGTTTATCATCACAATTCCTCGAATTATACTTAGAAGAGGTCGGAAATCGTCTGTTCAGCTTCACAGCGCTCAATCCGTTCCCTGGATTTCCTTCTTGGAAGGATCCATTGCGAATGTTTTTCTTTTCCTTTTTCCTACGAGCTTTCGACAGCAAAAGATCGCATGTCTCTGGGGATTCCACGACAACACAACACTCGGCAGACCCGCCTCCGAGCAATACAAATATTACTCCGTCTCACCCGGGCACAAAAAACCTAAGCAGCCAGATTCTGCCCGATACCAGCACCGCCGGTGGCGCCTTTCCAATCGGAAACACCAGCACACAATTTACTGCATGCCCCCAGCCCAACTTCATTGAACCTTCAAGGCCCAAAACGCTTGTGTGGGCTTGCGATGGAACCGGCCAGAAGGGCACAGCGAACGATGGTGTCGCCAAGAGCAATGTCTTCAAACTTTGCCAGATGCTTAAGGGTGCAAGCCGGGTGGATGACCCTTCACACAAAGTGGTGGTGATCTATCACGATGGGCCCGCTGCAGATATGCAAAGTAGCTCGAAAGCAGACAAGATGAAAAACATAGAGAAAGCTATGTTAGGTTCGGGTAAGCCTCACTCTGTTTTACTTCCGTCAAGAACACTGCACTTCCCAGAAACATCACCTTGCGTTCGTTTCCCGCTAGGAGCACCTCATATGTTCCATATTATTCTCGCAACCTGTCCAAGTGGATGAGACATAGGGATAGCTGGATGGGGATTTGGAAACCAATATGAAAGATCCTTTGCAGTCTTCCCTCATCGTTATAGCAACAGTGTTGAGTAGGAATGCCATGCTAAGAAACTTTGCCTGCAGATGTTGACGACCGTATCATGGCGGGCTACTATGCGCTTTGCGAGAATTACAACACAGACGATGAGATTGTTCTCATCGGGTTCTCTAGAGGCGCCTTCGTCGCCAGGTGTATCCAAAGCATCATGTGTTTCGCAGGAGGCCTGCTGGAATTTGACTCTGAGGAATCAAGCCAGTGCAGAGCGGACCAGGTTAAAAGTCTCTACAAATTATGGGAAGAGGCCGCTGGGAACCCATGCGTTTTCCCACTTGAAAAACGACGCAAATTTAAGATAAGACTCCGTTCTGGCAAAGTCAAGCACTTGGTTTTATTCGACACTGTCGCCTCCGTTCGAAAGACTACAGTATTTGGATTCCATCAGCAACTCACCTTTGTCGACTCAACGCTGGCAAGCAACGTGGACTACGTGAGCCATGCAATGGCATTACATGATCATCGGGAGCTATTCTTCCCCATCCCCATCACAGAGTGCGATAACCCAAACACAAGAGCCGTAAACATGTGGTTCGCAGGTATCCACAAAGATGTGGGCGGTGGAAACGGTAGGGAGGGATTTGAGCGGTTCCCTCTCGCCTGGATGATGGGACAAATCAGAACCATCAACGGAATTGACCTCAACAGAGTCACCACCACGTACGCTGGTCAGCAGCAGAACCCGGATACCATGGACTGGAGCTACGCGGAGACGAAAAAGCTGGCTGATTCCAACATCCTCGGAGAATGGCGCATTCCGGCCTGCCAGCAGTGGAGCTGTGGAAAGGCCATACGTACGCCGGTGAGAGACACGGCTCAAGTCAAACATATGTTGCATTGGTCCACTCGCTTTCTGATCGACTGGACCAAGATGTCAGATATTGTATGGCCGGAAAAGGCTCCCTACAAGATGTCCTCAGTCGGGTCCGCCACCGACATGGCGATTGGGGATGTCTTCAAGTCCTACGACTCCGAAGGAAGCAGAGAAAGGACTATGGAAGTTCCCGAGCGTCATAAGTGTGCGTGTAAAGACGAGGAAAGCAAAACGTTGACGGTTGCAATAAAGGAAAGCCCGGTTGGGAAGAGGGAGGTTGATTGTGTGAAGCATGTGCTGAGTGGCACTGAAGCTTCCCAAGCGGGCGGCAAGGCAGCCCACGTGAAAGAACTCATACAAGTACTTGAAGACATAGTCTGCGACGAGAGCCCTATACACGGCTAGGCTCTCATTGAAGGCTTGATGGCATCGGGGTTCTGCCCACGGATAAGGGTACTGCATATATCTCTAGATATCATTTCAAATCATAAATCATAGATCATAATATAAATCGCTATTCTATTTAACTCCAAATGGTGAATTTGTCACCGAACTTACAGAAAGTGAGCCAACTAGGTCGACTCAAATTCGACCCAACTTGTTGTATAAATATTCAAGTGTAAATTCATTCTCATTGTGCGGAAGCCTTGGGCGCAGTGGCGCAGGCGGTGCATCACGGATTGCCCGTTGAAACCCATAGTCATCAGACAAGTCGTCATTGCTGTCGAGGAGGCGGGACTCCACTATCCTGTGATAGATGTACTCTGCGGTATGGTTGATGAAACATTCCTAATACCAGATTAGCGAAAGTCGTAGGACAAAGAAATGACTGGACCCACTCGGAGAACCTCTTTTTCGTAGACGGGATGACGGTACTCCGCCCGGAACTTTTGTATGACGATGGCTGTATAGAATGGGTCTTCACACAGGACACTCGCGCGACGACAGCCGGCATCAGAGAGACCTTGAAGCATGATCCGCCTGTCTTGAACTCAGGTGTCGAGTCCTCAGGTTCGATGAAGTCGCCCAGATAATACCCATGAATATCTTCGGAATCAACAGGATTTGAATCAGCCAGTCTGCAGGTCTTTAGGCGGGGAAGATGGCTCAGCGTTTTGGCAAACGTCCACCCTTCATAACCCCAAGTGTCGCCACCATGTGGGTATGCTACGTTGGTGATGTGCTGAGTGAGTTGCCTCGCGTGCCCCGGAATTACAGCAATCATCCCCCCGCTACCAAGGCAAGGATCAGACCCGCCCATGCCGATGACTGTCAGGGACCAGTAAACAGACAGGGCTTCTTTGTACACGCCGTGACATGTGAGTAAGAGCTGGTGGTGATGCGACGGTCGCAGCATGTGCTTTATCAAGGGAATGCTAAAATCGTAGATATTTGGAACAGTGTACCAGGGGAACGAGACGGCGTCAGCCCTAGACCCCTTGAAAACCTCTTCGTATATCTTCAGGCGCAGTTCGACCGGAAGCATCGTTAAAAACAGTGATTCGAGTGGTCCATCCTCGAAGCTGAGCCTATCACCACCGGGCGTTGCGGTATCAAGCGCTCTAGTGTCTTCCATGACTTTGGCTGGCCAGGTGTCTGGAGCGGCCTCTTATCAACTAACTTGCTTGGTGAAGAAAGGGCGAGCTTTTGTGAGCTTTGGTAGGCTGCAAGGGAGGGATTATCAAACCTTCAGCGATGGATCTGATAAGGTGTCAGGTCGGTATCTGCAGCAAGCTGACCGGAATTACCCTTTGTATTGCTTAAAAGGACGAGCACCGCCGATTTTCCTACCAACCAACCACGAACCGACCTGCGCGTTGGTCTTGAAACTCGGTCACACAGTGGCTGGCTACGTCACAACACGTCGGTGGGCGTGATGTGGGGGCTTGCATGAGGTCCTGAAGCTGAAGGCCGCTCCCAGCTGGTGCGAACTTTGGCCGCGGCTCCATCTCAGCAGACTGGGGATTCGAGTATTCTCGAGATGAACTGACGGGATGCTGCGTGTTGAAAGGACAGGTACAGTCTTTGGGGCCGCACTTACATGTAGAAGAGGTGGAGAGCACGGGACGCCTAAGGGAAGGACCCACTTGACAGCCGTGGACCATTCGTGGAGACTGTAGCGGTCTACTGTAACAGATGAGTTGCCCGATGTGGGATATGCTACAGTCGAAGTGAAGGCCAGTTTCTACAGTGACTGCTCTTTCATTTCTCATCATGTAAAGGCCTGCAACGTTTCGATGTGACAGACAAGGAAAGGTGTTTGATTTGTGATCTAGGATCAGAGAGTGTCACTACTGAGATCCTCACGCCGACAGCAGCCTCGGTCCTTCTTCCAACCCCTAGAGATACAAACTTCCAGTACATGAAGACACTAAGGAAAACCCAACCTGTTTATGATGCGCAAAATTGGAGCATCTATGTCATGATTGACGATGCTATGCTAGATATAAGGATAAGCCGAATCCCACCCAGAAATCCATCACTCATGGTAGGTCAAGAAAAGCCCTCTCTTGTCTGCCTCGTCCGTCATCGGAGGATGTGAGGAAACTACTAGTGCCCGGCTCTAGGCGCGGATCTCGCCAAGGAACTCCTTGAGCTCCTCATCAACGAGCTCGTGGATCTTCTCGGAGAACTTCTCGGCCTTGTTGGCAAATGACTCGCCGGCCGAAGTAACCTTGCCAGAAATGACCTTGAAGTCGTTCTCAATGGCCTTCTCAAGCTCTGAGACGGACTTGAGGACATCCTCGTCGGCACCAGACTTCTTTCCCTCGGGCTTGACAACGTAGTTACCAGCCTCAATGATGGATGAGTAGTTGCTGCAACCGCCGCCGTTCCAGGCCAGCAGGTTGGGGGTGTCCTTGGGGATGTCAGTGAGGGCATCGACAGTGGCAATGCTGATCAGCTGGCTCTTGAGCTCCTTGGGCGTGATGGCAGCGACGGAGTACTCAGAGTCGGTGGAGGGCTGGAGGGAGAGGTAGTAGGCCAGGAGACCGCAAATGTGAGGAGAGGCCATGGAAGTGCCAGAGATGGTGTTGACAGCGGTCTTGCTTCCGATCCAAGTGGACTGGATGCTCAGACCAGGGGCAAAGATATCAGTGCACTTTCCGTAGTTGGAGAAGTAGGCACGGCTGTCGTCAATCGCCGAAGCACCGACCGTAACGGCCTTGTCAGCGGCAGCGGGCGAGTAGTTACATGCGTCCGCGTTGTCGTTGCCAGCGGCGACGGCGAAGTGCAGACCAGCATCGACGGCAGCGTTAACAGCCTGGTCGAGCAGGTTGGTCTTGCCACCACCGAGAGACATGTTAGCGACGGAGCCCTTGAAGCCCTTGCGCTTGCCATCCTTGGCAGCCTTGACCTGATCCTGGTGAGAAGTGGCAGCAAAGTCGACGCCAGCAATGACGTCCGCCATTGTGCCGCTACCACTGGAGCGAAGCACCTTGACAGCGTAGACGTTGGCCTTCTTGGCAACACCGTACTTCTTGCCAGCGATGGTTCCAGAGCAGTGGGTGCCATGGCCGTTACCATCCTCATCGGCATCACCTGAGGGAATGGTCTTGCCCCAATGTGCGCGGCCTTCGAAGTCAACGTGCTCAGTGTTGGTGCCAGTGTCAATCACGTAAGCGTCGACACCCTCACCACCGTCCTCGGCGTAGAGGTATTTGTTGAAGGTACCGAAAGAAAGGGAGTTGCGGTGGGAAACACGGGCCAAGCCCCAAGGGGCCATCTTCTCGGTCTCGCCATCACAAGACTTCTCGGCGTCATATTTCATCGTGTGCACGATGGTATCCTGCTCGATGGCCTCAACCTGTCGGAGAAGATGAAGTCAGAGAATGTTCAAGAGAAAGGGCGGCGATGGGAAGCGCCTGGCAGCACGAGAGAACCGCCAAGCCGCACACGAGCGTCGGAGGGAATGTGATGCTCTGTCTCTCACAAGGCAGAGAAGCTGAGGGATGGACTTACGTCGGGATGTCTTCGGATCTCCTCGATTGTGGCGTCATCAAAGTGGCCGGCGTAGCCCATGAAGTCACCGCCGATCTTGTAGGTGTGCTTAAGGCCCTCAAAGACAGTGTCGACGAGAGGGAACTGGCCGCGCTTCCGCAGCTCAAGCTCACGAGACTCCTGGCTGGCGGAGTGAACCGAGCTCAGCCAGGTGTGGTGGTCGGCGGCGTGAGAGTCAGTCACATGCTTCTTGAACTTGATGATGTAGCGGTTGGGAATTGACTCGGCGTTCGACGAGCTCAGAAGGGGGGCGACCCCATCGTGAATGGTGCCGGTGCTGAACGAAGGAACAGCGGCAGCCGCAGCGTAGGCTGCGAAAGAGAGGGCAGCGAAGCCTCTCATGGTGACTGTGAGTCTGGAAGTGATGGCAGGAGAGATAAGGAACAGTGAGTCAGTGGATGTCTACCAGCGACGACAAAAGGTGCGAACGAAGTAGGAAATAAGAATCACGAAGAAGATGCGCGCGATACGAGGAAGGATAAGAGATGAAGAGCAGCGGTCGTGTGGACGAGGAGAGGATAGAGAAAACGATGATGGACGGTCAGGTTGGGCAGTAAGAAGGTCAGTTGAGGAGTGGTGTTGTGATGATGATGGAAGGAAGAGGAAGGAGAAGGGTTTAAGATGGCTGCTAGGGGATAAGAGGGACCGAGGAGGAGAGCAGGTCGATCGGCAGAGGCAGCGTTGCGTTGTTGGGGCAGCTGCTGTCGTTATCAGAGGAAGGTAAGGCACGGGACCGGCGTTATCGCCCACTAAGGATGACGACTGACGACACCACGGGCACAAGGGCCCAGCGCTGCGCGGTCCTAAGCGGTACTAAGCGGTACGTACCTCGTGCCAAGCGGGCATCCCAAGGCGGGAGTGGGGGCCCCCAAGTCGCAGGTACGTCTCGCCTGCTCGCCCGGTTCGACTGCCAGGCAAGCTCGACAAGCTGCTGCAGGCAAGATGGGCAGGCGCTGGCAGGCTGGCAGCCTTAGCTAAGCCGCATGCGCAGCCTACGGCTGCCTTGAAAGAGCATAGCGACCCCCCATGCACCACCCCTGCCGGCCAGCCAGGTGCAGCAGCCCCACAGCTGCACCCAGCTCTCCCTCCTTCTTCCTGTCAGCACAGTGGCTGGAGGCCCTGTTCTTGGTTCGGAAACGGAAGGGGCTGGCTGCTGGCAGGCTGGGCTAGGGAGGATCTGGGAGCTCTCCCCAGACTGACTGCCCAGGCAGGCAGCTGCATTCCCTCGTTCCCTCGGCACAACCTAGCACCCAGGCGTGCCAGGTAGCTCTTCCGATAAGAGCTCCTGTGCTGCTATGTCCTGAAGCTCCAGGGCTGCCCTGCTTCGTATGTGAATGCCGGAAGCGAAGTCAGACATCCAGTCGGCACGGGACCTCTTCCCTCCAGCCAGGCACTGGTCATTTATTGATCCTCCATTCAATTGTTTCAGTTCATATCATTGCAAGTAATCAACGCCACACACCCCCATCTTGCATCGAAGCCTGCCAGAGACACTGGAGGATGCGGCATGCTCAGGTACAGAGTACTAGCTGCGGCGGCTGAGAGATCATGCGCGCGAGGACCCCTGTGGGAGGGCAGTAAGCACCTGGCCAAACTCTCGGCTGAACCTTATCTGAGATGATGGATGGCCATCTCGACTCATCCGCAACCACGTCCGAGGACCAAGGTTTGCCACACCCGCCTCAAACTCTCTGTATCCCCGGGTTGGAGCTGTTCACAGTTACACGGTTGAAATGGTGTAAGTTTCTGCGATGGCTTCTTCTGGAGCTCATGGCGACCCTTGAATTCAGGGACTGGCTACCTGCCATTCCAGCCTACTCGCTGGCCCCTCTGCAGCTACTCCAGGGCCGGAACGGGCGGCCTGCAGATCCCGGGGGAAGGTCAGATGGACGAGCAGGTTGTCGCACGTGCCTGGAAGCCGAACTGGTCCTCCACACGCACCATGATGCCGGCCCTGAGTCAACGACGAGGCAAAGAGGAACCCGATATCTCTACGAGGAATGACTCGAGAACCGCATCTAGGTCAGGAATCAAAGCCCCCTATGACGACCTTTCTTGACGATCCCGCCCATTCAAAGGGGACTGTGCTGTAGAAGAAGGGACCCCTAAATCCAAACCAACACACGGACCAAGAAGCATCCTCTACACCGCACCTACGCGTGCAGTGGTGAATCTCAAGATCTTCGTATCCTCGCCTACTGCAGAGAACAGGGGTAGACACGTAGACATACCCACCTGGCAGAAGCACAAGCTTGTTACAGGATCAGAGTTTTTGAGTCGCTTTACTTTCCAACGGCCAGTTCAGTCACAAATGTATGGTCTACTATCCACTCTGGTAGATGTAACTCTACAGTTCGAATCTTCTTGGGCGTCAACCTTTTAAGTCCTGTACGCCAAGCGCCGAGCACAAGTCCATATAAAACTCATGGTGAACCAAGTTGCTCATTTCTTCATTCATTCCCTAAACCTTCCCAATATCACAGTATGACCGGCCAAAGGAACACAATTCACTAGAGGATATCTCCCTCCTCCTAAATGTCCAGAACCGCAACCCGCCGTCGTCTATCTACCAAAATACCATCCATGAAGCCACTCGGAAAATCTGCCGAAAGCTGGCCTCAGTAAGCCATAGTCAATCTGGAACACCGACCACCACGGGTACGGCCTGCGGAGTACGGCCCCTCTGACGTATGCCGCCGTGATATGAGCGTTCGCAGCCTTCCATATCCTCCTCTCCTCGTACACGGCGATGAGTATCGTGATGAACCATAAGCCTACGATCCACGCCACAATCTGCCAGATCCCCAACATCGAAATTCCGATAGGGATGGGGCGTATCACGTTCCGCTGCGCCACATATCGCAGATTGAGGTATAAGGCATATTCCCATAACAGTCGCAGCATCGACCATAAGACCCAAAAGAAGTCACGAATCTTTAGCAGTGGGAGGAGCAGCAAGTCCCAAAACAGTGTCAGGATCGTCATCATCGGGTCTCGAGGTGCCCGCCTACGGCCTGGCAAATCACCATGGGCCCGGGGTGGTATTCCTGGGACGCCAACCGGAGGGGGGCCTGCGTTTCCTCTTGGTCCTCCCACCGGCACCGCAGGGGCGCCAGGTCCGCGTCCAGGAAGAGGGTCTGTGTTTGCTCTGTTTCTTGCCCCAGGGGCAACAATGCCAGCCGCCGACGCGAAGACGTCCCTCAGACCCTCGGCAAGGCTCATGGGCGCCTCGGCTGGTGGAGGCTCTCGTTGCCCGGCCATGTTTCTACAAGTGTAGAAAGCGACCTGTGGCCCTCCAGCCGCAGGAGGATTGCCATATGCGCCCCTGCCACAGCAGGGGCATCTCGCGCTACGTGCGCCACCAGATATTGCCAGCACCGGGGCCTCCAACTGCGCATCCGAGGCTGAGGCGCCAGGTTGGCCGCCGTCCGCTCCCGCCGGGTACGGTGTGCCTGGCCGATCAGCGTCGTCCTCTTCAGTGATGGTGAGTGCGGACAAATCGAGTGGATCGGGCCTCCTCCTGCCGTTGTTTTGGTCTCCCGTGGTCCCGTCGTCTGCAAACCTCACACTGCGGTTGCTACTAGCCCTGGACCTCGACGACCCCGACCTCGACGACCCCGCCGCAGACGGCGGCGGGTTCCCCAGAGCGAGATCGCACGTGCAGCCACAGGTTGGCAGCTCACCCAGATCCGGGGGGAAACGGAATGTTGGGACGCAGTCGCCGCAAGGTTCGTTAGGGTGTGTGGCCAACCATTCGGGAATCACGCGGAGAGGCGCGGGATTCGCAGCCTCTGGTTGTCCATCGGACGCCCCTGACTGCCTCGCCGACGCCCAAGATTGGCTGCTAGAAGCATTTGATTGCCTCTCGGACGCACTCGATTGCCTTCCGGACGCCTCTAATTGCCTCCCAGAAGCACTTGGTTGCCCACTCACAGCACTTGATTGTCCACTGCCTTGAGCCTCTAGCTCGTCAGCCAAATTCATGGTAGGCGTGTCTAGATTTCCGTGCGAGCCCGATCGGCTTCCCGAATCGGCACTGGATGGCTGTCTTTGGCGGTTACCTCCGAATAAGTTGGCAAACAGTCCACTGTTTCGTTGGCTGGGAGGAGAAGCTCTCGCAGCTTCGAGCGCGTCGACCCGCGCCTGGAGCCGGTTCTCGCTCTCCCTGGCTTCATTTCTCTCGCCGGCGACGGTGCGGAGCTGGAGTAGAAGCCCGGCCCTGGACAGCTGAGCGTTGACCGACCATGGCGGCGTGGCGGCATCCGCAGGCTCAGGTTCGAGGCCGGCCCTTTCTTGAAGCCGCCGCATCAGACCCTCGTGCCTTACCATGTCGGCGAAAATGGTCCTGAGGTCCTCAAAGGCCTGTTCGCGCGCTGGTGATCTGGGTGGCGATCCCGTCTGCGATCTGGGTCGAGTGGAATGCGCGGATTCTTGAGACTCGCTTTGAGATGGCGACGGCGGCACCGGAGCTTGTGCTACTGGTGGATCGGCTGAGACGCCGCCTCCCTCTACAAGATCACGATAGTAGTCCAACTCGGTTTGAAGATCTTGGATTTGTCTTCGGTGTTCGGCCCGAAGGTTATTCGCTTCAGCCTGGCCACGCCTGAGTTCTGTCTCGTGTGTCTCTGCAGTTGCAGCCGCCTCATCTTCGAGCTCAGCCACGCGGTCTGCGTTGTCCAAACGTCGCTGCTCTGTGGCCAGAACGATGTCTACGAGTTGTTCCCTCGTGTTCCTCATCAACGCTCTGCGCTCCATTGGAGCGGGTTCCGGCTGCGACGATTGTGACCCGAACGATCGCGTGCTTGAGGCGCCTCTCTGGCGGCCTTGTGTATTCGCACTGTCAATGAGATCCACTATATTATTGGCCGTCCTGTCCAGAAAAGCCGTCTCGTCGACGAGTGCATTGTTCACTGTGTCCCTAGTCGCGTGTCCTCTTCTCCGCACTTCCTGGAGAATTTGAGCCTGGATAACATCCGGAACGTTTGCCCCAGCCCTTGCGAGGACATCCCTCATGCTCGCCACTCCCTCATCTGCCATGACGTCCAGAGTGCTGGTGCCTATCTGGAATCTCCACTCCCTTATCCTGTCACGGCCTTCGTCCCATGACGTGAAATTTGTCGCGACTCCCCGGGTCCTGATTATTTCATATATACCGAGCAAGGAGCGGTTACGTCTGGTGAGCTCCCACTGCGGGTCGAAGGGAGTGGTAGGTAAGCTGTCTGCGTTGTCATCTGCGCCCGCGGAAAAGGGATGGCCCCGTGCTCCGATGGGGGTGGGGGTGTTCTCTCCTACGGCTTCGAAATCGCCAGCCTCAGTATTGACTGAGAGCCCCGTATTAGCGCGCGTCTGTCGGGAGCCAGCTTCGGGTCTCTGTGAGGAAGGTCCTGCACTCCCTTGTGAACTACTGCCTTGACTGTTGAGCCTACTACGGGAGGGGCCAACAAGGCCGGGAGTCGATAATACGGTAGATGGGGTTGCTGTCTCCTCTATGAAGGAACCAGGCCGAGACCGAGTTGATCCTGCCGGGTTGGAGGAAGTCGGGGTCACATTGCCTGTGCTGCCACCCGCGGTTGTGGAAGATTGTCGGGACCTGGGTGTGGGTGTACCACCGATCCATCTGGTCAAACTTGACATGAAGCCACCGGGGCGTGATGGTGTTTCAGGCCCGGACTGAGATGGCGAAGGTGTTTGTTCCGCGCTGGTGTCCGACCCTTGTGGTCGCGCTCGTCTTGGAGGCACTGGGGTAGCCTCTGGATCATCTACCTGTTGCGGGCCCACGGTCGCACTTATATCTTGCGTGCCTCCATCGTCCGAGTCTCGTTGTCCGGCCGCCGCTGGCTCAGAGGACGGCCCACCGCCATTGTCCGGCCTAGATTGAGTTGCTGTTCCGCCCAATCTTCCTGGCTCTTCTGCTGTGCTTTCATCTGTCTGGTTTTGAAGCGTGTCCGATGTTATCTCAGCAGATGGTGGCGCGTTGCCGTCACCATCATCTCCGCCTGTATTCGACATGGCTGGTAGAAATTGTGCTCGAAGTACCAGGAGATTGTTCCTGTAAGTCTTCTGGGACAGTGCGCTCGTAGACTACTCTCCTAGCATTCAACAGAGCAGTCTTGATAATACGAACCGCGACACTTCCTCCGTGCTCCGTTGACCAAACACCCTCTTATGCCGCTACATCCTTCCATTGTCCCATATGCATTAAGTCGCAAGTTTTGTGATAAAGAAACTCTCCCAAAGCAGTGAATTGAAGGTCGCTGGACGAAAACGGCGAGGCGTTTGGGTGAGAAGATGGAAATGAGGACCGGCGGCTTTGTGTTGTGATCATGAACGCAAAGGCGCGCCGCGGCCGCAACAAGCCATTGTCAACGGATCCGGATGTCGTTTGGCCACCAACTCGGGAAATCACTCCACGCAGCTCACTGCACGTTGAAATGATGGGTTTTCCCTTGCGTCAAGCTCTGTATGGCTTTCTTTGTTGCATTTTTTCTGGCTTCGAGCCTATATGCCATGATGCGTAGCCCATAACCATAATCGCTACCACGGACCGGGTAGCGCAGGTACGCAGCGCTCCTCTTGTGGATAAGCTCCCAACAACAGATCACTCCCGAAACAACTCCCCCGGATGCTTTTGTGGCCGTCTGACCAAGTCCTCCATAAACGCCGAACGCCATTTGCCCCGAACCCGGTAGCCTTTCCCGCTTCATGCTCTACAAGTTCAAAAATGTGATAGGTGTGGCTTTTCTTGCTCGGCTAGCTGTACCAGCCTCGCGCTCCAGGGCCCTGTGTCTGCGCCTCCTGTCTGTGTTCAATAATGGGCTCTCTGATGTTGAAGGCCTGTATCAAATCTCTCCACGTTGGCATGTCAATCGACATTATTGCTTGTCGCTTCATGGTCCCGTGTGTGGACACTGCGTTTGAAGGCTGTCCCTTCTCGCCGGCGCTGGAAGGGCCTAATTGCTGTCAGCCACACACACATACAAAGGCGGTCGTTAAGTTCCACACTCACAAAGAGACGGCAGCCCATTCTCCTCATAATGCACTTCCACCATTCCCTCGCGAATCAAGAAGCTCACGTAGAACATGTTCTCCACTGTCTGCCCGAAAGACCTGGGATTGATGCAGAATCGCACCAGATCGATGTTACCTGTTTCAGTAATGCCCAAGATGTCCATTGCCCGTTCCATCTGCTCGCCATCTATGCTATCGTCGTCTTGCATTTTCTGCAGTTCTTGGATCGCCGTGTCCCTCACAGACTTGAGCTGTTTCAGGATCTTGTTGCAAATAGCAGTGAGGTCATTTTCGTTCTTTGCCAGGTCCTCAGTATTCAGGACTTCAGGTCGGACCTCCTGCAGGTCGCGTACCCGCAAGGGCGCCGTCCTTGTGACCAGCTTGCGGACTTTCTTCTGCACTGACAAGGGCCCAAGCAAGAAGCCCGACAGTGCCGGCCTCCGTACATTTGGTATGCAGGCATACCGCCCAAGGTGCGCCCAGTCCATCATATCACCACCCTCCTCATCGTCCGAGGCGTCATCGTCGGATCCAATCGCACCTCGCTGCGCACCGCGCCGACGGTTGCGCTGTGTATGCGTCAATTCCTCGTTCTCGTCATCCGCTATGCCGGCGCCTCGACGCATGTACGTGATGCACTTGGAGACAAACTCGTCCGTGTCGATGCCATTCCCCAGGTTCCCGGCAGTTAGTTTCTGCAGCTTGCGACTCTGGAGGTCGACAAGCGTGACGAGTGCTTTTGAGTCGATGGCGGCCTCGTTGGTCTGTTTAATGTTCTTGTTGATTTCCTCGAGCCGTGCGAGCGCGTCGAAGACTTTTGTGGAGCCGACCTGCATGTAAGCCTCTGCATTCTCATGCATGTCTTTCTCGAGGTTGCGGATGCTCTGCTGGATCTCGCGGCGCTCCTCGAGCGACTGCTCTGGGTCATATTTGCTAGCATCTTCGTCAACCTCCATGATTGATATGTTGATAAGTGAGAGGGGCCACGGGTTGACCAGGAGAGCCAAAACCAAGTGAACGCAGGACAAGGCTGAGGCGTAGGGGTGATAGAGGTGGAAGATCAGAGAGTTGGACCCTGACGCGACTGATTAGATGGGAGACGCGTTAGGTCCTAAAGTGCTATGGGTACAGCGGAGCGTGGGGTAGGTTCTGACGCCGACCAGGTACTACCCTGTCTTGCGGGGCCGTTGTCAGGTATGATAACGGCTTATCGAGAGCTTGTGTTAGCGCTGCCTGCCGCTACCACCCCTGTGCTGTAGGCATGCTGCAGCTGTCCATGCGGTGATGATCTCACTGGCAAGACGGAGCACATTGTGTGTTTTCCACATTGACCATTAAACACGACCTTCTCGTCAACTCGCCTCGGCTATGATCCCGTTCCTCAGCTGAATACGGAAGCATCTGGCTTCTGTTCACGGCCATTTCGCAACTGTTAGCCCATGTCAAGTCGAGAGATCGAACTATGGAGCCCTTCTCTTTTGCGAGTTCCGAGGCAGTCCACTATCCCGTCAAAGTCCGCATGTAAGGACAAGCTCCACACTGGCAAGATGGCTTATTGACTGTCATCATATCGGAGTGGTACTAATTTATTTTAGAATCAACCTCGAAGGCGATGAGACTCCTTATCTCTTCTCCACGCTCCTCGAGAAGCCGGAGCTTCGTCATATTGGGTCCAACACAAGCCCTCACTCGGACCTCTATGTCACGGTGCAAGTCTGGGCAGGCTCGAAGCCCCTGACCGTTCCGGTACAGACAGCATACAAAGCTTTCAGGACGGAACGGAAATGGAACGAATGGCTGACACTGCCGATCAACTACTCCAACCTGCCAATCAACTCGTGCCTCGCCGTCACAGTATGGGATCTGTCGCCAACCGGGGGCAACAACGCCCAGGGACATGCAATACCTTTCGGCGGGACCACCTTGCCCCTATTCGACAAGGACAACCAGCTCCATAAAGGCCGGCAAAAATGTCATGTTCACAGACACAAGCTTGCCGACGGCAATGACAACACGAATACACCTGCAGTGGTAGGGAAAAAGAAGACGGGAAGGAAAGGCGAGGTTGTCGTGGTCGATAAGGACGCTGAAGAGATGGACCGTATGGAGATACTCTTCAAGAAACACGAAATGGGCGAGATAGCAAAGGTGGACTGGCTCGATCAGCTTGTCTTCCGCGGCTTCGAGAAGCGCAACCTGCAGGTTGCGAAAGCGTCCGTCAAGGACTTGGAGCGACAGCGAGCACACAAAGGCGCGGCTGGAGACAGTAATGAAAGTGACGCAAAAGATGTGGAACTAGATGTAGACTCTAGTCCTGGTCCGTCCAAGTTCACGCTCAACGTGGAGCTTCCTCGTTTCGACTTCCCAGTCGTCTTTGCCGACCACGAGTATGCTCCGCCACCAATATCCTCGCTACAACACCTCTCCGGCTCGCAGTCCAACATTCAGCTCAAACCGCCCCCGGAAGTCATGTACGGCCCCGGTATTGACGGAGTGGGTGTATCAGATGGAGTGGGTAGTCGACTCGTTCGCGTATATGACCCAGAGGTCGGTCAGAGAGACAACCCAGCCGAGAGCAAGCACAGGCGGCTCGTCCGAAGCCAACACAGGCACGGTATATTGGACAAAGATCTCAAGCCGAACGCGAAGACGCGGGACGAGCTCAACAATATCATGGAGTACTCCCCAACACAACCATTGTCCCCTGAGGAAAAGGATCTCATATGGAAATTCCGGTATCACTTGAACCGCGACAAGCGAGCACTTACCAAATTTGTCAAGTCCGTCAACTGGCAAGACCAGAGCGAAGCAAAACAAGCCGTCCAGGTCCTCGGAAGGTGGACAGATATCGACGTGGACGATGCTTTGGAACTGCTCGGCCCGACATTCGACAATGCCACTGTGCGAGCGTATGCAGTCAGACGATTACACAAGGCGGACGATGACGAGCTTCTGCTCTACCTTCTCCAGTTGTGCCAGGCCCTCAAGTTCGAGCAGATATCTCCCGAGTCTGACCAGGAAGTCACGCAAGATTCATCATTGGCCCGATTCCTGATATCCCGAGCGGTCAGCAACTTCATACTCGGCAATTACTTTTACTGGTACCTCATGGTGGAATGCGATGATGTTAGCGACGACCAAACACCTGAAATCCGGAAGATGTTCCAAAAAGTGGCCTTCGACTTCATGGCTGAACTCGAAAAGCGCTCTGACGGGAAGGAAAAGAGGAAAATGCTTTTGCGGCAAGCCGAATGGATCGCGATTCTATCGAGAATATCCATCGAGATCAAGGAATCGAACGAGTCAATACCTCGAAGGATAGACCGAGTGAAGCATTTCCTGGCTGATCCCAAGAACGAGCTGATAACTATAGATCCACCCTTGCCATTACCGCTCGATCCGTCCGTCAAGATCGTGGGCGTTGCGCCGCAGGAAACGGTCGTTTTCAAGTCATCCCTCCACCCTATCAAAGTGTCCTTCAAGACCACCACAGGGCAGAACTACCCCATCATCTTCAAGACGGGAGACGATTTGCGGCAGGATCAGCTGGTCATTCAGATCATCACGCTTATGGACCAACTTCTCCAAAAAGAAAACCTGGACCTTAAGCTTACCCCTTATAAGATCCTCGCTACAAGCACCAGCGCGGGTCTGTCCCAGTTCGTCCCGTCGATGCCCTTCCAGAACATTGTTACCAAATACAAGAACGCCCCCGTTCTCGCCTATCTCAAGCAGAATAACCCCGACGACAAGGCGCCCCTCGGCCTAAGAAAAGAGACTTTGGACACGTTTGTGAGATCGTGCGCCGGATACTGCGTCATCACGTACATCCTGGGCGTCGGTGACCGACATTTAGACAACCTCCTCCTCGCTCCTGATGGTCATTTCTTTCACGCTGATTTCGGCTTCATCCTGGGCCGCGACCCGAAGCCCTTTGCGCCAGCTATGAAGATCTCGAAGGAGATGGTCGAAGCCATGGGAGGCACAAACAGCGACCAGTACCGCCAGTTCACACAATACTGCTACCTAGCGTATGCTGCGCTGCGGAAGTCGAGCAACCTGATCCTCAACCTGTTCAGCCTGATGGTCGACGCGAACATTCCAGACATCAAGCTCGAGCCGGACAAGGCGGTCGTCAAGGTCAAGGAGAGGCTGCAGCTGGAGCTCAACGAGGAGAATGCGCTGCGTCATTTGGCGAGGGTGATTGACGATAATCTCTATGCGTATGCGCCGGTGATGATAGATCGTTTGCATGCCATGACACAGGCATTCAGAGCCTAACGGGAACCTCCGATCTCTTTAAAGCAGCCTGGGGTCAAGCCGAAATTGGCGGTAGGGGAACCGGATGCCAATGGATTGTGGGCTTGTCTTGCTCTTGCTATTTACAATTTTATCTGCGTTGATACCCACGTGAGCAGAAATATAGTGCAGCCTTTTTGGCTTCTGTGATTGCACTTGCTCTCTTTGTCATTCTCCTTGTTCCACCCTGGTGATTTCCGACTCGTCGGACCGTGAAGGCCATCGTGTGCTATCACGCGTCACCAAACACGAAGACGCCCTTGCCGGCTCTGAAACCCTGCAGTGTGCCCTGGACCGCCTCCCTGAGCGTCGCCTCCTCGGTCTGCCAGTTCCACTCGACCTCCTGCACGGGGGCGTCCCTGAACTTGCCCTCCCTGATCAAACCCAATATCTCATCGACGGTACTCTTCTTGCCCGCCCGGTCGGCGTTGGCCCACCGGCTCAGCCAGAAGCCGTGGAACCGCAGGTCCTTGAAGATGAGTAGGCCCGTGGGCAGCATGACGGGCTGCTTGGACATGGCGCCGTAGGTGACGAGGGTGCCACTCTCACTGAGACACTTGGCCATTGCGGTGGCGGACTTGCCGCCGACGCAGTTGAGGCCCAGTGTCACGGGGTCTTTGCCGCCGCGGGTGAACTCGTCGCGCAGGCGGGCGGTGAAGCTCCGGTCGAGGAACTCTGCCTCGGTGACGACGGCGGTGGCGCCCAGGTCGAGCAGCTCGCGGCGCAGCTGCTCGGTGGCGGTCTGGTCCTCGCGCTCGCGGATGACGTTGATGCTGCGCAGGCCCCACAGCCTGCCGAGCTGGATGGCGGCGCGCCCCACGCCGCTGTTGGCGCCGTTCTGGATGAACCAGGCGCCCCCCGCGGCCGACGAGTCCGTCTGGAAGGCCCTGACGGACTGGCCGATCAGGTCGACATAGTCGCGCAGCATGCGGTAGGCGCTGCACGGGTTCACCGACACGGTGGCCACTTGGATGGGGTCCAGGCCGGTCTTGTCGACTTTCAGCAGGGCCGCGTCGGCGTTCTCGACCAGGGCGTGGGTGCGCCACGTGCCGAAGCCGGTCGAGGCCGGGATGCACCAGTCGCCCTTTTGCAGGCCCGACACGGCCGAGCCGACCGAGAGCACCTCGAGGCAGCCCTCGTTGCCGGGGATGGAGGAGGGCTCGGAGGTGCCGATGGATTTGTCGTAGGACGGCTTGGCGCCGTAGGTGCCCTGGACCGTGTTCACATCTGCCGGGTTTACGGGCGCGGCCAGGGTGCGGACGAGGACGGAGTGGGATGGGATTTGCGGGGAGATGGAGTGGTTGTGTAGTCTGCCGGGGAAGTCAGCGGATGTGTCGAATGGACAGGTAAAGGGCTTGAGTTGGGGCAGACGTACCTCAGGACATCGGAGGGCTCGCCTGGCTTAGAGAAGACGAGGGCTTTGGCCTGGGTGTAGCCATAAGGGCCGGACTTGTGACGGACGGAGGCGGCGCCGAGGGGTCGGGAACTGCTCCTGCATGAGCCGGCGGCTCGCGGGCGCAAGAATGTGAAGTTCAAGCAGCGAGCCGGTCTGATCGTGGCCATTGTGAAACGCTCAGAAGATTGTCTCTTGATGGCGGCTCCAGATCGGTCCTCTAGTGTTCAGATTAGGGAACCTGGGGGGGATGCTGGGTTGTTGGGATGTTGGGTAGCTAACGGTAGCTATCTACTATCTACTATCTAGGTGCAGACGGAGCTCCGTTGAGGCTCCCGGGGAAACGGCAGCATGACGTCGATCCGCTGCAATGGAGCTCTCATACTGCATGTGGCGGCCAAGTAGCCAGGTACCTATAGTACTCTGCAGCTAGGTACACAGCTACCCCCTGCTTCCTTTCGTCCTCACTTCGAGATTGGTCCTAACCCTGACACGAAAACTTACTCCCAACCATAGAACAGACTCCAGTACTCTGAGTGAGAGCATCCCATATTATACACGATAATCAACGACTTTTCAACGCATCGCTGCTGGCTTGGTTTGATCATTTTGGATCTCACATCTCTAATCTATAATTCTTCGTTATCAACTTGTGATAAATCTCTGGTCGGCTGGAGTGATCTAAAAGAGACTGTACGGGGAACGACTCGACATCTCGTCTGGCCTTAGAGTTCGACCGCACGCAAGTCTCTTGGTCGGTCGCGAGAGTATGTCACGGTGAATGCAGGATTTACATTCTGCTCCCGCAGGATTCATTGCCAGGATTGGTCGAGAACGATAGAAGATGGCAGTATCATTAGCGGAAAAAGCTGCGACCGCAGCCAAAGCCGCCTTCTCGTCCGCCACCGTCAAATCCTCAACTCCCTTCACCCCCCGGCAAACATTTGATGTCTCCACTTCAATAGTCCGCTCATACTTCCTCGGACATCATCATGCCGCTTTGTCGCGCATGCGCCGCATCCTGTCCAACGTCGGACTGGTCATCGAATGCCGGGACATTCGTGTCCCTCTATCATCCTGGAACCCTCTCCTGGAATCCTCGCTCATGTACGGCAATTCCATGAACTTTGGCCGAGGTGGTGACAAAGGCTTCGTATCTGGTGGCCCGGGTGGGCCCTGCCGCGCACGTATCATCGTATATACACACCGGGATCTTTTGCCACCTGCTGAGGTAGGCAGGATATCGACGATCCTGAGAGACTTCCACAAGCAACACGGGGCGGGCAACACTTCATTAGTGTTTCATGGCGCTACAAACAGGATCAAAGACACCAGGGAGCTCTTGGAGGAAATCAAGCACGTATCACAAAATAACGACACCATCACGGGCCTCCGAGCGTTGGTGGTTGGCATGCCCAACGCAGGAAAGTCAACACTCCTCAACCGCCTTCGGTCACATGGCCAGGCGATACAAGGTCGTGCTTCGAAAGTCGCCAAGACGGGCGCTGAGCCGGGCGTCACAAGGAAACTTGGCTCGCCGGTGCGGATCATTGCGGGGGATGACAACTCGGAGGGCGTGTTTGTCCTGGACACACCCGGGGTGTTCGTCCCGTACGTGCCGGACGCCGAAGCCATGCTGAAGCTCACGCTCGTTGGCTGCGTCAAGGATGGGCTCATCTCGTGGGTCACCGTCGCCGACTACCTCCTCTTCCACCTCAACCGATTTGACCCGACAGGGAAGGTGTACGCTGAGTTTTGCGAGGAGCCGACAAACGATGTCCATGAGTTCCTCAGAGGCGTGGCTAGGCGCACGGGGAAGCTAGTGAAGGGCGATGAGGAGTTCTTGGAAGGCGCCGCGGACTGGGTGGTCAGGAGGTGGAGAAACGGGAGGCTGGGGCAATTTGCCCTGGACGAGGTCAGCTGGAACAGTCTCGAGACGGCAAAGAAGCTGAGCTTGGAGCCACCGTTGAGTATGAACCAGGCAAGGAAGCGAGAGAAGGAGGCGAGGAAGGACAGGGCGCTGGCGAAGCATGCCCAGAAGTAAGACTGGCTGACTAGACGATCGTAAGAAGTGCGAAAGAAATGATACCCTGCTCCCCGGCTCTCATGAATCATCTCATCAAGCTTCAGACTTGACAGTTATCTGTGTATCCGTCCTATGATATGCAGGCTTGGACTGCAGGGTAGGAGCACAAAGTCTGGCGATGAAGTCTTCACGATTTTTTACTGTGACCACGATGGCATCAAAGCCACTGGCGCATTCACAAGCCTACTTGCAAAGAAGAGTCCGCCCCGGGGCACGCCATGACAATCTTCACCGAGCTCTAATTTGGAAACTCGCATGTAATGAACGGCCTAACCATAATTACTCATGAGAACCAAAGGGGCCAAGGAAGTCATGCCCAGGCACAGGCAGTGCCAGTCTATCTCACAAGACACGAAATGTTCATTCGCAATTGACTTTTCTATACGTCATCAGACTGAGGCTCGTCCCACAAAGTGTTGTCCCGCGGATTGTTATTCCATTAGAGATCTCTGACTGGGGGCGCTTGCCAGTTACACGGGGATATTTGTGATGTCTAGGAGCTGTCACGACATTCTTTGGACCTTACAGTGTTTGAGACACTATGAATGTATCTGTAGCTATAAGCTAGTGGAATAAAATCATATACGACGAGACGTACCCTGCATCGCTCACCTACGTACCTCCCTACTCTGGGTATCAGCGTTCAACGTGCTGTGAAATATCTCAGCCTCCATCACCTCAGTCATTGGTGACATGTACTGAGGCTAGTACAAAAGTTTTGACCCACGGAGACATCCTGCCATAATCTGTGAAGGACGGCAGGGGAAAGTCTTCGGGATTGAACGCCGGCATTATGCAATAATTCGTACATCAAGACCACCATGGTCCGTCCACACCCACACGACGCCATGGAGTTGCCTTCCAAAACACAACCATCAACCCTATTATAAAATTGAAACCGTCAAAACGCTTTGCGAATCAAGTAGAAATCGGGGAATCGTCGAATTCAGGAAGCGAACTCCTGCTGCCATTTGACCAAGTCAGTCGACAGACGAGCCATCATCTCCATGGACGAAAGCTCCTTGAAGTCTTTTTGTGCACCCATCGCATGAGCGGTCGAGTTAGATTCGCCAGAAGTGAGTTCCGGCGCCTTTCTCTGTCCTGAACGGGCCCCATTCCCGGCACTCTGCGGAGCCACGCCCTCGCCCGTCTTGGGACTGTCGTTGTTGGGCGGTGTTGTTTCTCCTGCCATCTCAACCTGTGTTCTGGATATGTAGTCTAGCATTGCGCTGGCCTTCCGCTTCATGTCAGTCATGGACACCTTGCTATTAAATCCGCCCTTAGCCCGCGAGTGTGGCTTATGTGAGGCCTCGCCCGGTTTTCCATGATGTGTGTGTCCAGCGTCGTGTCCCTGCACATCTCTAGATTGAGAGCGCGCTGGAGAAGTCTCGTCGCGTACGTCTCGATCCTTGGTGTATTGATTTCTCCCTTTGCCTTTCTTGGCTTGGGGCCGTTTTGGTTTGGAGGAGCTTTGGACGGGTGTGTGTGTTGGTGGCGTGTCGGGTGTTGGTTGTGACGAAGGTGGTGCCTCAACTGTGGAAGTCGTCTCCGCCTTGCTCTCACTCGCTACTGTCGCTGTCGCCGTCGCCTTCTCGCCTGCCGTCCGGCTGGCTGCCGTCCGAGTTGCCAGGGGCAGTTCCTCCGAGGGGTCTGAATCTGTATCCACTTGAGCCTCCAGCCCCTTCACAAGAATCGTAGATGCGGGTGTGCTACCATCAGCTCGTCGGCGTTCCGCTCGACCGCTACGCTTCTTTGCTGCTTCAGCCCTTTGGCGCTCGCGTTCCTCCCGCTCCTTCTCCTTGTGCTGACCCTGATTGCGGGTCACCAGGTTTCGGGACTTCTTCGATCCGCTTCTGTTTGCAGCCTCCTCTGAGTCCTCGAGGGCATCCGGTTGCTCATTGTCGTCTTCTGCTGGCGAGGGGGACTTCGACTTTGTCCGTTGTCTCTTGCCAATATCCGGCTTCCTGCAAAAGCCTCTGTCAGTCGCTCACAATACTACTAGGCGGGAAGTCACATACTCCTCGCTATCGTCACGGCCACGTTTGGATCTCCTGCTACCACTAGTACTCTCAATGGCACTGTCTGCGCCGACGACCTCCTTACTAGCCTCGATGGCGAGACGAAGCTGCTCTTCCTCATCATAAGCCGCATCTCTACTGTTCATGGTAGACCTTCTCTTGGACGCCTGTGTGATCGACGACTGCCGACCACTTCTCGTTTCCCTCTCTTTGCTGTCTTTCTCCTTCGGAGATCGTGATCGCGTGGTGGACTTTCGGAGGTTAGGAAGGATGGGGAAATAGTGCGAGTAGCGTTGTCTGAAGGTCATGGAGTCAGATTCATCGAAAGCAGCACAGTGACCAGAAAACCGATTGACGCTCAAGCACCCGGGCACGAATGATGATGTGCAATGCTGGCACTGCAGCGTCTTCGCACACTGGGCCGCGAGACGCTGGAGAAGGGAAGAAAGCTTACCCATTGCTAGCTATGTGTACCTTGTGAAGGTCTTTCCTGCATTCCTCACAGTAGTATTCATCAGGCGTCGTGTCTTCACTCATAATTCCGACGCAGGCGCCGTGCTGCCAGACATTACAGACATCACACTGCACGAACAGCCCAGCCACGTCATCATTAATTTCGGATGGCAGCAGGGGCTCGACGTCAATTGAGTCTTTGGGGCCATGTTTCTTATCATCATCAACTGGCGGCGGGCCCGGGTAGTCGTCGAAGCCACAGACGCAGCGAACGGCGCCGTCGTCCTCCTCCAGCAACTCGTCGGGGTCGCCGGCCATCTCGATGGTGTCGCGATGTGGAAGTGGTTTGTCGCGTTCGTCTTCTTGTCCTTGTCCTTGACCACGGGTGCGACGCCGCCTGGTGGGCAGATCGTCGGTGCTCGCCACAGACTCGTCGGGCGGCTCGTCAGAAAGACTGGGAGTAGACTTCTGAGGGGAGTCTGTCTTGTTGACCGATCTGGTGTTCCGCTCGGGACGACCTGAGAGACTCGAGGATGTGGACGAGTGATGTGATTGCGACTGGGATTGCGATTGTGACTGTACTGTTCTTGCACGTGAACTCCGTCTCGGTGGAGAGTTCCCTGCCATTGCTTGCCGCGAGGGCTGAGTGGGAGAGAAGCGAGAGGCGGGAGGGGAATGGTGCGACGCGCAAAAAGCTGGACCTCGTCTCTCCAATGAAAGACTAGCAGCCGCGTGTAGAAGGAGAGGAAGAGAGAGAGAGGGAGTCGACAGATAGAAGGGCCCGTTCGGGAGCTTGGCAGGAACGGGAAGAACGAAGACAATTGTCGAGTAGCGAAGGGGGGAAGGGTGAAGTCGAGCTTCGTGGTGGGTGGCAGTAGCGTCGGAGTCTAGTTCGAGGGAGGGAAGGACGGGACGAGGGAGGTTTGCTCGAGCAAGTGGGCAACCATGACTGAGAGAAGACTGTAAGGAGGATCCAAGAGCGTCGACCACCAGGAGGGCTGAACAGAGCAGCGGGACGAGGGGAGAGAGAGGCAGAATTGGTAGGCGAAGTGGTTCAGGACCGGAGTGGAAGATGGACGAGTGGGAAAATCCAAACCCAATAATGCTGAGCAAGAGGGCAGCGCAGCGCAGCGCAAAGCACCAAGCAGCTCGCATCGGGCCAAAGCCAATGTGCCGGAGGTACCCTTGCTGCATGTACAATACCTGGCTCTCTTTTGTGGGCGGGGTCTGCTAGGCAGGACTCTCTGCGGCGGGGCGTCACCGCGCAGAACCAAGGTCTCGGCCTAACAGCACACACCGCGGCGGCCGGTTCACCACCTGCACATGGAAGGGTTCGCTCCGTTCACCAAGGAAACCCGACCTCTTGTCGGTACAGGAAGCCATTGTGAGGGACGAAAAGTACGAGCGACGAGTACACAAGATGACAAGATGAATAAAGTGTCAATTGGTGAGCAAGTCTCGTTGTCGGCGCAGGGAGTTCGGTCAAGACTCGATTGACCTCTGCGGATGAGCGTTGCGTTTCTGATAATGTGGATGTGGATGTGGACGTGGATGTACGTGTGGATGTGGGTGAGGATTAAGGAGCTGGCTGGAGTGAGTCTTGTCGTCTTTGGGGGAAAGATGGATGAGTGCGACTGGCTGATGATTGATTGTTTGATTGATCGATTGATTGGATTGAATGAGTCTGAGACCCATGGATGGGCGACACGAGTGAGGTCAGTGAGCCGATGACAGAATTGGAGGGGGTTTGTCCACAAGAAAACGGGCCTGTGAGTACAGTAGGGTGAGCTCCCATAGCCTTGGGTGCGGAGTGGATTCATCACAACCCCTCGTGTCAACCAAGCAGTAAAGCAATCCAGCAATCGTCAAGCAGTCAGTCAGTCAAGACTGCTGCCAGACTGCCCAGACCGAGGTGAGCTGTCCCGACAGCCCGACAGCTCAGCATACCTGCACACCTGCATATCTGCCCTGCCCCAGCCAGGCTTAGGTAAGCCACCTAGCTCAGACCTGACACCCAGTGCCACAGGTCCGATTATCATTGACCCGTTCCACATGGAGAATTCCCGTGTGTGCCAGTCTATGCGTTTTAGGGAGAGCCCCCCCAATTCCCGACTGACCACATTGTGCTGCACCCTGCATCCAGCAATCTGTATTTCACACAAAGTCCTAGCCCAGGTTCAAGTTGGGGAGAGCATCGACGTTGCCCGAGCCTCCTCCCTCGTTTTGTTGCATCAATACCCTTTGCCTGCATGCTTCTTCGTCTTCGTTGATTCTCTGCTTGCCGCGACACTCTGTCAGTCGTCATCCTCGCTTGGCCCCCGGCCCCCGACAAGCGGGCAGTCGACCATCCTAAGAAGCAAACCCTCGTTCTGGGCCCCAACAAAGGTGTGTGTGGACTCCGGTCTTGCTCTGTTTGTGCAACAGCCTTTCAATACAGCAACGACAATGTCATCAGGCATGCGGCGACCAAGGGGTCGACGGCAGCTGCTCTTCGCCCAGGCCCTGGTCCTCTCTGCGCTTGGGCGATGACTCCGCCGCGGGGGGCGACCACTGAGTAGAGGTAGTATGGGGACGGTGGGGAGCTTGCTTCCTGGCCCGTTATCCTCGCACCACTGCAGCTAACTTGGCCAGTCGAGAGCATCTGTTGGACAATTCGGGGTGTTAATTCTGTTGCCCTTTTGAAAATCAGTTTCTGATGACCGTCTCTTTGGGCAGGCAAGAGGGCCGCGATACCAAACCTAACTCCACAAGCGAGCTGGCGACAACGGTGCCGCCACCACCCACTTCCTCCACCCTAGAGCCCCTCTCCCCTCGATTTGCTGTTTTGCGATCGCCGAACACCCACGAATAAGACAGAAGGCTAGGAGAAGATCAATTCGTTCAGAGCTGGATCTTGCGGTTGCTTGGAGAACGATTTGGAGGCTCCGTCTTGTAAGGCCGTAAACGGTCGGTCAGTACCTGGTTGCCTTGCCCTGCCTTGCCCTGCCCTGCCTCGTTCACTCTTTCCCTCCCATGGCACTTTTCACCTGGTCCCGTGGGGAACCAGTCCTCTCCATCCACCTGCCATTCTCAAAGTTCCCCCTCCTTCGCGACTCAAGGTCAATACACCATCATGCCCCTCTCACCGACCTCGGACAAGGTCGTCGGCGGTTTGGTGGGCGACCCAGCGCGCGACTCCATCACAGAGGGGTTGTTGGAGGGGCAGCAATATGGGATTTTCACCTTCATCCACAATATTTGTCTTATCACCTTCACGTTTATCTGCCTATTCTCAGGCCTGTACGTTGGGCTAATGCTTTGTGGTTGTGTTTTTCATCACGTAGGCCACGACAAAAATATGGCTTCGGACACTGTACCTTCTACTCCTGTCTACCATAACGAACGCTCAGACCGACCCATTCGACCACTCCCCAAACGTCGTCTGCGCGAGCGTCTATCACCCGAGGTCGCTGATTCGATCGAGTACCCACCCGCACGCCAATCGGCGCCTGCTCTGTTCTCATACCCATGTAACCTTAAAGGAGGGCTGTCGGAGGAAGAGTCGAATTCCGGCACCCGAGACCCTCGTTCAGATTTCTCGGGTCGTCACACGCCTCGCAGGAATGGAGCAAGTGCTACGTCTGAGCTGGACGAGGCATCAACTAGAAGAGCTGTCGTGGCCCGCCCCCCAACGGAATCTCTGGGTCGCTCGCCGCGATTGCTGCAGAAATCCGATACGATGCGGCAGGTTCATGCGCCGCAGCCTCCGCCCTCGGCAGCGTCTTCGGCCGACGGGTATGACTCCTTCGAGAATACAAACAACAAAAAGAAGAGGAAGATCCCTACAGCGGGGGAGATGAACGGGGCGCATGGACTTAGCGATCACGGATTGAACGATAACCACACCGTATCCCCAGGCCTGGCGGCAATACCAGACAGGCCAGGAGAGAATGGGAACTCGACATCAGTGCCTTACTACGGATCGGGGAGTTTTATGTCTGCCGGTCAAAACGTCTCTGGTCCCGGTAGGGGCCGATTTGGGAGGGCGAGAAACGGCAGGAGCCCGTTGCAGACTCTCTCAGATGCTAGCGGCAACTGGTTGGGCCGGAATTCCAAGAATCGTCCAGGCCCCTGGTCCCCAACAGGTAAGTCTCGAGATGCGATCTGAGTTTCGTTCGAAAAAAGCTCGTCTTGTCTCGGTCAACTCCAAGAAACACGACTTGTTTCGTTTGCCAACTGTGAAGTCAAACTGACATTGTCTTTGTCTTCAAGCCCAAAGCACCGGCATTATTTCTAACGCGATTGCCAACGCAGAAAAACTCCCAGCTCTGGAAGGCCAGGAGAACACCAGCCTTCTCCAACAGCAGCAGTCGGTCAAGACGACCCCAGCGACGACGCAGTTTACCTTCACATGCGACTCTCAAGTTCCGGGTACTCTAGCCTGGCCAGGCTCTGACCCCAAGATGTCAGGCTCAGCTGCAATGGATTACAATCAAGCAGCAGCAGGAAGCTACTCGCACTCGCGTGCTGGTCAACCCCACCAGCCTGCGGGCGCCCCGGCCATTCATGGCCAAGACGGCCCGCCTTCGGACAGTAGTTTACGGGGCGAAGCTCCTCGGTCTATGACTCTTGAACGGAAGAACCGACGTCGGGCGGCCAGAGACTTGCATTTCCAGGCCAGAAAGCGTCGCGAAGGAACAGCGAGGCAGAACTTCCTTAACCCGCCCAAGCTCGAGGACCAGTGGATCTGTGAATTCTGCGAGTACGAGCGTATCTTTGGCTATCCGCCAGTGGCTCTGATTCGACAATACGAGATCAAGGACAGGAAGATTCGCCAGCAAGAGGAGGAGCGACGGCGGGTATGGGAGAAGGCCAAGGCGAGAAGTCGCAAGGGTAAGAAGAGCAAGGCGCCATCCAAGAACACTGCAAACAACAACAGCAATGGAAATGGCAGTAACATGCACAGTCACACGAATGACGGGCATGCAGCACCATCCATGAACCATACGCAAAGTCAAGATACGCAGAGCGATGTTTTCGACGATGAAGAGTACGATGGAGAGGAAAACTACGAGCTCGACCCAAGCCAGCGACCGGCTGATTTCGGTCGTGCTCATAACGCACATCCTGGCACAGCCGAACATGACCGCGGCGGCGGTGCAGGCGGCAGAGGGACTATAGGAGCAGAAGCGGTGCGCTTCGAGGGAGAACGGCCAAAAGTCTAACAACCTCTGTTCCCCCAACCCTCCGTTGGAAGGAACCGGGGATATGAAGGGACCGCCGTCGCCGGTTTCCCTTGGTGACCGGGACTTTACCCAACAGGCAGAAGCTGTGAAGAGTCCATCAGAGCCTGCCTACTCACGGCTACCATGCTACGAGCGCGAGCAATGGTGTCTCACTGGATGGACAAAAAAACCAACCAACAGATTCTCGCTCACCTCTGGTATACATTCTTGGCGATAGGGGATCTTGGCGATAGGGAGCGGGCGTGGGGTCACTTTGGGACGGAAGCGTTGCGAGTCGGCGCCCCGACGATGCTACATAACACCCCTCCACTGCACATGATACAACAAAATTCTCAAAAAACCAAACCATGGCACTATCTGCCCTTAGAGTGAGGGTGTTGGGGCACAGGACAACGGAACTTCCAGGTTGTAAGAGGAGTGGAGGTCTTATGAACGGAAGACGCACTCGAGAAGGATTCCCGAGCCTGCGGATCCGATCCTCGCCCTACACCAAACATACCCAGATCGTGGATAGAATAAATGTACGAGTTGTTGCCTCGGGGCGATGAGCCAGTTGGCAAGTGAATATGCCGTCCTGCCGTGCCGTGCTGGTCTGTCTGCACAACAGCAATTTGATAGACGATATGGGCCTTTCTTCTGATAGAGTGATGCAATGTCGTTGACCCGATGAGTAATCAGACAGGTGGGTCAAACTTACGTACATTACGGTTCGGTCGCGCTTGCGCAGCGTATAGTACCAGCCGTACCGCGCCCCCGGACACAAGCTATGACGTATGGCCCCTCCAAGCTTGTCTAGTGCACAGAGCAAAAGAGAAGAGGTAAGCCGAAAAGAGTCCAGCCCAGACCAAAAGAGTTTGGGGAGTCGCCCCGATGTCACCCTCTCTCAGTGTAGCAGCCTGAGCAGTCCATGGGTGAGTAAATTGGCAGTCCATAGATCAGGCGTCAGACAATCTAAAAACGCAAATCAATGAAAACTCGGGCGGGAAGGGCGGTATTGATGGGCAGGCGTGGCAAGGCTAGAGGGTGGGACGTGTCAAGCGGCGTTCAAGCACAGAACTGTAGTCTACATGGGTGCATGGTTTCCCGTGCGAAAGACCAGGCATGCTCGTGGATGTCAACCGGCGCATCCGTCTGCCAGAGTGTACCGAGCTCTTGGAGTCGAGCAGTTGAGACCCGTTTCGAGTCCACCGACCAACGAGCTTGAGGGCGGCCGCGGATTGAAACAGCTGCTCGGCTTGGGCCCAAAATAGTGTCTCCCTCGGTCTCAGACCACGATGTGTCACGGTAGTAATAAAATATACAATTGTCAGCCTCGTTGGACGAGAGAATGGTGTTCTTGGTGGGACAATCCGTGCCATCAACGCCGTCATTTCAACAATTCTCTTCTTACTGGGTCATCTTACTTGCGGTTCATGACCCACCTTGATTTGGCCTGTGCTGTATCCTACGTGTAAATGTGCTATTGCTCTATGGTTTAGAGGAGGAGAACAGACCGGCAGAGGGCGTTGGTCGGTTCTCGATCAATCCCTGGTGAACCACAAATGGATCAACGACACCTACACAGTAGAGTGCCCCCTGCCCCAGCTGGCCGCAGGCGGTGCCAGTGCCTGGTGGGCCCAAGGCGACCCAGAAACAACCCTAGCGCCCGAGCTGTTTTAGGCCTGTCCAGTCCCAACTCGGCCGCTCTTGTCGATCACTGGCACCGACCAGCATCGGGAGCCCGGGGCTTGGACAGCCTGGGGTCTGGACTGGGGGATCATCCATCGTCATCTGTCTCTGGCTCTGGTTCTGTTCCGCTCCCTCGCTCCCACACCTCTCTGCTAAACCTCTGCTCCTCCTCCCACCTCTGGCCCTCATCATCTTCTCCCTATAGTCTATGCACACTTTCTCTCCCAACGTTAGCTCCAATTCTTAGCCTGCTGCTCGCTCGATCGCTCTATCCTCGCTAGACCTGGCGCATGCGACGACAAATACAATACCGCACAATGCACGGTTGTACCCGGTAGCAAAGTAGTGAGAAGCCATGTTCGGGTCTAGACGACGTCGTCCACCCAATCCGGTACGTCAAGTGCTCGCCACCGTTTCTCCTTTGTCGCACATTCCCAACGTTGGTGGTCTTGTCATAGACATCCAGACAGCGTCTCTGAGAGTAGTAGAAGTATGCTACAAGTCTGCGTCTGCCTGCCTGCCTGCTGTTCCCCTGTCTACAAGCCAGCCTGTATCCTGCGATCTTGTGATATCCGCTCCTCGTCCATGATAGGCAGTTCACGCCCGGGCTGAACAATGCTCCCTTCCCACCCCTGCTTCATCTAGATAGGCTTTCGCCACCATGGCCGTCCACACACAGGCATTTTGGGCTAACTCGACTCCCTCCCTCCACTCACAGCCTCTCAATGCTTCTACCGCAAACCCCAACGCAGCCACTGCTGCCATCTCAGCCTTTACCCGTCGCGAGTCAAGCACTGCCTCTCTGAGCGCTGCCGCCGCCGCCGCCGCCCTCAAGGCTCGTCCCACGACTCCTACAAACGTCGCAGAGGTCCAGACGAAGAGGAACACACGGAGGAGTGCGTCGCGGTCATCGTCCATCGGAAGGACCACGCCCGACACTCCGGCCCGGCCAGGAGGGCAGCTTAGGAGACAGGGCAGCTCGGGGTCCATGACAGAGCGCACCTTTCGATCGCCGTCGCCAGGTGCACACACACAGAGATCCCTAAGCAGTGGCGGAGTGCCGAGGAACTCGTATCACTCCGACGAGATGGCGCCGCCGGTGCCAGCCATACCGGAGAGCGTCAACATGCAGGCGGCCAAGGCGAGGCAGAAGCCAAAGAGTCTCGGGATAGTTACTGCGCCCGTGAGAACGGCATCGCAGAAGGCCAAGGGATCCGGGGGAACGTGGTTCGGTGCGGCAAAGACGGGCGACCCAACAAATATCAGGACTTCAGATGCGATTATGTCGACATCGCCGACGGCACCGACCCAGGCACAGGCACAAACACATGCGCAACCCCGCGAGAGCTTGGAGAGGCCGGGCAGTCGTGGGTCGTCGGTCAACTTCTCGTATCCTGCACGCATCCGCAGCCCAACCTTCGCAAGGCCTGACGAATCATCACAGCCGCCGGCTTCTGTAGCCGAACCTCGCGCGAAACCCAAGAAGAGGAGCTCGACGATGTCGCCGCCACGCGGAGGCTCGGTCAGGTCGGCACGGTCTTCCTCAGTAGCCTCGGATCAGACACTTGTCTATGACCCAAACTCTAGGAGGATGGTACCGCAAGCATCCCTTGAAGCTGTCGAACAGAGGGTTCAGTCAGCTTCTGAATCCAGACCGAAGAAGAAGAAGCAAGCTCCCGTTCGGACTGGCTCGCATCTGGCTAAGGGTACTGTCAGTAGGGCCCAGGGCAGTGCAGTGGGATCGAGTTCTGCGAACGCCGCACAGGTGGCTGCGGCTACGTCGTTGCGATCACGTCAAGCCGAAGAACGACAAAGTACGCCTCAAGAACCAGAATATCAGGACGACCAATTTACACGAGAAACCGTTTCCACTCCTCCGCGACCAACTAGTATTCAGCAAGGGGCGGGCAACACGCCACCGCAAACTCAGTATGTACAAATATCAGCGTCGCCTGCTTCTAATGCGCCAGAAGTGGCTCCTGCCCCACAGTCCCCGAGTACCGACCTACCTCCGACCGGTCTGCACAGGAAGCCTTCTATGGTGAGAGAGGAGTCGGAGTCGGAAGATTTGGAGTCTGAGGCTGAGCTCGAAGCGCCGGGCCCATCAACGCCACCGAAAGCCTCTGCTGCTCTTGATTCTGTCCCTGCTCGACAAAATGTTTACGTTCATGGCGTCCCGTCTCCACCTCGGAGCGACCTCACAGAAGATGTACCGGTCGAACCAACCCGTCTGCCTCCTCCGATACCTACCAAGGACCTCACAGAAGATGCACCGATTCAACCAACCCGTTCGCCTCCTCCAATACCTTCCGAGCTTGCTGCAGCTCTGCCCTCCTCGTCGTTGGAGCCATCACCCGCCACTTACGATGGAAAGGAAGTGGTCACCAAATCGCGAGAAATGCAAGACATCCGACGCGACTCTAGGACTCAATCAAAGAGCCCCGTTCGCAACGCCCGCTTTGGGCCGGTATCAGACAGCTTGACTGTACGACATGAGCCTCCGCCAAGATCAATCTCGCCAAGGAAGTCTGCCTTGAAGCACCAGAGCCCTCCTCGTGGCGCATCTCCCGCAGAGGTCGCTTCGGACGGGTCCGAGGCTGGTTTTCCTTCTCAAGAGCAGGTATTGCCTCGAAAGAAGTCGGTCCGTGTCAGCTTCGATGACAGCAATACGGTCGTCGTGGCCGATGCCGCTGGGAGGGCTGACACAGACAGTCCGCTTCCACCAAGCCCTCAAGTTGCCAGCAGGCGTCCATGGTACAGCAGTCTTGGGATAGGCAAGAAGAAGGATGCAATACCATTGGAGGAGGATGAGGTCATGAAGCCTAGACCCATGCTACCCACATTCGGTAGTGTGAGAGGCAGGAAACAAACATCTAAAGAACCTGAAGAGCGTCCACTTGTCAGGCCTCACGAGCCATTCCATGAGGAAACGGAACCAGTTAGTCCGGAGTCTCTTGAGAGAGGGAATGATACTGTGGGCCAATCTAGCGACCATGCTCTGGGCGCAATGATCCAAGAGCAGGAACCCAAGAATGAGGCTAACACTTCCAAGTTCCGAGAGCCGTTGCCGCCTGTGGTCACATCCGTCGAGGGCAGCGGCTATGCCTCGGATACAGCGAGCGACGATAGTGATGCTGCCTTGATGGCGGATACGCCGAGGCTGCAGGCCGACGAGAGCCGGGTCAGTGAGGCCTCGACGCTGGTGCCTGACTGGAAACCCTCAAATGGCTCAGCATATGAGCGAGCAGGCGGCGAGCAGGTTCCCAGCGATGCTAAGGACTTTGCCGGACAGTCAAACAATGTGCCTGCGGAGGTTCCTGCTATTTCTATCACCCAGCCTAGCCCACATCTTGTTGAGACGGAGCAAGATGGAGCTTCTTATCGCTTCCCAGGCGAGTTCCCAGAAACGGACGTCGAGTCGGATGCCGAGTACAAGGCCCAGGCACATGATCCAACATCATCAAACTCGTCTGCGCCCGCCCGACAAGCGACGTTTGAGCCAGTGGTGCAGACAGAGGACACAATAGCCACAGCGCATACTCCTAGTACTGTTCTGGCCACTAAGCCAGCCGCCCAGGAGCTCACAGATGAGTCAGATGGCGATAGCGTTTACAGCGATGCCTACGAGGATCCGTTAGACCTCGAGCGTGAGGGTTTTCAGTCACTGGACGCTGTTATCGAGAGCCCTCTGCCACGTGAGAATGAGAATGAACAGGCACAGGTCGCGGAATACTCGACACCAAATCTGCCACAAAAGGCGCCCGGACACGAGACAGCGGCGATTGCCCAGATACAAAAGGAAGGAATCGTCGGGCCTCAAGACAACTGGGAGGCTGCAAAGGCGTACTGGAGGAGCCTGACCGCTGATAAACGGGCCCAGCTTGAAAAGGAAGCGGCTGAAGAGGCTGGTGCAGAGGGTGACCTTGAGGATGTTAAACCAGAAGTGAAAAAGCCGAGAACGAAGAAGTCAACAGAAAAGAGAAACTCGGAGAAGAAGGTAATCGAGGAGCAGAGAGCGGTCGTTAATCCGGAACGGACTTACATGGTCAAGCCGGGCACCAAAGCGGAGAACTTTAGTACAGCGGAGCAATCGACGCCCCGTGGTAAACAGGCCTCTGGAAAAGGGGAAGCGAGTACAAAGCTGCGCAAGACCATGCGGTCTCCGGTTAATAACGCCGCCCAACTCCCCGCCGCCCAGCCCGCCGAGTCTGGAACCCGGATGCGCAAATCCCTACGTTCAGATGCACCAGGTCGGTCGGCTGCAACGCCACAGCGGCCAGCAACTTCTCAACCCGCTCTTGGTATAACCACCGAAATCACCGGGCCGAACAGGCACTCGCGCACTGTCTCGGAGCCCGAAGGCAGGTCCAGTGTTACTTCACCCACCCTGCGCCGTCGCGGCTCAGACTCCAGTGTAAGCAGTTTCAAGCGTTCGAGACCTGCGAGTCAAGGATTTTTCCGCAAGAGCATGAGAACAGGCGAACCAGAAGATACCACGCGGGACAGACAGCCAAGCCGCTTGTCTCTGCGGTCCATGTCCCCCGGCGGAGGCGGCGGGCCCTCCCTACGCGGGCAGCCTCCAGTCACCATGGATGGCAAGATGCGGACAACACTCCGCGGCGGTCCGCCCGCCAATAAGCGCCGAAGCTCGCAGGACTCCGGGAAGGGCTATTTGCGCTTCTCCGGTTCCTTTGGGCACAAGGCTAAAAGCAAGAATGGATCTCGTTTTGGCGATGATTCAAGTGATGAAGACGAGGCGGATGTGCCGCGTCGGTTTTCAAGCCGATTCGACGACTCCAGCGACGAGGAAATCGCTCCCGAACCGCTTCCATCTTTGAGCATCCCCAAGACGATGCGTGGTGCCAGATCGCGCAACACCATGCCGAGCCCGCCGCTCCCTGAGGAGGAAGAATTTTCTGACGAACAAGAACCTCTTGCAGGCGATGGGGACGACAAATCGCATCGCGTGGTTTCTGGCCCAGCTTCCATTTCACATACACAGACCGAGCCTGGCGTCAAACGCAGCCGCTCCGGCCGTGGTTCCCTGCCCAGGGCTGATGACGGAGTGGGACGCCCCGCACGGCGCAGCTTCATGTCGTCGGTCCTGCGGCGGAATAAGGGCAACGGTGCGATCTCCCGCCCTGAGCGGAAGGAGAGCGCGGCAAGGGCGGACACCAACCTGGAGAGGTCAGCGAACGAGCTGAAAGCTCTAAGGTCTAATAGTTCGCGCGATAGGGCAGACAGTGGGGCTACGTGGCCGCTGGACGAGGAAGGGCCGGAGCGTGACGCCGTTGAGGTGGAGACCGGCGAACGCGACGATGTGAAAGGCGCACAGATCATCAACGGTGGCAGTGTTGTAAACGGCCAGAGGAGCCCCAGTGTACTGGGCCATTCGAAGTCACAGCCGGCCCTGTCGCGCCCATCGTTCCTGCAGCGGCGGACGATTTCGCATCAAGGCACGATCGATACTGACATCATCGGGAGCGAGGTCGGCGGCAGAAAGAAGAAGAGGTTTTCAGCATTGAGGAAGATGTTCAAGCTTGATGAATAGCGGTCCGAAAGCGAAGACATCCGAAGAGAACATTGCTTGCTATGGTAAAGCAAGTCGTGACGATCGCAGCTTCAGGAACTGGACCGATGAGAAACGGACGCAACGGCAATTGCATCGCGACACACACATGTCCCATTTGGTCACATTCGTTGGGAAACCATCCGGAGGCACAAAGAATTGGAAACAGGCGCCAGGGCGGCAACGACAACAACAACTTTCTTTTGTTTGTACGTTTTTGGAAAAGCTACGGTTGTTCATAGGATAGGCGGGCAGGTATACACGGGCAGGCACAGGATACCCCAAGAAACATCGGAAGGCAATTTCTCCGTCAGGGCAGGAAACAATGGTGTTGTTTTTCTTTTCTGTTCTGTTCTGGAGATCACGAGCTCTGACCGGACATGTCCAAGTGCACGTGTCGGTCTCGAACACTCAATTACGAGACACACGAGACAAGGGTGGTTTGAAGTGGACATAGGCACTACTGCGAACAACAAAAGAGCATGCATAGATGCTTCTAAAATTAATCTAATGAGGCGAGAGAATACGCAGACATACATGCCACGGCTCGTTGGGCAGCTCACGATACTAGCAAAAAGTTTGAGGCGTGTGCTGACCGACGGAAATCTGTCGCCCTTGTGTCACTTCACCGGACGACGTTCCGAAAGGTGTATTTCTCATCGGAGTCCGCCCCCCCCCCCCGAAAAAGGCTAATGGGGAATTTGAGACCCAACGTCTTGGAACTCTGTCTGGACCTTGTCGGGATGATGCAAGCTGCACGTTTTCTCCCCCATGGGAGCTCGATCGGCTGGCTGCAGCCGCTGCGGCTGGGGTTGCATTTTCCAAGGGTCCAGGGGCACTGACACCGGGGAAAGATGGATGAAAGGGGGATGGGATGAGGTGACTGGTTGGGCTTGCTTGGTTGGGTATGTTGGAGTAAGTGCCATGTAAGTGCCTGTCTCTCATCTCACCCCTCTCCTCTTTCGGTTCCCCCGGATTTTCTACCCAGAGCTCTCTTCCCCAAGGGGCCCAAGGGGATCTGCACCTTCATAACCCCTGGCGAATGATGTCAAGCCTACCTCTGGTAGTGAGACGGTCTCTTGCTACTGGATCGTGGCTCAGTGACACAAGGCGCAGGAGTGTGAAGGGAATGATCTCAATGGCTTGGGAGAGGTGCTGATCAAGCGATCAGACGCGAAGGCAGACGGAGACACGCTTCTCGTCCCCGTCCACGTATGTCTGCTTCTGGCCGCCGGTCTCGCTGCGTGGCCCTTCGCCTCCTCCTTCCCTTCATCTCACGAGACTTCTGGAATAGTCTGTCTGTCTGGTCGGTAGAAGGTGATAGGCCCACCCTCGCCCTCGCCCTCGCGTCACCCTGCTCCACGCCTCACCTGTCGCAACAGCTCCTCCGCGCAAGCCATCGTCCGCTGGCCAAGCATCTAGAACAGTCTTCCCCAGCTCCCGGGACCGGCGGGCAGCAACATTGAAAAGGGACGCCCAGCAGCCCAGCTCGTTTTGTCTTCTTGGAGTAAGAAATAATATAAGCCAACGCTACCGCTGGTGTTACTATGCTACTGCTGCACTACCCCACAATCACATTGCATCGCACACACCTTACAGTGACAGCTGCTACATTGTGTTGACTTGCTTCTTCCACCTCGAGCTGCGCATCCCTGCTTACTTACATACCGGCCTTCAAGGTCGACAGACTACCGTTGCATATCAATCAAGCTTGGTCTCATCCAGCTGTGACTGAAACTGCGACGAGGTCCTCATAAATTCTCATCTCTCGTCTCGTCAACACTTTCATCGCACTCGAAACAAATTCATCCCATTCCATACAGTACTCCACCCATCATGTCCTCCTTCTCCAGAGCTGCAAGCGCAGCTATGAGAGCTGTCGGCCGGCGACCCACAGTAGCTACCACAACCACCAGCACAGCTACTCGATCAACAGCCGCCACTGCCCCCCTCCTCGCCAACAAAACCCAGTCCCGCGCCTTCGTCAAGGAGTCGCGGCCGCGTCCTCAGGCTAGCAACCGGGACAAGGACGAGCCCCACCACGCAGGCACGTTCGCCCGTACCGACGACAGCATCACTGTCGAGTACCCGCAGGACCACGAGCTCCCCAGCTCGGAGCCCATCGTCGGGGCCGGGCGCGCGGGCCTGCACATCTACCCGACCCTGGCGAACTTCTCGCTGCAGGGCAATGTCGGCGTCGTCACTGGCGGTGCGAGGGGCCTGGGGCTGGTCATGGGCCAGGGGATGGTTGTTTCCGGTGCTGATCTGGCCATTGTTGATATGAACAGTAAGTCTCCCGCGGGAGGAGCGTCCTTGAGGTGGTGCAAGGGATCAACTCTGAGCTAACGTTGTCTTGCACAATGACAGAGGACGAGGCCGAGGTGCAAGCCCAGGCCCTCATGAAGCAGTTCAAGAAGGACAACCCAAACGCAAAGAAGTGAGTTCTCACCAAGTCAAATCCACTCTCCAAGTGCTGTTCCTCACAGCTCTGGATTTCGCCATCCCGCCTGTCCTGAGCCCGCAATATGCCTGCCTCGCTCGAAGCTGACACCCAGTAGGGCCCCCAAGGTGACGGCGCACTACGCCGACGTGTCGGACCAGGACTCGGTCAACGCGTGCATCGCCGAGATCCTCGCGCAGCACGGCAAGATCGACAACCTGGTCACGTCCGCGGGCTTCACCGAGAACTACAACGCCACCGACTACCCCATCGACCGCATGCGCAAGCTCTTCGCCGTCAACGTCGACGGCACCTACCTCTTCGCCACCGCCGTCGCCCGCCACCTCATGGAGCGCAAGGCAAAGGGTAGCATGGTCTTCATCGGCAGCATGAGCGGCTCCATCGTCAACGTGCCGCAGCCCCAGGCGTGAGTGCTTTTGTTTTCCTGCTGGCTTTGTTCTCTTTCCCTCCCCTCGTGCGAAATCTTGTCCTTTTCCCAACTCGTGCGGCAGCCGAGGTTTCTCGTCCGGCTGGGTGGCATTGAGGATCAAAAACTCACAAGGTTTGATTTTTTGACACGTTGTTCCCGGCGACTGGTATTACTGCTGCAGATGCGGCAGCCGCTGCAGCTGCAGGTACAATTGGGGAAGTCCTAATTTCGAGCCCCGACTGGCTCGCGGCTGATCGGGGTCGCATCCATCATGGGGTCGTCTCCGCCAAGAAAACAAAGACGTCGTCGGCAGGATCAAAATGTTTTCCGGGCTCAGGGGAAAGAATGTCCAGAATCTCGCTGACTTTGACCATCAATAGGCCTTACAACTCCGCCAAAGCAGCCGTCCGCCACCTGGCCGCCTCCCTGGCCGTCGAGTGGGCTCACGCCAATATTCGCGTCAACTGCATCTCACCCGGGTACATGTTGACGGCTCTGTGAGTATCTTTCTCATTCACTCCGCCTCTGCACAATCTTGAACACTTGCTGACACTCTTTCACGCGCAGCACCCAGAAGATTCTCGACGACAACCCGGATCTCCGGAAGCAGTGGGTTTCGCTCATCCCACAGGGTAAGATGGGCCAGCCCGAGGATCTCATGGGCCCCGTGACGTTCCTGCTGTCAGATGCGGCCGGCTACGTCACCGGCGCTGACCTTCGTGTCGATGGTGGCTACACGGTGACCTGAGTCAGGGAAGGATGGTCCTCCTTTGTCCCTTTCTGCTTCTATATCATGTCTTTGAAGTGGTCTTGGGCTGCTCGGCGTTGGGAAGGCAAAATTTGGACGGGTCCGAAGGGACGGAAACCCCGAGTGTGCAATTGCTGTAGGGAGAGCAGTGTTTTCTGCGCCCATGTATGACTATCCAATTCAATAATGTCCTTCGTTTCTAGGTATAAAATCCAATCCTATGTTTCCTTTAGAAGCGTCTTGCGGTGTTTGGCATACATCTTACAGGAGCTTAGCCTACAGGAAGTAGGATGTTATCCAAATGCAGCTATCCCATGGAGGTTATTCGAAGATCCGGACGAGGCATGTCCTGGCGCACGGGATCGATGGAGCTGGACGCGGCTCTCCAGAGTCCGAGGCAGCCGCTGCCCTCCTGCTATGTCAAGGGCTGTTTGAAACCACATCTTGCGAATCAATAGACTAGATCCAGAGTAATCTTCGCACAGCCACCATCATCAGTACTCAGGGGGGACTGAGACTGCGGTGGCAAGTATGGAGCAAAATTTCCGGTCGAGAAATCGGCCGCAAGCTGTCGAGCTGCGGATCGGCCTGACTCATAATTTCGGCCTTTAAGAATCGAACACGGGTCGGCCAGGGCGGAGCCAAGTACATGCCTTTCCCTCATCGATGGGCGTCGAACCAAATGACCCAGTTGCTAAAACCGTTGAGCAGTGTTCGCCACCCAATACTGCAAGCAATAAGGCGTTCTTGGGCCGAGTTCCATAGGCCACAGGCCCTTTCATTCCAGGTTGTGTTTTCCCCATCCCCAGGTGCAATACAAATTTGGAATAACTCGTTTCCGTCGTACCGTCCAGGCTTACTGGAGAGGAGCCGCTAGTCAGGCCGTGCAAGGGATGTCCCGCATACATCGGTTTGCTCCGGACGGGGCCAGCGCGAGGCCGATCGATGGGCGGGCGTTGTGGCTGCATCCAACAAGATCCGGACCCGACCCTCCCACTCCCGTCGTCTCCTGGGCGGGCGAACCACCCGCGCTAAGTGGACTCTCACCCTCACCACCCAGATCGCTGATTTGACTGCTCACACTGTCCGCCGGGGTGTAGGTGGCGGCTCCACTGGCTTGGTCTGGCAGAGCAAGCCGCATCGAATATGCGTGCTACTTTTTACGGTATTAGCGATGAGGGTCGCTGGCGCATTCCAGGATGAGACAGCTTTACAGAGCCTTCCGTCCTGCCGATGATCGATAGCAGGATTCCCCACGCCAGGGACATCCTACATTTTCTTCGCCAGCTGGCCACTCCCCACAGGGGCGCGTCTGGGGCTAACTGCGAGATATGTATTGTTGCTGCCGTGACTGGGAGCAAGATCGAACTGACAATGCATAGGCTCTTAATATTCTGTTGGGGTGGAGGGGCCTGCAACCCCAACAATAGTTTGACCTGGGCAATGCATCCAGAGCTCCGAATGCGCGGAGGAGGGAGTATCCATGGAGAGAGAGGCGATAGAAGGGCGTGTATATGTAGGCGGCAACGATGATACTGCTGCTGCAGCTGTCTGCGCATATGAGGACACCATCTTTCGAGTCCCGTAATGGAACCGACTGTTCTCGCCAATCTGCGCGTGGGTTCCTGCAGATGTCGCTCCGTGCCCCACCCAGCTCAGTAGTGCACTTTTTTGGCATGTGAAAGGCTGGTGAACGAGATAATACCGGCAGCTAGGTATGCACCAAATCCGAGCTTGCACCAGTCTCGAGCAATCCTAGGGCACTGTGTACAAATCATGTTGTAAAGTATTATGGCATTCCATCTTTGCCGCGTTTCTCCGGGGAGTGGACACTATTCAGGATTTGGTCTTCCGGACGACTGTGGCAGCTATAAGCAGCATAGTCTGTAATACATCGGATTTACCGGGCTAGCGGCCACAACGCGATGGACTTGCGCGCGTGCAGAAAGCTAGCTGGGCCTGCACGCACAGAAGCATGGCTATACACGTTTGAGTCCGCAAAACATTCGAGTTCGGCGGCAGCCATAGAAGAAGATGCGCAGAGTGTTGCATCGCCGGGAAGAAGAAATGATGAACAGGTCATGTGGTGCATTCCTGAAGCCGGTGTGATGGAGCAGCACATAGGCACAGATGTGTAACGACCAGCTCGGCTTAGGATGTGGCCCTGCGCAGAGCCTGCGCGGGACAGCTTGCCGTTCATGCTCGCAGATCCCAGCGTCTGCAGTACACAAGTCGTCTAGTCAATTATGGAAAATGTGACCACTTATGGACAATCTCACGAGGAGAAGGAAGGCAAGGTTCCAGGTGAACGGCTCTGGGATCAACCAATAGGAGCCGCGCCATGTCAAAGCCGTCACAGGGAAGCAGTGTTGCGCCGAGAGTTGTGGTCACACGACCTCTGTTCTCCGCAGTCTTGATCAGACGACCCGCGGCAAGGCAGGGCCGAAATTGTTGCTGGGACCAAAACTGCGAGCGGGGGCCTGGAAAGCTGACAGCATCATGGCGGATGGAAGGAGTTCGTTCATATGTTCCACGGCGTAGTGTAAGACAGCTGCGTCACGAGATACGGACCAAGCCGCCAGCGTAACGTAGAGGGAACCGTTCGCCCGCGCAAGCGGTGTGTGACGGCAGCCTGCAAGTCCGTGACAGGGGCTGGTACCTTGCGAAGGAGTGTTCAGCTTGCACAGGTCGCCCACTTTGAGGTATTCGTGTTCAAAGCTGGCCAGGCTGCAGTGGACGGCTGGAGTTGAGGCAAAAATGCCACGTCGGTCGTCGGTCTGCTATTCGCTGAGGCGGAGGCAAGCTCTGCAAGGTCGTGGCCGATGGAGAACGCAGCTTGCGAGTTGCGGCATGGGCCAATCCCCTGCCAAGGAGCACAACAAGGCCATGCTCCAAGACTGTATTGCGCATGCCATGCTCCCGACCGGCCAAGGTTAAGCCGTGCACAAGGCTGTCTCAATCGGGAATGCTCGTTGGTCGGCCAGCCTGGTCAGGTGGATGGAAAGTCGTACGAGTCTTGGTTCCGTGCTGAAGTTTGCTAGCTGGATGGCTGGACGTCGATGATGCCGAGGCGTCGGACAAGGGGACAGAGCAGGTAATACGGTATGAGTCCTTCCATTGAGAATATATTCAGGGTTCTAGAACAATATCGCGGCAACTCGACGCAGGGCGTGTTCGCGCCGAGACGTGGGGGCGGGAGAGGCGACGGCCCCAGGCTGCCTGTCTGCACATGGGCATTGGCATGGGCATGGCATGAGCATGGGCGTGCTGCAGGGTGCGGGCTGGCGGCTGCAGGCTGCTCGAGGTGGGAACAGGAAAAGGCTCGACGGCTCGACCGAAAGAAAGCTGGCTGCTCTGACGAGCCCAGAAACCCGGGGCCCAGCTGGAGAAGGCAGGATCCGAGGCTAGCTGGCCCAGCTCGGGTGTCCCTGAAGTGCTCACTCACCCAAAGCGCAGGGGGCCAGGCAAGCACGCAAGGTCACGAGGGCCTGGAGAATAATCATCGTCATCCTCAAACCTCGTTCATGTCTCCACGTCAGGCCGAGGCAGAGGCAGTGCATGTCCGCGGCAGCAGATGCTCGATCCCTACGGTGGTCTCCTGGCGCCAGTAAAGGGTAGGCTTGAGTGTTGGGTCGTGCAGCGGGAAGATGGACTAGGTTTGTTCGAGTGATTGCATGTACATAGTATAGTGACCAATGGCGATGGCTTCGTGATGCCCTGGGCCATGAGCCGAGGGAGTGTCGATGGATTGCCGTGGCCTAGGGAAGAGGGAAAGAAGATGCAGTAGTCAGTGGACATATGCGGGCGCTTCCTTCCAGTCGCCAGTCAAAGCAACGTCGCCCACGCCTGCCACGGCTCATCAGGTACCCAGGTCCGACCCTACCAATGAGACCCAGCGGCACAGGGCTGGCCGTTGGCTCCTTGCCTCGGCCTTTTGTAGACTATATCCAGCTGCCATCCAGCTCCTTCCAGCTCTTCCAGCTTTCCAGCCCATCCCGACCCCCGTTGCCTCGTGGTACCTTCCTTCATGGGCATGATTGGACGGTCTCGGTACTTGGATACAAGGGTACCAGGATACCTGGATAGCTGGGCCTGTCTGCCTGTCTGCTTGGGCGTCATACGGTAGCACTGCATGCCGAGCGAGTACTGTACTTTATAAAGGTATCACTATCGCGCGCTGCCGCTTCTACTGCACGACGAGGTCAGGAGACCCGTGACCAGCAGGCATGTCTGTCAATTACACAGGCACAATCTCGTGCTAGACTGTGCAGATGGCCCGACGAGGAGAGGGCACGTTCGTCGTCGCTGACTCAATCCTGCTGCAGTCAGTCATGGAATTATGTTGCCTCTCTCGCTCTCACTCAGTCTCCTCTCTCCTTGTTCACCCTCGCATACAACACGCAGCAAGACATGACTTGCATGCTACCTTGAAGTGAGAGAGTCGTCAAAAAGAAAGAAAAAAAACTTCATTAGGCTCTGCGCGGTTGGCACGGCAAAACATCCGGTGCATTGATCTGTGCGCTCCGGGGTGCCAGTGTCTGATCAGGGCCCATGGAAATGGGACGAAACAACGGAGATTTCTTCAAATAGAACCACAACCTTGAGTCTACTACCACAGGAGCCTAGTTCGTACACGGTACGGTGTGTCACACTCAGGTGGCGCCTAGGTAGTGAGGTGCCCAGGTAGACATGTGTACTGTGAGACGAGCATGTGTCCCATGAGTATCCATGAGTGCACATGTGCCTGCGTGCATGTCGGTATCTACCAGTCTGTACCGTCCAAGTGGTCATCCAACCGTCCAACCTTCCAAACTTCCCAAGCACCCAAGCATCCAAGCATCCAAGCTTCCCAGGGTCGCCGTCGGTACGGCCAGGCCATTCCTTCCCGTGCCCCCTTCCACTCGGCTTCTGCCCGGGCATCATAGTTCGTCCTGCCTTGGGCCCTTGACCCTCCATGGCCTGGTCTCCGTCTCTGTATCTGCCAGCACACAGTCACAGTAGCAAGCACGGCGTTGCAGCGCGCAGCGAGTGAGTGGACAAGAGATATTCGGGGTCGGGGTCGGGGTCGCGGGGGGAAGGGAGGCCAAACAGCCTGGACGACCCCATGCAGAGTGAAGTACCTGTTAAGTGGGTGATGATTTACGGATGCCAGTCCAAGAACAAGGTCGGCCCCTGATCCCGTCCCAGGTGGGCACGCACGACTGGAGTCATCCTTTCCAAGGTTGGAAGGAACAAAGGCAAGACAGACATGATGACCACGTCCCCTAGGTCCATAGGTCCCATACTCCATAAGTCCGTAGGTGTGGTCCATACTGTTAGGTCCCATACTGTCAGGTCCCCCAGATCCCCCTGCAATGTACCTCAATGAGCCCTGTACCTCCCCCTCGCCATGCATCCTGGAACCCATCCACGACATCACAGCCCTCGAACGAGCACGACTACCACGTCCTGATGTATCCAGCTGCTGTTGATACCTATCTATGCCTGCTGCGAACGGTATGCTACCCAGGTTGGTATCCCGAGGTCATGTCGCCCTCGCTCACTCTCACTCTCATTCTCACTGTCCCTCTCCGCTGACCGCCAGCAGGCCAGCCAGGTACATAGGCAGACTACAGTCTGACAATCAGGCACGGAACGTTCTGTTTGGTCGCGCGCTTTGCTTTGCTTCACTTTGCTTTGCTTGCTTTGCTGTGCTGTACTAAGAGTGGATCTTGGGGCTCTGCTTTGCCTCACAGTTGCCTCCGCCTCTTGCCTCTGTGCATCTGCCTCTGCCCATGCCCAGGTGGCCGTTAGCGGCCCACTTTGCCCATCGCGCAGAAAACCCGACTTTGGCCGTCTTGATCTGGACTGCCCTGGACTTTGTCCTGTCCGGTCGAATTTTCCAAATCAATCATTGACTGATTGGCCTTGCCCAAGGTAGGTACCTGGCCCTCTCCGCCCCCCCTCCACTCCTTGCCCTCTGCCCAAGCCGTCTCTCTACCTAGGTACTCTACCCTGCTCTGCCCTGCCCTGTCTTGCCCATCGACAAGACCGGCCCAGTCCAGTCCAGCCTGGGTCCAGTCCCTTCTTGAGAGAGAGAGCGAGAGAGAGATACGGCCAGTGGTAATGTTTTCTTTCCATTCTCTCTCTCGGTCCACCACGACTCCTCCCAGGCCACTCTCTATTTCTCTGTCTCAACTTCTCTCTTTCTCTCCCTCTCCCTCCCCCTTACTAATTATGATTCCAAGGCTTGTGTTCCGTCCCCGGATTCTGTCCCTTCCCGGCTTCCCGTCACGGCTGTCATCTCTCCCTCTCTAATAATACGGTCCATACCCGCAGCCCGGGTGGGCAGCGCATATTTGCCCAGAGTTACCTGCTACATAGTACTCTAGGTACATCACCACCGACAGTTACCGTCCTAGCATCGCCCTCCCTGCTCTAGTCCACAGCCGCAGCGACTTATAACAAGCCTCATAATGTACGTCCTGATCACGCTATCCTTGGGTTTCCCGACTTTCAACGTTTCGCGAGAACCTATTCCTGGCCGCTGCTGCTGCTACTGCTGCTGCTCCCGTCCTCGACGAGCTCACCGCATCATGGCCGCCTCGTCCCCATCCGGACTGACCCATCCAGACACTTCTCCGTTACCTAGTGCCACCCTTTCGGCGCACCCGTACTGACCTCTGCCCTTTTTTTCCAGCTTTCACTCACTTTTCTATTCCCACAAAAAAAAAAGGTCTCATCGCATTTTCTGGCGCCTCCTCTGCTTTGGCGGTGTGGATGCGGTGACCAAGTCACATCACTGTCACCACTGGCCCCTGAGTGCCATCTCACACAGTCGCATCTCGATCCAACACCAGCACATGGTGCCGGGTGCCTCGCACTGAACCCATCCTTGGCCCGCAGACTGGCGCATAGTGGTGCCTCTCTCCGCGCTTTCAAAAACCAACCTCTCTAGTCAACCTGCAGGAAGAGGCATGTTTGCAGCACTGCACAACCATCAAACTCGAGGCGCCGTCTCGACAAATCACCCAATATCGAAATCCTTGTTCAGGCGTTGACTCGGCATTCGCCCAACAGCCATTCTTTCAACCGTCACTTGGCCAAATTTATGGACTGAAGCTGCTATGAGCCCCGTTGCCGGTACGCGATAGCATCGGATATCTGGTTGCATCCTTTTCTTTTCTATTGTTTCTCCTTTTTTTTCCCAACAATTTTCCATTGCCCTACCCAAACCCCGGCCCGCGAGTATATGCCTGAGTTTGGAAGTCGTGGTTGGATCTCACGAATCATGTCGAGCTAGTCAGGCCTTCTCGATCCGTTTTCGATGAATTTTCTGGTCAACTAGTGTCTCATCGCACGGCTCTCACATTCGACATGGAGGCGATAGTGGAGGCTCTCGGGCAGCTTCTGCCCAAGGGTATCGTCTTCGACTCGCCTACCATCTACGCCGAGGTCGCCAAACTACCAGTCGTGCCACTGGAGGACATTCATCGCCACTGGAAAACATACACTAGGACGCACAAAAGCCTGCACGATCCAACTGCCTGTCGCCTTGAGAACTTTTGGTGGCACGTTTGGGGTAGTGACAGGCGGAGTTTGAGTGGCAAGACACTCGCAAGAATATGGGAGGATATAGCTTCAGGGCCAACCTTTGTTCCTCTCAGGGGGCCTCCAAACCGTTGGGAACCACCTCCAAAGCCTACACGAAGTATGCATGAGTCTGACTCCGCACCACCACCACCGCAAGTCTACGCAGAGGCTGGCCAGACAAATGAGTTGCCGTCGAGCATTGCAAAGGGAGCAATCTATGGCTTGACACCATCCTCATCACGGCCCCCGCCAGCCCATACAATTTTGAAGAAGCCTAGAGGGCCTTCAAATTCCGGCCCGAGACCGACCGCACGATTCGTCGACGTTCCTGATTCGGAGGATGAAACATCGCAGCAGAGCGGAGAAAACAACGTTGGGGTTTCCGCGAAGAAGAAATCTGACATTCGTTCATCATCCAGCTCCATCTCACCAGCAAAAGTGGATAGAAAGACTGCGCCAAAGAAGTTCGTGGCTTCGTCCACTGCGTCAAAGAGACGCCCAGTTTTACCAAGGAGACAAAGCTCACAGTCATCAACCGGTTCCGTGAACGCTTCTGACTCTAGCTCGCGAGATACAGGTTCTGCCTCGAGGAACGCACCGAATCAGCAGGCATCCACCGTGGGTAGCAAGGATTCTAGCCCGTCTAAACGACCGAACGGACTAGGTCTCCCAATGCATACGGCAGAGCCAGCATCCCGCACCAAAGTACAGGGAAAGCGGCCACATGCCCCCAATACAGGGAGGGAATCTGCATTGGCAAGCAGCCAGGAGGGACGTATTCAAGACGGGTCACGCAAAGCAGCTCCAGCGAAAACACCGTCTCCCGTTCCCAAGGGCAATAGCTCCCAGGAAACCCTGTTTCAATCGCAAGGGAGCTCAGAAGGGCGTCAGCCTAGTGCGAAAGCGCTTGGAAAGCGACCAGAAGCAATCTCCGCGGCTTTGGGGAAACAACCCCCCACACAGAAGAGTCTCCATCTGGGCGCTTACGACGGTTCAATAGGAACGCAGCCATCACCACCACGGTCGGTACCACAGTCCATGCAACCTACCACGAGCTCCACCTCAGCAGACCCGACTGAGCCAACCCGAAGGAGGAGCGCGCAAGACGTGAGCCCGCGGTCACACAAAGAACGGACTGGCTCAGCCAGTTCCAATACAGCACCAGAGATGGCTCGATCGAGGTCAAATAACGAGTCAAAGCGGATGAGTTCTAGTAGCCTCAAGTCCTCGAGCGTCGTGGGGCTGTCAAATATCGCTGTTGCTGGTGGATTCGACTTTGAAACCCCCAAGGCGCGCCCTTCTGACGACGACTTACCGCCCCTTGGGGCAGGTCAGCCAGACATCCGAGCAGCGTCTGTCCTCGACTCGCGATTGACACCGACGCAGCCAAGCCCGAACCCCCCACCCCCGCTGGGGCGATCCAAGTCGCAGTTGACGCTCGTTCTGGAGCGAGAAAGAGCGAGGGCCAGCGACAGGACGAGGGCGGGAAGTACCAGCTCGCGCAAAAGTGATAGTAGCAAGGACGACGGTACTCGAAAGAGTAAAAAATAGCGCTAGTAGAGGCTGGTTAATGTGGCACTGCGCGAGGTTCCACACCAGCGATCGGCTAGAAAGGAAACACAGAGAGAACCGGCTACTGATTTCTCACCGAATCGGCATGGCATTGGCGTTTGTTTATGGGAGCATCGAAATCTCAATAAATATGGATGACGAGTTGTCTCTGCCCTCTGTTCGAGGGCTTAGTGTACATATGTCACTCCAGCAAATAGACTCGGAATAGGTCCGCCAGCATGTTCTCACAGGGTTGTTAGACTCGGAAAGCCTTCACGGGTCGCACGCATTATTGAGGAAGGGAGATGGGCAGTTCCATATGTGGAAATTGTGCCGCCGTGTATTAATGTGGACAGGATGCGGGAAGGAGAGGAACGGAATGGAGGAGAGAGCAAGCGAGTTGTGGCAGAACTCAGCGTGTACCCTTTGTATGAACATGTAGATGATACGACAACTACGAGACCACGTTTCGCCATGAGCGAATATTGCGACGAATATTGGAGTAGCATCTTTTCACTTGAGTCTCAACAGGTTTCCCTTGATGATTCTATCATCAGGTCCATCTTGGACACAGGTCACGGCCGCAAAAGGCTCGCAGCCGCAGCGCTCGCGCTTGGATGGACGGTGTTCGTAAGCCCCCAATCTTCCCCATTCCTAAGCATCACTCGTCTAAAATGTCGAGGGAAGTCGGCCTAATCATTTGAGACGGCCCCCAAATTTCCTTCTGAGGTGTGGCACGCAGATAAGCCAGGCCGGGCTTTGTGTTGTGTGGTGGTGGGCGGGGGCGCGCCTGCTCACTGCTGTGACAAGCTGGGCGATCCGCATAATGGTGATGCATGTGACGATAGCTTCGCTCCCCGGAAACAAGGACTCACCGCATGTGGCCTTGGGTTCAATATACCAAACCCCGAGCACGCCTTGGTATTGGCCTGCCAGAGGAGTTCCCCGTCGAGAAAGTCTCGTGAGCGGAGCGGGTGGGGGGGAGAGACAATCTGTTTTGTCACAGCGCTACGTTGAAGTAGTCAGATCTTCTCGAAGGATGTGCGTCGCCCGGTGTGCAGTTCGGTATGGCGTCGTTGGGAAGGATCGCGCTACGCCCTCGGCCAGAAACCTTAATGGCCTTGCCTCACTGGTCCTAGGCATTCGCGGGAGGGTTGCATGCTGGCGCAGGGGGGCGGGCATGGGTTGTGGTGGGCACGTGGATGGGACAAGGCCGGGGTGGAGGGGGTGGACTGGCTGCAGACTGGCCGGGACATGGGCCGCCGGGGGTGCAAAGAGGGAGGGTATCTGACATCCCCTTTTGGATGACCGTTCTGGCAGGGCTGGGCGGCGGAACCCCCACGCTCGTGTGCGGGCGTCGCTTGGGGGCGTGAACTTCCCCCACGTTTTGTTCTGTGTCACGCTTTTTTGCGCGGTATCTTCCTCCGCTGTGATATCTGGAGGTTTCTGACGTCCTTTTACCCTTTAGCTGCGTTTCGGTCGGAGCCGCCGACGAGTGGGCTCGAGGAAAGGTGTGGTAACCTGAAAAATGGAAGGGGTGTTATTCATTCTGAATTGATAACGTACAATAATTTACTTGTCACCGCTGTCCAGGTGCGGCTGATATTGTTGTCCCAATTTGTAGCCCACGGACCAGCGATAAATCAGATATGTCTTCTCTAATAGAATTACGAGACAGCTGGCTATGTGGATCAGATGTTTATCAGTTCGATGAAAATGCACTCAGCTGTGTTCTGTTCCACTTCGCGGGACTCTGTTTTACTGTCCGAGGCAAGCGGCGTCTTACACGCATGCGAAACTTGTCTGACTACACCTGGTTCTATCAAGCCACTAGAGATTGGAGAGAGAGTTGAATGTGACGTTACCCTTTGTTTGCCAAACAATATCTTCTAGGTCTGATTCTCTGTAAATTAAGCTTTGTCGAAATCCGCCATGTGGTGGATTGGTTTCATCCTAAAACATCGAATGCCCGGTCGAAATATTTTGTAACCCAGGTGCTTCATCTGTGTCTGTCGCAATGACCGGCCGAGCGGCTATGCTCCATGGCTCCATAGTAAGGTTGATCGATGCGTATGTACGTAAGTAATAGTGGGTGAGTCAGACAATTTGTGTTCAACAGGAATCTGTTGAGTACATCTATCTTCTGGGCTGAGTCCTACTTGAGTAGAGTCTACTCGTATATGGATGCCAGGAAAAGGTCTTGGAGTTCCGTCACATTTATTACCTCAAAGCAGAACACTTGATAGCTTCGATTACAATAAATGTACTTGGCCATAGCTGACAAGGCCCTTTTGGATTTATGCGCCTTATGACCATGCATACAACTCACGTACTGTTCCTGGCACAAATTGGCAACATGGGTTGCCTTCATCAACCAAAACAACTACAAGATCCAAAGTCATGAGAGTCTTAAGGTCATTGTGGTCTTCACTCTGAGCTCCCCATAAGAACTATGCCCTCGACTGAGACGAGCACAAATATCTTGACTTCAATCTAGGTGCACCTCCAACGAAATGAGACGGGCCTAGCAGCTTCAAATATTCCAAGCGTCATCATCATGGCTCATATAACAGTGATAATATACCCTTTTGATATTCGTGCAGCAAGAATTGCATCCCACTTAAGATTCAAGTCTTTGTGAGCATACCGAGGCCGCTGCACAGCCGTTGATGAGAGCGTCTTCATTTCTCCCCATCTGCGGACTTCACGGTGGAGCTGGGTCCGGCGACTTCTTCCACGCGGATGTGCAATGGGCACTGCTCCTTCCATGAATGAGATTTGTTCACCCAAAATCGACCACATGGCAGCCACTACCAGCCTCGATGACCACCTGCCTGAGTAGGCACGCAGCTCACGATCTTCGGCTGGACGGCCCCTTCAATCTCAGATCCCATTGTTGACCTGGTATTTCCTGTTTCTCTTCTACTGCCTTCCTGTCATGGCTAACATGCTCACAAACCCCCAACCGCTTTTCATCATCGTCTGTCAACACATGGTCATATTCATGCCCTTCAGCGCCTATCCTGACTTAGAGACTTTTTGGTTGCCTACCTGGAATTCTTTTTGAGCTCTTTAACAGTGCCTTCGACACCAATAAACCTTCCTGAGATCATTGTAAACATTCACTCTTGCCTATTCAAACATCCCTGCTGTCGCTCAGCTGCAGAAAGCCCGCGGGTCACACATTCGTACACTCAGCCTTGATAACCCACTGTCTCCTGATCAATGCTTCGCAGACACAGCGGCAAGTCCAAATCGGACCTTCATCGTCGCAAATCAACGACCTCGGTCCGCAGCGTACACCTCGAGCACATTGACGCCGCGATTGCCCAGAGGGACGCCCGGACCGCTGCAATGGAGGCTTTCTCAAGGGCTCAAGGCCGTCTGTCTGCCGAAAGTTCTCTATTCCCTCCACAGCCAGCCTCCACGAGCAAGGCAAATCAAAGTCCTGGTGGGCTGTCCCGTGTCGACAGCACGGCCAGTCTTCGCAGCGAAGACAAAAGGCAAGGCCCGGGACGAAGACAGAGCGTCCGTTTTGTTGGCCCCAACTCCGGTCTTCAAACACGTTCGTCTAGGATCAGCATGCGCACAGCTATACCTGAACCTCCCGAGATCCCGGTTCATCGCGCCATCCACCGATCCCAGAGCGCTCAGAGCATCAGCTACATGCCGCGCTCCGTTCTCCACAACCGCCAGAACTTGCAACTGCCAGATCGAACTTCGTCTGTTGGAAAAACAATTGTGACACCACAAACTACAAAGGCTGGGCTGAGTCAGGCCTATCTTCAGGCTCTAAGTCCTGATTATGAGCAATATACGCCAGAAGATGACATTGCATCTATGCCCTCATCTTATCGACGTGTTCGAAAGACGCGCTCCATGCTCACAACGAGGGCTTCTATAAGGAGAAGTGTCGATGAAAACGTCTGTGGTGCCCACGGATCATCGCTGCACAACACAGACTCAATGGCACACCACAATCAGACCCCTTCTGCAGCACTTTTCCACCGTTATCCATTCATGAAAAGAAAAGACAATCGTGTCATGCCATCGGCGCCAAAATTGGGGGCACCGAAGTCAATGAGCTTCTTGAAGTATCGACGAGATCGTCCAGACAAATCATCAAGCTGTGAAAGTCCTGGCGTAGATGCTTCACCAGTCTTGGACGTACAGGAAGCTTCCTTCCGTTCTCGTATTCTACCGAAGCCTGCCAAGATATTCGGATCTAAGAGCAGAGAGACCCAACAGGGAATGCAGAAGACTTTAACGAGCAGCAGTGCCAATGATGAGCTGCCTCCTTCCGGAACAGGTTCCAGCCTAGGCCGGAGTCGATCCGGAAGTTTGAGAAACAGAGCTCGCAAAGTTTCAACATCGCTCAGATCCAGGTTCAAGAATCTCTTTATTAACAAAAGTGAAGACGAAACAAGTCTTCCCGCACAACAGATTGAGGCCCAGAGGACGCATGTGTCAGAGATATTTGATGAGAATCCTTGGGTTTCCGCCATAACCGAGCACAATCACCGCCGTGAGCGAAGCTCTCTGTCAAAGGTCTCGACTCGCATTCCTTCTCTGCACGCAGTGCCGTCTCACGAACGCTTGCAATCTCGAAGGGGAAGTATAGATAGCTGCAAAAGTGCCGCCGGTCAGACATCGGATGAAAGATCTCGTGTGACGAGTTGGGCCAGCACCGAAACTAACACCATCATCGCCCATCGTTCGCAGGAGATGACAGAGGAAGGGGAAATGCAGCGGCTCTCCATAATCAGTGAGAATGGATTTCAGGACCCATCGCTCTCTTTGACTCGTCCGGCCATCGGACTCCAGACGATCACATCTCAAGAAGAGTTGGCAGCTCCAGTAGCTCTTCAGTGCTTGCCGCCCGGGACCACGGTGGACAGCCAACGTGTATACTCAGCTCTGATAAAAAAGATGAATGAGACGCAACAGCTCGCTGGGATTGTGGAGCAGCAGCGAAAGTCGAGTGGTTGGTCAGATCCTTTCCGGACACTATCACCTTCAAGCAGCATTGGTAGTGATGACAGCAGCGATGCTAATCAGGCGGGCCTGCCTCGACTACAACTGCCGAACTCAGGCGGCCAAGCCAAGGAATACTCCGGACACGCACGAAATGAGTCTGATAAGGCAGAGCTATCCAACAAAACTATTCCCACGGGCGTCATAGATGATCATCGAAGTCTATCTCCACCGGTACAGCTTACTCCGAGAGGCGGAGAGTCAGTCGCGAGAACCATCACAGACCGAAGCTCCGCATTTTTTGGCAGTCCAACTTCTCACTTGTTCCGCACCACGAGTCCATTCAGAAGATCTCTCCAGGAAGCCATGCGGGCTGAGAGAGGACAAACCTCCTCCCAAGAGCCAAAGGAGGCAACTACTAGTGCGGTGTCATTGATCAACAAGTCTGATGCTTACTCTGAAAGCAATTACTCTTCAGACACTCTCATTCACAAGACTGAAATGAAGCAAGGATTGCCTAGTGTGCAAGATTTCAACACGGGTGACTCAAGAGAGGAGACAAGAGTCTTCGAACATGCCCCAACGTATCGGCCCACAGGTGAGCGTCAAGTTTCCACAGCAAGCTCAATCGGATGGAAGACATGGCTTTCTGCCGATATTGCCAAACTGGAGCAATCGCCCACGAGAGTCAGCGGGCAGTCACCAGAGGTTGAATACAGGATCCCTACAATGCCCAGGTCGCTTGGCCATGGGCATGTCCGAGAAGCTGCTCAACTTGGTAGCTGTGAAGAGGACGAGGACAACGCAAAGCTGAGTGTTCGCATGCCAACGAATTCGACAACGCCCCTGAGTGCTATCGACTCGAATGTGGTCAATCTCAGCCCTCAGCAGCGCTCAGTTATGCGAATGACAACGCCACCTGCAGCTGACTCCCACACCGATGAAGTACCTACCTGCTTCGAGGGCAAGACCTCAACGTCGTTCTATGAGGACGAGGCTCCGCGAAAGTTGCCAATAGAGCCATTGCGACCACGGAGAGCGCCCTTTGAGACTGATGGCTCGGCTCGTAATCATAGACCCGCCGCTCATCCACAAACACCCGTTCGAGGACATGCTGTCAGACAATCCAAGTCTCTGGCCGGTCTCAAAAGCATCAGAATCAGAGAACCACAAACGGGCTCACCGCAGCCACCGGCCTCTTCCACGATTCGGCTGATGAGAAAGTCAGCGAGCAAGCTAGCGCTAAATTCTGCATCGTCGGCATCCAGTCCAGGTTTCACTGGTGCCTTTGAGCGCCAGTTTGGGTCCATCGGCCACCATCTGGGCCGCCAGCAGGCAGAAAAGGAGAATCAAAGTCCTCATGAGGATGATACAGAAAAGCAACAATCTGCCAAAACCAAGTCCCAATTCAGGGGCAGCAAGGCGATGGTGGATCTCTTCCTCAGCAACCGGAGACGTCAGGGAGCGGTTGGTGATGCTGACGCATTTGTTTGAGGATTATTATGCTTGTCTCTTAGGCGTGGTCTGATGAACAGCTGGAGGGAGTATATTATATGGCTGTACTAGGTGCAGAATACGTTAATGGTAACAGATACCTCACCAGTACAATATGAATTATAAGAAGGCAGGGCTGGAAGGCAGGATTGAAAAAAGGCGTTAGCAGATGTCAGAGCCCACCCACAACTGTGACTATTGATTGCCATCGGTAGCAGAGATAATGAGTCAATTCGAAGAGATAGAGGCTCTTGTTGATTAGCTGACATCCAATTCAACAGGAGCAAGTGTAACGTAACCAGTCCATGTTTAGCGATATGAGATTGTCTTTGGTGTTCGCAGTAGAAGATCAAGTGATGATACTAGCGTGTTTTGGCAAAGATCTAAATTTTGAATCTGCCTTGTAAGTTATGAAGTTAAAGAGAACAAGTAGCTACTCTGATTGCTTGTAGCGGGTATATGGGATGTGTGCTGTCTAACGTGAGCATGACCATATTAGAGCGGAAGCTCGTTTCCGGGTCAGCTTTCAAACTCCAATAACTCCTAGAAACGCCTGGATATATAATGAAGATTTTGAAACCCTGGGTCGATATAAGACCTCTCCCTCCCACATGAACGTGGTGTTTCTTGTGCTGCAATACCACTGCAGCGTTCTTCAGCCGGCCGTGTTACAAGCCGAACATGCGAATCTAGCAAACGTATACGTCATCGTCTTTTTCAGTTATCGTTCAGCCCGGCGTGGCCTAACCAGCATGGCCTCTTTAGAAGGTGCTTTTTTCCCCCGCCCGTAGTGACGTGGTTCGTAATGGTTGATTCGGTTGCTAATAGGACTTTGCCAACGACAAGACCCCAAAGTCTCTGTAGGTTTCATGAAGGCCCCGAGTGCGAGTGGTGTGTAGCTTTACCCTTGGCTTTTCGTCTCTGCTTCGCGTAGACCAGGCCGCAGGGGTTACAGAGTATTTCGCCGTCTGAACCCTTGCGCCACTCAGGGGTGTCAGTCCGTCCGCATTTCCAGCAAGACATGACTGCCTGGTCATCGCCCTCTACGACCTCAAGATCAGCCCCGCTGCTGCTGAGCCCGCTTGCTGCCTTGTTAGTTTGAGAGTGGCGGTGATCGTGGTGATGACGGCGGTGGTGGTGTTGGGATCTAGAGCTGGAGTACAAGCGTTTGATGGCGTCCTCGCGGTGGGCGCCGTCAGGCCGGGTCTTGCGCTTCTTTGCGGCCCGCAGACCGTGGTGCCTGATTGCGGAGATGCTGCCCACGGCGCGGGAGATGTCGCTTGACAGCTGGGTCATGAAGAGGATATCACCGTCGCTCATCATTGGGATTGGGCGTTGACCCATAAAGGACTCATGGTTGCCTATTATGGAGCTGGTGAAATCTAGCAGGTGCTTCGTGCTGCGGTGGATCTGATATCGAGAGTTAGTTAAGCTCAGGCTTGTTTAGGAGGGAAGGATGTATGCCAACTTAGGAGTGTTTTAGGAAGTAGGGATTCAGTGGGGTGCACGACTCACAGTAAACAGGTTCTCTGCTATATTTGAGTCGTTCACCCAGAATTGGTGGTTTTCCTTCAACTGTAAGCTCGAAGTGGTGTCAACCCATTTCGCGACACTTGCTGCAATACTCTCGACTGCGGCAGGGGGAGGAGAGAAGGGAGGAGGCGGGCCCTCCTCGCCGATGGGCGGCAACTGGTTAGGCTCGGCATCTGCTGGTGGTGGCGGCGGCTCTCCTTCCTGCTGTGCCTGGTGGTCTTTTTCTTGTTGCTGCTGTGGTGGAGCAACGGGGCGTAGAGGTAGAGGGAACGAAGACATGTGATAAGCGATTCATCAACAACGGGTGCGGCTCCAGGCTCGAACCACCGCCAATCCGGTTCGAGATCCGGAGTGCCGATACAAAAGTACACACCCCCAACAGGCTTGGGGTCGCGTGGGCACGTGGGCCAAATTGAGTGCCCAGTTTCGTGAGCTGAACAAGGGAGTGAACGACTGGGGCTATGATGAAGTCGCCAAGTATGGGAGGGCAGAGATCGAGCACAAGCTGTGGGATCGAGAAAGAAGATTGAGGAAGAATTAGAACGGATTGCTGGGTTATAGGCCAAACTGCCCTTTGAAACGCAAGAATGGGAAAGAAAATCTGCGTCGAGCGTCGATGGCAAATCGAAAAGGTTCTAGATTGTCTTAGACTAGGAGGGTCTCACTAGTGTTGGGTGGCAAAGAATCGCTTGTCCAGGAGAGCGTGCAGTCGGAAGCTGTAGTTTCTACCCCGGACCTACCCAGGACCCTTATTACATCAAGGGGTCCACCTCACGTCGCATGCTCCTAAGACGGATTGGGTTGGGTTGGGGCGATGGGGGAGCTGTCGTGACTGTGTAAGGGAAAATGCCGAGGTGATCGCCCTCACGAGAAGGGGCGGGCATAGATGGGAATAGCTGCGAGGTCTGCCTGCCTGCCTGCCTGCCTGCCATCCCAGCACGGTGTGGCGTCACAAGCAAACGGTCAATCAGACGGCCTGGTGCGGCTGTGCGGCCGTGGGAAAACGGCCAATCCCTACAGAGGTCCGGAGGCACTGGCGTGCGACGGGACGAGACCCTGGACGGGAGCCTGGACGGGAGCTGGACGGACGGGCAGCAAGGGTCCTCTGGCGCCCCCTGTCTCCCCAGCGTAAGAGGTACCTGCATGGGGTATAGTTGGATTGCTGCAGTCAGTCAGTAGGTGCCCATCACACGCCCTCCAAAGCTCTTATCGGGTAGGTTGGTGGGCAAGCTGACAGATAACCCAGCGTGCAGGCCGGCAGGGTAGCATGGATCCTGAATGCGTCATCCAGGTCCCATGCTGCCTCTGCTGCTGTCCATGCTTCACCACCTTCACCTAACTGGTCTCTTGTCACCGACAGCTCCTGTGGCCAACAAGGTCCCTGCCCCAGCAAGCTCTGCCACAAGCTTTGACTGATTCAGTTGTCCTGCTGTTGCTACCACCAATTACCGTGCGCATGGAACCATGAGTGCTCTGACACCTGCCTGAGAGCAGAGCATAACACACAGCTTCCCCCAATCTTCGACCCCCCAACACTGTTCCATCCCATCCAACACAGCAGAGCCGAGTACTACAACCCATAGCGTCGTGCAGATGCCGACGTGCAACATGACTTCCAAAACTCTCCTGGCGGGCGCCTTGCTCGCAGCTGGCGCCCAAGCCATGCAGCCCAGTGCTGTGAAGCCCGTCCCCGCCCCCATGCGCGATCTCCAGTGGGCTCAGCTCAACTTCCTCCACACAACCGACACCCATGGTTGGCATGGTGGACACCTGCAAGAGTCCCAGTACTCGGCCGACTGGGGCGACTATGTCTCCTTTGCCCATCACATGCGCAAGAAGGCCGACGAGCAAGGCGTCGACCTGCTTGTCGTCGATACTGGCGATCGAGTCGAAGGCAACGGCCTGTACGACGCCTCCAGGCCCAAGGGCCAGTATACGTATGACATCTTCAAAGAGCAGGATGTCGATATCATTTGCACTGGCAACCACGAGCTTTACCTCGATGATACTGTCGCCCGTGAATGGAATCAGACTGTTCCCAACTTCAAGGACAATTATCTGGCCTCCAACCTGGATTACATCGACCCCAAAACGGGCGAGGCTGTACCCATGGCACCGAGGTACAAGAAGTTTCAGACCAAGAATCAGAAGCTGAATGTCGTGGCTTTCGGGTTCTTGTTCGACTTCACAGGCAACGCCAACAACAGCATAGTACAACCTGTCTCCAAGACAATCAAGGAGGAATGGTTTCAGAATGCAATCAGAGAAAAGCCTGATATTTTCGTGGTGATTGGACATATTGGCCTACGAATGGACGAGATTAAACAGATACACAACGAGATTAGGAAGCAGAACTGGTTCACCCCAGTTGCCTTCTTCGCGGGTCACGCCCATGTTCGCGATGCCGTTAGCCTGGACGCAAAGAGTTTTGGTATCGCGAGCGGGAGGTATTTCGAGACTATTGGGTGGATGTCCATCGATGGAATTGCCAAAAAGAAAGAAGACGTCGAGACGACAGCGGTCTCTTTCAACAGGAGATACATCGATAACAACTTGCTGGGACTCTATCACCACACGGGGCTCAACGAGTCCACATTTCCCACAGAGCATGGTCGTAATGTCAGCAAGATCATCGCCAAGGCTCGGACGGCCCTGGACTTGGACCAGAGGTTTGGCTGTGCGCCTCAGGACTATTGGATGGCGAGGACGAAATACCCAAGCAACGACAGCGTCTTCACTTTGCTCGACCAGCAAGTGCTGCCTGACATTATTGTCAATGATTCGCGAAAGGACATCCCAAGACTTGCGATTATCAACACCGGCGCCATCCGGTTTGACATCTTCAAGGGCCCCTTCACCCTGGACACTACGTATATTCTCTCCCCATTCCAGAGCAGGATGACCTATATCCCCGAAGTGCCCTACAGTGCCGCGAAGAAGGTGCTACCGATGTTGAACAGTGCGGGGCAGATCCTCGATCAGCCTTCTTTTGATGCCAGGATGATGGGCCCGCCTGAGCAGTGGCACATTACTGAGGACATCATCTATCCAACACAATCCACTGTGAAATCTATGCTGCAAAGTGACGGGCAGAAGCCGCTGGGCGATGCTAAAGATGAACCGGACCTTGTCAGTGGATACACCACCAAGGACGATATTGGGACCGATGGAGACGATGCTGTTCACGCTCCCATCAACTTCCACAACCAGCCCAACTGCATCCAGGCTGAAATCGACATGCCAACTGAAGGCGAGCCAGAGACCGTCGACCTGGTGTTCACCGACTTCATAACGCCCTGGGTCATCATGGCTCTGAAGTTCAGTGGCGGCGACTACGATAAGGCGAACGTCCAGCTGTGGGACGAGGCTCCCTTCACGGATATGTTGGCGGGCTGGATCAAGAAGAACTGGAAGGGCAAGTGCTAGGTATTGCAGTGTTGCGATGGAGGAATTCTTGTCTAATAATTCGCATATATCCTGTTGATCCAGGTGTAATGCGCACTTTTGACGCTTGGGACAGGCACGGCGTTTAGAACACGGTTGCTTTGTTCACAGAATGGAGTATTAGCATTGGATTTGGAAATGGTATTTAGAAATTGATCAACCCTTGATGACCCCCGACTCCGTGAAAATGCAAGGCGTAGTGCAAGAACGAGAAGCAAGTTTTCAAAGCATCATCAAAATTGGTCCAGCAGTTTCCTCCGCCTGCGATCTATCAGCTCCTCCTGCACCTCCTCGACGGTGGGCAGCTCCCAGGCCTTCCCGTCGCCGGTGTCCCCGGGAAGCGGCTCCCAGGTTGGCGGCACGTCCTTCTTCCCCGTCTTGGCCAGATTCTCAAACGCTGCAGCCTCCTTAGCCTGCTCGTAGGCCAGCAGCTCGTCGTCCTCCTCACCGGGCGCGTAGCCGTAGTACGCGGCGTCGACGATCTTGCGCAGGTCGTCCCTGGCCTCGAGCGGCTTCCCGTCCTCCCTCCCGTCGGCCCTCGCCTTGGCCGCCGCCTCGAACAGCTCCTTGACTCCCGGGAGCTCCCTCGCGCGGCCGAAGTACTTGTAGCCCTTGTTCCCCACGCCCGGTATCTCTCTGCCCTGCTCGTCGTACATCTTGCCGCCGGCCCCGCCGCGCATGTAGTTGGGCCCGCCCAGGTTCCGGATCTGCACCTCCCACATGTACTTCTCGCGCATGAGCTTGTTGATCTCGTCGTTGACGTCGCGGATCTGGTAGTCGCTGAGGGCCGGGTCCTGCACGCGCGACACCTTGCGGCTGATCTCCTTGAGCACCTGGCCCCGCCACTTCTCGCAGTTCGGGATCGAGTCCTGCTCCGTGATGAGCTTGGGCCGCCGCGTCCGGCCCGCGTCGATGATGCCCAGGTCCGCGGCCTGGGCCTCCCGGAAGCGGAAGAGCATCGACTGGGCCTTTTCTGAGTTTCGCGCCTGTTGGAGGGGGGTTGGTTAGCCTAGGGTTCTGTCTGTTTGGGCATATGGGGAGATGAATGGAGTGAGACATACCATTTTGAGTTCGTCTTTGGGCTTAAAGGGTAAGGAGACGGAATTTGGCGGGCGGAGGCTCTATGATTATACACAGAGATAGTGGTGGGTGTCGTTGAATGCAGGAAGTATGTCAATCGCTTCGGCCCATCTCAGCCTTGCAAAGCTGCGGTGGAGCGAACATTTGCTAGCGAGTCGGAAAGCAGCCAGGTACTGTACAGCAGGTGGGGGGCCCTGCTAGCGCCATCCCTCAGCCTTGAGTTTGCCTGGACGTCCTCTCCTGCAGGCGCGCTCGCAAACGCGTCAAGCGCATGTCAATCCTCATCTTGTCCTTCACTGTACCAGCCTGCTCGTACCATGAGCTTTCGTCAAAGCAGCATGACTGTCGAGCTCTCGATCAAACCCACTCGTTTCATCTTCTTCGATGAATCAGCAGACCCATGGACCTAGTGAATCTGATCATCTTGCTCCCACCTGAGCATCGCACGGCTGTCTCTACACGCTGCTCGCAGCATTTTCATTTATCTGCGACCTAAGTGCAGCTCACTACATTGCTTTGGTACATTCGGGTCTGGCACTGCATCTTTCTGCTAGACTTCGCATCTGAACGCCTGCAGCTAGTATCACACTCGCTGTGGTCTCCAACATGGCGTCAATAGAGTACTCCAGGCCCAGGTGCGGTGGGCTTTGAGTTCAACCAGCCATATCGCACGCCAGGTCTCGTGACGGACTCAACCTCTGCTAGGCGGCCTAAGTCTATAAGATGCTCATATGGCCACGCTCATTACTCAACTTCACACAGCTGGCCTCACATGAAGTCCAGACTGACGCCTTGGTACGGGTGGATATCAACACGCAAAGATGAACAACGCACGTATACCAGGCATCAACCTCGGTGCCCAAGGATGGTCTTCTCCTGGCAAGAACTTGTTAAGCAGCAAAGAAGCTACTCTCTCCTACAAGCCCATTTCCTGTGTCTATGCTTTCCTACATTCTTCTCAGCCTGGTTCCCAAGTGGGGACGAACCTCGAGCCTGCAATGAAGATGAAGAACAAGGGATGAGCTTTCCCACTTGTGAATCCTCGGCGTTTTGCTTTTATGCTGGCCGATGCGAAATGACACAGTCAAAGAAGAACAGAGATCTGAGCAGACACAAAACACATTAACACATTGTTTCCCCCCATCCTCTTGCCTGTCTTCCCCTTTCCTCCATCACTTCCCTTTGGAACGACGTCTCAGCTGCGATGACGACAAATTAGCAACTGACCAGAGGCATGTGCTCCAATTCTTTTGGCGGCCGCCGGTGACGGTTCAAAAATAGTTTTCAATCGGATGCGGCGGGCGTCTCTCTTGTTTCATTGGGGACGTGTCGCGGATTGGTGACGCCTTCCAAGCGGTTGGCTCTGGTGGGAACAACTACGTTAAATGCTTTCGCCCGGTGATGACTTCAAAGGTCCAAAAAGCCAAATTTGCAGACAGCAGAAGCCGTTGACCCTCACTGTGGGGGTTCTCTGGCGACGGTTGTCGGTGAGAACAGAAGAGAGCTAATCTGAGGGCACATGAAGCTGATATTCTATTTTTTACCCCTTCTCCCAGCCATCAACCTTTCCCTCTTCTATCCTCAGACACCGGCGTGCGCTTTATGTACCTTGGTCGGCACTAGCGGACCTCAAGGCTTTAACAGGTATCTTGAAAGCCCGATTCTTGTCCGGAGCTCAGAAAGCCTTTGGCATATCTGGATTTCGGTCATGATCGCGGACTGAGCATGGGTTTGAGAGACCGGCCGCAGAGACTATGGGAATGGACTTGTTTCCGTGTATGAGCGTGGACTAGTGACGGAAGCTATCGTATGCAAGCACGCTATTTGAGAACGTTTGGGTAATATTTCAGGTCAGTCACAGGAAGGGCTCGATAGGGAAAATCGAAATCATAATGCTCGTTCATTGACCCAGTAGACTTTTGTGAACCTGGGCCCCTCCCAATTGGGACCCTTATCCCAAGGTATTGTACATACACACACAGGACGATGCCAGGCCAACTTCTTCCAGATCCAGGCACCCTGGATTGCGAAAATGCCATGTACTTACTTACTTCTATGGCTATCAATCACCTCCCACCAACTTAGTTGATCTAATCCCTTGGTAGCCCCGCGGATCTACTGCTTCTTCTTCGCGTCCCCGGCCTGCTGTGCAGGCTTGTTAAACATCCAAATGGCGACAAAAGCCAACCAGCCCACACAAGTGACGCCAATGCTGGTGAGGTAGGGCCAAGCAGCAGGGATCTCGTAGCTGTAGGGGTACTCGTCGTGGGCCATGTGGCGGACGGTCACGCTGCGCTTCTCCTCGATGTTGGTCAGGAACGGCCGCTTGTAGTTGGTCAAGAAGTTGTAGACGCCGTGGTGGTCAGGGACCCGGAAGGTCACGCGGAAGATGCCGTCAGTCTCGGAGGAAGCACGCTTCATCTTCTTGATGGGGATGCGGTGCAGGGGGGAGAGCATGCTGAATTCGAGCTGCAGCTCATCGCCCTCGGGGACCTTGAAGTCCCACCACCTGTCCCAGACCCATTCCGAGATGGAAATCTCGTATGTCTACGGAATTCATGTGTTAGCTGCTGGGGTACTCGATGCGTCGGATGGTGGAACGCTACATACAACATTGTTGTTGACACGGTAGATGGATGGGTTGGAGACATTGGCCAAAGGTCCCTCCTCAGCCAGATGATGCTCGACGTGGTTGACGCGCAGGTGTCCGATCTCGTGGAAGGTCCAGCCACTGACACGGCGGGCGAACTGCTCGTTCCAAGCGGTGACTGCCTCCTTGCCCTCTGGGAGCTTGACCTTGGCATCCAGCCACTTGTCCTGGAACATCTCGGCGGAGCCAACGAGCGTGAAACGGGCAGAGTTGCGGGACTGGAAGGCGGAAACGAGCGAGAGCTGCTCGCCAGCAGCGAAGACCTCGTCCACGACCTCAGACTGCTCCTTCTCGTTGTAGATGTAGGCTGTCCGTGGGGCCCTCAGGATGGGCGTCAGGAGGGGCCCGTTGCCCAAGGTGTGACCGAGACCGCGAGGGAAGGCGAGCAAGTCTTTCTTGCCACCGCTGCCGAAGTAGTTCTTGGTATCGGGTCGGTAGTCGCCGGGAGTCGGCAGAAGGAGGACATCGTGGAGGTCGCCCGCGGACTTCGAATCATAGTTGAAATGGTCAACAACCAGACCGGTTCGCTCGGCGGGGATGTGGATGTCCAGCTCGAGAAGGAGAGCGTTCAGGGCCGTGGGGACGGGCTGTGTGGAGCTCAGGGCAAGCAGGATGTTGCCGTCAGCGTTGAGGAAGTCGAGGAGCTTTTGGGCAGTCAGGTTGGGGCCAAGTCCTAAGTTATTATTCTTGTCAGCATGATTGTCATGAAATTTCTGGGATTTTGAGGCGGCTCTTACCCTTTGACTTGGTTGGAAAGATGACGAGGTGGTCAAAGGTCTTCTCGCCAAGGTGCTCCAACCTCAGGTCTTCCTGTTTGGGAGTCGCATGGGTGATCTTGTAGCCTCGCTCTGCAACGCAATAGGGTTAGCCATTGTAAGATTATTATAAATTTCATTGAGGGTTTGCATACTCTCTAGGTCTCCTATGAATTTGGAGTAGAGCTTCTGGTCGTCGACATCCTCCCAGATGCTCAGAAGGCGATCGCCCGTGGCGCTTGCAGCTTGCGTAATAGCTGCGAGGGCCAGCAGAAGAAGAGAAACGAGGAACTTCATCTTTAACAACAACTAGCGCCTACTTGCGCAGGGAAAAGGGAAATGGTGAAGATGACAGCTGGGCCGTGGTTGTCATGTGGCAGCTACCAATTTATGGGTTTCACTGCTGTGAGGGGGTGGAGTGAAGTTGTCGCAAGCAGCTGGCATTCACATCACCAGAAAGTCGATGGACAGCCTGGAACTACATACAACAAGAGCTCTGGATACGTCGCCCATTTGCCAAGACTCGTGGGGCCCCTTCGACCCCTGCCAGCCCAGCGTGGCTTCTTGCGACAGCTTCGACAGGGGTCCTTGAGCAAGCAATGCAGAAGGGAAAGCAGCGCCAGACCCTTACGTAATCTCGATTGACCAATTGTACCCCGGCCAACAGGCCTGACCTCTCTGACTTCACTTTATGAGTAGCAGCTGTATAGAGAGAGGGAGAGCTCTTGAAGGAAGCAAGCCAGTCCCAACAGCCACCCACCCACGACCCCGCGAACACAAGTAAGTGATTGCGCACCTACTTCGACTGCTATCGTTATCCTCAATTTCTGACTCACTTCCACAGAAGCCAAAATGTCCGGCCGAGCGCCCCTCTTCTGGCAACAACCCGTCCGATACTGGCGCTGGGCGTCGCGCGAGCGTCCCGCCCTCTTCTGGTCCTGCGTGATCGGTGCCATTGGCCCCGTCACCCTCGCCGTCGTGCCACCCATCAGACATGCCCTCGGAGACTACGACGCGAAGCCTCTACCCACAACCTATCCAAGTACGAACAGCCCGCGCCCGCCCCCTTCCCTAAACAGTCCGCTGTTCTCCCCATACTGATGCCGTGGACAGTCCCTGCCGGCCCTAGGAAGACATTGAGTGGCTACGATGATGGCTCAGACTGATGATCCTGGAGGTGTTGAGGCATAAAGGTGTTGCATGGGATGGATACACCGAACGACTTGAACGGGCCACGTGAGGACTGAAATCTCGCGGTAGAGGTCACGTCAAGTGTACATAGGGTGCGGCGTTGGGGATATTTGAATCAACAAAGGAAATAAAAAAATTGAATCAAAGTCTTCCTCGGCCTCAATCGCTTGGTAGGTGGCTCGATTGGTATTGAGAAGCCTCGTGTTACGACCGCCATCTATTCACAGGAAAGCTGGCCTCCTTGTGCCGGCCGATGGCCAGTTGAGTATTGACCATAGTGTTGGTGAACCGAGGACAAAGACTACAAAAGCTTGGGCCGATCTGCCAGGATGCGACCCAAGAAAAGGCAAGGCAGTCGAAATGATGAGCAGATCAAGATGAGTCTCGCTTAAGAACACACGTGAAAGGGTTCAAGAGACTGGAAAGTTATACAAAGCGCGGCTGCTCCCCAATCCACAGCCTTTTGGTCCAACCCTTGTTTCTGAAAGGATATGGTCCAACAAAAAAGACTTTTCCTTTGCTTTGGATGTTCTCTGACCATCACTGTAGCTCGAACCCCACGGCATAATGATCGCTCTCATCTCGTCGTACCAAGTCATCGATCCGTTTTCAGTTGCTTCCTGGAAATCCTGAGATGCGCAACATGACTATCAGGCTGTACAAGTGCTTTCAGGAACATAGAATCGAACCTTGCCATGGCAAGCTGTACGCCAACAACCCCCTGGTAGATGGTGCGCAGGAGAAACCAACTGTGAGAGGTCACGGGGAGAGGGGACCCGGGAGTTTCTGCTCGGCAAAACTAGTCGACACCATATCTGTTCTTCTCTTGGCTAATTCCATATGTACCTAACCTCCTTTATGCATCTATATCCCCGGTCTCAACCACCCCAGCACTCCTCTCTAACCCAGAAGGCAATACCCTGCGAATGCGGATCCAATTTCATGGAAACTTTCATATAAACAATATTCAGATATCGCACCCAAATGCCAGACAGCGCTTCCGCCATGCCATGCCCAAGCACCTCATATCTCTATATTCACATGCTCGCGACTGATCCTGATGACCCCGACGAGGGAGGCCACTAACGCTCCCGTTGCACAAGGTTCCATTCATACTGAACAAGGCGCTCGTGTTAGTTGGGGTTCCGTGTCGTCTCATAAGGGTGCTTGTTCGGAACAAAACTTACCACTCGCCCATCTTCATCTCCGGTATACACCATTTGAGGCATTGGCGTGATACAAGTGATCGGCGCATCTATGTTCGATCCAGTCTCGCTCTTGTTGTCGATATGATCCAGCCTCCTGAGGAGCTCAAGCGCCCACTTGCCGTCGCCTCTTCGCACGGTTTTCTTCCAGACGTTTACCCTGCCCCTCCTGTGACCAGTGAACACGAGGAAGTTCTCGAGCCACTCGCTGCTATTGCCCTCGTAGAAGGCGCACGAGTGCACATAATCGTCGGGGGCCTCGTTCGTGCCGCCGCAGACGTTCTGCTCGAGTATGAGCTCGCCGTTGAGTGTAAAGAGGAGCACGTTGGGCCCGCAGCACAGCATGATCTCCCCCGACACATCGTTGATACGGGCGCATTCGACCGGGCGGGACACCGGAAGCTTCCGGATGAAGTCCAGGCGGTTGAGGTCCCACAGGAACGCAGTGCCGTCTTGAGATACAGTGAGGAATGTGCTGAATGCCTTGGAGACGGCAATCACGTTGACTGGTGTCTTGTGGCCAAAGAGAGACATTCTAGGAAGAAGCTCAACGTTCTTGCCCGATGATGATTTTATGGTGAACACGGATATGACGCTATCATCGCCGGCTGTGATGAGGGTCTTGGAATCAGCAAAGGCAACGCATGATATTTGGCCTTGGTGGAGATTCTCGAGGAGCCCGACGGGCTTGCGGTTGTCGCTGAGGAAGAATCGAATGCTATTGTCCGCGAAGCCCCACTCGAGAAACTTGTCGAAATGCGGTGGCATGTTGAGGCGGAAAGGCGATGCGCACAGGAGCCGATCGAGTTTCGGAGCATAGATGAGGGACGCAACCCGTTCGTGGCTTTCAAGCAGCGGGTAGTTGACCCTAGTCAGCGACTGCACACCAGTATCAAGCCTTCTAGTCGGCAGATGTACGTATTCTCGAACGGGGTGGGGCTTAGTGAAGACTTGATGTGGCGTTTGTCCGAAGTTGTGGATGATATTCGTAGTGATGGCCCGCTCGTTTTTGTCGACCAGGCTGTCCAGATCAATAGCACCATGATAGGACAAATGATGGAACACGTTCAGGTTTTCCACAGCAGCTTCGCCTCTCTGCTTAAAACCGAAAACCAGGTCGATCCAGTGGTTCAAATTCTCCGTCACGTATGGGCTCTCAAGAGCTTGTCGATTCTTCTCAATGAAAATCTTTGGATCTCCTTTGGCCCATGGCGGAAGTATGACATGGTCAACCTTTCCAGCATTGCCTTGACGGTGTCCAAAATCGTAGCCATTCGTATTCGTGAGAAAGTCAGGCAGATAGAAGAACTCAGGAATAAGTTCCCGAACGTCAGTTCCATTGTCCCTGGACGACGATTTCCATGCGCCCTCGATGGAGTAGAACAGACGATCTGGGTGATCGAAGGTGCCACCTTGGAGCAGGATGTATGATTGTACAAATGGAGGCAGCCGGATGAGGTACGATGCTACAGCCATAGCGGACGAGTAATGTGTACCGTAGTGGAATGGGATTTCACCCACTTCCATCAAATTGCTGTACCTCATCATGTAGTCGGTCTGCCGAGAAACGGTCTGCGCACCCATTGGCTTTGAGAGGTCTCGGAAACTGGCTGGGTCTGTTAGGTCGAGTTCCTCACTCGTGTAGTCTGCGAGGACCCAAGGAAAGACTGGATATTGCGTCAAGTCGTTGAACGTCCGCCCGGCCATCGTGTTCACGAGCATCAAGTAGTGGAAATTGGATATCTCTCCCTTTTGCCACTTTCTCATTATTGGAGTCCAGGGTGACGCGTTGAAGATACTCCCAAACTTGGAGCCAAAAGACTGAGGAGCCTCGTCAAAGACCTTGATGCCTTCCAATCTCCATGCATCTTCTGGGTTCGGCAATGACTTCGGATCCGACGTATGAGGAGTCTTGTTGGAAAGCCTGGCAAAAACTTCGTCCCGTATGCTTGGATTCAGTGCAGTCATCAGGTAACTGCGACCATCTGTGAAGAAAATTTCGATGGCAACGTCCCTGAACAGAAAGCGGCGTTTGGAGATACTAATCACGTCATGCCATCTCCAGCTGCGGGACTCTTGTTCACTCCCCCTCTGTGCCTTAGGCCTCTCCGCGGCCTTGCTGCCCGTGATGATCTGGGAGTATGGGTCACGCTCGTCCGGTGGAGCTTGCCAGACATTGATGATTTCTCCATCAGCGCTACGGAAGACATTGTCCATGATGTAGAGTGCTTCTTTGCCGATGATGAGAATGCCTTCGCACGCCTCGAGACCGATGATTCGTGAAATATTGTACACGCTTTGTACGGTGTCACCCAGCTCGAGGCGCCGCATGACCTTTCTGTTCTTGTCTTCAAACGAGTCATCGCCTTCCGGCTCATTGAGATCTTCGATGAGCTCGAATTCCTCTTCTGGAGTCACACCTGGCTCTGATTCTTGGTCAGTCGAAGCAGGCTCGTCTGTGAGAGCAACGCCCTCTCCGACCTCGTTGATCGCGCTGACTTGAGGCGTGTTCGTGCCGGAAGTCCCTGGTCCAATTTTTGTGTCCAGCTTGAGGCCAGCAACGGCAGGCAAGGAATCCGACGGCCTAGATTCGGATGGTTTCTTCTTGGCTTGTTTGGACTGATACTCTTCTCCCAACTTGGAGTTGTCTGGCAATAGACGTAGGCGCATCCGGTTCCTTCCCTCTGTCCTGTCAAGCTTCCACTTGATTGTGCGGTCGGTCTCTGCAAAGACGCCGCCAGGACGTTTGAGATCCCGGTCCATCTTTGCAAAGGAGCTGATGAGAAATACGAAATCGTCTTGTTGATCTTGAGTGAGCCGTTGATGTTTAGAGTGTTCAGTGCAGAATATGCTCTTCATCCAAGCACTATTTGCCATCTCATGACGCAAGAGAACGTTTTCGATTTGTCGAGCCTCATCACGCCACTGCTTGAGCTTTTCTTTGCGTTTCGACAGTCGCGATCTGGCAGTCTCCAAGGTGCGCTGATTCTCTGAGCTGACGTATTCCTCCCATGTCTTCGACATACCACCCAGAAATAGCGCGTCTAGCGAAGGTCTGTGTTGGTCAACCCATTCGACAAAGGTTCCGTCATCGACCTCAGTCAGACGAGTGAAGCCTTTGGTCAGCTGGGATTCGTCTGCCTGCATTGGGATCTCTCGGAAGACCCGTGAGCACTCATCCGGCTTTTGAACTAGAATGATGCGCAAAATTCCAGCAGCCGCTAGACGGATGGGCTCACGAGCATCAATGAGCTTGCCGTAAAGCTGATACCAGATGAGGCTCATAGAATCGTCATTTGCCGATAGACAGTCAAGCAAGACGATTTGCCAATAGTAGAGATTAGATAACACTGCCAGGTTATCTCCCTCTGACACTTGGGCATCATCAGTGTCAGACAGACGAAGCAGGACCAGCTTGATGATAGACCCCTTCAGGACAGAGACACTCTGGCTGCACAGCCTCACGCTCTTCAGCGATGATACGTCGGGCCGTGCAAGATACTCCAGGATGCTTCCCAGAAAGTCAGTCACAGGTTCGGCACCATTCATGAACCATCCTTCAAATATTGTGTCCAAGATGTGTGTAGCAAATCGAGCCATATTTTGAAGAACTTTGGTTTCGTGCAGGACAGTTTGGTCGTTTTGAATCAATGCGCTTAAGCGAGAAATTGCGTGCCGCAGGACATAGGACTCGAAATAGGCCTGGTGTTCCTGGAAACCTGGAGGTATTTTTAAGAATAGGCCGAAGCCTGGGAATTCCTTTCGAGCCAGCAATTGGTCGATAAAGACGTCAAGCACGAGGTCCAATAAGCCCTCTAATACGACGTTGCTGATTTTCTGTGCTTGTACTTGCAACTTTGGAGACATGACATGCGCTAGCCGTGCGCTGCTTTTCGCAGCCTGCGGCGATTCTTGCGACGTAAGAAGGACGAAAGAGGATGCACGCCGGAGTTGAGTACCCCTAGACTGGCCGGGCAGCTCTCCGGATGAGGGAACGACAGACGCCCTCACGATTGGTGCCGGGCTCGATGAACCTGCCAACGGTCGAATGATGACATCGCCGCCATCAAAAGTGAGCGCAGAGTCTCTTGAATTCAACTCTGTCTCCGGGCTCACAGGATCGGTGCTGAGCAGTACCGGGTACAAAGCAGAGAGGAGTAGCCGTACGTAATCAGAGGAGAGCGCGAACTCCCGGAAGTCCGCTGATTTCTGGTGAAGACTTGACAGGAATCGAACAACGGTTTGGAGAACAACAGCATGGCTCGCCACTCTCTCTTTATCTACACCGCGTGTGCCTGCCGATTTGTTAGCTGTGGGGAGGCTGAGAATATGGGGATAGGATTGATACGCACGTCTAGCTCCGAGTTCGTCGACAAAATTCATGGATCGTGCGCGAGGTCTAGATTCAGAGGCGCTCAAGTTCCTGGAGTGCCCTCTTTCAACACCCACTGGTGAATCCGGGTCATCCTGATACTTCAAAATGTCCCTAAGGCCATGCTGGAGCATTGTTGTGATGACCGGTAGAACGTCAGGGAAAGTGACTCGGCACTCGCCAAACAAGTCTGTCAGGTTCAGCAGATCAAAACTCCGATCAAAGTCGATCTTCGCCACATCTACTCCAAAAAGTATGCTAAGGCACATTGGCCACAGAGTTGGGATATCCCACCAATGCTTCAAACGGTGAGACATGATTGCGAAACCTCCGGTCTTCTTCGCAAATTTGGAGGCATAACTGGACCCATGCGATACGAGTACTCTAGCGAGTATCTTGCAGCCATAGACAATGACTTCCGGGTTCTCCTCGGCAAGTAGGTACAGGAGCCACTAATGTTGTGAGGTCAGCAACGAAAAAAGGAACAAGAAACAAGAAACACTGCAACTTACCTTGTTCGTTACTGTGCGGGCAAACTTGTGGATATCCGTGAAGTTTCCCTTGTCGCAGAGCAGTCTTGTGTACAGCGCCAGTATCTTCACACCAACTTGCTTTCTCGTCAAGGCCGGCAAATTCGCGCCATTTGCCGAGTCCACTGTGGCGCGACGCAAGCCAGGCCTACCGTTGGATGGGGTGATTGCAGACAATGGCCTCGGAGTTCGTGGTTGGGAGTTAGCTGACGAATGAAAGGTATAAGTGATGAACAGGGCGATTGTGCGGTGGGCCTCGGCGTTGAAGTTGCATTTGATAAGACTCTCGAACGCATCCAGGAAATGAGGCATCACATTTTCAGAAATTGTCTCTGCTTTTAAAGCATCCAAGAGTCTTTTCACAATCCCTATATGTAAACCATCAGCTTCTGAGACTCGCCATGTTGGTTGTTCGAGTACTTACGCATTCGCTGCAGTCGGCGACTATTGAACTCGTGGAACTTGCTGTTGACAGCGAATGTCACAAACTGTTTGTAGTACAATTCCTGGGTAATGGGAGCCGCCTTTCGCCAAGTATCGAAGTCGATCAACAAAATACGATATGCAAGAGGGTTGATGATAAAGGACTCGACGGGTGAAGCATGCTTGTAGCCAACAAAGTCTAGCACCAAGCTGAGGAGCTGAAAACTCAGCTTGTCTCGGTCCTCGGGGGTGAGGAGAAGACGCCAGCCAGGTATATCGCTTCCAGAGGTCGCATATCCCAGCTTGGCTCTTAGTAGCATGCCAAGGATAGCATAACCATTGTCTCGCTCCATTGCTTCACTGTTTCTCCAGCTTTTCTTGATGGACAAGAACATCAGCTCGACGGATCTTAGGAATTCTTCAGCTGTCTTGGCTCGCTCGACCAGCTTTAGGGCAACGGGCGTGAATCCGCCGATCCGCCAGAGATTATCGTCGAAATTGTAAGGTGTTGTGACGACGGGATCTCCGGTCAGCACAGCGACACCATGAGCCCTCACAAGAGCGTCGTTGACGCATGGTAGAGCGGCGTTTATGGAGATAGCAGTTCCGCTCTTGGTCGCCAGCTGGAACAGGTTACTAGCTGCATTCCTAGACAAAGACCGAAAGAGGAAGGAGTCGAGGAACTGGCCCTCGGGATGGAAAATGGCAGTGGGCAACGTGCTCATGAGGATCTTCTGTTCTGGCACGAGGCTACTGGCCTTGTCTCGGATTGCCTTGAGAATATCTGATGAGCCTTCTTCCTTGCCTGGGTGCAACATTTCGTTACGGAGACCCAAGGCTGCTGATGCTTCGTACGTCTGAAAACCTCCAAGGCAGTCTTGGAAATTTCCTTGATACCTTGGGCCCAGGCGATAGTGAACTGCAAGCAGGTCATCACTCAGAACTTCTTCGAAGAGATGAGCCGATGCCAAAGACCATTTGGAAAAGACAAGCCCAGGACCGAGCTTCGTAGACAGATCACGAGGGGTCCCTAAAAAGGCCTGCACAGGATGTGGCTTGTTGCTGACGGAGTTGAAAGATGCGAAACTCTCCGTGCTTGCATTGCTCATGGGAGGAGGTACTGGATATTGCGACTTGATCTGCTCGGCAAATTCGCCATTGACGTACAACGAAGCCTTGCTCGCTGTCATCGTCCTTGGCCGTCGATGAACAATTGCAATGTGGTACCATCGACTTTCCTTGAATTTGACCGACTTGAACCGGACGCTGGGCCGTTGGGAGGTCACAGACGTCTGCAGAATGAAATTGTGGGTATCTTTTTCCAAATATGCCAGAAGAAAGCATGTCTGAGTGGCATCGAAAACGCCAAAGATGGTCGTGTGTGAGCCTGGGTCGAAGCGGTCCACTCGAATCCAGGCAGTGAAAGTATAGCCACCCGATGACTGTGGGGGGAACGAGCGTCCAAGCGAGGGCAGCTCAATGGACGAATGCCCATGAAGAGAGAGGTCGAATTGTACAAATGGGGGCCCGTTGAATCTCGATGCCATATCCAGACAGAACTGGGAAGCAGTGGCATCTTGTTTCGACAAGAGCAGCTGTACATCGGCCAGCCTGCCGACGCCGAGATGCATCAAAGACTTGCAGAGACTGAGAACCACCCCTCGTTCATATTCTGATAGCCTCGATTCTCCCCCGAGGTACAGGGCGAGGAATCTAGAGAGTGCCCCAGTTCCATGTAGTGCATTCAGGTTGGAAAATGAAGCAGAGCTGGCCAGCTTCATGGTAGCCAGAACGATGGCCGAAGCAAAAGACTCGGCAGATTCCGGATTCCTGGGCATGGACTCCCAAAAGTCGATGACTGCACGCAGGATCTCGGGATTTCGAAGCACCGTCGTGGACGTTATGATCTTCTCCAGCTCTCTCTCTATTGTAGTAACTTCAAATTGAGTAATTCGGCCCCCATCGGTCGTCTGGTACGCAACGTCATCACTGGCTTCGCTGGTTCCTTCGGGGGCAGAAGTCACGGCGACCGCTTGGCAGAGCTCATCCAGCCTCTGGTCGTCAAGAGAGAACGACAGCAGCTTTCCGAACAGTTGGCAATTTGTCCACACGTCCGAGTCGGTGCCTCCCAGGCCAACGCTGGCTATAATTTGTTCCAATGCCTCCCAGCCCCCGCCCTCAACCCTACGCTTGAAATAGCGACGATTGCCATGGTGTTCCCTGAAAGCAGCCGTGAATATTGCCAGGACGATGTGCAGGAGCTCGAAGAAGCCTTTCTTCTCTTCCAAACTCCGCCGCTGTGGATTGTAGAAGCCAGAGTAGGTTCGGAGGACGTTGAGCAGATGCCGGAAGCCATCTAGATGGCGGAAGTCGTCTTGGGCTGGGCACGGAGGATTGGTGGCAGCGACATGCTGGTGTACCTGTCGGCCGAGCTCGATGAGTGGGGGAAACTCGGGATAGTCGCTGCCCTGGGGAGCTCGAAGGGCAGCAGCAAGCTTGTCAAGGAGCGACTGCAGTACTTCTGCTGCCTTGGTCACGACAGGAGGGTTCGAAGCTGAGGTCGAGGAACGGTATCGGCGCGATCGAGCAGCCAGCTTGGGCACAGAGAGGGACTCCATCGTCGAGACCGCTCAAATGTGCCTTCACAGACTTGTCATCTCTTCGGTTGTTGCGTCAAAGGTTGTCCCAGCACCCGTCAAGGGTCCAGGCTGCAGCCACGGGATTGCTGCATGGAAAGCTGGCAGGAGGGGCAGCTTTGCTGGGTGCTGCTGGATCCGGATTGCAGATTGATCTTCGCTGGGACTCCTTGGGGGAAACAATGGTCAAAACCTATAGGAAGAAGACCTCTCCTATATTGCAAGAACCAAACTCTATCAAGAAGCTCTCGAGGTGTATAGCCCGGCTTGTGGTGGATTGTCTAAGAGCGGCCAAGGCCGTCTCAGAATGTCAGCCTTGGGGGTCGTGTGGCTTGTCGGAGCCAGCCTGTGGTGGGGCTCTTTCACACCTACGGTACAGTAGGCCAGGACCCTTGTCGATCCTAGCCCAGCGCAGCATGCGTCAGCTTCCCCGAGCCTCCTGCGGCCTCTCATTCAGCGTAGCAGAAGCACCCTTGGCTAGCCTTGAATTATCGGGCTACAGGTCGAACCTTGCACACTACGACAGCACTGAACAGCAGAGAAGCGGCATAAACCACCTCAATACGTCAGTCAATCAACACTGGCTTCTCCTCTCGCATTAAAAGCACAGCTGTCAAGCTGTATGCGCATGCGCCACACTCTCGAGTCACTAGACTGTTCAGCCCTTAGTTACGTCCTGCAGCTAAGCAACTCTCTGCTCCTGGATCAGCGCACGAACCAGGAACAAAGGATTCTACTCTAGCTTCACGTTCATACGAAACCACCTAGGTACCGACGCACATACTCCTGGGCTTCCGAGTACAATGGGCCGACCCGCAAGCCTTCGTGTGCATTGATACCGTGCGCACCGCTCGGCTCTAAGACCAGGTCTCAGGGCAGTCGGTTCAAATGCTGATCGACCAGCTCAGCTTGAAGAGCCCGCTTATGCAAGCCTTTATTGTGACCCGGCCTCGACCTCATTCCACCAGGCCGGTGCTTCCGAATATATCTACCCTTGCGGTCACACTACATCATCTGGTGGTTTTCGAAAAAGCTGCTCAGCTGGGTAATCTGAGTCGACCTCATCCTTTCAACGCTCCAGAAATTTGACAAATTGCTATTTCGAGTCCTGCCCGTGATGGTGTTTCTCTACCAAAGCACGGGCAGGATGTTGCTCAAGTCTTCGTTCAAATTTCGTACCCTGTATTTCGAGTATGCCTCTCGACTGAGTCTGTCTCCGCCCAGGTATTTGATTTCTCAATATGACCCACCAATACCCGAGAATGGAGGTACCAACCAGCATCCTTGGAACTCGGTGTCGAGACATGGGCGTCCACGGAGGGACTCTTCGTGTCACGACGAGTGGAGTGGCGCTTTGTCATTTCAATGACCCCCCTATCTTCTTGATGGAATGAGATCAAGTGAAGCGGGGGGTCTTTAAAGTGAAAAGAATTTGCAACTCTGTTCGCACTGGCATGGTTTCTGGATGGCCGCCTCCGTCGGAAATCAAGCGGCCCTCCTACCTCAGGATGCTCAAGGTAGCAGGTGACGAGATGGTGTTGAAAATCGGTACAGTGTATCGCGAAAATAAAACCTTAGCCCGAGGCGCACGTCGTTGAATTCAGCTTAGTTCAGGCAGTATCCTGGCTTCGACTCAACTCCCGCATGGACACCACTTCTTATGTACAAGACTTGTGCGGATGCATTCAAGTCGATTTGCTTGGGTTCTTGTCATTACTACTGACATGCGCTCGTCATGAATCCTGGATCCCATGGTCGAAGAGATGAGTTCGTACTCACGGACTCTCTATGTCAAGGCCTGGAAAGTGGACAATCTGCTGGAGTACTATTCTCAGTCTCCATTGGGCTTATTCCAGCTCAGATCCGCATTGCGTGTGCCACTATTAGCATGCGTCGCATGCTCAGTTTGACGAGGGTTTCCCAGGGTGTCTTAATCGTTCTGACACTACGATCTCATCGACCCAAGGCTCAGTTGGACCATCAAGGCTAAAAATGGTACTGAGATTTAGCTCACCAGAGACGAAGAGCCTTCCAGTATCTGTGAGATCTGTTCGCAAATCTTGTGACCTCTACTCCACCGTCACCGGTCGAACATTGTTGTTTGAGTCCCTAGTGCTTCAGAACGTTGGGCAGGTACATTCTTCTCGAGAAGTTGATTTGGCACGGCATCACATTGATGTGGTCTTACTGACATAAACGATGGTAGTATTTATTCGACTGCAAGTCATCCTGTCGTCCACAAGCGCCAGGCAGTCACTTGAGGAGTTAGCCACGCAAATCCAGCATGGGACCATACTACTCAGTGGGATCACTTGTGAAGCAGTGGGAACCAACGCATATTCCAGGAAGGAGATCTCGGCAGATGTATCTTTCACACTACGTCATTCCGGAGAGACTGCCAGCAGTACGTCAGGTACGGTTGAAAACAAAAACCACCTCTGTCAACCTCAACCCGAAGCCGAAGCAAGATGGTAGCTTGCCCTTGGCCCACCAACCTTGTCCCTCGAGTTAGAAGAGTCAACATCTGTGGACTGTAGGCAAGTGACTGCGCGGATCTGTCAACAGTCTACCCATCCCACATCCATAGCAAGACAAATACTCTCCCAAGATGGGTGTATGTTTTGCCACACGTTCGGGCCGGGACCGAACCAGAATGCGGCCTTCGCGCCTCGGCTGCAAGCCGTTTATACCGAGCTGAATGGGACCTGAGACAATGCCATGCTTCCATGTGTGATATTCAACAGACGACGCGATCTCTACAGGCAGAGCTGGTGCAGCAATCTATATACGTGATCAACCTCACCGGCCCCCACCATGCGCTCATCGTGACCTTGTCTGTCGGTAAAAAGGGGTAGGCACGTCTTCAGTGCTATAGTCTACGCTCGAAGCGTTATATGAGAAATATGCACAGGCCGGCAGAAGAGACGTCCTTGGGGACGTCGAGACCAGGAACGAAGTAGACTTGTTTACAATTGTGTGGCCTGGTGGTGAACCAATTGTTGTCGTTTAGTCAGCAGGCATGGGTAGGATGTTCCTGGCCATAGTGTAGCCAATTGAATGCTGTTCAAGAGTCAGAGGCTGAGACCGGAATCTTCTACAATGCTGTGTCTCCAGACTTCGAGGTATTCTTAGTCTCACCGCCCCGAGGAGGTCATCAAAGAAAAGCGGTGGAACAGGCCGCAGTCTAGGCGTGAGCGTATACACGATGGCCACTAAACACGACTAGCCAAGCCCAGGCCCCCAGGCTGAGCATCAGCACACCGGCGGACCGGCAGACCGGCAAAACGACTGCCACGGCCATCTGTCCCAACTGTCATATTCGCCTTCCCTCGAGTCTTTGCGGGCCAGAGACGCGGCAGACAACTCTTGGAGCTTTCAAGGACGGCTCACAATGATTTCATTCTTGGAAATATGGGAACTTCCTGCAGCTTTGAGACCTCCAGCCTAGACGTATGCCAGGTTTTCAGGAGGAACAGAAAGCCATCGACCTGCCGATCTTCTTTAGAAGCAGTCGTCAACGGGGCCTGGGTACCTGGGGACGACCCAAATGGTGGAGCACTATCGGATCATACAGACGTATCGTGTACCCAGCTCACCCCCATACACAGTACAGTCCTGTTTCTCGCGGCGCGACTTTCCTGCTCCAATGTATCACCCCCAAGGAACCTATCTCTTGATGACTGCATAGGGCCCCTCATCGGGTTTTCGGGATAGTCGCAGCGAAGGAAGCTCACGGCGAACACATCTGGGCTCGTCTTCAGAGCCCAACGACCAGTCTCCCACCATTATGGGGACTGAGGAGCCGCCTGCCTAGTTCAGGGTCAAGATGCAATGCACACATCGACAGGAACGCCAATGGCTGCCGCTGGCTGGGCACCCGTCAATCCTCCGGGGGACGACCTGCGTCTCTTGGGCGCGCGATATTGCTGCACCTCTCCTGCAATCACTGCGCCTAGACCCCACATTCGTGCAGCACAGGGCCACTCCCCACGGCACAATACGGCCTCCAACAAGCCTCCCGAGGTCTCCAAGCTTCCGGCTTGGTGGTCGATGTCGTCCCCAGTGGGTGCCCCTCACCTCCACATCCCTGCTTGATGAGGAGCACATGTCCACTAAGTACAAAGATACCAACCGGCCACATACGTTCTAGCGATACTGGTTGGTTTTGGGGAAACCGGCTTGTCTCTTGGTATATAGCCTTGTGGGTGGTATTTCCGCTATTGATCGCGTATGTCTTTCGTTCTCGAGGACCTTTCCCTTAAGATCTTTTTTCTAGTCTATAGCAGTAAGGAGGCCTCGACTTGCTTCATAGGCTAGAGTTGAGACACATTCCCTTTCCGCCGATCTCCTTATCTATTGCGACAGTATTCAGCAGACTGGCGACTATCTTAGGCCACTCGCCTGGACAAGATACTGAGCGTGACCTCTGTGTGTCTCACCCTACCGAGGTGATCGCGTGCTGCACGTTCCGAGGGTTGATAGACCCAAGGCAAGGCTTCCTTACAAGCTCGGACTGAGCTATTTTGTTGCTAGAAGCCCCGGTCTCACTCGGTTCTGTCGTTTCAGTCTGGACGAGCTATTTGTCGTCTCTAGAGCGTCATTAGGTCTTTGAAGCCAGGTTCCTGCGGATTCCTGCGTATTTTAAACCGGCACGCTCTTGTATCTCCAAACCCAGCCTCGTTGCCTCCCCCGCCTTTAATTATCCCGGGCATACACGTATAACCGAGTCACAATAATGGCTACGATTGACTTCGATACTTCGCGCATCAACGCGTTCAGCGCGGAGGACTTCGAGACGGCCTCTATCCGCTCAGCTGCTCCCTCCTACAGTAAGTTATTTACAAGTTCAGCCCAGGCTGTCGCCAGCTGGCGAAGCTTGTGCCGGGATATGTCTCCGCCTTTACCTGCGCGCACATACATACATGGCGCGAAGTATAATGACTGCTGTGCCGCAATGCTGATATCAACATCGAACCCCAGTCTCCGAGGCGCCCTCCTATCACACCACCGTCTCAACCACGGAACCCATCCCACCCTACTCGCCGCCCCAGAACAGCAGCACCAACACGGCATCCCGCGCCGCGCACACTGGACACACCAGCTTGCTGCCGTCTCACACCGCACACATCCCGTCACCGGGCCTCCCACCAATTCCGCCCGCCCGCAGCTCCTCCTCCGACATCCCGTCCCTCGGCGCTTTCCGTATCCCGTCATGGAGTGTCAGCACAAACCCCATGTACCAGCGCGTGGCGACGCGGCGCGCGCAGGCCGCCATGTCCAGCGGCGAGGGCCTTGTGCGCAACGCGGCGAGGGTGCTGGAGAGGGTGAACGAGGAAAGCAGCGGCAGCGGCAGCGTCTCGCCCGCCGGCGGTGACGGCCGGGTGCGGCCCCTCGAGGACCCGTACCTGGTCGGCGAGGTAGCGGCTGCCAGGGCTAGGCGGGAGCGGCTTGCGAGGGAGAACGGGGACGACATTCTGCATAGGGAGGATAGGAGGTGGGACTGGTTTCTGGGTATGTTTGCTAAACCCCTGTTCCCTGCCGTTTCGGACCCGTTGCCTCGGGTCCCCTAACGAGCGTTGTTTCGGTGTCTTGGAGAGATCGGATTGATCACGGGGCTGACATTTGGCATAAATCGCAGGCCAAGTGAACGAGCGCGAGGAACGATCTACCAGCTGGAGACCGTTTCGTCGGGACATGCATAGCGGATCACGTATGAAGCTGGCCCGTCGTGTCGGTTCTGGGCGCTAGATGTCTCGGCTCGAACGCTCTGCTCACCCTTGGTACCTACGTTCGTGTCGTGGTGGTCTACGGAGCTCTTTCGGAATGGCGGCTGAGGTTTACTTCTGGTATCATACTTTTTACCGTTCTTGACCCTCATTGCAGGAGATGAGTTTCCCACTCTGCACTACAATATTCAAAGCATTGGCGTTGTTTCCTTTGTTCTTCTCTTTGGTATTTGGTTGTCATTATGGCGTTCTGGAAGAACCACATCTTCGTATCAGCATCATGCGGTGCCTGACTTTCTGGGAAGGACGACAACACATAATGATCATGTTGATGAAGCCCAGGATGGATGAAGTCTGTGCTGGAGGTGGTAAATCAAGTATGAAGAAATTGGATATTCTATTTACTCTGTCTGTGTGCATTCATTGTAAGGACCGGCAGAACGGAAGTGCCTCCTTGCGACCGGATAGAACCCTTTTCTGCCGTTGAGACACATCGTGACCACTTATATTTTATTGACCTAATATGCATTATAGAGCTATCCATAATATATACGTCATACCAACCTGCGCTGCGATCTTGCTCGTGTTTGTGAATACAGTGTTAGATAATCAGAGGCAAATGAGAGAGCCTTCTTTCACGAGATCGACTGGGTGACATGCTCCTACTGTCATTCATGCATCTGAAATCAGATTGCACACAGCTCTAGCACTGGACCAGCCGTACTCCAGATCGGTCTTAAGAGAAACAACAAAAATGGGGCAATACCGCCTTCACTAGGTTACCACAGTTTACTTCAATACTGAACTCACAGGAACTTGAATAGGAAGCTTGCGCAAACGGCTTTGCTTGGAAAGTATTCCCAGTGCCTTGTCAGGCAAACCGCACCGTGCCTTACACGAGTACATTGGGCAAAGAGAAAGAAAACCAAGAACCATACGGGGCAAGAGATGTAGTTCTCGGTAGCCTCGGACAGGAAGAGTTCCTTGGGTGGGTGAAATAACCCGAAGAACGCGATTTGGAAGAAAGGGTGCCAATAATGCAGAAAAGTACACGACGACGGTATGTGGTACTCCGGTGGAGATCAACAAGTGCCATGCTGAGTGATAGTAAGCGACACACTTTGCTGCAAAGTGCCTGTCACGTCTTCACACGCCGAGTCGGAACCACAACCAACCATAAAGCGTCTGCCTCGAGAGAAACGGAAGGATAGCCCGAGACTTTGTGAACCTCGGCGGAGCTGTCGTCATCATTATTGCAGTATGCACGACCGACGATGCGTGCCAGCTGAGAGTGGCTGACTGGCCCGTCCTTCAAGTTCCATCATTGTTATCATCGCACCGGCCCTCAAAACACAGGGATTCTGAGCCACATGGTAGCGTCTAGCACCTTTGCCTTCACAGCTCTATATGTGCCATGCGGAACCCATCGCGGTGCAGCGGGGCCTCAGCTTGTCGAACATCAGCTTCATTCTCATACAGCCCAACTCTACCTATGAACAGATTCCTGTAACGCCCGGCCATGCAATGATGTAGTCCCCACCCTGCGCAGAGCACAACTCTCTTGTGTTATTGATACAGCCAAGTCCCTCTGCCTGCCTTTTTCTTGTACGTATCGGTTCAACCATTTCTACGCCAAGCTTAACCCTTGCTCTTGGTGTTGAGGATCAAGGCGACGATAAGTCTGCGTTCCGAAAGTCAGTCGCCGGCTGCGAGCAGTAAATGTAAGTGAGGATCGAATGAAGAGAACTCACCCATAAAGACCCAGAACCTCCCCGAAAATGAGGATCAGAACCATGCCAACGAAGATGCGGCTTTGGGACATGTAGGCCCGCACTCCCTTGTCGCCCACCACACCAATGCAGTAACCAGCGGCGAGACCCGTCATGCCAACAGATATGCCGCACGCGAGATGCATAAAGCCGCTGAACAAGCTGTAGTTTGATTTCGGGTCGAGATCCTGGGCGATCAGGACGGAAATGACGAGGGAGTAAACAGCGATGATACCGGACATGACGACGGGAATGAGGCACTACAGACGAGAGTCAGCCGGCTGGTGGTCCTTGGGCCAGCGAAGGGGCAGAATAGGACTGCGGTCTAATTGATAGATTGATGTATGGATGCTTACCTTCATGATCAAGTCTGGCCTAAATGTTCCCACGCCAGCAATACCGATACCAGACTTGGCTGTGCCGTACGCGGCTCCTGCACACCCGAATATCATGGCTGCTGCGATTCCGCCCTAGGTGCAAGCACAATCGTCAGTCCATCCAGTCCAACACAAACATAGATACAGCATAGAGACATGGGCACAGGGCGATGGGTAGTGCGGGCATACCATGCCAATGAATGGCGCGAACTTGGGTGATAGCTCAGAATCAGCCATGATCGCGGTTTCTTCTGCTTGGGTGTTCTGGAATTGGCAGTCTCGCCAGGAATATGTGTCCCGTCAGAGCCGTTCGTCGGAGGCGTAGCAGTCTATGTCGGATCGAGAGCGGCTGTAGCAGCTTACGTGCTTGCTCCAACGGCTGGTCGGTGATGATGATGATGGTGATGATGAAGCTCGAAGGAGAGCTCCACGCAGCCACCCTACGCCTGGACGGGACTCGCTGCCAAGAGGGACTGGATCACGTGTAGGCCCGCGCTAGTCGGAGGTACATGTACCTGCACCTTAGGCTGTATGTGCATACCGTTTGCCCGTTTAGTCGCAGTACCTGCCGAATGAAGACCTTTTTGCTGCAGTTGGCTGTACCCATATACGACCCCAGATATCTGGAGACATAGTGCAGACATCGGACCGTGATGTCAACTACTGCACTTCAACGTCTTCAGGGTAGTTGGAATCCTGAAGCTCGTGTCGTAGTCAATTGCGGGATTGTCTCTCTTGGCTACCTGGGGCACCTACTGTCAACGGCTCCCGTCTGTTAGGCGGCCTGGTGACTCGCGCCTAGGTCTGTTGGCACGGGGTCCAGCGGCGCTAACAGCCCCGAGGCCCGCGAAATTTGAGTTCCATCCAAGCCTCTGGCTAAGATTTGGAGGCCTGCGTCCCGCGGTGATGACTGAGCTGCAGCTGCCAGGCTGAGACCGATCTCTGTTGACAGTTATGTACCGTATAGGTAATTCCTAAACCCCTGGAAGGCGGACAGGACAGCGGTGGGAGCCAAGCTCGAGCTGCTAGCAAGACGCATCTGTACCACTGAGCCGTGTGCATTTTGCTCTATGTTCGAGACGACGCTTTGCTCTGTCTGGGGCAAGAAAGTAACGGGCATCGACCGCACCCCCAAGGCTTTCCTTTTCGCTACCCAGTCTTGGTGGTTGCAATTCCGCATTGCCTTGCCTCGCTTGCATTGTTTCGGCTGCCACAGGGCCACGCCACCGTCCGTCCACCTGGACAACAGCAGCAGCAGCAGCAGTCCCAGCCATCCTTCTTCCTCAGTCCTCTCCCGACTCATGAGGACAGGCAGGCAAAGAGGCTCAAACCTAGCGCCTGAGGGACAAGACCCGACAAGGCATTGCAATGATTTGAAAGCGACTCGAATCACACAGACTAAGCGCAAGCACTGCAGCAGCAGCAGCAGCAGCAGCAACGGCAGTACCAGACACAGCATGACTTGATCGCGTCGTCTGAACTTGGTCCTTTTTCTATCCCCTGGCTATAACGAAATACCCCATACCCAACACCGTTGTCGATAATTATTATCTGATTGACCGATGCCACGCATGTTCCGATCCGCAAATAAATCTACCGTTTCTTCCAATAACGTCACAGCCATCGATCTCGGCCAGTGCTGTCCACAGTCGAAAGGGGGGTGCCGAGAGGTCCTCCGAACATTGAACCTTACCCACCACAACCCACGTCGCGACCCGATCCAATCCAAGCCAATCTACCCAGTCCAGTCCCAGTCCACTCCAATCCAAATCCAACCCACAATCGAACCTCGACTACAACCACAAGCCCACCTGCACCTTGCCCGACCAAGGAGCTGCACCACCGCGAGGGACCAGAGGCACCGAAGGCCTTGACAGATCTGTTATCTCAGCTCCAGGTTGGCGGCCGTCGAGGCCAAATCAATCGCCCCCGAGCAGTGCAGAACACAGCACGAGTAAGAGTACGGCCACCCAGGCTCCACACTCGGCCATTTTGCCATTCTCCCCTGCTGCTCCCGCCTGTCGTCCTGTCCAGTCATTCAACATCTCGTGCGTACGTAAGGTGCTGTCCCCGGTTGTTGCGACCTACAGCTGCACCTGAACTAAAGGGGAACAAACGGCACGTCGGCTTTGGCACTCAGCCTACTGCACTGCGACTTCTGATGGACATCCCGGCGAGTGCTGATAACAGCTCTTCTCAGTTCTAGCCATCCACACACGGCCCCTGACGCGCGCCATCCGCACCACGAGCCCGAGCCAGAGCCAGAGCCATGGCCGACTACCAACAAGACAGAATGCCTCCGAGGCGGCCACAGGAGTACGGCCAACATCCTCCTCAGCGAGATGCCGCCTACGCCAACATCTTCGGCGCCTCTCCAGGCCCCGGCCGATCGCACACGATGACCTCCTCGTCGCAGCCCCCTCCGATGATGCACTCCGATCGAACCCAGACGATGTCCTCGATGTCCTCGATGCAACGGATGCCTCCTCCTCGAGCACCCCCGGGGCCCGGATACGACCGAACCCGGACGATGGACTCGAGCATGGCAAACGGGTATTACCCAGGGCAAAGAACTATGCCTCCTGGGCCACAAGTGCCATCTCAACAGTACCTGCAGCAGCAACGGCAGCCTCAGGGCCCGCCAGGCCGGTATCCTCCCGGGCCCATCCCCCCAAGATTCGATCAGAGAGGACCACCAGCAGGCGCATACGGAGCTCGAACGCCGGCACAGAGATTCTATCAGAATGGTGCAGGCCCTGCTCCCGCGTTGAACTCCGACTCGTACCGATCCCAGTCCCTCGCCGGTCCTCCGAGGCAGCCGATGTATCAGCCCCAAGGCGGCTCACAGCAGGCCCCCGCCAATGCCTTCCGACATGCACCGTATAGTTCGACCTCTTCTCGCACAACCGCGCAGGGTCGCGTGGTGCCCGAACGCCATGATGAGAGGGCCATGTCAATGACCGGTGGCTATCCCGGACACGAACGTGATGCGCATCAGACCATGAGCGGAAGGGTCATCCCAAATAGGCGTGCGCCTTCGGTAGAGGTCTCACAGGACGGACAGAATGGGTACAACGGGTACGCGCCTGCTCCAGGGGCACAGACGAGGTCCAGTGTGCAGTCGTCGGCCAGCGGAGACAGCGGTAGAACCATGTCTATGGCTTCCACCATTGCGCCCTCCATATCCGAAAGATCTGACACCACCTTGACACATCGTCCATCCATGAGCTACTCTACCGTAGATGGGGTGGAACGGCCGCCCACGGCAAAGATACGGCCACCTCTGGTTTATCCTGCGCTTTTGTCTCGGGTGGGCGAGTGTTTCCGGGAGAAGATCATAACCGGCGACCGCACGAAAAACGAACTGACCTACAAGAACGCATTCAGTGGCTCAGAGGCGGTAGACGTGCTGTCATACATAATCAGGACCACAGACCGGAATCTTGCCTTGTTACTCGGCAGAGCATTGGACGCCCAGAAGTTCTTCCACGATGTCACGTACGAGCACAGGCTTCGAGACTCGGCTTCTGAAATGTATCAATTCCGGGACATTATGATGGAAGAAGGCAGCGACAAGCCTCCAGTGAACGGTGTCTTCGTCCTCTTGTCCGAATGCTACTCGCCAACTTGCACACGAGACCAGCTTTGTTACTCGATCGCCTGTCCGCGACGCCTGGAGCAAGTCTCGCGGCTGAATCTGAAGATAGGCGCCGGACTGAAGAAAGAAGAAGCCCCGCCAAACGACGACGATGATGTGGATCAGACGGACGAGCAGAAACTCTGGATCAACACGGTGCCAAAGGAGGTTGCCGATAGCGTGTCTGATAAGGAAAAGAAGAGGCAAGAGGTCATATCGGAGATCTGCTACACAGAACGGGACTTCTGCAAAGATTTGGAGTATCTGCGAGACTTTTGGATCAATCCTCTTCGATCGAAAGCATCGCCTATTCCTTCTCAACGGAGGGAAAAGGTGGTGCGCAATATTTTCAGCAACATCATTGATCACCCCAGTATCCATGCTGTGAGCTCCAAGCTGGCCAAAGGCCTCACGGATCGGCAGCAGAACGGCCACGTCGTGCGGAATATCGGTGACATATTTATGGAATGCGTTCCGCTGTTCGAACCTTTTATATTGTACGGCTCAAAGCAACTGGAGGCCAAATACGAGTTCGAGAACGAGCGATCGATAAATCCGCAATTCAGCCGGTTTGTGGACGAGATTGAGAGGCGGAAAGAGTCCAGAAAGCTGGAGTTGAACGGTTACTTGACCAAGCCAACGACCAGATTAGCGCGGTATCCTCTTTTGCTCGAGAACATCCTCAAATACACAGAAGACGGAAACCCGGACAAAGACGACATACCAAAGGTGCTGGTCATGGTGCGTGACCTCTTGACCAGGGTCAACGCTGAGTCTGGAAAGGCGGAGAACCGGTTCAATTTGCGGCGTCTGCATGACCAGCTCAAGTTCCGACCGAACGAGAAGGTGGACTTGAAGTTGACCGACGAGGGTCGTGAACTGGTCTTCAAGAGCAATTTCAAGAAGTCGCCAACAGAAAATACGGATATAACGGCATTCCTTTTCGATCACGCTGTTCTGCTAGTCAGGATAAAGCAAGTTGGCAAAGCAGAAGAAGTCAAAGCGTACCGCCGGGTAAGATTTATTTCACTCCTGAAATTTATGAGAAGAGCGCTGACCATCTTGTCCAGCCAATTCCGTTGGAGCTACTGTCCATCAAGGAGATGGAGGAAGTGATACCTTCAGCAGGCGCCCCCCGGAGATCTACCTCTGGCTTGCTGCCAAACATAAGAAACGAAGTCGGCAAGAAAGGAGAGGGCTGGCCCATTACGTTCAAGCACATGGGCAAAATGGGATACGAGCTGACCCTGTACGCGTCCACGCAAACCGGGAGGCAAAAATGGCTCGAGTTCATCGATGCTGCGCAGCAAAAGTTAAGGGCGCGCGTGGACTTCCTCAACACCACAATGATTTCACAAGCGTTCTTCACGGGCGTGAACAAAGTCAACTGTGTTGCTCCTTTCGGTCAGTCGAGCCTCCTACGTATACAATGATGGGCTTCTACTAATTTTGGCGAACAGACGGCGGCAGGAAATTGATCTACGGCACCGATGCTGGTATCTATGTGTCGGATCGCAAGTCTGGCGGCCAGCCCCGTAAAATCTTGGAGGCGACCAACGTCACCCAGATCGACGCGCTCGAGGAGTACCAGCTTCTCTTGGTGCTCTCAAACAAATCGCTCATCTCGTACAACCTGGCAGCGCTTGACCCCAACGAGTCCGCTCTATCCAAGAAGCCCAAGAAGATCCAAAGCCACTGCAGCTACTTCAAGGCAGGCATCTCCATGGGCAGGCATCTGGTGTGCTGTGTTAAGCCCACGACACTTTCAACCACCATCAAAGTGTACGAGCCGAATGATGCTATGTCCAAGAGCAAGAAACAAAAAGGTTTCAGCAAAATGTTCAACGCTGGCCAAGACGAGCTCAAACCGTTCAAGGAATTCTACATCCCAACAGAGTCCACATCTGTGCACTTCCTGAAGTCGAAGTTGTGCGTGGCATGTGCCCGCGGTTTTGAGGTCGTATCCTTGGAGACCCTTGAGACGCAGTCCCTGCTCGATCAGGCTGACACGTCGCTGGACTTTGTGGCTCGAAAGGAAGCCGTGAAGCCGATTCACATCGAGCGCCTCAATGGCGAGTTCTTACTTAACTACTCCGAATTCTCGTTCTTCGTCAACCGAAATGGTTGGCGAGCAAGGCCCGAGTGGAGAATTGATTGGGAAGGCACGCCACATAGCTTTGCGCTATCTTACCCCTGGATTTTGGCTTTCGAGCCCAACTTCATCGAGCTTAGGAATATTGAATCTGGTGCAGTGCATATCGTGCCGCACAAGAACATTCGCATGTTGCACAGCAGCACACATGAGGTGAGCAGACTGCATGATGGAGATCGTACGAATGAAATTTCGCTGACACCATACGTAGATACTGTTCGCATATGAAGACGAAAAGGGCGAGGACGTCGTTGAAGCCATGGATTTCTGGAAGAGTCAAAGGAAGAGCGTTATGCCTGATGGCGCGATGAACTCACCGGTCGGACATTATGCCAGAATTACACAATAGTAATAGGCGACTCACTCACGTCATGGACTGAGTTCCATGCGGACTGTCTGATTACGTCTCTTTTTACAGAGGCTCAGTACCTTCTGTCCGAGGACATTCTGCCGGCCACACCGGTCGCGGCCGCCGGTCGGGGTCTGTACCAGTGGTGCCGTGTGCTGAAGTGTGGAGAAGGACTCGACATCGACCTTCGCTGGCCGGTCTCTGAGGCTGCATTTGTATGCCCACGAATCACGTGTGATATACGGATTCAGACGCAGGCCACGTCTGTCATGCGCCCTTTGCGCCACCCTTACGCGCAACATGTGATGGCATCGCGGAGGAAACCCCTTAGATCAGCCGGATTCATTTCTTTGCCAACAATACACACCACATCTTCGATTCAACAAGACGACATATCTAATATCAAGACCGGCGGGACAAGGGTGGACAGGCTTAGACGGGTGCGCAGGCAACGGTCAGCGGGGGTGGCAGAATAACTAGGGGACGAGAAGCCACCACCTTTCACAATCCGAGACGACACAAATCCCATCCGAGGAGGACTGATGCACCGGAGCCATGAGGGAGGGGGGAGGGAAGGGGCATCGAGAGCGTCTGATGAAGCTCCTGGGTGCCGTTGTACTTTGTTTTCTGGTTACAGCAAGTGGGAGATCTACCTCACGAATGTGCGTGTTTAGAGTGTGGAAATTACTTTCGGCGACACGTGTTTGTTCTCATTTTCCCTCCCAGAGTTTTCCTCATCTCATTTGCAGAGCGGCGGCAGCATCCACCAAAGGGCACACACTTTAATAAGCATTGTATGCGAGATGGACACTGTTTTTCTTCTTGAAATTGATATGATACCACCACAACCACTGCCGTCGTCACGGCATTTTGACGTGCGTCATTCCAGCCACCGACATCGCATCGGGTTGTCTGGGCGAGAAGTGACTTGTCAATCAGATCGTCTCGTCTCCTTGAGCGGCATGTGTAAAGGGTAGCGTACCCGAAGGATCAGAAACGTTACACGGCCAGACTTTGTGGGTGGGCTGCCTTGATGCAACCGGACGGATGTGGCGTGAGGAGTGGGTGGTCGGTTGCGTTTGGGCACTCATCATTCAAATTGCAACATCACTGCAGCTCTCAAGACATTGGCTTCTGTACCCAAGGTGTCTATCGTCAGAAAGAGCGTGCATGCACACGGACTGACTGATATCTAGCAGTTTTGGCTTGTGAAAATGACAGACACACCTCCGCCGGGCAGATAGGGGGGCGTCATTCGGTAATTCTCCAGTGTCCCCCCCCCCTTCATTACTATTTGCCCCTTCATTGCGATCGAGCAACTGCCGAGGATATACAGTCGGAGACTCCGACCGTTCAGACATTCTTGCAATTGAAGACAGTGACGGGCCAAGTGGGCGCAAGACAGGGACGGACACTGGCCTGAGCAGTGTTGCTGAAGGTTTACTTTCGGACGCGCCCGATCTCTCTCTGTTACATTCAGGGGTCACTCGATCTACCGTGCCCGCATGATAGAGGCGAATCTCGGGGTCGGGGGAGAGAAAGAGGTATCGAGCATGCGGCGCGGCCTGCTGTCTATTTTTTTCCAACGCATGTACGCAATCAAGCAAGATGAGCCACATTGCCTCTCGTGTTTGCAGCTCGTGGAGGGAGAAGCTTTTGGGTGGGACCTCTCGGCATGACGGGATGTAATTCGGACGTCATTCAGGTTTGCCTCGTGTTGGGCCCTGCTTCCTCAGGAGACTCGGGCTTGCTGCCTTATGGCCCTTCACTGCGACCCTGGATCTCCTTGCGCGTGGTAGCATGGTCTGTCGAACGGGCAGACGGGCTACATACTGTGGAACATGTGTCTGTGTACTAGTCTACAATAAAGGTTGCGGTTCGCTGGGCAACAGGTACACTGATACTCTTTGCCCCATGCGTACCTAGGTATCCCAATACACTGCCTACCATGGACTCGGGACGCGAAACTTCCCTTGGCTCCCTCCTTCACGGTGGACACCTTCGTACCCGTGAACCGCATGGCTGTGCCACGCCCTCAATAAATCTTGTGGACCCGATATTCTGGAATCCAAAGGGTCCTCCTCTCTGGGGATCACCAAGATGGGTCGCAGCTGCGAGGGATCAGACGACACCCCGGCTCGGTTCGCCTGTGGGTGCCAAAGGAACTGGAAGAAGGCCCTGCGGATCATACATTCGAATGTATGCTTTCCCCCATCAGGCATGAACGGTCGCACATCATGTATTGGAATCGTGGTTAGAACCGTCTGATGTCTTTGTCAAACGTGAGCAGGGCCGGCGAGAATCAATCACATCCCTGCCGTGGATCCAACTGTCAAAGAGCGCCGGAGGATTTCTGTGACGTCCGTAGTGTTGAGATCGCAAATTGGGGATTGGCTTCAGAATCAAGGGCCATGTGCGTCTCGGTGCAGACAAATACTGATACGGGAAGCTAGGCGACGCCCGGTGTGTCCGGGGGAGTGCACATCCGGCTGGCAATGAGGAATAGAGAAATGAGGGCATTGGAAATCCGAGCTTGATGACGACCTCCGTCATCGCAATCAATTGTTCGTCCGCCGTTGTATTATTGACTGGTGTTGCATTAGCAGCATGCAGTCAGGGCTGCCCCCATCGCCAAGGAGGCCTCGACCACCACTGTAGATCTGCCAACTCTAATTCCAGTGCATGCTGTGTGCTTTGCTGTACCGGTTCGCTAGTCGCTAGTCGCAAGCGTGGCCAGCATGATTGTGGCATACCTTTCGCGACACCGCCCGAACTTTCCCGCCCACAGGACTGTGGAGCGAGAGGCCGGGTGTTTGTTTCGTTTCACAGGCAGGGCCTCGACTGAGCGCGTAGCAAGATGGAGGATAGAGATGCATGCTAGCATTGATAGGCGTTGCTTGGATGGTTACCGCACCGTGCGGTGGGACACCCGTGCGAGGCAGTAGGGAAGATCCTCGACGCATGGGCGGGAGGACGCTCGTTGTGGCACATTCCGCGATGGGGAGGGGCCAGTCTCGGTCCGCCAAATGGGAAACTGAATCTGCTCAGCCCAGCTGGCTGCAGCCAAGTTCCTTGGATTGCCACGGTACTGGGCATGAGAGACGAGCACTTGCACGCCATGCCCCATGGCGCCACATTTCACACCTTCCACACCTCAGAGATGCGGCTCTGATACGTCTCCCGTCGTTGACATGACTGATGGAGTCTCCGCGGGTAACCTTATCCAGACTGCCGCAAATGCACGTCGGGTCGGGGAGGGTGTGTGAGGAGTCTGCAGCAGAAGACCGTCCAATCTGGTCTCGCCTGAGCTTCGACCGGCTTTGTGGGAGTGAGGAAGACCTGGGGGACCGGTGTGTTCGGGAGCGAGGGCTAGAGTCATGCCCGATGTGAGGAGCTGCTTAGCCCAGATATTTTGCCCGCGGCGAGTAACGAACAGGTTCTGTCGACGTGGCACGCTTTAGAGATTACAGTAGATATCATTGATCCGGCATCTTATGCTGTCGTATCCCGGATTGGGAAAACCGACAATCTTTGCGATCAAAACGTGGTGAGATGGGCGCAGGTAAGCTCGAAAGGGGGGGTTGGAATTGCCTTTACCCTCCCTGCCTCTGCCATGCACGTTCTTACGCGTGCGTGCATGTCGTGTGCGTGTGTGCGCATGCAAGCCACCATGACGAATGTTGGGGAAGTCGTCGTTTGTACAACTCAATCCGTTGGGTTACTAGTACCTGGTAGCGGGGCCAAGGGAGTCCAGGCCAGCGTTAGCAGACAAGAGGCGTTGTACCTGACACCCTGACAGTTCCGGCGGCATCTGACGGCAGCCTCCTGTTAGTCTCGCAGTTGACGTGCTAGAGCCGCTATAGGTCCTATAGACCAGATGCTAGAGATACTAGACAGCTGGACTAGTCCTTGGTGCTAGGGGTGTGACACTGGCCTGTCCAGCCTGTGAGGAACGGGACGGATATTTTTGCTTCAGGGACGGATCCTAGCGGTACCAGACAGTCACTGTCACAGATTGAACCGCTGTGTCCAGATGCATCGTGCGGAGCAGGAGTGGACCGACGTCTCGGCATCCGTAGTCCCTATATCTGACTGGGCGATATCATTGTTGTTTGCCGCTGGGTTTGGCCTCGACTTGAAGGTGTGTTGATGCCAGTCTAGACTTGCCACTGTCCCGGATATCGGGACGATGAGAAACTATTATTGACGATCTTGGCTCCCATTCGCCGGCCTGCAACTACCGGCGTGTGCTGTCTTTAGTATCATCCACCAGAGCCAGGCGTGTCAGCGAATTGAACGTGGCAGTGGCAGAGCACCGAGATTCACAGGCTCAAGCTTCATGAATGTGAAGCCGCCAGACGAGATCGGGCTGCTGCGCATTCATGCATATTATCACTCGACAACTGGCCCAGATGTCCAGGCATTTCGCCTGCCGGTTGAGCGTTGCGACAGAACTAATGTATCCGTAGTGGCATGCCGTGATCATAGCCAAGTATCACTATGAGATAATTAAGACGAACATATATCGGTCCACCGAACCGGCTGTAGTCAAAGGAATCAAGGGATATCCACTCGCGCCAGCATCGACCTGCGGCTTATCTGCATTGTTAGCTCGCTCTCGACGGACAGACGCGGCGAAAGGCTGGTGTCGAATTCGATGTTACGGGCTGGGACAAGAGTTTCGACGTCGTAGCGGGCTGCAGCCTCCTCTCAGCACTGCATTGCACCGCACCAGCCGGTCCAACCGTCCTGATTCCTGACGTTCAGACCTGACTGGCTCGGAACTCCATCCCGGTCTGCTGGGTTCAGCCCAGTCGTCGATTGTGATGCAAGCCGCCAGGACGCTCCTTGCACCGTGAGAAGTCTGGGCCCTATGGTAGTTCTGACTTGTCCCTCCTTGTGCGGGACCTTCTCGAAACCAGACTTTTCCAACAACCCAGTCCTGGGTTACATAGGTACCTCGAGGGGAAAGCCACAGTGCCGCACGCAGTCTTAACGGCTGGTGCAGGCCTGTCCTGATCTGCTCGGCTCGCTAACCGACGAAACTCGAGGCGAAACTGAGCAGGTAGCTGATCAGAACCTTCAGACGGTGCGGGAACTCCCCTTCTCGGCACCATGTCCCAAGGAGGAGTCTGGCCGGCGGGCAATTTCATGCCCATCGACAACCTTGGAACGAGCACACAATACGACGATTTGATTGATGGCCGGGCACGACAGGCGGCAAGAGGTGCTGTGTCATTTCCAAGAATATCTCCTTCTGTGCTCCGCAATGCTGCCGAGTCTCGGTCCGTGTTAAGTTCACACAAGTCTGGTAACGCACGGGGAGAAGTACCCGTCCCGACTCTCATGCAACCGAAGTGTTGCCAGCCGCCTTGGTAGCGGTCACAAGAGGTGGTTGGCGCTGGGGTGGGCATCTTGGTTGTGAAGGAGATCCGATCCATCAAAGCTGAACCGTGGACAAGCGTCGTAGCTGGACGAGATGAGGTCTGAGGGCGGGTATCTTTGCACCGCTATGCCGCGCCACCGTTGTAACGGTTCAGCGCAAATGATATGGGGAAGATACGAAGCTGCAAAAGTCAAATATCAAGATAAACCTCTGCTATGCGTCTTGACAAAGACGGGTTACCCTGGGCTCGCCAGGGGCCGGCAGGGACGAAGCTTAAGCTCGGGGTTTCGAACATGATTTGCGAGTTGTTTGCTTTGTCGAGCTGTCTTGGACTACCCGGTCACTAAGCTCTGAGTGGCCATGCCCACTACCACCATATCTCTATAGCTCGAGTCGAAAGAAATATAAAGCTTCGCTGGTTGATCTTTTCCCTTTCCCTCGACTCTTTGTCCTTGACCCAAGATAAATCAGTTGCTCAACCCAAAGTTGCCGAACATTGAACGTTTTCGTCGACTCGAGCCGACTTCAACCACCAGCTTTTCAAGCCTTGGCCAACCCAATAGTCTTATCTCGCCTTGTACATCGCCTTTGTCATCCCCTCGACTCTACCTCCTCATCCCACCTTGCGTTCAGTTGATCTGAATACTCAATTTCGAGGTCTTTTAAATATCACTTAATCAACATGTCTTCATATTGTGCCAACTACTACGTAAGTTCCAAACTCGAGTCTGTGTTCTCAAATTTTTGGTAAGCCAAAACTGACATCTTTCATCTAGGGCTCTGTCAACTGCCACAACGTTGTCAACCGGTTCGGCGACCGGTGCAAGCTCTGCCTTGCTCTGAAGAGCGGCGCGTCCCTCACAGACGGCATCCTGCCTGAGGACAAGTACCGCAAGAGCAGCTCCGCCGTTGAGGCACCGAGGAAACACCACCACCGAAGCCACGATGGCTCTAGCAGGTCGATTCGAGTGGACTCGTCACGACACAGATAATCAGCACAGTCAGGACCTACCTGATATACGTTTCACAAAAGCATGACGACAACACGTACACCTAGTTGATCGTCGATCAAAATCATAGAAACACATGGCGTACCGGGGCTCATTTTGACATCAAAGGGCCGGAAAAAGTAACGGGGTCGAAGGGTACCCCCATGAGCTTCTGCAACCCGAGGTTATCGGTGATGACTGGGAACCGTGATGAGGCACGGCGGATTGGTGTTTGGACTGCATGGTAATTTTATACGGCGCTGTAGGGGATTTGGTGTGCATTCAGCGGCATTGCGGTGGCCCGTAGTTGTCAGTTGGAGCCAGGATAGGGACCAAGGTCTCCCCAGAAGAGTCACAAAGACTCTGGGTATAGATGTGAGCATCAGACAGACTGAATTTGAAGCAAGTTGGTCTCGGACATATCTAATCGTGTGCGTCGTGATGATCTGCTTCGACAATGTGTGAACGCAATGCTATATATAGGGAACGTAAACATAACGCCGGCTTTCCCAATTGCTGGCCAGTGATCCTTGGGGCTACTCAACAACCTGGCCAGTTCCAAAATCTTCGATCTTCATAGCTAGAAAACCAGTGCGGCCATGGACAGATCAATACAGCCGTCGCTGGTAATACACAGGTTCATCACCCTGAGACAGCCTCATGATCTCCTCCTTGATCAGTCTCCTCCTCTCCGCCCTACTGACAGGCTTTTTCGTCCCGTCGTTCGGGTCCTCGGTATCCTCGTTCGGTGTTTGCTCGCCCTCTGCCCTCACCTCCCATGGAGCCGGCTGCGGCTTCGTCTCCACCGGTGCATGTTGCTCTTCTTGGCGCTGCTCCCGCCCATGTGCCTCCGCATCTTCTGTTTCTTGCTGCAGCTTCTCAATCGCAAGTACTCTTTGCTGTTGCTGCTCGCCCAATGATTCTGGAACGGTCTCCTCCTTCACATCGACCGCCACTTCGCCACCCCCGCCCTCGTAAAGAGCGGGGTTCTGGCCACCAGGTTCATTAGACACAGCAATGCGCTGCCTGGTAGGTCGGTTGTACTCGTCAAGCACGACGATCGTGCCGTCTGCGAGCTCAGTGGTGTCTTGCCTAAACCGGTCGGGGAGGTATATCTGAGGCGAAGGATTCGGCCTTATTGCAGCGCGTAGATGCCCTACTGTGCGTTGCTGAATCACGTAGCCACTGAGGAAGAGAGCTGTGGTAAAAGCAATGACTGTCGTTGCGTTAGTCCTGGGTCGGGCGACAATGACGTGAGCAGCGAGCTGGGGGTGTGGAAGGCCTACCGATGGCTGAGGAGATAGCAACAGACACTTGCGACGATGTGAGAAGCACCATGGTTATCGAATAAGTAAATATATTCTAGCTCGAGCGGCAGAAGCTGAGTACTGGTGCAGAACAATTGAGAGACAGGCCAAGCCAGAAACGGACTCGAGGCGGGAGAGCACAGGCTGTATGTACTTTGTATCCATTCCCAGCCGCGTTGGAGCCGTCGGGAAGCCGTTTTATTGCTCCACTTTCCGAAACGGGCAGCAGGAAAACAAACTGAACGGGGCAACGCTATCGATAAGCGTCATACTGGGAGACATCCTTGTACCCGCGTACCCTGCCGTCATCCCACCTGCCGCCCACCCACCCTTTCCGCTGTGGAGCTTTCGCGTCTGCAAAAGCTCCAACATTTTGCATCTGAAAGTCCGGGGAAGCAAATTGCGCTCATCCCATCGATCTTGACCAAACCAGAGATTCAAGACCTGCTGCTTGTGAACACCCACTACGCGACGAATTCGACTCTTGCGGCAAGACCAGCCACATTTCGACCTGGGAGTCCCGGGAAGAATCATCGATCAATACCACCGGGCCAGATTCTCGAATCCGTCCTCGACCAACCTCCCACAAAGGTGCTCGAGCTCGCCCCCCCTCGACCGAATGGCCGAACGAACCCACCGTGCCGATGAGCGGCGTTTCCTCGATGAGCGCGGTGGCGATGTCCGCCTGACTCCAAACGGGCTGAACCCAGCCAATGTTATGGAGAAAGCTGTGCGCGAGCGAATCGTCGACAGCTACTTCTACAAGGAGCAGTGCTTCGGTGTCAACGAGGCTGACATTGTTAACCGAGTGGTGGACCATGTGTACTTCATTGGTGGAACCTACGGCAGCACACAAAAACCGACGCCTTTCCTGTGCCTCGCCTTCAAGCTGCTGCAGCTGGCGCCTGGGGATGATATACTGAAAGAGTACCTGGAGTATGGCGGCGACAAATTCAAGTATCTGAGAGCCCTGGCTGCTTTCTACATCCGGCTGACACGGCGGGCGAAGGACGTCTATCTTACGCTGGAGCCGTACCTGGAGGACAAGAGAAAGCTGAGGCGGAAAGGCAGGGCTGGCACGAGCCTGACGTACATTGACGAGTTCGTGGACGACTTGTTGGTCAAAGACCGCGTATGCGGCACAAGTCTCTTAAAGATGCCCAGCCGGGATCTGTTGGAAGATCTTGACGAGCTGGAGCCAAGGATTAGTCCATTGGGGGATCTGGAGGACCTGCTTGAGGAAGACGACGAAGAGGTGGCGAATGGACGCGGCAGTGAGGATGACAGGAGAAGCGAGTCGGACACAGATGATAGAGATGATGAGGACAGAGCGCGAGACCAGATGGAGATCGATCGTGAAGAAACACCTCAGAGCCCAGACCGAACCCCCTGAGGTCGCAGTATACAAAAGCCTCCCCAACAACGCGCTGGAGTAGTCGCATGATACGGCTTCAGATTATATCGCCCCACCCAAGGAGCTTGAACATACCCACCATGACCATGGCGACACAACTCCTGATATCACCGATATACAAGGCCGGCAATGCAGTATCCATGCCGCCCCATCTTCATTGTAGAGATGAGTACACTAGGACGATGTCACTGGCTTGGTTTCGCGACCTTACGACCTCGCGATTCAGAAAAGGCACGGCAACTTTCTCGAGGTGTCTTGACAGATCATGCTCGTCCAGGATGTCTACCTCCTCGAAACACTGCACTGGGTGTGATCAGCCGCGCCAAATCAAAGACATGTCATCTTGTGACACTTTCGACCTCCCTCTCGTCGACGGTGCAGTGTGTGCTTAGCGTGTGCCAAGCACAAATGCTCGCTGACGCAACAATACCCCCACACCTATCGACAGAGACATTCGAATGGATCTTTCCGGCGAACTGTCTCCTCATATGAGCAGTTGGCAGAGTTCATACTCTGTGCGATGAGCCAGCGATGAGCTAGATAGATCCTCAACATTAATGGCACCACGGCCCCCGCAACCTCGCATTCATCAACCGAAGCACAAAATGCACATCTTGTATACCATAAAGGGATGATGATGCAGAAAACACCTGTATCAACATTGACAGTAGACTACTTCACTGCAACTGCACTAATGACCATGTTTAATATATCGATATATCCAATCAGAGAGGAAGTGGCTGGTGGGAGGGTACGTCATATCCCAGGCCCTGTTTTTTCGCCACACACCCTCAAGCTGACGTTCAAGACGGCAGCACAGGCTCGCAGATCTGTGGCTGACCTGATATCTGACAAGGAATTCAATTAAACCACAATTAAAACACTTCATTTACCAAGCTCTGTGAATATCAAATCACAGAGACGCTCTACTCTTGCCAAAATAGCCTCCCCTCACTCCTGCTATCATGCCGAACGAGGGTCTAATCCCCTCTATTCAACGCCAGATCCGTAATGGAATCGGGTCAGCAGGCGACACAGTAGGCAACTACGTCAACAGCAACGGCAAGGCCATTCAAGACGCGGCCACCGCAGCCGGCCGCAGGGTCGACGGCGTCGCGCGAAGCATTAGCAACTCGGGGACGAGCGCGAGCAAATCGACGAACAACGGGTCGCGAGCCGCGGGCACATACGTACAGAGTGTAGGCCGGGGCGTAAGCCAGCAGATCGGCAGCTACTCTAATTACGCCGGGAGACAGGTCGGGGCGGCGGGGAGGTATGTTGATGGGAGTGGCAGGGCCGCCGGCGGCCGGGTAGGGGACTTTGGGAACTCGATCAAGGACAAGAGCGGGGCCAGGGGCGCGAAGATGACTACGCCTCAGAATCCCTTGGGCTTGAGTGGGAAACGTGCTGTGTGATGGAATGGAGATGAAGGCATGGTAGAGATTTTGGTGTTTGTCTGGTCGCACAAGCAAAGCGACCTTGAGACTGTGGTATTTTGGGGGATTTGGTATTTGCTTGCTCGCGTACCCAAACGTTTTGCGCGGGAGCTGTTCTGCGCTCCTCTGTTCTCCTGGTGAATACACGATGATACCCTTTCCAACACCTGTGGGGCCTAGTAGCTCATCCTCGATGAATCATGATTGTTCCTCATGACATTTATTTCTTACTCCCACACGTAGATGACAATTAAATAAATAATAAAAACAGATGCACCTGTGCCTAGCACGTAATATCATACGTATTGAAGAACCCCCCAAAATGCCCGCTTGCCCTCCCAAGATCATCTTATGATGACAAACAGGATATTGGCTGGTGGTGACCAGGCATTTTGGGCTCTCACGCTCCCTGTCCTCGGATCTTTCTGCTGTTTGGCTCCTTTTTGCTCTAATGTGGGCTCAAGATGGAAATAAATTAGGCCTACCGGCTCTGATCGTAATTCATTGCAAGTTCCAGATTCATAAACAATTGAATCAGGAAACCTTGGAACTACCCAAGCATATTCATCCCAACTCCGTCATAGGGAGCATATACCAACGCAAAACTTATTTGAAATGCCCAACTTTCTGTTTACAAGTGATTGGCATGCTGTTGTTCCCATGTTTTTCTAGTAGACTAGTATGGACGGTAAATTCATAATTGATTGGATAATGGGGAGCTGTATCCCTAGACACGCGGTCATATATTGTTTGAAATGTGGAGAGTATCTGCCTGTCTTGAGGCTATGCCCCTTCAACCGGGAGTCAGACCAGCTTGCCTACGCGTACTGAGATTGAAAATGACAAAGAACAATTGTCACTAGCTCTACCTAGATCGACTAATCTTGTATTCTTTTGTGATAGTATTTGCTAGACGAACCTTTTGAGGGTGTTGAGCAAAAGAATGCCCGGAAGATAGTTCTCTGACATTGCAGAAGGTGGTCAAGTAAGAATCCGAGGTATGCTGGGAACCGAAAAACAAAGGCATCTCTACTTAATCAAAGCTAGATGCCTTGGACGTCTTTGTCAGTGGCCACAGGAGAAAAGTATTCTTGTTCCAATAATTACTATCCATGCTTTATAGCTGACCTTGGTATGAAATATTCTAAGAAACCTAGAAGACATTGTGCAAATTATATACCCGGGTGCCTAGATGCGTGACAGAATGGGATACCTTGATATCATACGACGCGACTGAGAGAAAGTTTGAATAATTGACCTTCAAACTCATGCCACGTTCTCAGAATCTCAAAACAGACATTGGCAGCAAGTAGGATAGCGAAGAGATGTCGACACCTCTTAGGGTGCAAAGTGATGCTGACAAATACGTTTTCGTTTCCACGATTTCGAGCCCAAAAACTCACAGGTATTGCAGTGGATCAAACCTTGCAGTGATCGAGCGAATAACAGTAGAAGAATTTGACAACCTTAGGCGAGCTGGCAAGAATCATCCCAATATCATGCGGTACGTTGGTAACTTGGGTGAGAAGATTGTGGCGGGACATAAAACGTCCACGAAGTTCCTGCTTTTGATGGAAGGGGCTGATGGCGGTACCTTGAAGGACCCCATCACACATGTCAGCAGTTTTAATCCTGCTCACAGGCCGAAAGTCGTTCTACCGGCTGGATTGCTCTGTCACGTCGTGGCCAGCATCATCGAAGCCGTACTGTACCTAGAGACGTCTCTTACCATGCCTATGCAGTATATTGACTGCCATATTGGGAATGTTGTCTTCCTTCGACGTCCTTCGCCATGGCATCCGGTCAGAATCTTGGATTTCAATAGGGTCCATCCTGGGGGTGAAGGGTGTCCATCTCCAGCGGTTGTGGTCTTGACGAGGAGCATGCTACAGAATCGTTCTGTCTTGGCCCGGGAGTTTGTCGACGTCCTCGAATAGCTATCAGCGCCGCTGATTAGTCTGGAGACACTACGAGATACTCAAGCTGTTGCGGTGGCCAGAGCTGGGAAGTCTGATTCGACCCGAATGACCCGGTGGCTGAGTGAGCAATTTGGTTCATAAAGGTGGACCTGTGACAGCATCGTCATAGCCCTTTGCTTCTCGCCAACTAATTCCAACAATACTCACACAATGCCAAGAACAGTATGTACCCATGTGACTGCAATTTTGTCTCCAGTACCAATATTAAGTGATGTTCCAGAGCCCTCCACCTCCCTAAATGTATGATGTTCCTGTGGATATACTAGTCCCAGTTTCAATATTGTGTGTCTATGGAAAACCACCTGGTAATAAACTCCATCATCACCTCAGATAACATCTATATATAACACCCATTTCAAAAGCTTTGATATTTGCCGACGAATGTGCTTTGGTCTGCTGCTGAGCTTCAAGATGTGCGAATTTAGACTTCGGGGTCAGGCTATGCCAAATGTCATGCACCTCCTGTTCCCATATCTCTTCGTCCCACCTCATCGCTAGCAGGATGAACGTACATTTAAGGTTCAAAATGTCTTACATTCCTGGTTATTTTACAAGTATAATAATAAAAACAAATCCTATACTGATTATTAAATTATTCCTTCAACTTATTACTCACCATATCTCGAAACGAGGTAGAAAGTATTGGACTGATGGTATAATTCCGAAACGAAGAGACAGGGGCTGAATCAGTTTCCCGCTCTGCGATCCGGCGCGTTGAGTAGTGAAGCCCGGGGAATAATTCGAAAATTAGTGCAAAATTTGTCTTTGTCCTTGCGCTTGTGAAATGTTTGGCGCCGCGGGACGTCTTGAGACTAGAGCGTGCAGTCATCCTTGCACGAAGCTTTTGACTTCTCAAACCAGAACTCAGCAGTGGACTGCTACCGTAGCACTCCTTTCAAATTGACAAAATTGGCTGAAAATGAACTGTTTGGACCATGGCCTTCGACGGCACCTTGTGAGACTGAGCATATCTGGGTCTTCAGGAGGTGAACTATATTCATTGTCCAAATGTACTTGGTAACTAGAGCTAATGCAACGCATGCGTCGAACCGGCATGATCATCAGCACGTTCTGGCATGGAAATCAGCATTGTCACGGGCAAGTTCTAAGCTTCTAGGGTTCGGGCACTACCTAGCATGAGAAGTTGCTCAAGTCTTCTAATTCCTTATAGCTTAATTGTGTTCATTCTTGTACTCTCTTCTTTTCATTTATTGAAATGCTAAAGAGTAGTGGCGCATGTTGGGTCGAGTTTATAGCCTCAAGCAGGAGATTTTGCGGACTCAACAGATTTGCCGGGTTTTACCAGGCTATGTAGGCAACAGGGTACTCTAATACAAAAGTGTGATAACAAACCAAATTAAGGTGACCTTCCCATGATTTGATTCACTGCAAAGTGTGTCAGCACATAGATTATTATCAAGAGAGCTCTGTCTCCATAATTTAGACGTCAAGATAAACGCAACCGCGTCCTTCAGACCTTGCAGAGCCAACTGTGGTTGTGTCCGATATGATACCGAGCATGACAGAAATTGACTGGCTCATCAAGCTGTGGAACTGAATCACAGGCTCTGATTCCATATCTCCGGCCGCGATCGAAAAGTCCACAGTAGTGGCCCACACTTCGGAGCGCTCGCGAGCGCGAGAATCGTATGATACTGTCCATCAGCTCTTGTCTTCGATAGACAAGCTAGGAGCCAGGCTGCATGTGGCCGGCCGCCTTGGCCAGTCAACAAACTCATAAATTATATCATCGTGTGTAAATACATGTGAAACCATTAATTTCAAGCCATCCAGTCGTTGTCACCGCTACACATCATCCTCGACGCCGCCAGCGACGGGTGTGATAGGATTATTTCGGCGGTCCGTGCACTGGGCCTCTAACTAACAACTTCTACTAATTCCACTCCTCTGAGTCAGCCTCGAACGAGATCCGCAGGTTGACTTGTTCGAAATTCATGCGAATATCCCGCGAGGTCCGATTTCATAATCTACATACTTACTTGCGTCTGTCGCGAAGGCATACTATTCGGTGTTTAATCATGTCTGCAAACAAAACCAAACAGCCGGCCGCGGATAAGAATGCGAAAGATAAGCCCGCGCAGAAGAAAGAGCTAAAGATACTTATGCTCCACGGTATGTGCCTCGTTTATCTTAAAGCGTTACATTCCACGGCTGGCTAACCTTTCGCTCCAAAGGCTATGCCCAGACCGGCCCTTTGTTCCGGTCGAAGACGGGCGCCATGTCCAAGCTGATAGCCAAGGCGCTGCCCGATGTGAACGCGTCACGCATCTACCCGACCGGCCCGCAACGGCTACAACCTTCCGATATCCCGGGCTTCCAGCCCCGCGAAGGCGCCGAAGGCGAGGAGATACCCGAGACCTTCGGCTGGTTCTACCATGACGAGGAGGCCGGCCCCTACCGCGGCTTCGACGTGGGCATGTGCGCCATCGCCGATGCCATCAAGGAGGCCGGTGGCGTCGACGGCGTCCTCGCCTTCAGCCAGGGCGCCGCCGTCGCCGCTCTCGTCGCAGCGGCCATGGAACCCGACCGAGCGCTGCCCGAGGACGAGGCGCAGAAGGCATGGGTATTGCGGCTGCGCGAGGCCAACGCGGGCAAGCCGCTGAGATTCTGCGTCTTGTACTCGGGCTTCATCGCGCGGCCCGGCGCAGGCGTCGGCTGGCTGTATGAGGGTGGTATCAAGACGCCGACGTGCCACTTCTTCGGCAGCCTGGATACCGTCGTCGAGGAGGACAGGTGTAGAGCCCTCGCGGACCTCTGCGTTGAGCCTGAGGTCTTTGTGCATCCTGGGGGACACCACGTGCCTGTGAGGAAAGAGTGGGTGGCCCCGCTGACTGGCTTCCTGAAGAACGTGCTTGAGAAGGAGGAGAAGGCTGCGGCAGCAAGTGCGACATATTGACCCCAGCTATTCGCGCCTGTGGAGACTCCCTGGTATGGCTGCTACGTACGGCCGTGTTCAGTCCAGGCCATTTCGACATGTGAACAGCAGCCTCAGCCGCCTGTTTAGTTCATCATCAACTTCTTCACGCCAACGATCTGAGATGTGTTTCGTCACAAATCGGGGCATGTGTAGCTTTACATCATAGACAACAGGAATGGAGGATTAGAGGCATAGATATATCATTAGACGATAGACCGATAATTAGATTAGGATCCAATTAATTCCTTATCTACCCCGGGCGTATGAGAGCGTGACTTCGGCATTTCTGCCTTGGTTCCAACATGCCTCCATATGGGCAGTGTTGCAACGCAACCCGAGCGTTAGGGCTGATCATTCCCATTAATACGCTCGCGGCAGGCGACGAGGGACAGAAAAGAATAGCTGAGAATGCATGTTGGACGGTCTTTCCATGATAAGCGACTCTTTGAGCAATCTTTCTCGTTTCAATGGTCCCGGTTTCAGGCAGGCCGAGGGATTTTCATCCTGTCACTTATTAGCACCGGAATATTAAGTCTAAGCGCAGTTTTTCCCGAGACACATATCAACTGAAGTCTGTGAAAATAAAGGATCCTGTTATGGACCCCGAGTCAGTCGGGCAGTCTCTCGGTCAGCCAAACGGTCTAGTGTCCCAGATATCCGGACATTCTTACATGCGACGCAGCAAGTTATGGCTCTCTCAACCACGAAGATTCACGTGGTCATTGATGAGCTAGAAGATCATACAAACTCACATCAAAAGGAATCCCGGCACGGACGCCTATCAAACCCTCCTCTCAAACTAACGAATATTTGGCACTACGACAATAATATTTACTGTACCGGCTGACCCGAAACGGGTGCCCGCGCGCTTACGGCTCGACCCGATCTACTTAGGCGACAAGCTCAGGCCTGCCTAGTGGCAATTTAAGAAGCCCTCGGCATTTGCTTCGCAGCAATCTCACGACCAAGAAGTAGTCACTTAGAAACCGTGTCTTGATCTGCTGTATCAAATATGCATACTGTAACGAAGAGTCTAGTCTTGCGAAGACCACGGGTAAGTAATAGGCCCTTCGTTGTCTAGTCTGATCTTGACTCAAAGTTGTTTATAATAGCTGGTGATGATATCGCATTTGCCTGCTGCTACGGAGTATGGAATTAAGCCAAGACTTTGCCGAAGAAATCTGTAGTGCTACGAAAGTATAGAAAGAAAGGGAAACTCTAAAAGAAACTCGTCTCATCGAAGCTGTGCCCAAGGCGGTTCTAGTAGGCTCAGCCTCCAATCTGAGAGCGAGCAGAGCGAACAGAGCCCAGGAGTGTTCCTTCATACAAATCTTGGCACGATACTGAGGCATGCTACTATTGGTGCTCCTATTTGAACGACGACGAACAGGACACATATGGCATCCCTCAGAAATACAAAACATCACTACTGATAACTTCTCAGCAGTGTTGTCTTGGGGCGGATTGCTTGAGGCATTGTATCTAGGCCGCAGAACATCACCTCGAGCACCTTTCTTCAGCTAATGAATCAGACAAAATTGACGCACTTCCACGGAAGATTTTCTGCCTACACATGCATCGTCTGGAAGACAGTGTGAATTGAGTAAGCCTCGGTGTCAGAGCGCAAGCCCTGATGGAAACCTGGTTCGGAGTTTAAAAGAGTGACGTTCGATGTCATTGGACGCCAGCTATAGGCTTTGGAAATGCAGCATGGTTTATTGGACCACGCGAAGCTGTCATATCGGCCGAACCCCCGGGATGCACGGGAGGAGGTGGCTTCCGCGGTCGTGGCATTGATGGTGTTCGGGGCTCGCCCGCGTGTCACAAATCAAGATATTGGCCTGATAAGCAAGGACGTGGCAGTTCGTCGTAGCTGGGAGGCCTTCAGAAACGCTCACAGGCCCGGAATGGGCTGGCACAGTTCTTGGCGACGCAGTGTCTGAACCACAGTCGACTGATGATATCTCACATTTGATTTCCTTCTTCTTCTTTCTCGCGGGCCCACAGCCTCCCTGTCTGTTATGCATGTGCAAGGCCGCAGGCACACGTCGCAGGAAGCGCGTACTGTACAATCCGCCACTGCTCAGCCCAGGTGGAAACCTTAGGGATGGTTCGTCTGGCATCAGAGCTTCGGAGTAAAATAAAAAAGCCAAAAGATGCTGCAGGGCCAATAGAGTCAAGCACGAGAGTGGTTCGCAATGCGGAAAGATCTTGGGCAGGCGTTCGGGAACCCTTGGCCGGTTAGATATTAGCCGGGTTGGCACTCTGTGCCGCGACGCTCGACGCGGGGACTTCGGAAGGCGGTTCCCAGAAGGGGTGGGACATCTCGGGGCCACTACGGTCAGAAAGAGCCTAGAGCGGCACGCCCATGTGGGGTCTAGATCTGGTGAGATGGCGGCCCCAGGGGGTTAGATGGTAAAGTGGCAGCAGCCGGGATTGCCGTCAGTCACACAGGCTGTCAGTTAGCGTGTTGGAGGGGCGCACGGAAGTGAGGTGGAACAGAACACAGCTCCAGCCTCGCAAGCACAACTCAGGCCAGCGCCAAACCAGTTTGCTCCCTCCTGGCCCAACCTGGCCTGGCCCGGCCTAGGCGAACACCCGTCCTGAGTCTGGCACGACCGATGATATAGCGTAGCGGCTTGTTCCACCAGGGTTGAGAATCTTGTGGTGTGAGACACTGGAGAGGAGACCAGGTCGCTGTCTAGCACGCGCATGGGGCCGGGTAAAATGGAACTGCTGAGTCCCGAGAACGGATTCCCTGGGTTCACTGTCATCAACCAGTCCGACCACGTTCTTGAATCCGAGGCGCGCTGGAGCGTGCCGAGGAGAACGCGAGACAGAGATAGAAGGCGTGGCAGGCTATGGCAGGGCTTTGGCAGGTGGATTGCATGTGCATGACGGTGGTAGGGCAAAGCGGGCCTTGCCAATTAGAGACCATTCCCGGATCGGAAAGCGAGTACATAGTCTATGTGTAATACTGGCGAAAATGGCGAGGCCGGGGGATTGAACGACAGGCCCGGAATATTTATGCTGATGACCTCAGCATTAGTCGACAGGTCGGGGCAATGACGGAGATGAAGGCTCGACCGAGAGACCCGTATGGACTCGTCTTGCTGCCCGGAATGGGCCCGACGGGGTGCAGAGACGTGGCTGACGACCAGCGCTGTAGTAGTATGATCAGCCGAGTGTCAGCCTCTGCCCTGCCGGTGGGGGCAAGGTTTGTCAACAACCCGAGGAGCCAGGGCCCTAGGCCCAGGGATGCAAGGCGGCGGGAGGTTCTGTCAAAACAGCCAGGGGCACGAAGCGAGAAGCTTATTGCGATAGTTTGGTGACGGGACGAGCAAGGCAGCGAGCGGTGTAGTTGCGATAGGTGGGCAGTCACAAACAATTAGGGATGACTGGTCTTGTCCACGCCAAAGGTTGAGACCAAGGTCAAGGTGTTGGAAAGAAAGTACTGCGTTGGATGGGATATGCTGCACAATTTGAAGTTGAGCTCCAATTTGAACCCTCCCGTATCTGTAGTCAGCATCGAAGGGGGGAGGGGGCGGCGGGGAGAGAGGCAACTCGTTGCCCGCTTCGGGACATGGCCGTCCACAAGGTCAAGGTTCAGCTGATGATGAGTGGTGCGGCAAGACGCTTTCCGCGAGAAACAAACCTCGTGAAGAAGCGAGAAGCAACTTGAGAGACGCATACCATCATGGGCCTGAGACCTGGCGAATCAGACGGGGTGGGAAAAGGAGTCAGTGACCAGGCAGGACGGGCAGAGTTGCAAAATATCCCGATGGGCTGATGGCTGATGACTTGACCGACGGGAGAGGAGACTGAGACTGAGACTGAGTGACAGACTGAGAGACTGATTGGTTGGCGTATTGACTAAGTGACTGACTGACCGATTGACTGACTGAGTGATTGATTAATTGATTGCTTGATTGCTTGATGAATTAATTGATTGATTGACTCTCCCTCTATCGTGACGACGGATTTGGACGGGGCCCTCGACTCATGAGACCGCGGCAATGTTCGCCAATCTCAGACCATTTCTGCCCAGGTGGCTCCCGTAGGCCCCAGTGGCACCCACCAAGTACCTACCTGCAGCTTGCCCTCGCAATCCACTACCTGGGCACCTGACTGCTGGGTGTGCTGGGTGCTCTGGGTGCTCTGCCCCAGTCCTCAGGCAGTTTCTGGGCCTTGTAGTCTATGGATGGGGTGCCCGGCCTGTCTCTTGTCTATCTGCCTGTAAGTAATCAATAATCTGTCAGTCATCATACGGATACTCCCCCCCTTCTCCGATTACCTCGCACACCTGCGCAACCCGCAGATCGTCTGGCGCGCCCGTCCGCCCACCACCCAACGAGACAAGATCCCGAAGGGGCCCTGTTAGCCCTGGTTCGCCCTGGAGCCCCGGAACCTTGGGACATCCCCAGTTGGTCCAGATACCTTGCCAATCCTGGAACTTTGCAGTCGCCAGTCGCCATCCGCCCGCCCAGGAGGTCCAAACAGCCAACCAACGCTCTTCTGCGCCAAGCTTACCCAATTTACCCCCATGTAACCTCAGGCCGACGACGACCTGCCAACCTCAGACGACCGAACCGTCTTGTGTCTGTCTCTCTGGCTGTCTGTCTGACGGTCTATTGTCTATCTGACTGTCTATCTCCAACCTCACCCTCTGTGCCACAACCGAAGCATTCCATTTTCGGATTGCTGCTTGCGTCCTTTTATTTTTTTTTCTTTTCCTCCTTGGCCTGCCGGGCTCTCCTCTGTTCTCGATCCATCAGCAGTCCTGGGCACGCTCTCCTGAGCCCCAGGCCTTTGCCTCATCTCCTGCGATTCGCACCTGGCACTGGCGCTTAATACAACCCCGGAAGCCTACCCACCAGAAGCCATAGCTCCTAGACATCTCCGGGGTCTTCGCCGTCACTCCCATCACCTCCTCGGGCCATCTGCCACTCGCCCGCCGTTTCCCCACCTGGCCCGACCTCATCGCCGACCCGACTCCATCTCGATGGCGCCCCTACGCCTCTCATAGCGATGTCCTCACGACCCCCGATGGGCGTCCCCCAGCGACAGCCCCCCTCGAGATCCCTCAGCGGTTCGAGCTCCCTGTCGCAACGGCCTGCCCATCAGCGCACGCTCTCGTCCCAATACATACCCTCTTCTCCCATACGCAACAACAACAACAACAGTACCACCAGCAACAGCAACATCTCCGCAGACTTCGCTGCCGACTCGAGCAGCCAGAACAGCAATGCCACACAAACACAGTACGGGACCCCGCGGAGGGGTGGCTCACGCCTCAGGCTGGAACTGTCGAACCAGGGCATCACACACTCCGGCTTCATCGAGTCTCCCACCAGCGCCGGCGCCCTCGACCCCTTCAAGTCCTTCGCACCCTCGAGGCCTGCCGCACCAAGCATGTCCGGCGACGTATCCGACTTGGGCGATATGAGCAGTCCCCAGACCTCGAGGGGCGCTCCGACTGCAGATAACGACAACAACCCCCTACCCATGCCGAGGCGTCGCACGCGCTTCGTGGTTCCCGATGTGAAGAAGGATGTGGCCGCGCCAGCTCCTGCCCCGGTGAAAAAGGACATCCGCCCCAAGCCATACACTGTCGAAGTCCCGCCAGCCGCGCCTCGCTATCTCGTGCTCAACGGCTCAGGCAAGGCCGACTCTTCGTCCAGAGCCGGGGCTTCAACCGCGCCTCCGACTGCGCACGCAGATTTTAACCCATGGACCGGCGACGGCCCCGAAGACCACTTCACCCAGACCTTTATACAAACCGGATTCTTTGATAAGGCGCCCGTGGCGCAGGCCGAGACTTCGTCAGCCAAGGGTGCCATATTCCCCAGTCTGAAACACAAGAGCGGACTGTACGCGCTCTCAACCGTTTTCACAGGCATCCTCGGGTCAAGACGACACAACGGCCAGATCAACTCTGCTTCAACCTTCAAGCCGCCTCCCCGTGTGACCGTCACGGATACAAAAAGGGAGGCCTGGCTCAAGGATCTTGCCAACCCGACGACCTCACTTCGCCGACTGAGCAGAACAATACCGCATGGCATCAGGGGCAAGGGACTCCTGGAACAGTGCCTCAACAAGAATATCCCGACCGATCGTGCTGTCTGGCTGGCCAAGTGCGTGGGAGCAAATGAGGTCAGGGCCTTCAAGCGAAAGGGCGTCAACGGCGCCGTTGTTATGGGTGGAGAGGCCAAGTGGGTGCGAGATTGGACCATGTTCGTTGAACAATTCGTCGATGGTGTTGTGTCGTCATTTGAGGATGCCGAATGGAAGGCCAAAGTCAACTATGCGTGAGTACTCCTCTTTTGCTTCCGTACCGCGAGTGCGCGCTGACGTCCTACAGACTACGCCTTGCTACACATTTATACGCCGAGCATCTCCTGGACCGCGAGCATTACATGGAATGGCTGGTCTCTGGGCTCGAGAATTGTTCCCAAGCGAAATTGCCCATGTGGCTCTTGGTCACACAGATATACTGGAAAGATCTCTTGAGGCTTAGAAAATATGGTCGGCGCCTTGTTGCCGCCCTGCTCAACCAGAACACGACTGTGAGGACACACCCCCACACAATATCACCTCGAGACCGTGACTGACCTCGAGAACAGATTCAAAATCATCCCGATCATGACATCTTGGCTCCCCTGTCATCGAGAATTGCAATTTTGCTAAAAACGTTGATGATCTCAAGCGCGACCAACTTTATCTCTCCTTCAACATGGGCCAAGCATCGGGATACCCTATCCTCAGTCTTGCCTGCGGATGACGAGATGGTTCAAGCGGCGTACCGAGGGATACACGCACGCAATGAGCAGCTTGTGTCTAGCGTTCGGGCACCACCTGCAACGCGGCACGTGATGGTCAAGATGCTTGATGGGACTCTTCAGACGCCGATGCCAGATGACTTACCGACAAAATGCTGGAACATGTCAGTAGACCAGAGCACACTTGCCAGAACAACCCTGGAGTGGTGTACCTCATTGTACCGTCCTGGTGTGGCCAGGGTCTACGTTACATGTCGCCTCCTTTCCACGTGGATGACTTTTGGCTTGGACACGACTGCTGCAGTTCTGGAGTTCATGAATTCCGATCCACTGGAGGAGCTTGAACGGAAGACGTCCCTGTATCACCTGGTCTCCGAGCTTGTCCACTCTGGCTCTTTTGACCCCCTTATTTATGTTCAGTGGCTTATAGCCCGCGGTGGACTGCACGATTCGGACAGCGTTATGCGAGACGGGCCTGCGAGCAGCCGACTCCTTGTCGAGCTACCCCTTCATGCCCTCTCCCCATCGCTGAGCAGTATGCGTGCTAATATGCTTGGGAGAGCATCATATAGTGTGGAAGATGAGGCGAAGGATCAAGAGATGGCCATCAATTGCATCAAAAGCAGCCTTGGGCTTCACTGGAACCCTGCTCCGAAAAGTAGCGCTATCCCTCTTGGCAAACTCTGCAAAAGGGTCAGTCTGAGCAGTCGTTCATTGAAGACAGAGATCGGCCAGTTTATCCGACGAACTTACGTACACGGAATGGTGCAAGGCCAACTAGCCGGGAAGGAGAGCCTTCAACTTCCCGTCACCACGTTCAACGGTGTCAGATCCGTTCTCGAAGCCGCAGAGGATTTCCAAACTTTGGCGGATCTTCTGAAGACAACGACGGGCTTCTACGATGCTGACATATTATCATCTTCCGCCGATACCCTGAACTTGCATCTCCCAGTCTTTGGAGCTCTCAATGTCGCGAAGGGTCTGTTTGATACCCTTTTGGGGAGGCTCGAAAACATCAAGCAGATACAGGGTCTCGCCGGGACACGCCCTCTACTGACCTCAATGGCTATACTAGCGCCTCGGATACCAGGGCAAGAAGCCCTTGTCAGCTATCTCAATGAGACTATTCGCAACGATCGGAGCAGTGCGGTCGACGCGTCCTCACCCGTCAGTGATAACATGGCCGCTCGAATCCAGGACGAGGAAGGCGAGCTTCTGGACGAGATCGAAAAAAGGCTTGCGAACAAAACGAGCATGGATCGCACTACAATGAACAGCTTCTTGAACAAGATCATTCCCAAGGTCCAGGCATGCTGGGGCACGGTGGATGAGAGGCTACGGGCGTACAGTTCCCTGCTTACGAGGTTGCGGCATTTTGACGTGCAGCATTTCGACTCGTTCATGACCAAATGGGTTCTAGGAATTCGCAACCCCCAGACTCGGCCATCCCTCTCTCGAATATTTCCCCTCATGATCAGCGTGGGATGTCTCAACCTCTCTATTATCCTGACTACGACGGGAGATGCTGCGTCTGCTACGGGGAGTCCTTACCCCGCTGGTAAAACTTCTGGGCCGCTGTCGACATACGTACAGGAGGTGCTAGAGATGCTGACTATGCCAGCTTCGAAAGAGCTCTTGACGCCGGAGGAGATATATCGGTTCAAAATTTTGCAAAACCAGGCACCAAAGTCACACCTCAAGGAATTGGTCGCCCTTGTGCGTAATGCTTTGACGGAATTCTGTACTTTCCAGGCTCGTGGAGGGTCCGAGACAGCTCCATTGGCCGACTCCCGCGCTCAAGGTCGACTTCTCTGCTTCCTCAGAACGCTTGTTCTCTCTGATCAAGCTGTGGTGCCCAAGCTGTTGCCCATGAAAACAGCGGATCCAGCCGTGGTGCAGATGATGGACGACATCACAACACGGCTTCTGCTCCCGCACGCTTCCGAAGGAACTCAAATTACCTTTGACCAGGTCCTTGGACTCGCGAACGAGCTTACTTTGCCTTTCTGTCAATTGAAGCTGTCTCAAGGTTTTGGGTCCACCGACACCTCCAGTGCCACCGCGCAGGATCGGCAAGCCAATCAGCTCGAGATTTTCACAAAAGCCATGGACAACGCCATCGATGCACGCAACATAACGTGGACAGGGATGCTTCCTACTCTCAGTCCCGAGATCACCCAGCACCTGCTCAACCGAGCACAGACTCGTTTCTTCGACCTCTTGCCTTCCAAGGAACGGCCCCAACCCCCTCCTGGTAGTGTTGCTGCGGCAGAAAGTCTGCTGTCCGTCATCGACACAATCGGCCGTGGTGGCCTGATGGGATCTCGGTCACCACTTCAGCTTGCTTCTGCTACAGTCGACCGGCTGGCTGACCTGTGGGAGCTCTTGGCGTTACCATCTGAGTCGGACGTCAAAGTCACTATTCTCGTCAACTGGCTCCCACTCATGTTGTCGTACCTGACACTTCAAGCGCATGTCCACGACGCTGCTAATAAGGCATGCAATGAGGTCCGCGGGCGAGCGTTGCTTGTCTTGTCTGGGATAATACAGGAGCTTGATGGCCTAGTATCGCTGTCTACCTGCGACCCGCGTGTGCCATCAAATCAGGCCGTGTATCTCATCCACCGCGTCTTCGACCTCGCCTTGATTTTGGTCGACAATTTATCCGAAGAGATCCGCCAGCAGTGTGTTCGCGTCCTAAAAGAAGCGCTTTCGGACTCACGGCTCAAGTACATCTTTAGTTCTACACCGGCGCCACTTGAGAACTTCATGCTGTCTCACAAGGACAAGCCGGCCACGCCCCAGCAGCCGCAGAGCCAGGGCAGCCAGGGCAGCCAGCAAGCTCAGCAGCAACGGCCGCGTGGCGCAGGGTTCCTCGGTGTAGGCGCTGCTGGCGGCAACATCTGGGGCAACGCCGTCGGCCCAGGTGGGCAGGGGCAAGAGAAGCTGAGCGCGTTCACTTTCAAGAGATGGGAAATCCTGAACGAGCCCACATCCAACGTGGGCGAGAACAATACAAGCTTGAGCTTGACGCTTTTCGAAGCCATCAAGCTGCACTAAAGAACACCTGAAGGAAGTGAGAGGGAGAGGAGAGCGCGTTTGTTATTTATTAGATGGGAGGCATGTTTGGTGGATGAACCATGCATATGGGATTTCCGATTTCTCAATGGCAGGCGCGCGTGCATATTATACACACTGTCGTTCATGAAATTACGGCGTCATGATCAGTTTTCCTGAATTTCTCATTTGTTTGTTTGGGGTGGTGGAAGGCAAGTCTGGGATGACGGGTGCATAGCATTACTGGGGCGGTTGGGATCATCGGGAACCCACTTCATACATGTTTGGACGCATTCTCCTTTGTAACATAGGCCACGCAGGCGGACGGACTTCTCTTGTGCCGTCCTCACTGTTGATGGACCTCGGCGTTTGGCTCCTGGTTGTTGTTGGGCCCATTACTGGGTTCTAGTCAACTTGATACTTCATAATATGACGGAGATACCATGATGGGACAAATCTTTTCTCTGGCCATTGAATCGTGCTTGCTTTGATGGACGTCGGACCCCACTGTTCTACTCGTGCGGTCGGCTCACCGTGTACGCAAGTACAAAGCTGGATTGGGCCGAGCAATTCACGTGAAGGAGCGGGCAGTGAATATGCTTCGGGCGATTGGACGTCAGCAAAGGCGATTCTATCTGGTATCAGGCGACGTGTTGAACCATTTCTTCCCGATGTCTCGTTTTCTATTAATTCTGTTTTCTGGAGGGTGCCCATGTGACTGTGCTCTGTACATATGGGGTTTGATAAACAGGCACAATTCGCTAAGGAAATGGAGATCAAAGGCATCCTTTTGCCGTATCTCACGGAGTAACTGATGATGGAGCTGCTGTGCTCTTCCTAACCGTGTATCGCAGAGTCAGGGTATACAGTGAAGCTCATAGTGCGAGCACGTGGATGCTTCGATAAGCACAAGGTAAACGACTACCTCTTTGGATGTGACACCCCTAACCAACGTCCAAAACATGTGCGGCTACTTAAAGCTCTATTCATATCTTTTTGAGCAGTCAAATTTATCTCTCTTTCCCCAAGTACGGTGTCAACGGCAAGGGCCTTCTCGACTTTCTTGCGTTTCTCTTCTGTCGATTATCCCCAGCACTTATTGAGGCCTTGTCCATGGTAGAGAATCTTGTCTCTATAGACACACTACACTATATTTAGAAGCTTGAAGAAAGATATCAAATGTTGTTTCAAGCAGAAAGCCTCGTACTGATACGCCTTCCAGTAGTAAATTCGGCCCCGCTGCGTTCGGAAGTCAACGTGAAAAGTTTATTCAATAAGTTTCTATTGATGCTAAGGAGTTTCTAAGCGACTCAACAAAACAGAGCATCCATTAGCTGGCAGTATATCTCGGGTCGGAGTCATTCTCATAGTAGATTAACCATGTCCTCCATTAGAAGACGCAGCATAATTCAGACAGCCTGCCAGTGCCAATCCCTTTCCCTTCCAATATTCGACCCGAGGAGGCATTCAACGAGCCAGTAGGAGGACTTGCTCCTCTCACTGGCAGGTCATTAGTAGGTTGGAGGCGAGGTAGCCGCAAGCACCGTTGTTGGTATCCGCGGCAATCTTTGATTTGTGTCAGTGTGTGTCAAACCGTCATCACTATGGGTTAGGACTGAAGGGGTTGCGTACATTGATGAATCCACCGTCTCCATTTCCCTTGAACTCGCCACCGCTCTTCAGATAGAAGCAGTCGTAGCTAAGTAGGAAATCATAATCAGCATCACTGGTGTCACTAGAAGGACAGTCCCACTTGCAGGGACTCAAAGACGGCTGAGGGAACTTACTCAGTCTTGAGCTTGCCAGAGGTCACTTCAAGGCTGACAATATCGCTCCTCTTGGCGGGATCGTTGACCATGTAGCCCTGGTTGTAGCACACAGCGCCCTTGAAGGACGGGTCGGACTTGTAGTTGGCAGCCATCCGGGCCACGGCGTCTTGGGTGAACTGCTCGCGCACCTATTATACCGTTAGGAGAAGGCTCATCATCGAAGTTCAAGGTGCAGGCGCAGAGAGAATTAGACTCACCTTGTCCCAGGAAGAGGTATCCTTGATCAGGCCCTTGAGGGTATTCAGGCCCTCAGTGGTGGCCCACCCGGCGGCGGCCGAGGTAACACCGGTAATAATGGAGATGGTGATGGGATCCAGACGCTTCTCGACCTGACCGGACGCTGAAGTCTCACTCTGGTCCACTGGAGCAGCCGTGGCAGCGAGGAAGAAGGTGGCGGCAGCGAAGAAACGCATCTTGAAGTTGAAGCGGGTTGAAGTCTAAGTGTAGGTGGTGGAAGAGGAGTAGGCAAGGCTGTGCTTGATGCTGTTGAAGGCTAATGATGCGGATGGTGTTGATGATGTCGAGATCAAGTGGACCAAGGCAGACTGGCGACGGCACTTATATATGTATTTACGCATGGCCAGCGAAGAGCCATCTTTGGTGTTGATATATTCTCTTCATCGCCAAGTTCAGAGGAATCTGCCGTTGAGCGTCCTTTGGAACATTGTTGCGCCGTTGACCAAAGGCTGGCGTCTACTCGAGGCTTGGCTGATAGATTCTCAACGACCAATCGCAGACTGCAAAATGAATTCACTACTAGGAAAGTCCAGATGAGAGCCTTCTCCGGCAGTTGTGGCGCCGAGGACCCGGCTCGACTAGAGCAGTACATTGCGCCAAGGCCAACCATAGTGGACTATTCACCGTTGACTTCATAGCCCGAGGACGTTCAGGTCAATTCTCGGCCGACATAAATTTATCGGACAACGGTTCAGGTGCCCGCTGGACCAAAGCTTATTTCACCTCCCCTGGGCGCAGCGCGCCAGGAAATTTGGACGATCTGCTGCCACACAGATGCATGGTTCGCGGGAGGCCTTCTAGCTGCCGTTCCCGTCCTTCGGGAGCCAATCGCGCTGCCGCCCTGGATCCCCCACACCAAACACTTCCTCCCTGCATGTTGCAGCCCGCCCTGCTCAACCTTAAGCACTCAGCCTCAGCCCATTCAGCCCTCTGTGCCATCGAATGCTTGGATAAACATAGGATCATCGCATGCGGGCTCCAGGCCTAGACTTCATCATAGCATGATGATCGAGTCAGTCTAAGCCAGATCTCAAGCGCCGGAAGATTGCTCTTCCCTGCATAAGGAATGTTTGTTTGTTCTGATCAAACAAGCAACGTATGTACTAGTTACCTACAAAACCTACTATGATAACACCAGGTGAACAAAACAACTCTTCTTTAAAGGCCTTCACAAAGTATCCGTGGAGGGCCTTTGAAAATCTGCATTTCGAAAGATCATTAATCCTCACAACAAGAACTTGATCTTGAGGCACAGCGCAGGCCATGCTTAGGTGTGAAAGGGGTGTTGTCTTCTCCAGTACAAAACCATGGCACTCAATCTAGCGCATAATAAGCTTAATCCTGAAAACAACGGCAGATAGATAGTCGATCGTACTATGCAGTTTGTTGTAGCAAAATTGTCAATCAAAGCATATTAAGCGGGGGCTGGTTTACGTGAATCTTACTTCATTGCGTCAAGCTGGGAGCCTCCATGCTGTAGTGTCCGTGCTCGCACGAGCTCGCCGGGAAGCGTTTCAATGCGGCTGCTTATATCTATACGTAAATCTTAGTTTCTACCGCGGCCTAGCCGGTGCTAAGAACAGAAACAAGGCTTAGCTAGAAACACTGATATCTTCGGATGAATGATTCGCTGGTAATACGCGTACGGAGAACAGCAGGAACAACCAAAAGTCAGACTCGATGCATTGTCAAGAGTCATACCGAGAGTCAAAAAGGAGAGAGAAAAAGAAATAAGAACACAGCTGTAGACTGATCATAGAGTTTTGAGACCTTCGGTCAAATCGGCAGAGTTTGCCACCATGACCCCCAAAAAGCACAGAAAGAAACTGAATTTAATGAAATTTTGTGCTATTATGTTTGCCATGTATGGGCGCAGAAAGGATGATTTTTTAAAGAATACAATCATGGAATGATAATAAGGTTCCGAAATAAATGCGACCACCTATAGATCTACTTGTTTGCTAGGGCTAGCAACTCTTTCTCTATTCTTCCAAGCGGATTGTACTCCGCCATGGCCTTGCTAAGCTCCTCACACCTCAATTTATATTTTTCATTCCCGAGCACTTCATTCACACCCTTCAGGACCTGCTCCGGGGTAGGGGAGCCGGTCCCTAGTGAAATACCCACACCGGCCCATGTTGCCCGGGCCGCAATCTCAGGCTTGTCCTCAGTTACTCCGGCCAAGACTGTCGGGACTGCATTTGCGATGCCATGCTGGAAGCCACCATAGCCACCATTCTGTACCCAAACGTCGGCATATGGTAGGATAGCGTCGTATAAAAGGAAGTCGGCCACACGAGCGTTACTAGGAAGCTCGGTGAGTCCGTGTTGTCCCAGTTTCAACACAGCACCCTTCTTCCCAAGAATAGCAACAGTAAGGATGTTGTTTTGGTCTTTCATCCCTGCGACTGTTGGTAATATCAAGTCGTTAAAATTATTCGCGAACGTCCCCTGGGACACCACGATAATTGACTTTTTCCGAGGATCGTCAGGAGACAAGGAAGCATTGGCAATGATATCCTGCCACCACTCCGGATATTGATAGTCTTTCGGGATGGCCTTCCTGCCCAGTCCGCCTGCAAACTGGATATGGGAGGGAAGATCGCTCCTGGGGAATTCGACCTGAGGGCCGCACATTTGCAGCACCTTGTCGTAAACACGAGGATGGTAAGTGATGTTGAAGCCCATATATTCAGTCCCTGGCTTTGGCACCCATTCCTCTTCTGCGCCCGCTTCGATCATATACCGCCTCATGGCTTTCAGCGCATTCTTCAGGACGAAGTTACGTATAAGCCCATGAAGCATTTGGTTCCTCGCCCTTCCAGACGGTGTCGAGTCCGGCGGCAGCCCGGTCCCGAACGGCCCAACATCGACACTCTCAAAAGTGAGTGGGACCACGTTGAGTCCTAGAACTGGCGGAACTTTGGACTCTGCGATTTTGGCATCTGAAACCAATCTTAGGGGCAGAATTCCCAGGATTGAGTTTTCGGCCAGAATCACCACCTCGTGGGCACCTGTGCGCCCTGTCCGTTCCCGTATGTGATCCACTGCTTTTCTGATGGACCTCGCCTGGGCTGGTATGTATGGCATAAAAATATGCTCCAGGTCGTATGCCAATGTCTCAAGGCCTGGCTCGAGTTGCAGTCTCTCGGGGAACTTGCCCTCGGGGCTGCCTGCCAGGGCAAGGTCGTACTGACACCAGTCACACTCCTTCTCCAAGGCAAGAAAATGGGCACCGATCGCTTCGATCTGCGGCTTGAAATAGGACGCTTGGAGGATAGTCACATCAAACCCACGAGAGATGAGATGCTGTGTTATGTGTAGGACTGGCATGAAGTGCCCGACTGCAGCCCCCGCTATGGCGAGGATAGCAGGCTTCTTTCCTTGTTCTTCAAGGTTTTCCATTTTCGGATTAATTTCAGGAAACCCGGTGAACTGTAAACTCGTTTGCAGTCAAAATGGGAGTTATTTCTGCGGCGATGAATCTTTTCGGCGGTTGTTCTCAGGTAAGTCAGTATAGCAAATATGTCATTGCAAAGGCAGTAGTGATACAGCATCAGGGACTCAAAATTTCAGTGTTGGTTCTACCTTGTATGGATTCACCGGTTAACAATTTTTTGAGTGGGAATCTGAGAGAATTGCAATTGTAAGGTATAAGCAACACTCGGAAGAGCCCCTCCACGGTATCCAATTAGTGGACTGGGTCACAACACGGAACGTCTATCTGTGGTATACGAGTCCTGGCCATTCGCTTCTCACCGCCAATTGCGTACTCTGACTCGATATTCTGATGTGATCTGACCTCTGGTGGTGCGCAGTGATGCCAACTGTCACCTCCCCTCCCCGACCTCATGGCGCCAGACGATAGTCCTGCCCCACAGGCCATTGTCTACATGGAGGTATTCCGGGCATAGAATCTTAGTAAGGGTTGAGCGCCTTGCAAGGCAAATGTGGATCAGGTCCGAAAGTCTAATACAAGAGTCCTAGTCGGTATGGCTGACTTACTAGTCTATTACCATCGCCATCGTACCAGGATGGCGTGGCTGAGTCTAAAGAGAGCAGTGGGCCCTTACTTCCCTGTGCAAATAAGTCTGCGGCTCTGCGGGGATCAACTGGCATGGTGTCAGAAGTCCATGCTGTATGCATCTATTGGGATTACACCAAGCTGTTTACAGGCCGAGAAGCCGCGCACTATAGCTTCCTGACTGACGCACGCGAACTTTAAATGGCTGTGGAGATTGTGGGCCACGGTCACATCTTACATGGGCCGACATTCACGCGCGGGCCGGACTCGACAATTTCCCGATGAACACTGTTTGTGCATGCATGTGTACATTGGCAGAATATACGACAAGGTGAGTCAGTTCCGACTGCCACAGCTTGGCAATGTGTAAATTCACAAGTGGTTCTCCGGCCGACCGAGGTTTCCCACCTCCGCCTCCCCCACCCCTTTAGCTTTAGAGGATTATATGTAAGAAGATGTACTCTGCCAGAGTATCCACTTTTGCAGAATATTGCATAGTCGTATAAATGAATACTTGCGTGTTTTCACAGCCAATCCCTTGTTAAGATTCTATAGTAAGCTCTACAAGATCGATTTGGCCTATGCAGCCCTACGAGAATCATTGTAGACAAGTTATGAACAATACATGTAGCAAAATCAACAGCGACATGGACTGTAGGCATGGTAAAGGATGGGCACTGTTCAATCAATGTTGAAATCACAAGTAGTATCGCGAATTTAATACACAACCCTCCTCAGCCTCACAACCGCATCCTTTGGCCGCCTCGTTAGTCCATCTCTTGCTGCATAACCAGAAAGAGCAGCTGGCACTGGCAAAAACTCGAAATGCCATATCAGCATCGTGAGAGAGTTGCGGAATTCAAATAGGCCGAGCCTTCTTCCAAAGCAACCTCTCTGCCCGAGCCCAAATGCGAGGAAAGGGCCGGAGTTGGGATCGTACACATACTCCTTCTCTCCTGTCTCATTGTTGATTGTCTCCTTCAACCAGCGCTCAGGGCGGAACTTAGACATGTCATCGGCCGCCCATTCGCCCGTTCTGGACCCATCCGATGATGGGTACCGCGATTTGCTGTCAATTCCCTCCACTGGAGGCGTCATCATGCTCGGGCCAAGAGTATGAGTAAAAACCACGGTGCCTTTTGGAATGTGAACACCAAGTATCTCTGTGTCCAACTCAGCGTCCCGTGCGAGGAAGGGTATAGGCGTGCCGAATCTGAGAACCTCGTCCATGACGGCGTCCAAGAACGGTATCTGTGTGTGGATAATCTCGTCGACCGTTGGTGGCCGTTTTTCCTTGAATGCGACCTCGTGTGCCTTGTGTAATGTATCCCGGAGCTTCTTCTGCAGCTCAGGATGGTTGGTTAGGTATTTCAGAGCCCATATCAGCGTGCTAGAACTGCTCTCATGGCCAGCCATGACGAAACCGAACACTTCCTCTATAATCACCGGTGTCACATACTCCGGTGATCGACCCTCTTTCGCAGCAAATTGCCTTACTCGACTGACGATCAGATCAACCGCACATCGCATCCATCCATCGTCATCACCTTGCCCCTGAAGTCTAGACACTGCCTTCTCGATCTCCCCAGTAACAAACCGGTCGCGAGCCGACCAGGCTTTGCGGATTTTGGCAGTCTTACTCAACCACCACCATGTGAAAGGTGGCACAACGCTGGACTGGAGCTTGTCCGTCATTTGCACCATCGTCAAGGTTGCGGCCAAGGCTTCGTGGACTTTCGCCTCCGGGAACTCAATAAGATGATCAGAATCGCCTTGTCTCAGTGCTGCAATCTCGTCTTTGGTAAGGCTGTTCAAAAGCTCGATTTGTGGCGTCAGGGCTCTCTCGGAGTAGCTGTTTCCATAGCTGAAAGCCACCACTGCGTCGAGCGCGAGATAATAAGCATCCAACTCCACGTTGAAAGGTCTGCCATCTGCAATTCTAGCCTTGGCTTCCCATAGCTCGATGATATTGTCAATTGCTTCGTAGACATGTGCCGCAGCAACATTGTGGATAAACGCAGGGGTCATCAGATCGCTCAATAGCTTTCTCTGAGCCCGCCACGCCGAGTTCGTCTTTTTCAGGATATGATGATGCACGCCGGCGCCGCCCAGAATGTCCCGAAAGATGCGAGATCGATCAAAGTCCTTCGGTCGGCTGAGCATCATGGCCTGTACCTCACGGAAGTCCGAGAGCAGCACGAATGGCTTCGCAAATGGCCGCACGAAGACCTGGCAGAAGGCGATGGACGATGTTTCTCGGTCTGCTGACGGAACCAGTCCATTGGCTCACCTGTTGCTGTTGCGTGTGCCGCTAGCGAAGGCATGTCTCCAAAGATGGACCTGGCTGCTTCTTTGTTGTACGGAATCCCGGGGATGGGTTTTGGTAAAAGGCGGACGTATAGCAGGTAGAGTGCTAGGAGGGCCGAGGCGAGGATGCCGACCAGAAGTGAAGGCGTCTCAAGCAAGAGACGTAGAGCAAACGGGCCTTCCATTGTGTGGGTTGTCTAATTGCCTGCAATGAGCTTTGGAATTGATCACTATCCTTTGTGCGATCTTAGACTTGATACTCTTTTGATGATGTTAATCAGTCAACACGGAATGGGAATCGCTAAGTACTGCGCAACAGATTTCCATACTGACACAGCACTGGGACTGCAGTTCCATATTCGTTTAATGCATTGAACTGCGTCTCCGCATACTTGACTTTGATAGCCGCCCTTCCTTCCTTGAGGACTAACGGCCTATAGCGAAAGATACTTCAAGGTCCGGACCTTGATTAGAGCCACGGCTCGTTTTTACATTAGTCAAGGAACTTTGCGCACCTTACCTTAGGTATCAATTGTCAAATGTAGCACAATCGCCTTGAGTTTCGCTACGAAGAGACCGACGTTGCCACTCTGGAGATACAGACCACTGATAGCAATAACCAAGGACCGTTATTGACATCGATGCCCCAACATCTGATTTGGGTGGGGCGACTACAACCTCAACGAAGGAAACGTCCCGGCTTGACCGCCTCCTGTACCTCTACTTACACCTGGGCTTGGTGTCGGGGCACGTCGCTCTCGTGATTATCGCTATGTCTTGTAGTACACTGTGCACACCAAGACAATAGGCCCCACAAGCGCATTGTGGGGGTGATGCGTGAAAATGAAACAAGGGTCCAACTTACAAGTCGAGAATCCAGGGATTTCCGCTCGCAATGGCAAACCTTATTCTGACTTCAATTTTGAGTCAGACACTGCGTCCACATATATCTACACCGACATTACATACTGCATAGTAGAGAGAACCTCATGCAAATAGCGAGTTGTGGATATCTAGTCCTATTGCGGATCCAGAGCTGGACCACTTTAGAGTTTGGAGACTCTGCAGCTGACCCTGAATTCCGCCTTATTATGACTCAGGCGTTAGCAGTTTGCATTTTCAGGAGGTTCCATATTCCGCGCGGAGTAATTGTCGCATGCACAGTATTTGCATATCCTATGCGCCAAACGAAACCAGGTACAGCTCATGTCACAGAAGCGAATTTTGAATTAAGAGGTATCGTGCTTTGGGAGTTGCAAACACTCAGCGCAATGAGGAACGGGGTAGGAGGGGTTCCACCAAATTAGACAGAAAGTGAACCATGGCTACCATTTAACTCCATGATCAAATGTGCTGAGCTTCATTTGGTAATACTCCCAAAATGGAGTTGCCCTATAGCCTCAAAGCGGTTCTCGATGCGTACTTATGTGATTTCTCATCGTTTGGGACCGATTGTGGTGTAGAATAGTTCTCAGATTCTATTCCCTAAGTTTATATATCACTAAAAATTGAGAATCAAGTGCTAGCTCGAAATAAGACTTCTTCAAGATAGACTTGACACCACGGCCAATGACTTTCCCATTTTCTTAAGACCTGGCTCGTACAGGAGCCATGCAGAATTGTTTCTTTCGCACGCCTTGGCTTTTCAAGCTCTTTTCAAGCGCACATAACAGAAGTCCGGCCTGTTGGTCAAATTATCATGCGCCTTGTACGATGATAGCTCGTCTCCACAAGGAAGCAACTCGAATCGCCACACTATGAGCGATACTAGCAACTTGAGAGTCACATAAGCCAGCCTTCTTCCAAAACAACCTCGTGGACCGAGGCTGAAAGCCATCATAGGCCCTGCCGTAGGATTGAATGCCATGCCGTCGAAGTTGGGCGTTCCTTTCTCAGCTGGGATCAACCACCTCTCTGGTACAAATGCCGCCATCTGCCCATCCTCAGCCCATTCACCAACCCTTCCTTTCGCTTCCCGGCACTCATCCGTCCGTAAGCTCTCAGAGATGGGCAGTTTTGGTGTGAACATGGATGGCCCATTCGCAAGCATGAAGACTTGTGTGCCCTTGGGAATATGACATCCGAGGATCTGTGTGTCCACAACCGCCTGCCGCACTAGACCAGGTACAGGCTGGGCTACTCGAAGCATCTCTTCGATGACCGCGTCGAGATATGGCATGGGTGTACGGATGATCTCATCAACTGTAGGCAGTCGATCCTCGGCAACAGCTGCAGGCATTGCTTCACGGAGTTGTCTGCGAAGGTTCGCCTGTATTAACGGGTTATCTGCCAGGCGCTTGACTCCCCAGCAGACCGTTGTCGAAGACGTATCGTGTCCAGCCGAGATGAAGGTAAGTACCTCGTCGTAGACCATCCTACGATGGAATTCAGGCTGTCGCCCTTCCTTCTCCGCGATACTTGCCTCCTTCAACAGTATGTGATCCAATGCGGAGATCATGGCTGACGCCTCAAGCTTGCCACTTCTGAGACGCTCAACAGATTCATCGATCTCCTTTCTGAAGACAGCGTCCTTCCTTGCAATCGCGCTTTTGACGCTCTCCCGCCTCAACATGAACCACCACCTTACTCTTGGCGATACCGAGGCCAGAACTTTTTCGTATATAATACTCAAGTCGCGAATTGCCTCCACGAAAACATCAGTGATAGGCGATTTGGGAAATACGACAGGCTTCCCTTTCTCAAGTGGTACGTCCGTCTCCTTCATCTGTGAGTAGAAGGCGATCCTAGACTTCGTAGCGTTATGCTCGAACTTGTCACTAAAAGTGAAGCTGGTAACGGCATCTAGAGCACTGTAATATACATCATCGATGGCTTCAAACGGCTGGCCTCGAGCCAGTCGCATTTTCTCTTCCCACAGGGTAAGGTGCTTGCACAGATTTGCGTACAAGTTCGGTGCAGCCACATTGAAGAGGAATCCAGGGCTCATCAGGTCGCCGAGGATCTTTCGATGATATCTGAACTTGGCATCGGATTTGAACATTATATGTCCCTCGGGAGTGAGTGCGCCCATGGTCTCTTCGAAAAAGTCCGCTCGGTCGAACTCTTTATGACGATGGACGAGAATATCATGAGCCTCCCTGTAATCGGCAACAATAACGTGAGGACGGCCGAGAGGCGACTGTAATTTTGTCAGTATTTTCTTTTCCGTTCCGGGTGTTTGCCACAAATACGAGACATCAGGCGCTTTATTAGGCCCATTCGGAATTTGTTCAAGATGGCAGAATGCTTGTATTTATTTCAACTCACCATGAAGACTTGAATAAGCGGCGATTGAAACTTGTGGACTTCATTCGTAAGCCACTCCCAGAAAAGGCCAGTTTCTTTATGGAATTTCCCCATTTCGGGAAGGTCTCCCAGAACTCGTTTTGCCGCATGTTTATTGTAAGGAATTCCTGACAACGGTTTCGGCAATGCCAGTCGATGAAGGAACAAAAACAACAGGCTCCCTAGGCAGATGGTGGCAAGAAGCCACGGTGTAGAGAGAGTATTCAATAGGAATGGCATGGTGCAGAGATTACTTGAATACCGAATGGTGGCGAGGAGCAAATGCAGCTGGCTCGATGTGATGTATGACGAGCCGATGATATTTCTGCGGAAAATAATATGAGACTTGGCTATCTTCAAGAGTGATTGGGGTAGGAAAACTCTAATTGGGACGTTTCTAGATTGGGTTTCCTTCGAAGAGGGTTCTGGGACACACTAAAGGGAATGGGAACACACGGTACCCACTGAATCGAATAGAGTGTTGACCCGAACTTGATCGGGGATATGTCGTTATCATGCATATCTATACTCTGTAAATGCAAACCACACAGTATCCCTTTCAACCAAGCATTTTGACCCTGCTTCGACTGGGCAATGAACCACCATTACGACAGAATCATCTGAAAATCCTCGTGGCTCTACCAACAGCACATCCCACACGCTGGAAGTATGTATTCCCACAACAGCAGCCAGTCAACCATTCATGCCGGCGAGACTTTGCAAAATGCCGTGTCTCACGCACTCGCTTCTCAATGGCGGCTCTTATCCATAATCTCAATTCTGGTATTTGCATTGTATATTTTGAGGTTCTGGATACAAGAGAATGGGGCGAATGAGATCATTGCCTTGGAGCATTCACATCTAGAGCCCATTCCAGGACCGAAGCGTGAGTATCACAACGCAACACAAAACCACTCAGGCTGACCAGGGTCACATTCATTATAGCTCTTCCTATTCTGGGAAACGCCCTCATTCTAGACATCAATGACCTCGTGGGATCCATCTTGAAAATTGCTTACCATTACCGTATGTGTCTGTGTCTATCCTCTGCAAGTGTGCCATGTTCTTCTAATACACTTGCAGGCCCTATATTCTCACTCACCCTATTGGGAAAACGGGAGGTCTTCGTCAGCAGCCCGGAGCTTTGCCGCGAGCTCTGTGACGAGCGAAGATTCCATAAACTCGTTACCAAAGGCTTAGAGCGGCTACGACCAGTGACTGGCGATGGACTCTTCACAGCATCCGACGGAAATCACGCTTGGGGAGTTGCACATCGTCTTCTCATGCCTCATTTTGGAACTTTCCAGATCAGAGATATGTTCGATGACATGATTGATATTGCGCAGCAGCTTTGTATGAAATGGGCTCGGATGGAGCCGTGGTCCACGCTCGACTTACAATCCGATTTCACGCGACTCACCCTGGATACTGTTGCATTGACATGCCTAGATTATCGATTCAACAGCTTTTATCGCCATGATAGTCTGCACCCTTTCGTGCAAAACGTGGATTTGGTACTCGCCGAAGCGGCGACGAGGGCCACACTACCAGACTGGGTAATATCCCTTCGCTATAGCAAGCAACGAGAGTTTGAAAGGTCGACAAAATATTTGTTCGAAACGTGTCAAGGAATGATTGACGCTCGTCGGGCTCAAGGAGAGGGGAACTGTAGGAAAGATGTCCTGAGCGCACTGGTTTTCGGCAGAGACCCCAAAACCGGAGATCAACTGAGTGATGAGAATATCATACACAACATACTCACTTTTCTAAGCGCCGGCCACGAGACGACATCAGCCACGTTGACTCTTGTCTGCTACTATTTGTGTGAACATCCCGAAGCACTCGCTAAAGCTCGTGCAGAGGTTGATGCTGTCCTTGATACGCAATCCCTCACTGTTCAACACATGCAGAAGCTCCCATATCTCGAGGCTGTCCTCCGGGAAACAATGCGTCTAGCACCCACAGCACCAGCATTCTTTGTCACAGCTTACAAGGATGAAACCCTCGGTGGCGGCAAGTACCTTGTCCATAAGGGTGAGAGCTTGTGCATCGCCCTGGAGGTGTTGCAGCGAGATGAGAGATTCTACGGGTCCGATGCAACTGAGTTTCGTCCGGAGAGAATGCTGAATGAAGAGTTTGAGAAGCTGGACGAGTATGCATTCAGTGAGTCAACAATATTCAAATCATACAATGGCTTCCAACCACTAATCATAGGGATTGAGTGACTGTATGGGGCGCGGTCCCGATACAGCACCCTCAATCTCGCATTGTGCAGAACCATTTGGAAACGGGCTGAGAGGCTGCATTGGAAAAACATTTGTATGGCAAGAGTCATTGATTGTAAGGAAAACTGTTTTCGAAATCAAATCAAAAGAAGGAAAAGCCTCGGGAACTGACCGAATATCGAACAGATACTTGCCATGCTCATTCAGAATTTCGATATCCGAAAGACCGATCCATCATACAAATTAAAGCTACGTTCAGATCTCTCAGTCAAGCCTGATGGTTTCTCCATGCAGGCAAAGCGTCGAGAAGGACTGACCGCCACAGACATCAGCCGAAGGCTGAGTGGTGCATGGCAGGCCAGCGCACTTGATGCCAATAAATCTCCGCAATGGGGTTCAATTAACTGGCAAAATGAGGCCTTGACAGGACAGCTAGTCACAATTTTGCATGGCTCAAATACAGGGACATGTGAGGCACTCGCTTTACAGTTGGCTGCTGCTGCCACTGCCCAGGGCTTCGCGCCCCATGTTGTAGACAACATGAACTCGGCTCCCCATCGGATTGCTGCTTTGGCAGAAGGGCCAATAATCATGATTGTCGCGTCTTACAATGGCCTACCAGCAGACAACACTGTTGAGATGATTCATTTTCTTGAAGAACAGATATCATGCGGCTCTCAAAGCAAGCTCAAGGGTGTCAACTTCGCGGTATTTGGATGTGGTGAGTGCTCGGCGGGCGGGAAGCAATGACTAGCTTGTGATCCTTTACCTCTGTTATGCTTGGAAGACCATGAGGTTCCAAAGCTGACACATTTCATTTTGCTACAAAATAGGCCACCGAGATTGGAAAGAAACTTATCAAAAAGTTCCATTGCAAGTCGAGGACCTTATGCTGAAAGCAGGCGCCTCGAGAATCACACAGATGGGAGTCACAGACGCCGCGTCTAGCGATCTGTTCTCGGATCTTGAGAGTTGGAGCGGCAATTGCCTGTTCCCAGCTCTCTGTACAAGCTACAATGTCAGGCCAGACAATGTCAACCGACTTTCCATCGACGGTAAAAGCAATATGGTAGCGCCACCAGACGCAATCGCGGTCACCACGGGTTTGCCAGCCCACGTCATGCAACGAACTGGTTTCGTCCCAGCAATCGTTACAGAACGACAGCAGATGTCCTCTTCTCAATTGCCTTCAGATGTGCCATCAAAACATCATATCGAGCTACGCCTTGCAAAAGGGGATAAGCTGATTTATGCGCCTGGCGACCATGTCTTGGTGCTACCTCGAAACGACCCTGCGTTGGTGGCCCGAGTTCTTGGCCGCTTTGAGCTCGCCTGGGATACGATTGTGACCATCAACTTCGCCAGAAGGTTAGGTCTAAAAGGGAAGACCGAGATGACTGCCTCAGAACTTTTCGCGGTGTACGTGGATCTGGGCCAGCGATTGACACCAAGAGCAAGTGTAACCCATGCTCATAGCCAATTATGGCACATGCTAACTGACTTGTAGCATATAAACACGCTCTCAAGCCTTGCTGAGGATCCCGCTCACAGTGCGATATTGGCTTCCCTGCTCGCTGATGTCAAAAAACCAGAATCTCACACGCTGCCTCTGCTGGACGCCTTAGATATTCTACCCAATTTTCCTCTTTCTTTATCTGTCTTCCTCAACATGCTCTCGCCCATGCGCCCAAGAACATACTCAGCCTCGAGTTCGCCAAGTTTCAGACCAGGACATATTACACTCACACTTTCAGTGTCCATCAGAGGCACTGCGTCAAATTATTTAGCAGGGACCCAGCCAGGACATGTTCTATACATTCGTGTCCAACCGAATCCTAGCCTCAGACCCCTGATCAATAGGCTCCAAGAGCACACGTTTGGTCAATCACCAGTCATCATGATCTGTGTGGGCTCAGGGCTCGCTATATTCAGAGGTCTTATTCAAGAAAGAACTCTCGCTGTGAAAAGAGGAGCATCGTCCAACTTGACCTCGAGCAGTGTTCCAATATGGCATCTCTTCTACGGCTGTCGAGGGCAAGATTTGGACGAGATGTATTCTTCCGACCTGCTGGAAGCAGAGGCCTTGGGATTCATGACCGTGAATCGATCCTACAGCCGCCATTCTAAGGAAGATACAAAGTACCCAAGATACATCACTGAGTCCTTGAAATCCCGGCTCAGCGAGATTGTCAATTTGTGGAACGCGAATGCAGTGGTATATGTCTGTGCAGGCAAAGCAGTGGCAGATTCGGTGTTCGCTATCCTGGGGCCTGAGCTTCTACATGCAGATAAGGAGAATGGTAACATTGAGCTTGAGGATGAGAGCCTGGGCAGTTGGAGACAGAAGCTTGGCTTAAAAGGAGATTCCCGGTGGAGGGGAAGATATGTCGAAGAGATTTTCAATTAGGTCATACAATTGTATTGCAGCCTTTGTACCACAAATTCATTTCCGCAATTGAGGGCTGAATAGAGTTTCTCATGATGAGCTGCATGCCAGGTCGTCAATTACAGCATCTCAGACCGTTCTATGAAAAATAATAGTAAATCAGAGCATTCAATTTCATTGAACTCCATCAGTCAATTCGCTGTACCTAAAGTTTTGGCCCTCTTGCCTCGAACAACAATATTGTTCCCACCACACGCCATTGTACATCTACAAATACATCTTCCAGGGGTCTGATTATCTCCATCACATCATCCTGAGCGTTATCGAACATACCCAGAGCATTGTGCCAAAACATGATAAAGCGGCCCATCAATGAGTGTCTCACACCCTTTCCCAGAATTGTCACACCTGCCAGCACCCCATTTTTGGGCTCAACGTGTTGTGCGAGAGAGCACAACGCGGCAGCTTTCCGGGATGGTGGACCAGGAAGGCAGTGCAGAAGCATGGTCGTGAATATATGGGTGAAACGAGATTGCGTGGGCGGTAAAAGTGTGTGTATGGAGTTTGACCTGATATCGCTGCTTGCTGGCGCTAGAAAATCGCCACAAACAGTGCGCACCTCCACGCCCGGATGTGCTGCGCGGCATCTCGCAGAAGCTGTCTCGAGGCAGGCGGGGTTGAGATCGAACAAAGTGACAGACGTATCCTCGGAAAGCGGGTCTGTATTGGCTACGAAGTAACCTGTTCCTACGCCGATATCGAGGATCCTAATGTTGTTCGACCGGGGGTCCAGTCCAGATTCTGGCTGTTGCAGCAATTTTTGATAAAGGTGTTCGATGATTGCTGCGGGACAACGCCAGACATAAGTGCAGTATAATCCAAGAACAAGCCGATCATAGACTATGTTGAGGAATACAGGACTGTAAACAGCAGCTCCAGCTGCTGTTGGCTTGTTGTTGATATCCGCAAGTCGATGCCCTAAGACAGCACTCAAGAATGAACTGAAGAAAGACGCCATGATCAAATTGAACTGATCTGGTACGCGAGAATGTTTGGCTGTCACAATATTACAGTCTTGTCAAGCCACTGAAGGTCGAATGGTGAAATCAATCGGATCTTGATGGACAACATGGGCTACCAAAGGATGAGCACTTCTAGGACAAAGATGATTTTGCCTCACTGGAGCAATGTTGGGCTGGAAGATTCCACTTCCTTGCACTAATTGCACGATCCGGGGCTCGCATGCAATATCATTGGCATGTGAAAAGCCCTATATACCTCTATAAGCCGTATCTTAAAAATCCATCTGCTGGGCATTAAGCACTGATGCTCAGGTGGATCCCGTAGCTATACACTAATATGTGGCCCATTGTTTTAACTTCAGCTTATGTGGTACAGAAACAAATGACTGTTTTGACCCTTAAGTCAGGCTCGGCTTCCTACAACATGCCGAAAAATGTGCCGGTGCACACGAAACACTACTCATGTTTTCGATTGGGTTGATACTCCCACGATCTTTTTGTATGCTCATCGCGTGACTTACTCAGAATTCTTCCTCTGCTGTAATGGGCGAGGGCCACAGGGACAACGCCGGCAGGTCAAGAAGGTGATCCCACAACTGAGCTGCAGCACTGAAGACATGATTCAAGCCAGCGTGGAACCCGCCCCTCCCCCGGTCTATTAGTATGGAACTTGCTCTATGGGCACAAAAGAGCAGGCCTCGACATATGCAATAGCCCGTGCGTAATTACCGTACACGGATACACCATGACACCCCAGTATTCATTCGTATGAGCCCGGAATGTCGGACATGAAATGGATCATCACACAATCAATACCGAGGCGGCTGCACGTCACTTTCTTGCTGCATGGATCTACTAGGCCAAGGCGGTAAAGGTACACAGTATAGGCACGGCAAAGAAGCACTACTAACAGCGGTACGTACCTGAATTTCGGCAATCTTCACATCGTATGGTCACTGCAGACTTAATACGATAGTAGCGTCGTAGATAGAGCTAAAACTTGAGTCAGCTGCTTGTTTGACCAGTGCCACCGCCTGGAGCAGAGACGCGGTAAGCCGACTTCGGGTTGCTTGGTAGCTCGCATAGACAGTGACCAGTTGCCCCTGAGGCGAATGAAGTTCATGGGTCCGCTTGCCTTGATAGAAAGGAAGGCAATTTTGAATTCTGAATAGTATCGTCTAGCTAACTGCTCCGCTTCAATCGAAGAGATGACATCAACCAGAAGGTCGTGATAAATCTGATTACATTCATCAATCGTTTCACAAAGACGCTGTAACTAGCTATCACTCAGAAAACAATGGCCTCGACGGCTTTCATTTTCCAAGAGACTTTCTTACAAGATGTCTGTATAGCAACATTTGTTTGTTTCTCAATCCTCCATTGTGTTAGATGGCTTCGCAACCGGTACATGATCAAGAAGCTTGGAGGATATGCCACTTCAATTCATTCTTTGCTGGACTGGGCGGGTAGGAACCCAATTGAGCCTTTAGGAAGACCAAAATTAATAGTGACTTTTTCTTGGACTAGGAATTGGCTATCTTTTCAGCATGTTCCAGCATGCGCGTCGCGACGAGAACCTACAATTCTTCCATAACTGCCTAGTCAAGACGGGCCAGGGAAAGCTAGGGAATCCATTCACCTATGAGTTCACCTTTGTAGGGCAGCGTCGGATCGTCACTGCGGACCCAGAGAAGTAACTCAATTCAGAAGACATGGACCAGGGAGTATATCTTAACTCGATTGATAGTATCAAAGCCATGCTAGCCACCAAGTTTCAAGACTTCGAAAAAGGTGATCGCTTTAGAAGCGACTGGAAAGGGCTACTGGGAAGGAGTCGGTTTGGTTGGACTCTTGATTTTGATACAAGCTGACAGCTTGACAGGCATCTTTACACTCGATGGGCAAGAATGGCATCAGAATCGTCAGTTCCTGCGACCAAATTTTGCTCGACAGAGGATTAGTGATCTAAATTGTTTCGAAAACCACCTCCAAGACTTGTGGCAGGTTCTTGATGGAGAGAAAGTTGTGAACATCAAAGAAGTAATGGCATTGTTCGTCTCACCGCTGTCCGAGTCAGACTGAACAATTCAACGCGACTGACTTTGAGGGAGCGTTGCAGATTTGCGTTTGATGCAGCGGCGGAATTCTCCCTTGGTACGACAATTCGAACCTTGCTGAATCCTGCAAATGAATTCGTTGAAGCTTTCGAAAGATGCCATCACACACAGACCATGGTCGAGTACTTAGCGCCATTTGGCTGGTGGTTGGTTCCACGGAAACAATTTCAGCGAGATCTGAAGAAGATGCAAAGCTTCGTTGACCCTATGTTAGACAAAGCCTTGGCAATGTCTGACGAGGAACTGAAGCAATGTGTTGAGGATGAGGCATCTGGCACAGCTGGAGAACAGACCAAAGCCGGGAGCTTCTCCTTTTTGGCAGCATGCGCGGCAGTCTCCCGTGAGCGGTCATTTCTCCGTGACACAGTAATCACGATTGTGCTTGCTGCTCGTGACACTACCGCCATGACGTTGACCTGGTGTCTTTACGAGTTGGCTAAGAATCCGACGGTCGTCGCTGAGCTTCGGACCGAGATTGTCACTAAGCTAGGAATAGATGCAAGCCGAAGGCCGACCTACGAGGATCTGAAGAGTATGCCCTTCCTGCAACGTGTTCTGAATGAGACATTGCGGCTATACCCCAGCATCCCTTACAACGCACGAGAGGCTGCGCGAGACACTAGCCTTCCCCGAGGAGGAGGCAAAGATGGAATGAGCTCAGTCGGTGTGCGGAAGGGAACTCTGATATACTTTTGTCCGCATATTCTACGTAAGCATACTTTCCCCTTCTTTTCTCAGAGCCTCTGTGACGCTAATTTGAGTATCCAGATCTACGTCAAGATATCTATCCCGTGGACGATCCAGATTTTCCGCCTCCTGAGGAGTTTCATCCCCATCGATGGGAGAAATGGCGACCGACACCTTGGACATACGTGCCGTTCAATGGAGGTGAGTGGCAGTTATTCCCGTAATAGAAGTTTTGATCGTGCTGTGCTGTATCCTGGTAATTGCTTGAACCAGGAGTTATCGCGCACAATTTTGCGATCCGAGCCTAGGCTGAGTGAATCTAAATTAGGACCAAGAACGTGCATTGGACAGCAATTTGCCTTGGTAGAGATGAGTTATGTACTTGTTCGGCTGTTTCAGCGGTACAGTCGGGTGGAGCTCCGGCCACTCGAAGACGAACACCGCCGAGAACAGAAAGTGTCGTCGCCCTGGGTGCGACGAGAGGACGCTACAGGCCCTGAGCTTGCTGAGGCTTACATGCGCTCTCGACCAAGCATGGCGAGCGAGATCACGTTAAATCCTCGAAATGAAGTACATATCACCTTCATTAAATAGCTCTAGTATAGTCAATTTCATACACATTGAACCACATACACGGAGGTGGAGTAAATACATTTGCACGGGTCTCGTTCAAAACTAGGTCCCCTCAGGAACGGCGCTCTGCGTCGTCTTCTTCTTGACGTCGCGTGTCCGCGATGTCTATGTTTCAGCATCAGCATAACGTCTTCATCTTCCGCGGTGTTTCCGCGGACTTCTCCAGCTCACCGCCTATGTTACTCGACGCTGAAGATGGGGTTACCGCACAACTTTCGTATACTGTGAGTCGTGGCATACTTGGCAATGGCCCTGACTATGATGCAGTGGCCTTATCATGAGAATTGCTTTTAGTGAGTCATGAACCTGGTAAGATGGAGCTCTTCCGCAGCCCCACGACGTCTTAGTATGTTGTCTGGCGGAGCTCAAACCTTAAATTGACTCAACACATACGGCTAAATACATGTCCTAGGTTTGCCTCCTCTTGCAGGGGCTGGTTTGACAACGTATGCGCCTCGAGCTCCACCACATCCGCATAGTATCAAGGTCAGCCTCGAAGCCTAGGCTGTCCAGGTGCCTCATTCCCATTTGTGTGCCATAACAGCGGATGCTTTTTTCGGCTGATGTAGAAACCTTAAACCCAGAATGGCAAGTCTCCCCATTTCTCAAGGCCTTGCTTATACCAACGGCCCATTCCTCCGCGGCCTGACCGCTGCCCGCGCCGGTGAATGAATTATCTGTTCACGTTTGACGATGATCAAGTGGAGCCTTCAATTGCTAGCCTCGAAACGAGAAGCCGAGGCACCTGATTCCTGCTTCCTGGTTAGCAACATGTACCTGTACGGGCAGTGAGTAATAGACGAACATGCCTCTGGTAGAGCAATATTCAATTCGAGAGTTGCGGCAAAATGAGTGGATTCCATTTCCAGGTTCTCCCTAGTGCCAAATGGCGTTTAAGAAGAATATGAGTCCATCTGACCGAGAGAGACAAAAGAGTTCGTAGGCACCGGTGTCATTGTATTCGGGAAGCAGCCTTGACGGGGGAGCGCATGTATAATCACTGATACATAAGTGGCACAGATTCTTGGTGCATCTACTTATCGCAGAATTGGAGTGTTTGTTCTCTTGTATAAGATTCTGTTTGTTGCTGTTGACACAAATTTGGCCCAGCTGAGCCTGTTACCCCAGCCTGCCCCGAAGCCCATAGTCTGAAGACTTGAGGCCATTACTCCAAGGCTCTTAACTTTGCTATCTAGCGGCGAAATCACCTCGCCTCATTTACAACGGCTTCATTATGACCATGGACGGAGACGCGGTGGAGCCAATAGCCATCACTGGACTAAGCGTTAAATTCCCTCAAGATGCCACTTCTCCAGATGGATTTTGGGACATGCTCCGCGAAGGACGCTCAGCTGCCACGAAAGTGCCCGAAGATCGGTTTAATGTAGATGGTCAGTGCAAATCAGCAATCATTGCGGATCAACACCCATTGCGGTCATCGATAGGTGCTAATCGTCCATGCTGCAGCATTCTACCATCCTGACCCAAACCGACTTGACGCTGTAAGTGGCCTCGCTCTTTGAAAATGCACGTATTCGATGTTCTGTGCTGACAGATTA